CTATTTCTTAATATATAATTCCGTATTAGCTCTTTTAAACTACTTATAAACGCCGGTATTAGTTTAGATTTAATACGAAATAATAAATAAACCTATTAAAGATTTAGCCCCTAGTACCGATACGTAGTAAATATAAGCGTTACTTATCGTCCCGTAACCCGGAAACCTAAAGCGTTTATTTCTATATAAATTAATAGGTTCCGTAGTAAATTAAAAGGATTTCCTTATCCTTTATACCGGGTACTTAAGTTAAAGGTAAGGAATTTAGATTACTAAGGTCGGATTAATTTAATATATTATTTAATAAGCCGAACCTTACGTTAAACGCCCGGTCGGCGATCGCCTAAGCTATTAATAAGTTAATAAGATAAATAAATTTATAAGGGATTATTATAATCGAAAAAGTAAGCCTATATAATGATTAATTAAAATTAGTTAGACTCTATAGAAACGTATAGTTTATATTAGCTCCGTTAAATTACTTCCGTTTTTTATTTATTATATCGGATCGTAATTACTACGACTAGCCTTCTTTTAAAGGGGTTTATAAGGTCTCGTATTAGCTCGAAAGCGACCTACCTATAAATAAGATTTATTACCTTTCTAAGGCGAAACCCTTTAATACCGGCGACGAAAACGGCGCCGTAAAAAGCTAAGCCTATCCGTTCGGTATAAGGAACGTACCTTACTTATTTTTATAGCGTTCCGAATAAAACTATAATATCTTCTAGCGTTATTTCCTTTTTTTCGAACGTTTAATAACGGATAAGATTATATTCTACGAATACCCTTCGTTCGATTTACTACGAAAATTATAATAAGAATCCCGAATTAATAATTATATTAAGGTCGATTTACCTTACGAATCTTATAAATAGGTTTACGATTACGAAGCCCGGTCGATATAACGTATAAAATCTACTTATCCTTATTCGCCGGATCTTTCTTTCTTTTCCGTTAGAGGACGTTAATTTCGGCTTTTCCTAGTAGTACTTTTTATATTACGTCGACCGTAATCGCCGCGTTAATACCCCGTACCTTTCTATATTTCTCCGGTCCTAGGAAAGGTCGTTCGTAGGTAGAGTTCTCGATATATATAGCGAAGAATTCGCGTATATATTCCGAAACGTCGGCGCCTTCGTAGAAATTAATCTAAATATTATTAGGATCGATTCCTTAGATATCTCGAAAGTAACTACGATAGGTCGCGCGCGTTAGCCTTAATAAGGTACCATAAGTAAAAAGAGTAGAAAATAACGGGATATATATCGTTTAGGTATCCTATAAGCGTTTTCGTTCCGCTTTAATTCTCGGAACGACCGGGCGGGAATCGGTTAAGGGCTAACCCCTATATTTCTAACGAATATCGTTACCTCGCTATCGCTATAAATCTAGGTTTTTAGCGAGTACGCGTTTAAACCGCGACTTTATTAAGCGCGTCGAAGCGTAAGAATCCGATATATTCCCTTCGATAGCTATTATAGCGTTAGTAAACGACCTTACGTAGGATTAATAACAAAGTAAGAGATATAACTACGCGATTAAAGCCGGTTTATAACTTACGAAAAAGCGGTCGGGGTAGCGGGATAAGTATCGACCTCTAACTCTACCTACGCCGTTTAAGCTCGAGCGATTAGGCGACGAGGTCGAGCATTATCGACCTCTAACCCTACCTTACGCGAATACGACTCCTAAACGGAATATAGTTTTTAGTTTTTATCCTAGCTACTTAAGGAGCTAACGTTTAGTCTAGTTACGTATAGATTAATTAGGCATTAGGGAACCGCCGTCCGCCCTACCTTAACTAACGATCTTACCTCCGTATGGTACCTACTTAAGTATCTACCTAGGTACCTAACCTCTTACCTAGTAGTACCTAGGTAGGTACTAAGGCCAACGTCCACGTCCAGAGGTACGGCAGAGGGATGACCTGCACCATACTCAGTAGGTGCCGGCTTACCTTTCTACGCATTGCAGCCAGCCATGATCCATGTACGGCGTGCGACTGCGAAGGTATGTGGTGTCCTACGCCTAGTAGCATAAGGGGATGTATGTAGGTAGGTTGGGTGCTACCCACCTCCCGGGTTGCCTACCTATGTGTATGGCAACCTGCGTTGGCAAGTCTCTGCAGTATAATACAACGTTCCAGGCGTGGCCGGTGAAATCGGCGTGTTTGCAGGACGCGTACAAGTTCCTACGGACCGTACCTAAGGTACCTACCTACCTACCTCTCCCAACCTGACTACCTAGGCAGGTAGGTACCTTACCTACCTAACGGACTACTCATACTACCTAACACGCCCGGGGCAACTAACCTAGCCTCGATGCAACATACCTACCTACCTCCTAACCTACATAGACTACCTTAGGAGGTACCTCCAGGTAATGTTACATACATACATGCATACCTCCTATCTAGACCTACCTACCTAGGTATATACCTACAGACGTCCTCATAACAGGGTAACCTGCCGCCGGGTTCTTCCTTGGAGATAGAGAAAGGGGGAGAGCGAGAGAGAGACAGAGAGACAGGGGATCTTGCATCAAATCCCGACCACAGGAATGCGTTGCCGAACAGACTGGGGGGGTGAAAGGGGGAGGGCAGGGATCGCTCCTCTCCATCCTCGCGGTCTTCCACGTCGTCGCTGGCGACACCGGTCAGAGCCCGGAGCCCAGTCCTGACTGCAGTGATCTGTCTCTATTTTAGCATATACTATATACTACCTAAGGCATAGCCGGCCTCCCTAGGCAAATATTGTACCTGGCCGTAAAAAGTAGGGCACATCCCGCGGAGATTGTGGCGGGTCGATCAGTATAAGTCGACGAGAGCCATCCGCACCCGGGCGTTCTGCCTCTGCCTACCTACGTCCTCTACACCGGAGCTACCCATCTTGGGTTAGGCACGTACGCTACATACCTACCTCACCACCTGTCAGCCTGCCGTTGAATTCACATAACGGCACAAACAGAACTCGAATCAATGGCCGTTGTTTGATGGACACGCGGCACGCGCCTGTTTAGAGAGCTCCCATAGCACCGTGACACTTCTAGCGGCAAGGGGTGGAGAGGTAGAGGGTGGTTGCTTGGGAACGAGGTACAGACCTAGCATGGCTAGGCGCTTCAATTGGTAGGTGTAGAGACCTCAGATAATATAGGTAGGATATGCATTAATAAGACACCCGGCCGGCACGGAGTATCGTGACATGCCCACCTCTCTACTCGCCATACTATCGTGGATGGATATATTTAATATATATATATTGGTAGGTAGGTGGGTAAGTAGGTGTATGTGTTCAGTGCGCTTGGAGACCTGCCCGGTATGTAAGTCGCCTCCTGGGAACTGATCGCATATTGCCATGTGCCTTGGATACCTATACATATGTACCTAGGTATGTAGGGGCCTGTTGAATTAGGTCTCGATACCTTGCATGGAGTGGATGGGTTCCCCAGCTGGTAGGAGGAGGTGCCCGCGATGTCGAAAGGGGTCGGGTACCCTAGGGACCTAGCATATAACGTACCTACCTAGTGACTGCCAACTAATACCTATGCCTATAAGGCTACAACTACCTGGCTACTGCCTTCGGGAGAGAGGTATACCGATGTACCCGGCCGCACCTAACCTTACGTAGGTACTATACCTAGGTAGGTACCTACCTCTCCGGCCTCGTGCATAGTACCAGTACCTCGGGTCGAATGTACATATATTTACATACATACGCTAATGTATGTCGGTCGCAACCCACCTCGTCCAGTAGCATCGTGGGATAACTGCCGCCCGGGTCAGGGCGGCATGTACCCACCAACCCTCATCCTCGCCTTATCGCCGTAGGCAAGTACCTACCTGTATGCAGCTCGTTACTTACCGCGTAGATTCCAGCTCTCTCTCCACACTTCTCTCTCTCTCTCTCTCTCTACCTCTCCCTCTCACCCTCCCTCTCCCTCTCCCGCCCGCTCGCTCTCCGTCTGTCTCTCTGTCTGTCTGTCTCTCTCTGTCTCTCGCTGCCCTCCGCTACCCGCCTCTACTACCTCAGGCATCGCTGTCCGTGCACTCCTACATTGTCTTCCACAGCGTTCCTCTTGTCCATACCTGATGTTCTCCTCCTCGCCCTCGCCCCCCCCTCCAATCTATTCTGTCGGCGTATCTGCGATGGCAGACAGGCTGAGAGACAAGTAGACAGATAGGTGGTGTGAGTAGTCAAGTCCAGCCCAGTCAAGCCTTGCCCGTCAGTCTCCCACCTCATTTGCTCGCCCAAATCGGCCAGCTTTCCTCACTCGCCTCTCTCTCTCTCTCCTTCTCCTCTTCTTCCTCTCTCTTATCTCCATCCATCTCCTCTCCTCTCTCTCCCCTTCTCTCCTCTTCCTCTTTCGCTCTCCCTCTTCGCCCGTCCTTCTGCCCCCCATCGCGGTAATTCTTCCATACCGCCGCAGCGACAACGGTGGATACATAGTGTCATCGTCTCTATCCACAGACGTTGATTGCATGCAAGGGAGCCCACGGTATCGGTATATTACCACCCCTCCAACGTACAGAACACCGCATCCGTCCCCGGGATCTCCCAACCACACACCCAAATCTGTAGGTGCAGAAACTGGTGCTCGGTCGGATCTTGGTCTGATTCCTCCTGTCTATAATACAGCGCGCCCGCCATACCTACCTAGTATACATCAGCTTTACGTCCGTATCCCGCCGTATCGTACCCTCGCAAGAGTCTGCGAAATACTCGTCGAGCCGAGCGGCCAAGTACGCTGGTTGCGGGCCTGAATTGGCCAATACCAGTATCCCCGGCGCTCTGGGTAGCGTCCTGGGCGTGGTCTGACATGAAATCTGGGGAGCTACATGGGCCTATGAGATCGAGCCGACGATCCACCGGGCGGCATCTGCGCATCGGCAGGGCTCGTGTCGTGTCATTAACCCGCGCCAGCAGCTCCTCCGCCGGCCCCCTAACCCAATACCACCCTCCCCGCGACGATGGATCAGATCGACCACGTGGCCGGCCTGGACCCGGAGGATAGTTCCCGGGCTGCCTGGCAGGCGAAGCCTATTCGCCGTCGCAATCGCATGATTAATAGGTGAGATATTTTTTACGACTTACTCCATAGCGGGGAGATCGAGTATAACCTCCCCCGAGGTGCACCTAGTATTCGAAAGAATATGAAAAAAAATAAAAAATAAAATAAAAGTAAAGAGATGTAGGGGAAGGACAGGAGGAACTCTGGCTACACTTATCTATACCTGTCTCTGGCACCTGTCTAGTGCCGCCTCTCTCACTCTCCCTCTCTAAAGGAAAAAGAAACACCAGGCATGCTAACTCTCCGACACGGAGTACCCGAGAAACAAACACTGATTCCCCAGAATGTAGGGTAAGGCGGGCGTTACCCTACCTGGGAACTCGGTGTTCTGTTTCTTTGCGCTCCGTTCACGTGAAGTTGTTTAGAATGCCGAAGAAGAAAGTTGAAGTGTTCCAAAACAAGCCCGTCCTGTACCAACTGCATCAAGGCTAGCCGCGAGTGCCTATACCTTGGTCCCCGGCTCGACGAGGCCAGTCAGATGCGCCTGGCGGAGATCAAGGAGAAGCAAGGGACACTGGAGCGCGAGCTCGAGCGCGACGTGGCAAAGTCTACCGTGTCTAAGAACTCGCAGCAGCAGCGCATCCTAGCCGACGATATTAGCGGCGATTACGACGAGGACCGCGACTTGGAGGCTACTCCGCTCGCGGCCTTGGATCTAACCTACGAGGATGACGCCGACGGACCTAGCGACATGATCGATCTGGGGATCCAGATAGGAAAAATGCGCATAACCGAGAGGATAGGCGGGCTCTCGCGACCCAGGATATCTGAAGAGGTACGAATCATGCGCACACGTTTGTCAGCTTACGAGGTTGCCTTCTCACGATGTCAATTCTAGATATCAGCCGGCATCGCGACCACTCAACCGCCGCAGCATGCCGGACAGACGCCTACGTTCGAGGACATGCCTGAGTTCCTGAAGCCAGGAAGTCAGTACATCGTCCCCACCAGCGGTTTCTTCTTCGGTCAGATAGGAGAACCGCTGTCTATCCTCAATTTCCTGCCCTACAACAAGGCCATCGCAGATCGGCTAATCAAACAGTACTTCGTTTCTGTCCACCCGATCGCCCCATGTGCCCACCGGCCAACGTTGGAAGCTACCTATGCGACATTCTGGGAAGAGATCAACGCCGGCTTCGAACCTCGAGCTTCGATGCAGGCCATAATCTTTGGAGCCATGTTCAGCGGTGCTATCAGCTTGAGTGAGAGCGCCGTCATCTCTGATCTAGGAGTGTATTCCAAGGCGAATTGGGTCGCCAGCCTCAAGATGGGCACCGAAACGGCTTTAAGCAAGGCGAAATTCCTGCAGACTACCAAGGTAGAAACAATGCAGGCGTTTATCATGTATATGGTAAGTTCAGCCAGCCCTCGGCCTGCCCCAATGGCACTAATCCGGCGGAAGCTTCCTCTGTGTAGGGCCGAAGTATCAAGGGCGCATTCGGTGCTTGTTGGTGCTGCGGTGCGGATGGCCGAGTGCATGGGGCTGCATCGTGATGGTGAGGCATACGGGCTGACGCCGCTCGAGACTCACGTCCGTCGCTTGATCTGGCACCAGCTCTGCTTCCTCGACATACGAACCTGCGAGGCCCAGGGACCGAAACCAGTCATTAGAAGAGATGGCTACGACACAAAGCTGCCCCTGAACTGTAACGAAGAAGACATCACCAACGCTGTGGTGCCGCCCGAATCGACGGATGTATGGACTACCAGTACCCTCGCCCTGATCCGCTTCGAGATCAACGAGATGATGCGCATCATATGGGTCGAACGGCGCAGGCTAGAAACGCGCAAGACGACGCTGACAGCTGTGCTCACGAAAATTGAACATTTCCGGCAGCGCATGTCGGAGAAATACGACCACCTGCTTGACTCGACGGAGCCGATCCAAAGGTATGCCAAGTGTGTTATGTACCTGCTTACATATCGGCTTCACGTCATGGTCCTCCATCCGTACCACTCGAACGCGGCCAACCCGATGCCGGCGCGACTCAACCAACTCCTGATCACGTACGGCATCATGATTGTCGAGCTGGCGATCCAGCTCGAGACCAATCACCACTTTGAGGATTGGGCATGGTATCTAGGGGCATACTTCCAGTACCAGATCGCGCTGCTTCTGGCAACGGAAGCCTATTTCCGTCCGCAGTCTCGCGAGGCCACGCGGATATGGTCGTGCCTAGACTACGTATTCGGAATGGACCGAAGGCTCTCTCCCGAGGCCAAGAGCGTGCAACTTCTCTCCGAGATCCAAAGCAAGACGTCGATCTACATGCAGATGCGCAAGATGCGCGGGCCCACGAGCCTGTCGCGAGCTGTCCCCGGACAGAATGTGGTGGCGGGTATCAGTACGTCGTTGCCGCCGGTGCCGAAGCAGGCCCAGCCCGCCCCGTTCGGGATGCCGACAGAAGTGCCGAAAGTAGAGCGGGGGTTCACGCCGCCGATGCCGGCCGGCCCGTCGATAGCGCAGCCGCAAATGGTGTTCGCCGGCGTCTCGGACGGCCAGGCGTTGTGGAGCCTGCCGCCGAACCACGCAAGCCCGGAGAGCGACGCGTCCAGTGCGGAACAGGGGCAGAGAGTGCCGACGCCGGGTATGGTGGGAGGGGCCGGGGTAGTTCAAGGTAATAACGGCAGTGTCATGGACACTATCAACTGGGTACGTGCCTCTGTCGTAGCCTTCCCTGCCCGTCTCCCGTGTGGTTATCAGTAACGGCGAGATGCTAGCAAAGAAGGATGTCACGCTGACGAGTAGAGCTTTAGGACGACATCGACGTCGACGCGTTGTTGCCCAGCGATCCGCAGATGGGCGGCCTCAGCATTCAAGGGTTCCACGACCCGACTTTCGGCATTGCAGACTATAGTTGATGCTATGATGCCGGATCTACGGCGAGGATTTATCTATGCTATTCCTTTTCCTTTTCCACCATTCTTCACTCGATATCGGCCGTATTATGTCAACCTATTTATCTAGACGATAACCCTGAAGCAATTCGCAATATCGGCAGAGGGGGGGGGTTGGATATGGGACACTGCCCTTCTTTGACGTGTAGTTATGTATGTACGTCGTCGATTTAGATAGATGGTATAATGAGACTTCGAAAATAACACTAAAAAGGGATTTGAGAAAGGAATACGTAGCCAAGGAGGTTAACTCGTGTGCCTACGCCTAGGCCTACACTTAGGCCGCGAATCGCGCTGTCTCTTGCCGCGGGCATTTACGTAGACGTAGCAACGGCTGTCGTCCGCCGACACATCTATCCAGACTCTATGGCGTACTGCAAGTGCTTAAGCCCTAGGCTAGTCCGCGAGGGCTTATCCTTCGAGGATGGACTAACCACCAGAACAGAGTACGGCGGGCACGAGAAGATGACGGCGTTGTGTGTGTGTTGGGGCGGGGGGGTTGTCCCCGGCACTACTGGGCGAGTTGTGGTGTAGTGCGGAGCGGAGCAGAGCGGTGGTGCGCAAAATGGCGCGTAGAGATGTGGGGCGGTCGGGTACGTTTAGTACGGAGGGAAAAAAGCCTGGTGCGACCGAGTATATCAGGTACACACGGATGAGGTATATATATATACCTACGCATAATGCTGAGAGGCGGCCTATATAGATAAGTAGCAGTTCGCCAAGGCGGGAGGGGAGCGTTCATGTATATATGTCTAGAAAGCCAGCCCAGTCCGTCCGTTTGTCCGTCTGACGAACCGGCCCGACCTCAAGAGAGAGAGAGAGGAAGAGGGGGGAGTCTACAACGTCAATCCTCGTCCGCGATTAGGTCAGGCAAGTTGAGGCTGGCGGTGGACATTAAGTGAGAAGGGGAGCGGATGCGAGCGAGGAAGACGGAGGGAGAAGAAGGGGGTACACGTTGTTGGTTTTCTACTGTTCTGCCTGTAAGTGTATTGGAGCGTTCTGCGCCGGCAAACACCTACCTAGGTATCTAACCTACCCCCGGGCACCTACCTTAGGTACCTATCTATCGGCCTACCTAGGTACATGCATACGTGGGTATAAGATGGAGAATTGGGTAAGTAAGCACGAGCAAGAGGGAGAATAAGTAAGAGGAAGAGGAAGAAGAAGAAGAGGCAGTGCGGGGGTAGGCGAGAGGGGGGGGGAAGAGGAAAGAAGAAAGAAGAAGAAAAAAAAGAGAGAGAGAGAGTAGATGCGTGGAGAGACAAGGTACCCAACCTAAACCTACCTGACGTAGGAGAGCGAGGGGAGGGGAGATGCACCAGGGTCAGCGGACGATGTGAGCTGTCCCCTCCCTACCTAACCTACCTGTCTCTTACCTGCGCACCACACCACCTCTCCCCCCTCCGGCCCTAGACGCACGCACAGTGGGTGTGGCAGCAGCAGCGGGTGGATGACGAGTGGGTGGGAGGACTGCGTGGAGGGGGCGAGCCGCAAGCTCCGTTGCCGGCGAAGTAGGGCCAACCACGGGTCGTGTCTCGGCTCGCACCGCTTTCTCTCTCTCTCCCACCCACACGCACCCGGAGGGAGAGGTGGGGTGGGAAAGGGAGAGAGAGAGAGAGAGAGAGGGAAGAGAAGAGAAAAGGAAAAAGAGGGGGAGAGAAACAATCGATATACCGGATCCTCGTGGTGGATGTGCCCATCAGAGGAGTGGTAAAGGTATGTACGCATGCACAGGTGTGCATGAGGGCAGTCCGACTCCCGGGTTCGCTATCACCACCAGGACATGTTCCTCTTTCTATGGCCATGTCTCTGCACTGGGATAGATACAAGGGATATATAGCCTTGCCGATATACTGGGAAGAAGTCGTAAGTCGTCTCGAATTGCCTGCCTGTCTGTCCTTTTCTGTCTTGATATATGTGTAAAAATACAACTGAAATTGGTATAAAGTGGAGAGAGAACGAGCATCCCATCTTTTTTCCCAAATAGATAAAAAATAACTTGGTCGTAAGGTCGTTAAGAGGATATAATACCGCTGTAAATCTCGTTTTCCGGTAACACAGACACACATCCGGCCTCCCTTCCTCATTATGCCCAAAAGAAAAACCTCTCCGGAATGCAAGCAAGTTAGTATGTAAACAGCAGACGGGACTTGGGAGTGGAAAGAGGATCTCCTCGAGAGAAACGCCGAGAAGGGTATCATCGCTGATTCCGCAACCCGTCCTTGTACCAAATCCAAAAAAAGAGAGAACATTATCTCTATCGAGAAAAGAAAATCGCAATGAACCCCGTCGTCCCCTAGCCATCATAATGCCGTGTTCATGCTATTAGTATCATCCCTAACTTTACTTTCTTTTCCATCCTATCTGGTTCTGCTTTTTTTTTTTTTGCTTCCTCCTTTCATGCATCACTGGGACCGTATATTGGCCCGCGTAGTGTATATTTGTTCTGCATAGACGCCGTCGCCTTCTTAGATGCCACCCCCCAGGTATGCCGCGTGACGGGGAGAGTGGCGTGGGGAGGCGCGCGGGGAATCGCGCGGCGGGGTGAGAGGTCCGGTTGGGGCGGGTAGAGGAACGTCCTTCATGCTCACGCTGACGTTGCTCTGGCTTCCTTGGATCGACGGCGTAGTGCCCCTCGACAGCGGCATGCCGCCCCCGTCCGACGACGGCGTCACCATCCGGATCGTGGAGTACCGCGGCTTCGCCACGAGCACCTGGGCGGGGCAGATGACGATTTCCTCGTCGCCCACGCCGTTGTCGTCGCCCTTCTTCACTACGAGGGGGAAGAGGACTGTGCGAACTATGGCGTTCTGGGCCTCGTGCTCTTCGTTCGACAACGGACCGCCCGAGCGCTCGTTCATGAGGGACGCGTTGAACGAGACGGTGCGCACCAGCTCGCCGCTGGCGTCGTACTCGGGCTGCAACGGCGGGAGCATCATGTATTCGGCACGCTGCGTGCGCATTTCGATGGAGAGATCGACTGCCTCGCGTACCACGCGGCGCAGTTGCGACTGTATTTGGGCCTCCAAGTTGGAGGGGGGCGGGAGGATCATGGACAAGGTTCGGAGGATGGCCTGTACGACGGCTTCCGTGTCCTGATTGCGTTGATCGCCGAAAGCCGGCCGCTTAGAGAGCAGCGTGAGGGTCACGGCGCGCCACTGGCGTACCGCCTGAGGCGGCCCGACGTCTAATAGAAGCCTCTCTAGAGACTTGAGCTTTTGTCGCTGCTCCCGGTCCATGCCGAAGAGGTAACGGGTGAAGACAAAGTCCCAAATCATGTTCATAGTCATCGACATGAATATGTCACGACGCCGCACTCGGTCGCCGAGGTACTCGTCCACCTCGGAGCCGTCCAAGATGGAATTGTCCAGTCGGTCGATAATTTTCTCGTCATTGATCTCGCTGGTAAGGCGGCACGCACGCATGTCGGAGAACTTGGAGAAGCGGAGGACCCACTGCTGAACGTGCGAACACAGCTGCTGGCAACGATGGTCGAAGTGGTCCTCGTCCTTGATGCGCAGGAACTCGGCATCTGGGGGCTTCGTGGCGAGGATTTGACGCTGAAGCTCTCTGACCTGCTCTTTGGTCGTCTCGAGCTGGGCACGGAGCCCCTGGATCTCGGCGTCCTTCTGCTGCAGCGTCCTCGCGTATTGGTCTTTGGTGTTGCGATACGCCTCCAATTCTCGGGCCGCCGATGCGTGCTGCAGCTCCAGGCGGCCGTATTTCTCGTTGTGCTGGAGGGCGAGGACGTTGTTGGCGCTGTTGAGGCCGTCGTTGACCTCGGTCAATCGCGAGACTTCTTTGCGCAGCCATTCGAGCGAGGCCTTGAGGCTTTCGATTTCGGCATCACGCTCTGTGATGGCCGAGACAGCCTGTTGGTTGAGGCTCTGCTCGGCCTGGGATTTTGCCTCGATGAGGGCGCGATTGTCCGCCATCAATTGCTCCACGCGGGACTCGAGCTCTAGCACCTGCATGCTGTGTCGGCGACGCATGCTCTGGGGTCGGGTTGGGGACCGTGGCGAGCCCATGCGGCCCTCGCCGTAGCCATCCTGTGGTCCGAGGTCAGCCGGTGATAAGAAATAGGAGGGGGGGGAGGGCTTTTCAGTGGGTGCTACGTGGATGACGATGGGGATGGGGCCGGATGGGGCCAGTGATGGGGACAAGACGGAGACGACGGAGACCCAGATGATGCACGATGCGCGGCGATGAGTCCTCTCAATGATCACTTACATATACGTCGGTCATGTCCTTGGCTCGGACACGGCCTTCGTTAGCCACTGGTGCTGTGGTCTGGTGCGGGAGAATTTCTCTCTCGCTCAACGCATTGTTGTTATTGGGGAGGTTGGAGGAGAGGGAGCGAAGGTCACCGCTCATTCGCCTGTCCGCGCGTCTTAGCGGTGGAGCGTTGATGCCTGACCGGATGCCTGGACTTTCAGGCCGAAATTTCATCGACAGGGGTTCCGGCGTCCGTTGCCGCGAAATGCTCGTGTTGGACACCGTTCGTCTGAGCTGCCTCTCCGCCAGCGGCGTCGACCTCCGGCTTACGCTCTCCGAAATGCTTCTGTGTCCTATTTCCTGTTCTTTCTGCGATCGCGTCTTCCTAGGATCTATTGTATTCTGCCTTTCCTCTTCTCGGCTGCTACTGGTTGGTGTACCTAGGCTGGGCATCTCGCTTCCCAGTCCCGGCTTCTGCAATCGCCTGTCGTGAGGCTGAGGAGTGCGGATTGCCATGCCTTCCTTATCTTGGCGTTCTTCTTGTTTCTCGGCCATGCTCTCTGCTACGTCTCGGAGATGTATGCCGCTGTCGCGTTGGCTTGGCTCCTCTGCTAGACTACGCCGCATAGGGTCGGGTGAGCCCGTGATAACCCCGCTGTCTCTGTTCGTCTCCGCAAAAGTATCGTGATCATGATTTCGCCCATCTTTTTCTAGTTCTTCGTGTGTCTCTTCTTCTACAGGGGGGAGAACCCGGGGAGAAGCACGGCCAGGACTCAAGTAATCTTGTGCCGAGGGCAGTGGACTTGGCGATTTCAGTGAATCCCCGTCGGCATTGAGCGCCTTATTCCCTTCGAGGGGCCCTTTCGTATGCTGCAATCTACCCATCTCGCTTGATTTACCCATGGGCCCAGAGGTTGACCCTTCTTGAGGTCCGAAATCCTCCTGCCTAGAATAGGGAGGCTTCGGCTGGCTAAGCTGTGTGTCCCGTTCCATTATTGGACTTTCGACATCGGAATCTCTAGCGGTGCTTTCTAGTAGCACGGGTAGGTGCGGCGGTTCGTAATCTGGCGCCGGCGCTTTTTGCGTGCGGGAAGGCGGCAGCTCGGCCTGGTCTCTTGCCTCTGTAGTTGGCTTGGCTGAAGAGTCACCTACATTGGTAGCTGGACCTTCATCTTCCTTTGGCGCCTGGCGCTCAGATCTCTCTTGGGGTGCAGAGTCGTCAATCATGATGTCCATATCCGGGGTTTTCTTGTCAACATACATCTGCTTGTTTTTATCCTCGCTCTTCTTGGAATCGTCAAACCTCTCAGCTAAAGCTGAAACTCCTAAACCCGTGGTGTCTGCGTCAGATACGGCTTCAATGGCTTCCGGTCCCGTATCTTCGATTGCTTCGTCCTTCTTCACAGGTGGGGGCTTGAGACGAGACTCCGTCACGGCCGCCACAGCTTCGTGGGCGAATCGAGCCATGTTTTGTATGAGACTCCGCTGCCAGGTAAATCCCGTTTGGATAGGGGCCGCCTTTTGCTCCGCCGATTCACCCTCCGCTCTACTAGATTCCGGCTCCAATTTCGGCGCAGGGGTGACCTCGGGCGATGGTTTCAACGCAGGACTACCGAAGTCTTGAGTGTTGCCGCGTGATTTCTCGTCGTCACTCTGCTTCGTAGCTGTTAGGTCTGCCTCGAGATAGGTTGTTGTAGGCTCTTCCTGCTGTGTGACTGGCGGAAGTAGATCTGAAGTCGCAATCTCCTCGGCAAGAGTATGCGTTTCGGTCTTGAGCCTTTTGCCTGGCTGTGGGGATTCATCGAACGGACGATCATGTTCTACATGACTACTCAACTGAGCCGGCGAGAGGTCGATAGAGATTGTAGGCCGTATCTTAGGCGAGGGAGTCCGAGGAGGAGGGTTTAACACCGATGGTTCAGAGTAGTCCGTGATATCTCGTGGGACATCGCTCATAAGTTCCTCATCAGCTTGCGCATGTTGCGCTTGCCGTGCGCGCGACGATGTCTGATTGCTGTCCACGATAAACGGGGTCTTGGAAGCGAAGAGGCGAGGCAAGAAACCGATGTCTCCAATCCTCCTATCTCTCGAGGCGATAAAATCACGGTTTCGGCTGATGTCCATGATTTCGGAATCTTGCCCTCCTGGTGCCGAGGACTGCTCTTGAGTCGGGGTTTCAACGTTTACTGGGGCAGTCTCCGCAGTTCCCACCGCTTTACGGCGCTTCTTGTTTTTCTTGGGCTTTCTCGTAGGGGTTTTTGGCCACTCATCATTTGTAGCGGTACTTTCCAGTTCCCAGGTCGTTGGCGTGGTTATCGCGGTCTGGTTTGAATCGCCGCTAGGGCTAACTTGGGCTGGTGAATCTTGCGTTCCAGAAAGTAGCTCCAAATCGGATTTATTGCCTGCCATTTTCTTTTCCTGACCCTCCTGTAACTTCTCCGGGGTAGCTGGGAGAGATTCAGGCTTAGATTCCTTTAGCAGCGAAGTCTCTAGGTCGAAGCGTGGACTACTAGCCGGAGATTGTTGCCGTTCAGTACTGCTCTTTTCGGCTTGTAACTGGTCGTCTGTTATTGCACGTTTTTCGTCAACCACTGCCTCTTTCTGGCCCTCGCTATCTTGGATGTTTAGGGGATGCAAACCGTCATCTAAACCCTCTTGAGCGCTTAATTCGGGGGCACTGGGAGCTCGAGCCTCGTCCTCTTGGGAGGTTTCGACTGGGAACTCGATCAGGTGGTCGGCTGGTACCTGTGGGGTCTCAGTAACAGCGCCAGCAATGGTATCCGGAATTATGTATTTCGCCACGGTTTCCGCTTGAGGAGAGGCATTGAGGCCTCGCTCGATATCAGGAATGGGGCTTTTTTCTTGGTCCATAGGCTCAGCCAGATGCCCTCCAGCATTTTGGGAGACGTCCACGGCATGACCTTGGTCGAGGTGATCAGGGAACTCAGCTTCCACAGTTAGCGGCTGCATATTTTCTGGTTGGGGCTCTGCCGATATAACGCTCGTCAAAGTCGGGGTTTCAGCTTCTGAGATCAGACTGACTGGTCCGAGACCGGCTTTCACGTCTTGAGTGTTTGAGTCAATATTCTCTGGCTCAGTGAGAGGTTGGGGTACCTCCGGAGCCGATTCTGGTTCTAGTTTCGTGGATTGCTCCATACGAATCGATGTAAATTCATCGGCAGCAGGGTTGTCCTCGACTTTGAATGTATGCTCTGACTCTGGACCGGTACTCAAAACGGCGGCCGATTCATCCTGCGACCTCTCTTTGGGTTCCTCGCTAGAAGTGACTTCGGGTAAGATATCCCCGGGGACGTCTGCCCCCTCCGTGGGTATTGACTCCATACCCTTATGTTTACTTGTCTGCTCCACATCCCTTTCCACAATAGGCTCTTGAGGTGGTTCCGCTTGTTCACAGGATATTGAAGGAGCCATGGTTTCTAGTTCGATGGCGGGCTCAATGTGGCTCACTCGGTTTATTTGCTCAGACCCCTCGTCCGCTCTGATTTCAGTAGGAGCATCTTCTGCGTTCCCAGTGTCTTTCGAAGCAATAGAGTATTCTACACCAGGCATAACCTCAGGTGCACTCTCGGACAGTTGTGTGGGCCCATCAGGATAGGACTGCTCCGAGGGCTGCTCCGGCAAGGCCGTTTGAGAGTTAGATCCCTCAATGGGCAGAGTGCTCTTTGGCATGGACACGGACCCGCCCTGGCTGGCTCTTTTCTTTTTCTTCTTCTTCGACTTTTTGGGGGATACCAATTCAGGCTTGCCTAGGATAGCGGCGGGCAGCTCTGCTGGTTCGGTCGGCTCTTCCGGCTGTAAAGTTTCCTGAGCCTGCCTAGGCTCTTCAGCTTCCGAAGGTCTCAGCTGCATAGATGAGTCTAGCTTTGAAGACTCTTCACGCTGTACGGCATCGTCTGGTTGTACTTCGGAATGAGTTGGCCCCTCACTAGCATGTTCGGTCTCTTGCATCTCTTGCATCTCAGGTAAAGCCCCCGCACCAGGAGATATGGGACGAAGGGTGGCGGCCTCTTCCTGGGACGTCTGACCGATGGCCTCCTGCTGGGTAAGGGCGACGGCGGTAGTATCATCTGAGGCAGGGGGGGCGACGGTATATTCTGTGGGTAGCTGCCCGTCTTGCGGCCCTTGATCTTTTGCGTCACCAACTTCTGTATTGTCAACTGCCTTCACGTCATGGGTCGGTCCAGGCTTTTCCACGTCTTCGTCTTGGGGGCTTTGATGGAGTGTGGATGTGTCTGCCTCTACTTGCTCGGTGCCGACGACGGTGTTCGCGTGCTCCTGGGAGTTTGCCTCATCGATAGGGGCTTGTATGACGGAAGTAGATTCTGGGGCACCCTGTATCGGAGCGGAGCTCACATCATCTTGAGCGATCTGGCTGTTGCGCTTCTTCTTCTTCTTCTTGTTCTTCTTGGATTTCGGCACAGCCACGACTTCCGAGTGCCCCTCTTCAGGTTCAGGTGGTCCAATAGCGGATTCTTCTTCTAGGAGGCTGTGTTCAGTTGCATTAGTAGTCTGCCGAGCCTCTTCCTCACCGGTCAGACCTCCTATAACACTAGACTCTCTACCCTGGCTTGTCTCGGTGGCGGGCTCCACTATCGGCACGTCGTTCTCTTTCTTATCGGTCTGTGTGGTGGGCTCAACTTGCTCCCGCTCGTCATCTCTTGATGGGATAACTACTTCCACGGCATGGAATGGTTGCGGCTCGGACTCTTGCACTGCTGGGGTGGAAATATCTGGCGTGTCTGTCGGTATTTGGCTGACATCCGGCGTTGATGGCCCGGGCTGGTCGGATAGTTCTTCCGTAGGCGTAGCTCGGGGTCGTTGGGACTCGGTTTCTTGGATGGTAGCTAGATCTGAAGAGGCTTCAGTTGGCATATGGCTGACATCATGAACATGAGGTTGCGGTTGTTCGATAGGGGGTTCCTCTATCGGTACAGCAGGAGTGTCGGTTTCTTGTGCTTGGCTGGCCCTCTTCTTCTTTTTTTTCTTGTCTTTCTTACCCTTCCTGGCCAAGGGGCTTTGTGGGGCCTCTTCTTGCGACTGAGATGGTAATTGCACCGGTTCAGCAGGCATTGGGACGTCCGACGTGGTCTGGTCTGGTTCAGTTAGATCCCGCCCGGCGGTTGGAGGAGGTTCGACATGGTCTGATGGTGGGACCTCGATACTTGGCTCTTGTGTCGGTTCTTCTGCAGGCCTTTCTGTTCGCGCCGTAGGATCTAGGCTATCTTGTCCTCCACTCTCATGTTCCTTCCCATCTTCTTTGATTTTCTTCACTTCTATTAGAGCTTCTTCTTCTGCAGTCACAGGCGATAAATCATGGGTCGGGAAAGGAGGTTTGGCATGGAGATCGCTGGAAGTGGGTTGGTCTACGAGGTCTCGTTGCTTTGACCGGTCATCTTCGGCGTTGGCTTCTTTTGGAGGGGCTTCTTCACTTTTCGGGTCTGATGGAGCCAGTGATTCATCGCGTACAGTGGGGTGACCCACGTTGACCGTTTCGTTGCGCGCTTGATCATCTGTGCTTTGCCGTTCAATTAGCACCGCTTCGTCCGAAGATTGCTGTGTAGTATCAGGGTCATCCTTCGGCAGGGTCTCTGCCGGAAGTTGGCCTTCGGGTTTACCGACTGAGGCGTCTGCTGAAATCTCCGTTCCATTCTGAGAGACCGAATCTCGGCGTAAGGAGGAAGTGTCGGTATCTTGAGGGGCAGGTTTCGTATCTTCATCGACGGGGCCGTTACGTTGTTTCTTGGTCTCGACACTCTGGGTGGATGGGCCCGACGGGCCTGTCGGCTGTTGCTTCGATGAATCGGGGTCGCTCGGTGCATTGTTGGGATTGTCTTTCAACTCCAGCTGCGCATCTGATTGATGCGGAATCTCGTGAGATTCTTGGTCGGGACTTAAGATCGTGTTCAGCGAAGAAGATTCGCCGGTCGGCTCTGTCGGCATTTCCATTGGTGTCTGCTCGACCGGCTCTGCGAATTGGGCAGTCTCATGTCTCTTGGTGTCAGTCGAGGTAGAACCCGAACCAGATCCCTCCTTTTCGATTTGCGGGGGCTCTTTAGAAATGGCACCCGGCTCTGCCGAAAACTCTGGGGCAAAGATAGGAAATACCAGTGTCTCCTTTGTATCAGTCAACATTTGGTTCCCGGTCTTCTCCCCCTCCTCTGACTTATCAAGCGTTGGCTGGACAATGTCAGTTTCTTCTTGCGGCTGGTGCATCTGCGTGCCACCGCTGATCGTGCCCACGTCAATGGTGGGTTCAGGGCGGCGAGTCTCTTGGTCCATCGTGCTGTCTTTTGTAACGGAACCACCCACTGCCTCTTGAAGGGCCCCATCCAATGTAGGATCAACTTGGTGGGAATCCAGATTTTGGTCCCGAGTCGCGCCCCGGTCGCTAGAACTAGCCTCGACCTCGGTGCTTCCCTTGGTTAACTGGTCGCCAACTACTGGATCAGCCCCGGACGGAGTGAAACTTCTGAGGTCCTCAATTGGCTGCTTGCTGTCAACATCTGTCTCTATCACGGCTGAAGGCTCTTCCGCGAGCTCCGTTGCAGACTGAAGAGGTTGATCTTGGTCATCCGAGACCACAGAATCATTTACAATCTCTCGGCTTGCCTGACTCTCCTCGGGTATTTTGTTAGAGTTATCTACTTCAGTCAGAATATCGCTTGTTGGTTCAAGCTGCTCTGCGCTAGGTGGAGACTCGGCTAAGGGTTCTTCCAATTTCGACTGCTCTGGTTCCTTCTCTGTATCGGCAATTCTCGAAGGCTGAGCATTTTCTCCACCATCCTCGATGTCGGCGGACCCCGTTTCTTTGTCGACACTCGGTTCAATTAACTGCTGGTTGGTCGGTACAGACACTTCCGGGCTAGCATCCAGGCCTGTTGGTTGAGGAATAAGTTCCCGGGGGATTTCCGTCGCTATCGGATCGATAGGTGCAAGATCAGATTCGGCTAGTGCCGAGGTACTCTGTTGTTTCTCTTCCTCGCTCTTCTTGTCGGCAGATTCCTCTTGGTAAGTCAACTCCGGGGGGTTCTCGGCAACAGGCTTGCTAGGAAGATCCAGTCGACCCTCGCCGGCACCCACATCTAGAGCCATCGGTTCTTCGGCTGGCCCAGGTTTCTCGGCAGACCATTCCTGTAAGTTATAGGTTGAAATTGTACTGGATAGTGGAGTCTCGCGTGGGCCAATTGATCCATGGTCCGGTCCTGGCGTGCTTTCGCCGCCGGGTATGTTAGGCTGCAATATTGGTTCATCCACGACCGTTTGTTCCGGTCCTTTAGAGCCGTTCGCTTCCTGCTCGACAAGGTTCTGTGAACTAGCCTCTGTTAAAGTAGGTGCTACTTCCGAATGTTGTGATTCGACATGTAGATCTTCATGGACTGTTGAGGCTTCTGTCTCTTCAGGCTGCATTGTATCGCTGGGCAGCTGAATCTCTTCTCGAAGTGGTTCTGGTGCCAGATGTATCTGTTCCCCTTGTCCAGTACTAGGAGGGGTCACGGACTCGAAAAAATCATCGTTAACGGCCCTGGTTTCGCTTGTAGATGGGATTCCGGAGGATATCTCTTGGTGATCGCGGTTAGTTTCAGTGTTAGCCTGCGCGGGTTCTTCCGATGACACAGTCTTCATCAGTTGGTCTCCAGGGAGCGACTCAAGCTGGGGCCCGATTTCTGGAGGGGGAGCAATTGCTTCTCCGATGTCGATCTCTGCTTCTACCGAGAGTTGATTGTCAATTTGCACTGTCGTCTCAGCTTCCTGTACTGCCCGGCGGGGCTGGTCGCCGGAAAGAGGCGCACTCTCTTGCTCCTGGATAAAAGTCTGGGCGCTCCCAATATCAACCTTTGCTTCAGAATCCTCGCTCTGAATCCTCTCTGCTTCATTTTCTTCCTTCGATTTCTCTGAAGGCGAGTAAGCTTCTTCGGCTAGGCTCGACCGGACATGAGGCGGGTCTTGGGAAACAGCGGCTTCCAACTGATCTTGTACAAGGCTCGCCGGCTCCGAGAATTGCAAATCCGTATTCGTCAAGTTGTTATTGCATTCCGGTATCAAGTCTTCTCCCGATTTTTCTGGTTCACCTAGAGGCGTGGCAAGTCCCAGTTGTTGCCCGGACTTTTCCCCGTCCTTTTTCGGAGTACTACTGGGGCTTTCAATTGCTGGTGTGGGTTCTTCAGATTTCTCGCTTCCAACAACGACGGGATCCCTCTCCTCAACACCGGCTGGTTCTTGTGGAGTGGCCACTAGCGATGGCTCAACAGCATAGATCTCAAAATCGGTGATGAGTTCTGGCGCAACGGCTAGGAGTTCCTTTCCAGGGACGGCCACTTCTTTCTCAATAGGCGCTAGCTCTGGTTCAGCCATCACCGTTTCTGGCATGGCGACATCCGGGGCAATTTCGACGGCTGGGATAATTTCAGCAACAGATGTCCGTCCCTCAACAGTAGCGACCTCGGGTTCGGCGATAGAGACCTCCTGAGCCGCCGGTTCGGTTGATGCTAAGCCGCCTTCCACAGTCGATGTCTCTAACTCGACGACAGTGGGCTCACATGTTGTCAACGGAGAATCGAATAGAGCCCTTTGAAACTCTGCCTCGGCGCTGGGTGGTTCTGCGATCACCTCGAGAGCCTCCGGTTCAGCGCTGGACGGTTGTACGGCCACCTCGAGAGCCTCTGGTTCGCTAGGGGCCTTCTCTGTATTAGTAAATTCTGGGTCAACAGCTGGCGCTGGGGCAGCCATCGAAACATCCAATTGAGAAATGGGGCCTTGTTCGATGGAGATATCCCGCTTAATGGAGACGGTCTTTTCTATGTCGGTAGAATCCTGGTTGTCAATAGCAACTTGCTGGGAAACAGTGTCATTTGAGGTGGCCACATCTTGAACCAACGGTACACCAATGTTTGTTGGGGCTTCCGGTAGTCTTCCAGTCTCGTTTAACCTATCCTCTAACACTACACCAGTGCCCTGCGTTGTTTCTGGGAAAGGATGGCTCAAATCATCGGGCTCGTTGTTCTGGGTGATTTCCTCCGTTGTATTCAGAGCATCGACCAGCTCAGCCGTTTCATTTTCGGGAACGGCACCAGAAGCAAGCAGACCTTCAGTTTCAGGCCGCAAGACATCACGGTCTGCAGGCCCTATCGAGACTGAGGGGATCTGTGTATTGCCGTGAAATTTCTCGACTGTATGAGCCAAGTCTGTAATATGTTGGGCTGGTGCAAGATTCGGCGGGCGCTGAAGGACGGCATCGCCGGACGCTTCAGCCGCTGGGACACCCAAGCTTCGATCTAGGTTTGGGGTTATCAACGCCGGCCCGATAAGCTCGTAGTTCTGTGGTGACCATCCCACGTTCTCAGCCGACTTTTGAGTCGGCAGTTCTGAGCGCGCTGCTTCCTGCTCTGTCAAACTAGCTGGGCCATCATCCAGGGGCAAGCCGCCGTTTTCGGGGGGAGGCGAGAAGTAAGATGCGTTGCCTGTTTCGACGCTCCTCTCGCGTGAAAATTCATATGGTGGTTGGAGTGGGTTGTCGTTAGAGGGCCTAAAGCCCACCTCTACCATACGCGCGTCTCCCAACGCTCCCATAGGTTCCATCATTGTAAATGGCATCAATGAAGCGGAAAGCTCGCTGCGGGTTTCTCGGTCTTGGTCGGGCGACGCCGGAGATCTATAGCTTAATTCTGGGTCACTTGCGCGAGCCCCAGGTCTATGAGGCGACGCGCTCCCGAATTTATCACTAGACGGGGATCCTTTATCAGAAAAGCTCAAATTGTCGGTCACGTCTCGAGTGGCTTTCTGGAGCAGTAGCAAGGGTTTAAATTCCCGTGAACTTTCCCAAGAGGTCGGACGAGGGCGCGTTCTAGATCCGCTTCCGAATTCTGGATGGATATCGATCGGAGATGCCACTGGAGAATATCTCCCACTGCTCGCGGAGCTTGGCGTAGCTCTATGTCCTAGGCGGAACTGGATGGGTATCGCACTCTGGCTAGGCGTCTTTGGCCTCAGGGGACTGTCGAGGGTGCTGCGGCGGCGAGTATGCGTAGGTTTTTCACGCACAATGCGGTCGTACTCTGGTGTTTCGGGGCGGCTATCCGGCAAAGGCGGGAAGTCACCACCAATTTCGGGAACAGGAGACCCAGGGCGGCTCGGAGGTAGGGGAAGTAGGTCGCCATATCTAGGATCTATGGCCGGTCGGATTTCTCGGGGGACAATCTCAGGGTCGACAAGCTCCACTTCCTGGGGCAGTATAGGCCGCCTTTCCGGGGTAATGGGAGTAGTTTGGACGTCCCCTTTCCGGGGAACATTGATGGCGCTTGAGTGGGACTCGCGAGAAATATGCTCAGCATCACTGCCCGCTGAGCCGACACCCGCGCCAAGAGTGTCGGCATTATCTAAAAAAGAATTCTTGTCCTCTTCAGGCTTGCGTGTGCGATCTTTCTCCTCCCCTTGCTTCACGATCGATAACCTAAAGCGGTCGAAAATACTTGTCTTGTCCTTTTCCGACTTGGCATTCTTGCGATCCTTGCCATCGACATTACTAGGGGTAGATTTAATGTCGTCCAAGGTGTAACTCCTCGTCCGGCTTCCACTGCGTCTGGGGTCCTCATTACGGTTCGCATCAAGCTTTTCGGAGACGGCATTCCGATCTAGTGGTTCTGTTTCATCTCTTACAAGATCTGGCGGCTCCTTTTCATCAGCGACACCTTCATCTTCCGGGAAACCTCCAAGGGTGGCTCTTCGCTTCAGTTTCTTGCTCTTTCCAAGAGAGTTAATGGTGCCGTTATGCGAGATAGCCGTCGGCTTGGTCGGTGAATCGGCATAGGACACATGTTTCTTTGGATTTGATATAGAAGCTTCGGGGGGAGCTGTAGACTGGGGAGCTGGCTGCGAGGGGGATCCTTCGAAGACAACCGAATCCGGTTTAGCTTTTCTCTCTAACGAATCCAGTGTGCTGGGCTCTTCTTCCATGGTAGTCGTCTTTTCGCCGCGCAAGTCGTGGAGTGGCCCAACCATCTCTCTGCGACTCTGAACAAGATCACCTGCGGGGTGCTCTACGCGCGAAGGGGAGTCACGAGTGAGAGAATCTCCATGGACATCTTTCAATCCTCTTAGGGAACCCCGGTCGTCAATGCTATCTGCGAAAGTAGACGAGACATCGTCGGTAGCGCGCCTCCCCTGTGCCTCAAAAACTTCAGAAATGGTGGTGAGATAGGAAGAGGAATCAGCAGCAACAGAGCTGCTTTTACTTTTACTCTCCCATTCGTCGCCGGCCCAAGAAGTGGAACCAGGATCGGTAAGTTTCCTATCCTTTGAAGAGGACCTAGAAGCTGATGTAGGTCGTGATGGTATATCATGTCTGTTATCGTGCTCGGACCCCTGTTCACTCGAATTCGGCGCAGGTTCTTCTTCCTCGATCACGGGGAGCACGTCGGCGCCAACGACGTTATAAGAGCTTTCCATCGACAGCTCGGACACTGGAGCTGATCGAGTACGTGGCCCGTACGCTTCAGGATCCTGACTAGAAGCCTGTGTTCTCCTCCTGGGAAATTCCCATTCGAAGTCGAGCTCCGAAATCGGCCCTAGTGTTATGTATTTCTCAGGCTGCTCCCCTGAGGTTTCGGGGGCAGATGCTAATATAGGTGGTGGACTGTATGAATCAGACTCGCCGGCAGGTATACCCCGACCCTTGTTCAATACATCTTGTCTGTCCTCTAACGGCGCAGACTCGGCATCCTCAACGTCCTGAGACGCGTGGATTGGAACGATGGCTCGCGGGTCCTCAACAATCTCGGGTTGCCACTGGTTTTCTTGGACAACAACGACCTTCTTCGATTTCTTCGACTCTTTCTTGTGAAGGGAGGCACCTTCCCCCTCATCCGTGGTGATGGTCTCAGCTGATTCCACCCCTCGTATTCTTCGGGGTACACCGTCGGAGATGATATCGTCTTCAGAGGCTCGAGTGTTCGCGGCCTTTTCAGGTCCCCAGCTTTTCTCCCTGGTAAGCATAGACAGAATCGGCGATTTACCGCTCGGAATATCCTCTTCGGCTGGCAGCTCTGGTGCCTGCGAAACCTCGTCAATGGCAGAACCGTGGGTCTGGCTATTATATGCGGGTACGGTGCCCGAGGTTCCAACCACCCCCAGATCAACCATTGATTCAGCAAATGGTGATCGGTATCTGCCCGAGACAGTCGGTCTGGGAGAGGAATCTCTAACCGAGACAGTCGGTTTATGTGGAGAATCCCGTCTGTGAAAGTTGGCATCATCGATAACGATATCAGGGTTAAAACCAGTGTCCTTCAGCGCAGCGGCGATGGTCGCAGTGAAACCTGGATCTTCGGCGAATGCCCCTGTCGTCTGAGTGTTTCTCGGACTGGGCGGTTTGGGACCCGGAACGGGCGGGTTTTCATATGTGTTTTCCTCGAATTCCGCCGAAGTCCTACGAGAAGATGATTTCTCTTCGTCCACCGGGGGATGCTCAGTTCGTACGACTTTGGTATCTGTTGTTGATTTCGAGACAGCCGGAGCCGCGGCCCCGCTCCGAGAAGTGGCGCCCAGAGCCGCTGCAAGGAATCCCCAACCAATTTTCCTGCCGGAGCGCGATCTTGGCGTTGTAGCAGGCGTTATTACCTTCGGCCCTGAATCTGGATTATCTCCTCTTTCTGGGCTCTCTACCACGTAGTGTTTCGTCTGATTCTTGCCCCAGGTGACAGCCTTGTGCATCGACGGCACTGGAGACGCCTCCATCTGGGATTCAGGGTCTACGTCAGGAGCGGCCTTGGAAATATCGATGTCGGCTTCCTCGCGTTCAGGGGGGGGCTCATTTGCAGATTGTTGCTTTCTTGGTGTCGGTGTGGGCGTGGGCGTAGGCCGTACGATATTGAGCATTGGCCTCTCGCGCTCAGCAGACGGATCCCTTGCCTGGAAAATAGGGGTCTCGGAAAGGTCTCGGTAATCTGACACCCGAAAGCGAGAAAGCTCATTGGGATGTTCCAGGATATTGTCGACACGAACATCGGCGTTTGGTGCATCATACAAACTTGTCATCTTCGGATAATGTGTTTCCGGACGAGGTGCGACATCGACAATGGTCGGTTCCTCTTTCCATTTATCGACGACAGACGCTTCGGCGCTTTCCCGAGCACGTCTCTCTTCCTCTTCCTTAGCCTTTCGAGCAAGTTCTGCTTCTCGGTAATAACGGTTAGCATCTGCTAGGACGGCGTCTTCTCCACGTGTTGGCGACTCGCTTCGGCGCGATCTATTTCTAGAAGTAGAGTCTGTCCCCCGATTATGACTACGGCCACGGTCCTCAGCTACTATCACTGGAGCGGCAGAAGCAAGCGGAGCTGCGTTAAGAGGAGCGGTCGCATGGTTGGTTTCCTCGTGCACACGGCGTGCATCGCGAAGTTCCCGCTCGTAGGAATCTCTCCGACTCTCTCTTTCCAGGAAAGGTGGCCGATCGTCTTCCGGCTTAAAAGGAGAAAAGTTAGGTTCTCGGTCTATGGTAATCACATTCGGAGTCAAGGGTCGTCTCGGCGTCGCATGAACGGGCGGCTGGAAGGCATCGTCGGTCACTTGAAATTGAAATGGGTCGATGGGTCTCTCCCGAGGCGGTTTTTCTCGGCCTTCCACACGTTTATGCCCCCCCGCATCGACGGGCTGGGCGCTGTCTTCTTTGTGCTGTTCGTCTCTCCGAATTTCTCTCCGGTTAGCCTTCTGCTCGTCTTTCCGCCCATATTTGCGTCCATCGCGTTCTTGAAAGTAGTCATGGCCATCGCGAGATTCTCCAGGACGCTTATCCTCATACACAGGACCGGATACTATGGTTTCGCGATGACGTATTTCCCTCTCGGAAGCCCGACCTTTCTTGGCGGGATCTTCCGGGTGCCTCCAATCATCAAGACTCTTGTGCTTCTCGTCGCTTGCATCACGAGCATCGACGTCCAGTCGGTTCGTCCGGGGTTTATCGTCGCGATCTCGCGGGCTCTCGCGGGAATCTTGGCCATCCTTGCGATCAGAGCTTAACGCTAACCCTATTGCGGCGGCAGCGATGCCGGTAACAGCAGTGTCTTTAAGCACTTGTCTAGACGGGGCACGCTCCGAGGGTCTAGGTTCTGCTTCTACCGGATCAAGTATCTTTCTGGGAATTGGCGTAATCGGTCTCGGTTCCTGCAGGGGTACTGGCGCAGGTCGCCGAACGGCGTCGGTCGGTCGGTCCTGTTGAAACGACGCGACGGAACCGCGGGCGGCATCGAACCGGCCCGGGTCCGAGGTTGGCACCGGATAGACTTGTTGTAACGGGCGACTCTCCGATAACGTAATCTCGCTTGGTGCAGTCGATGGTTCGTACGGTTGACTCGGCGCGGCAATCAGAGAACGATCGACGGGTTCGAACCCACAGGGAGCGTCAACATAACCTCGGAGCGAATTGACGGGACCAAAAAGATTCGGGTCCACGAAGGAGCGTTTCCGGTGGAGAGGAGTCTGAGATTCCGACGTGCCGGGGGATTGGATGCGAGGACGTTGGAGGCGCGTGGGCTTCTCGGCAGCACTCGGCAGGCTAGCACCAGAGCCATAGGCGAGTCCAGAGTCGAATTCCTCACTTGACGAATCGTCGTCAGAGGCCGACTCCCACTCGGAATCCTCTGGCGAAGAATCGCGCCGGGGTTTGGAGCTCCCAACGCCCCTAGATTTCCCGCTATTCGTTCGGTGGAACTGGCTCAAGGCCGTAGCCGCGCCAACCAAGGCCGACGGCCGGGACCTCCCAGCAGCCCGCAGATCTTCGGTGTTCTGCTTCCTAGCGAGCTCGGCGAACTTCCTCCCCAGCTCGACAATCTCGGCGTCTGTCTGCAACGGCGGCGGGGATGCGGCCATCCCAAAGCCATCTCCATCCCTCGACGCCAGCTCGCGACTTCTGCGGCGGTCGACATATCCCCTGCCATATGCGAGATCCGAGTTCACGGAGGACGACGAAGAATTCCCATAGCGGGACAAGCGGTTGCTGCGCTTCTTTTTTACGCGATGGTGATGCTTGCGGCCACTGCCAGAAAAGAATGCGCCGAAGCTGAATTTAGAGGGTCGAGAGACGTTTACCAAGGAAGAAGAGGTGGAAGAAGAAGCGGAGAGAGAAGAAGAGGACGCGCGCGATCGGGAAAAGGCGGGTTCGGGTGATGCTTGGTCGCGCACGGAGGGTATTGGGGTTTGCTGGTCTTGAAGTTGCTCTCCAGAGGTGCGCCGCTCATTGCGCCGGCGGCGAGCAGCCTCGAGGCTCCGCCGGCGATGATGCTGCGCGGTCATCATCTTGAAGGATCAGACATATTCTACCTATGTGATTGGGTCCATGAAAAATGCACTCTCTACCAGGACACCAGAGAGATAGAGAGGACGAGGGTACGCCAACCCCCCAAAAGATCGCGTCTAGCACAAGCGACAATGACGGGTGCAGTCGTGTATATCGGAGATGGGATTCGAGGATAGAGATGTTTTGGTTTGAATCTCGACAACGGGTGGGTCCTTGATTTTAATCAAAACAACAACCCGGCAGGGCGGGAGGGTAGGTTAGGTAGGCAGGTCAAATAATCGCGGCGGGAAAATAGTAGCAGGTAGGGAAGTAGGAGGCAGCCAGGCAGGTAGAGAGCTAACAAGGCGATATGTAGGAATAACGGTGCGGTGGTAGCGAGGGAGGGAGTGGCAGTAGTTGGATAGGTCAGGTAGGTGAGGTGGTGTAGAGGTAGAGGTTAGCGAGATCTACTACACGGCGTAGTAATAAACAACCAGGCTGGTGGTCTGCCACGCTGCCACGCTGCTACGCTGCTCTCCCCCACACACAAGTAGCTACGTTGGACTGGGCTCTGTCCTCTGCTGTTCTTGTTTTTCTTACAGGCCAAACGCTGCACGAGTCGGACGAGGAGGGCGTAGGGAATAGCGGGTGGCAGGTAGCTCAGCGGGGAGGGTAAACAGTTAGGTAGGACAGACAAGGGCCAAGAGGGCCAGGAGGGCCGGGTGGCTGTGTGCGATGAGCGCGATAGGTGCAGAGGTTGGTGAGGTGCGCGGGTTATGGATGTAGGTAGGTATATTAGGAGGGTTGGCAGGCTGCTGCTTGCCGCCTCCTCCACTGTCCAGTCGCCAGCAAAACAGAGAGAGGAGCCGGAGGGCCGAGAGAGCAGGGGAGCGAAGGGGGGGGGAAAAACAATGGCGAGCAAGCTACCAGCAAGCCGACGACATCTCAGCTGAACTCGTTCCCGCCCACACGCTCAGACCAAGCGGGGGATTTGGCGAGAGGGCCATCATCACGTGGGCCCCGCGCGACACCGCGGGCGAAGATCCACGCCTGTGCTGGTTGGTCCGCCCTCTACTTGCCGTCGACTCGATCTCGCGATTCACCTGCGGAGGGCGAAGACATATTGCCTGCCACGTCAATGCGCCGTGTCTCTCGCCCACCCTCTTTCTTACCGTGCCCTTCCTTTCCCACGCAACACGACCGTATAGGCATACCAGGGGGGTACCAGGGGGGGGTGGTAGACGGCCCAGTATAGGCAGCTCATTGGCCGGAGAGCTACATATAGGTAGTGCTCGCAACCGGCCGCCAACTCTGGATTTATGTCCCGTCATTAGGCACATCTACCTAGGCAGGTTAGCCAGGCCGCCCGTTGTCTACCCACAAGCTCATCCATCTTCCCACATCAGTTACTCTGGCCTCCTCCTCATGCATGCTTACCTACATCCGTCCATACATACATGCACACATACGTACATGAATACATGCCTACATGGGCGCATGCGCACACCATGACGAGCCGTCGACATCGACATTCGTCTCCCCGTGGGCAAGTGCCTGCAACCAATTGCGGAGGTTACGTGACGCGGCGGCACTCGGGTAGAAATATCTCGATGGGCGAGGACAAGCACCATGAGGGCCGATGGAAGCCATAGGTACCTACCTAGGCACAATGCACATGCCTCGCCAGCTCCGTCACTGTTGACGTCGAGAACAATCTCCCAGAGCACCAAGGCGATGCGATGCACTCCCACGTCTGTACCTCTCGAACGGCCCGGGATCGGTGAGATCCAGTGCTGCTTCGTGAACCATCGGCGTGAGGCTACTCGTAAGGCGGCACCCAGATGCGCACCCTCTTTCTAGGGCACAGCGAGGACAACGGCGACGGCGGCGGCGTCAGTGGTGGCGCACGTTCTTGCCAGCAGACTCGCTGACAGTCCAGCAAGTGGCGAACGAAACTAAATCACGTAGGTAGTCGCCGCAGTCGTAGCACATAACCCTATGCGCGTGCGAGTCATCACTAGGTGCGCCTCCCAGTATAATAGGCCCTCATCGAGATACGAGGTTCTGTCCGAACACTGTTTCGCCGGCACTCTTCTCACTCAGCAATCCGGGCAGGTACTCATAGACGTGGTTCTGGCGACTGCAATTCGGCCTAGCCTGTAGGTATCTATCTGACAGTGCTGAGACCTTAACCCGCTTATTTTTAGTCACCGCTATTTTCAAGGTGAAACCAGATTTGCCGTCCTAGACATATGTGTGGAAGTCGACCCGAGACAGAGGCAGATTCTCAGCTGCCCACGCAATCGGGGGCGGTCGATGACCTGTCAAACGGGACTTCGAGGGAGTGACGTCTAGGTAAATGCACGTCGTCTTAGTTGTCAGGCCGTCAAAAAAAAAATTTCGACCGTGCCTATCTATATAGGTGCAAATTCGCCCGTGCCCAATTCTCGTCAGCATACCACGGACTTACACGAAGGGACAGCAGCTCGACGTGACTACGTGAAAATACGTGGCTCTATTTCAGCGAACTAGCAGTCCGTACGGGGGGGCTTGCGACGGGAAATTCTCCCATTCGGCAGTCCACGATGAACTGTCGACAAGGCGAAGTGCACACACATTTAAAGACGGCGTAGCAGCCGGGCGATCAATCCGACTTGACAGCTAAGAAGAGGACACGGCGGGTAAGCGGATAGGTTAGAGCGGTTCGGTCACCCCGGATCGGTAGGCACCCACGCGTAGGTATACAATAGGGCTGCCCCATCGTAGGTATAAAATAGCCTTACAGCGATAACGGTGGGTTGTGGTCTGGACGCAAAGACCTAAGCGGACGAATACTTACCATCCATACATAGGCAATGGTGATGCCTGACAGAGACAGCCAAGTGGTTAAAGCACGCGCCGCAAGAGGCGTAAATGTCCTATGTCGGGTCTGCTACACTCACTTATTCTCCATGAGTAGTAATTCCGGATGTTAGGTGGTCTTTGCGCGATGCCTTATTATACCTTAGGTACTGACCTAGGTTGAACCTTACATGGCGGCTAGCCCGACATACTATATGTGTAAGTTCCGGGCGCTACCTTAATCCTATCCGACTCACGTGCAGACAAGGTGCGTCGAGCCGGAAACGACTACATTCACCAGGGCGTAGCAAGTCGCCAATTAGAGGGGGGGGGGGGGGACATCAGCTGGTCTCTTCTGGATACCTCTCAAGACGGTACCTATATCTCAGTCCGTGGATAATACAGATGAGGTAGGCATGTATTCCCTAGCCATCTGCTCCAGGTCAGAGACGACAGCTAGCGACGTAAGCTTGGACGAAGCGCCGGGCGCAAAAGGTGCACGATCGAATGTCGGGAGCCGAGTTTAAAATTGCATTGCATCCAAAGCACGTCATCTTGTATCACGATGCGTTTCCCGGCGTAGCCATCGTTCGGAAACCCTCCTCTTCTTCTTTGCCCAGCTTTATCTGAGGAGCCTACGCCAGAAAGGATAGAGGCCGCCCCGAGCCAATCTGTCAATCTCGTAATGGGAAGATAAGCGATCCCCTCCCTGCTCCGGACGGTTACAAAAGAGAGAGAGAGCCAAGAGAAAATGCAGGGAGCTCGTGGGATGGCTGGCTTCGTTGCAAAGCCGGACCTCGCGCGAGTTCTAGCCTCCGGGCTATTATTTCTTGGGCACATGTAACGAGTCAGATCGGACCTATCATCGTTTCCCTATCCAATCAAGTACCTACGTGCTATCCACAAAGCGCACGGTGCCATGTCCCCCCGTCAGCCAATCCAGTATTCGTTCGGTCTGTTGAAGCTTCTCGTCGCTATATTTCCGTGTCTACCTAGTGTCCTATTCTGGAGGGTTAGGCATGTCCATCTCTCTCTCCCGTCTCCTCACCCTAGCGTCGGATCGGGGCGGTAGACTCCCAGCTGCCTGCAGGTAGGTAGAGGTGGGTAGGTACCTGTAGTATGCTGTTGAATGTATCACCCCCGACACGGGACCTTTAGGGACACGCAGGTGTATCTATAGTAGAGTATACGGGTTGGGAGGTGTCTGTTATTATGAGGTGGAAACGGCATGTACTTTTACCACCTACCGAGAGGTAGAAAACGAGGCCATTGGCTGCGTACCCGCCTGGAGCGCCAACATGTCTAGGCGTACCGTATCTTCATAGCCTAACCCTACCTCCGTGCGATGGATACGTGCATATCTACGTGCATATCTACCTCAGCTACCCATATCCTAGGCTAGGCAGGTACCGAAGGTTGGATGCCGGCCTACCTCCTGGGAAAAGCACCCAGAGAGTATCGCCCAGATGTTAGGTAGGTATAGAGATCCGCGATTCTTACATGTCAGAGACCGGGGGTTGAAAGGAAAGGAGTGCTGCAGCCCGTGGGGGCCCACCGGTTTCCACTCTATAAATTTCACCTCCCTCCTGGCCACCGTAGCTACTACGGAGCCGAAGACGGGTTGCCAGGTAGTCCAGACAAACAGGTAGCAACAGGAGGCACCTCAGATATTACATCCCAACCCAACCCAGGGGCCGATACAGGTATGCAGGATTGTAGATTTTGGAGGTAGAAAGAAGGCCGGACGGACGGGGGTTCAAAGGGAGCTGAGATGTTGTTTCGACCTACCTGCTTCGGAAATCACAGACATCTGCAATGATTGCGATGTACTCTGTCACGTAATATGCCCCAGCGTGTACTTGGTCTGAACGAGATTGCCATACGCGGTTAGGCGCTATATACCTACCTAACACTTATCATCCCAATCCCTGCGCATACGAGAGAGGCTAGAATGGAACGATAATATCGAATAAGTTGCTGCTTGTCTTCTCGAGTTCGCCAAATTTGCCAGTGCTGTTCTCATCAGGTTGTCTAGTCTCTCGCTCCCTCGCTCGTTTTTTTTTCCTGTTTGGTGTCTGCTCCAACAAGAAGAAACCCTCCCCAGCCGCAATCCAGACAAAGGCCATTTGTCCGGTCGTCCCCCCCATCTTCCTCGTCTGGAACATCCAGCCCTGGGCAGGTAGGTACTACATCCGGTTCGTGTGTGTGTGTGTGGCTTCAGCCACCTTGGCCTTCTGCATAGGCAACCAATCTGTCCTGTCTCTTCGTCCGTCGATAGGCTCCGGGCTTCGAGACTCCGGCGAGTCGTGCGGCCGGCCCAACAGAGGCTCCTAATCGCGACAACGAGGACTCGCACAAACCAGCATCGACGATAAATCTGGCGGCCGCCCGCCCCGATAACGAAGTCGCCACCTCGTCCTTCAGCGACCGACCTGCGTTCGCGCACCATCGGAGACGGTCCTCTGCGTCCAACAACTCAGCCTCAGCAGGCGGTCCTCGCGTTTCCCCTCTGCGTCTGGGCCATCAGGCCCAGTACCTGCAGCCCCCTCTGAGTCCGATACCAGGTCTGCTCGCTGCCCTACCGCCTTCCACCTCCCCCCCTCCTCGTCCGGCCGCTTGGATCTGAGTGCTGATACGGTTCGCGCCGCACAGGTACACCCAATCCCCAAATGTCCCTAAGCAGAAGTCCCTCCCCTGTCCCCGGAGGAGGCTGGTCTTCTCCGGGCCTCAACATCAACACTAGTGGCCGATCGAGCCCGTCCAAATCCTCCTTCGCGGGTCCGAATGGCGGTTCTGTAACCTGGGAGTCGGCGAGGCTCAAGAGTCAGGGAATTTCCGGCTACCCATCGTTCTCGACACAGAATCATGGTTTCTTCACCCGGCACATGCGCCGCATATCGAGCAGCCTGCCGTCGTTTAACACGGCCGCGGACGACAGATACGCCGAGAAGGAGAAACCCGGGCGACGCAGATGGAATATCCCGCTCCTCGGGAAGGCCAGGGCCGTGGTTGCGCGGATGGGGAGGAAGTGGAAGATCCGAGCGCTCATAGGCATCCTGCTGCTCGCCTGCTACTTGTTGTTCTACATCACACGTAGGTCCCGGCGCCCAATTACCTGTCCTAGGCTACTAATCATTCCTCAGCGCTCTGGTACTACTGGAGGAGAACGAGCTGGTTAGGGGGCGGAGAAAAGTTCCTCATCATACTCGCGGCAAATGTCGGCGGTGGTGTGATGGAGTGGAAGGGCGCGCGCGAGTGGGCTATCGAACGGGACAGCGTCAGGAATAAGCGCAAATACGTGGCGAGATGGGGCTACGACCTCGAAATTGTCGACATGAGTACGAAGAAGCGCTACGCGCACGAGTGGCGAGAGAGCTGGGAGAAGGTCGACAGCATCAGAAACAGTTTCAGGAAATACCCAAAGGTGGAATGGTAAGTTGGCACGCGTGTGCTATTAGCGCCCTGTCATGCTAACGTTAATGCCGCAGGATCTGGTGGTTAGACCTCAACACATTTGTCATGGAGCCCTCGTACTCGCTCCAGCGGCACATATTCGACAACTTGGAAAAGCGCATCTACCGCGACATCAACGAGTACAATCCGCTCAACATCACCCACCCCCCGCAGGCCAACTACCTCGATCCGGAATCGTCGAGCGCGGTGGGGGACGGAAATATCGATTCGGTGAATCTCATACTCTCTCAGGACTGTTCGGGGTTCAATCTCGGCTCCTTTTTCATCCGGCGGAGCGAGTGGACTGACCGTCTCCTCGACATATGGTGGGACCCGGTGCTATACGAGCAGAAGCACATGGAGTGGGCGCACAAGGAACAGGACGCACTCGAGCAGCTGTACCAGAACCAGCCGTGGATCCGAAGCCACACGGCCTTCCTCCCGCAGCGGCTCATCAACAGCTTCCCGGATAAGGCATGTGCCGACAACGGGAACGACACCCGCATCCACTACAACCAGGACGACCGAGATTTCCTCGTAAACATGGCCGGCTGCGAGTGGGGCCGCGACTGCTGGGGGGAGATGTACAACTTTCGCGAGCTCAGCTATTATCTGAACCGAAACCCGTGGGAACGATTCAAGGAGGACCTAGTTGCCGTCATCTGGTTCAAGTTGACCGGCCAGAAAGTCAAGTGTACGTATATGTGCCCCCTCATGCCCTCTCATGCCCTCCCCACCCCCCTCCCCCCTTTTTTTAACCCCCGTCTTCTCTTTCCGACTCCCCCCCTGGAAAGACACCTCAAGCGTATACATACGGAGCTAGGAGCTAGGATGGTCTCCGGGACCTCTCGCTCACACCCGAGATCTCCCGTCCGAGATGACAGCCTGGCACGTACTGACTATATCACAGTATAGGACGGCTATCCCGTGGCTAACTTGGATCTCGAAGCTGGATCCGGGTGAGGTGCCCAGTTCGAACCGTCCAGCCTGCGAGGTTCCCTCGCTGTTCTAACCCTAATTTCGTCGTGCCCAAGTCACGGCGTCCCAGCAACTTGTCCCCGCCTCTAGATGGGGCACACAACGGGGGCCGTTTGCTGCCCAGTATATACCCATTTTTACATACCAGTCGAAAGCAAACTACTCGAATATTGTAGGCTTAATTTGTCGGCAATCGTGCCTATCAACAGCCGCCGGCTCTCCGCCGTTAACCTAGACCAAGACCACTCGGAAAGAGAGGAGGGAAAAAGGAAGAGAGAAAGGGGAGAGATGACCGAACCGGCTTATTTTTGAGATGATGAGAGGACGAGGAGTATGGAAGGAAGTGACGGCTCATGTGTATCTGTATTGTTATGTAAAGTACGTCAATTTTGTCAACGCCGTACCAAAAGATGCCACGACGCTCGGGGGCTCAACTTCACAATAGGGTAGCCAAATACCATTTCGCGCTTCGAAATGTCTTGCCAAGATCACTTTGGTTCTAGGGCACGCGAGCAGCAAGCCCGTTCGATTTGCATCCGCCCGTGACAGAGCATCAACACATACACATCTACATACATACACATTGTTGGCTCATCTCGGTACGGAACCCCAGTCACTACGCCTCGATACCCGCCCGCGTACCCAGATGAGAGAGCTGGGGGGCGGGTGATTTGGGACAAGTTGCCCTAGACACAATACATACACAGAAAAAAGGGGGAGAAGGGGGCTCACCCTGAGGGACGGCCCATTGCATTGTCTTCCTGGACAAAGCCAGGGGCATGGATATATATATATATATCCATGCATACATACACATTATGGCTACCTCTATCAGGCGATGGGCCAGCTAAACGACAAAGCTTGGCCTGGTTAATGCTTTGTTTGTCGAGGAAACTACCTCCCGAAGATCGAATCCAGCCGCTCGTGCCTTCCAAACTTCCGGCATGCGTCTACGTACTCGTACTCGTCCTGACGCCGGCCTTGGCCTGGCAGGCCGCGGCTCGGTCCGGGAACAGCATCGCCCGGCCCTCGCCATCTCTCTTCCTTTCCCTCGACGGTCTGAGGCCCGATTCTCTCTCTGCATGCTTCGCAGTCAGGCGCTTATCTACGACGTCCTACTTACCTAGCAGCCCGCCTGCCGACCGGCCCAGTCCGGGCCCGAGGAGCGTCAAGATGGTGCGCTGGGGCCGAGGTCTGATGCAGTTGGACCGCGACTACGCGGTCGCCCAGGAGCTGCCCGGGATGCTCGGCTGCGACCTCCACCCCGACGCGGCCAACGTCGAAGGCACGGCCCGGCAGCTGAACGACGGCCGCCTGTCTCTGTGCTTCGACAGGGTCCTCAACGAAGCCTTCCGGTCGCGCGCCGGCCACGGGCGGGGGCGCGTCATTATAATCCTTGGAATCCTCGCCATGGTGGCCGGGGCCAGGATCGGGGAGCGCCACTTGATGGCGCTTCGGGTGCTGCGGCCCTGGCTGCCCACCGTGGAGCAGCAGTTGCAGGTAGTCGCCGCCCTCGACGGATACAAGAACGACGGGACGCGCTGGAGGTTGGGGAGCAAGAATTACGATTGGACGTGGGCCTCGGCCTTGCTGGGGGAGATGGACTTCGACCTCGGCGACGAGGTCTGGTTCAGCGGCTTGGGGTGGGTTGGGAGAGAAGCATCTCACGAGTTGTGGCCCCCGTCCGGCCCCGAGCGGCTCCGGTAGCTGACGATGATCTATCCCGAGGGGCAGACACTCGGAGGACGAGGATCCCACGGCGGAGACCACCAGCCACGTCTGCTTCAGCTGCGGAGAGAAGGCGCCTTTCCTTCGACGCTGCGGACGCTGCAAAATGGCTCGTTACTGCAGCTGGACCTGCCAGCGGGGGGGTTAATTCCTAACAATACCTCGCAGCCTGTTCCTAGTGCCGACAATCGCCAGTGTTATGAGCCTTTCCCTCTCCTGTAGTAGGTATACCTACATATTACCAGGATGCGGCTTACACGGCGTCACATTCTAATGGGCATCGCAGAGGCAAGAAAAGGATGCCCACCTCCTTCGAACTGCCAACACAGACAACTAGCCCGTCCGACATGATCATGCTTCTATTCCGAGAATGTCTTCATCAGGCATATAAGCTGCGATTGCTGTGTTTCTTTCAGATTATGGCCCGTCAGGTTCTCTGACCCAGCTTGCGAAACGGAACACTGCTCAAAATAGACGGGTTCTATCAGCTGGGGTGTCTCTGGGAGTAGTGGGTGGATCCGCATATATTAGATAGTCAGAGAGAGCAGCGTTGGGACGCGACGAATATGAATTCAAGACAATCGAACCCGCGGACAATGTCCCGAGCAGTTGCGGAGCCTTTGTTGGGTCGCGGGCAGCAGCCTCGAAATAGAAGCGGGAAGGATTCTCGGTTTCAAGCGATGCGTTAAAAAAAATTAATAAAGAGCAGAAGAGAGCGATAATCGTGAGTGAAGTTCAGTCTAAAAGTAGTCTGACTGTCTGTTGTCGGTCTGCCTATCTAAGCATGGTGGCGTTGCGGATCTGCGACCGGGATCTTGGGATAGACGGCATGGGCCGACATGTGACAAACGAACCTTGGACTCACTACCCGACCCCCTAGCTTATTCTTGGAGGATAACGAACCTACCTAATCGGGCGACAATTCGACATCCCAAGGATGACATCGTCGCATGGAGGATCGGCCTTAAGGGGTCGGACGGCGTGCAAGGCTCGCTCCCAACGCGTCTAGGATATATAGGCGCTACCCGGAGAAGGGGTAGGTGGGCGAGCAGGTGAGATGGAGGAGAGGCGACGGTGAAGAAGGTTAGAACGCGTCGTCGACGTTTGATGCGATGCACCAGAGGGGAGGGAGATCGATGCGGAGAATGGTGGAGATGACAAGTACCTACGCGATGGCCATGGGCGGGGCGGGCTTCGATTGTAGGTACAATTAAGAGCGCGTACGTCCAACCTGAGGTGCCGCCCGACAGGCATGCGTACCCAGGTATGGAGGCGCCCAAGTACTCAGACAGCCAAGATACCTAGGTGTAGATACCTTCCAGTAGGAGGGCAATCTGGGCGTGGGAATGGCTTCGTTGTTTCGCCTTGCTGTTTCACCAGCACCACCCGTGGCTGTGGCGCGTAGAGCGACGGGGGAAACATTCCTCGGCGCGTACCAGATACGTACCTTCACGCGCTACGCAGCGGGAAGAGCTACACTGGGGGTACTTCGGAGGGAGGCTGGTAGGCGGGCAAGTTGTGGCTTAGGTACCTACCTAAGGTACCTACCTGCTAGCCTGCTAGCCCCCTTCTCCCGCCAGCCTGGACGGGCGGCGTGCCATCGATTGGCTGGGGAGCCGTCGGCCGACGTTGCGCGCAGAGACGAGGAACCAACCTGCAGAGGGTATTCATAGACGTCAAACCCTCCCGGCGCCGCGAGATCGAGGGCCTGCCCTCCTATCGCTTGCGCCCCGCTGCTATGACGTCCCACCCGCCATTCCTTGCTAGCTGTCTTGTCTCTTCCCCCCCCGGCCTCTCTCTCTCGCCGTCGAGTAGATTGCTGGCTGACGCTGATGGCGTCGGCCGTCGGTAGAGCCGCGAGCGAGCGCGCGCTCGCGCGACCTAGCTAGCTCGTCTCGGCCCTGGACGTGTGAATCCGCTCTCCCGCCAGCCTCTGTGCCCTTGGCTACCTAATACGCAACGGCACTGGGGGCCAGCCAGCCAGCCAACCTGTCTTAGCTCGTCTCGCACGCATTCCCGGGTCCCCCCCCTCTCTCCCCTACCAATTCTTGGCCGGGGGGGGGAGGGGGAGGGACTTCTTTTGTTGCAGATAAGAAAGAAGAAGGCCTTGTTGGTACGCTTTCGCCCCGAGGAGACGAGGCCCATGTGATGTGGTGTGCCTCTCGTCGCCCCGCCCGCGTCGAGGAATCTGCTCCGTCGCATGTCCCAACTCCTTCCAACCCTCCCGTGGAACTCCCTCCCGGGTCTGGTCTGGTCTGGCGCCACTCGGCCAGGCAACGAGGCATGCTCGGCCGAGCCCTAGCCCGGCTGGGACGAATTCCCTTCTGTCTGCTCCTGCACCTCGTAACATCGTGAGAAGTGCGTGGGAGGATATATACATAAGAGGAATCGTCCCCCTTCCCCCCTATGGTTCCCGCGCGTTTGCCTGTTTGCTGTCAACTCCTCACACGGCCAGGGCACGGCGTATCTAGAACTACAAACATATCTCCTTCGCTGAGCCGGCGACCCAGTCACATACTCTCTTTGTAACGGCGACCTCACATTGTCCCATCACGAGGCACGAGACAACAGAAACGACAATTAGACCGAGTCACAACCTATTCTCTTTCAGGCTTGAATCACTATTGTTCCTGCAGCTTGAATAGAAGACAAAAGCAGCCACCCCGAAGGACAATCGCCTTTCACCTTTGAGCTCTCTTCCACACCAGCATCGACCCAAGCTTGCCAGGCGCAAGCAGTCCCGTCTCCCAACCCATATCAACCGGCAGCGCTCTCCCATTCTTCTCGTCCTCGTAGATACTTTCGTCCTGCTGCCTCACTCGCTCACTCGCCTCGCCGCCATCTCTCCTTCTTCCCGCCGTCCCAACTAGCGCATTGCGCCGACGACAATAACGACAATACAACAACAGCAACGAGACTAACCCACGACGACAAAAGCAACCAGAACAATGACCTTCTCTAAGACGCTCCCGCGCCTGGGCGCGCTCCTCGCGGTCGGCGCCGCGACGGCCGCTCGCGCGGCCTACACGCTGCAGGACGCGTACGACCAGACCAACTTCTTCCAGGGCTTCGAGTTCTTCGACGCGCCCGACCCGACCAACGGATTCGTAAAGTACCAGTCGGCGCGCGGCGCCAACGACGCCTCCCTCGCCGGCTACGCCAGCGACGCCGTCTTCCTCGGCGTCGACTACACCACCGCCAACCCCCAGGGCGGCCGCAACTCCGTCCGCGTCCACTCCAAGAAGACGTACAACGGCGGCCTCATCGTCGCTGACATCGCCCACCAGCCCGCCGCCCAGTGCGGAACGGTATGTATTTCCCCGTCTCCCCCCCTCCCCTCACCTTTTTTAGTTCACATTATCACTCCCCACCTCCCCCCCCCCCCCAAAAAAAAGAGAAAGAAATCGCTAACTCATTACTAGTGGCCCGCGTTCTGGACCGTGGGCCCCAACTGGCCGTTCGACGGCGAGATCGACATCATCGAGGGCGTCAACCTGGCGACCAACACGACGTACACGCTGCACACGGGGCCGGGGTGCACCTTCACGCAGGGCGACTGCAACGCGCCGGGGACGGGCCACATCGGGTGCGGGGCGGCGAGCGGGGACACGCGGACGCTGGCGGACGGGTTCAACGCGGTGGGCGGCGGGGTGTACGCGGTGGAGTGGACGGCGTCGGCGATCAACGTGTTCTTCTTCCCGCGCGACGGGGAGATCCCCGCGGACATCGCCGGCGGCGGCGCCGACCTCGACCCGAGCAGCTGGGGCCCGCCCGCGGCCTCGTTCGCCGGCGACGGCTGCGACATCGCCAGCCACTTCCGCGACCACCAGATCGTCTTCGACACCACCATGTGCGGCGACTGGGCCGGCCGCGAGTTCGCCGCCGACCCCGTCTGCGGCGCCAAGGCCGCCTCCTGCGAGGAGTACGTCGCCGCCAACCCCGCCGCCTTCGCCCAGTCCTACTGGCTCATCAACTACGTCAAGGTCTTCACCGACGGCCAGCAGCAGAAGCAGCAGCAGCAGCGCAAGCGCTTCTCTGCGTAGGCGCCCGCTACCCCCGGGTGATATCCCGTGTGGCGTGCAGACGGCCGGACAGACAGACGAACATCGAGAGAGGCAGGGCCGATCGACCCGTCTGGACGTGTCTGGTTCGTTTGTGGGTTTCTGGCCCGTTTGTGACAGTGGGGTTACGGCGTTGAGGACTAGACACCACAAGAGGGCGAGGAAGAAAAAAAGGGGGGAGGGTTAGAGATTATAGAGATCATAGCATGGCGTTCGCTCGGATTCGATTTTTTTTTCTCTTCATTTCCGTATTCCCTCTTCCGTTTCTTTCTTTATCAACATATGCCAATCAAGAACGGCGCGGAGGGCGAGGGCGAGGAGCACGGCGAAAATGAGGAGTTAGGTATGCGAAGGAAAGGGAATGTCTTCAAATGCCCCGCGCACATCATCTCGGCCATTTTTCTTTTCTCTCGTGTATCCCCCCCCTTTCTATTGCTTGTTTTTCTCTTCTTTTCGTCTGTACATATTTCCCCCTTCTCTTTTCTTCGCTTCTCGCGACTGATGCTTCGGCACGATTACCTTTTCTGAGAAGAGAGCAAGATGACAGTGGACGCTTAACGTACCTACCTAACGAGAAGCACGAACACGCACGAAATAACGACGCATGGATACTGGCCAGCTCCCGCGTTTCCGGTTTAGTGTTTCCCTTGTCGTGAAGCGAAACGGGTTTCGTCGAATGTGAGGATGATATGTGAGATTTGACTTATTCAATTCCCGAGTCACTGCCCACGGGGAATTAATACGGCCGCTGGTTATGCCGCCGGTTTCAGTCTGGAATTTATCGCTTTCACATCGTATTTTAGGTAAACTAGAGTCTGAATCTCGCAAGTGCTAGCCACCTAGGTAGTCATAGCCGTTGTGGAGAATCTGGAGCCTCCACAAGCGTGTATACGCTTCAGTCGACTTTCCCGTTAAGACCGCGGTAAGTTTGGCGCCCCAATACCTACCCTATCCCACCTTATAATATGTACGCATGTATACGAGTTGGTTTACGATGATGCTGATCGTGTGGGCGCATCAAGACGAAGTTCGGCATCCTTCTTGTGTTGCGGCCTTGTGTTGCGGTCGAAAGCGTCTCAGCTAGTCCGACCGCCTGTGCGTCTGGCGAGCTTATAGACAAATCGGACCGCTTGTTTACCCAGGTGGATAGGTCCCCCAGTAGGTCAATCGAAGGCGGTCAACAGGGTCGACGACTGTCTCGGCTTAGGCGACAGATCAAAGAGATCCCGGCGAGCTTTCTAGTTTTCTGTCGCAGAGCTGGCAAAAAAAAAAAAAAGACGATGAATGCTGACTGGCCATCACCACGCCGTTTGAGTTATGTCTCACGTCGGACTAGGAAACCCCGACGGCGAGATCTACTCGGAGATGAGAGAAGGATACTTTGTTAGATATCATGCCTAACCGTTAGCAGAAAGTAGATTGTAGGTCGGCTGGGTGAGAGATGCTCTTGCGGCCGGGAGCTTCTGCGACATGCAAGACTCGCATGAACATCTGAAAGAGCCATGCGAACGCATGCTTCGTCACCGTACATTCAACAATGCGCGGACCTTCGTGAGTGGCGGTGGAGTGTGGCTAGACATGCGTTCGGCTCGCCCGAGAGAGGAAGCGCAGGTTGCAGAATCGGTTGGAATTGTTGGTTATACCGCCGCGCGGTAATCAAAATAACTCGATCTATACCAATATCTAAGCATGCACATGTCCTCTACCAAGAGGTATATCCGTTATATAAGGGGGAGATGGTCGGCTGTTACTTCTGGGGCTATCAGCATGTACGCTACCAGCTTCCTTCAAGAAACATAAGTGAAAAGTCGCGAAGTCCCGGGATACTTAACCAGCTGGACCGAATCACTCCTCCTTGCGATCTCATCGATGTGCTTCTTCCACTACCCAGCCCCCAAGCCAGCACCGAGGCACAAGGGGGGTAGGAGGGAGAAGAGCACAGTGACGACGAGAAGGAGGAGAACAGCAAGTATCGAGGATATCGAGGAGGCGGCACGCAGGGCAGCCGAAGAGGCACTCGACCAGGCTTTTCCGATGGCGCCTTACGAGTCGAGCGTGAATGAGATGCACCACTATTATCACTATCCGTGTCGGGGCTATAACGCCAGAGGCGGCTGCGAGGACCGTCGGTCGCGCGAGAGCCCCCCGAGCTACAACCACATCACGCAGAGTCAATTGGCGTCTCACGGTGAGGCGCTGAGGGACGCCCTCGAGGCAGCACGCGGTAACGGACGAAAGATAGACGAGGTAAAAGCATCTGTCCAGGAGGCCGCCCGCGAGGTGCGCGAGGCGCGCGACGCGATCGCGAAGAACCAGAGCGACCAGGCGGGAGGACGAGACGCGTGCGCCGCCGAGATCGGCCGAGTACGCCGCCTGATGGAAGAGGAGGCAGCGAGGCGCGAAGAGGCCCGGCAGAGCCAACGGAACATGCAGGAGGCGTGGAACTACGTCCAATGGTTCCGGCAAGCGGGCGCGGAGCCGAAGACCTCATCAACGTCATCGACTAGCAGTAGCAGCAGGAGTGGCAAGTCGCGCAGAAGTCGATCGTCAGTGGAGGAGGAAATTCGCGAGGAGAAGAGGCGGTGGAAGTTGGAGCAGCAGCAGCACGACGAGGATGTCAAAAGGTCGGTGTTGGGGTATATGAACGAGTTTCTCACAGAGGCACGACCTCGCGGAGGCATTACCGGTAAAGCCAATACCGATACTAAGAACGGAAGTGGCGGCGCCACGTCTGAGGAACAGCAGCACCCGCGCGGTGAGCATCATAACCACTTCCACGCCTATGCTTACGCCCCCGCGCCTCATGATCATCCCGCTCATCAGGCTCCGCCGCCACCCCAGTGGGCTCCTGGGGCGAACTGCGCGGACCCCCGCCGCGTTGGTGGCTGGCAACAGCATCAGCAGGGCCATCCCCTGTTTGTAGACCAGAACGACCCTTACAACGCGAACATGGTATTTTGCGGCGGCGAATGGGTCGCCGGAGCCGGAGTAGGTGGTGGCCAAGGTTTACCTCGATATCTGTGCAGACACGATGTGGTGGGTGGAGGCGGCTGGGGTCCCGGCGGCTACGCGCCGAGGTTTATGTAACAATTGGATGTCGAGTTGCTTGCTTGCCTACCTGCCCGTGCATTTCTCGAAATAGGCGTCTGCGTGCTCATGTATTCCCGTGCCGTGCGTTGCGACAAGAAGTGCGTGCTGTGCGTAGATACTACCCACCTAACGTAGTATGCGAGCGTCAGGCGTGGACGGGCAGCCTAGTCGGGATTTTCTCACGTGCCCCGTGTTCGACGAGGTCGCAAGGCGCGGCAGGGCACGGCAGGACGCAGGCGAAGGGTGCTGTGGCATACAAACAGATATTGTGTTAGTGAACCCTCCGGAAGTCGGGATCCCGCTCGATTTCACCACGAGCCAAGTAGAAGGGAGCAGATGAGACTGAGACGAAGCCGCCGCTATCAACCGACCGGGGGTTATACAGGCTGGAGGGTGGGAAGGTAATATGCGATTCTCGAACAAACCCCCGGCGCGCTCCCTCCCCCTTTACACCTTCAGGATGGAGACAAGAGAAAAAAAGGGTGCAGTTGGGCTATAGATGCGCATGTGGTACATGTCATTCTCGGCCTCGACGTAACACGCACCTATGCCCACACGGGCGTTTGCGCACGGGGTGGTGGACAAAGGGGAGAAGGGGAAGGGTGTTACGGGAGGCGAGGCGGCCGGGATTCGTTTCGAGAGGTTGGTTGGTTGTGGGGAAACGCTCAGCTCTAAGCTGTTCGAGATCTTTCCAACGGCTCCGTAACAAGCACACGATAGACGGAGTAGGGGAGAGACGATCCATCTACCTATCCGCCCACGAGTCTTATCTAGGCAGACCCGCCTTAGTGGTGACCACGACAACCACGCTTGCGCGGCGCCGACTCTGCGTACGCAGAATATATATCTATGTCTGTTACACGACGACGGAACCGAAGATGTTGTGTGCCAGGTATGAGGGTGTCGTGGTGTGTGAGTACGGTGTGTGTATAGTATGTGTGTGTATCCGTGTTTACTATAATTTCGGGAGATAAGAGAGAATGAACACTCGGTTTGATGCGCGGCGCAGCCCACTACGTGAATGGGTGGGTAGGTATATGCCGAGTGCGGATTGCACGCAGGTATCGCGCGGTGCTTGTCTTATACATGCATCCATAGCGAGGGCGATAGCGAAGGTGGTGGTGAAGCAGGTCTATAATAGTAGCATGCATGTGTGATGTGTGTGTAGTGTATGGTGTATAGTGTATGTGTATGAGGAGTGTGTGGGAGGGTTAGGGGAGAGGGGAGAGGGGAGAGGCTCCCGGAGGGATGGCCAATCCAGGGACCATGTTTTTTTGTCTTTCTCCGCCGGTCGATGTGAGTGGCAGAGTACGTACTCTTTGGCGTGATGCCTTCGACCCAGAACAGCCTGTCCGAAGCGGTGCCTGACAAATGTGCTCATAGCCAACCGACAGCCAATTAGGTACTTACCGGATAGGGAGACAATAAGAGGTATATGACGGATACCACGTGCAGGTAGTGCGCACATAATAAACAGGAACAGGAAAGGATTTGCGAGCGGGACCGCCCCTTACGGCTGCGCATCGCATTATTGGCCGGTAGAGAGCGAGCGATGGACAACGGCGGATAGAGGCATTACCGATAGGGACAAGTGCCCAGATATAAATGGAGAGTCCCCCAGTTTAGCGAGATTGATTGACCTGGGCAGCTATTCAGGGAAGCAAGCACCAATCTACACGTACACGTAGTGCGCTCTGGCTGGCTTCATGCGATGCCAGGTCAGCGTCGGTAAGCCGAGGTACTTTATCTACCTGCCCGTAGTAATGGCCTACCTGCCCTCAAGTGGTGGTGCCTGCTAAGCTTACAGCTCTGAGAGATACCTAGGCAAGTATCTGTACTAAAAGTACCTACCAAAGGACCTAGAGGTTAGGTACCCAGGTACCTATGTAGGCACCTAAGGTAATAAGCGCGTTGTTTGCTTCTAGACAGGTAATCTACCCAGATAGGTACCTAATGTAGTGCCCGTTAGGCACCCCAAGGTATCGAGGTACCCCTTACCTACGTACCTACATATGCCTACCTGTAGGTGTGGGTACCTAAGTATAGATGTACAGTTCCAGCAGTACCTGCGTCTAATATGCTCGCCAAGATTCCATGTCCACTTTTCTTTCCTGCAGGAACGACGGCGCGCGAAGAAAACGCTCAGGGGATGCTTGCATTCCGTCCGCCCACCCGCCAACCACACAACCCGATGTCTATCTCATCTACTCACGGGTACCTAATATACGTCCATACCTCATGAGAGGAGGCACGTAGGCCACCGTCCACAACACGTCCATCTACATACCTGCCTACCAACATGCACGTCTACAGTAAGCCCGCCAGTAAGACAACTCCCGCGATTCCGCCATCGCGGAGCCCAAGGTACGCGACTCACATCATCCAATTAACCAGGTCTGAGAAAGCGAAGGATCGTCTCTCCCCGTCTCTCCTGATCGTGTATTTTGACGATAGCTTCAAACCCATCCCCGTCGGGTACGGATGGCAAGATGACTGACAAGACGACTTCGCCAGGCAAACTTCGCGCAAGGAGGAAGAAAACCGTAGGAATCCTGGTCGCAGTCAAGGGAGGCCGAGGGGCGGTTTGTCCACTCAGGTGCGGTGAAAACCTCCCTAGCCATGGATCGTAGTATGATGCCAGCAGGGGGAGGGGAGGGGGTGTGCTACGATGGACTGAGAAATGCACGTCGCAGCACGTCGTAGCATCGCAACCCGACCCATGTCTCGCACCGGTAGACGTTTGCCGATCCACATATACCGCCAGCACCATCGTGGCCCGGGTCTGCAGTGGTGCCCTGTTTTGCCCGGCTTGGGAGGAGATCAGAGAGAGAGAGAGAGAGGGACAGCGAGCAGAATCCTCCCCCCATGTCCAAATAAAAAAGTCAGCTCGTGCGCATCCACCGCTTATTTCCCTCCTCCCTTTCCTCTTCTCCTCTCCTTTCCACGGCCTTCAAGCTTCATACAGGGACCAAACCCGACGCTCCTTTTCCCACCCACGTATACACAGTTGCATCTCGCAACCCACGCTCATTTAATTTCAACCTCGTTCCGACGGTTATAGGTACCAACCGCCCTTCTCTTCCCTCCCGCCAAAATCGTGCCCCACCGGAGCTGTGATTGTAACCACGTCCCGGAAAAGTCCGCACTCGAATAGGAGAATAAAAAGGGATCAGCGCCTTGCTATTCTCTTCGCCCTTCGACAGCCACCACCAGCTCGGACAATTAGGATATATCCTGCCCTCAACGCGATAGTCGAGAAGAAAACGTGATACCCGGTTTTCGATCGACACCATTTCAGGATGCACGCCTCATCTCTCTTCGTCCTGGCTGCCGGTGCCGTCGCCGCTGCGCAGACCACCACTGCCACGTCTTACCTGACGGCGACGGTCACCATCACCCGGTGCAACCCGACAAACACCGACTGCCCGCTGTACACGCCGCCCACCAGCTCGGCCGTGCCGACAACATCGTCGTCGTCGGTCTCGACGCCACCGGCCTACCCCACTGTGCTGACCAGCAGCTCCTCGGTTGCGCCCAATACCACTACCTCCTCCACCTCCACCTCCTCCTTCATCTCCTCCACCATCTTGTACCCCATCGCCAACTCGACGAGCCATCTCGGCCCGACCGCGCACTCTAGCGCATCCTCTTCCGCGGCGCCCCCCACCCAAGTCACGCCGACGTCTGTGGTGGTGCCGACGAGCCAGGGCCCTGCGCCGACCACGCCTATTCCTACCGTCCCGGCCAGCGGCGCTAGCCTGCTGTCCGTCCGGTCGGGTCTTCTGGCGGCTGCCATCGGCGTGGGCGCTGCGCTCCTAGCCTAAGCTGGACCTTTGCGCGAGCCATATGCGGAGTTGGGAGGGATTGGGCGGCGTGGAGAGGAGTGACGATCTGCCCGTCCTGAGGCATACCTAGCGGACGTCCCGGCGAAAGGACCCAGGCGCCAGGCTGGCCGTGCATTAACGTCTCATGCACGGCCTCGGATCAAGCCGACACCTACGATAAACGGTTTTCGGGAAGAAAAGCTGGAGGCAGGAGTCGGAGTGCTTAAAAAGACCTTTTTTGATTCTGAAATACCCTTTTGATTCTGTAGGGGAAGGGCAGTTTGGTGCAAGTTTTGGCGGTGTTGCTCGGTTTTGCTTTTTACGTCTTGGAGAGTTTCTCGTCTGAGAAGTCGACTTCGCGCGGGGACCTCGCCTAACTGCTAGAGCTGCGGGAGGGTCCCCTGCCGTTGTCAGCGCCTCTCCTAGAACGCAACGGCTCCTCCCTTTCCTTGTCCAAATTAGAGACGACCATGTCTATTTTATCAGCATAAATGTTATACAGCATGGGGAGGAGTTGGAAGGGGGTGAACCTCCCCGGGGTGGGTGTTGCGAGCGGGGAGTGGTGCGACATGACAAATGACATAGAAACATCTTCTATCCACACCGTTGGAGGCTAGTCTTCTCTTTAATCCTAACAATCATGTGAACCGGTTATAAGTGCGTGAGAGGAGCTTTCAGGTGCCGGCTTTTCTTTTGTGGGTAGAGACGGGCCAGCCACGGCCAGCGAGAGATGGGGGGTCGCTCAGTTTCGGAGGTGGAGGGGCGGAGGCGAGGGAAGCAGGATTGGATGGAACCTATAGGGCACATGGACGCGAAGGCCCGAGGCATGCGGCCTTCGTATAATAATGCCGTTGCCACTCGGGCCGAACGTCTCCGTCAGCGAACACGAGAGAGAGGCTCTGCTTTGAAAAGAAATCCATAATCATAATCATAATAATTACCACAGTCGCAATAGAAGGAGCTTGCAAATTGAACCCAGATCGGAGAAGAGGGCAGCCGCCGGAAAGCAATCAACGAAAGCCGCCGGCGCAGAGGCGTCCGGCTGGCAAAACACGTGTAAGCGTGCGCATGCGGCATGTGGTCACGAACCACACTCGGGCAACTTCCGGTATTGAAAAGGATGGGAAGGGGAAGATGGAAGTACGCGGATGGAGACCCGAGAGGGAGGAATACGAAGCTCGCGGTTCTGGTCGCGGTCCTGGTTGGCGAGAGACGGGCAGGTGAGCGCTCCGCGCTTTTCTGAGTGGGCGAGGTGAGGTCATACGAACAGGCAGTACGTAATTTTACCTCCTCTTTTAGAGGGGAAGAAGGATCAACATCGATGGAAATATTTTGTTTTCTTCTTCTTCCCGGCCTTCTTTCTCTCTCTTCTGTTGCTCTTCTCTTCCGTTCTAGAATTCGCAGGGGGTGGGTCGAAAGAAGAATAAAACCCGAAGTGTATGGGATGGGCGAGATGCCAAAGGACGAACGAGTGCGTGCATGGGTCCCGAATATTGTGCTGCTCGCCGATTCATTGGATGGTGTTGGTATCTTTCCCACCGCGGCTGCTACAGAAAGATGTCACCGTGTGTTTCGCCAACTTCTGATCACCGTCTCGTTCGTCTATTTCTGCCCGACCCGTCGGTATCGCCTTTTTTTTTTCTTCCCCTCTCTTCCCTCCCTCCCCCCCCTCTCGGCTATTATTACTATTATCGCTGACTGGGCACTCTCTCCCTCTCAGCTTGGCCGAATCTCGGCTCGCATCGCTTCTCTCTCCCATCTCCTCAAGCAAATTTAGAAAAGTTTTCCGACTGAGCTGGCTGACTGACACGCGCTTTCGGAAGAGGCTCCGGGGACCCGAACCGCCTCCACTGCGATGAAACCCGGAATCCCTGTCCGGCCATGAGCCACGAGTCGGTTGAACTGGGGATGGTATGGAGGCTCTGCTCTTTTGAATGGGGGGTGGGGAAGGGGTATTCTTCTTTTGGCTGGGCTTGGTATTGGTTCCGATTCTCTTCTTCTGTGCCATGTACTACATATACGTTCCGAAAGTACGTAGCGTGGTGGTGAGGATGTCACGGGCAAGCCTCTGGCCAGGTAAGTAGGTTATTTTACCTAGTGGAGACAACCAGATCGTATATATACCTAGCCATATACCTATATATATATATATATATCGCTCGATCCACATATCGATGCACGAAGAAACACCTTTATTTATTGCCCGTATAGTTCGTTCCAACCATCAGAAAACAGGCCACGCTATAAGGAGAGGGAGTGAGTGTGTGTGTGTGTGAGAGCGAGAGAGACAGAGACAGAGAGGGGAAAACTGTTGTTCTTTTACATCGAGCCACACCCGCATACGAACGCACCCAGCGCACAGAGGCATCTCCCATATCTATTCCTTCCAGCACGACCAGGCGAATTATTCGAGATCGGATGCCACCTCCGACGCAATTTCTCCCTTCCCGCCCCCTTCCCCCCATCCAGCGCCAGCATCGCTTCTCCGTAGTTTTCTCCCGTCCGGCCCGCGGGGATGCGGACGGGCGCCTGTCTCTCTAATTATGAATCTGACTGCATTGGTTGTTCTCGCACCCGACGCACAGCTCCTTATTCGAGTCGCACTCGTAAGGGCAACCCCGGTCCCGGTGGTTGCAGTACCTGTTCGCCAAGTATCTCACCGGCCCCTCAAGTTCCGGAAAGTCCACAGTGATGGTGGGTGTTATTGGTGCGCCCTGCCGCCGGATGCTAAACCGACTATGGTCAAAGAGGGCACTATCGCAGTCACTATCTCCTTGTTTTTGGCGTTCCCGTTGGTGTTGGTGTTGGTGTTGGTGCCGGCGCTCCTGCTGTTGGAACATAGCGTCCATCATCACAAGTGTGTATGTGTATGTATGGTACGTCCTGTGGCTTACAAGCGAGCGAGGTATGGGCTCGTCTTATCAAGCAAAAGATCCTATTCGTACAATCTATTGATTATTGGCCACTGTCCTCTTCGCGCGTGATGAGTGAACCTGGCTTCGGGTTAGTTTATGAGCTGTCATATTCTCACCCTCGATAACAGGGCACTAACGCTATTCCGATCCTTGTTGGCGACTCCGTCGACCTTGGAAAAAAAAAACACTACTGTCCGTCCTTCCGTGCGTCCCTACGCCTGTCGATATGTATTCTGTATGTACGGATGTATATGCACCGTATGTCCACGCGTCCACACGTGTGTAAGGAAGGCGGGAATAGATGCGAGAGAGAAAGCGAAGAGAGAGACGATCAGGCAGAGACGAATGTGTATGCGATAGGCCCATGAGACCAGGGGAGGAGGAGCAGGAGGAAGAGGACGTTTCCCAGGAGGGAGAGGGAGCTCTCGGGAGCCTTTTTATAGGCCGCAGGAAACCAGAAGGGAAAGAAGAAGTGAAAAAAACCTGTATACATGTTGTTAGTTGCCCGGGACGCAGATAGCCATGGCCAGGGAGGAATCCGCCTCTCACACCTCTGTCGCCTGCCGGGTTTCTCTTTGTGCTCTACTTAGATGTCAGACTCCTGGTTCTCAACCAAAGTCGGCGTTTTGCCGGATCAGCAGCATCTCGTCATCCTGTCCCACTAACCAGGTGCCGTAATCATGGCTATGATAGTTCGTCTGCATACGTGCGATCTAGTCCAAGGGGTCTTGTCATCAGCCTCCTCCTCAATTCATCATCGAAGCGACGCTGTGTTTCAAAATCCGTCTTATCCGGCCGGCGGCCATATTCTTTGAAATCCAACTTGACCTGTACTGTCCGGTTTCCTTTTTTTCTTTTTTCGGGAGGGGTTTATTTCTGGTTGGATTTTTTATCAAGAAATTTTCTCTTCTTCATTTCCCCTCCCCTCCCCTGCTTCCCCCCCTCCGCTTCTTACTTACATATCAGCTCTTGCCGAAGGTGTTGTGTGGCGGCGGCGGCGGCGAAGGAAAGCAGCCCTCAAAAGCGAGGATCGCGATTATTGGCAAGCCTGGGGCAAGCTATTCTCTTCCCAAAACAAATTTTTTTTTTTTGCCAGGAGTCTTCTTAGACCCAAGGGCTCGGATCTGCAACGCATCACAGACATCGAAATGACTGTAGTCTCGGAACGAAGCACCCATTTGGAAAATATCCACCCTGGCCCGTCCCATCTTCGACCATGCCAGTCATCAACTAGGGGTTCCTAGCCCTGTCGACATGCCTGGTCGCAGCCTTCTTCGAAAAGATTCACGGTGAAGGTTTTTCTTCTTCTTTCAATGGCCAAGTAGACGGCTCCTCCGATGCATCTCTAACCGGGATGTCCCCCACGGTGAGCACTCCCAGGAGGTCCGTCCAGCCTAACGGGATTGGTAGATTCTTCACCGGTCACCCCGTACACGCAATACCGTAGCTTTATATCGACCCTTGATATCGACGTGCAAGGTATCAGCCCCAGTCCCCCGGGAACCCTATCAGCTACGCGGCGCAATGATCCCAAGCGAAACTGTCCGGCTCGAATCGGTAGCCGAGTTATGCACATCATGCGCTTGTTAGCTGTTTACGTGCAGTGCGGCACATATTACGTCGCATAGTATTGTCGTGATGTCGCATGAGGTTGGTGGTGGGCGCAGGACTTCTCTTACCACCAATGCCAACATTCGCCCTCACCACCTCGACAAGGGGCGGGGCGAGGCCAACCAGGGCCGCGAACCTGACATCCTACCCAAGCGGTCGGGACATCGGATCTGGCCTTTGATAAGTGTCCCACCATGTCCAAGCGCCCACTACTACGTAGCACGCCGTCGCGGTAGGCTGACAACCACCTCGAACGCATTCGCAGCTAAGGATAGCAGGGTCCCTCTCACTGGTTGCAGTAGTCCCGGGAACTCCCCTTCTCGAATCTTTCCAACCCTACCGAGCTCCCGTAGTCAGACGAGATCGCCGATCTCTGGCGCCATCGCCGCGCAACGAGTCGGACCCAACGAGGTGTTTTGTTTGCTCTGCCTACCTCACCTGTTTGTGAGGTGGCTTCTCGGTATGAGATATGGCTGTACATGTCGCAGGGGATGCCGAATGGCACACCGCTCATCCTGCGAGCATTAACAATCGAAAGGCCACGGGATAGGGATAACTATGTAAGTACGATCTCTCCGATGCCCTGTGCTGGCGCGCGGAAACATTTTGGTTGGCGTATCGTTCGTCTGCCAACCGGAGACTTGAACCATGAGTATAACGGAATACGACGCTTGATAGTATACACCGGGTTCTATCTATCTCTCAGGGCGAAGCAGATGCTCGGACGCCTAGTCGATTTGGACTCGCTGCAACCCCACGGAAGCACGAGCAGGGATCCCCAGCTGCAGAGGGACGGAAATATCACTAACAGTCCTCGGGGACACGGGACCGTATGCTAACGCGGCCCGGAAATCTGCGAGATATAGCGTAATTATTCCTGGCCTGCAGCATCTCTTTATTACGCGCCTTGCCTAACGGGATCGCTGCCGCGTGGAAGGATGTAGGTAGGGGTAATACAGGCCGAACTACCCCCTACCCCCTACCCCCCCCCTGAGCGCGAGCGACTTATGCAGAACGATCACATACCAAACCGACAAAAATCCTGGGAAGCCAGAGAATTTCCCCGAGTTGCGAAGCCGGAGAATAAGGTCTATAGCCTCTGTCCAATTTCCCTGATATCTGATCCCGAGCCGTGGGAAAGCAAGATTTGGATCCTGTTGCGATCCCAGAGGGCAGCTAAGGCGAGTCCCGAGCGATCTCTGACAGGCGACCCCTGCCCCCCTTGAACAGGAGAAAAAATTTTCTTTCATCGGTCGCGTAGCAGCTACCATTGTAGGTATACCGTCGTTCTATATCGCGAGGTAGGAATAAGTCAAAAGTACATCCGCGGCGCTCAGCACTCGACGAACTTACCGCCCGCACTGTACGTCCGTTGCTGAGATGCTTACTCATGGCCGGATAATGAACGGCTTACGAATATACGACATTGATTATCTTTAGAAGAGATTATCGCACTCGTTCGACGAAGATCGGCCGAAATCTCCTTCCCTCTACCGTGTCTAAGAACCCCGTCTCCCTCCGGGGCGAGAGGGCGGGAGTCCAAGGACGAAAGAAAGCGAACATCCTACCCAGCATTTGTCAAGCCCGGAAGCTCTCAGATGAACGATCACAAGTGAGTGTGCAGGGTGCATTGCCCGCGGTTATCTACCTATTCGTGGGACGACCATGGGAATGTTGGGCCGAGCGTGTGCCACGGAGAGCGCGATCGACTTGGCTCAGATGTAGGGGGACTCGCATGAACTCACGCCGAGATATTGGCTAGGACCATCGCGGATTCCCCCTCTATTCGGGCTTAGGCGAAGAGGCTAAAGCCACGCAGTCATATATCTCTCGGGGAGGCAAGACCTGTCTTTTTTTTGTGGTTGGGGGAGGGGTGCTTCAGCTTCAAACAGCACAGATGGCGTCTGACCGATATCCGTTCTCGTGAGGGATTTCTCCAAGTGCTCCCCCGGCGGCCGAGAGATGACGACCGTCCCTTCAGGGCAAAGGATCAGGATTCCGTGCTTATGGCAGCCAGCCAGCCAGCCATGCCGCGACACGGTTGCCAGGTACCCGGCTGTCTGAATTTATAAGCGCAGTCTGCATAGGTAGGTAGGCCTGCCGTGTGTTAAAGCCTATGTCCGGTATACATAGCATTGACCATACCCGCCCTGTCCCGCGTTGCGATCACCGCCCTTCTGTCGCTGGCCACGGTCGGTCGGTCGGTCTCCGTACGCGGGTGAGCGATCGGCGCGCCCTTTTCTTCCTCTCTTCTCTTCCGTCACCTGATGTGGGCAGATAGGCAGGCTGGCTGGTAGGGATCATGGGTATTCTTCGACTTAGTAGCTCCCCTCGGCGACGAGTCTTTTCTCGTCCAGACTAGCATCTTTCGAGCCGGATCTCCTCACGTCTGGGTGCTGTCTTGTTCCCCTGCTGCGGTTAGCGAGCCTCGTCCCGTCCTATCGCACGCCGCCGCGTCTTGCACGAGATGGCCTGGCCTGGTATGAGGTCATGCTCAGAAAAGCAGGGGCCAATCAGGTCCGAGGCGGGCGCCGCTTAAAAACTAGTGCGACCCAAGCGGATTTTCGACAGATCGAGGCAGTTGCGTGGCACGACCAACCCGTCCTCCGCCTGCCCGCCGCCGCCGCCCGCCGCCGCCTGGTGGGCAGAGAGGCGTGAGCTGGCGGTGCACGTGACCTGATTTATCGATAATCGCTTATCCGATAATCCTGCCCTTCGATAAGGTACCTACGTCAGGTACCTCTGTCTCCCGTCCTCCTTCTCTCGACATAGGGGGAAACCCACTTCTGCTCGACTCCCGACCTCGACCCTGAGGAACATTCCAAACACCCATCCCAAGCCCTCCCCGAGACAGCGTAAATAATACTGTTTTTTTTTTCTCTCTCGCTCTCTGCCGTTTTCTGCCTGTTACTACCCTGTCTGTTTCCCCTCGTTCTCCTTCGGCAGGACCAACCCACCCGCTCACTGAGCTCGCCCTCTCCCGCTCGAGTCTGAAGCGAATATCCCCCCCCCCCCCCCCCCGTCTCGTCTCTTCCCCTGTCCGAAAAGACGAGAATCCGCCATGGCTGCCGATCCCAAGGCTTCGTCCACCTACTCGACCGACCCCGCCCTCTACATCTACACCTCCCTTACCGCCGGCTCCTCCCACATTGTCACAGCCACGTCGCGGCTAGAGACGATCCTGCGCGCCAACCGGGTGCCCTTCAAGGCTTTAGACATCGCCGTCGATGAGAAGGCACGCATGCTATGGGGACGACGAGCCGGCAAGGACGCGTCCGGCCGGCTGCGCAAGCTCCCCGGCCTAGTGCAGATGGGTATGGTACTCGGCGTAAGTTCCCCGCCTGCTCCCCCTCCCGCGCTCTCGACGCTACGGCTTGCCTCTGGCGAACCTCCCGTATGTACGGGCGACTAACGGCCGAGTGTGTGACCGCCTCTACAGGACCTAGTCGAGATCGAAGAGTGGAATGAGTATGGCGAGTTGAAGCAGAACGTCACCATCTATTACGACGACTTCACCATCCCTCCCAAGAGCCAAGCACCACCGCCCACGCCACTCAAGACCGTGGTAGCGGCGAAACCCGCGGCGGCGCCGGCACCACCGGCACCACCGGCAGCTTCGACCGCGTCGGTAGCACCCCCGCCGGCCCCCCCGCTTCCCGAACAGAAGCCAAAAGCAGCCTCTACCGCTACTACTACCGCTGCTAAAGCTGCCGCCTCTGCTACTGCCGTTAAGCCCGCGCTCAGCATCGCCGAGGAGGCCGCCAAGAAGGCTAAGGAGGTGCATCTTAAGAACCTGCGGGAGAAGGTCTACGGGAAGAAGGGTGCACCCGATGCAAAGGATGGCTCTGCCCCTGCTCCTGCTCCTGCCTCTTCTTCTACAGACAAGAAGATAGATACCCCTAGCTCCACGGACAATGATAAAGATAAGGAAAAAGAAAAGGAGAAAGAGAAGGAGAGGGAGAAGGAGAAGCAGAAGGAAAAGGAGAAGAAGAAAGATAGCCCTGACTCTTCTGAGAAGAAAAAGAAGGACATCTCCGGTTCTACAGAGAGGAAGAAGGTAATTTCTACCTCTGACAAAAAGAAAGAAATTCTTACTTCCTCCAAGAAGGAAAAGGAGAAGGAGAGGGAGAAGAAAGAGGTCTCCGCTCCCTCGGAGAAGAAGAAAAGAGAAATTTCCAGCTCTGCGGACAAGAAGAAGGCGAAGGAGAGCTCCGAACCTGCGAGGAGGTTTACGAGGCCAACGCTCGCCTCCAGCTCGTCGGACAAGACGAAGAAGAAACCTATCTCCACCTCCACCTCCATCTCCGCCTCCTCGGCGGCCGACCGGCTCAAGGGCCTGTCGATATCCAGGGGCGACGACAAGAAGAAGGACAAGAAGAGCGCGGAGAAGGAGAAGGAAAGGAGCAAGGCCAGGACGGTCGGGACGAGCGTGCGGTCGCCACCGGGCGGGACGTTGAAGAGGACGGGCACCGGGGCGGTGGCGGCGGCAGCGGCAGCGGCAGCGGCAGTAGTGGCGGCGTCGGTGGTGTCGGTGGGCAGTAGTAAGGCGTCGGGCCCGGAGGAAGACAGTAACAGGGAGAAGAAGGAAGAGGAGGGGGAGAGCGAGAACAGCGAGGAGAGTGAGGAGAGTGAGGATAGCGAGGACAGCGAGGACAGCGAGAAGAGCGAGAAGAAGAAGGAGGCGGAGGCTAAGGACAAGGATAAAGCCAAGGCCAAGGACAAGGAAGACGAGGATGAGGATGAGGACGAGGATGAGGACGAGGAAGAAAGTGAGGAGGAGAGTGAGGAGGAGGAGGAGAGCGATGAAGAAGAGAAGGCGAAGAAGGACGAGAAGAAGAAATGAGCAACCGTATATTAGCTTTGTAGCTGTAGGGGGGGGGGGCAGTGGCGCGATGGAGGGGGGAAAGGAGAGCGGGGGAGGGTGAGAGAATGAGATAATCAGTGTGGTCTCGCCATCCCTGTGCTTTAAGCAGCAGCAGTAATAATAGTAGCAGGGGTAATAGCCGTAGTCGTAGTTTGTAGTTGTAGTATGGCCTGTTCTCGACGGAGGAGGCATTGGAGGGGAGGGGGAAAGGGGTATTAGGGCCTCGAAGGCTAATGCGGACGTGTGTATAGTAGGCGAGAGAAGACACCAAGCGACATATACCTATAGAACAAGAAGGAGTAGGCAAGCATCTCTCCGCTCTGCAGTTATTTACGGCAAACCGGCTCTTCGCCATGTAGACGAATAGAACTATACCGAGGCTGATTGTTCATCATCTCTTCTCCCCGCCACGAAGTCGATAGATTTGGTACTCGCTACACTACCTCCGCCGGGCCATCATCGTCGGCTCGCTTACAATATATGCATATATGTATGTGGCCGGTATCTACCCTAATTGATAATATCCCTTGGCGTTCTTCTCCCACTTCTTCCTATATAACCACTGTTCGTCCCTCCATCTATCCAGCAAGTCGCCGTCGGCCACCAATCGATCGTTATATCTACAAGACTTTCAGATAGCCCGACTTTGAACCTTGGCTTCGGCTTCGGCCGGCTTGTACTTGCTTTTCGCGCAAGAATCAAATATTGACATGACGAGAACGGGGGAAAGAGCCGAATTTTCCTGTATTATCCTTTCTCTCTCTCTAATATAACCCTTCGTCGTCGCTCGCCGTTCCGTCTTGGAAGCTGCCAATAGTCGCCTTGCCTTTGCCTTTGGACCTGCCGTTCACGCTCCCGCCGGAGGCGTCGTCGTTATCGTTTTTTCCATTCGTACTTCCGTCATCGCTAGCGGTGGCGATAGCCTTCCCTTTCCCCTTGCCGATGCTACCGCTGTTACTACCGCCGCCATTGCTTGCCACGGCTTTGCCTTTACCCTTCCCGATCGAGCCCGATCTGAACGCGTCGTATGCAATGGGGGTCTCTGCGCTACTCCGCTCTTTGCTGCCGTTCCTCTGTCGACCACCCTCAAAAGTGGCCCGAACCCTCTCGTAGTGCGCGAGCTCCCCGGCGCTGACGGAGGGAATCAGCTCTCGGTTGGCCTCGAGGAAATCTTGTTCCGTGACCATGACAGCGACGTCCTCGGGCGTGGCATGATGGTCGAAGAAGTTGGCAGTTGAAACGAGGTGGTGGTGCCCTGCGGCCTTCTCTATCTCCGCATTCATGGCCCGGATCTTCAAATCCACGAGCGACGCTTGTCGCGTGACTGCTTTAAGCATCGCGTCACTACACAGGGCGTAGAAATCCGCGCCCGTGTACGTAAAGGGCAGGTGCTCGGCAACGACGGGAAGTGACACGGTTGGATGGAGCGTGAACCTACGTTGTGATGATTAGCATAAGGACGCGGGGGGTTTTATTATGATTATCAAAACTCTTGAATGAAAAAGAAATATATCAACGTACTTTCTTGTTAGGGCTTCCATGATTTTGAGCTGCTTTTCGTGAGTGTCGGACACGCCTAGGTAGAGCATCTTATCAAATCTGCCAGGGCGTAGAAGCGCCTGGTCGAGTAGGTCTGGCCTGTTCGTCGCGCCGATAACGAACACGCCGCCCCCGCCGTCGTCTCCCCCGGACATACCATCCAGCTCCGCCAGAAGCTGTGACACGATACGGTCCATCACGCCTCCGCTGTCTCCCTGGTTTCCTCGTTTCGGGGCGACCGAATCGAGCTCGTCGAAGAAGACAACGCAGGGTCTCGCGTCTCGGGCGCGTTGGAAGACCCTCCGAACGTTGGCCTCCGACTCTCCGATGTACATGTTGAGCAGCTCGGGGCCCTTAACACTGAAGAAATTCAGGCTGTACTCCGTAGCAATGGCCTTCGCCAACAGTGTCTTGCCGGTACCAGGTGGGCCGTAAAACAAGATGCCAGAACGCTTTTTCATTCCCTTGGCAAACAACTCGGGCCTCTCGAGAGGTAGTTGAATCGTCTCCATAACTGCTTCCTTGACATTATTGAGGCCGCCGACATCGTCCCAGGTAACATTCGGTATCTTTGGCGCGCCAATAGCGTCTGCGAAATTTTTCCTTGCTGCATCTATAGCGATGTCGAAATCCGACTTAGTCAAGCATCTCGCAGACGAGCCGCCGGCTGTCTGTATATCGCGCACGGTCACGGGTGAGTTGTCGTTCGAAAACCTCGCCGACAACGACTCCAGGCGGGAGTCTCGCGCGACGATGGCACGCTCCACTACGTCAACTAGATCACCGGCAACGAGTGCGGCAGTTTTGATGGCAACACCGCTCAGCTCGACCTCGGGGGCAAGAAACACTCCACGATTTTGTACGATGGACCGCAATATGCCTTCGCGTTCCCCTTCGTCTGGCGCGCTCATCTCGAGCTCGTGGGTGAAGAGTCCCCTAATGCCATCGGGAACCTTGTCGACTTCAGTGGTTGTGCCGATTAGCACTCTGGTGTCGTTGAGGATTTCCTTCATTGCCCCTACCATCCTGTCGGCCGTCAGGGCTTCGATGTGGCGGACAAGAAGAGCGCAGCAATCGGACCCGCAACTCATAGCACGATCTACTCGTGCCTTGAGAAGCCCCTCAGTTTTTACATCGCTACCACCCGGACCGCTCTCGTTGACTATATCATAGGCGTCGATGGTAAACGTATGCAACCCGATATCCGCACAGGCACCGGTGGCCACAGCAGCCTTGCCAATGTTGCGCTGGGTTGACACGAGAAGAACGGCTACCGGAGGCATCTTGAGATGGACAGCTCGTTTGCTTGTGGCAGCTGCCATCAGCTCCCTTAGTCGTCGTCTAAGAGGAGGGATATACCTCGCCTGCTTCTGAGTGAGGAGGTTTGACACGGGCAGCGGAGCCTCTTCGACACCCAAGTAATAGGGCCAATTGCTACTCCTCGTGCCCGGCAGAGAGCTCGTGGTTCCGCCAGACTGGGCGATTTGAGTAGCGGAACTGTCGACGCAAGCCATACCGCCCCATATATCCTCTTCTTCGTCTTCGTCGGCAAGGTCAGATTTCTGTCTCACTATATGGCTAATCTTGAACCAGGCGACAGCGTCGGGCTTTGACGTTACGCCGGCGCCAGATTTGCTCGAGCTAGCGAGGGCGACGATGTCGTCAAGAGCCAGGCTGTCGTTCGTACTGGTTGCCTCTTGTAGAGTGCGCCCAAGTTGCGTGTCGATCGGAACACCGACGAGGTCGCCCGTTTTGACCACACGTATGCTTCGCGCGAAGTAGTCCTTCAACCCCCCGAATATAGCTGTCTGAAGAGCCTTCTCTGAAGAGATGGGTGTTCGTATTTGTTGAAGTGTGACCTCGCGAGCGTACGGCGGGCGCGACGAACCGGTGATCTTCGACTGACCCGGTCGGGGGTGCGCCGCCCTCTTCAAGGGGGCTAAGCGAACGTAAGGCGCACCGTCTAGATTCGCAAGTAGAAGAGGAGACATGTACGCCCCTGGCCCCTTGAAGCTCTGGACTTGCGATTCGAAGAAGGAAAATCTCCTGCCATTCATGTCGTGCTTCGAGCTCGGAATCCTGGTCACAGGCCGATGAGAGTAGCCCTCAGGAAGCCCATAAACCTTGGCCGGCCGCCATGTAGGCTCTTCTGCCCCGGGTTGTCCGAAGCTGCCGAGGCCGAAAAGACCGACACCGTTCGCGGGAGGCTCCTCTGAAGCCTCGACGCGGACCCAATCCCCAGAAAAACAACCGATCCGCGTCAGCGAATTTATGTCAACGTATACCCTCATTTCTTCATCGTCCTCGGCCGTAGGCTTGGGGTGAAGCAACTCGGAGGGTATCGGGCGCATCAGGCCATTGGCCTTGAAGAGGCGACCCCGGGGGCGATCTGCACGAGCAGTCGTGGCGGTAAAACTCGAAAACACCGAGGGTGTGTTTATGCCGCTGACTTTCCGCCCACGTCCGATCGTCATTGGCGTGCCTGGTTGCATAGTTGACACGCCACTGGCATTCGTCGTAGGCAGCGTCGGAGCCTGGAGAGAAATTATGTCATCCATCGAGTCATCCGAGAGATCGTCTTCATTCTCGACCTCGGAAACCTCCGTGTCCGTCTCAGTGACGGCCTCCGAGTTGTCGTTCGCTGCATCCGGTCTATCTCCTTCTTCGGTCGCAGAGTAAAATTGGTCATTTGCCGTGTCCTCGTCGTCCTGTTCCGCACCCTTCAACGCTCGGGTCGACGCGATAGCGCCGCGACCCTGCTTCGACGGGGCATGACCTCTCGTTAAGATGATCTTGGTGCTCGGCGCCAGAATACCTTGTGCCACGGGTTCACATAGTACGACCTTGCCCGGTGTAGGGGGGACATGTGTGACCGGGTGTGGCAGGAGGGGCAAGGGGAATAAGTCGCCGTCGTGGACGACCCTTAGCGTGCCTAGAGCAACTCGCAAGGCGGCGGCGAGCTCATCGGTCGGGGTATCGCGTCCCGCGGCGGCTGTCTTTTTACCGGACGCAGGGCCTGTGAAAGAAGTCCCCTCTCCATGCTCCAGCCTTCTTACGAGATCGCTCTCGAGATTTACGAAGACAGTGTCTAGGGCGATGGCGGCGACATCTAAGACCAATATCTCAATACCACTCCTACTATGGCTCGAAAGCTTCGAGGGCGCAATCTGCTGTAGCGTCGTCGCGAAATTCTGCAGGGCAAGGGACGAGGGGGAGAATTGGACGGTCGAATGGGCAAGATCGGCAGATTTGGCGATGGGCACGATAGTCCAATTGGCCCTCTGGGGGTTCGAAGACGGCGTCCAAGGGGCAATGGCAACGTGGTGTATGTCGAGGAGCTCGCTGGCTTCGGCCGCGACGGACTCTGTATGGCGCGGAATCGGTATTAGACGGGGGAGGATCACTCGAGGGAAAGTGGCGGGAAGCTAGAGCGAGGCTCCGAGGCATGCCGAATACTCACCGTCCTGCAGGTGAGGGAAGAGGTCGGCGAACAAGTCGTCGGACAGGATGCCAACGTCTCCCTTCACATGGTCGTCTAGCACTAGCCTGGCCGTGATGGCAGGCTTGTCCTGCCTCCTCCTACGCCTTCGTTTTCGGTGGGCAAGGGGTTGGCGACTCGGGACAGTCATCCCGGAAATATGGAGGGTTTCAAATGATTCAATAGCTGCTGTATATCGTCATGGGGATCATCAGGCAAATCAGGGCCCCGCCAAGTCGCAAAGCAGCACACATTCAAGGTTTCGAAGGATGGACGGCGGAGATGTGCAACGGAGAGAGAAGATTAACAGAAAACACGGACTTCTAAAGGGGCAACGAATACGGTCTACATGCTGATGCCCTAGTCAGAGAGGGGCATGGCCGGAGAGCATCGCGACGGAGTGGAGGGTTGGATGGGATGGGTTCGTGGTCAATGGTCGACGCATTTGCTGGCGTCGCGTCGTTTTTTTTTAAGGTAGAGGCCAGCCTAGGTACCTGCCACCTCAGTAGGTACAGCTGGGGCCGAGGCATTCGCTCCGCCGCGAGAGCCTGTAAAGGTACGACGACCGCAAGCAGGTACGGCTCTCTCGGTGCGCATGTACCTGAGAGGTACTCGGCAGCATAGAGGAAGGAAGCTTGGACCATAAACGATCCGCGGGCGCGCACGGGGATATGGGGCAGCTGGCAGCAGCTGGTCCCGATAGCCTATTATTACCTGCCTAGGTGCCTGGCAGAGTGGTGTATTACACGTACAAATCTACCTCTCATAATAGACGAAATTGAATAATAACAGCCTGGATATGATAGAAGCAGGTAACCAACCAATCTACACTCTGACGTATAGCCAATCTGCACGCACACGTGTCTGGCACACGCCCTCAGCTGTCAGGCAAGGAGACCACTACTGCTAGGCATTTACGAAATGTATTACCTATTGTTACCTGGGGTATCCATGCCGTTTCCTCGAGCGTTGCGTGGTTATGTAACTCGTAGAGTATAACAATGCTGGTTCTTATGCACGATGCATATAACATAATGTGTATATACGTCGTTATGTGCATACATAAAATACCTACATGCTCCCTCGATCTGAATCGCCTATTGCCTTACCTAGGTTAGGTACCTACCTACCTCTCTCAGGACTTGGATTGCTCTGGCGTTGAGCCCATTCCCAGATTGCTACCGACTCTGTCCACACCACGCAACGCCTCCCTTTTCTCCTTTCCACCTGTATACTCTAGTCACACGCGTGTCCTCGACTTTCCAAGGCTAGCTTAGTATGTTGACGTATATTACCAGGTAGTATGTAGGTAGGTATATAGGTAGATATGTTTCATGCCAGGGATCTCCCCGTATTTTATTCGATGTGCGCGTATGCATAGTCCCGTCTTCACCCCATACGCTTTGTTCTATACCCGCCTCCTATTCGGAATTCACATGCCAGCATCTCTCTTGTGGGCCATGCGTGTGCGTGGGGATATACCTACCTACAGGATATCTATGTCGGGTATCCACGATATAATAATTCAATAGAATATATATATCTATATATATATATATATTCACACCTATTCTTCACACAATACCTCCGGTCCACCCTGCCATCCCCCCCTCCCCCCCCTCCTCCCCTCCTCCATTTCGTCGGTGGCGGCTGACCTCATCTGTGTCTCTCCTAACCTCCCGGCCCTCTAGGCCTGTCCCTAACAAAGCCATGGCGTAGTCTCAGGGTTGCTTGTGCCCCAAATCAACTAAATGTTAGTTAGTAGCTTACTAGACTCGCCCGCCCACCTACCTCAACCTTACGATATCGACTTGTCCTTTCCCCCTTTAACTAACTATTTCTATTCCTATTTTATTTCATTTTATTCTATTTGGTCTTGTCATCATTGCCTCACCTCGTCTTCGTCACCTTCGGTGGTTCTCCTTGGTCTACACCCTAACGTCAAGATCAGCAACCTAGAACCCGCGAGGGAACTCTAGGAACTGGCCCACCGTCCACTCCGAAACTACGGGCTCCGGTGTGTGAATGCTGAATCCGGCGGGCGTTCGTTGAGGTATCGCGATGGGTCATCACGCCGAGTCGCTGCCCGCCGGCCCAGCTACTGCTGTTGCCCACACGGCCGTCGCATTCGCCCACCAATCCGAGAAGCTCTCGCTCGGGACGCCAGAGCACGCCGGGAATTCGGACCATCCGGGTGCTGTCGCAATAGCGGCCCAGTTCGTGACACCGCAAGACCCCGTCATCGTCACGGCCGACGGGAGCAGGTTACCTACGGTTCCGCTGGCCGAGGCGCACAAACTCAATATCCTAAAAGAGGAATTGCACGGTCATGTGTCTAACGAGGAGACGGCGGTAGCCGGCCAAACCTCCGGTACCGCGAGTCTCATCACCGCCGATATCCCCGCGTCTCACCTGTCCCACGCCGAGAAGAAAGCACTGCGGAAAGCGTCCGACGGCTCTCTCCCGAGATCGATGCCGCCGACGAACACGCACCCGCTATTCCCTCCCCTCCCCCTGTACGGGCCGCCGTCCCTGCTCCGGAACGTGCAATGCTGGACTTTCCGGGCGTCATCCTTCTTCCTCAGTGCCGCCTTCCTGGGCGTCGTCGTCCTCGGTGCCATGTTCACCAACATACCCAAGACGTGTAACAAGGCCTGGTTGCGTCTCACGTTCCGGAACCCCGACCGCCGGCGGCCCTTCTACGCCGAGGAGGTCCGGAGGCGGAACCTGCGGAAAGAACAGGAGAGGTCGTGGAAGAAGAGGAGCTCCCGGCGTCGGCCGTCCCCGGATCAGGAGAGCACCTCGGGCGACGACGGCTTCGTCCCGACCGAGGGTGGGCCGGACCGCGTCGTGTGCGACGTCGGATACTACGCGCGGAGGGTCGGCCTCGACGTCGAGGAATTCCAGGTCCAGACCGAAGACGGGTTTATCATCGACCTGTGGCACGTCTACGACCCCCGCGAGCACGCCAAGCTGAGCGAGCAGGAGCGGTCCCACCGGGGCCCGGACGTGTTCACGGGGGACGTCAGGAGCCGGCAGCTCGCGGACCCGGACCAGAAGCCCAAGTTCCCCGTCCTCCTGATGCACGGCCTGCTGCAGAGCGCGGGGGCGTATTGCGTCAACGACGACGACTCGCTGGCCTTCTACCTGTGCAAGTCGGGGTACGACGTGTGGCTCGGCAACAACCGGTGCGGGTTCCGGCCCAAGCACGCGGTGCTGGACTACGCGGACCCGCGGATGTGGTGCTGGAACATCCGGCAGATGGGCGTGTTCGACCTGCCGGCGCTCGTGTCGCGCGTGCTGTTCGAGACGGGGTTCGCCAAGGTCGGGCTCATCTGCCACTCGCAGGGCACGACGGAGACGTTCGTCGCGCTCGCCAAGGAGCAGCGGCCGGAGCTCGGCGAGCGCCTCACCGTGTTCTGCGCGCTCGCGCCGGCGGCGTACGCGGGGCCGCTCATCGGCAAGATGTACTTCAAGTTCATGCGCGTCATCTCGCCGGCGCTCTTCCGGCTCATGTTCGGCATCCACGCCTTCATCCCGCTCATGATGCGCATGCACGGGATCCTGCACACGGGCGTCTACGGCTGGCTCGGCTACACCGTCTTCTCCTTCCTCTTCGACTGGACCGACGCCCGCTGGGACCGCGGCCTACGCGACCGCATGTTCCAGTTCGCGCCCGTCTACGTCAGCGCTGAGTCGATGCGCTGGTGGCTCGGCCGCGAGTGCTTCGCGCGCCACAAGTGCATCCTCGCCACCAAGGAGGAGTGGCACGACGAGGAGAAGGACGACGGCGCCGACGCGCCGGCGGCGGCGGAGGCGGACAACGGCAACAGCCACCGCCACCACCACCGGCAGCTGTCGGCGGAGCACCACCGGAGGAAACCGAAGGGGGCGACGGCCTGGTACAACGAGAAGGTCTGCCCATTCGCGCTGTGGGTCGCGGGAAACGACCAGCTCGTGGACGGGGCGAGGCTGCTGCGGCGGTTCGAGAGGGGCCGCGAGCCACACGTCAAGGTGGTGCACAGCAAGACGATCCCGGAGTACGAGCACCTGGATGTGATCTGGGCCATAGACGCGGTGGACCAGGTGTTTAGCGAGGTACGGGAGGTGCTGTGGAAGACGTGCGACGCCCGGGACCGGTGCCGGACGCCCAAGGGCTGCGAAAACGTCGCCGTCTGGGTGCCGGGGGAGGTTCCCGCGGACACCGGGGTGGACCTCTACCAGTCAAGCAGTGATTCGCAATAGCCCTGTCTCCCGCTCCAGTATATACACTTCTCTTTTTTTTTTCCCCTGGGAAGTGTTCACCTGCCGGCTAATATCGGCCGGCGAGGACGACGAAGACGACGACGGCATGATCTGAGATGTGATGTAGAGGATATAATTACAATACCCCTATATATATGCACCTTGGGAGCGGTAGAGGATTGGAGTCGTGGGATGTGTACTGTTGCTATCTGATGAATTTGGGCGCCCGTGGGGGAGCGACGGGCCTGGAGACTATATAACGGCGGTGCTCAAAATACATGTGTGCGTGTTATTCCGTGTTTGGATATAAATGATGCCAATATTACACAGGCCGCTCCGACAAGACGTCGATCACCTCTCTCACCCCGTGAAGACAACCTGTTGAGGGTGGATAGCTCCGCGGATAGACCTCGATGTCGTCGCGCCCCGCGAGACTTGGGCATGTAGGTAATAATACCGCGTGTACGTACCGGTTGGAGGTACCGAGGCGAGCTGCATATATACCTAGGTACCTACTTATGTATGACAATGCACGGTTCGTCTACTTCTTAATTCGGGTACATGCATAGCAGCATGGGGGTTGGGGTAATCACATGCCCGGGCGTTCGTGTATGTTAGGAGGTACCTATGCAAGCGTATATTGGGGATTCGTAGCACGTAGTACATAAAGATCTCGCATGTATACAATATGTTATAATAACATGATAGTACCCGTATGCACACCTACGTAATTAATCAACAGGTTCGGTTCTGTCCCCTGTACCCATGTCTCTACGTTAGGTACATTATCTACGGAAAAGTTGTAGCCGGAAAAGGGTAGAATTTCTACACCGCTCTCCGATGTCACGCTTAAGTAGATATATGCACATGCATGTGCATAATGAAATTGATAAGTGGAACTCCATGTCTGGGTACCTACGTACCTGTGAAGACACCGTACCTCGGGTAGGTACCCCTACTTTATGTACCTCCTACCTTGGATGTGCCTAATGTACCTGTGAGTACTAGTGGATTCTCCAGGATTTCCCCGCAGCAGCCCGAATCCCGCCTGGGCTTAGCTCGACGGCACAGACGGTTCGAGGGTATGGAGAAGATGAAGAACGAAGAAAGGGGAAAGGGGTTGGGGTCCCCTACTTGTTGCACTCGTTCTCCCCGAACCTGGAGTCGGGAACAATAACGATATACACACGCTGTTACAGCACTGAAGCAGGCGTACGAACCCAGCAGTAGTCGTCCTCGAAGCCTCCTAAACAGAACTTGCGTACCTGCGCGAGCGAGGCCCGTTACACGACCACAGCAGAGAGAAAGAAAGAAAAGAAGGACGATAAAGAGTCGTCCCGCGGTACGCGAGACCCCGAGTCCATGCAGAATGCAACCGTAGTAAGGAACCCCAGTAATGGAAGCTGAGCACTTGGCAGCCGGGTCCAATGTAGTAAGGAACCCTAGTAATGGAAGCTGAGCACTCGGCAGCCGGGTCCAATGGATGGGTTTTCCCCGCCCACCCCTTGAGCGGAGAAACCCCAAGCCTGGAGCGCAAGAGGAACAAGTGGAGGAAGAGGAGCAGCGGCAAGGATTCCCGCGGCAGCTCGCGGTTCGCTCCCCAGCGACGTACCCAGCAGGCCTGGCGACTTATCATTTCGCGCCCACTAACAACCTCGGAAGCTCGTCCCTAACCGCGGAAAGCCATGTCATGTGTCCATGTGGACGCGCGGGCGTATCTAGATACAGAAGGATGTGGATAGCCAAGGGGAGGGAGGTAAAGATGGGCATCTTGACCTTCTTCGGGACTTGCTTGTCTTTATCGTGATCACCATCACTGTTATCACCATCACCACTATCCTCATATGTTGCTCGCCTTCGCAAGCAGCTAAACGCATTCGAGCATACATACGGTCGTCGACTTAGACTAGGTACCATTGTCAATCCTCAACTCCAGATTGGTCCTACTACTATTGATAATTACGACTGCTACTACCATTCTTCCATAAATCAGAGCGTCAGCCAAGCACGGGGTGGGAGAAAAAGAAGACGACGACAAAGCGGCCCGGCTCTTCATTGGAGGGGTTCGAAAAACAGAAAAGAAAAAAAGAGAGAAAGCTGTCTTGTTAGCAGCAAAAAAACCTAGGCTAGGACGTGAAACGTCGTCGTCGCCACGATGGTAATCATCAAGTCCTTCCACGAGCCTCTCACGATCCCGGAGATCGACCTCTGGGATCTACTCTTCGAGAGAAAGGACCGGCCGTTCTCCGAAGACAAAGGTAAGTCGAGTTCGGACCTGCTTGGCTAGCAAGAAGGAGAGGAGCCGAGAGGACAATCCTGCCCCCCTTAGACCCCGAAGCACCGCGAGCTTGTTCTAACCCGGAGTGAACCCCTCCCCCTCCCCCTTGGCAGAGATATACATCGACCCGGAGACGAAGCGCTCGTACACGTTCGCGCAGGCGCGGGACGCGGGCGCCGCCTTCGGCCGGGCGCTGCGGGCGCGGTGGGGGTTCGGGCGCGGCGACGTGCTCGGGTTCTTCTCGCCGAACAGCATCGACTTCGCGCCGGCGTGCTTCGGCGCGCTGTGGGCCGGCGGCGCGTGCTCGACGGCGAACCCGACGTACACGGCCGAGGAGCTCGCCTTCCAGATGCGCGACTCGCGCGCCGTCGGGCTCGTCACCCAGGCGCCGCTGCTGCCCGTCGCGCTCGCCGCCGCCCGCGCCGCCGGCATCCCCGAGCACCGCGTCGTCCTCATCGGCGACGCCCGCGACCCCGCCGCCCGCTTCCCCTACTTCGCCGACCTCCGCGACGACGACGGCGACGCCTCCTCCTCCGCCGCCGCCGCCCCCCCGCGTCCCCGCGTCGACCCCAGGAAGGACGTCTCCCTCATCGTCTACAGCTCCGGCACCACCGGCCTCCCCAAGGGCGTCGTCCTCACCCACTACAACATCGTCGCCAACCTCCTCCAGCTCGCCCACGTCGAACTGCTCAACGGCCTCTACCACTCCGGCGGCCCCGACGGCCAGGGCGACAGGCAGATCGCCATCCTCCCCTTCTTCCACGTATACGTAAGTGCCCTTACCCCCCCGCCTTCCCTCACGCTCGACTTAGCCGAGCGCGAAGACGGAAACGGAAAAGAAGAGCGAGCGAAGCTGACCGCTCTGCTCTGCTGCGCTCGCAACCCTTCTAGGGCCTCACGTGCATCGCGCTGCAGAGCATATACATGGGGATATCGGTGGTGGTGCTGCCGCGGTTCGACATCGACGCGTTCTGCGCGGCGATCCAGGCGTACGGGGTGTCGTACGCGTCGGTGCCGCCGCCGGTGGTGCTGGCGCTGGCGAAGCACCCGGCGGTGGCGCGGTACGACCTGTCGGGCCTGAAGTGGATCAACTCGGGGGCGGCGCCGCTGGGGCGTGACCTGGTCGACCTCGTCTGGAAGCGGCTGCTCGTGCCGGTGATGCAAGGGTACGGGCTCTCCGAGACGGCGCCGGTGCTGACCAAGGGCACCGTCGCCGAGTGGGCCCGCTACAACGGCTCCTGCGGCCGCCTCGTCCCCAACGTCGAGGCCAAGGTCGTCGACCCCCAGTCCGGCCGCGAGCTCGCCCCCGGCGCCGGCGAGGGCGAGCTCTGGTTCCGCGGCCCCAACGTCTTCCCCGGCTACCTCAACCGCCCCGACCTCCAGCCCGACACCTTCTCCGACGACGGCTTCTTCAAGACCGGCGACATCGGCTACGTCGACGCCAAGGGCAACTTCTACATCACCGACCGCCTCAAGGAGCTCATCAAGTACAGTAAGCGCCGACCCTCTCTCTCTCTTCATTTCTTTTTTTCTCTCTCGCTAACCGACGGCGGGCAGAGGGCTTCCAGGTGGCCCCCGCCGAGCTCGAGGGCCTGCTGCTGGGGCACCCGGACGTGGCGGACGCGTGCGTGGTGGGGGTGCAGGACGACGAGCGCGCGAGCGAGGTGCCGCGGGCGTACGTGGTGCTGCGGGCCGGGGTCGCGCCGTCGGACGGCCGCGCGGCCGACATCGCCGCCTGGCTCGCCGACCGCGTCGCCCCGCACAAGCGCCTGCGCGGCGGCGTCCGCTTCCTCGACCTGGTCCCCAAGAACGCCAGCGGCAAGCTCCTCCGCCGCGTCCTCCGCGACCAGGCCCGCCAGGAGGACGCCCGCAAGGACGGTGCCAAGCTGTGACCGGCGAGGAGGAGTGAGGCGAGCGAGCGAGCGAGAAAGGAGGCCGGGCCCGCGGGCGTGCGGATATCTTCGTCGGGTCGGCGAGGAGGAGGAGGAAGAGGAGGAGCAGGGGTTTTGTACGTCCTGTGCTATGTCCTTATCGTGGAAGGATGCCTAGCGGGCTCCAGATTCTATGCGTTGTTGTGTCGCCGAAGGGCAGACGGATGAACGCGTGGTGGATCGACAGAAGCGGCGCGCATGTACTTACTAGATAACTCTGCAGATAGGCTGGGCGCCGGTCCGGTGCTTCCTCTCTCCCTATATATATATTTATAGCTCTGGTAGCTCCCGTCTACACACCACGCACGCGCGTAACCCCTACGTTTCGGGGCCTCCCGCCCTCCTTCTCTCTTCTCCTTTCACATTCCTCGGTTAGAAAGTGTGTTGGTACAATGTATAATCTCTCGGGAAGCCGGAATCCCTACAGCGGCAGCCGACCCCCTCCCTGGCGCACCCATCTATACGCGAGCAAGCCGCGAATCCGCCCTCGTCCCTCAGACCAGCTTCTCCGTCTCCTCCAACAACCTCTCGACCGTGAAGGCCGCGTCGCCGCGCGAGAACTCCTCGAGCAGGCGGCGCTTGCCGGCGTCGGCGGGCGTCGCGCCGCGGCCCTCCGCGCCGTAGAAGCGGGGCAGGAGGGAGACGAGCCAGCGGGCGTCGCCGACGGACGCGCCGCGGCCCTCGACCACGGCGCCGGCCATCAGCACGACGGCGCCGCCGGCGGCGTCCCCCCGCGTCGACAGCCCGCCCTCGCCGCCGTCGAAGTAGTGCGTCGCGCTGGTGTGCGGCAGCGCCCACTCGCCGCGGGCCTGGAACTCGGCGAGGCGGGTGAACAGCACCGTCGCCGTGCGCGTCTCCGCCCCCCCGGCCGCGGCCGCGCCCCCCCCCTCGAATATCCACTGCAGGTAGTGCAGCTCCGCCCCCGCCCCCGCCCGCGGCACCGGCAGCACGAACGCCGGGTGCCGCCGCGCCGTCGCCTCCACCGCCGCGAACGTCGCCGCCGGGATCGCCGCGCACAGCGCCCGCGCCGACCCCGCGTGCCGCAGCCGCCACACCGCCGCCAGCTCGCGCTCCGGCAGCGCCCGCGCCTTGCCCAGGTCCAGGATCTCCGCCAGCGGCCGCGCGCCGCCGCCCGGCGGGTTCCTCGTCGCGCCGTAGCTCGCTATTGGTGGCGCTCCCCTGGCGTCCGTCGGCGTCGGCGCATCCCCGAGCACCGCGTCCAGCCCTGGCACCCCCGCCACGCCGTCGCGCCGCCGCACCTCCCGGATCCGCTCCCCGTACGCGGCCCGCAGCGCGTCCACGTCCCGGTACCCTTCCTCGCGCGCCTTGCGGTCCAGCTTCTCCCGGTACTTCTCCAGCACGCTGCGCGACGCCTGCGTCGTCGCCAGGAACCGCACGTCGTGCACGCGCGCCCACCGCCGCTGGCTCGCGCCCGCCTGCCGCGGGCCCCCGCGCAGCAGCACGTCGAGGCGGCCGCGCAGGCCCGGGACCCGCGCCGTCGCCATCGTCCGGGTGGTGCGTAGATGGATAGGAGAGAGGGCGGTCGTGCGAGACGTGCCTAGGTGGAAGGAGAGAAAAAAAATAGGGAATGAATGTTTGCTAGCGGCCTAGGTAATGCTAAACCCGCTCCGATGCTGGTGCTAATGATTGGAGGGCGTAGGTCGGTTGCTGCGTAGGAATAGGAGAACACAGGAGTTGTTCTTCTGCTACGTAAAGAAACTCATCAGACGCTCAGGAGTTGAAGTATCTCGGTATTGCATGTCGGAGATGTCCAACGACTCTTTATCTAATCTGGACCGAAGGTTCCGATGATTACCCCGTTAAAGAAATAGTTGCCGATAGTTGATGCATGCTTGTAGGTATTGTGAAAACCGATATGTGCGTGTGGCGGCCATTCCCGCCCCCCTCTAACCTAGAATCAATTATCTCTACGGCACATGGCCGGTGGAGACGACGAGCTTCCCCAGTTTGCACGCACAGACTCGGTAGCCTATGAGATCCTCCTCGATTGTAAACACCATCCTGTTCGACAACCTAACCGTTTGCTTGCTAGCATGGGCCCCGCAGTAAGAACACGCCATCATGCCCACGGATAACCCGAGCGAGCACCAGGAAAGGCAACACGAAGGAACGAACGCGCTCGTCTAAATCGCACAGCACTCATACAACAGCAGGTCTCGTTCCCGAACAAGACCACCGGCAAGGCTAACCGACATGTAGCATTAGAAAAAAAAAAGAGTACTGGAATTGTCCGTCTTGCTCTCGCGTAAAGGTCTGGTTTTCTCTTCGGACCTCGTTTGTCCTCCCCTCTTCTTTAGAACCACGATACGAATCGTGTGTAAGCTCTTGGGTCCTGGTCTTGATCTAGATCTAGATCTATCTTCTCTCTAGCCACCCCCTCATCTTCCCCACCCTTCTAACTCTTCTAGAGAGTCTATTATAAGGTTATCCCCCATATTCTTGCCGCTTCGCGCCTCTCCGCCTCGGCTTTACTCAGAGACCTTGAAGGTGATGGTCGGGCTGTCCGGCTTGAAAGGCACGCCGAGCTCGAACAGCTTGGTCACGGCGGCGGCGAAGTCCTTGAAGAATAGATCGTTGTCCTTGGCGTACTTCTCAACCCACGGCTTCATCGCCTTGTCCTGGATGAGGGCGTAGTCGGCCGGAAGCATCATGAGCGACTTGGTCTTGGCGTCCTGATACTGCTTAGGACCATCCCACTTGCGCCAGTTCCACTTCTCGTCCAGGAGCAGGCGGTAGTAGTCGTTGGTCAGGACGGTGGGCGAGAAGGTCCACGGCCCCTCGAACCCGCTTCGGTCGGTGTGGCACCGGCCGAGAGCGTGGGCACCGGCGAGGGCCACGATCTCCTGGTCGTTGAAGCCCATGCGGTAGAAGATGTCCCTCAGGTGGTTCGAGCCCTTGGCGCCGTCGGGGAGACGGCCATCGGGGGTGCAGGCCGCCGCATCGTGGTCCTCGCGGCCAGGCCGGAACGGGATGATGGGACCTTGCATCTCCTGGATAGCACAGATCCCACCGATGATCCAAAGGTCACCGTAGCTGATCCAGGGGAACTTGGCTGAGAGCAACAGAATCGGCGTTAGCTTCTCGCTGCTGGTACTCGTTTCACAGAGCGTGACGAACCCCCTCGTCACTCGACTAGTACTTCGAAGACGGAGAAAAAGCAAAAAGAAGGAGGAGGGGGGAACGTACCCTTGACAGGCTCAAGGAAGTCCCGGGCGTGCTTCAGACCAGCGTTGGCGCCGTGGTCACCCTCGGGAGAGAAGCGCATGGTAGCGCCGTTGCTCCCGCCGGTCTTGGTCTCCTTGTCGTAGGTTCCACTAGCATGCCAGGCAAGGCGGACCAGGACGGGGCCGTAGCTGCCGTCGTCGTACTCGTCGTTCTCGTCGAGGCGGCCGGCGATCTCGTTGTAGACCTTCTGGTAGTCGTCCTTTGTGGGCGTGAAGACCTTGGCGGTGACGGAGCCGCCCTGGGTATAGAAGTAGTAGCCGGCGCCGCCGGCGACGGCCGCGCCCGCTACGTAGAGCAGGGCCGACGAGCCCGAGCTCTTGGCGGGCCCCGACGAGTAGAATCGTCGGCCGTTCTGGCGGAAGGCGTGGCGGGACGACGTCACGAAGGTGCTGCGGGCGGTGGTGCGCAGCGCCGCACGGGCGAACTGCCGGGACACGGCGGAGGCGGACATCTGCGGTAAAATCGCGGTCAACGTCAGGTTATATATACGATACGCCCGCAGAGGGTTCTACGGGCCATCTTATGCTTATATTGGGTGGGGGAAAAGGTGCGTCTTACGTTTGGCGTTCCAGATGCACAGCAGAGGAATGCGATTGCGCGTATATATACGGGGAGGGAGAAGGGAGGGGGCGAGGGAGGAGAAAAGGAGAGGGGTATCAGAATTAAGAAAAGTTGACGATTCCAAGGTCAAGCCCCAAGAAGAATGTGGACAAGGGGGGGGGAGGAAGAGAGAAAAAAAAAGAGTCAGAGGGAGAAGCAGCTCAGTCGGCGGCATGTAAGGTCGGGCAAGGCAGGCCGGGTACGTACATATTAAGCCAGGGATTCGTCAGAGCAGCAAGTGCGAGGAGGGCCAAGGCGCTCGCAGATGGAGCCAGAGGCCGAGCTGTTTAGTAAGAGACAATCTGAGGGCGCCCATTGGCTGGCCGCTCTCGTCTTTCCATTCTCTCGGCTTCTCTGGTCGGTGGGCCCATCTTTTAAGGCGCCATCGTCGGCGCTCGCAAGGTCGGGTGTGCTGAGCGGGCGTCCTGGGTCAGTATCGTGGGTAGGGGATATCACCGGGCCTGGTGTAGGTATAGGAGGCAGATGCGTGTTGCGGAGGGGAGCGGAGGAGCCGAGAGTTGGAGCTGTCCTCCTCAGTGACGAAGCATATGATACCTATACCTGCCTTAGGTACCGATCTCCGAGTTGCCATGGGATAGAACTCAGCACCCAAGGTAGCAGGTACTCGATCAACCGGAGCTCGATATCGGCACGTAATTTTGTAGGCATACTAACGGCTACTAGCCGTGTTAGGCGATAGCGCCCGGAAGAATCTAGGTGTTACAGGCCTTCACATATTACCTAGGTATTGTGCTGCGAGGTTACCGTCTACCTCCGAGCTTGCCCGCCGCCAACTTGAGCGATTCCCCTGTTCCTAGGTAGGTGGGTAGGTAGGTAGGTACATAGATATCGCACCAGCACACGTTGGTAGAGACACACGATTGTCCGGGGTCGTCTTTTTGGTCGACGCCAAAACATCTGATGCCAACCTCAAAAGGGCAATCTAGGGCGAATCCGCGCCCGGGGTCGCAGTCACTTACGAAGCGAAGCGGTGGTGGTGGTGGTATTGCTGTGACGGGGCACCTAGGTAGGTAGGTAGGTATGTATGCAACCTACCGTCAACACGCGCAACCCGCGTGCGAAGTTCCCAACAAGACAACACAAGAGAGAGAGTGTGTGTGGCATGCCTACCTACCTACGTAGGTAACCTAGGAAGGTCGATGCCTACGTCGATATCCCGTGTTCGGTGGGTGGGCGAGTTATTCCATTAGCAGGTAATATCGGCGAATTGGCCAACAGGCGGGGCGCGATGTGTGCTGCTCCTCTCCCCGGACACGGCGGGCCACCCACCTACCCCTACTTACCTACCTGCCTACCTCGATTCCAATTCCACGCCTACGCTACACCTACCTACCTACCTACCTACTCTATACCTAGCTTTCGCCCAAATTCTCGACGGACAGGCCAAACGCCTCGGACCCGCAGTGGACCCGCGCTCGCCCCGGCGCCGTCCAGTGGTGACTTGCCGGTTACATAACATGCCTGCTGCTATTTGTCACAGGCGGGGACCCGGCCAAGCATTGGAACGTCTCGTGCTAACCCGCTACGGCCAGGTGGGACAGCTACCTACCTATTAAAGATGCTGGATACGGGGCGCGAGAGAGAGTATGGGGTATGCCCCGCCAGCGATGCACATCAAGATATACCCGTTACGTAACGCGCCACCAAGCTGTTTATACCTATCCACCGTATATTCCCTACTTATCCGTGGCAGATAAAGGCACCGCGTCTACTTACAGACCTACCTAATCTTCTAGGTCCGTTCCGCTGACGTGACAAATACCTAGATAAGTTACGGGCACCGGTGTGGGCGCATGCTAGCTTAGATTAGGCACGGTTGGACCGGTTATGCTCGCCGTGTCCACGCAACGTTATTTTTCTTCTCTTCGGCCGAGGCGGACGGGATACGCAGCCATTATTACCAAGCTCTGCTCAGGTCAGCCAGCGCCGCTGGGGCGGATGCCGATATATCCCCCTCGAGCCTCCCTCGCGCTACCAGCCGAGATGGAAGCCAGCCAGCCAGCCACCTAGGTAGGTACCTACCTACCTCCTAGCTATCTAGGTACCTCACCTATTTGGGGATACACCCAGTCCTTCCGCCGTACCCAGGTAGCCGGAAAAGGAGGCACCGAGCTCCGGGAATCAGGAAGAGGTAGGCTAGGAAGAGGAGGAGGTAGTATCTCGCTTCTTATCTACCTCCCTCCCTCCCTCTCTCCCTCCCCCTCGAGGCGGCGGCAACAAAAGGCAGAGAGGTAAGTACAGGTAGATGCGGTGCCACGCACCCCTTGAGCTTAGATGCCACCCCTCGCTCCCCGCCGCAGCACAGCGCCGCGCATTCCTAACTCTCCTCCAGCAAGAAGGGCCTAGCCCTCCCATCTCCGATGACCGGCCGGCTCGACCTTGCGGCAGACGCACGCAGGTCAAATCCCACCCCATTCCATCCATCCCCTTTGCCTCGTCTCCCCTCACGTACACACCCACCACCACCACCACCACCACCACCACCACCACTACCCCTTTCACCACGAGCCGAGACACCTCTCCTAGGTCCATCCCCGATGGCTCCAGGCCCCCCATGGGAAAAAAAAAAGTTGAGAAAAAAAAAAAGAGGTAGATACGTGTCGACGCACGCACACGTGCGCACGCGCGTGTTCCTTCGCGTGCCGCTGTGCCTACCTGACCTCCTACATACCTACACACCTCACCTACCTACCTACCTACCTCGGGAGAAAAACGCGGTGCGGAGGTTACCTAAAGCACTACAAGTCGTACCAACGTCTCGGGTGCGCACCGAAATCAGGCAACCCCAGGCTCTATAGACCGCGTACATACCATACCTACATTATCTACGCGTAAGCACGTCCGCCTACTTGCTTAGAAATACCGAGGCAAGAGGCTTTTTTTTTTCTCTCATCTTCTCCTTTGTCGAAATTCTCGCGTCATCTTGCCTTTTATTATATCTATATATATAGAGGTAGATATCCTCACGTACAGAACCAGCCTTGATAAGCCTACACCTGCAGGTTACGCGTAGAACGTAGGCGTCCCCGTTTTACGCAACGTATATACGAATCTATCTGATGAGTCATTTTGTGCCTCCGTGGCGCTCGACGCCGGCACCGAGGCCGACACATCCAACCCACGGGGTTCTTTGCTGCTTACCGATAACGCCGAGGAGACCTCGATGAATCCCACGTTGCACATGCATACGTACATACCTACACACCACACCTTAGGTAGATGCCTAACATACACGGCATGGACGCAGAGAGACAGAAGAGTACGGTGGCGCACGTCTCTCTCATCGATGGCCGCCGCTTCTCTCGCAGGAAATGAAACGGGAGTTTGTATTCATTAATGGACGGGGCAGTCGGATCGGATCGGTCAACGGATCGATCTGAATCCCTGCCAGTCGATCGTAGAGAGTGCGCGCGTAACTGGAGCCGCCCCCTTCGCTTCTTCCTCTCCCATCTATGTATGGTCTCGTACTTTTTTCTTTCGTAAGCAGTCAGACCGCCCACCTGTGGCAGCTCCGGCGTCCCCCCAAAGTCATTATACACAACAGCAGGCCGACACACGCACACGCACACACGCACACGACACACACACGCACACGCACACACGCACACAGACACCTTCATATCAGACCCCTCCATACTACCCTCATGCCCAACCGTCGAATCCCTCGTCTGCTTCCCCGCTACCGCCGCCTGCATGTCAGATACGCACACCGGAGACGCGAAATTAAACCGAGTATGATACATGTACATCGTCCTGTCTCGTTACTTATTGGAACGATGCGGTGCCTTGCGCACCCGAGTCTGCCTCCGTGTAGTACTCAAAGTACGCCGGATACCGACTCTCGGCCTTGGCTCGCGTCGCGTCGTCGAGCGGAGTCTTCGACACTCCGTTTTCCTTAACGGCCGCCTCATCGAGCTTGGACAGAGAAGTAGGCCTAGGCAGCGTGTTAGTATAGTAAAGCAGACGGAGCTGAAAAGGGGAGGGGGAGAAAAGAGAGAAAAAGATAATTAAAAAAAAGATAGCACATACCCGTAGATCTCGCGGTCGACGACGAGGAACTGCTTCATCGCTTCCGCGCCGCCCCTCTCTTGCAGGTAAGTAAGGTACGTCAAGAACAGCTCCTTCTTGGCCGCCGACGAGATCCGGCTCTTCGCCAGCAGCTCGTCGAAGATGTGCTTTATCCGCTCGGCGTGCTCCGACTCGACCTCGGCCCCCGTGGGCTGCTCCAGCTCAAACTCGAGCCACTTCTCCCAGAAGTGGCGGCTGTCGGCGTACCACTGGACGTTCTTCGAGAACACCGTCCTCGCCTCCTCGACCGAGCCCTTGATCTTCCACAGCAGGAAAGCCCATCGGGTGACCAAGACCGCCTTCGTGAAGATGTCGATCGGCGGCGCGTCGATCTGCGCCTTGTAGACCTGGATGGCGGCGTCAAGCCCGCTCTGTCGTCTCTCGAGGTTCGCCCACGACACGATCGCCTCGACGCAGTCGGGAAGCTGCGCTAGCACGACCTCGTGGATGTCTCGGGCGACGCCCACGCGACCGCACGACTCCTCAAAGTAGGCAAACTGAAGGCGGATGCCCGGTCGGCTGATAGGCACGAAGATGGTAGCAGCTCTCATGTAAATGTGCCGCACTTCCTCCTCCTTGCCGGGTTGGGCCGACATCCATCGGGCGTATCGGAACCAGAATTCGTCGTAGAGGGCGCATGTGACGATGCAGCGCTCGTAGAGGAACGCGATCCTGGCAAAGTCGTGCTCCGCCTCCTCGAAATCCAGGTACTTGCGCCAATTCGCCAGCTGCGAATTTTCCAACTCGGTGACGTGGAAGTAGGGCCTTTTGATCTCCGACTCATAGGTCCACCGTTTGGTCGTCTCTTCCTGCGTCTTTTGGAAGGTCTCGTAGAACATCGTATCGATTTTCGCACGGATGTCTCGCTCCACTTCGAGCTCGGCCCGCGGCGCCGTGCCGTACGCGGCGCTCTCAGCTTCCACTTCGGCTCGGAGGCGCGTGAGCGTGTCGGCCGGCACCAGCTCCTTGATGGGGCGGGCGTGCGCGAGTTGGCGGAAGCGCTCGAAGTAACGAGCATACTGGTGCATCGGGATATGAATCACTCGCTGCAGGATGGCGAAGATCTTGTCCTGGGCCTCCTGCCTCTCTTCGTACTCGATGTACTTGTCCCAGAAGAGGTGAGCGAGGAAGTCGAGGCCGACACAAGTTGCGGCCCGCTCGAAGAGCCTGGAAGCCAAGATTAGCCAAGACAAAGACGACGGAAAGGGGGGGAGGATTTAGGGAGGATGGGTGGGTAGGTTGGCAAATACAGGAGAGGAGGGATTGTGTAGGCAGCTATTCCAATTCCAAATCAATCCGACTGAAGCGTAGGAGGGCTGAAGAGTGCGACGAGGGTGTTTTTATAAGGTCAAGAAGATGACTCTGTAGGGGACCACGGCCTGGCAGAATCTGTGAGAAAGCATCCAACATGTCATGGATTCTGTTGGCATCTCTCACCGTCGACGACTGGGCAGTCGTGTATGAACTTTGCGTCGTGTTGGGGACCGGTAGGTAGGCTTTGCTCTGTCGGTGGTAAAAAGTTACGGGGGTAGGAAACTTCCTATCTAACTTACTCTCTAACCAGATGGGGGGTGTGGGTGGTCTCCATCTTGAACGAACAGTACGAGGTCCATAGGTCGACGCAATTTGTTATGCTCGCACAACCACGCTCGTAGATCTAGCACGTAGGTCAGCTTTGCCGGCTTGCGGAGCGTTTGACCGGCTGTAAATACCATCTCAGCAGATTCGGGACCGGAAATATTGAACTCGAGGTCGGCGTACTTCTTCCAGTAGCCGAACAGCAGCGGGAACTTGAGGAGAAACCGGTCATAGATATCCCGAAGTGTGGCCAGTGCCTGGGGACTCGAATTGCGATTTAGGCCTCCTTCCTGAGCCTCGCACGCGCGGATGAGCTTTTCCCACGACTCGAAGTTGTCGGTATCGGCTTCCTATTCACGCCCAGTTAGACGGTGTCGCGAGAGAGAGAAGGGGGTGGGGGGGGGGGGGGGGAGGCAGTTTCGTTGCAGGCATAGCATATAGCACAGCTTAGCTTGAGCAACGGAGCGTCTCAGCTACGTACCACTTCGAGGGTCAGCTTCTTGATCTCGGCATTCTCCTCTTCGGAGGTACCAAATTGGTCAAAGTCGGCCATGATGGTGATGTGTGCCCAACGAGTCAGCCCTGACAGCGTGTGCACGGAGGCGTCGTCGAGGAGGGATGGGTTGGCACGAGGCTGCCAGAGGATGATGAGTTCACCACGAGCGCAGAGATTTCACGGGAATGGATATAGTGCTCAATGCGGTATAAGGATTATGAATTGGTGCTGGTTGTTATCCGTCTGCAAGGAGAGAGGCGGTGATGAACAATGGTGGATAGGCGTGTTGTGTGCAGGAAAGGGATAACAATAAAGCCTCGAGATCGACGAACAATATGATGCTCTCGGAAGAAAACTGGTCGGTAAGGTGAAGGAGAGCACATGCAACTCCGACGTAGATGAGGCTGGGAGTACAGGACATGCCGCGTCTTCTTGGTCTGTCTTGGTCCATGGGCATACCTTAATTCGTACACAGTGCACGGGTATGTTGCATAATTCTAGCCCTATCGGGGATAGAGAGTGGCTTGAACAGGCTTATGTACATTTCTACGTTGGGTACCTCCCAGTTACCTGAGGTGCAGGTATGGATGTCAAGGTACCTTTAGTACCTTAGGTACCTAGCCTAAACGGAGGAGAAGAGGTATGACACCAGAGGTAAAGGTATGTACATGTCAGAATGGGAAAGGAAAAAAAAAACCCCCTTGCAAAAAAAAAACAAAAACAAAAACAAACTGAAAAGAGGCATATGTGTCTATTCAATGGGGTCAGCCAACCCCGTCAGAATGAAATCACCAGCCACCTACCACCCGCCACCAGCCGCGCCTCGCCACAGATTTTGGTATGTGGCTTGCAGGCACCCCGGGAGCGAGGCGTATGTACTGTGTACAAGCCCTCCAGCCATCGCTCCGCGGCCGGGCTTGCTTTTCGCAAGCCGTGGTTTGGCCCGGCCAGCGATGAGCGCGACGGCGGTAGTGAAGTGTTGTGTACATACGCGGCAAGCTTGGGGACCCCTTCTCGGACTTTCGTTAGTCCCCCTGTACATATAAGTTAGTACCTAGGTAGACCCGACCTCCCTTAGCGCGACCAAACGCGCGCGCGAGGAGGGAGGATGGGTGCAGAATTTTCACACCTCGTCACCGTGACGCTGTGGTCGAGGCCCGGACGCGGCGTCTCCCGCCGGATGTTCGCTGTCGTGGATATGAGAATGCGTACATTCCGCGGCCGACGTAACCTCCCGAGCCGTAATGCTACCTACTGCGCTATGCCCCGACACGTACGTAGACCTTGCCTGCTTCCCGGCGTCGACTCGGGCCCTGCCCACTCCTCCCCTGATCGCCGTGTCGCGCGACAGCCTTTCCGAGCCGATTCTGATCCCGTCTATGGCTGGTGGACGCGATCGATCGAGCGGATGGATAATGCATACCACTCTCCGTGCCTTTACCCCCTGACCCCAAATCACCCGTCCGTTTCTCTCTTGGGGGCGATTCACATACATACACACACACGCACAAGATAGCGGGCCGGTGATGATACTCTCACAGATACTTTCAATGATAGGAAGAGGGATATCCATCGAAAACATGGAAATGATCTCAAGTTCGAATCTGAGGCCTGCCGCCCTTATTTTTCATCTCTTGTTTCTCTCTCCTCCCTCTTCCTCCGTCACTCCTCTCCCCCCCTCCCCCCCTCTCGCTTACTCGCCCTGGATATGATGGTAGACGAAGGAAAGAGAGAATATACGTAGTTTGGTATACCCGCTGGTAAGCAGTCGTTCCTCGGCTTTCTAGTCTTAGGTGCCTTCAATAGACATGTCGACAGACAAGCTGAGGAACGAGACACTAACCTAAGTGTGATCTATCTTCGGGTGTAGACAGCTCCTTACGTGTCTCATGTCCTAGTCACCAGCAGTTGCCGAACCTCGCAACTTGTATGCAAGACTTATATTATTAACATTACCTAGCCACTCCTCCACTCTCCCATCTTGTCGCCTTCTTGCTCCCCATCTTTGCCCCCCCCCCTTGCTTGCCTCCCCGATTCCATTCCTCTTCCTCTGTCCCCCGGCCTTCGGGGGCGGCCGACTGCCGAAAGAACCACTGCTATATATGCAACAGACATACGTGTGTATGTTGAACAATTTCGGCCATCGACCCCTTTCTCTCTTCCTCTGCTACTCTCCCGTTTCTCCTCCCTCGAAACAAAGAGGCTGGTCTGACACATATTGAATAACACAACAGTGCCCCTTCCCTCCCTTCTGGACTAACTCACTAACGCCATGCGGGTATTGGGTATTTCCTATCCTCGGCCTGGAAAATCTTTCGGAGGAAGGGAGGCCGATGCATGTGTCCGATTCTTCCCAAAAAAAGAAATAGAGAAACAAAAGTCAAACCCATGATACCTCTTCTACCTCTTCGAGGCAAACCGCAGGCATCTATCTGCCCCAGGCAGTGAGGGGAGCCAATCCTCGGCCCGCCCTAGGCGCTAGGTGAAATGCGTGCCGTCCCCAAATACATATGCATAATAGGTATATATATGTGTGCGCGCGCACCGATGCTCGGGGGTCCAGGGGCGAGGTCGTCAACCATGGATATCCGGCCTCTGAACAAAACAAATCAGGGGTATTCTTCTTCCTCTTCTTCTCGGGAGACGTTGTCTGGATCCTTTATCGCACATTCCGGCGTTGTCGTGTTCGGGTCGACACGGGGGGCTTCTAGCTACGGTGTACTGGCTCTTGCTCGTTCGTATGTAGTCTTTCTCGTGGTATTTTCCTGATCACGTCGCCGCGTGACTGGATTTCCGGTCCGGGCCGATCGGTGCCTAACGTATTGCCGTTCTTCTCTAGTAGTTTGAGCGCCCTCTGTAATCTGGACGCCGTCTGGTCAATGGTTAGTCCGGGTTTCCTTCGTTCATCATCATCATCATCGCTTAGGCCTGCCAAGGTCTCCACTGACCCTGGATCAACGTCTGGTCGCAGCAGGTAATACATCTCCGTGGCGCGGGGCCGGGGCTTCTGTTCGTCATCCGATGACGATGCGTACCCGCTTGCGTTACCAAACAGCTTCGATACGATTCGTCGTCGCTTCGAGGTCCTGTCCGGCGGCAAGGCGACATTCTTCAAATGCTTAAAGGGCGCTTTTATTGCCCGGTTGATGCGCATACTCCTAGGGGTCTTGTAATTCTTGGAAGAGACGGCCTCCTTGAGCTTCTTAATGCTGGCTACCGACCGAGGGCCTCGGTTTGTCCGTACAAATCCTGACGACCCATCCTCCGTAAGCGGTAGGTACGACACCTCCGTATCGACACGGGACGAGCACACAGCGCAGATGTTGGGGTTCTGGTTGTCTGACCGTCCCGTGTCAGGCGTGGAGGTCTTAGACCGGGGGGCTTCGGACGAGGCCAGGGGCCGACGAGCCGATTGGGCGGACGGAGCCGATTCGGGGTGGTTGTCGGAGCTGTCATTAGAGGCGGCAGGGTGAGATAAAGCTATGTGATGCTGAGATAATTCGGTACGGCTGTCCGAGCCCACGGCAGTGCTAGACGAAGATAGCGGTGGTGCATCTTTGCTAACGCGATTGCTGCCGAACCCGGACGCCGTGGCTGCCGAACACACGCAGTATTTCCGGGCCCTGTTCACCTCAGTCCGCCAGATGTCGATCCGATCGAATTTAGGGTTCGACGCCGCGGGCCGCGGTCTCGGATGCTGGGGGCTCTGTAGGAAGTATCCGGCATCTGCCATCTCGTCCACAGGGGGGGGGTGGGGGAGGCGGTTTGCTCTGGCAAGTCTCGGATGGGGGAGCGGGAGGGTCTAAGATTGTTCGCAGGAGGCCGGGGCCGAGGCCGCGTGATCTCGGGGGGGGGGGAGTGCGGCTGCTGTGTGTACGTGCTGCGCGTGTGTGCGTCGGCGATGTGATAGGTGGTGAGACGTTGTACGGATGTATGAGAAAAAGTGTGTAATAAACGGTCAAGGAGTGCTAGAGAGGCATGGAAGATGTGTGTGCTTGTGAATGTCAACGCGGCCAAAACTACGCGGTTGGTATTGGCATGGTAGACTTTAAACCACGGCGTTCTCCGTCGTCCAGGTCATCTGCTAGTCACTGGTACAGGGGAGGCCTTGTGGCAGAACAGAGCAGGAGAATCTCATGACTCTGTAGTCGGTAGACAGTAAGTCGGTGCATTGGGGGCTCTCAGGGGTTGCTCGATTGGGGTGGGGATTTTTTAATAAGGTCGTCGAGGCGTGGATGGATAGCGGCCTTGCCCAGGTCCAAGACCGAACCAGACAGGAGGTGCGTATGGTAAAGTGAGTCGAGAGAGACAGGGGAGGTAAAAGTCGGTGCCAGTCCCCTTATCGTATCGAGATTGTGACGTCGAGTCGGCCGGCGATTCCTCGGGCTCTGGGCGTAACAAATCGGCAATATGTGAAGGCGAGTTGCGGTCTTGCGAGCCCTTCTCAAGTATATGTGTTTATATACAATATAGACATGGAGAGACCAGCTCGGGTGTGTATTCTATAGCAGTAGGTGGTTGCATTCCACGGCTTATTCAACAGAGGCGGGAGGTGGGTTTCCTAAATAGGCCGTTGGGGTACCGCACCGGGGGGTGGGATCTTGCAGGCGCCTCCTCGACCGAACGCCGTAGGTACCTACCTAGAGGTACCTAAGTACCTGTGGCAGAAGGAGGTTACCCAATGTACCTACCTAGTACGAGTGCAGCCCCAACACATTTCCAGTGTCATGTCTTGGCCAGTGCATAGCTTGCTTGTACAAGGTAGGCGCGGTACCTGGATGCAGCAGGCTACGTTAGACTAACGCGCGCCTACCCAAGTACCTTAGATAACGAAATACATATAGGACATATCTTAGGTACCTATGGTACTAGGAGTCCAACAGCACGCTATATGAGTACAACAGACATCTGACAGCCTCACCCATGCCACGAGAGTTCATAAATACAACAAGGAGGTCTACGCGCCTCCCAACATATGCATAGGTACGTATGAGTATAGGCATAGGTAGGTACCTATATATCATACTACTACCGTATGCTATTGTCACGTATCTACTATGTCAAGTCGGTCACCTATTCATCTGCCTATATACCCTCCGGCCCCCTCGGCGAGGGCTTCCCTAGGTACCTTGCCTACAAACGCCTCTCTCGACCCTCGTTTTTTTCTCAAGCCACTTTTAGGGGGGGCTACTAAGAAGAAAAAGAAGAAGGAAACCTCGTGGGTCCCGACCGGATTCGTCGGAACGCATCTCGCATAGACTATACATGCGTGCTCCCCTCTCCGAAACGCCATGCTACATTGGGACATTGAACGTGTCCCGGCATCCCCTCCGGATACAGGAATAGTGCTGCCGAAAATTCGAAATACCGACTACCCAACAACAGGCTGCGCGCCAGCAGCTTACCAGGTCTAGCTGGGCCTTAGCGTCTCCCACCCGTGCATCTCGCTACCGCCGTCGTCGCCGAGGAGATCCACCGCCGATGTGCTCTTCGCAAGCTTTAGGGACTGCGCGAACTGGTGCGCCGGCGCCGGCGGACGTGCTGGCAGGGTCGGCTTGCGTTCCGTCATCCCCAGCCCGGGCGGGCCAACCTTGGCTGGAGGTGTGCGGGTAGGCGAGCCCGATTCTCCCTTAGAGAAGTCGCGAAGCGCGTTCCCATTCGCGCGCGGTGCGGCCGAGTGCGTCTGGAACATCGCCCCCCCCCTCGATGCCCCCGACCTACTCGCTTCGAGCTTGGATGTCAAGTTAGAGATGTTGGTTGCCGGCTTACGCGGTATTGGCGGCTTCGGTATTTGGCGGTCTAGGGGCAGGCTAAAGTCCTGCGTGTCGAGGGGAGAAGGGCTAGACGTTGGTGAAGTCGATATGAGATGGGCCGGCTTTTTGGCTACGGGCGGAGGCGCCTTGGGTTTGTTGGCCGCCTCAGAGGACGAAGCTGAAGAGGCAGCCGGCGGTTGCTGCTGTTGTGGCACCGTGGGCTTCAACGGTCGCGTGGCGGACTGGGCACCCACCGATGTAGGTGGCTGAGAGTATTGGCTAAGACTGGTGGTGGTCTGTCTCCTCGGCGGCGGCGGCGGTGGAACCTCGTTCTTATAGCTAGGCGCGACCGCCTGATCGTCTAGCAGACTGATCTGGCCGACCTTCGCGGGCAGAGTCGTCGGATCGTACGGCGGCGGCAGCTTCCTGAACGACGAGTTGGACGCGGCCGACGTCGAAAGAAGGGTAGAGTGGTTGATATGCTCGTATGGAGACGTGGATATGCTAGAGAACGAGGACAGCCTCGAGTTGGACCGTGGGATGGCAACCCAGTCTGATTCCTCGGTGGGGATAAACGGGTTCGAAAGTCGGCTAGGATTGAGTATCATCGTAGAATTATCACGATTCCCGTTGGCTAGTTTTGGCGGGCCAATCGTAGACGTCGCCATCTTGCCGTTATCGAGCCACCATCTTTGCCGGTCGGAGCTGGCGGGTGGTAGACCCGGCTCGATTGGGTCGTACCCGATGAGATCCTCGTCGTCTTCCGAGTCGTCGCTAGCCAAACCTGCCGCCGTGTGGCCGACTTCTGCTTTGCGCCGCTCATACAGCTCCCGACTGATCCGTTCCCGGAGCGCCTCGTCCACGATATTCACGGCGCACTGGAACGTTGCGAACACCGGGCGATGATCCGAGAAGCGCAAAGGGGCACGGTTGTATGATAGTTGCTTTATATTCGTGCCCTTGCGTAGGATTCGGTCTGTCCACGCCGGGATACGCGCCTTCTCGCTGCTCGGGATTAGCTATGGTTGCGCGACGCAGGCGGCGGCATAACTTACGATGTGTCATACTGATCGGTGCCGATATCGAATTTGTATGTTGGCATGAAGGTGATTTGCGCTTCCGAGTAGTACGGGAACGAAAGGCCGGCAACCATTTGCAGGTTCAACTTTCGATACGTGAGCATCTACCATCGCATCGCTCGACGGGATCCTGGGCACGTACCTGATCGTTTTCGTATAGCTTATCCAGATCCTGTTTCTGGATCAGGTCCATGACCCTCTCGCGAGACAATCCAATTCGGTAATTGAAGTCCCCGAGCCAAACCACAGTGTCTGCCAAAGTTCGTTAGCCAACTGACCATCCTACTGTGCGCGCTATCCCATCGTACCGTGATCGTCGATGCCTCTGTTCCGTTGGAACCGCAGCCCGTGGTGAATCGTAGCGTAGTCTTTATTCCTCTCGTCGTAATTGGCGAATCCGGCAGCGAGATGGGCCGTCACGAAACACAGCTGAGTATTTGCGTAATCCATCCGGATGGCGACCGCGCCCTTGTTTCCCGCTATGCCGGACATGCCCGTCTTCTTGACGCTGCCTTCGACGTTCTTGATCTTGGGGAGGACAGAAGCTCTCACGAAGATGCACAAAGCTGCCCCGACGAGCTGTCCGCTTCGAAGCAAGACGTATTTTTCCCCTCCGAGTTGCTTGGCACGATCATTTAGTGTCTTCTTAATAGCTCTCTCCCACTGCTGTTTCCTGGTGGGATCGCTGTTCATGATCTGTTGAGCGCTCAGTTCGACAATCTCCTGGAAGCCCACAGCCATGATCTCAGGCTGTACGGAGCCGAGCTCGGGAGGGAAGAGCCAGGGAGACAAGTCGTCGCCGATGCCGTCTGTACGCCCATTCAGATTGAAGGTACCAACCCACCTATATCACGCAGGTCAGCGCTGTTCCGCGATATCCACTGAGAACATATCGAGGCTTACATGATAATATTTTCCATCGAGGAGTACTCTGAGCTGCGCTTGCTGAGTTCGCCGGATATGTAGTCGCTAATCGGGTCGAAGAGATGGACGGGCGCCTGGCCCACTAATCTTCCCAGGAGCATATCGATCGTGTTTTGCCTTGCCTTGTCGGTAAAGTTGTTGATGTACAGCCTTGTAGCACTTTTCCGAGCGTCCGCAAAGGCTCCGGCCAGGGACATCTTACCATGCCTCGTGAAGGAAGATTTGAGGGCCCCCGTGCCGGCGTAGATCCTCGAAAGCGCGTCGCCGTTATCGGCCCAGAGAGTAGAATGCCGCGACCAGAAATCCGACGCAGCATATTCATCGCGGTGACTTAGGAATGCCTCAACTGCCATTTGCGAGATCAGTGTCTGGATGAGATTAGTCCTGTCCAAGCAGTCTAGACAGTTCGTCCGAAACACTCCTTCCTGCTGGAGCACCACGACCATCCTTTGGTGGCTGTTCGGTTCGTTAGCCTCGACCATATCGTCCGTGAGCTCAGCAAGATAATACGCGAACCCCTCCGCAGAGTGCCCGATGTAGCGCCGAATCCCTCGAGCGGCCTCGTATCCAGCGGTCTTCGTTTCTGCGTGGAAATCGTAGTCCGATCCCCGTAAGAGCGCATGATCAGAGGACTGCTTCTCCCCTACGCGACTCAGCGAGCAATGCTGCAGACCGTAGTGGAACAGGGTTGTAAGCTCTGCCTCGCCCGGTTTCGTGGCGCTGAGCAGATTGACGACGTGCACGGCGCCGTACGACTGCTCCAAATCCTCGAAGTGCTTATCGAACGCTGGCTGCGTCCCGTCGGCCGAACGCGTGATAGCGATCTTCTGCTGACCGGGGATGAGGCCCGGAGTCTGCTCCCAGAACACGGGTACCGAGCCGCGAACTTGCGCATACGAGAAGAGAATACCGGAGGGGCTCCAGTATATGGTTTCCGTCTCGACGAAGTTGGCCACATGCCCGTCATCATCGATGCCTCGACTATTGAACCGAGTTCCGGCCCGCCTACACGACAAACGGGAAATGACGGTGAGGTAGGAGGGGAGGCCGGAGTGGGCGTCCCTGAGCGGGGCGGACGTCTGCGGGATGGTCATGGTCGAGCAGAACCCCCGTATCGCAGACGTCAGAATCCTGGATGCGTCGAGGGTCTCGCGCTCGTGTCCGAGGAGCCGGGATCGAAACTGTACCAAGGGGCTAATCATGAAAAAGTTCCACAAGAAGGCATCGTCGAAATTGTCGATGTCGAACGTATCCGAGTCTATCGGCCTAGACAGCACATGTCAGCTGGGGGTTCTCTGTCTCCGACCCGTGTCTACCTAGGGACGGGAGAGCGGCCTAACCTGTCCTGTAGCCTATTGGTCAAGTCGAAGTCGGTGCTGTAGTAGAAGCTGCCGTTGCTCAGCAGCTTCTGCAGCTCTTGGTACGGGTATTCTATCTCGCCCTCTCTGCGACCGAGGCCCGGGCCGTACGCGGCGGACGTGGAATCCGAGGGGTCGCTGTCGTATGCGTTGAGCGAGATGGCGTAGTCGTACTCGGCGCTGCTCAGGCAGAAGAAGTCGACGCCGCCGATCCGCTCGACGGTCTCGCCGGGCCGCAGGGTGGCCACGCGCGAGGCCTGCGTGATGACGCACAGGAAGACATCGCGGTTGATCGATATCAGGCCCAGCGTTCCGTAGATCGGGCGAGGGGTTAGGGGTCGGAAACCGCGGAGGAGCTCCTTCGAGACGGGCGAGAACTCGACCATGCACTTGGGCGCGGGTCCGTCGCTACCGGCGCGGAGCCGCGCGGCCGACGCGACGGGCGTGAGCGAGCCATCGGCGATCGCCTCGCTGGTGGATGCTGTGTACCGGAAGATCAGGGCATGGGTCGACGTGGCGATGGCGATGGCGCGGTGAGGATACTCGCGGAGGAGGAGCTGGCTGGCTTTCTCGGTTGACGACGCTGCGGTGAAAGTGCGAGGCGGCGGGGGGAACTGATCCATGCCGACTGAGCAGGACAGCGGGAAGACGGCGCGGGCTGTTTCGAGGAAGCACACATGCTACTAGAAGCGATTCCAAGCAGAGCGGTTGGAGGGCGTGGAGGGGGAAGCTTTTCTTTTTTTCTTCTTCTTCCTCCCTCTCTCGCTCGCTCGCTCGCTCTCTCTCTTTTTTTCTTTCTTTCTTTCCTTCCCCTCTCTCACAAAAGCAGCATTCTAATGGGAAGGAAGTACAGCTGGTGGTAAGAAGTACAGGTGTACAGTACAATGCATAACAAGTTGTATTGGAGTTATGGAGGGATGTACGTCGGGTTAGTAAGACGGGGGGGAGGGAAGTAGGGCTTGTGACGTTGCTCCTTTTCAGGTTCTCTCGGCGTTGCCCACTTCCAAGGTCAGCCCTGCCGCGAATTGGCGAATTGCCTAGTACGGGACCAACTGCGGGGCCTATACGGATATTAAAAAAGAAAAGAGGGTCGGATCAACTGGGGGGGCGCCGCCGGTCACCGAGTGCCGATGAGGCTGAAGGGTGAGGCTGACAGGCCATTGGGCGCGACAACTCCGGTGCCATAATCACAGGCTCAGACGCTTCCAGCCAAGTGATACATCGGCAGGCAGCCCTGGGTGTTAGGTAGAGGTATTACCTACCTAGACAGCTACCTCGTAGCCTACCCGCCCCGTAAACACGCTTATCGTTGACCCTATCGCGCATTTCCCACATCTCACCCTTGCCGCCAACCAGAGCCAGAGCCAGGCCACACAACCATAACAAAGCATAAACATGTCGGTCGATAGCATCAGCCCATCCTGCCTTGATAGGACGTCTACAAAATGCCGGCATCTACCTAATGTGCTGCACATAGGTACATACTACACATACATAGCCTAGAGGCAGGTATACAGGACCGTATCTATGAGAAGCGGGGCACAGCAAAGCCAAGACGATCATGCAATCCGTCCCTACATGCCTGCAGCGTACCCAGTACATGACGAACTACCATGCACTGACCACAGTCGGCTTGAATAGAGGTGCAAGTGTGAAATGCCGACGCGACCAGTACCAAATCGCGCCGTGGGTGATCGCGAGACGAATGGATTCCACACCGCGATCATGATCCTGTTTGATAAGCTTAGAGGGAGAGAGGGCAGCGGTAATTCTTCCAGATACACCCAATCCTACCTCTACCCGGTTCTATGCATGCATACAATGAGATAGAAAGCCGCAAATAAATGCCTGCCTGCCTGCCTGGTTCTGTGCTCCAAAGACACGCCCTGCCTTACGAAAAAGAAAAAAAATCTCGCAGCGCGACATGGCCGGTCACTTTACTATCTCATACGAGAGAGAGCGCGGCAGTGCAAAGGGAAGGCTGACTGGCTCGAGGCGTCGTGTCATACAAGTGTCAGTGGGATGTGAACTATCACCAAGTCCTACCCACCACCATCACCACCACCACCACCACTGCTGCTGCTGCTGCCGCCGCTGCTGTCGCTACCATTACTACTAATATTACTATAGCATCACGATGACTCCATAGACGACGCGTCGTGGGTGTTGAGTTTTTGTTTTTATTTCATGTCGGGAATAGGCATTGCAGAGGTGCTGATGGGCCATCGACGGAGGCGACGCGCGTCGACGTACAAGTCCAGCCTTGACCCTCTGTAGTCTGTTTGGGAGCAACAAATCGGCATTGCCCACGTCGTTTGGTAGACCAAGGCCTGGATAATCTGCCACCCTCCGCCCCAAGAAGTGGCCGTGTAGTCTAGCAAGTACGTGCGACGCACACACTCTAGCATACGAGACCAGCTGCAAGGGGTTGTGCCACGTGCCGACCAGAGTAAGGAAAAGTGAGATATCTCTCCTCAAAAACCACAAGAACAAATGGGGGGGGGGGGGGGGGGGGGGGGGAGATGTATGAAATTTGTCCACACGACCATCCAGGGGCCCTCGCAGTCCCTGTACACACGGGGGTAGTTGGAAATACAGCCATGGTTGTGGAAATGTGTATTGTCGAGTACAAGGACATACTATAACGTAGCCTTTACCGACGTATCCTCAGGTGAAACGCGACCAGGGAAACCCCTTCGCATTCTCCAGTCCTGCATCGAAAGCAACTCTTGCACCACCCCTCCTAACCGATGCCATAAGCCCTTCGCCAGCTGGGTATCAACGGAACCCCGGCCCTTTGAGAATGTCTACGGAGTATCATGTTCAGCTGAGGAAAGGAGGTGTATCCGTCAAGGCATATCTAAGACTCGGGGGCAGGGGCGGTCTCCTCCTTGGGCTTCTCAGCCTCCTCAGCCGGCTTCTCTTCCTTGGTAGCCTCCGGGGCGCCGGCACCCTCGCCCTCGGTGCTCTCTGACGAGGTCCACAGGGTCAGGTTGTCACGGAGGAGTTGCATAATGAGGGTACTATCACGGTACGACTCCTCGGACAACGAGTCGAGCTCAGCAATGGCATCATCGAAAGCCTGCTTGGCAAGGTGGCAAGCTCGGTCGGGAGAGTTGAGGATTTCGTAGTAGAAGACAGAGAAGTTGAGAGCGAGCCCGAGGCGGATGGGATGGGTCGGGGTGAGCTCAGTCTGGGCCACGTCGGTGGCGCTCTAAGGAGAAAACAGCACGTTAGGGTCTGCAGATATCGCAGAGATGGGATCGCCGGCCATCCCAACTCACCTTGTAAGCCTCATGCGCGGCGGTGGCGGCAACCTTTCGCTTCTCACCAGACGCGAACTCGGCCAGGTAACGGTGGTAGTCGCCCTTCCTATTAAGGAGAGGACGGACGTTAAAATCTTGCACATTCCAGATAGCAAAGGAGGGGGGGATGCGTAGCAACTGACATCTTGTGGTAAAAGACCTTAGATTCGCCGGTAGCAGCGTTGGGGATCAAGCTCTCATCCAGAACATCCAGAACATCTTGGCAGACCTTCTCGAGCTCAACCTCGATCTTGTTTCGGTACTCACGGATGGTGGCGACGTGCTTGTCAGAGCCCTTGGACTCCTCCTTTTGCTCGATCGAGGAGATGATTCGCCACGAGGCACGGCGGGTGCCAACCACGTTCTTGTAGGCAACGGAAAGGAGGTTGCGCTCGTCGACGGAGAGTTCTCCACCCAGCTTGGCCACCTCCTTCATGTAGGTGACCATCTCATCGTAACGCTCGGCCTGCTCGCAGAGGCGAGCCAAGAAAGTCTTGCTGTGGCGGGAGGCTAGTCAGTCTGCGTGTTTTTTTTCAGGCGAGCGTCCTCCCCGGCCCTGCCGCACGGAAAGCGGAGAGCCAGAGGGCAGGACCGGGGAAGACGCGGTGGGTATGCGCGGTGTGAACGAACCTTTCACGCTACACGGCGGGTGGGAGAAACGTTAGCGAAGGCCGGCAGGAGAGGGTGCGAGACTGGCGGTACAGCCCAAAACGAGGTTGTGCAATCGGGTGGTGTGCGGGCGCGGCGAAGGCGAATGGCACCACGGCCGAGACACGGCCAGGTCGTCGAGGGGGGTAGGCTGGAAAGGGGAGAGAGAGACTGTCGGAGGAGCGAAAACTTACTTCGGTGGACATCTTGGACGGATAGGAGGAAGGATTCTGGATAGAGAGGAGACAGGGAGATGATGGGCAGATGGGAGTGCAAATGGGCGGGTAGGTCGTTTGTCTGCAGGTTTCGCAGGTTGAACACGGGAGAATCGAGGATTGTTTACAAGTTCCGCTGAAAGTTAAGTATTGAAAGTGAGGTTTAGGTGGGAGAGGAGAAATCAGCAAGTTGCGGCCGGGCCTGCCACTGCCAGGTGCAAATTGCGCCCGAGTCTCCAACTTTTGGCACCTGCTCCCGCTTGGCTATGGCGGAATGGGAACAGATAGAGAGAGAGGTGTGTAGGTACGGTACATCGGTACGCCGGTACTCCGGTACACGAATACGTGTATTGGGGTACTCTTCTGATCGCCTGGCTCGGCCGTTGCTCACGAGTACCCGGTACCACCTATGTTGCAGGCGGCGGATGTACCCAGATAACTTATCCAAGCGTGCCTGCCTGTAAGGTACATTAGGTACATATACGTACTGTGCCTCTCGGCCCCCCGTCGCTGCCCCTCATTACCGTCTTCGGCCGCGTAGAACCTTCCATTCGAAAGGCACGTATGAGAGGTATGTATACCTTAGGTGGTACATATTTTGCACAAGGAACAATGCCTCCTTCGCAGGTACCTAAGGTTGTTCTCGTTTACGTCCGTTTACACATCTAGGTACCTAGGTCTGTATCTACAGTACCTCTTATATGGACTGGGATGTATGGGAGGCTCTCATACGGGCACTTACCCAAGGGAGGCACATACCTTTTCCATTGAAGTATAGTTGGTACGCCTACGGGATGCGATAAGGCAGTGGGTACCTAAGGTACCTAGGGGTATTGCTCGCAGTCGTACGCGCGCATACGTAACGCGCGATGCCTACAACTTCTACATGCCCTCGGGCATTGGCTTCATTTTTCCCACGAAAGCCGGCTGCCATGCGGTACCATATGGAAATGCAATGCCAATGCCCATCTCTCTGTCCCTCGCCCCCAAACGGTCTGGCAATTCCAGTTTCCAGTTGCCAGACTAGAAGCAGCCATTGCCTTTCCCCACTATCACCCGCCTCGATGCGACGGGACAGGACTAGACCGACCAGCCCCTATCTATATAAGCGTATCATCCTAGTTGAGAGGGGGAGCGAATGCGCTGTGTCTGTCTGGCCCAAGGGTCTCCTTTAGGGGACTTGGCCTAGGCCCTAGGCCCTCTCCTCATATATCGCGATCGGGAGATAGGTATCCAGGCCCTTCTCAGGCCTTTCCTATCCGTACACAGAGGCTCTGCCTGTCTCAGGACCGGCCGGACCGGGCTGGGCATTCGCTTCGCAACGAGCAACGAGAAAATGCCGAGTCCCCGCCTACCAGTGAGTTCTCGTTAAGACGTGCTGACACGCGTCTGGCTTGCAGCGAGGGTCGTCGTGCGAGTTCGCTGCGGGATGAGATAAGAAAGGAGAGGGACCAGAGCTGTGAGGGGCAATACTAGTAGATAGGTAGGTAGTTCCGAATCACTACGGCCCTCTCTGTCAGCGTGGGCGAAGAAGGGAGGAGAACACTAAAAAGGTAAAATTTGACGAAGTCAACAAGAGACAGAGAGAGGGGGAGGGCTCCGTGTTGCATCGTTGTATTCTGTTCTCTTAAAGACAAAATGTCTCGAGTATAAACGGCCTTCACAACCAAATCGATAGGATGGGGGACTGTGTGCCTACCTCCTATTATATGTAGGTATTCGCACCGGCAAAGTACCTCAGGTGCGAAGCATGACCGTACGGCAGCCGGACGATGAGGAAAACGCAGAAAATGCATACCTAACCTCACCTATCGTTCATGTTAGACAGAGTGGTAGCAGCGGGATTGTAGGGCTAACCAAGGTACCTGGTATAATAGGCGGCCACAGGGAGGACTGTAGGTACCTAGGTAGGCATGCACATGCGTATTGCACATAACGCGCTTCCGCTTCTACGGGGATCCAGAACTTCCTCTCCCCACCGCTAGCTATCCTCGACCCTCTTCTCCCCCTCCCCCCTCTCTCTCCCCTTTCCTCTCCTCTCTCTCCCCTTTTCTCCCCCCATGCACCATCGTCTTATCGTGTGGCCCATCCGGCCAATGCGTTGTCACCACTTTCCCAAGCTGAGCGGTGTTGGCTGAGTTGGCACCTTTTTCTTCCAGTCACGAGTCCCCCCTCCTCTCTGCCTTCTTCTGCCTCCCCGTCCTCTTCCCCCTTCCACACACACCACCACAACACGGCACGGGCGCGAGAGATCTCAGATCCAATACTAAACCGTACTTTACTTTGCCTACCGTCTGCGACGAGCCTTTTTTTTCCTTCTTTTCCTCTCGACGGACGAAGAAAAAATTTTCAGTTTGGGTCCCATCGTCGTGAACCTGTTTAGTCGAGCCCTCCTCCCTCCTCCTCAACCTCTCCCATTCTGTCGCCCGCGCTCCCTTTTTCCCCTCCGTCTGTGATGCTTCCCACCGCCCTACCGCCAAGAGAAAATCCCACAACTTCTCTCGAGACCGCCTCAATTGATTGCTCTCATCCTGGTAGGTTTTGCATCCGGCGCCTACATATACATGTACATGCATACGTACATGTAGAAACACCCACGCGCCTATGGTATACGTTTCGATATCTTTGTATCCATACACGAGTATATTCCGTGGGGGGAAGGCGGCAGCCTCGTCTTACACATAATACACCACAACAAAAAGCAAAAGATATCCCTATATCCTGTCTTTCTCGCCTACAATCCCTCCTTCAGGGCCAATCAGAGCCCTCGTGATATAGCCGTCGGCTCACAGGCTTACTTCAGCTTCGTCAAACCCCCCTTCCTACCCTCCTTCGTAAGGAGACCAAGGATGAGAGCATATTAGAACGTACGTTTCTAGGAGGTCGCGTGCCATCTATTTTTTCCTCTGCTCCCTATAGATGACCAAAAGGTATCCTACTGGTGTGATCGCTTCCGAATTATCTACCAATCATACCAAGCGCGCATTAAACATTAAAAGGCGATGCATAACATCGCTGGCCTACCCTACAAAGTATATGCTTCCTTTGCTTCGTATATCCGCGCGCCCTCCAATAAAAGAAGAAAAGCCGGGTTAATAAATAGGTCTCCGCCGCACGCGCTGAAGACGTATCAGACCCGGCCAGATAGGGTTGAGTGCTCTATCGTAGTTTGACTCGATACGGCGGTAGCAGTTTTTTGTTTTTGTTGGTTGGTTGGTAAATCTCTGCTCATAACTCGTCACTCGAGGGGGTCGTAAGATCGGGATACCTGCCCCTACCCCAGTCGATTGGGTCACCGCCCGGCACACATAAGCCCAGCCGCCAGAAGTAGTCTCGGTGGGCGAAGAATAGCTGCCACAATTTGAACCGAGTCGGGATGTCCCAGACCCCTCGGGTCCGTACATCTACATCTTCGTCGCTATTCTCCTCCACCTCCTTCTCGCCAATGAGCTGCCTCAGGTCTCTAATATATTCGCCTGCCGAACTCGCAATACATTCCGGGTCGGTGTCCCCTATACACGGCCGGATGTCCGATGGCTCGGGAGGGAGAGTGGATTTGGTAATGAAGAACTCGCCGGCGTGAGACCTGTATCCCCACTCCGAGAGAGGGAGCAGAGGGATAGGGTCATCTACATGCGTCACGCGCCGATAAGTTTGTTTTTCGGTTCGCTTTTCTACGCCCCCCAGCTCGAAGACGGAATCGAGGTACTTGACAAACCCATCGTTGCCAACCCGCGGCTCCCCGAAAGTGGTTACGGTCAAGTTGCCCCAACCTAGACCGATTCGCAGCTCCAAGGCTGCGAGGGCAGCTACGGCACCGCCTAGGCTGTGGCCGACGAGGTGAACCGGATAGTCGGGATACTGCTCGCGCAGCGGCTTGAGCGCCGGTAGCACGACGTCTCTCGCTATTTTCCACGACGCCAAGAAGCCCATGTGCGCCGTGCAATTATAGCACCTGTGTTCCGGCTCTCCAGGAGAGCCGTCGTCTGGAGGAGGATACGGCACATATTCCTGAGGGATAGTACTTAAGTCGACGACGGTATTGGTAATGCTGTATGTGCCGCGAAATGCGACGATAATTGCCGCACGGCTTTGGCCGCCCGCGACATTCTCCTCGCCGGCGATCCCGTCCGTGGTAGTGGTGGTAGTGGTAGGTGTAGTAGCACTTGGCTTAGGTTCTAGCACCGTGCCGTGATCAACGGCGATGTATCCGCAGCTGTCGCTCATCAGGACCCCGGTATTCCATGTTGTAACGAGGTCTAGCGTCGGGAAGTCTTTACATCGCGACGCGCAGGAAAACGGCGGGGCGATCCCAGTGGTGCCAACACAGTAGGTTATATCCACGAGACGGGATAAGCGCTCGAGCGAGTCGAATAGGTCGGGCGAGATGTGGCCTGGAGTCGAGGCACCTTCGTGCGGCCCGAGGGGATGCTGGCGATTCCGTGGCAGCTGCCCCGATGCGAAGACAGTAGCGACACGTAGGAAGGGGAGGAGTAGAGGAAGGGCTCGCATGGTATGTATTGTCGCACGCGACAAGCTTCGGTGCTTTCAGGTCGCTAACGTTAGGATTCGGGAACTGGTGTCGAGAAGACGATCATGCTCGAGAGACCACAGGCGCAAACCGCTCCAATTGAGGTGGCGGCGTGAGGAGAAGGAAGCCGTGTCGGGTAGGGAGGGCTACAATAATAGGCAGGCGGTTAGAAGGGGAGGGGGGAGCGAGGGAGGTCAGACGTAAAGCTTGCAACGACGATTGGCGTTGGATCGACGCATTAAATGTCCATCGTGCTACTTGTGCTGCCGAGGCTCTGTCGATGCGACACGTCGAGTCGGGACTTGAAGGACTCGAGGGCATCGTCCGCCTGCGGCCTATATATGGATATTGGCAGCAAGATGTGAGGGCGGAGCTTGGCCGGCCACGACCTGGCGGCCGGCGATTGCTGGGATTCCTGGGGTTGCTAGGAAGGCAATAATGGTGGAAGGCCCGTTGCTTGGTCCGGCTGAGAAAGGAGGTACAAGGTCACTTTGGCGTTTTTTGGGCTGGGCGGGAAACCGCATTACGACACTTAGTGGGAGTTGCGCATGCTAGACAGCCAATGAGAGGCCGACAACAAGTGGAACATTGGGCATGATAATGCGGGGTACGAGGCAAGGTATAGGGTACAAGGTACGGGGGACTTGTAACCTTTCTAGCCGGACCTAACGCTGGGGAACTGGACCTATTACCTCTTCCCTTTTACCTGGGTACACGTACAACGGCAGGGAGACGCTGCAAGCTGCTGAGTATCGGCGGCGGCAACACGCAGCACCTTGTCTCAAGACAGGTTACCTCCTGGCCTCGACTTCATTAGGTTACGTGTCTGCCGCCGCCAGGCACTCCCTGCCTGGGTACCTTAGGTACTTTCTGATATTGACTCTTGTACCTATATTCTGAGGTACCTACAGCTATACACATGGGTACTTACTTAGAGATACATGCCCCCGGCCTCAGGTTGTCTCTAACGTCTAACTACCTGTAGGCTTACCTCGTCGCATCCAAACGGAAGACGAATAGGAGACGCACGGTATGTGTCTATTTGCCAAGGTCGAGGTCACGTTTACCGTTGGGTCACCTGGGTAGAATCGGGCTGCGTGGCGTCGCCGCTTTGCTTGGTTTGGGCTGAGAACATAGACGAAAAGGAGTCCCGCGGTAGTCAAAAACACAGAGGAAACTTCAGCTAACATCCACTATTGATGATAGAGGGTAGGTGTAGGTACCTAGGTGGGCAGGTACCTACCTGGGTAGGTACCTATGGTAGCCCACGACGACCATGGGAGAGGTAAGGTTGCTTAGAGGTAGGTAGATAGATAGGTACCTAGGTAGGTATCCAAGGCGCCTACATTCCAGTTCGGGTTATAGATATTAGAAAGCAGACTGCCTTGCATGCACCCAGAATGGGATGTAGGTACATACGTCCACGACCCCAGCTGTGCGTAGCAATATATCTCGCATAGTCAGAATCTAGATTGAACCTCAGCTGTTCTCGGTACTACATTAGAGAAGTATACGGCCTGCCATGTTCCTCTACGACACAAAGAAACCTTTATTATTTCCCCCGCCTCGATCGCTCTTCGACAAAGTTTTCGTTGCCGGCGGCCTAGGAGACATCTGGTACCATTCCTCTGCGAAGCACCACGCAGCATTTTCTTCCACTCCTGTCCCTCTCGGCTCTTACCGAGCGGGCGGCGGTCGAGGAGCGGGTTGCAGGCTGTCGAAATCTCCGTCGATGGGGGATTGCCTCGCCACACACGTCGATCCCATGGTGGAATTCGTGCAAGCTAGCTCTGGCCTGACGAGACCGGAGGCTTCAAACTGGGGGACGCTGCACTTGCTTGTTAGCCGTCGCCGGGATTCCCGCGGCCGTACATCGCGAGCAGCCATGAAGACGTGATCGCAAACTAACCTTCCAGGGCATGCCGCCTCGATCATGGTTAAGCCGGCGATCCCGGTCGTCTGGTAGATAAACGCGACATCTGGATGGTCACAGGGCCATCGGTTCGAACCAGGGATGTTAGGCTTTGAGGTTGAGTTTCGTTCGCAGCGCGTGTCGATACCGGTATCCACGTCGGCGAAACGAAACGAGATGGTGCTTGCGGTGCTATTGTCTACACCTGTGTGTATAGTGAAGTCGGCGACTTCGTAGAGGGCTGGAAAGGTGCAGTCTGCGGCACTGAGCGCCATGGGGACAGTGTATTTCAGCGCCCTAGAGCTTGCCAACCCAGCCATGAGGCTCAGCAGCGATACGGCACGCATGTTGATGTTCGAGCGGGCGTTTCGTTGGCGCTAGCAATTGTAAGGAGGAATAATGCCGCTGGGAAGGGAGGTTCGAAAGGATAAGGGAACAGGAAGAGAATCGAGAGAGGGTTAAAGTATCCAGGAACATATCCATAAATGGTCGGTAAGAAGAAAGAGGCGGGCTTGAAGGCTGAGCAGATCCACGGACAAACAATCCTCACGAGTTCCTTGTCAGCCCGTGCCGATCTCCTTTCCCCTGCCAAGATATCGCCGGACGGGTCGGAGAAGAGACAGGTAGTATTTAATTAGATCTGATTGTTCCTTCTCCTCTGGATTCCCCGAACACGAATGCAAGCCGCCTCGACTTGTGTTGCCGATCCGGCGGCAACGGGTCCGATGATTCGCTCGAAACCCTGTGTCCCTTACACCCAGGCATTACGGCCGCCTCTCGTGTGCGTCGCCGGCGGGCTGAGTCTGCAGGAGGCCAGGGGCTGCGAGCCATTCGGACAAGGAAGCCAAACGGGACCCGGCATCAGTCCCACGCAACTAGACGGTACCTACCGGCTTATCTACAGGTACCTGCCCAACGCATGTAGGTACGATATAAGCCAAGGCGTCATAGAGGTACCTTATATAAGCGGGAGCTTGTAGGCACCTTGGAGTACCTGTTTCCCAGTGGCTTCTGAGATGGAAGGGCACCTGGGGTTAGGAATGCGTCAGCATGGAAAGACGGTAGCTTGGATCCTGCCGGTAGCCGCCTCAACGCGATGCATAATTTAATGCTGTACGACTTAGCGTATTGTATTTGCGGGATGAAGTACTTTTGTAGGCTGAAGGGGTTGGGATGAATTACGATGAGACACCTATACTCATACCAGGCACCTCTATAGTAATGTGTGGGCGATGTAACCATGTATAGGGGATAAGGCGAGAGTTAGGTGATGGCATTGCCTCTATGAAAGCCCGGTACTGTGCTGTACTCGTCCGCCTAACCAGCACCTAAATCAAGTACCTAACCTCCTGATAGTGTGCTAAATCAAGGCATGTACCTGATCCTAGGTACATACAGGCAGGTCCGGCTACGTGGGTGGGTGTGCTCCCAGGGCACCTGAGGTAATCTGTAAAACCCCACCAACTGCCGGTCGCATAGGTAGGCCATCGCCGCCGCTATGCTTCAGCTTCAACCTACCTCGTTGGTGTCAGCTCCCTTCCTCCAACGGCCTACCTTAGGTACTTGTTCTAAGGCTCCCTCCTCCTCCGTCCTATCGAGGATTCTTGGGAGCGAGTTAGAGGCAACGATCCGATAATGACTTGATCATAGTACGACTACAGAGGGCCCTCTATCGAGAATGGACAATATCCATGCACCCACGGTCCCTGCGGGGCCCTCATCGCGCCCGCTGGCGAACGGCAACGCAAAGCACCTCTCCTTCGCCGAACTTCAGGTTAAAAAAGAGAGCTTAGAAGCTGAGCTGAAGGCGCTGGGTGGTGTCCTCGACTCGGTTGGTGCATTCCCTTCTTATCTGCCCGCAACCATGGCAAATCCTAACTACGCTCGTAGCACGGCGTCAACATGGCAACACCTTTGATCACACCGGATGGGTTTCCTAGGGCCGACATTGACGTCGCGCAAAGTAAGTGTTTTCCGGATACCAACAGGCCCTCCTCTGAACCTAGGCTGAACGAGACCAACCTCCCTCCTACCAGTCCGCACCACCCGAGCACGCATCATCCACCTCAAGAACGACTACAAAGATATTATGAACACCATAGAGAAGCACCTCCACGAACACTTCGCGAGTATCCAAGACACCGAAGAGGCAGCGCCCGCGTCCACGTCAACCGGTCGCGCAGAAAATCTATTGGGTGACTCGATTCCGGCGACTCTAGAAGAGCCCTTCGCAAAGGTCAACAGCGTTGCTGCAGGGAGCCCTGCAGAGGTGGCCGGCCTCAAACCTGGGGACGAGATTCAAAATTTCGGATATGTGAATAAGGCCAACCACGACGACCTGAAGAAGGTGGCAGAGTGTGTGCAAGGAAATGAAAACGTAGGTTGCGATCTGCGAGGCACTCGACCCGTTATGGCGCAACGGCGATCTCAGAAGCTAATGCTAGAACAGGAGACTATACTCGTCAAAGTGTCCCGCCGAGTTGAGTCAAGTCGGCGACAGGAGCTACAGCTCAACCTAGTACCCCGACGCTCTTGGGGAGGCCGAGGCCTATTGGGGTGTCACATCATACCGCTATGAAAGAAAGGCTGACAACCCAAGCGATGTTGGGCGATGCTCCTTTCTCTATTCCGGCGGCGATCTATGCCCTCTCTTCTCTCGTGGCAGCATAAGACAAGGTCAGAGCAGCTTCAGCTAGGCCAACGAGATGTATAACTAGGTAGTCATGAATGGCACATGACTTCTTGTCGTATCATTACGAGGTTGGGCTGGACTGTGGGCGTGATTAGGACTCCTAAGCAGATCGGAGGAAAACAGCTGGCTAGAGAGGCGCAAGAGACGACTTCATCGCTCATCATTAGCCTAATGGGTGCCCAGCCTACTGTTGTATGACAGGGTAGTCGGAACGGTAATGGTTGGGCACCCCGTTTGCACAACCAAGGACACTGCCTAACTAGCAGAGTGAGGCTTAGTGCAAGCCTGCTTCCGGGGCAAGTAAAACCTCAGACCCAAGACCCGGTGGGCAACTTACATGGCCAGGAGGAAACTCCTAATGCCGGCTAAGTTGAGAGATTGAAATCGTATAGCCAGCCTAGTAAACGTGACCGGAATAAATGACGATGGCATGTACCTACACGTATGTGGGCTAAGTGTGTTGGTATATTTATGGCCTATAACGGAAGCCGCCTGACCATTCTCCCCTCGGGCCTCATAAAAGGCTCTCCAAGGTGGCAATGTTGCCGCCTATCGCCTACTGGTACACCACCTAATAGGAGCCTATCCAGGTACCTACCAACTACCTACCTGTGGCCGATGGGCAGGCAGGCAGAGGAGGCCGATAGAACAAGCGTTGAAGAGCGGTTAGTTGTTCATTTCCTCACGTGTGCATCGCCTTACCTCGGTAGATATGACGGAGCCAAAGCCGGTGATGATGCCTAGCATACTTCCCTACCTACGTAGCGTACACCTGCTCAGGTAGCTTAGGTGCCAACTGATACAGCAGATACATACCTACCATTAGTAACCTTAGACGCAATCATTGCGCTGCACCATTAGCAGGACCAGGCGGTGCCCAAATCTGAAGTGATAGTATTAGCAATGCCCACCTAGGTAGGTACCTGTAGGTAGGTAGGTAGGTACCTACCTATCTATAGTAGAGGCAGTGCGTAGAGGTGAGTGCCTCTGTAGAATACCCAAGTACCTCCTATTCGGCCGGGTCAGCAGGGTCCATTGCGGTGGACCACAGGCTGTATACAGGGCGGGTGCCCAGGTTTCTGGTAGTGGGTGGTATGCCTACAGGAGGTACCTAGGTAGGTACCTAATGTAGTATACTCTAGGTACCTAGGTATGGGCTCATGTGGTTGAGAGAGATGCCTATACCTAGCTTTAGGTCCTAAATACAGGTACCCAAGGTTCATTCCATTGCATGCCTCGGTATATCCAAGGTACCTTAGGGAGCGTTTGGTCCAAGAAACGTCTTGTAGACGCCTCAGTTCCGATGCTATCCCTCCCATGTGCGTCATAGGTAAGGTTTTTGCTCATCCCTCATTCCATTCATGCCCAGAGATCACGTGCCGCCCCGCTACAGGTGCGCCTGAATTTTTGTAAGGGAAACCCAACTGTAGTATTAAGTAAGATCTATTGCCAGAACCCGCCGCCTTTTTCCAACGACTGCTACAAAAATAATACACTTGGGCAGTCCACCCATCACTTTTGTCCGGCAACGAATTTTCGCGAAGCCACCTGCGGGATTCATCCATACCATTCAATCTCCTCTCTTCCTACCGGCAATCTTAAGTGCGTTCGCATCCCCGTCTCTCTCTCTCTCTCTCTCCTCGCCCTGCCGTCCGAGCCCAAGTCCGCAGAACAGCAATCCTCTGCATTCCTCGCACCTCGCCTCTTCTCTGACGTGCTTCAACCAACCCCCCACCCACTAACATCCAGCCTAGTCTCGCCTCCATCTTCTGTTTACCTCACAACAGCCGGAGCCATCACGCACAATGGCTGCGGAGACACCCACATTCAAGCTCGTCCTCGTCGGCGATGGCGGTACTGGAAAGGTGAGATCATCTCAGATAGGAACACTTGAATGTTTCCATTGCCTTTCTACCCGGCTTACGGCTCTCTTCTGTGTGCTAATGGCGCCCTGCGCACATCTTGCCCCGCCTCTGCGTCGATCCTCACACCCAACGACTATGCCACTAACTGTTGTCATTAGACCACCTTCGTGAAGCGCCATCTAACCGGCGAGTTCGAAAAGAAGTACATGGCCACTCTTGGAGTCGAGGTCCACCCTCTCGGCTTCACCACCGTAAGTCATTTCCCTCTTCAACTCCCTACTGTCGCATACGAAACCCTTGGAGCACACGAAACCTCTGACCACCATTAGAACTATGGCGCCATCACCTTCGACGTATGGGACACGGCTGGCCAGGAAAAATTTGGCGGCCTCCGAGACGGTTACTACATCAACGGCCAATGTGGCATCATCATGTTCGACGTGACTTCGCGCATCACCTACAAGAACGTTCCAAACTGGCATCGTGAGTTAGCCCTCGGTATCCTCAGCCCTTGTTTGATTGCTAGCTCACACACGGCAATCAAGGTGATCTGGTCCGCGTGTGCGAGAATATCCCTATCGTTCTGTGCGGCAACAAGGTCGATGTGAAGGAGCGCAAGGTTAAGGCCAAGACTATCACGTTCCACCGAAAGAAGAACCTCCAATATTATGATATCTCGGCCAAGTCCAACTACAACTTCGAGAAACCTTTCCTCTGGCTTGCCCGGAAGCTCGTTGGCAACCCCAACCTGGTGGGTGATCCTTGGGTGCTCGCTTGCCGATGCTGGTGTAAGCTAATCTGCCTGTCTAGGAATTCGTTGCTGCGCCTGCTCTGGCCCCCCCTACTGCCCAGGTTGACGAGAAGCTCCTTGAGCAGTACAAGAAGGAGATGGACGAGGCTGCTTCTATGCCGCTGCCTGGCGAGGACGACGACGACGACTTGTGAACGTGCTATGAGCACGATGTGTTTGACGAATAGGATGGACCGTAATACTTCGATATGAGGCAAGACGGATGGACTTTTCGCAAGAGCCGGTGCGACGAAAGCATACTGCGCAAGCTCTGGGTCGGGGTTGCGACGGTGGTTGACCTCCCATGCGTAGCTGTTTTTGCAGCTTCTAGATAGCACTTCACCCAATAGACACACCTACGGGGACGGAAATGCGGCCTATCTTTCTCGCCTGCTTGCCTATTTCCCCGTCTACCCACCTGGCCTTCTAACGCTTGTCTCGCCCGTGCGGACGTACCCTGCCTGAGAAGCCTCAGATGTGCGATAAGAAGAAAAATGCTCGGAACCTACGCTCTCTTATTTATTTTATAACTTCTATCGTTTCTTTCTAAAAAATTATGGTCACCACACTGTTGGAGAGGCAACTAGTGATTGCTTATAACCCGAGATCGCCATGTGGTATTCTTTTGTTTACCTAATGTTACGGCTAAGGTGACGAGAGACGGAATGGTAAGCGTCCGGAGATTGTATTGTGTCCCACTAACCCTACTTAGGTACTACGTGTGTGTAAGTCACACTTCCTAGCCGACTTAATCCTCCCGAAGAATAATCATAAGCTCTTATAACTTTATTGGAATTGCAGAGTCCTAAATAATAAACTTTTCATAAGTTAATTAAAAACTATTTATACTTACTAAGCTTATTTAAGAACTTATTTATATATTATTTAATATAATAAAATGGAAAAGAAAATACCTTACCAAACTCCTTAAAGCTTACTGAAGGTAGTTTTTCAGTATATTTAATAAAGCGCAGCTGAGTGGTTCGATGTGTATCGCCTAGTAATGTACCACCTAGGTCGTCAGGTACCTACCTCCCTGTATGCCGGTATAGACGCCTCCTGCCAAATGCCATTCTACTTACCATTGGAACAACTTACACGCACCTGCATACCTTCGCGACCTATCTTCTTCCCTACCTCCTCTACGTACTTCTCTCTTCTCCCTTCTCCTCTGCTTCCTTTTCCCCGGGACGACACACCTGCCACGATATCGCTGGTTCCGTCCGAGAACAATCCGATATAGCTCCATACCGAACCAATTGGCTACAGCAGCTACCTCACTCGTTTTGCCTCGATCGATCGAGCTCCCTTCGAATAAAACCGCCGTCCTCCTCTCCCCTCGATTCTCCTCCTCCGCCCTCCTTCCCCCAAAATGTCTATGTGGCTATCGGATACCCAAAGTGAGGATCCTGCCTTGCCGCGGCGGCCTCTTCGAGGCGCATGCGGGAGGATATGTATCTCCTCGGTGGAGGCGGCCAGCTAAGCTAACCTTGGAGCTCTCGCGCAGAAATCGGGGTCGCTTTCTGCTCTGGTGGTACGTGATATATATTCACGCATATTGTAATGCATACATTTGCGTATTTATCTGCGGTTCGATGTCGCTATGGCGCTGCTGCTACGGCTGCGCATCCCGTATCCCACCACCAGCCTCCCTGCCTACCTTGTACGGCCAGCTGCAGGGCAGGGAGGTAGGACGGCCGACTTCTTGCGCGCGCTCTCATATACACACACCCGGCATATGCATACAGCCGTTGCCTCTTCCACCACCGGCTATAAGCACAGCGTTGACCATGTCCTCTCGTGTCTTACAGGCGGCTTCTTCCTCGTCGGAGGCGTGATGCTGTTCTTCGATCGCGCCATGTAAGTGCTCACGTGCCGGGTTGTTACCTGCTCGCGCGCAAGCTATCCACCTCCCTCTCGATGCTCTCTCGTGCCTGCTCTGACAAGCGCGCGCAAAACAGGCTAGCGATGGGCAACGTACGTTCTTCTTCCACCTTCTCTCTCCCTCCCCGCCTCCGGCCTCTCCTCCTGACAGCGACCTCTCCCCTCGCGCTCGGCGGCAGATCCTCTTCCTCATCGGCCTGACCGTCATCATTGGGCCGCGCAAAACGCTCGTCTTCTTCGCGCGGCGACAGAAGGCGAAGGGCACCGCCGCCTTCTTCATCGGGCTTGCGCTCATCCTCGCGCGCTGGCCCTTCATCGGCTTCGTCGTCGAGCTCTACGGTATCGCCGTCCTCTTCGGCGACTTCCTCGGCACCGCCGCCTCCTTCGCCCGCCGCGCCCCCGTCGTCGGCCCTTACATCGGCGCCGTCCTCGACCGCATCCCCCTCCTGAGTCAGCGCCGCAACGCCGAGCTACCCGTCTGAGCCGGCGCGACACGAAAAGAAAAAGATACCCCTCGAGAATGGAAACGGAAGCGGAATCGAGAGCAAGGGACCTAAAAACACGAAGCGAAGCGAAGCGAAACGAACCCTTCCAACCCCCACCAAATTAATACTAATATTAGACATACGATATGGTTGATCTATGTATAGAATACATGTATCTCTCAATCACGACATATCACAGTACACCCCAAAGACGGACGGGGTGACGTGCGGGTACCAGAACCACGATGCTTTTCGAATTTCCCCAGATATCATGAGGAGGATTGGGAGGGCGTGCGGTTAGGCGTTAGGGGGTAGCGGCAGGGGAGGGAGGAGGGCACGATAATGCGTGTACGCAATGTTATGTCTTCGATTGGTTTGCATATACGGCCGCGTAGCGCGCGCGCCGAGGGACCTGAACAGGAGGGAAGGAGGTTTCCCATGTTTCAGCAGGTCCGCGGGAGGGAGCCATGGACAGATATCCGGGAGGGTGTAAATAACGAATAGGCAAAGACCGTGGGGGCTTGGTTAGAACGAGGAGGAGACGATGTGAGGTGTACCGAAAACAAGACGAGGCTCTTCTTCGTTTGCCAAGGCAGAAAGCTAGGGGAGCAGGCAGTATGACTAGCGATGACGGACGGATGGTTGAGTAGATGGATGGTACCGGGTGGTGAGTGTCTAAGAACAACGAGACGGACCACAACAGCAACAACGACAGTCCGAGCTGTGCCCGAGTGAAACATGTCGACAGGAAACATTTGCTACTGAACTTTCTCTCTGTCTCTTTCTGTCTCTTCTGCCTTCTCTCCGGCTCCGTCGCCGCAAGCCTCCCCGAAACGCAAGCATGCACGCGTCATCACCCACGCGTTCTCCCGCCCCCGCTGTCATCCTGACGTTTCCACGCGGGTTCCCTTATATACCCTGCCCCCATCTCAACTGCTCCTCTCCCTACCGACAAGGCGGGGGAAGAGTGGGGGGAGGACTCGTTCGGCGATAGTCTCCCCCTCCTTCTACCCCCTTCAACCCTCCCTTATCCGCTCTTAGTACCCGGCCTTGATGAGGTAGTCGGCCAGGGCCTCGGTGGTCTGGGTCGCGTTGCCGGCTACTTGGGCCTCGCCGTGGTGGGCGATGATGATCGCCTGCTTCGTCTTGGCGACGCAGATACCGTTCCGGCCCTACATGACGTTCACGCACATGAGTCAATATACACGCGAACAAGCCGTATCCTATCTCCTCTTTCTCTCTCTCCCTCTCTCTCTAATTCTCTCTTCCCTATCCGTCTTCGTCTTGGTAGATGGATGCCGCTTGAAGCGCAGTAGAGAGTGGGCCTGGGCCCTCTTGGCAAGGAAAGCGTGTATAAGAACCCACCTGTCGACCGTAGATACTTCGGTCCTCGATCCGAGCGACGACGTACCGGTCGCCGCCGATGTGGATGCCGTCCGCGTGGGCCTTGTCGACGGCGGCACTGTTTCCGCTCAAGACGGAAACGAGGTTCTTCATCTCGTCGGGAGAGACCTGTGGATCGCGTACAAGGGAAGAAAGAAAAAATCAGTCACCGCTGATCTTCGCGCGCTAGCTAGCACCCAGGTTTTGTGGGAGCGATTGGCAATGCATTCTCGATGTGACCGACCCGTGCGGCTGCGTAGTCGAAATCGCGAGGCTGGGAACGCCCGGGGGTCGAGGAGCACGGAGGAGGGGGGAAAGGGAAAGGGGGAAGGGGAAAGGGGGGGAAGCGGATGAGGTGAGGCGTAGTCAACCATACCGTAAATCCGCTCGTGGCGGCCCAGACGCTGTCTCCAGCGACGCTGATGATGGCGGCTTTGTCGATGTGGCCGGTGCCGACAAGGCTATTGTTCCGCGGCAGAGAGCCAAGGTCAGCAAGGCGCCCTGTGACAGCAGAGAGAGCACCGTCAGGTCGGCGTGGTGATGGTCATTACCTCGAGTCAACATAGGCTATGTTGTTGGAAACACACGGTCAGCTCAGCCCTATCTGCCATCCCTTTGCTTGCTTGCTTGCTTGCTGGTGCTGGTGCTGGTGCTGCCAGGGAGGAGGATGTGGGGTATGGTTATGCGGGAGAGGGATGTTGGTTTACCTTGCCACGACATGGTTGCGTTGTGGTGTGTTGTGTCTGCGTGAGGGAGTCGAGCCGAAGCGAAGGGAGAAGGATCTAGGAAGCAGACGGGACGAAGAGGTGTGTTATTTTTCTGGTTCCTCGCTTCTGACCAGCTGGAGGGGGGGGAGTGTGGTTGAGGAGGGACTAGGTAGGCAAGGTAGAGAGCTTTCAGATGTTCAAGGAGAAAGGAGAGGAAAAAAAAGAAATATGTATGTAGGTTGCTCCCGGCGTTGGACAAATGCGCGGTCTGATTGATTTGAAGGAGGGGCTGTTTTCGGGTTGGATATTATTGCTGCCCACCGTTGCCCACTTAACCCACCCCAGGTCGCCTGAGGCGCAGGCGGTCCAGCGGGAAGGCGGTGACGATGGTGACGGCGGTGACGGCGGTGACAAGGTCGCGGCAGCAAGTGCCAAGCGAGTGACAGCGAGTACCAGCAGCTGTCACGCACGGCACAATGGGTAAGGTCCCCCCTCCTCCCCTATTCCCGCCCCTCTCCGTTGGCCTTGCCGGGGGGGTAAACGGTGCCGGGTCAAGCCACAAAAACAGCGCAGTGGAACCCCGCCCCGCTATTGTCTTTGCCAGAGCGATGATGAGGTCATCAGCGCGAGCGTCACGAATTCCCGCCCTGCCACCTGTCCACAGGTACCTTTACCTGGTGCGGTGGTGAGGCGGGCCAGCCACCACCTACGTCGGTACACGGAGATCAGACGCCTCCTGTCCATTCCAGGAATCCGTCTGCAACGGATTGCTGCTGTGATATGAGCTGCGATCCACTCTGGACACATATCACAAACCGTTCAAGCTGCATGTTAAGCAGGAGGTAGGTTATATTCAACACCTAATCACCTACGGACCTGGGCCTGGACTCTCTCCCTCCCGAGCTTTTTTGGTGCAGCGGTACGCGGCATATGGATGTGCCTACGTCCTTATTACTCGTACATCTCGGTGCAGCATATAAACTCGATCGAATGCCTCCTGCTTGCGGCTAACCCCCGCGCAGAAACAGGCTGCAGTCTTTCACAAATATAGAGATTACTGGCGCAGTACTCGCGAGGCGCATATCCAGTTCTGTTCCCCTAATTATCCCGTACACGTATAAAGGAATAGAGGGGTTTCAGCATCTGTGCAGGCAGGATCAGCCATGCTCGGAGAATTCGTTGTCGTCGCACTCTCGCTCATACAAGGTATTCTTCCACCACATGGCAGCGCTTTCCCACCACCACCCGCTCCGCGTCTAAGTCCATCAACGTATACACCTGCGGGTTTCATCAGCCAACCTCCCACGTCCCTCTTAAAATTGTGAAGAGGCAGCTTGGGGGGGATATGTCTTGGAACAGGGAGTTTCGGCAAAAGCACCCGCTTCGGGAGTCCGTCTTATTTGCCCTATCATCCTACCATCCTTAATGTTGCGGGCTTGTCACTCGACGCCTACTCTTGCATGAACATCATCCGACAGGCGGCGTCAGGATATGCGCTTTTGGCATGTGTACTTACATGCTCCTACATGTTTTCGCATTGTCATGATCGCCGCTGTTGCCGCCACCACCACCACCACCACTACTATATACCTATTATAGGTGTGTGTCGAGAATCCTGCGTCTTACAGGAACGAGAGCCGGGGAGTCTATCGCCACTCTTGCCGAAATAGGTAACTGGAAAGTTCCTGATGCCATGGTCCTTACGGGAGGCCACCTTTCACCTTCGCATATACCCACATACCTAGTTCGCAGTTGGGTTTAGGCAAGACACAGAGATAAGTTTTTCAGTTTACACCGCAGTGTCCGGCCGTTTCCGTATTGTGAGATGCCCGATAGCAGGTTCGATGCTCAAGCTTCCCCATTAGCCTTCGCAGGACACCGCACTGGCCGCCAAACCCGCCGATTGGGCCGACGGGGATGAGGCTTGAAGCCCAGGATCGAGCTCGCTTACACCAATGACTTTCCGATTGGTATGCCGTGTGGCCCTAAGGGCTGATGCCGGGGTTCCGTGAGTTGAGGCCCTAAGGCAGTATTGCTCAGTGCTCATAGCCCGAGATTTGAATGGCGATTGAAGAAGCGTAATCTGAAACCAGCCGTTACGGACGACGAGAGGCCAAATGTGTTGAGAATGAATTGATGGTGGCTGCGAGAGCCATAGGTCCTATCCTGCTCAATGATTTCGAGACTCGAGGGTGGCAACTGTAATTGCGAGGAGGAATCAACCCTGATCTCATAAGCACTACTGCGGCTGTTCGGCGTAGTGAAGCAATGTCTGGATTTAATAACTAGAACTTCTCAGGTAAACTGTAGCGCGTTGGAAATCTAATTAGATGGCGTCGTAGGGCTTCTGTGCTGACGGTATCCTGGGTAATTTAGCCAATATGGTTGACGAAGGGCCGCGATCTGTTCTAGAAATATAGCTGTGTAGACGAGCAAATTAGTAAGTCTGATGTTTCACCAGCCGATCCCTAGGTACGTGCAAGACGCCAGCACATCCCACAAGCTTCTCCTCCCTGGATAATACCTCCCTACGGAATAAGCAAAATCGCGGGAGGGGGACCTTGCAGCCGCCTCGTGGCAAGACCATACACACATCTGCCGCCAACGAGACCCTGGAGGCGTAAGGGCGAAACTCGGTCCTCTGACCCTGCGCAGCCGCACCGACCGCCCAGACCGTTCGAATGGATAGTGACGCGAACTGGACCGCTTCAAGCGATCGGCTGCTGGCGTCGATCGGCGGCGATCCAACCCAAGCTAGACGGGACTGCAGCGATCGCACCGACAGGACGCGAGTCTCGAAGTAGTATACACATGTCTGCTACGCTGCCCTGTGCGGGCGGGGTGTCTTACACATGCCCGGTGCGTAGGGCAGAGATGGCTCGGAGATGCTGGGAATACGGCGTAGCTTGTCTGAGATGGAAAAGAGCTGGCGACGAGTAATAAAACAAAAGGGAGAATAATCACCGTGTATCCTTCCCGCCTCCGAACGAGTACATACTTCCCCTCCTCCCCTTCCGCCTCCGCCTCCGCCTCTTCGCCTTGGGCAACTCCCGAGGTCCTTCCACATTCGCCTTCCCCATCCCATGTGACGATGTGTAGGTAGCCGGATATCCGGACAGGCGTGTTACCTGGCACGGAGTAGTGCGGAGTTGGGAACCCCTCCCGCAGCGGCAGGCCGGGTACGCATGGGATAACCCGCTACGAGGGCACGGCCACCACACGTCGAACAGGATAAATGCCGCGGAGAGGCCGCGGAGAGGCCGCGGTGATGATATCCGGGGGAGGGCATAGCTCCGCACCGGCGTTACTACATACCTAGGTATGTAGGTCTCGCGGATACGGGCGGGTTGTTGCGTGCCTACAGATATGTACCCCTCAGCAGGAAAGGGGGGGACGGGCAGACTGGAAGCAGAGGTCACGCGAACGTGCCCATCGCATGGTCCTACTGCCAACCTCTACGTAAGGTGTCTGCGGGCCCGTCGTCAACACTCCCTCCACCCATCTGGGCAGAATCTACCTGTTACCTGATGCCTTGGGTATGTACCTATGTGTATCGAATGCATAGGGGGCACGCATGTAACCATGGCAGCGGACCAGGATGGCCTCGTAGGTGTGGTGGAAGTTGCAGCTGAGATGTTTCAGCGTCCCTGCTTTGCCCCTTCAGGAAACATGAAACCGCCCGTACTCCTGGGTCTAGTCGAAGTCGAGTTCTTGGTAGGTACCTCGGAGGTAGGTACCTGCCTACGTGCTGGGTACGTGCTACATTTTGTATGTAGGTATCTAGGTACCTACTTGTAGGTTCCATTCCAACTGCGGTTTCCTCGACCATCTATATTAGTGGATATGTGGGTACGTACCTACCCATACGTACCTATGTAGAGTACTAGTAGGAGGTTCGGCTATCTAATCGCCTATAAATTATCCGGACGGGGCCAATAGAATGACTTGGTAATCGGGTGGTCCTCTCGGACTTCACGATACTACGACTTGCCCGAGATTCTAGACCAGCCTCCTAGCGAGATACCTATGCGTGAGCACTATTATGTTCCGAAAGCTTGGCTCGTTCAATGACACCAGTATTGTGATGATGATTATTGCTATGATATGTTGTTGCTATTATTACCTGTACATTCTGTCTGTCGCTCCCTCCGCTGCGCCCGGCTCGTTTTATTGCGTAGTCGACAGCAAAGTTCTCGCGGTACCCGATTGGCGCCTCTGAAATGAGCACCCGGCAGGTTCGCCGGCTTTTCTAGATTGCTGGAGACGAGTTCTATGAGCCGTTCCGTTAGTGCTGATTGGCGACTTCGATGGGGGCCGAGGACAGCGAGGACAGCGAGGACATGCACCCTGCTACATACGTTGGCGTGTTGTGCGTTCAGATGATTATATACAGGGGAGTCTTATTAGAGAGTCGACAGCTGAACCAAGACTTCCTTGCTGGTGAGCATATTTCCCGTCCCATCCTATCAGAGAAGAAACCGAGGTCTGCACAACGACGCAACAGTTTATGACATGGAGAAATCGCAGCAGCCTATATATGCATACATGCGTGCATGCGCAAGTCCTGGCCCCAGAGCGCTGCGCTGCAGCTAGGATGAAGGGAGCCTCCTCTCATTTCCTAGCCTTGCCCATTGCTGTTCCAGCATCGCCAACGACATACCTGCTTGTCCGAAAGGAGCACCGAGCCGCGCCATAGGTATCATGGCTGTTTGCCCACCGGGACGAACAGTTTCTGGCTCGCCCGAGCCTCTGTCCATTTCGAGCCGTCGAAAGAGAAAAGGTGAAGTAAAACAGCCAGAAGATCATCGACAGCAGTAGCAGGGGTCGGCGCCAAGGGACCATTGCCTCAGGACGCTAGTCGGTAGCACGATCAGCAGTGCGACCCCCCGTACGGCGTCGTATCAGAAACCTTCTCGAACCTTTCACGCTGGGCGTTGCGGGAGTTCCTACATGAGTATGTTTGCAAGAATGAGCGAAAGTCGGCCCCCCCCCCTGAGAAGGGTGTCTTGTCGGGTAGCGTTGGCTCGTTTACGAACGAGTCGGTCTGCTTGGCCCGATATCACCTCGATGTTCCGCGTATGTAGTAGGTATGCCGGCTGCCTTGACACACGACCCGCTGCTACGTAGTGCCACTAATATCCCGCGAAGGTCCCCCCTGGGATCACCTCGCATCGTCCTAGGATATATCCCGGTTGAGAACCAAGCTAAGAGGGACCGGGGTAAGCCCCTGGCACTGCTCATAATGCGCTCTGGAGCTGAATCCCAGTTGTTGATCGCCCTCTACAGAACAAACCTTCCCTATGATCCATCAACCTCAAACGGTCGTTCACGCCGTCGACTCTGCTACGTACATAGGGAGAAGAGACAGGAATCTCTACACGTAGACCGCTACAGCCTCTGTGTGTACTAGTATAGTGCATACACACACCATCGACGACCTGAATATGCTTGCGTGCAAGGTATGTATGTTATGTAGGATACTATAGGTAAGGTGAGTTCCCTACACAATTCGATGCGTCTGTTTGAGATCTACTACATCTGTAATGGGCCTCAGTATTATTCCCCGTCGCCTCTACCTCTAACGGAGAATGACACGCATGCATCTCTCTTGGGCTCTTCTCGTCTGTTTTTAGAAACGTTGCTTAGAGATGCTGGAACCGAGATCGACTCGAAGGTCTACATACAGATATGCTCATGGGAGAATACTGTGAGATATCCACACTTACACACTCGCACGCTTACACGCTTACACGCACACACACACCCACACGCACCTACATGCACCCACCCACACGCACACGAAGACTAATATGGCAGGTATACTACGAGATTGATACCTACGCACACTACTACCACATATGTTACGTATACGTACATGACTATTACATTACCGAGCTAGCGAGTTGGGCCCTTGCTGCCAGAACATCCGTCGATGGGGTCATGCAAGCCCAAATGTGTTCGTGACGCACGTCCCCGACTAAACCCCCGTCCTAAGAGGACTAGGCTATGTATCAGATCCCGCCCTACCACAGGCATTTTATAATGACAGCGGCGCGCATGAACCGGACCTCCTGTTAGGCGTGGACTCATACCGCCTTTGTCCTCTCCCCCGTAACACCACCACCCGAAGCCAGCATGTCTGTGAGACCAAGCTCGTCGAGGGGCCCGAGTTCTAAGAGTTCAACCGGCGGTAGCTTGCGGTACGGGAAGAGAACTTCTCGAGATGACTCCTTTATCAACTTGAGGAGAGCAGAGACTTCAGCTGGCTTTAAGTCGTACGCGCCTACTCGAGGACAGTTGCCCACACCGGAAGCGAGCCCACCGCTGTCAGATTCTCCCCGAAAACCCTTCGTCCCCGTCATCAGGATGCCTACCCCCGAGTCCTTCAACGAGGGTCCTCCCCAAGAGATCGGCATGGCGCTGGGAAGTCCTACTGTGAGCAGCCCGCCGAGCGGGAGCCTTCGAGATCGAGACGCCGCTGCTCTCCGGCTTCAGCAAACTTCAAGTCCGAATCTAGCCGTCTCCGCGGCAGCCTCGGACATAGGTAGCCTATATTCACACGATACTAAGCCCGCTTCCAAGAAGCAGCCGGGGAGGTGGAGGTTGTTCGGAATGTTCGGGAAGAGGCCATCTGACAATCAGAACACGAGTCCGAGCGAGCAGAGAGATGCACCGAAGCCGGGGCCGCCTCCAGATATACCTTCGTCATCATCTGCCTGGCAAGAGTCTAGGGTAGAGAGGAGTAACACTGTCGGCACACGTGGCGCACCGAGACATAAACCGATCGTAGTCAGGTCCCAGACGTTGCCTTACAACGCGGAAAACCCGGCCCAGAAGTCCAAAACCTCGTTGAGGGACAGGACTGCTCAGGATGCGTCTGGCGGGATGCCCCAAGTGCCTAATGCCGGCGGGCCCTTGTTGAACGTCGAGATCCCATCCGTCACGATGGAGAGATATAGTGTGATGTTTGGAAGCGTATTGCAATCTCGGTCAGGGTCACAGCCGCAGGCGCGCTCGCAATCACAATCACCTTCGCAACCTTCACTACTGGCTAGGCGGCAAGCCACAGTTCAAAAGCTGAAGAGTATCGACGACGCTATAAGCAAAGAGGTAACTGGTCCACTGATGCACTCTTCGGCACACCCAAATGCTAACTATGCAAATGAAAGAAGTCCCGCGAGTATCCAAGGAGGGCATCGTCACCCCAACCAGGAGCCAAGTCACCACCAGTTACTCTATTCCCGCCCGGTCCGCTGGCGATCCCCGCTCACACTCCGCCCTCCTATAACGGCTCGTCCCTGCACAGATCTAACACGTCGCCGGCGCTACTGCGATCTCCGGCTTGGGGAACGTTCGACCGCTCTCCGGCCTCGATCCAGCGACAAGCGCGTGACGACGATGCTCGGGAGGCGGGTTCGTACAAAGAGCCGCCGTCGACGGTGCACCCACGGCAGAAGGGCAGGCTCACGATAGCGACGCTCGCGCGGGCGCGAGAGCAGCATCCGCTGCCGGCCACGCGGGAGAAGCTGCCACAGCCGGTGGCCCAGCGCGCGAGCTTCGTACTTGAGTCGCCATCCGAGATTTCATCACCCGAGGTTGAGGTTTTCCGGTCGGAGGAGCCTCTACGTCTGCGTCCCGCGTACGCCGAGCGTGAGCCTGAATGGGAGATGGTAGCGCCACCGCCGCAACAACAGAGCAGCAGTGGCATATCCATTTCCTCTTCTTCCCCGTCTCGCTCTTCCCCGTCTCGCTCTTCTCCTCCTCGTCCTCCTCGCCCGTATGCTCATGTCGCATATACCTCGGCCTTCACCTCCGCGATGCCCTTCGTCACCTCCCCTTCCAGTACTACTTCTCCTATTACCACCACGCCAACCGCAGCGCCGAGCGACCTTAAGAAACGCCTCCCGTCATCCCCGGCGCCAGCGCCGTCTTCGCCAGCCCCCGCTCCCCCACCACCCCCACTTCTAGTCGCTGTCGGCGATGACGATGACGACGATGACGACGGCATCCCCGAGAACACGTCGAACATGAGCCCGGTGGAGCTCTCGATCGCGCGACAGATCTCCGTCTCGCGGCAGCAGCGCAAGATGCTGAAGCCGTCGCTCAAAAAGGCGGCGGCGGCCTCGGCTGCGCGCCCGCGGCCCGCGGTGCCCAAGTACAAGCCCACGCCCGTCATCGCCGTCGGCAAGGACGAGCGCTACGCTGAGATTAAGAGCGCGATGCCGGTGCTCGTCGTGCCGTACCGCGAGGCTACCACCACTGCTGCTGCTGCTGCTGCCACCGCCACCGCTGCCGCCTCCACCACCGCTCCTGCCGCTATCCCTAGCGGCAGCGGCAACAAGTTGACGCCCTCACCCGCGCTCAAGAGCCGCAACGGCGAGCCCGCGTAAGTAAGCAAGGACGTCATCGTCGTCGCTGCCCCATCTAGTCTTCCTTTATAAAGAAGTAAAGAGGAGGAAAAAGATGAAGATAAAAGTCGTTTTGTTCGTGGCCCGGTCCAGATATGTCTATTCTACAGCTTCGCGACGTTCTACTACTCGTCGCGATCAGCTTTCGAGATTTGCTTCTACTACCGCAAGCACACACACGCCCGTGCGCATGAAGATACTACCATTCGATTCTGCGCGGCGACCACGGCTGGGCTTTCCGCTCGCCGCTGGCTACGCTCGGCCCCTTGGCATTTGGGTGGTTTACAACGTCTTAGTAGAGAGACGGAGATGGGTGGGAGGAGCAAGGAACAGGTCTAGTTTTGCGGCGGCAGGCATTCTGTATCAATTTTTTTTTTGAGCGTCTTGGATTCTGTGCGCGGCCTGTTTTATTCGGACATTTATATACCCCGGGGGACACAATTTATTGTATATTTGTATACCTATGCCGAGAGCATGGAGACGGAGAAGAGGAGTCTGAGACTCGCATCGTCACGCGCCGTTTATATGTGTAGAGTTTTTTTTCTTTGTCGACTACGGAGAGAAAAGTCATCATTCGATTTAAGAAGAGCGAGGGAGGAGGGCGGGGCCGCGTCCCCGCGTTGCGATTCGCCTTGACGGCTGTCGTTTGACAGATACACCCCCTAGCGGCTCGTCGAGAAGGACGTCGTTTTAAGAGAAAAAAGACGGAGAGGCTGGGACAGAAGAGCAAGTCGGGACAAGATCTACAGGGTTTATTTGTCATAGCCGAGTTTGAATCTAGGCCTGAGTGGTCCACAATACAGCCATCTCTTCCCCTCATACCATGCCAGGTTTCAGCAACTTCGTTGTCGTTGATATGGGCGTCTGACCGTCTCATACTGCATTATGCATGCCCATCTGCATGCCTGCCGGCTTGTTCGGGTCTTCTATATGTAGCCATGTCTGCGTGGCGTCCCAGTTCCAACTCACCACGCCCCTCCCTTAGTACACGGGAATGCCCTTTGCACGATCTGCCAACGAATGAGTCTCAACCCCTCCGCCGCTTGCTCCTCCCCCATACGTATCCGGGTGAATCGTATTTGCTCGTGAGCATAGATAGACGAAATGAAAATAACCGTCCACATAACCAACCTAAAGGCTCTCGTGTCGTCGTGCTGAGGTAGAGACACATTCTAACGAACATTTAACGGCCGCTACGCATAGGTAGCAACGCAAAGGAGAATCTACATGAGGACACAGCAGGAGTTTTGCTTCTTGGCTTGCTCTGAATGGGGCGGGTCAGCAAGCGTCGCTGTTTATGATCCCAAGTGCATGGCATCTAATATTGGGAGAAAGAACGCGTGTAAAGGGGGGCGGAGGGGGAAAGGACAACGCACGATAGAACATCTTGCTCTGATTGCTGAGGCCGTCGCTCTTGGCGACGAGGTCGTCGATCTTCTCGCCGCGCTGGAGGACGCTCTCGATCGTCTTGTGGAGGGTGATCTTGGTCTCGTCGAGCTCGCGCTGAATCTTCATGATGGAGTCGGCCTGGTGGGGGTCTTGGTACTTTTCGAGATAGCCGCGGAGCTCGGGCATGGTGACGGGCTGGCCGGAGGACCAGGAGGAGCGCGGATGCGCAGATAAGAACTCGTCCACGACCTTAGACAGAAGCTGGTGCGCCACCAACGCCGGGTACTCCTGGTCCGATATGATGATGCCGCAGACGCCCTCCGTTCGACCGTACGCATGGAATGTATAGTCTGGTTAACGGCCTCAGTCAAGTCAGCCCGCTGCCTTCGTGCCTGTCTGTCCGTCCGGCTATCGATCCGTATCTTCTCTTCTAATCCGGCGCAAGAGATAGACATATAACGCTCTTATGGGCGGTGGTGCGCACCTTGTTGTTCGACATCTTGTCTCTGCCCCGGCCTCGTCCGCTCCGCCACCGTCTTCGCGAACATGGTCATGAACTCCTCATAGCTGGATCAGCCCCAGTCAGCAAACGTCCGACACCCCCCTCTCCTCTATATCCCCCCAGTTAGGGAGATCCGTTCGTTACCTTCCACGGGTGAAGCGCGAGTAGGCAGAGAGCTCCTTCTCGGCGCAAAGCTCGACGCCGGGCTTGGTCTCGTTCTGGATGATCTGTGTCGAAGAAACGTGTCATCAGCACATCTGATATATACACATGTACACACAGACTGCTATCTACTAGGGTATGCACATCTACCACGTACTCCAATGTAAAACAGCTTCATGATGGCGGCAAGGGAGCTGACGAGGCAGCTCTAAGAATCGAGAAGGCGGGAGCTTGGATAGAATGAATGGGTGGTGGTTGAGTAGGTGGCGTAGTCTTGTCGCTGTCTGGCTGATCGGCGGTTTAGTCGGACCTCTCGGGAGTATAAGCTGGCGAAGGTAGCGTTGAGAGGATGTGGGTTCGGGAATCAATGGAGGTGTGTTGTTGAGACGGTCGGGACGGGTGGATGGGCTGGATGTGGATAAGAAGAATGGAGGTGTGGTAGAGGTGAGGTGAAGTCAGTGTCTCGAAGCCCCGACCCTTGGCTGCCCCCTTAGGGGCCTTAGGTACCTTCTAAGGCAGCTAATGGTCTATCCTTGATCACATGTACAATGCATCTAGGTACCTACCTACTTCTAATACCTTGGGCAATAGACCGGATATGGCCTTGTGGAAGTACCTCAAAGATTGGGCAGGTACCCAAGGTACTATACTTTAAGTCGTATGTACATACATTAGGTACCTTAGGTACATCACCAGGTACGGCACCTGGACGGCACCTGTCACGCTAGTCAAAAAGAGCCGCCGGGGAGAAAGCGCTGTGGCGTCTGTGGCGCCATGTTATGCCATGCTACCTAGGTAGGTGACATAAATCTGGGGAAGCAAACCATCAAGACCTGTGGGATAGCGGGTGATATGTCTGAAGGTAGGTACATCTTTTATACCGGCTTTAAGGCATTATATGAATACGCTAAACAAGGTACCGGGTAGGTAGGTACCTACCTGTCTAAAGTATTCAGCATAAGGTTACCGCTCAGCTGTACCTGAGTAACATGTCTTAGGGCATGCAGTACTCGTAGCCCTACTAATATAACCGGAGGTTAGGAGGTAAGTGTTGAATTACACACCCTACATTAGGAGGTACCTAGGGAAGTAAGTGCTGTACATACATATACCCTCAGGTACTCATCTTACCAAGGTGGGGTGTGTACACTCCGTAGAACCAGAATGGAGAAGGTACCTACCTACACAAACCTAAGGCAGCAATTTCTACTCAATGTGTCTCGCCGAAGATTCATCACTCCCATAATTCAGTATTTGCGCTCCTCTAGTAGATTAGCTACGGAACCTGCCGTAAGACAGGAACCGCTACGACATCTCTTACCTGCCTACATCATGTAGTCTACCTCTACCTGCGCCAGACATAATACAGCGGTGGAATCCCTTTGTTGAAAAGAAAAAGAAAAAAACACCAGTGTCGCCAGCCCCTGGCCTGGTGTCCTCTCATACGAACCACTGTATTGAAAGATGTCGTCTTCGTCAATGAGCGAGGCTGAGGCCCGCTGGCTTGAGCAGGTTGCCGCCATGAAAACCGCCCTGGCAGGATTACAGCTCCCCGGAAACCCCCAATCTATCGAAGACGAACTAGGCCTACTAGACGTTGATTTCAACGACGATGACTACACGTCTGGGAACAGTGGCGATGACTTGTGGGATTTCATAGACGACGACGACGACCTGTACAGCAGCGACTCGGTGGAGGAGGAGCACGAACTGCCCGGCAGCACGGCACGTGGCCTACCTTGGCTCCTCGAGCAATGTGTCAATATATCCGCCAAGAAGGATGGCCTGTCTCCGGACGCCTTCCGGGCTCAGGTCCGAGATGTGCTGAGCTCTCACCGATCAGAGGACGAGCTGCAGTCTAGTCTCACAGATCTTATCGGGTACGATGATCTCGACTTCGTCATCGAAATACTGTCCCGTAGGGATGAGATCGTATCCGCCTTTGCCAGTCAAGAGGAACCCAAGCCAAAAAATCGACTCCTAACCAAGGCGGAGAGGGAGGAAGCCCTGAGAAGAATGGATTTCGAGCATAAAAATGCTACCCTCACCCCTAGCATTCATAGGGAGGTTCAATACCCTCATGTGTACAGGGCGCATAATGCCGGCAATACCTTAAGCCACGCAGGGAAGCGCTATGCCTTGCCTGCTGGTAGCGAGAGAAAGCAGTATGAAAAATACGAGGAGTACTCCATCCCCGCTGGGAAGACCGGTACGCTTCTCCCTGGCCAGGTGCTCGTCAAGATCGCCGACATGGATGCACTCTGCTTTAAGACGTTTAAGCACTATAAGACCCTGAATAGGATGCAAAGTCTGGTCTACCCAGTAGCTTACAAGACCAGCGAGAACATGCTGATCTGCGCTCCTACCGGTGCCGGTAAGACAGATGCCGCTGTATTGACAATCCTGCAGACGATTGGCCGGTATGTGACGCCGAATCCGATCGAGAACCCGCACGCAACAGACTTTGACGTCAACACTGAGGACTTCAAAATTGTCTACGTTGCCCCGATGAAGGCCCTCGCCGCGGAGATCACAGGGAAGCTAGGCAAGCGTCTTGCGTGGCTTGGTATCCAGTGCCGCGAGTATACGGGCGATATGCACCTTACCAAATCCGAGATTATGCACACACAAATCATCGTAACTACACCTGAGAAATGGGACGTCGCCACCAGAAAGGGTACCGGAGACACCGAGCTGGTGCAGAAGGTCAGGCTCCTCATCATTGACGAGGTTCACATGCTTCATGACGAACGAGGTGCCGTTCTAGAGTCCTTGGTCGCGCGGACGGAACGCCAGGTTGAGAGTACGCAATCTCTAATCCGGATCGTCGGACTGAGCGCCACCCTTCCGAACTACATCGACGTCGCCGACTTTCTGAAGGTCAACAGACATGCCGGACTCTTCTATTTCGATAGCTCTTTCCGGCCAGTTCCCCTTGAGCAACATTTTATCGGGGTTAAGGGCAAAGCCGGTTCAAGGCAGTCTAGGGAGAACCTCGACATAGTCTCTTTCGAGAAGGTCAGGGACATGCTTGAGCAAGATCACCAAGTTATGGTGTTTGTTCATGCTAGAAAGGACACGCTGCTCACCGCCAAGACCCTTTACCAAAAAGCCACCGAGCACACCGTAACGGATCTCTTCGACCCGATAGGACACCCTTACTACGACCAAGCCCTTCGTGACATGAATTCCTCCAAGGCCCGGGAGCTTAGAGACCTCGTTCCAAAGGGTTTAGGCATACACCATGCTGGCCTAGCTCGGTCTGACAGAAACCTCATGGAAAGGCTGTTCGCCGAGGGCGTAATCAAGGTCCTCTGCTGTACAGCGACGCTTGCATGGGGCGTCAACTTACCAGCAGCTGCCGTTGTCATCAAGGGGACTCAGGTCTATAGCGCCCAAGACGGAAAGTATGTGGACCTTGGTATTCTCGATGTGCTCCAAATTTTCGGTCGCGCCGGACGGCCTCAGTTCCAAGAGGTGGGCATCGGTATGATCTGCACAACCGCAGATCGGCTGCAGCATTACCTGACGGCGGTGACCGAGCAGCAGCCTATCGAGTCCAAATTCTCTTCCAAGTTAGTCGACAACTTAAATGCCGAGATTGCCCTAGGTACCGTGACATCTATACCGGAAGCAGTGCAGTGGATCGGCTATTCATATCTATTCGTTCGCATGCAGAGAAGTCCCATGACTTATGGTATCGAATGGTCCGAGATCAGAGACGACCCGACTCTTGTCCAGAGGCGTCGGAAGCTCGCTATCCAGGCAGCTCGAACCCTGCAGAAAAGCCAGATGGTTATTTTCAACGAAGAGACCGAGCAACTAAGGAGCAAAGACATTGGCCGCATTGCTAGCCAATATTACATCCAACAAACAAGCATAGAGATCTTCAATAGCATGATGAAACTTTACGCAACAGAAGCAGACATTTTTCAAATGATCAGCCTGAGCGGAGAATTCGACAACATCCAATCTAGAGATAATGAAGCCCGAGAACTCAGCGAGTTCAGGGAGGATAGAGGAATCACCCCTTGTGATATCAGCGGCGGTATCGACACGCCCCATACGAAGATCAACATTTTGTTACAAGCTTACATATCTCGAGTGCAGCCGAAGGATTTCGCATTGTCTAATGATCTGAACTACGTAGCTCAACAGGCCGGGAGGATCTGCCGTGCCCTGTTCATGATTGCGTTAAACCGGCGATGGGGCTACCAGTGCTTGGTCCTGCTCACACTCGCAAAGTCCATCGACAAGCAGATTTGGCCTACCGAGCACCCGTTGCACCAATTCGACTTTCCCAAAACCGTCCTTAACCAACTTGATAGGGAGCATGCCCCGACCATCGAGGATCTTCGTGACATGGATGCTGCAGAGATTGGCGATGTGGTTCACAACGAAGGCGCTGGCAAAAGGATAGCCAGGACCATTGAGAATTTCCCAACTGTGTCCGTTGATGCTGAGATCGCCCCTTTAAATCGGGATGTCCTGAGGATCAAGCTCTATATCACTCCAGACTTCAAGTGGAACGATCGTGTACATGGGACGTCCGAATCTTTCTACATCTGGGTTGAGAACTCGGATTCCTCTGAAATATACCACCATGAATTCTTCATACTTAATAGGAGGAAGCTTTACGACGACCACGAACTTAATTTCACGATCCCCCTATCTGACCCCCTGCCCAACCAAATCTACGTTAGGGCGGTGTCAGACAAGTGGCTCGGAGCGGAGACGGTCACTCCAGTGTCTTTCCAGCATCTCATCCGGCCGGATACCGAAAGCGTGTATACGGATCTGCTGAATTTGCAACCACTCCCTATCAGCGCCCTCAAAAACCCAGGGTTGGAAGAACTCTACAGCAAGAGGTTCCAGTACTTCAATCCGATGCAAACACAGATATTTCACACACTTTATCATACGCCTGCCAACGTGTTACTAGGATCACCGACTGGCAGCGGTAAAACTGTAGCTGCGGAGCTAGCTATGTGGTGGGCGTTTCGAGACCGACCGGGCTCCAAGGTGGTCTACATCGCTCCGATGAAAGCCCTCGTTCGCGAGCGAGTGAAGGACTGGGGCGCTCGACTTGCTGGCCCCTTGGGTCTTAAATTAGTCGAATTGACGGGCGACAACACGCCGGACACGAGAACTATCGAGGACGCCGACATTATTATTACAACGCCCGAGAAGTGGGACGGTATCTCCCGTAGCTGGCAAACGAGAGGATATGTCCGCCAGGTTTCACTGGTAATTATTGACGAAATCCACCTACTTGCTGGAGATCGAGGCCCCATTCTCGAGATCATTGTGTCCCGTATGAATTATATCGCACAGTCTACCAACAGCTCCGTCAGGCTTCTTGGGATGTCTACTGCCTGTGCTAATGCGAAGGATCTCGCTAACTGGCTCGGGGTTAAGGAAGGGTTGTTCAATTTTAGACACTCGGTACGGCCGGTTCCGCTAGAGCTGTTCATCGACGGGTTTCCGGAGGTGAGAGGGTTCTGCCCCCTGATGCAGTCGATGAACCGGCCAACCTTCCTGGCAATCAAGAACCATAGCCCTACCAAACCCGTTATCGTCTTTGTGCCCTCACGACGACAGACCAGACTGACAGCCAAAGACCTCATCAATTTCTGCGGCATGGAAGACAACCCTCGGCGGTTTGTCAACATGTCGGAAGAGGATCTCCAGCTTAACCTCGCTAGAGTCAAGGACGACGCCCTCAAGGAGGCAGTGAACTTTGGAATTGGACTTCATCACGCAGGCCTGGTTGAATCGGATCGACAATTAGCTGAGGAACTTTTCCTGAATAACAAGATCCAGATCTTGGTTGCGACAAGTACATTGGCCTGGGGTGTCAACCTTCCCGCCCACCTAGTAGTCGTTAAAGGCACGCAATTCTACGATGCTAAGATCGAGGGCTACAAAGACATGGACTTGACCGACGTCTTGCAGATGCTGGGTCGAGCTGGCCGTCCGCAATTTGACAACTCCGGCGTCGCGCGTATCTTTACTCAAGACTCAAAGAAGGACTTTTACAAGCACTTCTTACATACTGGGTTTCCGGTAGAGTCGTCTCTGCATACCGTCCTCGACAATCACTTGTGCGCAGAAGTGTCAGCCGAGACCGTCACTACCAAGCAGGACGCGCTGGATTATTTGACGTGGACTTTCTTCTTTCGTCGGCTGCATAAGAACCCCTCGTACTATGGTCTTGAAATATCTGCCGAGGACCACAATAGTATCGCCGCCCAGCAGCTCGCAAACGACTTCACGATCGACATGGTCAACAAATCCATAGACGAACTGGCTGCGTCGAAGTGTGTCGAGGTATATCCTAACGGTGATGTGGATCCGACCCCCCTAGGCAAGATTATGAGCTACTACTATCTATCACACAAGACGATCCGCCATCTTGTCAAACATGCGAAACCGAAGGCGAGCTTTGTCGACGTACTGTCCTGGATGTCCCGCGCCACGGAGTACGACGAGCTCCCCGTCCGGCATAACGAGGACCTTATTAATGCCGAGCTATCGAATAATCTCCCATTCGAAGGCAACACATTCGGCTTGCCGATGTGGGATCCCCACGTCAAGGCCTTTCTGCTCCTCCAAGCGCATATGGCACGCATCGACCTCCCCATTGCCGATTACGTCGGTGACCAGACGAGTGTTCTAGACCAAGCCATCCGTATCATCCAGGCATCCATCGACGTCCTAACCGAGCTAGGCTACCTGTCTAGTTGTCTGGAGATGATCAAGCTGCTCCAGTGCGTCAAGTCGGCTCGCTGGCCGCAAGATCCGCCTCTGTCCATCCTTCCCGGCACTGACATCGATGACCTGACCGACGAGACGAGTCTCGAGACGCTCAGCGGCTTCAGCAGCGAGCAGGTGGCTGGGCTTGCAGACAGGCTCGAGATCCCCAAACGACAACAGAATCAGTTCATCCGCGCCGCGTCTATGCTGCCCAACGTCGAAGTCAAGGTCGAGGACGTGACCGCGCAGTCTCTCACCGTGTCTCTCCAGCGCCTCAACGCCCTCGCGGACCGCGGGGGGCGCGTCTACGCGCCGAGGTACCCCAAGCCGCAGACGGAGGGCTGGTTCGTGGTGGTGTGCGACGTGGCGAGGGACGAGGTGATTGGCGTGAAACGCGCGGGCTGGGGCGGCGGCGGCGGCCAGAGTCGCAAATCGGGACCGAGGTCCGGCGCCAAGGGGGCGGCAAAGCCGGCGACCAAAACCACGGTCAAGCTGCCGGGGCCGGACCGCCACGGCGGCGGCGGCCCCAGGAAAGTCGACGTCGTGGTCGCGAGCGACGCGTACGTCGGCCTGGAGTACCGCCTGCTAGGCGTGGAGATCCCTCGGCCCCCCACGGTGGACGACGACCTGGACAAGTCCCGGAAAGGTAAAGGTAGAGAGGGCGAGGGAGGCGGAGGCGAGGGGTCGAAATAAGGTTGAGTAGATAGCTTCGGGGCCCCCCGAGGGCGTTGGGGATATGCGTACGTTTAAACGCAATGCCGGGAGAACATACACCTAGATTGGGGAGGGTGAGGGTGACGTGATGATATAGCAGCCGGGTTTAAGTAAGGCTGACGCATATATGAGCTACGCGCGGAGTTAGACATGTCTATCTTGCACATCTTGTTCTTAGCAAGGCAGCCTTCGATGTCTTTCTTCTTCTAACCGCCCCCTTTTAGCATCGACAGGGGGGGAGACCATCGCGGTGACCAAACGTTGCAAGGCGCTTCGGAGAAGTCTTCAAATTCGTATCTCGTGAGAGGGATCCAAACAATCATTACTTGGGTATGCTACTCCCCGGCCCGTCCCGCCATCGCCATGCTCGCCCGTCCGTTGCCGAAAACACAGCGCGCACAAAAACCAACCCGCCTTACCCCCCCGCCCGTAGATCTTACCCCCCCGGGGTCTGTGATATTCTATGCATATGCGCATGTCCAAACGCCAAATTCACTCGTTAGTCCTAGACTCGAGGCACGCCTCCCCTTCTCCCGTACGCGCGTTGTCTACCCGCGTACGGGTGGATATACTACAGGCCTCGTCTGCTCTCGCACCCCGGCTTCGCCCTTCCTTCTGCTACGAAATTACGGTACGAGTCTCGAATTAACGTCCTCCTGCTCGGCTGCGGGGCCTTGCCCGTTCTCTCCGTCCTGGACCGATGCGTGACGGATATTGTCACGGCCCGTACTTACCTAACAGCCGCCCACGATGCTTCCGTGGAGAAGACAAAGACACAGAGAGAGAGAAAGAGAGAAGAAGCGCCTACGGGAAAAGCGAACTGAAAATCATACTGATGATGCCTGACCTTTCCATGCCTTTCCGTTCCTTCCTAGGGACCCGTCGTCCCCATGCCTATGTGTAACGCCGACAGATGTGCAGCCAACTCCGGAAATGAGGAATGAATGGAGTACGGGAGAGAAAAAAAAGGGGGAGGTGGGAAACAAAGATATAAAATAAAAAATTCAGCAACACCTCCCGCTCTGCTGCGCCTCTCCCTGACCGCGGTTCTGATCCGCGGCCCCGGGAGTGCCCGCGGCAGCGGCGTCGGCGCCCATGTCGGCGACGGAGAAGGACTGGGGGAAGAGCCAGCTGCGGCGGTCGCGGCCGACGCGGAAGCTGCCGCCGTTGCGCAGGCCGGAGACGCCCCCGGTGGCCCCGCCCGCGCCGCCCGCGCCTGCGCCTCCGAGGGAGTCGAAGTAGCCGTCCGAGTCGGCGCCGTCGCCGTAGCCCGGGGTGCCGCCCGACGAGGTGGCGGTCGCGGCGAGGATGGCCTGCTGCATCTTGCGGTTCTGCTCGACCAGCTTGCGCGCGACCACGCGAAACACCTCCTCGACCCCCTCGCCGCTCTCCGCGCTGATCTCGTGGCACGCGTCCCACCCGGCCTCCTGCCCCCAGAACCCGCTGCTCCGCTTGCTGCTCGGGCTCCGCGGCTCTGGAGCGCTCGACGCGGGCGTGATACCCGTCGCTGTCGTTGTCGCGCCGCCTCCGTGATAGCTATGGCTGTGGCTGTGGCCGTGGCCGTAGCCGTAGCCGTGGGGAGCGAGGCTACTGTTGGCGCCGGCGGAGGAGGAGTAGGCGAAGGCGTTGGCGTTGGCGGCGGCAGAGGCGGCGAGAGCGGTGGAGAGCAGGCCGCCGTGGGCGGTGGGTGGAGGCGTCGAGCCGAGCCCCGGGGCGAGGTTCTCGGCGACGTAGGCGATGCAGCGCTCGAAGGGCACCTCGCGGCGCGAGGGATCGCGGGCGACGACGTCGGCCTTGGTGCCGACGACGTGGAGGACAATATCGGGGGGGAGGTTGCGGCGTAGCTCCGTCAGCCAGGCGCCCATTTGGACGAAGGACTGCGCGTCCGTGATGCTGTAGCACAGGATGCACGCGTTCGCACCTCGGTAGTAGAGCCGCGAGATGGAGCGGAAGCGTTCCTGGCCGGCTGCGAGGACGCGCGGAGTTAGTGTCGGACGCTTACGGGCTTATCACCATGCGGGAAGGGAAGAAGTGGCGAGGAGGAGGGTGATGCGTACCGGTATCCCAGATCTGGAGACGGACGACGGTGTCGGTGTCACCGTCGATGACCCGCTTGGTCATGAAGCTGGCGCCAACGGTGGAGGTGGTTTCGGCGGGATTGAAGGAGCCCTTGCAGTAGCGAGTGACGAGCGAGGTCTTACCGACGCCTTGCGCGCCAAGGACGACGATCTTGGCCTCAAGCGAGGACATATTGAAGGGGCCTCGCGGAGGCGGGGAGGAGGGCAGAGAAAGAGCGCGTAGGGCCTCTCCTCGGTAAGGTTGGTCGAGCAAGCTACAACCGAGAGAGAAGAGCAGAGCCGGGCTAGGAGGGGGCGGCTATCGTGTGTGTGAGTGGATGACGGATGTGTGGGTGGGTGTGTTGCAAGGACCTAGCTGGGTGTTGTTCTGTAAACGAAGCGGAGGGTCTTTATAAATGATGGGTCGGCTGGGCAGCGGCTGTCGAGGTCGAGGTCGAGGTCGAGGGACGGAGGGGTAGTGGGAGGGCGGGACGGGACTGGGTCCACATGCTCCGCTCGAGAGACCGGGAGGTCGAAGGAGAGAAAGAGGGGAGTCTCGAGAGAGGAGAGAGAGGGAGAGGGAGAGGTGAGGGTAAGGTGTCGAAGGAAGCCGGCGTATCTATATCATGTGTGATTCGCGCGATAGGTATAGATATCAGATACGGGGATGTGGTGTCGAGACGGGCCAGACCAACGACACGAGCTGGACGTAGGTACGTGTATGTAGGGACCCGTCAAGAAGGGTGTATTGGGTGAGAGAGGATGTCGGTGATGATGGTGGTGGTGGTTGGGATTCCCGCCGAGCCACCACGTAGGTAATAATATGTTATTACCTACCATACAGGGAGGGGGGGGTCTATTGACACTATGTCAGCAACCCTTTCTATGACTGGACATAGTGTCTGCCTCGTGATAAGAGTGAATTAAACTCTAGGCTGACATTATTACCATTTCTCGACATAGTTACCATCCGGACATAATGTCATTATTTTAAAAAAGGTACATTCTATAGGATTACCCGGTTACCTCTATGTTACTAAGTACGTACCTTTGTACCTTTGTATCTTTTACGTCTGTTACCTACCGTACCTCCTAACCTCCTACCTACCTACCTACCTACCTCTTCTATAGGTTCGAAGATAGATAGATTCCACCCGCGAACTAGCTCCTATAGGTTCGAAGATAGGTTCGAAGATAGATAGATTCCACGTGCGAACTAGCTCCCATAGGTTCGAAGATAGGTTCGAAGATAGGTTCGCAGATAGGTTTGCAGATAGGTTCGCAGATAGGTTCGAAGATAGATAGATAGATTCCACGCGCGCGAACTGGCTCCTATAGGTTCGAAGATAGATAGATTCTACATGCCTGAACTAGCTCTCACAGGTTCAAAGATAGGTTCGAAGATAGATAGATAGATTCCACGCGCGAACTGGCTCCTATAGGTTCGAAGATAGATAGATTCCACATGCCTGAACTAGCTCTCATAGGTTCAAAGATAGGTTCGAAGATAGATAGATAGATTCCACGCGCGAACTGGCTCCTATAGGTTCGAAGATAGATAGATTCCACATGCCTGAACTAGCTCTCACAGGTTTAAAGATAGGTTCGAAGATAGATAGATAGATTCCACGCGCGAACTAGCTCCTATAGGTTCGAAGATAGATAGATTCCATATGCCTGAACTAGCTCTTATAGGTTCGAAGATAGGTTCGAAGATAGATAGATAGATTCTATACACGAACTAGCTCTCATAGGTTTGAAGATAGGTTCGAAGATAGATAGATTCCACGCGCGAACTAGCTCCTACAGGTTCGTAGATAGGTTCGTAGATAGGTTCGTAGATAGGTTCGAAGATAGATAGATTTCACGCGCCCGAACTAGCTCCCATAGGTTCGCAGATAGGTTCGCAGATAGGTTCGAAGATAGATAGATTCTATACACGAACTAGCTCTCACAGGTTTGAAGATAGGTTCGAAGATAGATAGATTCCACGCGCGAACTAGCTCCCACAGGTTCGAAGATAGGTTCGCAGATAGGTTCGCAGATAGGTTCGAAGATAGATAGATAGATTCCACGCGCCCGAACTAGCTCTCATAGGTTCGCAGATAGGTTCGCAGATAGGTTCGCAGATAGGTTCGTAGATAGGTTCGTAGATAGGTAGTAGATCATGGTATGTAGAAAAAAGATGAAGACAACAGGTCTAGGTAGGTAGGTCTAGGTAGGTAGATAGGTAGGTAGGTAGGTAGGTAGGTAGGTAGGTAGGTAGGTAGGTAGGTAGGTAGGTAGGTAGGTAGGTAGGTAGGTACCTATGGAATATATAGACATTATATCCGTCTGGACATTAGTTCCTACGTAGTCATAAAAACCATCCTGAAATTATAAGAAGGGAAGGTAATAAGGTCGGTACCGTAACCCTTGCTGTAATTCTTTTAGCCCCTTCGAAAGAATGACTAGCTAAGGTAACCCTTACTAGATTTAGTTACCGTGTCGGTATCCCGACTCTATTGCTGACATACTGTCCATAGACCCCCCCCTCCCTGTATGGTACTACCTATGTAGTAGTCCGTATACATACCTATGTAGTAATTATGCGCTAGAGAAGGAAGGGCTTTGCCTAGGTACATATTGCCTACATGATGCCCGTATTATACCTCTGCGATACCTGCCGTTGCGCATAGTGCTTGGTAACCCCAACGTGTACCTGGAAGGTATTTATTACAAGGTATGTAGCAGGCACAGGTACCTAGCCATGCAGCTAGGGTCTCTGATCGTGTCTCCTAGGAAGAGCTGCCGGAGGGAAAACCGAGGCTGACCCTTATCTGGGGGTCATGTACCTACCTGTTTACCTGCCCAATGGACCTAGGTAATGTACCTACCTAATGGGGTAGGAGGTTACTTCATACCTCTTCTACACACCTACCTTAGGTACTTGCATAAGTTAGGTACCTACCTAGGTAGTATGTCTTGCTCGGTAACAACGATACCAACGACAATGACAACGACAACAAGGACGACGACAACAACAACGTCAATAACAAAGATGCGATGACGGGTTGTGTCTCACTCTCCCGGTCACACAGCAGGTAAGCTGTGCTTCAAAACAAGAGAAAGAAAAACTCGACAAGTCGGCGGACAGAAACCCCACGCGCGATATTGATTACCTCGAGCTTGGCTGTATTCTTTTTTTCCTTTTCCCACCCCTTCCCCATCTGTTCTTCTTATTTATTATTATTTTTTAACTATACGTACTTTTATTGTTTTTGGCGTTCCTTTTATAGGTACAGGCGGTATGTGTGTACATGCTACCTACCTACGTGGTAAAGAGAGGTACCTACTACGTGCTCCCTGCCTAGAGATATCTACCTAGGTACCTAATGTAGCACGCTTACATCTACCTAAACCAGACCTAGCGTTGTCCAACACATCATCGGATCCTACGTCACGAGGGCTCTCTTAATTGCCCAACGTGTTAGTAACTTATATAGGGTATATGAATCGAGAGACGAAAATGCGCCTCGATAACGGGCAAGGGGGTTATGAACTAAAACAAGCCGATCCGAGAAGAAGAAAAAGAACAGGAAAATAAGAGGTCTCTTTTTTCTGTCTGTTTATTTTTCCCTGTAGGTATTTTATACTACGTACAACGCGCTAGGTTGAGTTAATCACACAACCTCTGGGCTCCCCTTATATAGGTAAGTTTTCTGGATAACACCTCGGCGTAATGCTCACCGGCAACATCTGAACTATATTAAAACCCCCCGAGAGCCAAACCGCCTTGTCCGTGAAAACCGGGGTCCCGGGAGCGATCGTCCCTTACATCGAAAACACGTGTAGTTACCCCGAGTGCGTCATCAAAACCACCGACTTCAGTACGGGGGTGCCCACGTCGTTAGGCAGTCGGGGAGTATCAAGTTTACCACCGTGGCCCGTTGAAGAAACACCCATAAGTTGAGGATGAACAACGCTGCGATGAGCCCCTAGAACTTGTCCCCCCACCGCCTAGTCTTAAGAACTGGTGTCACTCACCAACGTGCTAGGCCAGCAAAGTAGGTTTTAGCCGGTAGTGTGGCTTGCAAACCAAGCACTCTCGCGGTTGCGCATATCAATAAACCAGAACAGCCAACACGGAAAATAGACGTATAAATGTGTACACGCAGACGCCAAGCCTATATTCGATCCTCAAGACGGGATGTATATACTTGTAGCGAGGTAGATGGATGGCTAGATTGGTATCCCCACAGATATACAAGGGAGAGAAAGAGGGAGAGCGACAGAAAAAACAAGAGGAGTCATCAACTAGATCGGTTTCATAGCTTCGCCTTGGGAGTCTTGAACGCCGGTATGGCGAGAGTGTCGTAGACCTTGCGGCCTAGGTGGTCGGCCGGGACGCCGGTGACGTGGCTGCCGAGGTTGCGCACGTCGACGAGGGACGGGTTCAGCTGGTCGACGCTGGTGCAGCCGATCAGGCGCATGTTCATCTCCATCTCGTCCTTGAGGAGCCGCATGGCGCGGTCGACGCCCTCGAGGCCGTACGCCGACATCGCGTACAGGAAGGGCCGGCCGATGCCGACCCCCTTCGCGCCGAGGCACAGCGCCTTGAGGATGTCCGTAGCCCGGCGCACGCCACCGTCTATGTACACCTCGATCTTCTTCTCGAGCCCCTGCGCCCGCAGCACCGGCATCGTCTCCGCCAGCACCTCGACGGCGGACGGCGCAAACTCGAGCTGCCGGCCGCCGTGGTTCGAGAGTACGACGCCCTGAACGCCAGCCTCGACGGCGCGGAGTACGTCCTCGACGCGCTGGACGCCTTTGAGCACGATAGGCATCTTCGTGATCGACTGGAACCACGGGATGTCATCCCAGGATAGAGACGGGTCGATAAAGGACGAGATGGCCCGGGCTGCGCCTTGCGACGTGTCCGTGTCCTGACCGGACTGCACATTGGAGCCCTTGTCCGTGAACCTGGACCGCATGTCCTTCTCTCTCCTTCCTAGCTGTGGCGCATCGACCGTGATAAATAAGCCCTTGCATCCCCGTTTCTCGGCGTGCTTGACGATGCGCTCCGTAATGGCACGATCCGAATTGACGTATAGCTGTAACCACTGCACCTGATCCCCTTCTGCCGCGTCCATGATCTCATCGAATGAGCACGACGCTAGCGTAGGGATCATCTGGATGACGTTGTGCTTTCTCGCCGCCCTCGTCAACACGACCTCGCCTTCAGGGTGCCCCAGCTTCCCTAGCGCCGTCGCGGTGACGTAGAACGGTATGTCGACCTTGGTACCGAGCATTGTGCTTGAAAAATCAACCTCCTTGACGTTGACTAGAATCTTGGGCCGGAACCATATCCTGTGGAAAGCCTCGTGGTTCTCTCGCAGCGTCTTATCAATTCGGTTAGCCTATCCCGTAACCCAGACACGCGAACGAGGACGACATACTATCTCGTCGTCTGCGGCGCTAGAGTAGTAGCCCCAGGCAACCTTCTTCATGACCTTCTTAGCGACCGACTCGAAATCCATCAAGTTGAAACACTGCGATAGCGGCGGCTTATCTGCGATGCGCTGTTGCCGCTCGGCCTCCTCCGGGTCCACTTCTTCCTCGACCTTGGCTACGGTAGACATGTCTACCGGTCCTAAGTGTTTCGACTGGTCTAGGTACTTGTCGAGAGTGTCGGGGGGATGTATAGGGTCGAATTCTGCCGTCGCATCTTTGCCCTTTACGAGCGTTAGTCCCAAGCGGGGAGGTGGGGGAAGTAGGCCAAGCAAGAAGCTGGAATGTCGTCAAGCGCAAGCTTACCGCATACTTTAGGATAATGCGCATCCCACCAGGGTGCTCTATAGAGTGGTCAGCATATGTGTCCGTATTCGTCAATGCTTCAAGGCTGTTAAGGGCCACCAACCGGGCAGAAACTCCGTCACATCATACACTTTGCCCTTCGCGGCCAAGTCAGCGGGATCTGGATAGCGGATACGTGGCCGACTTACATGAATCACGACCCAGCAAGAATCCTTGCTATCGTGCTTAGAAACTTCAACTCCGGATAACGACATCGCGGACACGCTCGCCCCACGGAAATGAGAGAAACCGCTTGCACAATGACGAAACCAACCCAGTTCCCGCTCGGCTACACTTCGCGTCTCCCGATATTGAATGATATTACACTTGTACTGGCGTAGAATATACACAAACACTCCAACTACTCATACAGGACCATACAGGGAAGGTGATGAGGGACGGGAGGCCAGGAGCGAGTAGGCATAGTAGCAGGACAAGAGGTCGAGGAGTTGGCGACGGGCAGGGCTCGAGAGGCCCTCGACAGGATTAAATAGCCCCGGTAGCGAGGAACAGGGCCTAGTGCTAGCGTGTTAGACGGGGGACCGAGCGGATGGGGAGAGGCTGGAGACGGTGGAGCGGCGTGGGTCTCGTTGCCTCGGGCGTCGGGAGAAAATGTAGCGGGGGAGGGTCTTTGGAAATAGCTCGACTGCCATTCGCCGGCCTACCCGGCTCGCTAACGGCTTCGCACTGTATCTCCCCGCCATCCTGCCCGATGCGGTACAGTGCCAGCACTCTCTCGTGCGACACATAGGTTACCTCAATAACTTTACATATACTCATATACCCGTAACAGGAATCAAGTATTTACGCATTGATTCAATTCCATTCTACAAACAAAGCGCAACGGCTCGAGTCCCCTCTAATGGCATATTCCATTGATGCATACTTAGAAACTGCCGAAATTGGAACTAGGCCCCGCTCGACTTAGCAGTATCTCGAGGTTCGATTCAAATACCTACCACGTTGACAATTTAAATACATAGATAGGTAGGTACTCCTTATAAAGGCATCCATCGGATAGGATTAGTCGTAGAATGTAGGCGTCTACGTTTAACGCAACAATCGCCAAGTCTTACCTTGGGGCCTCTTCTCCTCTACTTTTCCCTCCATTCTCTCCCTGCTCTGATCCTCTTGGAGTAACCCACCATCGCCGAAGTGATACGGTAGGTATGGGGTGTTAATGTATGTGTAAGAGAAAACATGGGGCAGCCGGGAATTAGAGATTCTAGAACCCTTCGACGTGATCCCCCTCCCTCTCTTCGTCACCGGAACCGGAACCCCGCAGCGTCGCATTGATAGACGAGTATATAGGTATGTTGGAGTCGCGACGGCGCGAACGAATCTTACGCCTCGCGCTGTGTCCCCAGACTCCAACCCCAATTCGCGCTCACTCATCGCTCGGGATATACCGGAACGTTCCACCCCAACCGCAACCGTAGACAAGGAGAGGCGAGCAACATTACCAGAACGAGACCCGGAAAATCAAGGAATAAGAGAGAGCTAGGGAGAGAAGACGGGAGAAGAGAAATATTGAAAATGCCGTCCGGTCACGTCTCAGCGAGCGTAGACGGCACCGTGATCGCCGCCTCGGACACCTACGAGCTCGTCGAGGGCAACATCTACTTCCCGCCCGCGGCCCTCAAGCCCGAGTACTTCAGCACCACCGACCTGCACACGCACTGCGGGTGGAAGGGCGACGCGAGCTACTACACCATCAAGGTCGGAGGTACGTAGGCGCCGGCACATCACCCCTCTCCTACCCCTCCTCGGCACAATGCCATAGGCGTACATACCAGTTTATCCCCCGCGCCCCCCCGGAGGCAACCAGGTCTGGGACTGGGACGATGGGAGGGAGACGGAGAAGGCGGGCCCAGACGCACTCTGCTAACGCGAGCGGCACCGCGCGCGCCGGCCAGACAAGGAGCTGACCAACGCGGCGTGGTACTACCCGGACCCGATGGAGAAGGCCAAGCACCTCAAGGACTACGTCGCCTTCTGTGAGTGCCGTCTCCCCCCCCCCCCCCTGCTCATCCCCTCTCGGCGAGGAGACGGACGTCTTGCTGGATCTGACCACTTCTTCGGCGCCAGACAAGTCTAAGGTCAACATCTCGACCGCCTGAAGCCGAGCAGGCGTGTGCCCGAGGCAGGCTGCTAGAGCCCGGGCTCGAAGACCGGGCAGGAGAGCGAGACGGCGTGCGGCGTGCGGCGTGCGGCGATGGCACGTTTCGGCATGTGGCGGGGGGAAACACCTACCGTCTAGCTTAGCTAGAAGCCATTCATCTGATGCATAAAACCAAGGAACTCCGAACGATGTAGGTATGAAATACATGTGAGTGCCTCTAAACTTGAACGACCTCAAAATCAGATTCAAAAACGTACCCCTAATATATGGGAAGAAAACGGTCGTTTTAGAAACTCACTGGTCTTCTGCGTAACCTCCAATCCACAGTCAATATCTGCATTCATAGAACACGCAGATGGTGTGTAATCGAAACATTACCGTAGAATGGGTACTTGGGAGACAAAATATGCTCTCTAAGGATTGAATTCGAGTATATGGAGCCTATTACATAAAATAGGAAGCTCTAAAACGGTTTATAGAAGTCCAGCCGTGTCATCGCCGCATGTGTGGGTGTCATTAGTGTGGTCGTATACCCGCGTAACCGAGCCCGACGTCTCCTTGCCACTCCTCCTCCTACCGACTCCGCATCGGTCGGCTTGACCTCCTTCGTCTACCAAAACAAAAAGAAAAACCATGAAACGGTGTGCATGACGCTTTTCGAACGCGGTTTTAAATAAATACCTACTCGGGTTCATTCGTCTATGCCGGGAAATAACGCTGAGCCTCCCTCTGTGAGTCCAAAATCCAAAATCAGATCGTATAGCGTTGAGTCCAACTAGACTATAGCGAGTCGCTAGTCTTCGCCCTCGGTCCCTCGGCGGTGACGGCGGTAGCCGCCGATGAGGGTACCGGTTGGTCCTCGCCCGAGAGTTCCTCGAGCGTCTTTCGCTTAGTCTCGGGGATGAAGAGGGTGGTGAATACGCCGAGAAGCATGAAGAGGGCGTAGATCTCGAGCACGTGGTCCATCCAGGGGTTCGGGTGCTCCTTGGTAGCCCCTCGAGTCCGCAGGGTTGCGATGGCACCCTGGCCGATAATCGACCCGATCTTGCCCGACGCCGCCGAAATGCCGTGAGAAGTCGAACGGTACCGCGTCGGGAACACCTCGCCCGGCACGATGAAGGTCGTCATGTTCGGCCCGAAGTTGAAGAAGAACTGGGCGAGCACGTAGATTGCTAGTAGGCCATTCGACGACAGGTGGTTATACGCGAAGCCCATTACCACGAACAGGATCGTCAGGATGAGGAAGCCGCCCATCTGTATCGTCTTCCTTCCGAGGATGTCAAGCGTGGCGACCGACACCCAGTAACCCGGAACGGCCCCGGCGAGGACGATGATCAAGTTGCCAATGGCCGTCTTGTACAAAACCTCGTAGGTAGACTGTGCGCCGGTCGTGGAGTAGCCGATAATGCCAAGAATTGTTGCGTTGTTTAAGGTGACACCGTAGACTAAAAGAAGGCTGGGTGTCAATGCCAGAAATCTGTCGGGGCGTAGGCACGAGATCACTTACAAGCGACATCTAGAAGAAACCAGGAGCCGGCCGTGCCAAACAGAAGCAGGCCGTTCTTGGGAATAGCATAGTGGCGGCAGAAGTCGCTCCAGCTAGCCCTAGGGACCGTCATCTGAGTCTCGGCAGCCTCGCGGGCCTGGATGCGGGCGATGTCGTCCGGATGACCCTCGCGCCGGCCCGACATGTATGCCTTGACGTCGTCAGAGGCCTTCTCGATGTCGCGGCCAACATCGAAAGTGTAGCGCTAGTAGTAATGTCAGCAAGCGCCTCCTCTCCCCTCTCATCACACCGTAGGTATTTGGCCTACAGGAGTCTCGGGAATCGTCAGTCGGTAGTAGAGTGCGATACAAGCCGGGACCGCACCGAAACCAATCAGGGTTCTCCACATCTTGTCGACGGCGACAGCACAGTAGCCCTCGCAATTATCGATACCCGGCGAGGCGGAGAGAGCCTCTCTAAAGCCAAGGGTGACAAACAGCATGACGAATGCGCAGACCAACTGGCCAATGCCCTGCATGGAAAAGACGGCTCCCATCATAGCTCCTCGCCATTTAGTGGTCGCAAACTCGGAAGTGATGATGCTGGATAGCGGGTAGTCTCCACCAATACCCACTCCTAAAAGCACACGCCAGAAGATGATGATGCCGATGATGTCGACCGAGGGCGAGCCGGAGCTGAGGGCCTGGCCGAGGGTGGCAAAGATGATTATGATCAACTCGAGACCGTACATCCGCTTTCGACCGACCCGGTCGGCAAGGAAGCCGAACACTAACTGGCCGACGACGGTTCCAGCGGACGTCGATAACTTGATAGCGCTATCGGAGGAGGTGGGGAGGGATCCGGTGCTTGGGTGGTAGACAATTCCTAACATGATGTTCAATAAGCTGACGGCGAAAATATCGTATGAATCGGTAAAGAACCCGATGCCGGCGACAACACAAGCCCTATACCACACCAGTAAGCACCTCACGACGGACCGACGGAGCGACACAATGCTCAAGATCATTACTTACCTGACATGGTACCATCCGAAGGGAGCCTTATCAATCTCGGCGAGCGCGAGACGACGACGCTCATTAGGGTCCTGAATGTGAAGGAAGTCATTGTGGAAGTTGTGGTAAGCGTTATTCCCACCAGAGGTCTTCTGAGCGACTTGGTGCGTTGATTGCATTGGGAATAGAGCGTTTTCTGCCATGACTGCAGAACGCAGAGAGAGGGGGAGCGTTACGAGTTGACCCTCTCGGTATTTGAGCTGAGCATGCGATACGATATAATTTGTAGAAAGAAGAATAGGTAGGCGATATGAAACGAGAAGTAGGGAAGGCAGTATTGATCGGCGGTCTATGTAGGAGGAAATCGGTAGGCGATAGGCGTGTATTAGTAAGGTAGGCTGGTCACCCTGGAGGGACTTACCAGCTGAGACAAAAAAGCCAGGACGGGAGAGGCATGAGGCTAGAGGGGCGCGCGGCCCTTTTTGTATCTTGATTATACGTTTCCCCGAAAGTATGTGCGATACAACCAGGCCGAGGCCATAGTTTGGGACGCCTCAGCCGGCGTACCAGGGGGGGGAGGGAGGGAGTGACATATAAGGCGGTCCACATCATTTGAAAGGAGCCGGGTGTTGCTAATGCCATCACCGCTGGCGTTACCTCGGAGCTGCTGCACTCTGGCGGGTCGACCTGAGGGGAAAGGCAGAACGTAGGTAGGTAGGTAGGGATCTCGTCGTTGAGTTTGCGCCTGACTCGGCGGACTCGAGCTCCACACTACCTACCTGTACTCAAGGCGCAAACCCTTGGAATCTCTCGGCTGGTCTGGACTCGTAAACTGTCACGCAGGCATAGAAACAAGACGCGAATATGCCCACAACTAGGCTCCTTCGATGTTCGCCCCTGCAGGGATTTCTTAGCGGCTGGGGCTGCGGCTGCGGCTGGAGATACCGCGGCCGGCTCGGCGTAGGATGGCGTATGAAGAGATCCAGGCCTCTATTTTTGCTATGATGTACCTAGTGCGGCCGGTAGCTGAGAGAACGCGCGCACATCTCGCGACATCACCAGTCGTGAGGTGCGGAAGTCGGTGGCAGCCATCGCCAGCGATGGGGCGGCCAAGCTGAGTAGCGGCGGGCAGATATCGGGATCGAGATGGCCTGCCTATCCGCGGCCGACAGGGACGGATGGAACGAGGGTGGGTGTGCGGAGGACGAATCGTCTGCCAAGGACGGGGAGCGTGACGGTAGACCGCGTGGAAGCGAGATGGAAGGCAAAGGGAAGCCACCCGGGCTGGCGAGAAAAGCTTCACCTCATGCCAAGGGGGGCGTAGCCAGGTCGCCCTAGCGACGGCGGCGGCACCTGGCGGCACTCACCTACGATTTCTCTATACTCATAGGTACCTCCTCCGTCGCACCTACGTCCCTACCTCCTCATTCGTCATGCCTTCCCAACATCCGCACAGCTTGCGAAAGGGGAAAGGGTTTAGGTTTGCGCTAGCGTGCGTACCTTCTTCACATACCTTAGGCAGGCGGGCAGGCCGGGGGCACCTACCTTTTATTGCCCTATGCCTGGGTCTATCCCACCAACAGCCAGCACCCTCAGTTGCTCCCCTCGTGTTGGCCTAGACTGCGCAGTGATACCGAAGGTGGGCATACAACGTAGTAGCAGGTAGGCACTAAGTTCGTCGCCCTCGGGAAACCTGCGACGTAGAAGTATTATAGGTAGCTAGCTCACCTACGGGTTCGCCGTCCAGGTCGACCGGTGAAGACGAATTAGAGTTGTTGGATCGAACACATGTTGCGGCTCCGAGCATCTCATTGGCCAGCTGGCTGTCGTGGAAGAGAGGGACCGCGAGTAGTGGGACGGAGAGGTACGTAGCCAGGTACATAGGTACCTATCTTGTCGAGCAGGCGTACGTGTACTACCTACGTAGCACCCTATTACCATGTGGGATTGCGAGTTGCATGACGTTGTGGCCCCCGTACGCGCCGTGATACCGCGTTAAATGCCCGCTCCCTTTTTTCGTCGGTTCTACCACGTCGCCAAGATCTCCCGAGGTCGAAACAAGACTTCTTCCAAGACTCCCAAGATCCAACCGTAGCACCAGGGGAAATGCTTAGTGTTGCTAACTGCCGAGATTCATCACGTCCCCACGCATATCCGTAACTTATATGAATAGCCTCCTGGCGCGCCTGAACCCTAAGCCTCGACAGCTCTTGGCCCCGCTTCGTCCGCGCGACATGGAATTGTTGAATGCCCTGCCCTCCTCAGTCGTCCCCCCCTAAAGCCCGAGTTCCCTGTCGGATCAGAGTCTTCGGATTCGCGACGCCGGATTTGACCGAACTTCCTCCAACGCAGGCCGATCGTATTACTATTAGCTAAAATGGCATCCCACTTCTACGGCATAAAGCCAGAGCCGGTGGCCAGCCATCGCCCCCGCCAATCGCATGCGGCTATTCACCCACGTTCTCTCGACACGGTTCTCGGGCACCATCAAGTTCCTTAGCCTACGTTTTCTCTCTCTCTCGGATGTGCTCATACTTCATACCACCTGTCTCTTAGGTCTGACACTTTTGGGTGTGACTTGCCGCGGCCATTTCTCATCTTCGAGCGGCTCATCCTCGATAACGGGGTATAGGTGTGGCCTGAGTCCCTGCGCCAAGCTCCGACGTCGTTTTGGTAGGTATATTACATATCCATTCCGGCATCACCTCCCCTACTTTACGTCACGAACGGCCTCGATCTCACCGGGCGTGGGGTCAAGATCCTAGTGGACTGCCCGCTTCTCTTAGAATGCTCGAACACGCTCGGTCTCGATCTGGTCATAAAGCATGAAACAACGCTAAGCCTCAATGGTAACTATATCTACTCTAACATAATCATTGATTCCACGAGATTGGGAATGGGGCAATGCGACGCGATGGAAAGAGCTTGTAGGTGTTCTCGTGGTGCCTTCGACACGCGCCAGCCAGAATTCCCAGTTTGATGATTATCTCATGTCGCAACGAGCGTCCTAGCCATGGAGATTAAATCTGATCGCTCTGAGAGGAAGAAAATCTATCGGGGCGTATTGCAAATCCTCACGAGAGCTAAAGCTATCCGTCCCTTGCCCTTTCCCTTGTTCCGGCATCCTCATTACTTTGAGGAGGACGGGAGATGCACCCGAGGCTGAGAGCAAATTTTGTATATACTGCATGATTTACACTTCGATGATCTGGTCATCGTCATCTTCATCCTCATTCCCGGCGCCGTTCCTTTCGACTTTTCTGGCGTGCTCCGCCTCCTTATCCAGTTCCTCGTCTCGCATTAGCACCTGGACCAGCCGCTCGCAGGCGTCGCGGACACCTTCGTTATCCACCCGTAAGTGGGTTTCCCGAATAATCGGATATACCTGGACCTCGCGCATCTGATCTCTACCTTTCCTGGTGGTCGATAGAAGCAGCAGCGTCTCGACATGAGTCTGAATGATGTTTGGGTCGGGATCACGCTGCTTATCCGGGGGGTGCAGTTGAAGATCGGGCAACATCGACATCATCTCGTCCTCGTCGTACTCCTCATTCCCCATGATCGGTGACAAGATATACGGTAAGATGTTGATGTCGTCTTCGGATAGGAAGAGGGGGTGGGACGGCACGTCAAAGGCTACATTCTTAATAGAGGAGGCGACTCCTTTCCGTCGAACGTCTGACTTGTGCTCGGTGAAGACCTTGAGCTTCGTAAGAGGTATCACCCCGTCGTACTCTTGCTCCCGCACAAAGTAATGTCGTATCTCAGGGTGCTTTGTTAGATCGGCAAAGAGGTAAGCTAAATGATCGAAGTCGGCATCCTTGTTGTATGTGCCGGCCGCACCCCTAACAAACAGATCAACCAACTGATTCATGACCGAATCGCTTGCCCCGAGTTCGCGTGTCGGTGGCTGCTTCTTGTCTAAGACTCTCTTCATGGAGTCCCATTTTGCAAGATTTGCCAGCAGCATAGATAGGAGGTTCGCGTTGGGCTCCGTGGGGACCTAACCCATACGTTAGCCGGGCCGCGACGTGGGTCGATCGGCCAGAAGGCGAATCGAGGCTTTAAGCTTCAGGCATCTAGACTGACGATGATTTGCCTCAAGATCTCCTCTAAAAATTTATCGTCCGTAGCTAGAGCTTCGAGGATTTCTCGATCCGCGGCAAGATTGATCAGTATAGTCACCACATGCTCGGCTATTTTCTACAAGGGCGATTAGTTCTCACTCGTGAATCACACCTGAGACTAGAGAGGAGTTACCGGGTGGTCCTTAATAAGCAGCTTCAAATTATTTATGGGCTTTAACTTTTCCGCCTTAAATATGGCTGGTTGCGACGCCGAATAGGGAACTAGATGCTCTGTCGCAAGGGCTCGAATCTCTGGCTTAGGGTCGGTGATGAAGCCAACCAACTTACTCAGTAATCAGTAAGAATCCAGGCTGAGATTTGAAATCGCGCAGTCCACCTACCTCTTCTAATTCTGTCGGCATATTCTCTGATAATATGAGATGATGACCCCGCGACAGTAAAGGGATATTTCCCTTATAATACGTTAAGGAAGGAAGATGGCGATGTCGAATGACTTAAACCTCTTTTTTTCTTTTTACGAGAGTATTTTTGTTGGAGGGGCTACAATGACGTAAGGTGGCCAATCGAATTTACTGTGTAAAGCCAATATTTTTTATGCAATAGTAGAGATAACCACCGGAAGGTAGGCCAGGTACGTACTGACTCTTGGTATTCGGAATGGTTCCGCTTCACCCCTCAATTTTTTGGATTTTTTTTTCTTCCGCCTGCTTTGTTGGAACACATTGGTGTGTGCCCCACGTCGTGATAATTCGAATCACCACCACACATTGTGTCTGAGCCCGCTCTAGCCAAATTATAGACACCATGCCAAAAGCGACGGCACCAACCTCTGCCCGTCAGCCGCGGCGACATAATCCTCTAGAGGATGACTTATTAGCGACTGGTCCCCTGCGCACAAAATCGGCCAAGAGGAAGTCTAAGGATGTAGACGAAGACCAAGAGAGCTATGTGGACTCGAAGGCATCCAAGAAGATTCTAAGGATCGGCCGTGAGCTGGCTGAAGAAGTCGACACTGCACCGCCGAGACCTCCGACAGAGTCTACCACTTTCGATTTCAACCCGAGGTCTGATGACGACACCGGAGACGACGACGCATTTGAAGACGAGGAAACGTGGGGAGATGACGACGAGGTTGTGGAGGAGGTGGAAATAGAACCCGGCGATCTAGACTTGTTCAACAAGTTCTTGCCCACAGATGACGACCCGTTACTATCACATGGCTGGGACGGGCGGGCGTCGCCGGAGGAGCAGGGCGGAGGAACCAACCTCGCCGACCTGATACTCGCGAAAATAGCAGAGCATGAAACCGGGCGAGACGGGGGTCAGGACACGCAAGCTGCCGACAACGACTACGAACTATCGCCCAAGGTAGTGGAGGCGTATACAAAGTACGATCGAAGTGCGATTTATTGATATGCCATGTCGCCTATGCTAACTGGCAAATGTAGAATCGGGTTGATACTCTCTCGATACAAGTCGGGCAAGCTGCCGAAGCCATTCAAAATATTACCGACCGTTCCGCACTGGGAAGACATCATCCAGCTCACGCAGCCCGACAAATGGACCCCGAACGCGTGTTACGAGGCCACGAAGCTATTCGTCTCTAGCAAGCCGGTCGTCGTTCGAAGATTTATAGAGATGATCCTCCTAGACCGCGTGCGGGAAGACATCTACGAGACGAAGAAGCTGAACGTGCACCTGTTCAATGCCTTGAAGAAGGCGCTCTTCAAGCCGGCGGCCTGGTTCAAGGGCTTCCTGTTCCCGCTCGTGGAGAGCGGCACGTGCACGCTCAGGGAGGCTACCATCATTTCCGCCGTGCTGGCCCGCGTCTCGGTGCCGGTCCTCCACTCCGGGGCGGCGATCAAGGGACTATGCGACATCGCGGCGCGGGAGGCATCGGCGGGGACCGAGGGCGGAGGCGCAACCAACATCTTCATCCGGACGCTGCTGGAGAAAAAGTACGCGCTGCCCTACCAGGTCATCGACTCGGTCGTGTTCCACTTCCTGCGTTTCCGGAGCGTCGATCCGGCGTCCGTCAAGGAGGGCGACTGGGCGAACGCGGCTGTCGGCGTCGGAAGCGGAGAGCGGGCGGCGATACAGGCCAAGCTCCCCGTCATCTGGCACCAGTGCATGCTGGCGTTCGCGCAGCGGTACCGAAACGAGATCACCGAGGACCAGCGCGAGGCCCTCCTCGACCTCCTGCTGACACACGGGCACCACAAGATCGGCCCCGAGATCCGCCGAGAGCTACTCGCCGGGCGCGGGCGCGGGGTCCCGGTCGAGCAGCCGGGCTCGGCTTTCGATGGGGATGATACTATGATTATCGACAGTTGACGACGACAACAAACCTACTAGGGTGGGAGAGTCTTGTGAGAGTCTTGTGAGATACCAATGGAAGGGGAGTTGGTTGGCTAGGCATATCGGCGTTTAGGTGTTGTCTTCGGCTTTCGCCTGCTTAAGTTTTTTCCTATACTGTGGACGGAGGGCGTTTGCTGTACTTGATGTAGGTAGTTATGAAAGATTTGCCAGTGGTCTCCACTGTCGACACGCCTACCTATCCTTTGGGATAAGTCGTGGGCTAGTGTTTTCGAAACACTGGGCTGCTCAGAATCGCGTCGCCAGCCTTTTCCCATGGTAGAAATCCCCCCTACCAGCCTCGCGCAGGACGTAGATATCAAGGGACGCACGTACCTAGGTAAATCGCTCGTTCTCGATCACAACGGCGCATGGGCCCTCCTTTGTTGGGCACGGATTTGTCGATGTCGACTACTCCACTCTCTCTTTGCCCTAACACCCTACTTCGAACGGCGGGTTCGAGAGCCTTTTTCTTTATCTCGCATCGGCTACATTTCCTACTGTGTTGAGGGGCGAGCGGGGGAAGAGCATGGCAATCGGGTAGCTATCCCTCTCCTGTTGATCTATCTTATCGGCCGCAGTCAGCGGTGGCCCCGTTTGATAACGGCGACCCTGCCTGCTTCCCTTATCTGGAACTTGGTGATGCGATGGCGCATGCCACGAGGTACCTAAGGTATGGAAGAGGCACGTACTCATACGTGTGTGGGCGGATGGATCTCTCGTGGGCGGGCACCTCCACGCGCCCCCCACTGCCGATCGAAAGCAGATATCCGGAGAGACGCTAGAGATCTACCTACCTACCTACCTACCTACCTACCCACATAGGCACACATGGGCTAGCTCATCTAGGGAGGTAGGAGGCGCAGGCTACGTGCGCATCGCGTACGGAATAGGTCCACGTGACGGCGTGGCGGTTGATAGCCGTCGCCTTTTGGCATGGGAGCCGCACCGCGCAGCCCCCAAAGTCGCCGATTACGACGACGTCTCGGGTAGTTATGCCGGGAAGCGCGGTCCTATGCCTCTTTTGGGTCGGCGATTCGGGAGGATCGAGCATTTCCCGGGGGGAGGGCCGATAAGGATATAATGACAAGTCCGATAAGCCTTACTTACGTAGGTGTATGCAGCTAGTTGGACAAGCTATGCAGACCGGCGTGAATATGCCGAAGGCGCGGCGGGTTGGAACTTGGCGGTCTCCTGGGAAGTTTGCGGGTGGGCGAGCGGCTAAAGGAACCACCTAGGTAAAGGTAGAAAATGTAGGCGCCTATGTGCATTTTCCCCGCGAAGTTGTATTTGTCGAGATGTTTCCCCGCTCCGAACTGCTGCGCGAATTCGGGTGCCTGATCTGGGCGTCGGTCACGGCCTTCAGGTCGACCTGTACGGCTTTCCTGGGGGAATCCTGGGTCCCGCCATCGCGCTTGGCTTGCCTGGCCATCTCCGGCTAATCTGGGACCCGGTTCCATGGCCTGCCTTGCGGTCCTGGGGACCTCAGTGCTCGCGCTCCCTTCCCCTGGAGACTCGCTCATCGGCATAGGTCGTCCAGCTCGAACGATACCTTTTCAGCTACCCATAATCTGGTGCATTCCTGTACCGTATCTGGCTAGGAGGCCAACCTGGCCGTGCGATTCCATCTTCTCGGAGTTGGCACGTTGCATGGACTTGGGTGGGCTGAAGCTGACCGGGTTTTTGAATCGCCGGGTATTCCGGCTAGGTTTGACCGCGCTCCAGACGCGCTTGGGTTGTGGTAGGGCGGGACGCATCGTAGATGAAATATGCGAGACCCCAACTGCGATGGCCGTGATACGGTCGTCATATCGCTAACCTTTCAGTGCGAGCATGTGCATGCATGTATGCTCTATGCGAGTCGTTGCCAAAGATGTCGTCGCCACTATCGCATAGCTCTCCTGTATCTACCTACCTACCTAGGTAGGTAGGTAGGTAGGTACCTCATAGATAGGTATACGTATATACCTACATGGAAGTCCTATCAAATCCTTGTTTCCCGGATGGAGGAGGAGACCCTAGATGAGGCCCCTTTGTTCTAAGGGGGTCGTATTGGGAGATCAGGCAAGGCTGCTCGTACCCCGTTCAATGACACGGCGGAGATACCGATACGGACGGCGTGCATTCTAGCCGTGAGTGTCGGCCAGTTGGAAATACGTAGAGGCTACCTTCAAACGTAGCATCAGCTTAGCTTATCCGGCTGATAGGTCCCGGATCAGGTTTATCAGACCCCTAATTTATTGAACGCCTTCGTCTACCTGACCAAGCTTATGGAGCATTCTTGCTTGCGTGGGTTATTTAGGTACCTAGCCCGTGAATGGCTGGATAGATTTGTAAGTGGGCTGCAGGTAGTCTGGGCGTCGGACATAAAATGTCTCCTACCTTAGGTACCTAGAGGTCAGGTAGGTACTTAGGTAGGTAGAGGTACCTCTCATGCATACACCAATCTCCGTATAGGTACATGACCCTATGCCACTTGCTACATATAGGTACTCCAGGAGCTAAAATGATACACTATACCGAACCAGGTAGGTACAATATCCCGTATGTACCTCCTACCTAGGTACCGTAGGTAACGTATATTCATACATCAAGTACCTGCATATATACATGTCTCCTATGCATTTTATCTAAGAAATACCTAGGTACCTACCTAGGTAGCCAGGTAGGTAGGAGGTAGGTAGGTCGGTAGGTATCTTGAGAAGAGGGAAAAAAAGGAAAAAAAGAGAAAACAAAAAACTCCCCCCAAAAACCAGATGGGTACTTACAGTGAATGTTCTCCCTCCTAACTTCTCCCAGCGCCTTGTCATTTTATACCTTACTTCTTCCCCCGTCTCTCCTTCGTCGAGTTCTTTATCTTTTATCTCTCCCCGCCCCCTGCCTCGCTCGTTGCGACCCTTGAGCATCCAACATTGAAGCCTTTCTCTACGTCGTACTCCACCATCATCTTACCAATCGGCTCACTGATATACCGGCCACCTACGATTTCTACGGTGGATTTCCTAAGGTCAATACCGAATTCTACTATTACACGGTACAGCTCTCTCTATATCCTTGGTACCTTGCCGTAACCGCCGACGCCCGCTCGCCCTCCGTTCCATTGGGGACGCTCACGGCTCTAGGACGTGTTACTGCCGATATTTTTCCTGTTACGCGACGCGACCTGGCAGATCCTCCTTGCACCTGATCGCCCTTTGCGAGTTTCTTTATCGCAACTCCTCCCCACTACCGCAGTTTTAGTCTCGAGTCTTCTCGAGACGTTATAATTCCATCACCACGGCGTCCCCCACGACACTGGAACTACCGCAGGCGGACACCGGTCTGCCGCCAATCGCCTCGCCGATCCCGACACGCACCTCGTCCCCGTCATCGCCACCTATCCAACCAGCCATGGAGGAAGAGGCCACCGTACCATTACCGGCAAACCTCGAGCCGATATCACGTCCGAGTTCGACCTCGACGACGGCCTCGGCTGTCCAAAAACTCGCTGTTCCTGCCGTGGCTGCGCTGGCGGCTGCCGGCGGTTCGGTGACTAGTTCGCCACAACTGAGGTGAGTTCACCATACCCAACAAGCACGGGCAACTCCGCCATGTCCGAGTTTTTAAGAGGAAGGGAGTTGTAGTTTTAGGGATTGCGAGAATTCCTCGTTCCTAGAGAAACTTGCGACCTCGTCCACCTCTGCCGGATATATTTCACGTAGGGGAAGGCCGGAGCATTTTGAGATCTGCTCTTGGCGATGACTTTGGCCGGAGTAGCATCGATTTAAGAATGCACGTGTCTCTCTGGCGCGAAGTGATGGTAGAGGGGTTACGGATATGGATAATTCAGCACCCGCCTCCTCAACCTCAACGATAACCTTGTAGCGGCAATCCTGTCGGCCACGCCGCTAAACCCGTGGGGCACGAGTTACTGACTTTCGAATATCATACTCTCTAGAGCCACAAATCTGCCGGCGCCTCCTCCGAATACAAATTCCTCGCCCGCGGCTCATGCACCGACACCTTCCGGCAACCTGGTACGTCCTACGCCATTTCCATCAAATAACAAACGCCCTCCTAGACAACCTCCCTCCTCCCTCCTCCCTCCTCTCCCCTCCCTTCATTCCATCCAACACACTTATCTTACTGCCTCAACGGGTCGAGCTGCGTAAGAGAGAGCTGCGTGGCAAAGTTGTCGCATACTCCTCACAGCTGATGGTGGTGGAGGCTACGTACCCTACCTGTGGGACGAAAGCAGCAAAGCTCCGTCACCGTTGACATGGAAATTTTTTCCCCGTGATTTTTAATTCGTGCATGGTCCTTTTTTTTCCCCCTTGCCTACGAGAGGTCCGTCTAGTCCAATGCCGGGATCCCACTGCGGTACTAGGGTACATATACCTATGTACCCTAGTACATCTCTCGGCCCGCTCATAGACCATGGTAATCTGTGATTGGTTGTGAGCTTATCAGCGCCCACCTAATGGAATTCCTCAATCCTGCTCTATCTTCTATATCTTTATCTCTCTATCTCTATCTCTATCGATCAATCCACCTAATCTATCTCTTCCTATCGATACATCATCTCCGTGGATGTCCTCTACCCAGTCAAATCCCCCATTCACCTTCTGAACGTCTCCTACATTACCTAGGAGCGAGATGATGGCATCGCATCCTACCACCGCTTCTGCGGCTGCTAACCACGAGATCCAATCCACACAGCCGACCTGTCAGAATTGCGGTACTTCGACCACTCCGCTATGGCGCCGCGACGAGATGGGCTCGGTTCTATGCAATGCCTGTGGCTTGTTCCTGAAGTTGCACGGCCGCGCGCGCCCGATATCGTTGAAGACCGACGTTATCAAGAGCCGAAACCGCGTCAAGACAATGCGACCGGACATGCAGGTGAAGAAGAAGGTAACAAGAGAGCTCCTTTGACCAACCCCGCCCGCGCGTCACGAATGCTGACTGCCCCGTCCAGCAGAGCCTCCCTGCAGCCGCCAGCACCAACGGTAATGGCTTTCAAGTCCACGACAGTGCGACCGCTGCTGCACTCGCTGTCGTCCGCGCAACCCAACAAAAAGCAACCAACGGAAATGGCCACGGTACAGACTCGCCCGTGTCGCGCACTGCGACCCCAACTCTATATGACCCCCATCTGACTGCGTTCCAAGTTATGGATCATTTCCAATCTGATCTCCCCCAGTACCCTCTCCCCGGTGGTTCTCCCGGCCACGAGGCGTCCCCAATGAACGGTGACCAGCCGCCCATGGAGGTCCCCCAGACCCATGAGCAGCTTTTGGCCGCCAACTCGAGCCTGAAGACGCGCGTTAGCGAGCTGGAGCTGGTCATCGAGCTGTATCGAGGCCGATTGCAACAATTGGAACAGGACAACCAGACTGCCGACAACTACCGTCATTCGGCCGAGGTGTCTGCGAAGGAGGCTGCTACGGAGCGCATGCAACGCGAAGACATTCAGCGGCAGCTGGAGGATAGCCATCGGCGGGAGAACAACCTGAAGAGACGATTGGATGAGATGGAGCAGGAGAATCAGGAGCTGAAGGGCAAGTTAGAAGACTCGGAATCCGAACGGGCAGCGAAGAAGCCGAAGCTCGACGAAACAAAAGCCGAAGAGACGGAGGTTCCAATGCCGCAGTCCGCCTCTTAGGCAACTAACGGCGCGTCCGTTTTGTTTCATTTTTCGTGTCATACCTTGCCGATACCTTCCTGCAATCCATTCCTATTCTACCTGTATCAGTACTTTAGTAGTATTGTTTCCCTTGGGATTTCCTTGGTGCAGAAGTCGAGAGGTAGGAAAGGTACGGTGGTACTTGGAGGGCTTGGGTCGACTTGTGGCTTCTCTAATCATAGGTGGATGTGGGACGGTATATCAAGCCGCGACGGCTCGTCGGGTCCATACGTGTTCTTACGTAGTGGATTGGGGGTTATCTTTCATGACGATGAGGAGGGGTGAATGGCTTGGTCTTCGATGGCTATCAGACTCGAGGTAGCCCGCGAGGAGGAAATAGGGAGTACGAATGGAGTTCTACAGGAGTTACCAAAGCTCGCCGGGCATTACGTGCTGCCGGCTAATGGTCAATAAAAGTTGATTGCGTTTCCCGACGATGATTTCATAAGGAGAGAGAACGGCGAGACTGAAAGACCTTTGACAATAAAACTTGTGATGTTGGGGGGGGGGGGGGGGTTCACTATCTAACCATCTAGCATTTATGGCTGTAGAACCAACGTGCTCCACGCTCAGATCCCGTACAGATTTACATAGGTATATAAGCCGTTCCCCAGCGAGACGTATTCATTGCTTAGATTGGCTTTTTTGAATATCTCTCCCCCCTCGAGATGTTGAGAGGTTAGCATGTATCCGCTCCTAACGCTGAGCGAGAAAGAACTCCGAACGTTCCATATTGGTTGGTCGGCCGACCGGTCGCACATAGGTATATGCGCACACTCCTTCACTGCATACGACCTCTACTTTCGACACCACGCCGCCTCTCTCTTTCTCCCTCCCTCCCTCTCTCTTTTTTTTTTCTTTCTCCCGCACCCTCACCTGCCATCCTCTACGTTGTGGTCGTCATCCAGCGTCTCCCGGCGCGTCTGGGTCTTGGCGGGGCCGAACCCCATCAGCTCGCCGACGAAGCCGCCGGGCTTGGGGACGGGGCACTCCCTGGCGCCGGGGGTCTTCCTGGCGCCGGGGGCGGCGGCGGTGGTGGCGATGGCGATGGCGTCGTCGTCGCCGTCCTCTTCCCGGCCCGGCTGGGGCGCTCGTCGCGGCCGCCGGCGCCGCGCCCCGTCCGAGTCCGCGTACGCCACGCGCGGCGCCGGGCACGGCAGGATGTGCGGCAGCGCGACGACGAAGAAGCTCGCGGCGACGGTGGTGGCGAAGAGTGACGAGGTCATGCGCGACCGGGGGTGCAGGTGCGGCGGCATGGCGGGGGCGGGCGAGACGGGGTAGGTCGGTAGGTAGGTAGGTCGGTGGGGAGAGGAGGTGTTCTCGCTCTCTTTTTTTTTCTTTCTTCTCTCCCCTGCCCTGGCCTTGCCTTTTTGACGGGCGGGAGGCGCGAGAGACGGGGCCGGCTGAAGCTCAGTCGGATGGCGAGGAACTGCACATTGCGGCGTTTGGGTTAGTTGGGTGGGTTTGCAGGAGGGGGGGAATGGGCGTGAGGATGTGTGTAGAGGGAGAGCAGCCCGACCCGACCTACTTACCTATGGTACGCTGCTGCTGCCGCCCGTGAGATCCCGCCGCATGATGTGACGATGAGGGGGAGAGAGGCGCGCACGGTGGGTATCCCGTGGGTTGCAGTCTGGGTAGGCGTGTTTGTGAGCGGTATAAGTGCCTAAGGCATGGGGCTATCCGAACGTCCCATCATGGCAGAGACGAGATAGTACGATGCGCTAGCCTAAGAAAATTGCTTAGGAGGGTCGGTTCCCTACTCGCATTGGGATGGGAGATGCGGATGCAGAAGTCTTGGGTAACCCCAAATGGGAGTTATCTGATTTGCTGTAGCCTACGCTGGGTGGGCCGCAACATAGCCCGAGGCTTTGCCGGGCTGGGTGACGGTTTTCAGCCTCAACAGATAACAGCAATAGGCATCTAAAGCACATATGACAGATTCGGGGTTTCTGGCAAAAGCGCAGTCGCTGCAGCACCCATAAAAATGACATAGTTGGTACATGCGGGTGGGTGCGTGAGGCTAGGTACGTACCTCGGGTCCCCAAGTCGCGGCCGACGCCTTGGACTCAATAAGTCGCGCTCAGGGCATCTTCTAATTTTGGACTCCGCCGGCCTGCCGCACGCGACGAAGCCGTTGTCTGTACCGCACCGCACCACACAGCACCGCGCATGCACACCCATCTCTCCCTCATTCGTGAATACCGACCAACCTCAGCTGCATTCTATTTGTGTGTTCCTGCGTTATATACCTGCTGTCAAGGGTTCCCTCCTTGCGCCCTCTGCATACTCCCTATCTGCCTCCCGCCCGGCTTTTCCCACCCTTCACATCTGTTGCGAACTGCCACCCACCCGTCCAGGCTTGGACAACCGTTAGGGAGGCGCACAGGCACGCCCTCGATCCCGCATCCTCAAACGAGCCCTCTCCTTCAATACACAAGGCATGATATGAATTCGAGAGCCGGTCCAGCTTAGTATCCGTTCCAGGCTCCGTCCTAGCCTCCCCAACAGCTTCATCTGGTATCGCCTAGCCGAGCATAATCCCCTCTAGTTTTACCACGTTTGAAGATGAGCGACTTGGACAAGTATGTTGGCTGCGTCACCGGCGGACGCCAACCCCCCTATCCGTCCGCTAACTCGACGTCAACAGAGCCATCGCCCAGCTGCGAGCCTGTCGCCCTATACCTGAAGCGCAAGTCAGAGAGCTGTGCCACAAAGCGCGAGAGCTCTTGATCGAAGAGGGTAACGTTGTCACCGTCACCGCCCCAGTAACGGTACATACACCCCGCCATGGTTCCTGTTGCGCAAGGATGAGGCACCTGCTAACAGACGCGCAGATATGCGGAGATATTCACGGCCAGTTCCATGATTTGATGGAGCTGTTTCGCGTCGGGGGCGACCCTCCAGACACCAATTACCTCTTCATGGGTGCGAATTCTCTTCCGATACCAACAAGACGTTCTATATTTACATATCTAATCAGCTTGCTTCTACACATATAGGTGATTTTGTCGACCGCGGTTTCTACTCGCTAGAATCATTCCTCCTCCTCCTCTGCCTTAAAGTCCGCTATCCCGATCGGATGACACTTATTCGGGGCAACCACGAATCTCGTCAAATAACCACTGTCTACGGCTTCTACGATGAATGCTTGCGGAAATATGGTAGTGCTAACGTATGGCGTTATTGCTGCGATGTGTTCGACTATCTCGCTCTCGGAGCTATCGTCCTCAACGCATCCAGTACCCTCTCGCCCCCTAATGAGGTGACACCTAGCGAGGAGTATACGGAGCAGGACATCGAGATCGAAGTCTGTAATGCGGACGGCGACATCATGAGCCGGTTTACCAGGCGTAACAGCGCCCAGTCTTCCGACCGCGAGCGGAAGAGTCCTAACGGTGCTACGGCCAAGACTGGCCCTCCCGGCGGCGGCGCATCGGGAAGCAGCGGCGGAACCAGTGGCAACCCGACCGGAGCGGTACTCTGCGTGCACGGCGGCCTCTCGCCCCTCATCGACACGGTGGATAAGATTCGACTATTGGATCGTAAGCAAGAGGTGCCTCATGAGGGCGCCATGTGTGACCTCTTGTGGTCGGACCCGGACGAGATCGACGGTTGGGGCCTGTCCCCGCGGGGCGCTGGCTTCCTGTTCGGGGCGGATATTGTCAAGGTATTCAACCATAAGAACGATCTATCGCTCATCGCACGCGCCCACCAGCTCGTCATGGAGGGATTCAAAGAAATGTTCGATGCCAGCATAGTGACGGTGTGGTCGGCCCCCAACTACTGCTACCGGTGCGGAAACGTGGCAGCCGTGCTGGAGCTGTCGGAAGACCCTACTGGAGAGAGCTTCTTCGCGCGCAGCAACGGGGACGTAGGCCGAAGCGACGGCGGCGTGGACGGTATCATTATGGAGACCGACAGGAGGCTGAGGAGCGGCCCGGCCAGGAGGTACCGCGTGTTCCAGGCCGCCCCACAGGATTCTCGCGGGATGCCTGCTAAAAAACCGGTGGCTGACTATTTCCTATGAGGGAATATCCTCGGTAACATGTTCGCCAGTGCGAGAGACGGCATCGATTGTACAATACGAGAGCCAATGAGAGGACGAAAGGGAAGGTATCTCTCATTAGGCGGTCGTGAAAGAGAGCAATTTTGCTCCTTTGGCCTGCTCGATCGTGATACCTCTGTGTCGGAGTTCGGTGGGGTTCATAGGAAAGAGGGAAATAGGTTTTTTTTTTTGCTCTACCGACGATGGCTGGCGGGTTACCTACGATTCCATTTTATCGTGCCCCATTCCCCAGACAATAGAGAGACGAGAGAAAGACATTGGTCTAATGAGTCTTACCGTCGCTATAGCGTCAGCGGTCGTCTACCACCCCTCGTCTACGACTACGAGAGGAGAGGGGAGACGGAATAAATGTATGTAGGTCGAATGCTCGGGTGCTTACGGCCTTCTAGACATGGCAGTAAACGAAGTGATGTCCCACCACGTTACGCAAATACGAAAACGCGTCACGATCGCATCCGTTATCGCGAAACCTAGACATTCCCATACGTGTATACCCTTATATAACCGGTTATAAAAAGGAAAAAAATATGTAGAAATACAGCGGTTCCCCTATCCCATGCTATTCTTCTCATACCAACTGCCATTCTCTCTCTCTCTCTCTCTCTCTCTAACTTCCTAGAAACGCCGACCAGCCATACCCAGCCAGCCAGCCAGCCACCCGCAACCCGTCCGCCCCTCGCCGCACACGCGCGGGCTGTTCTTCTATCTACGACGGCGACCGGGCCTCTCCCCCGCTCCATCAGAGATCCGCGGAGACGAAGTGGCGGGCGGTGATGCCGACGCCGGCGCTGCCGATGATGGGGGAGGGGAAGCCGGGGCGCGCGGTGGACTCGAGGCCGGAGGCGGGGGAGCCGGGGCGCTGGCCGAGCGCGCGCTCGGCCAGGTCCGCCTGCAGGTACGTGGCGATGAGCCAGCGCAGGTCGGGCCAGCCGTCGGAGCCGGGGATCGGCCGCCCGCCGCCGCGCCGCCGGATCGCCACCAGCTTCGATAGGTACGCCGGCTCCGGCTCGGGCTTGCGCGGGGGCGACGCCGCCTCCTCGACGGGCGCGTACGCCGGCTCCGGCTCCGGCTCCGGCGCACGCCGGGGCGCGCGCCCGGCCCGCGGCGGGCGCCGCGGCGGCGGCAGCGGCTCGTCGTAGTTTGATTCGTCCTCTTCGTCCTCGTCCTCGTCCTCGTCCGAGTGGCGCGGCGCCGCCGGCCGCCGCGGCTTCCTGGGCACCCCGTCGCTCGTGCGCTGCCGCCGCCGCTTCTTCAGCGTCTCCTGCTGCTGCGGCGCTGGCTGCCTCGATCCGGGCCGCCTCGACCCTGGCCGCCTCGGTGCTGGCTGCTGTGGCGCTGGCTGCCGCGGCGCAGGCTGCCTCGACCCTGGCCGTCTCGGCGCTGGCTGCTGCAGCGCTGGCTGCTGCGGCGCTGGCCGTCTCGGCGCTGGCTGCTGCGGCGCTGGCCGCCTCGGCGCCGGCGCGCGCGCGCCCGCCTCGCCCCTCCCTAGGTCTTGCCACGGCCGCTGCGGAGCGGGCGCGGGCGGCGGCGGCGAGCGACGGGGCCGCGGCGGCTCCACGGACGTGTACGGCGGCGGCGGCGGGAGCAGCGCCGTGAGCAGCGCCGCCCCGCGCTGTGGCGCGTCCAGCGGCGGCTGCGACTTGTACGGCGGCGGCTGCGACTTCGGCTGCGACGCGTCGCCCTCCCCCCCGCCGTTGTCACCCGGCAGCCTGAGCCCCCGCAGCTTCTCGGGGACCGCGTCGCCGGTGCGCTGCCGCTTCTGCGGCGTCTCCTCCTGCGGCGCTGGTCGCTTCGGTGCCCTCGCGGTAGCTGCGGGTGCGGGAGGCGCCGCGGCGCCGACCCCCCGGGACGGCTGCCCCCGCGCCTGCGCCGTCTCGGCCTGCGGCCTCGGGGCCGGGGCCGGGGCCCGAGCGGGGGTCCGCTGCGGCGCGAAGAAGCCCCTGCCGCCCCTGCCGCCCCTGCCGCCGCCGCCGGCGCGGTGGGTGGGTGGCTGCGCTGCTGGCGAGGCCACGGGCAGCTGAGACGGCTGCTTGGACGGCTGCTTGTCGACGGGGGAGTACCAGGGGACGGCGGGCGCGGCGGGCGGGGGGCCGGCGACGGGCTGGGTCCACGGCGCGCGGCCCGTCCGCGCCAGGTACGCCGCCTGCCGCCACGCGACCATGTTGTGTATGGCGCTCATCCGGTCCGCCCTCTCCGCGGCCGGCAGCGCCTCCAGGTACGCCTCCTCCCCGATCGGCGCCCAGTCCTCCCAGGTCCACGTGCTCGGGTGGCCGGACCTCGTGCCGCGCGCCGCAGACGCGGGCAGAGGGGGCTGGCGAGGGGGCGCTGCCTGCGGGATTTGCGTCCGCGCGGGGGGCGGCGCCTGCGGGACTCTCCTCGGCGCGGGAGCCGGCACCCGCGGGGTCTCCAGGGGGCCGGAACGAGGCGGGAGAGTAAGGAGAGGTCTCAGGGGCTCGATGGGTTCGGAGGACTTGAGGGGCACGGCGGGCTGGGGGCGCGAGACCTCCGGCTCCTCCGCGGCCGAGGGCTGGAAGTCGTCTTCGAACGTCCTCTTGATCGCAGCCATGTTGTCCCGGATGATCTGCCAGTTCTCCCGGGCCCGCTTCACGTCCTTCTGCCTCAGCGGCGGCAGCGTCAACAGGTAGTCTTCAAACCTGATCTCGTGAAGCTCCCGATGCGTCCACGCACGAGAGCTGTAGGCGTCCGAGGCTGGAGTCTTCGGCTGGCTGCCCGCGGAGGCTGGCGTTGTCGGCTGGTTACTCGCGGAGGCTACCGACTGTTTCCACGGCGACGCCAACGGTTGAGAGAGCGTATAACTTCCGGGTCCGGTCTTTCCGATCTGCGTGGGATTGGAGGGTGACGTCGTCAACGTAGGGGCCGGCGTGACCGGCGTGTACGACGCTTGCTTAGCGGTGGCAATCTTGCTGACGGTCTCCACGGTGTTCTTGATGATCCGCCAGTTTTCTTCGACCCGTCTTGTGTTCGCCCTTAGGTGCTGTGGCAGGCCACCTATATAGTCAGAGAGGCTCATGGATCGCAGTTGATTCCAGGCCCAACCGCGAGGGATCGAGAGCGGATCGTACGATGGCGGTCTCTCAGACGGTGTGTTAGGCACTGAGGCTTTCCGTTGGGATGGGAGGGTTTTCGTCTCCATCCGAGGCATATCAGGTAGGCTCCGAGCAGTCGACGGATTATCTTCGGGTGAGAGGCTTGGGTCCGCCTCGAGCGCGTTTCCTATCGCCCGATCATAGGCTAGGGCGAGGGCATCTTCATCCGACCGGAGAGCCGGTGGCTGGGATCTCTTCCAGCCATCATACCCACCCACCTTCAGAAGATTGAACAAGTTCCAAGACCCAGCGTTCCCAGTTCGTGGTTCGTGCTTAACGTCTTCGGAGTCTGTCGGTGGGGACCGTGGGCTTAATCTTACCACCCCGGCAAATATATCGATAGGGCTGGGCTTCGCGAGGTCGAGTTTGGGAGGATTCCGCCCGATCGAAGCTGGGGCGCCGACGAGGACCCTGCTCAGGCCCGGCCTCGGGTGGTCGCCCGGTAGGGGACCGGGAGCTAGACTCGTAATGTCGGTAGGCAAGTCCTTCCTCTCCTCCAATGTCGTGGTCCCGTCCCAATACTCGTGGGGAGGGGGTACGCTGTACCTCATATCCGCACCCCTGCCCACATTTCTGTCCTCCAGGGGATTGACGCTTCGGAGGTTGTGAATCTCTGTGTCCAGCTGCCAGATCATCTGATTCTTAGAGAGGATATCGACGTTGTTTAGCTGGATCTGTTGATATTCGCTAGGGTTTCCTGCGTCAAGATACCTATTCCTCTTCTTTGCCCGATCTAGGGCCTCTAGATACTTATCGCGAGTTGATTCAAGCCACTCGAGTAAGGAGCCATTGAGTTCCCCAGCGGCCCCTCTACCAGACTCACCCAGATCCGCTTCGGATTTTCCGGCTGGCTGCTGGGAGGCCTCCTTCAATGGTTGTTCGGTGGGTTGTAACAATTTTCTTGGGGGCCCCCCAGGCGGCCGCTTTTCTGATTCGGTGAATAACTTTTTGGTTGGTCGTTCAGTTGTCTCAATGGACTCTCCGGTACGTTTTTCTGGACGCTTGTCGGCAGTCTTGGTGTTAGCGGGCTTATATGGCGGAGGAGCATCTGCCAGGTGCTCAGTTGGGGGAATTTCAACCTTGTCATCGTGTAAACCAACGTCCTCCTTATCGTCAACCTTATCGTCAATTCGGGGAATCTCGACCGGCTCGTCAGCCAGGAGAATAGACTCTGGACCCGGAAGTGTCTTCCCGCTGAAGGCCTCCGGGTCTGCGGTAATCCTTTCGATCGCCGTTCGAATATCCCGTATTCGGCATGCCCAGAATCTCTCTAGCCCCTGACGTATTACTACCCGGGTGTTGGCGATTCTCTTTTGTTCGACGCTGCTTATCCAGTAAGCCTGACGGAAAATGTCGTATTCGCGCCACAGCGATTCGTGGTGGATCAGCGTTCGTAAATAGACCGCCTCGGCTTGCAGAGCGTCGATAAACGAGATTTCACCCATTTCGAGCAGCCTACTCTGGATGTAAACGCGTATGACTTGGAGCACTCTGAGTTCGAAGACGTCCCTGAGCGCCTCTCCGAACTCCTGGTTCCCCTGGTTCCTGTTCGTAAATCTATATCGCTTCCGTGACACCGCCCCCTCGTCGATGAAAGACTGGAATTGTTGCACTCGAAGTCTCACCGCGTCGGATGATTGCTCGACACGCGTCAAGAGCCTCGTGAGGTTACCAGGTTGCGTAGCCCTTCTGACGGCATTGTATGTGTCCGTATTTCTACTGATCGCGTCGACAAAGTCACTTGAGTGTTTTCCGCGTAACCCGTTTCCCATATCTGTGCCGGGATACATGATGGGTCTCTTATTTTGAAGTTCGTCGACATTCTGGGGTAATTCTTTGGTCTGTACCTCGGAATCCCGGCGAAGCTGATCCCATTCCGCGCGGGGTCTTGTCCATGCGATTCCGATGCTCTGCTTGAAGGCGCTGACACTTGGGGCCGGACTTGACGAGGCGTCGAGTGAACCGGAACCGCCCCTAAGATGCCCTGTATGTGAAGCCGCCTCGCCCGGGTTGATCCCGGCTGCTTCCTGAGGGCTCAAGCCACCCCCTAGTCGTGCTTTGAATTCGTTGAATCCTTCGTTTTCACCACTGCCCCGAAAGGCCAGGTGATGACTTCGAATCTCAGGATTCAAGAAGCGGGGAGCAAAGAATCCAGTTTTTATGTCCAACTTAGCGTCATAGAAATCACTATCTGTCTCGATGGCATCTTCTATACGGTCCTCAAGCCCGATGACGTAGAGGGCGGTACTAAGGAACGCGCGCGCTGCATCCGTCTCTTCTGGTGTCCCGTTAAATGGCGGGTTATCCTTGTAGTAATCCTCCGCTGCGGATACCGTATCCAGAAACCCTTGGTTGATAAGAAGCCGTTCATTATGCTCGCCGTACCACGGGTTTCCGTCACGTCCTTTCCGCCCCAGAGTGGTCCTGGCTCCCTTTGCACCCCGCTTTTGAGTGCCCCTGACCGCGATAGCAGCAGCAGCAAGAGGATCGGCATCGGCATCTGAGCCATCTGAGTCCTCTGGCAACTCGGGAGTCGGAGCGTCTTCATTCGGATCCTCGACGGGGCCATCGCTATGTGCCCTGACTTCGAGGGGGTCCCGAGCCGAAGTGTAGCCCGCAGAGGTCTCTGGGATCGAGGGATAAGCCGTGCTCGATTCTCCCGTCAACCTTCGCCTTCTGCTCGACGGGAGAGGTCTCGTTGCCTCGGCCTGGGGGGGGTCTGGTAAGCCTAGGGCTTCCTCGGTTAGGAAGTCATACAATGACTCGAACCGAGGCGGGATTTCTAGGTCACCACGGGCGTTAGTGGAGACATCGATATTTTCTAGTTTTTGGCGGAGCCATATGGAACTCTCAGCCCGTTGGGCACCTTGTCCCCAGTCAATAATTCTCCGGCATCCCTGTAAGAGATCATTCATTCTCTCGAGAAGGGTGTGAAAGGATTGACGGAGCGACTGGAGTCTTTCGTATAGGGCGGTTATCTTGATGCTCTGTGCTCCCTCTGCGCCCCGAATCTTTGTATACGTATTCTGCACTTCTCCGAAGATCGAGTCTACATCGACCAAGTCGCTGGCTGTGACAGTGTAGTGGTGGTCTAGAAACGCCTTGAAACTACTGGCAGGGATCGCGGTGAGGCGCGCGAACTTCCGCTGTGAAGATAAGAAAGCTTCAAATGACTCTTTCCGTCCCTCCAGCCTTGTTTCGTAGGCGCCGACACGTTCTTGTACGCTGTCATGCGAATCGATAACCTCCTCGGCGCGATCCATTGTGGTCGTTTCGGCTAGGTGGCATACGCCACTTCCGTCGGTATTTCCCCCTCGGATAGTTAGTGAGGAGCCTCTCAACTAGTTTTGCAAGAGGATAAGGCCGCCGGGGTACAGTGACGATCTGGGTTTGGTACAAGGGTATATTTCAGAGCAATAATAAACTCGATGACTGAAGAGGTGTTCGGAAAGCCCTGTAAGCTGGTCGTCGGAAAATGAACCAGTTAAGCAGAACCCGGCCGGTAGGTTGTGTAGCCTCACAAATGAAAGGAAAAGAAAATAAAAAAGTCTAAACTTGCAGTATGCTCTCGAGGGTTACGAACAACTATTTGACGTTCTGTATTCTCCATCTTGTAGACAATTCGGGTGCAGACAAAGAGATGGTACTCGGCTTTGAACATAACGAAATCCCATCAATCTCTCTGAAAACAGCCTTCGGTCGGAAGCCCCAGTGTTCGCTTTCGTAGTTATTGTCTGTAGAAAAGAAATGTCTCAGCCGTTACAAGACAAAGACCCATGTCGTAGTTTTCTCCCGAGAGGCCAAATGCGGTTGGCTGTAGACATTGTCTCTGGAATGTGGGTTTGAATCGTCTAAGCGGTAGTGTAATATCTGACTAGGACCATTCCTATGCGAGGCGAATTCGTTTAATATTAGTATGCTGCTTTCGATGCCTCGATATTTATCACGTACATTGGCGCGGTCTCTGCCTCTCTCACGTCACACGATAATAGAGGAGCAATTTCCATTTATATAGCCGGCTTGGTAAGCCCCGCCTGGTGAACATGTTAGGTGACCCGTGCTGCCATATTGCACCTCGTTAGGATATTTCTCAGGAGTGAAAATTTTCTGGTCTTTATGTGTGGTGGTCGTGAATATGCTAGGCGTTGAAACAGAACTGTTAGCCCTCCTGGACGGAGACAGGAGGCTTGGGTATGAATCTGCAAGGTCGTTTTCCTCGAAACGCGGCTGGAAGTTCGGATCGTGCCCGCAGTACATGAAATCTTGACCACTTGGGTTCGCGCCAAGCCGGAATGCTGAAACAAGTGAAGGCCTATCCGGGGGCACAGCGAACTCCGCCGGTGGTTCACCTAGGGGTTGGCTGGGGCCAGTGCCAGGTACGAAAGGTCGTGAATATCTTTGAGGTTCGAACTCGAAGAGAATCGGCTCTGACAACGCCGGACTAGTTGGCAACTGGGCCTGCGTGCTAGTCTTAGGAGGTAGTACTTCGAGTTTCTCCTGACTAGGCCCCATGGGGGTGACGAATCCGTTTCCGGCGTTACTGTATATAGTAGCAACTGGTGCAGGGGCCGCCGTATGTGGGCTAGAGTCAAACCGTGTCGGCTGGCGAGGTGCTAAGAGGAGTTCCAACGTCTGAACCGTGTCTTCGGGGCCATCTGGGTGGCTGGGCGTATGGACTTCAGTCGGGTCAAGGCTACCGGTGTGGAGGAAATTAGTAATCCGCTCGTTACGGAATCCTATGCTGTTGAGTAAGATCCGCATCTTTTTGTTGTCTTCGAGGACTCTTCGAGCGGCTTGCTGGATCTCGAAGGACGCCTCGATGCCTTGTAGTTCGCAAATCCTCAGCCGCTTTTCGAGCTCCTGTACATATTCCTTTCGCCGGGCGCGAGATCTCCGTTGGTTATCCCGAACCCTCGTGAGGTTCGCTTTGTCCTGCGAAACCATGTTGACCCAAAGAGGTCCGTTGATCTTTTGACACTACTGATAGATCGATTGTCTTCGGCAACTGATCGCCCAGGTAGGATATGCCTTCTTATATCGAGCTTCCCGCTCCTGTTTAGCTGTCCAAGGACACGACGACAGACTTCAGCTAGCACTACCCTACAAAATATTGATAGTCTGTGGCGAGGCGTTTTCCTCGTGTGCGGGCAATCTTCGCTACGCAGTAGTGGAGCCTCGAGACGAAATCAACAACGGAAAGAGATAACGAAGATACTAATTTACGGTGGTTACGAGGCCCCTAAAGATTGTCCTCGAAACTGGTGTCTAGATATCCAATTAATTAGCGTACATGGACACCAGTGTCAGCTAGTCTCATTCCCAGATAGCTGGAGGGTGAGTACTTTTACATGATATCACCCGGTGTGCTCGTAACTAGGGACCATTATGTTGACCAGTGACAGTCGAGGAGTCAAAAAAAGCATCTCAGCCTGCATGGGGTCGGCTCCGGCAATCGAGAGAGGTAGGGTGCGTAGGGCTTCTTGACCGACTGGCTTGATGTTGTGGTGGGATATACCGACACCCATCTCAGCCAACCCGCCCCGTAGGCGGATTTTTCCTCTAGTAGAGCCGGATTCCACGGACCTTATCCCAGTACCAAGTTTCCCAATGTCTAAGAATTATACTCTACTAATGACTGAGCTCTGGGAGCCATGCCCATGGAGATGGGATCACGAGATAGCTGCGGGATGCGCCTCTTAATCCGGAATCCGCCATGGCGTTGTAATACGTCCCCGCATGGGCCGTATTCCTCTGGCCACGCGTTACACCTGGACAACTCGCTTGGTGGTAGCCACGCCCATGGGACGTCAACTAGGTGCTATTTCTTTTTCTTTTCTTTGACGAGGTGGGTCGAAGATCTAATGTGGCTGCCTCTTGCAGAAGGCCGATTTGCGCGGATGAGGTTGAAACCGCGAAAAGTTGGAAGAAGTTGGATCGAAGGTGACAGCGGCGCTGTGGTGTTTCCTGTCTACAGAAATCACGAAATGCCTTCTCACTCATCTGTTGAGGAGGGCATAATCGATACTGCCATTCCTCTGAGGCCGCCATGGTTATTGGCGGAAGCTGAACACAGTATGCTACCACGCCGGCATACCTCGGCACTAGAGAGCAGAGTGCAGGAGGTGGAGAGAGTAGATTACAAGATAGTCAAGCATGTTGTACCCAGCACTATAATAACCTATCAACAAGTGATCAGCGGTTGCGTGCATAAAAGGAAACCACCGACGGGATATTCTACGGTGGCTTGATGTCTCAGATCTCACAAGCCAAACATTGCCTTTGTTGTTGAGTAATCTGCATCATGGGTTAGGCGGTGAACTTGCATGCCTGAGATATGGGCATCCGGAGGCAGATCTACGGATGATGCACAATGCCTATGCGGGAAAGCCCACCAAGCCGACGGACCAGCTTGACTCGCAAAAGCAAGGTCGAGAAGCATCCAGCCTATGGCGCCGCACTCCGAGCAAGCAGGCATCTCTCTCTGTTACCGGGAAGACTGCCCAAGCCGCAACACCCAACCCGCACGTGGGTAGCATGAATGTGTAGGGAGAACGGTATGCCGCATCTCCTCAGTTAGCTCCACGATCCCCGGCTCGTAGCTCTCACCGGTAGGTCTTATGCAAGTAGAGATGACAACGGCAGTGTAGAAGCGTAAGGGCCACCAGCAACATCCTGCACAAATTCCAACTGGGCCGGCCGGGGGGACACGCAACGGGACGGGATTTCCTGAGGACAGCCGCCTACGCCGAGAGGTAGGTAATGAACCACTTAATACCTATCCCCTTGAGCAAAGTAGTCGAGGCGAGAGATGGGCGTTGCTGCACATCCAATCACTCTCCCATCCCCTCACTCATACCGCCTATTGTATTTGTCTTGTGATAACTTGTCTCTTTTAAGTCAACCGAGGCGGTTTCCTGGCGCCACCGATCAAAGAGCTGGCTGCCATAGGTATTGGAGACATACTTAGCTTCTTATTGCCCTGGAGTATGTTTAAAGTTGCTGGCGTAAACGCAAGGCTTGCACCCAGGATAGAATCTCCGGATCCCAGCAAGGCCCCAGACACACATCCAAAAGGTGATAAATACACCCTCACCTAAGTTGAGTTGCGAGCAATATGGACCTTCTCTGTGTTTTCAATGTGGAGGTTCTAGTTAGCATGTCTTACATTCGATCATGTGAAAACCCCTAACATCACCGGGTCCTAGTCCCGGGATTAGGAGGTCTAAAGTTGGCTTTAGGCGTGATCTTCAGCAACATGTTCGATGTTTTCCTAGGAGCTTGGCCGATATTCACTATTCTTATCCCCCCCCCTCCCCTCTTCTCGTCTCGATCAATTATTATTTCCTAGATGGGAGTGAGGATGTATGTCACACGGGGATGGAACCCTGCCCTAATAATCAGGCTATAGAGGTCAGGAGGATAACATCGGGTATTAAGGTCGCCTCTTCGGCGACCTACCAAGAAAAGTCCTAAATAAGCTACGGATAGCTTCGGCATTAAAAATACTAAGGTACTAAGGTACGGAAGTACTTTAGGAAATATATTAAAACGCGAAAGGGACTAGGAAACTAAGAAAGGATAAGGACTAAAGAGACCTCCTATAGAATTATTAATTAAATTAAACCTATTTTAAGTATATCCCTTTATTATAAATAATTCTATACTATTCTTACCTTATAATTTTATTATAAATTAATAATAGGAAAAGCCTACGCCTAAGCCTACGTCCTACGTAACCGCCGCCTCGGTACTATTACTACCCGATCGGTTTAAGCCTTCTACGGAAGAACCGTAGGACTTCCTACTCCCGCGGACTACTACCTCCGGGCTAGCGTCGATCTCTATAACGAAGGTAGCCTAGATAATAGCTACGATTAATAAATTAAAGGCCGTAATAATAAAATTAAAAACAAAAGACGCTAAACGAGCTACCCCGGCGCCTTAGCCGAAATTAATCCCCGAACCGACCGATAAATCCCTCGTAGTATACTAACCTTAAGAATACGAGGTAGTTATAACTAATGCTCCGGAAATCGCGAACTTAGGAGTAGTTATACGAAACCTTTCGTAATAAATCGTAAATTTATATAAGTAAATAAAATAAGCCTATTAAAGCCTAGTAATATTAACTAATTAAATCGACGTAAGACATCGGTAAAGTACGATTTTAAAAGAGTAATACGAATAATTACGATAGCTTTACTAAACCGCTACGGCTATATAAGCTACCGGTATCTAAACTATAAAGATATAGATCTAGGAGTTCTAGAAGTAGGTCGTAAAGTAAAGTACCTACTTCGTATAAAACGTATAGGAAACCGTAGCTAAGTTTACCCGATAAAATAAAGTACGAACGGCCGCTATAAACTAACTTCGAGACGCCGTATTCCAGAACTAACGAGCCTTAACCTAATTACGCGAGAAATATAATAAGTTAATAACGGACGTTAGCTCTTAAGTTACGTAAAAGGATAAATAGATTAACGAAATCCTTAGTAAGGAATATCTTATTCCCGGGGCTATAAAGGAAAAAACCTAGCTAATTAAGAACGACCTTAAGGCTTACGCGATTAATTTAATTAAGAAATACTAATAACGACGATTAAATAATAAGCTAACGGATATCGAATCTATTATTATCGAAGCTAGTTAAAAGGTAAGGATACCGATTCCCGCGCCGGCTACCCGTATTACGATAGCCTTAACCGGGAAATATACTAATAGCGAGGCTAGAATAAGGGAAATTATTTCCGACGGCGTACTATAAGATACCGCGGCTAAACGTACCGCTATACGCGCGCGGGCCTGCTTTTAAAATACGGCCGTAGGAGCCTTTATATTAAGAAAAGCCGGGTAGGGACTACCGTAACCGCTAAGGACCCCGCGGAATACCTTAAAAGACCTAAGGAATTCCGATAATTCGAATGGCTTAAAATCTAGGAACCCGTAAAGGCCGCGACGCCTATCCGGTACCTTTAAAGAACCTTAAGAGCCTCTCGACCCGGCCGAAGAACGTATAATTCGGGCCTAAACTAAAGCTATAAATAATCGACGAAGTATTACGGTAACGACTAACCTAGTATACCTTATTAAGCCTACGGCTTATAACGGTAAGGACTTAGCTAAGTTCCGATTATAGTAAATTAAGGTTAAGTCTTACCTTAAAACCTATAAAGAAAGTTTTACCCGGGACGTTTAAAAGATTAACTAAATAAGATCGATACTTACCGAAAAGGCCTAGCTTTAATATTAATAACGATTAGCCTAGGTAAAGAGGTTAATAATCGTAAATACTTAGGTAAGGTATTCCTAAGCCTTTTAAAAACGATTTAAAGACCCCGCCGAACGATATCGTAATTCCAAAAAAATATAAGAGCTTAAGTATTAAGGAAACGTTTCCTAGTACCTTACCGAACTTATAAATCTTAACGACGTCGTTTAATAATCCGGAACTACCTTCTAAAATTATATCGCCCGTACTTTACCCGATAAAATAATAAAGCTAGTTTATTTACGACTAAGAAATATCCTTAAAAGCGACGAAGCCTTTCTAAGAGTAATTAAAAAAGCTAGCTAAATCTACGAAAATATAATAGCTAACCTAGGGATTTCGGGAAAAGGAAGGTCCGCTTCGTAAAAGGAGCATACGAAAGCGGACTAGTAATAAAGGTAACCCGTAAAAAAGACTCGTTCCCGCTTAAATTAACCGGTAAACGAACGTAAAAGTAAGGATAATAAGAAACCCGCGCCGGTTAAGGATTTACGATAAATAAATAATAAAAAGGCTTTAGCTAGAATTAACTAGGCCGCTATCGATTAACGAAAGAAGGATAAGAAAGCCTACTAACGATATAGAAAGGATAATTATTAAACCTTAGCTTACTTCGTAAAAAAGGACTTAGAAGGACGGAACTTACCTACGCTACCTAAGAAGATCTTATCGGGAAAAAGAAGAAGGAAGGAGCCTAAATTATTACTTAATAAAAGAACTAAAATCGATACTACTATACGTTAGGAGGAAACTCTTTCCCGTATTATAGAACTATCCGATTCCGATAAAGAACGGGATTTTTAAATGCCCCCCCGTAAGCGTTAACGGAAGAAAGGGGCGATAAAAATAACGTAAAGATTACGGCTATAAAACGGCCCGGAGCGCTAGAATTAACGAAAGTAGTATTAATAGCGAAGAAATTACGAGTTCCCTAACGTAATTAAAATAAATCCCGGTCGGATAAACGACCTATTTATATAATATAAATAAAATATTAAAGAAAGGAATACCCCTTACAAGTCCTACTAGATACCGGTAACGAAGTACCTTTAATTAATACCGCTAAGGTCGAGTAGCTACGCCTTCTTATTAATTAACGCTTAAGGCTAAGAATACTAATAAAATTCGACGGCTTTAAAATCTCGTCGGGAGAACTTTAATATATAAACGAAATAAAGCTTCGTAACTACGAATATATTTACCCCGTCGCTTAAAAAGTTAGCAAATTAAATAAAGAAGTCGACGTTATCCTACCCTAATAATAAATAAAGGAATACCCTTCCTAGGGTTTATTTACGGAGGGACGATTATATTTTAACTTACCCCGATACCGGAACTATCGCTTCCGGCCGATCCGTATAAGAACTACGCGAGAAAAGGACGCTTTATTACGAGTACCCGAATAATTCCGCGACTTCGTCCCTATTATAACTAAGGAAGCGGGATAACGGTTCCTTAATCGGTAACCGTAAGACTACGCTATCGAGCTTCGTCCGGGAACTATCTTACCGTAGGAACCCCTATACGCTATAAGTAGGCGATAACTAAACGCCTTAAAACCCTAGCTCGATAAAATAATAGCTATAAAAAGAATCCGGAAATCCAAGGCCCCTTACGGCGTATCTATAATATTTATAAATAAGAAGGACCCGGGCGCCTTAAAACCGGTAGCTAACTACCGGGGGTTAAATAAAATTATAATACCCGTCCGATACCCGATCCCGCTAATTAACGAACTATAGAACTTATTCTAAACGGTACGATAATTTACTAAGATTAATTTAAAGTTTAGCTTTTATATAGTACGGATTAAAGAGGGCGACGAATAAAAAACCGCCTTTAGAATACGTTATAAGCTATACGAATATATAGTTATACCTATAGAATTAATTAACGCCCCCGCTACCTTCTAGGCTATAATAAACTATATCTTCCGCGACCTTCTAAACGCCGGAGTTATCGTTTATTTAAATAATATCCTAATTTATATTAATACGTTAGAAGAATATAATAAATTAATTAAAGAAGTCTTAAAACGGCTTATAGAAAACCATTTAGCGGTAGCCCTAAAAAAATATACCTAGCGAACGTAAGAAGTTAAGTTCTTAGGATATAACATAAGCCCTAAGGGTATTACCATATCTAAGGATAAAGTAGAAGCTATCCTTAATTAGCGTACCCTAGCTATACTTAAGGACTCTTAAAGCTTTATCGGGTTCGCTAATTTCTACCGTAAATTTATACGCGACTTTTTAAGTATAGCTAGGCTAATTACTAGCGCGAATAAAGGAAACCGTAAGCTATGGAAATAGAAAATCGAAATAAAAAAGGCCTTTTAAAAACTAAAGGAAACCTTTACGAAAGCCCCGGTACTTATATATTTCGATCCTAATCGAATCCCGATCGTTAAAGCCGACGCCTCGGATTTTATTATTTCGGCCATCCTTTCGTAAAAAGACGATAAAGGAAGACTAAAACCAGTAGCCTTTTTCTTAAGACGACTTACCCTAACGGAAATAAATTATAAAATATATAATAAGGAGTTACTAATAATCGTTAACGTATTCGAGAAGTAGCGATATTATTTCGAAGGTACTTAACATTAAATAAAAGTATACTTAAACTATTAAAACCTAACGTACTTTACTACGGTAAAGGTATTAAATCGACGATAAGCCCGCTAAGCTTAATAACTCTCCTCGTATTATTTTATAATATATTACCGCCTAAGAAAGTAAAATAAAAAGGCCGATATTTTATCGAAACTACTATAATATCGCCTTAAAAAAGGAGGAGCTAAAGATTAACCGATAACGACGGTCCTATAGGAAAAGCATTTTTTAAAAAATCCAGGCTTACCTACGGTAATATTCTTTAGCGTACGACTAAATAATATCCTAATACCCGCTTAAACCCTAGAATTCGTCGAATAGGTTAAAACGATAGCTATATAGGACCCGGAGTACTAAGCCTAACTAATTAAACTACTCGGTAAGGAAATAAAGCTCTAAAAGGACCTTCTCTACCGACGAAACCGTCTCTAGATACCTAAGGATTTATAATAAGAAGTAATTAAATCGGAATACGATATTAAAGTAACGGGATATATAAGTATAAATAAAACTATAGAACTTATTATTCGAAACTTTTAGTAACTTAACCTAGAAGTAATAATTAAGGAATTCGTTAAGGAGTATCGTAAGTACTAGTAAAATAAGGTACCTCGATATACCCCGTTCGAATTATTATAGCCTATAGAACTATATTACTAACCGTAATAAATAATCGCGATAAACTTCATTACGGACTTACTAATGTTTAACGGTTACGATTTTATATAGGTTATTATAAATCCCTTTACTAAAATAACGTACTTTATTCCGCTAAAAAAGGACGGTAAAAAAGCCGAAGACCTAATACCTATCTTTATCCGTAATTATTAGCGGCTATATAGGATCCCCTTAAACATTATTTCCGACCGAAACTCGCGATTTATTTCTTATATTTAGAAGGATATTCTAAAGCTCCTTAAAATTAAACCTAGAATAAGTACCGCCTTCTATCCTTAAACGGATAGATAAACGAAAAGACTTAACTAAGTCCTAAAGGCCTACTTACGCGTTTTCGTAAATTACGAAATAAGCGACTAGGAAAGCTTACTCCCTACTACCGAGTTCGCTTATAATAATACCGCTTTAATAACTACCGGTATATCGCCTTTTTACGCTAACTATAGGTAATACCTAGCGGTATATAATCCCTTACTAAGCGCCCTTAAGAATCCCGGGAGTAACTTCTATACTTACTAAATAACTAGGGTATATAACGAGGCTAAATAATACTTAGAGAAAGTACGGTAATAAATAAAAGGATAGGCGGATAAATATAAAAAAGCGGAACCTACCCTAAAAGTAAGGTAGCTCGTTATATTAAATACCCGTAATATTAAAACCAAACGCCCGGCTAAAAAAATAAATAAGAAGATACTCGGTTCCTTTAAGATCTAGAAGGTCGTTTCGCTTACTACCGTAACCTTAACGCTCCCGAAAGGCTAGCGCATTTATAGTACCTTTTACGTATCCCTTATCGAATCCTACCGCGTTAGTAATTAGGAATTACCTAACCTTAACTAGGTCTTACGAAAGGTAGCCCCGATCGAGGCAGAAGATTACGAGGTAAATAAGGTATTAGATTCCGCTAGAACCGGAGAAGTCGTTAGGTACCTAGTTAAGTAAGAAGGCTAGCCGGCTAAGCGCTACTAAACTTAGGAACCGTAGGAGTACTTTACTACCGAAAAAACGAAGGAAGCCGTTAAGTTATTCTACTAATAAAACCCTAATAAACCTATTAACTATCGAGCTTAGGTACTACGCTTAAAGACGAACTCCTCCGAAGAGAGGAGATAGTATTATACGGGGATAAAATCCTACCCTAATAATTAGGCCATAAAGATTAGGAGGATAATATCGGGCATTAGGGTCGCTTCTTCGGCGACCTACTAAAGAAAGTCCTAAATAAGCCACGGATAACTTCGGTATTAAAAATACCAAGGTACTAAGGTACGGAGGTACTTTAGGAAATATATTAAAACGCGAAAGGGACTGGAAAACTAAGAAAGGATAAGGACTAAAGAGACCCCCTATAGAATTATTAGTTAAATTAAACCTATTCCAAGCATATCCCCTTGTCACAATGTAGGCGGATGCCCTATCCAGCCCTATCCGGTACTTCCCGTCTAGAATCAGCAACAGCTGAGAATCGGGAATCGGGCGTCTTGTAGCACCTTTCGAGTGCCTACTTAAAGGGTGGCAAAATCAAGGCACATTGCTGACTATCAAACTGTGTCACACGCCACCATAGGGTGGTAAATACAAATAAGATTAGGGGGCTAGGTGATGCGGCATATCATAGTAGGCAATGAAAGGTGCCTGTATGTCCAGTAGCATCCATATTTATGCCATGGAAAGGAGCTGAATGGTTCGCAGTTTGCGTCTATTGACCTGAGAGGCGTGATCCCGTGGTCGTTTTGGGTGACATACGTCGATATGGTAGGCGGCGTATCGTCCGGGACTGTAGACGGAGTGGCTTCTAGTGGGTGCAGCTCATTTCGTTGGTGTAAGCTGTACCGTACCTTTTGGAGTCAATGGACAGACAGAGTTATCAAGATGAACTTATTCGTTAACGAGGCATGGTTGAAGAATCATCGATCAATCGTATGGTCGATCAACGCCACAAGACCAATATATGTGATAGCTACACGCAAACTTGGATATCATGGCGCGATCGTGAACTTCACGGGCTTGTCTTTTGTGTTCATGAACGGCTGTCTGGGGAACCATTGGGGGTGGAAGAGGGGGAGGCCTGAGAAGATTACGATGGATATTGGCAAGGAATGATGACTTAAACGCATCGTCACGATAGTCCAGTGAAAAATTCACCTTGCCTCTACTTGGTTTCCGTATTGTAGCGGGGATATTTCGACTCGACCCGATGAGATCTATGGGCTCAGCCTATCCAACGACCATGCCTCAATGCCTTCGGCCGACTTCTTCTTGTTGTAGGCGAACCGATCGTGGAGTCGGTTCTGCCGGCCTTGCCAGAACTCTATCGATTCGGGGATTAACCTCAAGCCACCCCAAAAGTCGGGTACTGGTATATTCTCTTCCCCTGCGAACCGCTTCTCAGTTTCTTCAACCCATCCGTCGAGAACCTTCCGCCCGTCGTCCTCTTCGCCATCGGCATCGCCCTCGACCGGCCGGAGGACCTGACTCTGGCGGCTCGACCAAGCACCAATCCGGCTACCGCGAACCCTGGTGTCGAAATACTTCTGGCTCTCTTCGCGGGTGAGTCTGCTTGCTTGACCCTCTACTCTTACCTGGCGTTCGAGGGTCTCCCACCAGAAAGTAAGGCTAGCCCACGGATTTGTGGCCAGGTCCTCGGCTTTCTTGCTCGTCCCGAAGTTGCTGTAAATCACGAAGCCCTTGTCGTCCAACTCCTTGAGGTAGACTATGCGGGAGGAGACACGGCCGGACGGGAGCGACGCGGTAGATAGGCAACATGTCTCGGGGTGTTCCACAAGATGGGACTCCTGGGCGGCAGCGAACCATTTGTGAAACTGGCGGATGGGCGATGTCTGGTCAAGATCTGAGCGAGTTAACACGCCTTTGGTGAACTGCTCTGCTTGTCCGCGGATCTCCGTGCCCGCCGGCGCAACTGTCGAGCCGTGAGCAGTTGAATTCATGATAGCCGTAGCGAGGGCCAAGGACCCAACGTACAGATGAGCTTACTACCGGCGCTTGCAGAATGCAAAGCCATCTGGCGCACCCTCGTTGATATATTTCGGAGAATTGGGGTCATCCAGATGTACGGACTGACAAGTCGGCTTCCTTCCTCACCAAAACAAAGGAACGACAGGTTGGAAAGGGAGCCCGCGTCGCTCATATGGTAGGATGAAAATCATGTTACCGTGTGATCGGGCTGTGGAGCTTGCCCGACCTCCTTCGGTGCTAGGGTACTTAAGCCTGGGTCCTCTCCAGCGTAAAACTCAGGTACCTGCTTCCTTTCCAATCCAGTAGGGGTTGGTGCCTTATGTAAGGTTAGGTGGACTGAATAACTGCATCTTATTCAAAGTCTGATATACCTACCTAGCGTTAGCAGAGGCACCCTAGGTACCTAAAATTGGGCACTTGGTTAGCGGTACTTAACGTACCTATCTCCTATGATAGGTACCTACGCGTCCCTCTCCTATCGCCTACCTCAGGCACCCACCTTGGGAGGTAGGTACCTAAGTAGGTAGGTACCTAGGTAGGTCGGTAAGCACCTAGATGCCCGCTATAAGCAGGCGCCTCACCTAATTGTCCCCACCGGTTCCTCCCCCACTACTAGGCCAGATAGGCACTGACCGTCAGGGTAGGAAGGAAGTAGTATAGAGAGGGGTTTGACATAAATAGAGTGGGGTAGCTACGTCTCAGTAATGCCTTGATCTCTACGACGATGCGGTGTGCTGTTTGCTGGCATGCAATCATGGAGGTACCTTACAGGTACTGCACCTGACGTATGAGGCACTCAATGTATGTACATACCTAGGTAGGTACTTGTATTGGAGGGGCTAGGTAGGTACCTAAGGCGGGTACCCAAGGTAGTAGAGGGGATGAGGGGAATTTAAGCTGCTATCCGTTATCGCATGTGGTGCCGCACATGGTGCCGACAAAGTACGTAGGTATAGCCAGACCAACAAAAGCAGGCTCGCCTAGTTTTTTCCTCAGCTTGAAATTTATTTCCCTTCGCGTCCTTGCTTGCGCCCGGTTCGTCCGTTCCTATCGATTTCGACCGGCACTTCCTACCTAGACCCGGATGTGGATGAGAAGCCGGCGGTACATTTCGGTGTCTTTCTCTCATTCCTGCCCGCCGACATGGCCTCCACCGACAGTTTGGCGACTATTGCGACCCTTCGCGAGTCTCTGTGCTCCGAGAGTACCCCACTACCCGTCCGATTTCGCGCCCTCTTCTCTCTCAAACACCTCTCGCGACACGAGACCGGCGACCAAGCTCTCGCAGCCATCGATGCCATCGCTGCCGCCTTCTCGTCGCCGTCTGCGCTGCTCAAGCATGAGCTGGCCTACTGCCTCGGCCAGTCTGCCAACCTAGCGGCTGTCCCTTATCTTCGGAAAGTCCTTGCTGATTTGCAAGAAGATCCCATGTGCCGCCACGAGGCGGCCGAGGCTTTGGGGGCTCTGGGTGACGCCGGGAACCTCGACATTTTACGCAAGTTCCGGGACCGCGAGGGCGAAGACATCGTCATCAAGGAGACCTGCGAGATTGCGATTGACCGAATTGAATGGGAAAACTCGGAACAACGCAAGGCTGAGAAGCTACGCCAGAGGTACGCGATTTCACATACTCTTGAACTGGACAACCCGCGGGAAATCCATAAGCACTAATTTGAAATGTAATATTTTTTTTTTACGATAGCGATTTCGCCTCGGTAGATCCGGCTCCTCCGATGCCTAACTCCGAGCAAACAGTCCCAGACCTAGAGGAGACCCTCATGGACGCAAACCTGCCTCTCTTCCTCAGGTACCGCGCCATGTTCGCGCTCCGCGACCTCGCATCACCGCCGGACCTGCCGACTGCTGTTCCCGCCGTACATGCCTTAGCAAAGGGTTTTGCTGACTCTTCGGCCCTTTTCCGTCACGAGATCGCTTTCGTCTTCGGTCAGCTCTCTCACCCCGCCTCGATCCCAGCTCTCGCTGCTGCACTGAGCAACGTCGAGGAGGCTAGCATGGTTCGACACGAAGCGGCGGAGGCGCTCGGAAGTCTCGGCGAGGAGGAAGGCGTCGAAGAAATCTTGAAGCGATTCCTCCACGACGAGGAGAAGGTCGTGCGCGAGAGCGTCATTGTCGCCTTGGATATGGCCGATTACGAGCAATCGGACCAGGCGGAGTATGCGCTGATACCCAACGTGCCGAAAGTAGTGGCGTAGGAAGGCGGAGCAGGAGAGGTATAGGTTGCTGATAAACTGGCGTTTCATCCGGATTGATGGGCGGGAGGATACTTTTTAAAAAAAGTTGGCACGATTTTATTTCACATCGTTCGTAACCGACGGCATAATCGCTATCTGGGAAAATCTACGGGGAATTCCACTCTGGAGAACACATATCAATTGTTGGTATTCCACCTATTCGTAAAATTTCACAATTAGCCCCGGCCCGCTGCCGACAACGAAGGGAGACAGGGACATACTTGTGGCCACATTCGCAGGTGTAGAAGATGGTGCTGCCTTCATCGGCGCTGCGCAGTTGCACCGCTGAATATCTGACTTCGCTGCGCCCGCACTCTCGGCACGTCTCGGTCGCGGTGGCTTCTGTCTGAACTTTGTGCCGCTCGACCGATTGAACGATGGAGAGTTTCTGGCGAAGTAGGGAAGGGAAGTCGGAGGGTTTGCTTCGTGTGACGGTTGTTTTGGACGCTGTGTCTGCCAACAGATAACCACCAGGTCAGTTCTATGTATGCGCCCGCGCCATCACGGGGACCAAGGGCGTTGTGTATGGATGTGGGTGAGACTCGATAAAGACGAACCCCTATTGTCGGCGCCGCAACATTCGCAATGCAGCATATTCTTAACGTTTCCTTTGGAGACGGGGAGAAGATTTCCGCAGTCGGTGCAGAACACGAGGGAGCCGATCGCTGCCATGGTTGCGGGTTAGAGAGAGACGCAATGGAGGTTTCCCCGAAAGGTTCTCCGGGGGGTTATTTTGGAGTTTAGTTCAATTGGGAAAAGGATAATGTTTCATTGCTAAGCTGGGATATCAGAACGGCATGAATCCATAAGTTTGGTGGTGTAGATGTAACTGACGTAGGAAACAAAAGGCGACGGCCTTGAGAAAAGAAGAATGCAATATGAGTACACGTACCTGCCGTGCGGGTAATCTATTTTGATTCAAATGTTAGGTATCGATAAGAATGTCTCACATGAGGCAGGTACCTACCTAGGTAGGTGGGTAAGTAGGAGGTATCTTGATGTAGGAGACAGGTACCTGCTTGTGCATAGCCTCGGACGGAGGTGCTAGGAGGTATATCTACATGTATCGTGCAGAGGTTACTCTACATGCGCAGGTACTTCCCAATGGTACTTGGCTCCGATGTTTCGAACAAGGTGCCAACGGACATTAGGATTTAGCTACCGTGTTACGTAAGGCTGGCTGCATAAGGCATGGTCGCTACTGCTATTGTTGCTACGGTACGGCTGGCTAGGCTGGGGCTTGCCTTGGCCATCGATCCTAATCCATCTTGCCTATTCACCCATCGCGTTGTCCCGTCGCTGATTCCCCATAGGTTAACCTCCCCAGGTTCGCAGTTGACGCTCGCCAACTCCCGTCCCCCCTCTCTAAATCACCTTCATCCTACGCGCCCATGAGCCCGACCAAGCTGCCCTAGCTGACCGACCCTTCTCCCCCAACCGTCGCGCGCGTCGGCCCTCGGACATCCATCAAAGCTTGCCCCCGTCCCGCGCAGCGCATGGAACGACTCGCGCTTATGCTCTGGTGCTCCATCCCGCCCATCTGTGCAGACCGGAAGGCAAATGCAATGAGGTAGTTGGTCCGAGTTGACCACAGCGGGAAACCAACAGTATCGTGGCTCCGCCGTTCGAGGCTATCTACCATGGCAAACCTGCAGCCCGGCCCTCAGAATGGCATCGCGCCTCAGTTCGACCGGCAGGCCTACCCGCAGCCGGCAGGCAGTGCGTACCAACAGCAGGACGGCTCGAAGCCCTTCACACTAACCGAGGCGCTCCCGTACACGCCATTCACCTCGGTGTTCCCCTTCGAACCAGGTAAGCCCAGTTCTCCAGCGCTCCGGCTCTCGACGTTGGCGCCGTTGCCGGTGCCGTTACCGGTGCCGTTACCGGTGCCTTCCGCTTCTTGCTCCGTGCTCAGACGTCGTCGAACGCATTCCCGCCCCCCCCTCGGTCGTGGCCTCCTTCTCTCGTGCTTCGTTTCTTGTTTGTTTCTGTCCCCTTCCCGTTCGCGCCTGCCTGTCTAGCCTTGCCGCGCACGCTTGCAGATGGCCTGGAGCTGACGAGAACTTCTACAACCTGTTGCAGATATCATCAACAACCCGACCATAGGCTCAGGTCCCCTGGCACCTTCACTTGCCGACCTCGTCTCGCGTGAGGACTATGATGCTTTGAATAAGGAGGCCGAGAATTCTACACCGTCTAAGCGTGTCGAGGAAAGCCTCGAGTTCGTGCAGCACTTGCTCAGACCCGACAAAATCACCCAATTGTGAGCGCCTATCGTTAACTACACCTTGGCAGCGGGGGGAGATTTCAAGCTATGCTCATCCAGTGCTAACGGAGCGTTATGATAGCCAGTTCAAGACTGCGCCTAGGACGGGCTCCTCCGTGCTAGCCTCTAAACCCTCGAGAAGCCTCGCTGACGGGATATCACCTTTTGCGAAGCTGGTCTACGAGAGTACCGGTGGATCTGCCCGCCATCCTCCCCCCGATGCTTCGAGCGCTTCCACTCTAAACGGTCACGCAATGTCTCCTCGAGTTGCTAAGGGAGCGTCGCCCAAGGTGCGCCGGCAAGAACCACCAAAAGTCGTCAAGCATAACCCTGTTGCCACTTCGAATCTCCAGGCGGTGGCTCAAAATAAGTCTCGGATCGAGATACACTTGCCCACGCGAAAGGAGCTAGATGCGGCGGCTTCCGTGTATGCGTCGGCACGATCTCCCGCTCCGCCCTCCCCAGCTCCACATGTTCCGTCTCAGACAGTCTCACTCGCCGACTTAGTGGTCACGCCAAAAGCACCCGCTCTCCCGGTCTCGCACGCATCTCCTCCATCCATGACTAAAGTGTCATCCGAGACGCCGCAACCCTTGCGGGCCGTCACACCCAAATCGGAAGTGCTGGGGGTGCCCGAACCCTTAGCGGATAGGAAACAATCTACTCCATCGTCGGCAGCTCGCAGACTGGCTAGCATTAGTATTGAATTGCCTGCAGCGAGCTTCGATAAAGACGAATTCGTCGTAGTTCCTGAGTCGCCTGATACTCCGACACATCTATCTACGAAAAGGAAGCATGCCTCCCATGATGATTATGAAGACCCCCTCGGCGGCGAGCTCAACCAGCGCGAGCTCGCCAACGCCGCTTTTACGGACTTACGTAGATGCCTCCAAGAGATATTTACCGCCGAGAGCTACCTGTCTAACGGACAGAATGTCGCGTCGCATCTGGTCGTGTTGACGAATGAGCAGGAACCCACCATGACGATAGCTGCGCATGATAAAGCGCAAAGGCAAATAAACAGGGCTATCGACCTCGGATGTTTCCGACAGGCGCCTCTGGATGACCTCCTTCGGATCCAGAGCCTGAGCGAGGGCTCCCTGAAGCACGCCGATACGCTGGATTTCAAGCTGGACGAGACCTGGGGCGAGACTGAGGTCGGATTTTGGGTGCAGCAACTTCGTGACATCGAAACCGGACTGAAAGCCGCCCGCACATCGCTCCGCATCATGTGTGGCGGTCGAGAAGAGAAACAGATATATTCCGAAGATCTGATACAACGAGGGCTAAGCCTCTTCAGAAATGTCATTGGGGATATCATCATCCCTACAGCTGAGATGCGGAGCACCGGTCCTACCAGCAACTTGTTCCGCCTCCTTACAACACACAGAAAGGCTATCGGTACTCTATTCACTACTTGCCAGAAGCTCTTCTCTCTCATGTCGGATCTAATAACAAGCATCGACCTCTCCGAAACTGTCGTCAATACCCTAGAATTCGTCGCATCTGGCCTAATTTTTGTTGAGAATGCGCATAGCGAAAAGGATTCGGTGGTCGGCATTCAAAAGTTCGATGCCCTTCGACTGGTCGCCATGAACGTGTTATCTCACATCTTCCTCATGAATCCAGCGCAAAGAGAGGGCATCTTCAATGAAATCCTAACATCTCTTGAGAAGCTACCTATCGGTAAGCAGAGCGCGAGGCAGTTCAAGCTTTCGGAAGGGAAGAGTATTCAGCCGGTCTCGGCTCTCATCATGCGATTGATCCAAGCCAGCGCCGGGAAAGTCGACGATCACAAAGAAAAACTTCGCGGTCGGATGATGCAGTCCTTGGAGGAAGGTAGCGGACATTCCGATGCCGCCGAGGATACCAATGCCAGAGCGGAAGTTTTTTATACGATTAAGACGGAGGATCACGCAGCGATTCACAATTCGACTGCTATCCAGGAATTGCAAACTCTTGCAAAATCGCTTTCCGACGGTGCCTACCGGAACGCCACTTACGTCGTCAATTTCATAGTGAAGCGCGCATTGAAGTCCACCAAGTCTGGAGACACACCGTATCGAAATTTGTTGGACTTGTTTATCGAAGATTTCACGACTTGCCTGGACTCCCCCGATTGGCCCGCCGCAGAGTTACTGCTTCGGCTCACCATGTACATGATGTTTCAGCAAGTAGACGGCGATAAGAATGCGGCGCCGGCAAGAAATATGGCACTGGAGCTCCTGGGTGTCATGGCGGCGGCCATCTCGAGGTTAAGATCTCACGTCCGAAAGAGCGCCGCCAATTACGAGGGGGGAGACACGGATGAGCTTGGTCGGTGGCTAGCCGACCTGACCCTCAATGTTCTCGAGGGCAACATGTCGATGGAGAAGACTATTAGCTGGCTAGGTCCTTACCGCGTCGTTCTAGAGTACCTGCAGGATCGTTTAGGAGACGATCCCTATCTCAAAGGCGCCATATCGTATCTCATAACGGATTGGGGCTCGCAGGTTTGCGTCGCCTATGATTCTAACTCGAGCGAGGTCTCGGAAGAACGAGACGCGGAGCTGGGAAGGGTCGCGTTTCGCCTCCGCAATATGATCGAAGATCCGAAGTGGCTTTCTAGAGAATACAGCTTCAAGTCGGTTGCCTCGGGACACGCGAAGCTCTCCCACTCGACCATCTTGCTTAGGTCCAGCTTCTGCGCGTCGTTTAAAAATATCCTGAACGTGCTCATGGGGTCTATGACTACGGACCAAGCAACCGTGCGCAGTCGTAGTCTCAAGAGCATCAACCTCGTACTCGATACTGACCCGACAATCCTCGACGGCGACAGCGTCTTCATTCAGCTAATCCTACAGTGTTCCAGCGACTCCTCGCCTCAGGTACGCGATTCAGCGCTGGGCCTCATCGGGAAATGTATGAGCATGCGTCCTAGGCTAGAAGAGAGGATGACGCCGACGGTCCTTCAAAGATTTGTTGATTCGGGATTAGGTGTGCGAAAGAGAGCGATGAAGCTGGCTAGGGATATATACCTAGGCAACGAGAGTAAGGAGGTTCGAAGCACCATTGCAAACGGATTGCTCCACCGCACGCAGGATCCAGATGAGGGCGTGCGAGACCTTGCGAAACAGATGATAGAGGAAGTCTGGATATCCCCTTTCTACAAGGACGACGATTCTGTCGCTTTTAAGCAATCTCTGACCGACCACGTCGCCCTTATGGTGCAGACTGTCAGACTCGGAAATACCGCCTTTGTCCTCGACAAGGTGTTCCAAACGATACTTTCGCCTGATTCCAAGCTTGCCGAAGCCAATTCCCGGGTCTGCACGAGGCTGGTCGCAAACCTCGTAGACCTCATCAGCAGTCCCGATTCCGACGACCCGTCGATTCCGACCAGCAGAGACGCCTTTCAAGTCCTCATGATTTTTGCCAAGGCCGACCCCAAACTATTCACCTTTGAGCAGATTAGACAACTGGAGCCTCACATCGCCAGCGTCAGCACAAGTGAAGATTTAGCAGTTTCGAGGGCTGTTGTCGTCATCTACCGTCGCGTTCTGCCGCAAGTGTCTAGCGTGCATTCCAAGTTCCTCGCTGATGTCCGGAAGGTTCTCATGCCTGCTACTTCGAAGGTCACCAGAGCGCTTCTCGACGACGTTGTCGCGTGCCTATGGATCATCAGCGAACTACTCCAAACATCGGAACCCCTTGCCCGCCTTGCCGTGTCGTGTCTCAAGGGAATACAGGCGGTGAACGGAAAGGGACCCCTAGACCGGACCAAGATTAGGCAATTCGATCGGTACTCCCTCATCGTCGGGATGATTGGGAAACACTGCAACCTGGATAGCCACGAAGAACGGTTCAAGTCCGAGCCTAGCTTGCCGAAGTGGAAAGGTTCCGTTTCGAAACTTATGGTGGATGTTCTTGTTCCGTTTGCGAGCCCTTCCCAACCGACAGATGTGAGACGTCCAGCACTAGATGCCATCGGGCTCATCTGCCAGTCTAACCCTAGAAACTACGTTTCTGTCAATGTATATACAACATTCCAGCAGGCCTTCGACGAGCGGGTCCCGGCGTTGGAGTCAATGATCCTCCGATCCTTCAAAGAGTTTCTTCTAGTAGAGGAACAGCGATCGGAACAGGCGGCCTCGTCAGCGGCTGTCGGAAAGGAACCGGTCAAGAGGGATTTGAAGGTTATGGGCAGCACCAGTTTCGACGACGTGGCAAGTGCCACCACGCAACGGTTTCTCAAAGACATTACGCGCATAACCCTTGCAACCTACGACGACCACGCTTTTCTGGCCATGGAGGTGTTGGCAAGCATCAATCGGCAAGGGTTGGTGCACCCGAAGGAGACTGGGGTCACGCTTATCACCCTCGAAACTTGCCCGGTCCTCAAGATCTCAGAGCTTGCGTACCACGAACATAGAGCACTCCACGAGAAATACGAGAGCGTTCTCGAGAGGGAATACGCCAAAGCTATTCAGTCAGCATTCCAATATCAACGCGACATCATCAAGGACCCACGGGGCGCGACTGAGAACCCGTTCACGTCAAAACTCCACCAGCTTGTAGAAGTTCTCAAGATTAGCAAATCCAAGAATCGTACCAGATTCATCGAGAAGCTTGTCGGTCAGATAGACTTCGATCCTGGGAAGCTACAGGTAGATCAAGGGGTATGCCCGCACGTCGAATTTTCCCGCTTCATAATCGAGAACCTCGCCTTCTTTGAGTTCGTTACTGTTGGCGAGCTGCAAGTTACGGTGACAGCGATGGAAAAGATGGTAACTGGGACGGGATCCGGCATCGCCCAGACCATCGAGTCTGAGATTTTCCAGGTGCGCATGGATCCGGCCTCGATCTCCCAGCAACTTGCAGGCGGCGAAGAGCAACCTCCGGCTCCTGAAATACCTACCGTGGATCATCAACGGCTCGCTCAATTGACGGCCGGCGCGTTAATCCTGCTGGCTCTCTGGGAGGTCCGCACATATCTACGCCGATTGTACGGACTCAGCTCTGGTCGGCGCGAGGGCAAGGGTAAAGGCGCCCCTAAGGACCTCACCAAGGCCCCCGTCAAAGTTCAAGGTGTTACCGGGGACAAGGTCTGGGACGACATTGCCAAAATCATGTCCGCGTTAGATACGCCAGAGCATATGATGCAACAATGCCGGACCTTTGTGGAACTTCTCAACGTGGACAGCGAAGTGAAAGTCGTAGACGAAGAGGAGGGATTTGAGTTCGAAGGAGAGCCAACGACTCCAGATGCGGAGGAGAACGAGGATGCGGCTACACCTGACCCGCGCGGACGCAAGAGGAAGGCAGGAAATCATTCCAGCGGCCGGAGAAAGCGGGCACGATCCAACTCAAAACCGCGACCCCGGGGCCGACCTAGAAAGCAAAGTGTGGAAGCGGTAGAGGCGGATCTAGATGGGGAGATGGAATGGATCTAATTACGGCATTCAGCGATACAGGCCTAATTTCAACCGTGATCAAACGGCTGTAGCTATCGGATGACGGCATCGGTGCGAGGTACAAAGAACAATAGAGAGAGGTAATGGGGATGCATTGCTGCTCGGCGTAGCAGAAGCAAGATCTGAAAAGCATGGAATCAGGCGTTTGAGGGGAGGGGAGGGGGCAGGGGGGAAATCGACCCGATCCCTATGATTTCACGGAGAACACGCTCACGAGGATGTAGGCCCGTGGAGGGAGGCGAGAATGGTGAAATGGGTCGATCTACCGGTTGCTTTGCCGCTTCGTTTTTCGCCTTCTTTTTCCTCATTCCACAATGATACCTCGCTTCACGCACTGCTTGTTTTCTACCTACCCATGTATGCTAGAGGAGGAGGTGGCGTTGGCTGACAATGCAGTGACGCGCTGCAAGCAGCATCCAGTTGCACAGAGTAGGCAGCCAGCCAGGCCTACTTAGCTAACCAATCGAGCTACCCTGATAATGGGGTTGAATACCCGCACAGACATGGCGATTTCTTTTGGGACAGATGAAGACGGGGTTTTTATTGTGTCTGTCTGGTAAAGCCCTCGCGTCCTGTCTATTGGAGCCGAGCTAGCAGCTACCCGTGGTTGGTTAAGCTGACTCGACTCTAGCTGCTGCTCGTTTTTACTACTGCTTTGCCCCTATAAACTCCGGCTCTACGCAGCACTCCCAGCACAGCACCACTGGAGCTAGGACGACGACTCATCCTACAGAGAACAAGCCCACTTAGCCATACACACTAGACCCACGCAGCTCGCATCCCGGCCTGGCAGCGTGTTTTTTTTCTACAGCAACATCTTCCCCTTTCATCGTTCGCATACATCGCGAGAATGTCCATCGGTGCCGGGCCGCGAGAAGGGAAAACGTGGGCGTGGGCACGAGTGGGAGAAGCCAAAGGTATTTGCCGCCATGTAAGAGGCAGCAAATTCTTGCTGACCTGACCAATCTGCCTGCCTACTTTACTTACTCATACGCTCTCTCGTTCGCTCTCTCTCTCTCTCTCTCTCTCTCTCACGCACGAGCGCATGGGTAACATTGCCAAGTGACAAAACTGACTAGGGCCTCTTTCGCAAACTCTCGCCTCCCTTTCCGCTTTCCTATTCCTCTAATTTCTTTTTTTTTTATCTTTCTTTTCTTTTGCTTTTGCCACCCTCTTGTTTTTTTATCTTTTTCTTTTTTCTTCTCGTCAATCCAAATTTCCCCGGTGCCCTTTCGCCTATATCTTGGCATTGGATGGATCCTCATCCAAGCAAGAGAACTCTCTCGTTCGACACTCTCTACCGTCGTCCTCTTATGTGCCGTCGCGATACGTCCATCCGTTCATCCCCCCTGCCTTGATTCCCTAGACCAAACCATGCATGCTCCGCTTACGGTTAGTGGACCTTAGATCAGCGTAATATAAATTCCTCCCTCCCACCTAATCACGTCTGATATCTGATATGTTAGATAATCTTGTGCGCGTCGATGAGCGTTAGCCCCCGCCATTCTTCTATACTATTCAACCCCCTTGGCTGACCCAGTGACATAGTGGACGTGGACAGGCCTATTCACGTGTAATTCGTCGGTTCCCTAAACTCCCAGGGGGGCTTCCACCTCGGACCAAACGTCCTCGTCATCAGTCGTGCCGTTCTTCTCGTCGTCCTGGTCGGAATCGAAGTCATCTTCATCAAGGACGTCGTCGTCGTCCGAGATGTTAATCCAGCTTTCCTGCAACGTCTCGTCATCGGCGATGCCAGAGGGAGGAGCGCGGGTGACCTGAGTGGGCTCGGGGTGCGTCACTCCCTGCCAAACATTATTGGGCCTCACGTTGGACTCGGCGTTGGAGAGCGCGGCGGCGAGGGACCTCCCGACAGTCAAGGTCCCGGTTTCGGAATTGTCCAGAGTCTTCTCAGATTGGCAGATGCTCGAGACGTCCGTCGCCACGGTAATACCTGTGTGGTAAGCCGGGCCCGGGCCTACCGGTCCTAGTTCCGCATCCGGGACGCTACTCTCGAAGGCGCCGCCCGTTCCGTCGTCAAGCCCACCGGCCCACAGCGGCAGGTAGTCAAACTCGTCGTCAAGCAATGCCAGAACCAAGTGCCTCGTTCGACCGAGCGGAACTTTCAGCGTCGGCCTGTTGAGTGGAACTTCCACTGTTGGTCTTGCCCAGGTTAGGTACTGGGTATGAAGCGATATTGTGAGGTCTTGAATAAACCGGGATACGTCGAAATGGGGCCGCAGTAGGTCAATATTATGCTGCTCAAGAAGGGGGGAGGGGATGCACTCTAATGCGGAGCCCAACTTCGTATTAAAATCATACATCAGCCGACACACGCGGACTGGTACGCTTGGGCGCCTGGTTACGTTCACATCGAGACTCTCCCAGAACTCCGGGATGAGCAAACGTTGGGCACGGCGTAACCCACGATATACCGCCCTAGTGTCGGCCCATCGACTACGGGGGACATAGCACCTGCGATCCTGGTCAAGGTGGTGCTGTGGACCGTAATCCATAGGTGACATGGCTAGTGTTACCAAGTTTCTCATGTATTCGTTAAGACCGTCCACACACGCCTCTTGGCAGTCGAGGGCTTCTCGCAGTGGAGAGTTGTCCAGCCGATTTGAATCCTTACGGATGGCATCCATGAGGCAGCTGCCAATTCGCAACAGTCTTTGGTACTCGGAAATATCCAGCACATCTAGGGGCCTGTGCTCGCACAGGCTATTGTACGTTCCTCGAACCCGGTCGGCAAATTTATACGAGGCGTACTGGATGGCTGTATCGTGTGCTTCGGGTACACCTTCGCGAGGGCGGCCGAAAACTGTGTATTGATCGTCGCAAGGCCGTGTGGAAAGGACACCGAGAGCTTTCTCAACCACGAGAATGCGGAAGGCTGCTCGGCTAATATCGGCCAGCTTCAACGACCACGCCATCTTCAAAGCAGCCTCGGGGTGGATATCGATGAAGTCGCTGTTCGGCTCCGCCATGAGCCAGGCACATATGGGATCTCGCTGAAGTCGCCCAGGTTAGTTGCAGTCATGAATGCGATCGCCGTAGGCGTCCTTCGACTCACAGCAACGCTCGCGCAATCCAGCATGCTGGCGACCCCTGATACCGTATAGGCACGCGGCGCAGAATCCAACACGAGACTGTACCCCTGAATAGCTAAGACGAGGCGGATGATGTTGGCTCTGTGGCGTACAGAGCAGTACTCTTCTATCATTCTCCGAGGAGACATCTTGATATCGTCCAGGTCCAAGGTTCCCTGGACTACAGGATCAGGCAGCGCGTTGCTCGGCACGTAGCCTTCACACCTCTCGCAGTCTATCGGGACTTCGTCGTGATGAGGGCAGTGGTCGTCATGCCCCGAGACGAGCTCGGGAGATATGCCAAGCCTCTCATGAGATATCCACCAGTCCCTGACTCCGACGGGTAGAGATAGCTCCATGATTTGTGCTGCCAGCTCATCGCCTTCGTCTGGGGGCGTAAGATCGACGACAAAGTCGCACGAGAGCGACTCGCCGGCGTTCTCCATCCTCCTCCGAAAACGAGTCTGCGATTGCGGGGACAGGAGGTTTGCGAAGACGCTGGAACCGGTCCCGAGGAGCTTCGAAGAATCAACCAAGAACCTTTTCGAGGTCCACTACAGTACGTGTTAGCCTCAAGTCGGACGGCATAAAGAGGTACTCGCCGTGGCATCAGAGCCACTTCATCTCGCGCACGGATGGGGGACGTGGGGAGGGTTGTGCAAAGAGCTTGTTTTCGGCGGAACCCAGGCGATCTCGAGGGCTAGCCTGGAAAGTCAACTTACGGCAGCGCCCTTGCAATCGACGAAGTTGGCAGGGAAGTTGACGACGACAAGGGTGTCGCCTTTATTACAACTGAGAAGGAGGTCATTAATGTCGAGATCCTGCCGCTTATCCAGGAGCCCGCCGATGATATTATCGAGCTGGCTCCACTGGCCAGGCGAAGTAGGCAAGCTAGCCGGCTCGCCGGTCTGGAAGTCGTCACAGGGAGGGCTCGCCGACCCAGAGAGAGAATTCGGGTAGGTCATGGCTAACACGGGTAGGTTTCTAGCTTGAGTTCGTGTTTAGGATGTGTTCTGAAAGGGACGAAGGTATTTATCTAGCTGCGTTGCTGCTGATAGTCGGCTACGATGCGAGGCTCGTGCAGGAAAGGGGGGGGGGGGGAGGTTGTGGCCGGTAGCTATTCGCCACTCGCCGTGTGTAACGGGTAAGACGCCTCTCGTCTTTGAAGCTTGACCAGAGTAGACATGGGAAGAGCAAGGTCGGGTAGGATTAAAAGGAAGGGAGCTGGGCGGGAGATGGGGAGTTGAAAAGGGGAGCTAGAGAGGGGAGTAAGCCTTGGGGATATAGTCGAAGGCGGGGGCGGCGAGGCTGTGAGAAAGTCGTGGCTACGCCTCCTGCTAAGGTTGTTATTGTTGCGGCTCGGTTCGGTGCTGGCCGCCCGTCCTGGCCGACTTGTCTGCCTCTCCGTTTGCCTACCTAGATAGGTAGGTAGGTAGGTACCTATTTCCCCACGTACAATACCGTCATATCGTAGACAGAGGAGAGGAGGGAGGGAGGGAGGTAGGTGGGTAGGTACTTAAGAGGTACCTACGGTTATTCCATCAGGTTAGGTGCTTGGATTTAGAGGTACATACCTCTTTATGCCGCATGATGCTTACACACCTCAGTTGCATAGGTACATACTTACCTACCTACCTCAAGCCAGGTGGCGTACTCCTACTACCACTCTGCTACGGCTCGAGGCGGCATCTCGCACCAGGCCAGACGTCTGCGCGCGCTGTATGGACATACACGTTGCCCGTCGGGCGCCGCCAGCCCTATATCGCCCTTGAAGCAGCGGCAATTCCGGGCTGGCCGATTGCGCGCTACCGTGCGGTGGAGATGCACGCCGATGCGTCGCTGCTCGCGGGGGAGGAGACGGGTACCCAGTTGCTGGGCATCGACATGTCCGGCTGGGGCCGCATTGGCTGTAGATACGGCGGTGGCTAGCGAGCCTGCCGGGCGGACGCGCGTGTTGCCTGCGCCGTTGGGAGGACAGAGGCTAGGTATGGTGGGCTGGCTGGCCGCAGGACGCGCTGCTTTAGCTACCTACCTCTACCTACCCCCAAGGTATGGTAGGTACCTAGAAGCCGGCGAGCAGTACGACCTACGAGAACACCCAGCCAGCTCCGGCTTACTTACCTGCCTACCCCAGACAGCATCCCCCAGCTCCCTCCCCGCTTCCCAGCGCGACTTGGCACCGACGCGACGGCGACGGGGAGCAGGCGAATAACATACGCAGGTATCCTTCGCGCAAGCCAACTACCGGCGCTTCCCTGTCTAGCCTGCCTAAGCCCGGTCAGGCGACTACCTCTACCAAGGAGGTAGGTAGGTACCTGGGTAGGTAGGTAGGTTAAGTACCTACCTAAAGTACCCAGTTAGATAGGTGGGCGGTTATGAGGTCGCACGATCCATCCAACCCCACTCTTGACCCTCCTCTGCCTAACGGAGTTAATCATAATAGATCTATGTACTTACCAGGCGTTATGCACTTACCAAGGTATGCACGTATACATACACCAGAAATGGGAAGTACAGCCGGGATTTCCCCTATTCGCCTTCTACTCCCCCCCAATCCGATTCCACCTCGCTGGTTCGCTGCGCTCGCGTGCCCCTTGCCCCCATCCGTCCAAGCGGGCGCGCCCGTAAGAGTGCTCCCCCCCCTCCCATTTCCGACTTCGCGTTAGGGCTTCGTTGGGGCTCACCGATCGCGCCACCTGGCTCGCTGCCGTCTGTCCGCTAGCAGCCCAGCTAGCCGTAAATCCGGGGAATCTAGACCGGCCCTGGCGCGGCCGGGGTGGTGTATCGCTTCTTTATCGTGTGGATACGTGATGATATATAGATAGGGCATATCGGTATATATATAGGTATAGCGCCCGGGCGGTAAGCCGGGGGAGACAGCGGTCAGTCGAGTCCTGAGCAGGCCTGACCTTTTTTTTTTTTAAAAAAAAACTTCCCTTTCCCCATCCACGATGCTTGGAACACGTATTTATACTCTCGACACTCCGTGACATATATATATCTGGCTGCCGACCCCCCAACCCGGTTTATGTGAATCTGCTTTTGCATCTCACGCCTTCTAAGACTCTTTCTCCCTCTCCTCGAGCTCGGCTGCTTCTCCCTCTTCCGCGTTGCAAAGGCGTCGTCTCGCTTGTCCTCCTTGTCGCGTGTCTAGCCTTGAAACCTGCAGCGGTCTGCGGCGGTAGATAATACACCCAAAAAAAAAAACACATTCCAGCTCCTAAGAGATCCGACAACCCGCCCCGGGTGCGTGTCTCAGAATACATATCCGAGCCGCGCACAGCACAAAACCACCAAGCATCAGAATCTCGAGGTTTGCGTCTCCCACCTCTACGCCTGCTACGAGGGAGGAATCCGTCACGAAAACTAGCACAATGGAGCGCACCCAGCCACCTCGAATAGTCAGCGGAGGTCGTCTCTACATGTAAGTTTCTCCGAGTCTTTTTTTCTTCTTTCGCCTCACAATCCCTCCTCGCTTCCTCACCGTATCGCGCTCCAGTTTTGTGTAGCTCGAGCGGATTTGCATCGCACCACACCACACCACTCCTCGCCTCACCTCGCCTCACTGCCCTACCCCTACCCTGGCCCAGGCTCGCCGCCCCCCTCCCCCCTGTCCCCCCTGCTTCCGCCTGCTCACATCGCGTGCTCGGCAGCACCCGCCACCCCGGCCTGGCCGCAGCCGCCGTCGTCGCCGCGGGCCTCGTCGCCGCCGTCCGGTACCAGCGCTCGGCGCTGACCCGCAACGAGCTCGCCCAGAAGCAGCGCTCGTCCCCCGACCAGCCCAACTTCTACGTCAGCGTCGACCGCAGCGGCGGCGGCATCTGAGAGCAACCAACTCCTGGTTCCCCCCCCGCCTCCTGCCGCACCATTGGCGGCTGCGGCCCAGGTCGGAATTCGATCGGGCGTAATTAGAAGAAGAAGAACAGGAAGAGGAAGAAGAAGAAGAAGACATAAAAACGAGGTCGAGAAGAATCCCCCTAGAAATAGGAAATAGAGGAGGGAACAGTACACGATATGCATCTGCCACCAGCGATACGCACGCTGAGTAAAAAAGCCCAATGCGAAGGGGAAAGGCGGGCACGTAGGTATACTCACCTCAAGCACAACAAGCTAGAGTAGGAAGGGGGAAAACGGCAAAAGAGGAAACCCTTGATAATTGAACGGATGGCCCCACCTTCGCCTCCTGAAAACATAGGTATATCGATATCAGGCCGAAGAGCAATGGGTAAACAACGAGACATTAAACAAGATGGACGAAACACGGCGTAATTACTCGGACAACTGCAATTGGCGGACGGGGCGGGACTTTCTTTTAGAGGGGGTGAGCAGGGAAAACGGTTTCAAGGCAATCATGATATTTAGTTATCCTGGGCACGATAGGCACGGATCGCGATACCTGTAAAGCTAACGGCGACCAAGGGGCAGGGCGGCGCGTATGGGTATATATAGGTCTATATAGACATATAAACACACATGAACAATACGCAATGCCGAACAAATGTCACGCTCACGGCAGTTCGGTGTTCGAGAGAGCAAGCACACCTTCAGAAGCGCGCGCAACGTGCTCAGCATCGCATTTGACGAGCATCGCTGTCGTGTATATACATACACAATTCCATCTTAGTCATACAAAGTCAAACCCGCCCATCCTAACCGATTACGCAACCGTCTCGGTGCCGTCTTACCAGACCTCGGGGCTCCTTTCTGGAACCCCGAACCAGAACGCCAGGACGCATGTGCCTCTACCCACGGAATAGGTGAAACTTGTCATGTGACGAACAGAGACCAGCTTCTCAAAGGGAGCTTCCTCTTCTTAGCGAACTCGCCCCCGATGGCTCGCTCTCGCTTTCAGCGAATCTCGCTGCCTCCTTACCCTTGCCTTTGGATCCGTCAGATCTCCGGCTCCGAGGAGTCGAGTTTCCCGGGCCGACTTTCCGTTCTCTGACACTTCCTGACCGGCTTATCTTTTTCCCCGAAGACCTCTTGCCGGTCGGCGCCATTTCGCCACTGGCCCCAGTCTTCCAGCTGCTGTCGTCCCCCGAGTTCTGCGCTGTAGGCACCGTGCTCCTGAGAACCCGCATTTCTTTGACGACGTCTGCGATGCCCTCTTCCAAGTTCTTCATCCTGGCTAGGACCAGTCGGCTCATCCTATCCGCGTCTTCACGGTCGTGGCCGGCTCGACTCACGGCTTTCAGCTGACCGGTAGCCATCGCCATCTGCGTCGCGAAGGACGACGGCACAGCACCGAATTCGTTATGCACATCAAAACCCAGGTCTGACACGTCCGCATCGACAGAAGAGACTCGTCGAATCCTCGGGTCGGCGCTGGGAAGGGTTGCGCGATTCGGCATCGATCGGGCAGGGATCGGTCTCGGCCTCGATGCGGGGCTTGATCCATCTTGGGTTTTCCGTGGCGAGCGTATACTACCCGGCGTGGAAGACCCTATATTCGTAGCTAACCGACCTGTCCTTAGTCGAAGATCAATTCTCGGAGGCTCCTCAGATATCAAAGGCGAGCTAGGCCCTGGGTGGCTAGTCTCCTCTGGCGCATAAAGGATCGTATTTGTAGACAGTGTACGGCTATGGAGACCTCGGTGACGAGGCTGGGTGCTAGCCCTCGGTGACGTTGGCGTCATGCTTTTGGCATGCGAGGAAGAACCCGAGGAGACTAGCGTCCCGCGCCGGAGCCCCTGAGGGGTTGTGAAGTAATAATCACTTGCTTGCACGTTCACCTTGCTACCGTGGCGGCTGGCAACTGCAGCGTCGTCTTCCTCATCCTCGTCGTTAGTCACAAACTCGTCGTCACCGTCAGCCTCCGTTTGATCCTTGTATCGCGCCTGTTGCTCGTCAATTTGGCCATTAAGTTCTCTTATATTCGAGACGGGGAAAGCGCTATTCGATACGAGGTCGGCAGGATCGCTCGCAGCTGATCGAGCCTCGGAAACGTGTCTGAACCTCTTAGGAAAGTCACGGTTCATGCTCATCCGCCGGTGTGAAAGACTTGGTCGGCTATCGATCGTAGGCCAATGGGAGAGGCGCTCGCCGATATCGTCATTCTGGTCCATCCAGTTCCGGATCGCCGTCTGCGTCTTCCTCCTCTCCTGCCTCCTCTGCGTTCGGATGGTGCTCACATCAGGCGGTCGACGGAAAACTTCGTCCAGAGCGCGATCTTTCTGGAAGCCGGAAACCGATTCCTCGCGTGTTCGGGGATTCGGGCTGAAAAGGGAAGCTCCTCGGCCGGTGAAGTCTGTAAATGAGATCCCCCTGCCCCTGTGGTGGCCCCTGTTCTCGACGAGGTCTGTTGGCTCATACACGGACGGGGCTAGAAGATATTTCTCATAGAAGAAGATGCAGAATAGAAGAGGAAAGTGAGTGACCTTGATGACCGTGCGGTTCAAGATGACAAAGTGTCTTATCGGCATGACGTATCGCAGCGGCATCAAAATCCAGGCGAAGATGTTTCCCGGTGCGACGTAAGAGAATAGCGCGTCGTTCTTTACCATGGATATGGTGTTGATCGCAAACAAGAATCTAGGATGGCGTAAGTAATCGTAGTGTCGGACCGGAGAGGCAACTTACTGGTGCTCCTCGTTCGCATTTGAGGCGATCGCCATAAAAGAGTTGGTGAGAACAGTGATCAGCATCGTCCTATCCATGTCAAAATGAGATCCTCGAAAAGTATACGGGGTGTCTGCTTACACGACGAGGAAGTGACACATGACGAGGAATATGACGAGAAGTGCCCTGCCTAAGAAAGTGTATTCTGGCCACCTGGATCTTCGTTAGTGCGTAGTCAAGGAGCGGGGGTTATACGTTACATACACGTCCCAGGCCGCCGGCGTAAATCCCATTAGGATCTGGAATATCTTGTAAGCTACTTCGGGGGCATCATTGTTGTTCCTCGAAAGGGTGAAGAAGACAAAGAATCCGGAGCAGCTAATCAGTACGAGAACGAACACGGCGGCGAGATCCACCGCCATGAGTCGGAAGGCAATGAGGAGCTGCGAGAAATATCGGTAATGATCCAATACGCTGAAGATGCGCGGGAGTAGGAGGATTGCGTTGGCTGCTAGAACATCGTATGCCATGTCGTTCCAGTGGTGAGGATCGATGAGGAAGACGCCGTATACTCTCAGAAAGTAATAAATGATGAGTAGTAGCAAAATCCCGAGATCAAATATGTTCCAGAAGCTCATTATGTAGAGCGAGAAACCCTGCTCATTAAAGCCAACAACCTCGTCAAGCATGAAGCCCGCGCTCCAGAACCAGAAAATCAGTTCTAGTTCCGTGATACGGCTAGACCGTTTAATTAGGACCGCAAGGAATAGGCATATCAAGATGAACAAAGAGCACGTCGATAGGAATTGCCTATACCGCGGGACACGAAGACGAGACAACTTGAAGGGGGAGGCTTGACGCGGGTCGTACAGGTTGACCGTTCGTCGAACAGGCATCGCGTGGAGGGGCAATTGAGACTGTTCTTTAGCGGGCTGTCGCCCGAGCAGAGGCGTCTGAACATTGGCAGAACCGCGCCTAGTGTTTCCACTCGAGGGCGGCGGCAGGCGGTGTAGGTTATCCTGAGACGAATAGAAGCTGATGGCGCCGTTCCAGATAGCCTCAAGCTGTTGGACTACGAGGGGGTGCGCGAGAAAATGCTTGGCCGAAGCACGGATAGCCACTTCTAGGGTCGAAGACCGAGCCGCAGCCGGGCGGCCTTTGCCGTCGAGATTTTTGGTGTCGAGGGTACCAGGGGTCTCGGGGGCTCCCTGAAGCGGGTAGAAATCGTAGGAAAGGGCATCGATAAGTTCCCTGGTATCGTATTCCTTGAGGAGTTTCAAGGCCAGCAGCTCGCAAACCCTCGCTCGTGTCATGCTGGTACCTGCGTTACCTGGATACATCTGTCCTTCCTTGGAAAATTGCAGGCAGTTTGCCATGAGGGCGTACAGCGTTACGCGACTGAAATGCTGGGTCCGGATTTGCTGCTGCATGGGCTTGACGAGGAATTGGGAGACTTGAGGGGACCGGATTTGATCCCAAGTCAGCGTGGTCTCGGTTCGGGCTTGGACAATGATGCGGATGGCGTGGGCGACATTGTAGACAGGTAACGAATCTGCATCGTCAGTCTCGGCTGGCAGCCGCGGGAGATACAACGGCAGCAACATACCCAAGTAATTGGTAGAAAATATGGGTATAAGAGAGGCAGAGCCTCTGCGTACATCTGCTTCGTGAAACGGCCTCGGCCCCGGCGGCGCGCCGTCGAGATCGAAGTCGTCGTCGTCATCTTCGTCGTCCCCCTCAGTGAAATCAGCAGTGGCGCGCCGCTGCGTGTTATAATGGCGACCTGCCGGGCCCGGCGACGGCAAATCAGGGTGAGGATCGAAAAGACGCGCCGAGTCGGCACGCTCAGCGGACCGTCTCGGCCGCAGCAGCGAGGAGAGCATCTCCTTCGCGGCAGGCATCGTCGTCGTCGCCATTTCCCCCCTACCTCCACGCCCGCGGCTACGAAGGATATAACAACATTGGAAAGGAATTGAAAAGGAAGAGGCCGACTACGGCGGGTTGACGGACCGGCCTAAGAAGTGCGCGTGACGCGGCACAACAAGAACAAGATGAGATCTACCGCAAAAATGCGGATACGCGAGGTAAGGGGAGAACGAGAAGGGGGGGGGGGAGGAAAGACGACGATGATCAGGTCGACGTAAAGAACTTGACCAGGCTAGCTAGGCTAGCTAGCATTGACGCTGAGATTAGCAGAGGAGGCTAACGGTTACGGGGATTTCGACAGATAAAAAAAAGGAAGCAGGGATACCAGGTGTAGTCCGGGTGGAACTACCCACTGTGCTGGAGGCGCTGGTACACACCATCACAATCGGGAATGACACACCTACGCAACCCTTCAGCGTTCTTAGCCGAGTCAGGTGGAACGGAGCAGAGGGTTATATTGTGTAGTGCAGATCTGGGCGGCGCGGAATGGCGGATTGCGAAAGTGCGTTACGAAGAGGACGAGGCAGAGGTAAGGAGAAGACGGGATTCCATGACGGCGGCTAATCAGTGACTAGCAAGCAACCGGCAAGCAACCAGCACCGTGTGAATACGAGAGCGCGAGGGACAGGATGGATGTTAGAGGGAGGCCGGCCAAGCAGGTTAGTTAGTATGCGTGGGAGCGAGCAAGTGAGTACCTATGTACGGGCGGAAGGACGAAGTCAGATTGACGGACGGTATGGATGGTAGATGGATGGATGGATGGATGGATGGATGGATGGCTAGCCGGCGCGTGGTTGGTGTATGATTGATGGAGGCATTCTAGTTGGCCGTCTGGGTGGTGGACGGCTGGCGTGCTGTGGGTGCGTGTGTGCTGCTGCAGAAGCTGGCGAGAAACGACTTCTAGTGGCTGATAAGACGCTACCAAGCCAAGAAAAAGGGGAGGAGGCATTTCTACTAGGTGATGACAGGCCCAGAGCGAAGCCGTCGCCTACGCCGGCAGCAAGTAGAAGTGCCACAGAACCCGATCTCGACTTCTTCGTCGGCGCCTCCTCGCTCTCGCCATCTCTCCCCTCCGTCCCACGGTAGGCACAATGGATGTGGTGCAGCATGCATGTTGCATCATGGGATGCACTTTCCAGGATTCAACACCACCTAGTACAGACGCAGCTTAGGTACCTAAGGTAGGTAGGTAGCACTACATAGGCGACCCTGGCCACCTTCCCCTCGAGTCGCCTACGCGGGAGTTAGGTACCTCAGTAACAGCTTGGTCGCCGCGCACCCAGACGCCGCCCCAGTCCCTGGCTGGCCCGAGATACGCCATTACTTATCCGCCTGGTACAGGGAAATTACTGCTTTCAGCTTCTAGACGCCGTCACAGCCACCCGTTATTGGCCACCGGGACGGGAGGGAGCAGCCACCGCACCTTATCGCGCCTGCCTATAGGTGATGGATCGCATCTCGCATCACATCGCCCGCAACTGCCTCTCGCCACCACCGAGGCCCAACAAGACGTACCCGCCTACAGGTACCTCTTAGGGACTTACACCTACCTACCTACCTCCCTCCTACCTCCTAGAAGAGGTACCTAACCTTACTCTAATCAACGCAAGCAATTCTCGGGCTGCCCCTAGATCTGCCCCTAATAGGTACCTGCCTCTGGGTGCCTACACCTAATCGAAGGCATGTCCCTGCATGCACGCGTCAAGTGCAGATGGCATCTGCTCTCTCTCGTCCAACGTCAATATAAGCTCGTACATTCCAGACGGCCAGGTGCCAGGATCAGCTGCTTACTAGATTACTGCGCATTTGCATGGACGCATGATCCATATGCGGACCTTTTCCACCTCCACACGCATCATCGCGTACGCTACTATGTAACACGGGTGTGCGTCCGTAGCTAGAACTGGACGCCTCCACCCCATGCAAGCTCGCCTACAAACGGGATGGCCCACCTGATTGGCCTCGTCGCCCGCACCTCGACACCACGATGATCGACGACGATACGACCCCAGCCCCCCACTACACAGATGTATACATGCACACGCGCTACATGGCTTACGTACAGACGTGCAGTTCGACTTCGAAACGCATATCCGCGCCATGGCATTCCCACTATTACGATGGCAGGTAAGAGAGGAGCGGTGTCGTTCGTCGTCCGTGCCACGGGCTACAAGTAGCACCCGCGACTCGCACCGCTGCCACTTCCACGACCGCCTTGGCGCTCGTTCTCTTCCATCCTTGGGGGTCAAAAACTGTCCAGGAAGCGTGCGCTTGTCGTCGAACCCCGCTGCTGTCGTCGGACAATAAACCGCGCCTCATTTAAACGCTTACGTACACAGGTGGCACCTCGTCTACGAGAAGCGAGGAGAACATGTGTTGCTAGCGTATTCTCGTGCCACCGAGACACCCAGCTAGCCACCTAGGTAGGTAGGTCGTACCTATGTAGGATGGATGATATCCGGGTTTTTGTCGCAACTTGAGATATGGCGCCAGACTAGTTTCACCTTTTTCCCTCTCCTTCTTCGTCTTTTTCCCTCCCCTTCCCTCGTCGGCGATGCACTCCCGCCGCATGTGCACAGGCCATTCACCGCTTCTTCGCGGGCGACAAGCTTGATCTCTCTGATTGGCACAGACCCGGCGTCGCGCCACCGTCTGGCCTGAAATAGCCGGCGATGGCACATGACGGGCATATTCCCTTGCATCCAGCACTAGGCATGTATGTGTAGGCATGTCAAGCGAATGCCTTAGCTCGACCCCACGTTCCTCGAGAGTCGGGACTCCGTAGTTCTGTAGGTACGCGTGTGCGCGGAATCGCACACATGTGATGGTAAGTAGGTATGTGCAAAAATCATACCTAGGTACCCATCCCGTAGGGTAGCACTGCGATCAAATGCTGAAGGCTCCAGCCGGGAGAGCCGTTCCAAATACGTATGATCTGTATCTTGCATGCACCCCGCCGACTTAACAGTCCAGGACGTGAAGGCCAGTGAAGACGGACGTAGAGTAGGTGGTGGCCTATACAATTCGAGACGAGACCCCACGTTGAGGTGGATGCGGGGAAGCTCGAAAAGTCAGCTGTTAATGGTCTTGGGAAGGGGGATGCATCTACAGCTACTACGTCGAGTCCATCAGGGTCTCGCTCAGTTAGCAGGGCACGTAACCATTCCGCTGCGTGACCTGCTAATCGCCGGAGTACATGGAAGCAATGCTTGCCTTCACTGTGGAAATCGTGTGTCTATCGGTCGACTTCCAATGCTTGCATGACTTTTTAGTCACGGCAAACATTGTGGGCTTATTGCGCACCTGGTCTATCAATTCGGGTTAACTTAGGGTAGCTCAGGCAGTGATCGTCTATTCCTGACCCTAGATGGAGGGAGACTAAAGCGGTTATACCTTGAAAGTGAAACCGGGAATTCCGTGTGTGTAAGACCAAAAAGTCTGGTGAGGGGGGGCGAGTGAGGACGGAGTGGCTGAGCAAGATAAACTGAGCACTTCCATGGATCTGGGTAAGTCAAGACCATTTTACCGATCTAACGGGACAATTATGACCACAAGCTAATTGCCAATTATCCGCCGCGAATAGAGGAGGGACGGCGGCCGGATTCTGCCCGACGTTTCCCGTGTTGTCCGTGACGGCAAGACCCCGGCCCCGAGATCCCAATAGGTAAAGCATATACCAAGCCAGGCGGCAATGATGGGAAGTATCCCCCCCGTATGGTAGAAGACTCATTACGTAGCAATAGGGAGGCGATGACTCGAGCAAATATATACCACGCGACGGCGGTGAGAGAGACGGGGGCCTTGCCAAGTGTAGATATCTGGCATATGCTTCCAGATGCCATTAGCGGCCGATTTATTATTACCGCCTCGTTGAATTTCCCGTGACATTTCAGTCCCGGCCGTGCTACCATACGCGGTACCTACCTACCTACAGCTTTCTTTGCATAGGTATAGCTCCGCCATATATCAGGTCGGCACCTACAGTATTAATGAGCGTCGATTCGAACCATAGGAAGGCATTATCGTCAGTCATAATATCCAATCAACGGGAGGCTGATAGTGATAGTACTAGGAACCTGAGGTGTGCATATACATATATACCTACTCATAAGGCACCTAGCCTTGAAGTCAGCGATGGGCAATACTACCCCTGTGTGGGTGATTACCTACGTAGAGTATGTTAGGTAGTCGCGCGCTAGAGTATTTCGATAAGCGGACTAACCTAGTCCCAAGAAAAAAAATCCCCTTCGTCGAATTGATCGAGGCAGTAGGAGGCAAAGACTAAGGCTAACCACTAGGTAGGAGGTAGTATAAAACACAACCACCGGGACCAAGTGCTAACAGCCACCGGTTGGCCAGGCAAGACAAGATTTTCTCACCTACCTACCCGGACCCTGGTCTGTCGCCTCTGCCATGGTTGTAAACGGTCCAAGGTCGGATTCGAAAGTCAGCCTGCGCCAATTGTGTGGCTCGAATGCAGCCTGTACTAATTCGGCGTGATATGTATGGTGTTCTACATAGGTAGTACTACCTACCTACCTACAGTACCTTGTGGAGACATTGCCACCGATATTCACTCAGGCATCTCTTCGCAGATCTCTCTCTACTCTAACACGTAGATCGTGCTACCTACCTGTTAGGTAAGCAGCTAAGGCGCGGCTTAATTGGTCATGGCTATCCCTGATTGGACCCAGCAACACCCGAGGGGGGTGGCCGCTTACGTAGTAGCATCATCTTGTTGCTATCGGGGTCAGCCTCGCTGGCTGGCCGGCTGGCAAAAGTCTTGGGAGAAGCTGGAACATGATTTTTTGGGGGGCAGTCCAAGAGGTAGGTACGTAAAAGGGGTGGGTGTGTTAGGAGTCAATGGGAGGTAGATACCTCTACCTGTAGGCACCTAGCTACCTAGGTACCTAGGTTATTGGGGAGGTACATTGGGTTAGCCACTTCAGTTGGTTGCAGACATGTAGGTATGTGCCTGTGGTAGATCCATTGGAAGATAGAAGTACAATTAGAATGAATGAGCAGAAAATTTTTGGTTGACAGGTACCGCCGCAGCCAGCGCTAGAACTACCTAGGTACGCTACAAAGCCAGTACCTGGCTGAATTGTGTACCTACCAAAATTTTTCTTCTCCCGAGCTTCACACAACAATATTTCCATTCGCCGCAAGAAATTTTCTCCAGGAGACCTGTCAACCAAGGCCATAACGATATGATATTCTAATTGCTCAACTACTCTGCGGCCTTAGAGAGCTCTATTCTTGAGCTTCCTAGCTGCTGCGCCTACTCTTTTCTCTCCTTCCTTCTTCTCTCTGGGACCCCTTTGCCCCTCTTCTTTCTGTTCCCTGCATCCTTCCCCGGGTTTAGGCCTAGACGGCCTGCGACGCGCCATCTATAACTCAACATGGGCTTCCGCGAGTACCACCAGCCTGCCTCTGCGCGGATAGTCGACGCTGAGGATGAAGGCCTCATGTGCCTGGACCTCGAGGACCACTATTCCTACCTGGGCTACAGCTTCGGTGCTAATAAAAGCATCGCCGGGGAGTTGGTCTTCCAGACGGGCCTAGTAGGATACCCAGAGTCGATAACGGACCCTTCGTACCGTGGGCAGATTCTAGTCATCACCTTCCCCCTCGTGGGCAACTATGGCGTGCCCTCTAGAGACACCATAGACGAACTACTTCGTGACCGCCCCGCGCACTTTGAGTCGTCCCAGATTCACATCGCCGGTCTCGTCGTGTCTTCCTATGCTGGCGAAGACTTCTCGCACTTCCTTGCTGAGTCCTCCCTGGGGACATGGCTCAAGGAGCAGGGTGTCCCTGCCATGTATGGCATCGATACGAGGGCTTTAACACAACGCATCAGACAGGAAGGCAGTATGCTGGGTCGTATGCTGTTACCGAAGGAAAACTTGACGAATGTTACAAATAACGGCGCCAACGGTGTCAACGGTGTCACGAACCACTACAGCAAGAAGGACTGGAGCGCGTGCTTCGATGAGATTGATTGGGTAAACCCCAACACGAAAAATCTCGTAGCAGAGGGTAAGTTCTCTTGTAGTTGGACGGCTGGTGCTAGTAGGCTCATCAGCTCGCAGTCTCCATCTCAGAGCCTCAGCTCTACAAGCCGCCTCCGCCGTCAGCATTGAAACATCCTTCGGGGCGACCTCTTCGTGTCGTGTGCTTAGATGTGGGCATGAAAAACAACCAGCTTAGATGCCTTCTAAATAGGGGTGTCGAAGTCCTCGTATGTCCGTGGAACTATGACTTTACCGCCGGCGTGGAAGGTCAATATGACGGTCTTTTCATCTCAAATGGCCCCGGCGACCCATCATTCATGCGGGAGCCCGTAGATAAGATTTCCCAGGCGTTGCAGACGAATCAGATACCGGTTTTCGGCATCTGTCTCGGGCACCAGCTGCTCGCTCAAGCGGCCGGTGCGAAGACCATCAAGATGAAGTTTGGTAATCGAGGTCACAACATTCCTTGCACGAGTATGGTTACCGGAAAGTGTCACATTACTTCGCAGAACCACGGTTTTGCGGTCGATACCAAGACGCTCCCGGATGAATGGAGCGAGCTGTTCGTAAACGCCAACGATGGTAGCAATGAAGGTATCATGCATGTTAGCAAACCGTACTTCAGCGTACAGTTTCATCCCGAGAGCACTCCCGGTCCTCGAGACACCGAATTTTTGTTCGACGTTTTTATCAACACCATCGTCGACTGTGCTAGGGACCCTACTTTACTTAGCTCCCCTGTCAAGTTCCCTGGCGGAACCGCGAGAGAGAACGAGCTGCTCCACCCTCGTGTGCATGTTAAAAAGATACTTGTCCTCGGAAGCGGTGGCCTCAGCATCGGACAAGCCGGCGAGTTTGACTATTCAGGTAGTCAAGCCATCAAGGCGTTGAAGGAGGAAGGTATTTACACCGTTCTCATCAACCCTAACATTGCTACCATCCAAACATCGAAGGGACTTGCGGACAAGGTGTATTTCCTTCCCGTCACCGCCGAGTTCGTCCGCAAGGTCATCGTCTACGAACGGCCGGATGCAATATACGTTACTTTCGGCGGCCAGACCGCTCTACAGGTTGGTATCCAGCTTAAGGACGAGTTCGAGGAACTAGGTGTCAGGGTGCTAGGCACCCCGATCGATACGATCATCACGACGGAGGATCGTGAGTTATTCGCGCGCAGCATGGACTCGATCGGAGAGAAGTGTGCCAAGTCAGCCTCCGCCAGCAGCGTGGACGAAGCGATGCGCGCCGTGAAGGATATTGGGTTTCCCGTCATCGTCAGAGCCGCGTATGCTCTTGGTGGGCTAGGCAGCGGCTTCGCTAATGACGAGGCCGAGCTGTTGAACCTCTGCAATAAAGCTCTGGCCGCGAGCCCGCAGGTTCTAATCGAGCGAAGCATGAAAGGCTGGAAGGAGATCGAGTACGAGGTTGTGCGGGATGCCCAGGACAATTGCATTACCGTCTGCAATATGGAAAACTTCGATCCTCTCGGTATTCATACCGGCGACTCTATCGTCGTAGCGCCATCTCAAACGCTGTCTGACGAGGATTATAATATGTTACGAACGACGGCAGTTAACGTCATCCGCCACCTCGGCGTAGTCGGGGAGTGTAACATCCAGTATGCCCTTAATCCGTTCTCGAAGGAGTACTGCATTATCGAGGTGAACGCCAGGTTGTCGAGGTCGTCCGCGTTGGCGTCAAAAGCCACCGGTTACCCCTTAGCCTTCATCGCCGCCAAATTAGGACTTGGTATACCATTGAAGGAGATCAAGAACACGGTAACAAAGGTCACATGTGCCTGTTTTGAGCCATCCTTGGATTACGTCGTCGTCAAGATGCCTCGATGGGATCTTAAGAAGTTTACGAGAGTTTCTACGCAACTGGGCTCGTCTATGAAGAGCGTTGGTGAGGTCATGAGTATCGGAAGAACTTTCGAGGAAGCCATTCAGAAGGCAATTCGGGCCATCGACTTCCACAATCTTGGTTTCGGCGAAACGAAAGCGCTCATGTCTATTGACGACGAGCTGCAGACTCCTTCCGACCAGCGCCTCTTCGCCATCGCCAACGCTATGCATGCTGGATACTCAGTCGATAGGATCTGGGAGCTCACCAAGATTGATAAGTGGTTTTTACATAAGCTCATGGGCCTGAGCAGATTCAGCAAAGAGGTAGCGCGTTACACAACTAGCCAGATTTCCGAACGACCAAATATACTCCTCCAAGGCAAGCGACTTGGGTTCAGCGACCGTCAGTTAGCCAAGTTCTGGGATTCCAACGAGCTAGCAGTGAGACGCATGAGGCTGGAAGCCGGAATCACTCCATACGTCAAACAGATCGATACCGTCGCCGCCGAGTTTCCCGCGTATACCAATTATCTCTATCTTACATATAATGCTTCCGCTCACGACGTTTCTTTTGATGACCACGGCGTAATGGTTCTTGGCTCAGGAGTCTATCGCATCGGATCCTCGGTGGAGTTTGACTGGTGCTCGGTGAGAGCCATTCGTACGCTTCGGGAGTCCGGCTTTAAGACTATTATGGTGAACTACAACCCCGAAACCGTCAGCACCGATTACGACGAAGCAGACCGCTTGTACTTCGAAAACATCAACCTGGAGACGATTCTCGACGTATATCAGATGGAGTCCGCCAGCGGAGTTCTCGGCGCCATGGGAGGCCAGACACCAAACAACATCGCACTACCTCTGCTACGCTCAGGCATTAAGGTGTTGGGAACCTCGCCAGAAATGATCGATAGGGCCGAAAATCGGTACAAATTCTCTCGTATGCTCGACGAGATAGCCGTCGATCAGCCAACATGGAAGGAACTCACGAGTTTCGAAGATGCTCGGAGTTTCTGCCGAAAGGTCGGTTACCCGGTGCTAGTTCGGCCTTCGTACGTCCTCTCTGGCGCTGCTATGAATACCGTCTACTCGGAGGCCGATCTCGAATTATATCTGCAGCAGGCAGCCGAAGTTTCCCGCGAGCACCCTGTTGTGATAACTAAATACATAGAGAACGCCAAAGAGATTGAGATGGATGCCGTCGCTAAGGACGGTACCGTCGTTGGCCATTTTATATCCGAGCACGTCGAGAACGCTGGTGTCCACTCCGGCGACGCGACTCTCATTCTACCCCCTCAAGATCTCGAGCCGACGACGATCCAACGCATAGAAGAGGCAACGCAGAAAATTGCCGCCAAGCTCAACGTGACCGGCCCGTTCAATATCCAATTTATCGCTAAGGATAACGACATCAAGGTTATTGAATGCAACGTGCGAGCTTCTCGGTCTTTTCCTTTCGTGTCCAAGGTCATGGGAGTTGACTTGATCGAGATGGCCACTAAAGCGATCGTGGGGATCCCCTTCACCGAATACCCGCCAACCACTTTGCAGGCAAATTGCGTCGGGGTAAAGGTGCCGCAATTCAGTTTCTCGAGATTATCTGGTGCCGATCCGGTATTGGGCGTGGAGATGGCTTCCACCGGGGAGGTTGCTTGCTTCGGTATCGATAAATACGAAGCATATCTTAAAGCTCTCATGTCGACGGGCTTCAAGATTCCCAAAAGCAACATTCTCTTGTCGATCGGCTCCTATAAGGACAAGAAAGAGATGTTGCCATCTGTTGAGAAGTTACAGAAGATGGGATACAAGCTGTTTGCCACTGCAGGAACCGCGGATTTCCTTCAGGAGCACGGCATTCCTGTCCAGTTCCTCGAAGTTCTCAGCAACGAAGAAGACGACCAAAGATCGGAATTCTCATTGACGCAACATTTGGCCAAGAACATGATCAACCTATACATAAACTTGCCATCCAACAACAAATATCGCCGTCCTGCTAACTACGTGAGCAAGGGGTACCAAACCCGGCGAATGGCCGTGGATTACCAGATCCCATTAGTTACTAATGTCAAGAATGCCAAGATCCTGGTCGAGGCTATCGCCAGACATTTCGAGCTCGAGATCAGTACCCGCGACTATCAGACGAGCCATCGATCTGCGGTCCTCCCAGGCTTGATCAACGTCGCGGCTTTTGTTCCGGGAATCGGCGTGCAAGGCAGTCATGATCTCCAAGATGTTACTAAGGCATCGATAGCCTCCGGCTTCAGCATGATACGTGTCATGCCCGTCGGTGTCGAAGGCTCTATCACCGACGCGAGGACGCTAAACATTGCCCAGCAGAATAGCAAGAGAGGGGGCTATTGCGACTACAATTTCTCCGTCTCTGCCACTTCGAGCAATGCCGACCAGATTAGCCATGTAACTGGCGAAGTTGGGTCTCTCTTCATCCCGTTCAACCACCTGTCCGATAACATTAGCAAGGTCGCCGCGGTCACTGCTCATTTCGACTCTTGGCCAGCTCATAAGCCCATCGTTACGGATGCCAAGACGACAGATCTCGCCTCCATTCTGTTGCTAGCAAGCCTTCATAGTCGGCGCATTCATGTTACGAGCGTCACCACGAAGGACGATATCCGGTTGATTGCTCTCAGCAAGGAGAAAGGCCTCAATGTCACCTGCGACGTGTCTATTCATTCGTTGTACTTAACCAGCAAAGACTTCCCGGGCTGCACGTGTCTTCCCGAACCCAGAGACCAGGAGGCGCTTTGGGACCATCTTGACACTATCGATGTCTTTTCTATTGGCAGCCTCCCGTACCAGGTCGCCCACGCTGTACAACCCGAGGCGGCGACAGACCCCGCGGTCGGCGTTGCTGATGCCTTGCCTCTCTTACTGACCTCCGTCACGGAAGGCAAGTTGACCCTTGATGACATCAAGGCACGCCTATACGATAACCCGAAGGAGATATTCGAACTCCATGAGCAGCCGGGAACGTCTGTCGAGGTTGAGATTGACCGTCCATATACCGTGCCGACGACGGCCTCGTGGTCGCCGTTCGCTGGTAAGACGATGCGCGGAGCTGTGCAGAGGGTGACCTTCAACGGGAAAACGGTATGTCTTGACGGCGAGCTTCTCCCGATCATGCCGCTTGGCAACGATATGTCTACTCATGGTAGCATGCCGACACCCTTGTCGCCGCCCATCAAGTCGATGCCTCCACCGGCTCATCCTCTCGATGCCCTCCGAGCTCGACGGCTTTCTAGCCTCGGGAAGCCGACGAGCGTCGCACGCCTACAGGATGGCGATACTGAAGGCCTACGGCCAGTGTCGAGGCGCGCCCACGCTGCGGAGGAGCTCGGCCTACCTGGGCCCGCGCGTGCCCCTTTCGTTGACTCCTTGCACGACCTCCTCATGCAACCTTCGGCCTTCAAGAAGGCACATGTTCTCTCGGTGAAGCAGTACACACGTTCTGATCTCCACCTGTTGTTTACGGTAGCGCAGGAGATGCGTGTGGGTGTCGATCGTGAAGGCGTCCTCAGCACGTTGCGCGGCCGTGTCCTATGCACCATGTTTTACGAACCGTCAACCCGTACCTCGTCGTCTTTCGACGCCGCTATGCAGCGCCTAGGCGGAAGGACTGTAGCTATCGCGACGACGAACTCGTCAATCCAGAAAGGGGAGTCGCTTCAGGACACGCTGAGGACACTCGGGTCTTACGGCGACGCCATCGTACTGCGCCACCCCGACGAAAAATCGATGGATATTGCGAGGCGGTATAGCCAAGTGCCGGTGATCAACGGCGGGAACGGGAGCAAGGAGCACCCCACTCAAGCATTCCTCGATCTCTTTACGATTCGCGAGGAGCTCGGCACCGTGCAGGGCTTAACCATCACCTTCATCGGCGACCTCCTGTACGGACGGCCGGTGCATTCGCTGATCTACCTCTTCCAGCACTACCAGGTCCAGGTCCAGCTCGTCTCGCCGAAGTCGCTGGCGCTCCCGCCGGACGTGCGGGACCTCCTCAAGGAATCCGGACAGCTGCTGTGCGAGTCGGAGGAGCTCAGCCCGGAGATCCTGTCGAGAAGCGACGTGCTGTACTGCACCAGGGTGCAGAAGGAGCGCTTCCCCAGCCTCGAGGAGTACGAAAAGGTCAAGAACTCGTACCGCATCGACAACGCGACGCTCAAGCACGCGAAGCAGGAAACCCGGGTGCTGCACCCCCTCCCCCGAAACGAGGAGGTGGCAGAGGAAGTGGACTACGACCACCGCGCAGCCTACTTCCGACAGGTAAGTTGCTCCGGCGCAAGTTAATGGGCGCACGGGGGCTTGTGCTAATCGTATCGACGCAGATGCGGTACGGTCTCTATTGCCGGATGGCCCTGCTGGCCCTGGTCATGTCGGGCTGATTGATGATCTCGGCCCGACGCCGGCCCGCACTTCTCTTCGTAACCCTCTCGAGAACATGTCCCGAGACGCCAAAGTTTCCGTAGGCCTGGCCCGAGCGAGAGGCGGGCTCTGCCACTAGAGTTGCGCTAGATAGTCGGCATTTTCTGTCTTCCTTTCCTTTCCTTTCCTTTCCCTCGTGCGCGGATCGATCGGGGTGGCTCAGCCTAGATAAAAGGAACAACCACACTTTAGATGCTGAATGGCTCGCGCCGCCGATGAGTGAAATGACGTTATGTGTAAGGCATAGTTATATATGTGTATATATTAGGTATGGGGTGGGATGTATTTGTACGGGTGTATTTGTATATGTAGGCAGGCATGTACTAACGCATGCCTGCATACATGGATACCTGCCTATGTATTTGTAAGGTCCCGTACGTTGTGTACGCTCTGTATGTATATTATATTGTATCAGTACATATGTGTCTGCTAGTTGCTCAAGTAGATATACCGTATAGTCATGCATTTTACGTATATATATAGATTGATTTGGTTTCGTCCACGTACCAACATTGGGTGATAACCACCTACCTCCTCAGCGGCTCCGTACCTTGGCAGGTATAGGTATACGCGTGTCTAACTCTGCCAACCTCCCATGCCGTAGGGATGCTATCGCATCAGGCATTCCGCTCGCCGCGTAGGCAATACGTGTAGATACTTCAACTAACCATCGGGTTTGGTCTCTCACACAGCGCAGGGCGCTCCGAACCCAATCGACAACCGAGGTGACGTCATCACATCGGGTTCCCTTTCTTCACCAAGAAATCCGGAGTCCTCCGGAGGCGCTTACGTACCGCGCCGTCGAATCACCCATCCCGCATCGTCCCAGTCAAGTCCTGACGTACCTTTTTTTTTGTTCCCACCCCCCGCCTTCGTTCCTTCGGCTGGTCCATTCCGTCGCCCTCTGTAGGAACTCGGCTTTGCTTCTAGATCCTACCCTATCACGCACACCCACACACGCACGTACGCGCAGTCTCTCCCCCCCTCTCTCTCTCTCCTCTCACTCTTACACACATACGTACCTGCGTGCCTAAGCCCTGATGCTCTCGGGGGCCTAGAGGGACGTGGCAGAAACACACTGTGCTCATCGCCTGGATAGGTTGTGTATGCGCCGCTCCGGCGTCGCAGGCCTGCGTCTCGCACCGACTTCTTCTCCTAGCTCGACTACCCGGCATCCTCGCTTCTCCGCGCGGCACCAGCACCGCCGCGCGATGGCGACTTCGTCCGTAGCCGCGACGGCGCCGTGGCGGCAGCTCTTCCTCGAGCACGTCCGCGCTATGCCGGCGCCCGAGTTCACGCTGGGCACGGTGCGCAAGGTCCGCTCGCCGTCGTCGGCGGGCGCGGTCGAGCACGTGCCGCGCGCGCGCACCTGCGTGTTCCGCGGGCTGTGGGGGGAGCTGTCCGCCGCCGCCGCCGAGCCCAACCCGCCCGACGTGTACGAGGGCAGCGACCTGCTGACGTTCACGACGGACCGGCGGTCGGCCAAGGTGGCGGACCTGTTCGGCGCCGAGGCCGAGGCCGAGGCGGACGGCGGGGAGGGGAGCCGCGCGCCGCGGCTCGACGGGTCCGGCGGCGGCGCCCCCGTCGAGGCCGTGTTCTGGGTTGTCGCGGCGCGGACCCAGTGGCGCGTGCGCGGGCGCGCGTACGTGCTCGCGCCGGGGGCCGAGGACGGCGGCGAGGAGGGCCGGCAGGCCGCGGCGCTGATCCGGGCGCGGATGCGGAGGCGGGGAGCGGGCGACGAGGTGAGCTGGAGCTTCGACCGCGAGATCGCGGCGCACTTTGGCAACCTGAGCCCGCTGATGCGGGGCACGTTTCGGGGGCCAGCGCCCGGGCGACCTGTGGCGGCGGCGGTAGAGGGCCCCGGGCTCGGGCAACGGATCGACGACCTCGAGGACGTCGCAGCCCGGGCCAACTTCCGCGTCGTCGTCGTCGTGCCCCACGAGGTCGACCGGTGCGACCTGAGCGACCCGGAGCGCGGCCGACGGTGGCTATATAGACTCGTGGGGGGCGAAGAGGGCGAAGGCGAAGGCAAGTGGGAGGAATTCGAGGTGTGGCCCTAGGTGCGAGGGCCGGGGGCGGTGGCGCGCGTCTACCCCCACCCCCTCCGTCCCCTTCCTCTCCGAGGTGGGAAGGATGAGGAGGAGGAGGAGCAGGAGACAGGGGGGGCGGGCGGCGAAGGGGGAAAGGATCGGAGGATCGGAGGGGGGATGGAATACTTGACGGGAGGCAAGTTCCGATGGTTGGACTACGATGGCTTTACTGGGCTTATGTGCCGAGCGGCTAGTCCCAAGTGGTGCGTAGCGAGCGGGTGGCGGAGAAGTTCAGACGGGCTTTCTGCCAATGGGCACGTGAATGTACGCGACATATTAGCATAGGCCTGGTCGGAACTTTTGAAGCCGTCGCTCCTCTGAGCGGTGTAAGCTAACTCCCCTATACGAACCAGTAGATCGCTTCTCGATTCCTCGTCCTTTCATCTGCGGCCGCGCTCTCCTCGACCCGTCTAGCTACTCTGTTCGCCCGTCCTTGGCGGTTATCACGGTGGCCCCCAAAGTACGTAGGTACGCGAGGAAGCGGTCTTGGCGACGGCGAGCTTTCCGCACAGAATTGCACGGCGGAGCTGGGGAAGCCCCCTCGCGAGGTGAGGCTGGGCGCCCGTAGTTAGTATCTATGTGCTCGCGGCTTAGGGAAGAGGGGGGAGGGGGCAGGCAGGCAAGGAGGGTAGGTAGACACGTAAGGTAATATGATATGATAGAGTTGGCCACATGGCAACGTCAGCCTTGATATGCCGAGTCCTACATAAAATCACATCAATCTTGCATGCCATGGCCGTTCTGGTGATCATGAGTGCCTACCCTACCTCCGCCCCCTCCCCTCAGCCCAAGGTCACATTTTGTTGCTGGCAGTAAGTAGTAGTGGTGGTGGTAGCAGTAGTAGCGGTGGTTAGGTAGTAAGCAGGTTTCACCATCCTCGCCTTACTATTCCACGTTTTTTTTTCCCTTTCTTCTCTTTCTCCCGCTCCCTGTCCTGGGGGGGACGAGGACCTCGCATGGACGCGTTGATACGTTAGTTTACGACAATAGGCAATTTTGTACCTACCATCTCATCTCCCACCATCGCTACCACCTTGCTCACCAAAGCGGCAGGAGGATCCCTTTTAGCCCCAGGCCCAATGGCAGAGACGGGTAAGGATAAGCGATGGGCCTCGGGGTTAGGGCATCGCCGCATGGCGCGTACATGTGTGTAGTAGTAGCAGTATGCATGTAGGTAGGTAGGTAGGTAGGTATGTATGTATGCGCAGTATAGAGGATGAGGAATACTCCGCTATATTGCACATAGCACACAGGATGAGGATGGGATACTGTCGTCCCATTCGCCTTCGGCACCTAACGTGCCTATCAAAGAGAGCGAGAGCCGAAAATCTCGGCCAGCTAATGCGCTGATCCGTCTCGATTCGGCACAGGAGGCGGGCAGGCGGTTAGCGGAGAATGCAAACGCGCTGACTGAGCGTCGCTACGTCGCATCTGGAGGCGATCGAGGTTGAAACTGATCAGATCTACCTAATACAAGCTGGCTGGTCTTCGCCCATCTTGATCCCTCTCAGGAAGACGTTTTTATTTTTTTATTTTAATACCTAGCATCGAGTGCCAGTGCGGAAGTGGGGGCAGAATGGGGAGGATGGACCTCCCATCTCGCAGCGGTCTCGGACTCGAAGACCAGGGAGAGGCGCCATGACTTTTCCACGTGTTCATAGCCGGGATGGCCGTTCTGAAGTAGTGGCGCTCGAGCAGTTTTGACCGCTTCTGCCTTAACGCGGTCCCTGTAATGAGGCTGGACGTCGGAAAGAACTCCGCTGAGAGAGGGGGTGGTGGCATCGTGACAGGTATTGAGAGTGGATACCAGTAGAGCCCTTGGCTCCCCCCCCTAGCTAGTGACCGACGTCGAACGCCCCCCCCTCTCTCTTCCTCTCTCGCTCTCGCTCTCTTGTGTCATACCGCATGCATCATCGTAAACCGTCTAGTCCAAGCGGCTTCGAGTGATATCAGCGTGCGGGAGCCACCCAAAACGATCGTACCCCGATGTCGACGACCGTACACGAGGTCCGGCAGACGGAAGGCTTAATGGAGGGTAAGACGATTAGGACTTTACCTGTATCTTCGTTACGGGACGCGCCCCCTACCAATGTGAATTGCACGCTGTCGAAAATCCACCTCTTGCACGCATTTGTTGTATATTCCGAGGCCACTGAGGACGTGAAAGGGGGGAGAGGAGGTGCGCTCGCATTGCTCAGGATGCATACCACGTTGCGGAGCAGGCTGGATCTCCTTAACCCGTCAGATTCAATGGCATGATCTGATTGCACCTCTCGACACAGACCAGGCCTGTATCGATGCCTCTCTCTTGCCACCCATTCGGGCGTTTTCAGGCAAGATTGTCTCGGCGTGCCTGAACGCCTACCTATACGTAGGTATCGATCCATAGGTAATATCAACGCGGCATCCTATCATATCGAGGTGTACCACCGGTCCACCGCCGCGGCGGCCAAGGCATGGAGCGCTGCGCGGGGTCTCTTACGGCCTCTGTCGGTCCCGTTTCAGGCCTAAAATCGGCCCTATGGCTTCTCTCGACGTGTAGGGAGGAGACAGGGAAGGTGAACGGGAGAGGAGAGAGGGAGAAGGGGGGCCGGAGAGATCGGACGGATGGTTGCCCTATTCACCGCTTGATTCACGAACCTATATGAACGTTGGAACGAGAAGCCGAGGATGCGTGCCATTGATCGGGCTATTGGACGGGTTTGTAATACGTAGGTAGTTTCGGAAACGCAGGACTCGACTTAAGATAGGTATTATTATTATTGCTATTATCGTCATTATAATTATCATTATAACGATGGGACGATTATAATCGTTCTTCCAAGCCTGTTTTCTCGTTTTTGTTTCTCCCTCCGTTTCCTTACCCTCCCCTCTTCCTCTTCTTCCGACCTGTATATGCTGCATGACATGCGCCTGCATCGACTGGCACCTACCCAAGTAGGACCGCAAAGCGATTAAATATAGAATATAGCCAGGTTAGGCTTCGCAGGTGCGGGCGAGTCGTGGCGTGGCATAGGGGGGGGGCTTTAGGGTTAGGTTAGGTTGGGCAGGTACACGATGCTGATTCTGGCCATTGGTGGTGGTGAGGTAACCTACCTTAGGTGTACCTACCTAAGGTGATGTACCTACCTAAGGTGGCCTCTGGCCGGTCGGGCAAGAACTCAGTACCATAGGTACCTAAGGTGATAGTACCTATGTACCTAGGTAACGCACCTCGACATAGCAGGCGACGGCTTAAGGCCCTAACCCGGCGCTAGCATCTCCGGACCGCTAGGCAAGGCGCTTCCGGCTTTGCCTGCGTGCTCCCAGCCACTCCGGTCGCACTACTTGCTTAGCTCCAACCGCTAAAAGCGATCCCGCGCAGTGACACGCATCGACTTGCGTAGGTGGTCCCGGGACGTCCACTGCTCCCGAGAGGTACCTGTAGGCAGCATTTATATCGATAAACCAACCTAAAGGTACCCAAGGTATTATTACGTTAGGTATATAGTTGGTATGGTAGGTATAATTATAGGAGGTAGAGGTAGAGGTAGAGGTTGAGGTAGAGGTAGGTAGGTAGGTAGGTAGGTAGGTACCTATATAATAATAGAAGGTAGGGAGGCATGTACTCATACGTAGACCTCAATGGCATTCGCATCTATGATAGACACCGATCTGTATGCCCAGCGGCGGCATGTGCGCCCCAGGCCGTGGCCCTGAGAAGGGGGCCGTCTGATAACTCCGACCAGATCTCCGAATCGATTTATTACCTCGTAATCATTGCATTGGCTGAGGTGAGGTCAGATGCCTCGATCCCCATCAGGAAGTCCCTGTGGACAATCCCTCCTGCTATGTGCGCGTCCGTCCAACCCAACCCAACCAACCGACAACATATACATACCTAGGTAGGTACCTAGGTATGCCTGCATGCCTCCTGTCTCCTACTTGCCTACCTAGTACATACATATATGTGCGTTATTCTCGTGGTCGTAAGACTTGCACGGCCAAACTTCTCCACCATCGACTCATAACCCACGTAGAGAGGTACGGATGCGATCTGCGTCTTCCGTTTCGGTCTCCAGCGACGGCCTCGCTGAGTCAAATCCCTCTCCCAACGAGCCTATACAAGAGGTCGATATTGCATGCGCACGCCTACTCGATCGTCTCGAAAGCGTCTAGACATGTGCATCCCCGCGGAGGTGGCGGTGGCTCGCGAGTGCATTAGTGGGTAAAGACCATCATACATTAGGCTAGGTACCTAACCTAAGGTACTGCTAATACGACAACAAGTCTTCTCCTATCTCCACATCCGCAATGGGGGCGACCTCGCACCTCTCGAACCTCTTGACAACTGCCCGTAGACTCCGCTGCACTACGCCTGTATGTGCCGACATGCCTCACGTACCAACCGGGCACATCCTTCCACACCACAACTGATTCGACGAGATCGACTCTCCCGTCAGAGCCTTATCCCCATGTACGCGCGCGAAGTACCGATGCAGAAGCCAATGCCTGCTAAGGCCACGTCGACTCCTCTCTCCCTGCTACATCTCCGTTGGTTAGTACGTGTTCTCGTCGTCCACCCTCCCCCCCCCTTTTCCCGCGGTAGGCCACCGGCGGGATGTCGGCGTGGAGGGAGGGGAGGCGAGGCAAATTCCATCCACTCGCGCACGCGCGCCAGAGGTCGGCACGAACAATAGGTAAATCGTTCCTCTGGCTTTCTTCCCTTTTCAGACGGATGGCCGAAGAAGATGACAAAAGAACAGCGCAGCTCGGTTCCTCATCGAGGTTTGTGTAACCCGAGACGTGCCATGGAGAGTCGGAACAAGAGCAGACCACCAGACCAGAATGCCTCCGCCGCGCCGTCTGGGCTTCCCTTCTGGAGCGGAGAGGTGTGCAGGGTTGCGTTTTTAATAAACCAGAACGGGAGCTTGTTGATTAGTCGCCGATCAAACCATCGAAAAAGAAGACTTGCAGACTCGCACGCGACGCCGCTAGAGGACAGGGGAGGGGATCCTTACCACGAATGGCCCCCGGCTCTGCAGATACTCAGTACCCACCCGTTATGTGCCACGCCCTTAGGTACGTGCTTGAGTCGTTGTGCTATGTAAATACGGATGCCTGTTAGGTGCGGGCGGGTTAGCTAAGGGCAGGTTAGGCTGTACCTCCGTCTCCCTACAAGGTAACATACCTAGGTAGGTAGGTACTCCTGTGTGCTGGTAGGCGGACGGATAATTATATACACCTACGTAGGGACGCACCCGTATTCAAACTACCTGATACACGCAGTCTGTACAATCTGCCGAGATGCGATGTGTTAGCGTTGCTACAACCCCCCGATCGATCCTCTATGTACGCACACGAGATGCCCACGGAACATAGAGCCTCTTAAGGGGAAGTACGTTACCTACACGCCGCTCGTGTTCCCGTCTAGAGGAGAAATCTAACTGTGCAGCTCCAGCTACACCGACGTGAGCGTGCGGGTTCACAAGATAAAATTCATAAGCTGCACAATAACCTATATGTTTCTTTCTTCGTATCTTCTGTGCGAAGGGGAGGTGAGAAGAGTACTTTCGACCCCATATTGAAGTGGGGGGGCAGTAACAGGCTAGCAAGTTTAATCCCGGAAACGTGTAACTCTGTACGTTGGGTGCATTAGGTACCTAGGTACCTCTAATATATGGCCCATTTATGCCTAGAGGTAGGTTATGCTCGAGACATGTACTTCGTCTCTACTCATATGCATGGGACGAAGGCAGCGAGAGGAAAGAAGAAGAACACTGGATCCCGCTAGTTGTCTCCTCTCGGTATCCGCTTGCGGTCCATTTGTTCGATTGCGAGAAGCAAGAGGAGGTACCCAATAGATGTATCTTCTTCCACGTAGAGGTAAACACTTTAAAAGGGCATTGTTGCGATGCTACCTAGGTACCTGTATTTCTCTCCCCCGATCATACGAGTAGCTATAACCCTCCCTGCCTGTGTAATTGTATACCAGGCGTGCTATATGTACAGGTATGGAGAGAGCACGTACATTGGGTACCTCCCGTTGCGGTGGTAGGTACAGGCAGGCAGGCAGGCAGGCAGGCAGGTAATCACCGTCGTATAAGCTGCGAACCCAGCCATACCTCCCTATCGACAGCGTACCCGACCCCATATTACCAACCTACCTAGGTAGGTAGGTAGGTTAGGAGGTACCTACCTTAGAGGTACTTAGGTGCGTCCCTGCACCGGACAGCCCTGGGTACCTAAGCTTTCGGCCATGCGTCCGCCCAAGCCAACCGGAGCTGCCAACGGCCCCAACCCCACAAGACGTGAATTCAAGTGTCAATTGGAATTCTCACAGTCTTCCAACACTGCATACAACCAACTCCGGTTCTCTTACTTCCACTCGATCCGATTCCTCCCCCGTCTCGCTGCCATTTGTATCCATTTTACGCTCGTCGCGCCCATCGCTGCCCATCGCCTTCTCTCCTGCTCCTTTCCTACTCCTCCTCCCCGCCTTATCCGCCTGAATTACTACTCCCCCTTCTCTTGATTCGAAGCGCAGTTCTCTAGGCCCCTTCTGTCCTTTATCGTGCCAGCAAACCAAAACGCTGGTTGGCCTGCACTCCCGACGCTTCCTGCCATTGAAATAGGCACGCAGAATAGCGAGATCGAATTGGAACCCGGCCTCGAGTTATCCCTCGTAGCGGTCCTCTGGGTGCATGTTTGGCTGGCCCAATGCCAATTACCCATCGGCTGCATCCATTTTTTTTCCGTTGACATATCTAGCTCGCCAACCATCCAGCTACGCACACCACATATCTATACGCACTACATCCCACCTTACCCATCTAACCTCCTCCTCCTCCTCTGCTCACCTGCTCGCACCGAGTCCGACAGCCTCCCCTAGCCAACGTCATCAGATGTTGGGGTAGGGATCGAACACTGCTCCTTCTCCCGTTGTATTTTCGAACAGAATCCGGAACCGTCTCCCCCCTCTTTTCTCGGCTCTTTTTCTCAAAAGATGGCGCAGGATTCCCTGAGGGCTTTAGTCGACAATATCCCCGACTGGCTCAAACGCCTCGACGATCTTAATGGACAAATCGAGCAACGCCAGCTGGATCTGGCCAGCCTATCCGAGAATAAATCCTCCGCACGTTCCATCAGGAACCGCGGGTCAACCGAATCTCTGAAACCGCGAGATGAAGGCCCGACAATTCTGCCTACGGACGCCGTCGATAGTCATCCGGCCCCGCTTCCGTCCCGACGACCCAACGCCCAGCCACAAGACGGCGTCGAACCTCCTTCGAGCCCCGTGAGCGAGCCTAAATCTAAGTCCTCGCTCCAGCAGAAGAACGAGGTCGTGGCGGCGGCGCAAAGAAGAGTACGCGCGACGGTTCGCAGGCGCCACAAGACGGAATCCATGGTCAGCGTCGAACACGGTATACCGAAATACAGATCGCGAAATATGATCATTGTCTACTACGACAGCTACGTGCAGTCGTTCTTTGAAGAGCTGGTTAAATTTGTATCGCAGCAGCGGAACTCGATGCGAAAGGCGAAGTTGGCAGCTAAGATGGTTCAGATCAAGAGGTTAGCCGAACTCGACATGCCCGACGATGAGGACGACGACAATAACGACAACGAGAGCCAGGGCGACCTGAAAGCCGGAGCCAGCAACGGCGCTACCGGTCTCGAGGCCGCAACCCCGAAGGCTAAGCCGGCTGGGCCAGAAGAGCTCATGCTGAGGTTTAGAAGTACGCGGCAAATGGGGTCTCGGCAGATGGCGTCTAGGTCTGGGCTGGCTGGCGGGCTAGGCTCGTTCCAAGACCAAGCCGACATCTGGGAGGAACTTGATAGGGGCCTCGAGTTCGTCCAGGGCATGTGCGAACACGGCGCGCACCAGTTTCTCCGCGAGGGAGACTGTAGCGACGAAATTGAGAAGATAAAGAAGCGTCTCTCGCAGACGAAGGAGGCCGCCGACAAGGAATTGGCGCGGCCTTCGACGGAAAGCACAAGCAGCTCCAGTCCCCCCGCGCCCATCCGGTCGCGAAGTTACCGCCCGATGATGATGCGGAGGGAGGCCGGCGCCTGCGGCTCCAAGACGCCTTGCCCCCCAAAGAAGGAGAGCGTAGACGTTGAGGACGAGGGGGTTCAGGATATGGATTACATCCAGCCAGCTGAGAAAGCTACCGAGCCTGCTGCGAACGGCCCTAGCTCTTAGAACGGAGACACGGTCACGCTACGTTCTTTTCCGTGCGACTCGCGGATTCAGGCAACATACTACACTCTACATACCCATCTAATACTGCACATACACACACACACACACACACACACACACACACACACACACACACACACACACACACACACACACACACACACACATACATATATATACATATACGTACTGTGTATTTCCTGTTGGGAGCTGTTTACCTACGTGTCCGCATCGCGACGGAGTCGGGTTTTTCGTTGGACAGAAAAATGACCACCCTTTCCTCTGGTGTTTTATTTTATGCACCGACGAGATGACTGCATTCTAAAATTAAAACGGTCCATAGTTAGATCTGGTGTCGCCCGAATCATACTCACCCTCTTTCGCTTTTTTCGGGGGGTTTTTTTTTTTCCTTGCAGTGCCGACGACGGACGAGCAAAAATGGCACGCATCAGCATTTTCTACTCTTTCGACAGGTGCTCGGAGTTAGGCTGGGGTAAAGGGGATCGAAGGGGAAGGGCATGTGGAAAGGAGACGGGCAAAGGGACAACGACTTTGGGGAATGGGCAGTTGGTCGAGAAACCCAGACCGAACCGTCACAGGGCCGACACGGCTTTCATGGGTCCACGGGTGTCCCATCATTCACGGCCGAGCGAACGGCAGTACATGTGTGCGCGGTATGTACGCATGTACGTATGTACGTATGCGTATGCCTGCCTATTTTATGTATAAACCTCTTAATATCAAGACCCTCCTCGAGAATTCATCTTGCGTAGACTCGGACTCGGTAAGAAACCGGTATTATACCGTGTGGGAGAGGGGAGCGGGAGGGGAGGACCCAGAAAAGGGGGTGGGTGGACTGTAGTAGCCGCCGACCTGCACCGAACAGGCCGGCCAATACCACTTACCTGCCTAGGTGAATTACTTGAACTAGCTACGACCCGACGCTCTTTTTACCTCGCCGCGCGCTCGCTTTCGGGGCTGACGAACGCCCGGCATGTTCTCGTGTTCTCTCTCTCTATATAACTTTGGCCTCGCACATCCCAGGCGACGTTGCATGCACATAGCTGTTGTATCTATATGTCTTGATCTATATATCTAACCTACCTAATCTACGGGTAGGTATCTATACGACCCCTTACACCAGAGATAGGTAGGTTAGGTAGGTACTTGACCAGCTAGGGAGCGGCACTACAGGGGTGGCGGGTAAGTGCCCACGCGGCAAGGGGCACGGGAAGCCCCGAGCCGAGCGGGAACCTCATCGTCGTCATCGTCACTTGAAGAGGAGGGGGGAGGGGGGGGCAGGCATAACTCGGCTGCGACTGTAGGGGGGAAGAGAGATGATAAGAGGAGAGCAGCTCGAGGGCGGGCAGCTGGCTGTCGTCGTACCTGTTGTGCTAGCGGGGGCGACTGCGACTCCATGGGTATCTGGAACCTCTGAGCTCTGCTCTGCTCTGCTCTGCTCTGCTCTGCTCTGCTCTGCTCTGCTCTGCTCTGCTCTGCTCTGCTCTGCTCTGCTCTGCTCTGCTCTGCTCTGCTCTGCTCGCCGCGCCGGGTCCGTCTCGTCTTGCCTCGTCTCGCCTCGCCGCGCCTCGCTCGCGGCCTGTAGGTATGCTTCGTACGCGCGAGGTTAGGTACCTAGGTAGGTGGGTAGGTAGTAGGCGGTAGGCTTAGCCCGCCTTAGGCGCCGCGGGGATCGCGGTATACTCGCCTGTACAGATAGTACATACCTCTGCCTCTCCACCCCCGCCGACAAGGTAAGGTGGGTAGGTTGGTTGGTAGGTAGGTGGACAAGTCCGCTCGACTGCGCGCCGCGACGTATGTAGCTAGCCCCCCCCCCCCCCCGCCCGCCGCGCGCTGAGCGACGGCGTCCCGCGGGAAGAGAGCGCGGACGCTTCCAGCAAGGCTCTACCCGTCTGCCTGCCTGCCTGCCTGTCTGCGAGGCGTGTATGTACCTACGTACGCACGCACGCAAAGAGCGGGAGACGGCGGCGGAGGCGGGCGCGGGTTGTGGGTGCTGCCGCTGGAGCTGTTGGCGCGATGTTACATTTCCCGTGTTTTCATTTCGTTTCTACTGCCATTATTGCCTAGGTATTGTTCTGCTCCTTTCCCTTCCTTTCCTTTCCTTTTTTTCTTTCCTCCCCCCCAACCCCTCGTCGCCTGACGTTCTCATCTCGCATCTACTTGCCTCCGCACGCGCTTCCTTGTCTCTTAGGTACCTGCCTCCTACTGCCGTTCGTTCGTCCGTTCCTATCTTGGCCTCAGCCCCGATCCCTCTCGGCGGGGCGCCATTGGGGCGGACCTTTTGGTCGCGCCCCCGGGGGGGGGGAGAGGGTTGCGCGAGGGGCGAACGTGCCGATCCTGCCGATGCTGCGTGTGTGCTCATAGGTAGATACGTTCTGGCTTGCTTTATTTCGGTAGATTAGGTAGACGTGACTGTGTAGGTACGTAGGTAAGTAAGTAGGTACTTAGATCTATCCTGCTTGCCGCATGCGTGCCTATAAGACGGGTACTATATACGATATATATAGATAGATAGATGGATTGACATAGAACTACCTCTATATATTTATATATATAGACACATATATGTCCATGCATAGGTAAGTATCCCTTCTTTTCACGTGAGCGCCTTTTCGCTTGCCCGTTCCGGATCGGGAGCGAGGGGAGGGGTGAGTTATATTTATCGCAGGCTGGCAGATTCACGAACACGGCAAGAGAGCCGATGCAGGAAGAGGGAGGGGTGTGGTGGCGGCCGCGGCGGATTGGGGAAACGGGTGAGGGGGAGAGGGAACTCATCTCGGCACGGAAGGCGAGAGAATAAGGTACCTGGAGTAATCGAAAAAAGAAATCAAATGGAGGAGGATGAGGCGGGAGACGCAGATGGATAGCAGCAACAACTCGGGCTAGCTGCGAAGGCATGTAAGTGGTGGTAACGATGTTGGCACACCGCGGATGTATACATCCGCTCGCCGTCTTTCCTGTTTGTTCTTTTGTTTTTTTCTTTTTTTTCCTTTCCCTGATGCTGCTGCTTCGTACCGGCGACGGCGCGACAGCGAATCGAAATGTGCTGAGGCTTCGGGGGTTGGGCGGGATGGCCGTCGGGATGAGTGGACGCGTCGTCACCCTGCCTTCATCTCCATAATCCCCGTCCTCATCCTCGCCCTCATCCCACCTGACCGGAGTCGCGGTCGCGACTGCGAAGAGATGACAGGAGTGACGAGGACCCGGATTGGCCCGACAGCGGAGGCGAAATTGCCCAAGGAAAACAAAATGAAGACAGGAAAATGGAGACGACGTTGGCTGTGACGCGCCCGCCATCTCGAACCGTCCACGTCGCTGGCGTACGTCGTCCTCCTTCGCATCATCGTACCTACCAACGTACATAGGCCCTAACGAATTACGACCAATAGACGTCCCCTCTCCCTCGGGCCGTAAACGCTACTGAGTTGTACGCATGTTATGTATGTTGGTGCTTCAGCCCGACGGGTCTCTCTTCTTTCTCTGTCTCTCGCTCTCGCTCTCGCTCTCGCCCTCGCCCTCGCCCTCTCGCTGGCTCGCTTGCGCCTCGGTGCTTCGGCGTTGGTCGATCCCCCCCCTCCCCCTTTTCGTTGCCGACAGAGCGCCGCGGACCCGCGGCCAACTCCGCCGGATACCTGTGTATATGGGACTTCGAGACAATCGGAGTGCTGGCCTCTTCGCTTGCTTGTCAGTCCTGCCCATTCGCTTGCAGCTTCCGCGCGCGCAGGGCTCGAGACCGAGGACGTCTGACCACCTCTGCTCGACTGACGGCGGCTCGTCTGACGCGGTGCTTCGTCTCTTCAGCCAGCCACTTTCTCCCCCCCCCCCGCCCCTCTTCTCGCCCTTGTTGAGTCTCAAGCGTGTGGACAGGACGGTCGAGTTGGGCTGGGGGCGGTCGTGGGGCTGAGGAGAGGAGGGCCGGCTGGCCGAGAGCGCGCGCCCGCGTGGGATATTATGTACTTAGCTAATGGTGTGCAAGTATCGATCGCCCTGAACTAGCGTTTTCTTCGCCGCCGGGATCTGCTGAGCCGGCCATGTGCCCGCGCAAGGACGGACGGGACCAGCCCTCCCCCTACCCGGGAACGTGACCGCCGGCGGATGACTCGGTGTAAGTGAGGCCCGTCGTACAGGGGGCCACCGCCACCTCTTCGCTACTTCGGCGCCTCGATCGCCTCTATAGAGGACAACTGCTCTTTACTTCGTGCACCCCGTGGTCGGCAAAGCCGAACCCCTGCGCGTCGCCCATCTCCGTGCGCTGGTAAACGCCGAACCGGCCCTTCCCATATGCAGGGCAGGGGAATATTAAGGGCGAAAGGGGGGCGGGGATCGTACGCCTATACCCACTCACCCCTTCCGTGTGTCCTAATCCCGAGGTATAGAGCTGCCCGTCTTCTCCCTTCCAGGTGTCCCCGTCGTTCCCGGTAAGTCCACGCCGCCACCGGATGCCAGGCTATTGTGTGTGCATGGTAGGTACCGATTATATAGTGGCCACGATGCTACCCACCCTCCTCGCTCACCGAGAATACTTCTCCAGTCTTTACTACGTACGCCCACGTAGCTGTCCACATCGCCCTGCCAACTTTCTAGCACCTGGGGCCGAGGTCGGCGCGTGCAGCGATAGTGGTTGACTGGCTTGCCTACCATCTACAAGTTTGTGCGACAAGCCCCCCTGAATCTCTCTTTCTCTGGCCCTCTCTATGTGGGCGTGGCGGTTCTGTGTTCGCGATCCGCGTTGCGGCCAGAGCCTCCGGGGCATGGCCAGCGGCCATACGCGCAGCCTGCCGTGTCTGCCTCATCCGGCTGGTAGCCGTCTCTCTTCGGCCCTGCTACCTTGTCATCCGCGCGAGAGACGATGGTCTCCCTTACAGGTGGGGAACCGCTTCCTCCCTTCCTCCCGGCGACGCTGGCCAGTTAAGACCGGGCTCGACTACATGATATGCAAGAAGTGGCTGTTGGCTGGCGCATCTATAGCTCTCGTGGCCTCATCCACGGCCCTACCCAGTTGATCGAGTAGTTTGACGATGGATAGATGGATAGACAGGCGCCGCTGCGCCACTCCTTGGGATGCTGGAAAACGGGCCCTGCCCTCCCCCCCTCCACACCTCTTCTCCCCCTTTGTGTTTTTTCCCTCGAAGGTGTGGGCCAGATATACATATCCCACAAGGACATCTTTTCTTTTCTCTCTTGTTTCGTGATATCATTACATAACATCTATACCGCAACGTGGGCCGGATCAAACCGACCACCCCCGGCGCGTCTCCCGACCCAAGTCTTTCCCGCCTCCTATGTCCTTCTATCGAAAAAAGAAAAAAAAAAAAGAGAATATAGACGTACGTCATCGTACACAAACCTCGGTGGCAGGGGTTACCGTTACTTGTATACCCCCTTCTTTTCTTCCCTCCCCTTTTTTGGATAATGTCGTAACGTCACCTACAGGAACTCGCTCAGTACGGCCACCCGCGTCCTGGCGTCCTCGGTGCCTTGTTCGCCGTCCGCCATTACCTTGAGGATCTGGACCATGCGGGCTGAAGCGTACATGTTAGCATCGGGAGCCGAGACTGGTGAAAAAGTGACGAAAAAGGGGGTGAGAGGTATAGGATGTGGGGCCTAGGTATGTATGCGGGGTGGATAAGGGGGGGAGGTTAAGGCGCCACGTACTTATGTCGGCCCTGGCCCTAGCGAACACGGGGTCTCGGAAGAACTGGTCGGCAGCGGCCGCGGAGGGGTCATGGGCAGCCTCGTGGAGGACGTTGCCGATGCAGAGGGCCTCGAGGAACGCGCGGTGGTGGAAGACCCACCAGACGCGGGCCTCGGTGTCGAAGAGGGTGAAGAGGACAAAAAAGCTGGCGATAGCCTCGTGGGCAGCTTCGAGCGTCGCGCGCACATTAACCGGCACGTCGGCGCTCTCGGACGCGTGCACGAGCATGAGATTGTGGTAGTAGTTGCTGCTGAGGAAGAGCGTCTGCCGCACCGCCCGCTTGTTCGTACACGCGAGCTGTGCGATGCTCTCCTGATCCCACGACCGGAAAACGTCTGGGAAGGACCGGTACACCGCCCGGAAGTCCGCCACCAGCTTCGACTTCTGCCGCTGCGTCGCGCATATCGGCACGTCTAGCGACCGCGGGCTCGAGATCGTCTCCTGCACCAGGTTCGCCAGCATCCAGGTCCCGCGCAGGTACGCGGCATCGGTCAGGTCCGGCTCCGCGCCCGTAGGGTCGTCGACGAAGTCGTCCACCTTGACGTCCGTATGCGTCGCGTTGGGGGGCAGCGAGAGCAGCACGGTGAGGAAGGTGTCCTGGACGAGGACGGCCTGCCAGAGCTTACGCCGCTGTTGCTTTTCGAACGCGCTCCCGTTGGGGATGACTAGAGCCAAGATTTACTTCCCGTCAGCTTCTCGAACCGCTCGCCAACGTAGCCATCGACTATTACGAAGGGCCTACCGAGATTTGGGTCCCTGTGCAGGCCCATCGCATAAGCTTGCCTCACTGCGATTTAACACGTAGCGTTAGTGATCATCTCCCTCCCCCTTAACTTGCGTCCGGTGCCTCCGTAATAGGATATCAGTGTCGCGAGCACTGCTCGATGCGTGCGAAAGCTCCTAGCATTAGTTCCATACGAGAGCCGCAGGCTCCCGGATAGGGGTAGATGGGGTAAAATAGGAGAAGTAGAGACAGTGGGAGGTAGGGGGGGAGGGACGGGGGGACGGGCGCTTGGTGCTGGTGTAATGCGGAAATGCACGTACGTAATAAGCCGGAAAAAGCCCAACCGTCCGAGGCGTGATTGTCGTTGATCAGGAAGTAACCGATCAACACCATAGCCTGGACGGAGCGCAGCGACGCCGTATTCAGGTACGACATCATGCGTAACGCCTGGTTGCCGGCCGAGGCGTAGAATTCGGACGTCTGTTTGCGGTCCCTCGCATTGGTTGTCGAGACAAACTGGGTGCCTAACGCCATCATGGTGAAGAGAAGACCGACGAAGGCGGCGTCGGTCTTCTCGGCGTCCTGCAGCGCCCAGAATTGCTCATATTCGAGGTAGAAGGCGTGGCGGTCTATGATGGGGTAGATGGGGTCCACGCATTCATAGTACTGGCTCAACAAGATGTCGGCCTGTAACTTGTCGGGCAGGACTCCGATGACTTCGGGGAGCCCGCCCTCGCAAGTCCAGTAGTTGGCAAAGGGATGCTCCGCGCCTATCCCGAAGACGTTGAACGCTGTGGGGCGGGATGTAGATACGTTAGAGAGGAGCCCTCTTGACGACGCGACGGACCCACGAGAAGCTGTCCGACCGGATAGCATACCTCTGTCTGCTATATTCGGAACGGCGGGCTTCATTCCACTCATCGTCACCTTTTTCTTTGGCGGCTTTGTCATCCTGCGGCCATTGATAGCCGGCCGCGACGTCTCCCTGGCGCGCCCAGCGTTGATTAGCTGCGGGACTTTGGGAAGGGGGAAAACCCCCCTAAAAAGGGGAGGGGAAGGGAGGGTTGCTTTGTCTTCGCAAAGAGGCGCTTACTCGAGGAGGTTTGCCACATGCGCATACTTGCACTCGGTTTGGCGTTTGATACCTGAAGGCGGGGGGAGGAGGGGAGGAGGGGAGCTATGTTAGCATGCGTCGAAGGGGGGTGCGCCTTAGGCGATACATATAGGTGAAAATGGCTGCAATAGACTAACATGCTAGACAGTGAGGTCGTCCCCTATCGCACTATAGACTCGAGATAGGACATGTCAGCAGCAGGTTCTGGCGCGGAAGCGGGATCGGGGCGGGCAGATGCGGATAAAAAGGAGAGGCGCGAGGGGGCGGCGGCTTGGATCTTGTTCAGCCTGCGACTGACGGGTGCGCGCTGTCGCACGTGGTGCGCACGTCTCCTGCGCGGTGCTACGTGATACCGACGCAGCCGCAGAGGCAGTAGGGAGACGGATTGCACCGACGGCGACGGGGATAGGTATACACAGGCGACGCAGAAATGGGAGGCGGCAGAATGCGATTCGTCGGTGACGCGCACTCCGGCAGAGGGACGAAGAGAGGCATGGCGGGGAGGATGAGAGAGGGGGAAGCGGGAATGACGGAGGAGGCGCCGAGGATCAGCAACTTGCCTTGGTCTTGCGTTCGACGCACTCCTGGCACGAGAGGGTGGGCTTGTTGCGCTTCTGCTTCTTCTTCGCCGGCTCGGCAAAAGGGGGGAGGGCGACACTGCTACCGCTGCTGGCATCGTCGGGTTCCGACTTGGCGCCGCCAAAGAAGAGCTGGCCTGCCGAATCGGGCGAGGCGTACAGTGTGCCTGCGGACGCCGGGGTCAGGATTGCGATTGGCGACAGGCCCGGCGTTGCTGAGGCTGCAGGCGTGCCCACGCTGGGATCTCCAGGCTGTCTTCCTCCGCTGCCGTACGACAAGGCCCGAGAGACCTGCGACGACGACATGCGCATCTACCGTCTGCCTTGGCCTCGCTCTCTCTCGCTCTCGCTCTCGCTCTTCCTCGCTCCACACCGGCTACCTCGCACAAGAAACTGCGTGCGCGGCGAGCCGCTGGCTGCTACGTGGCCCAGAAGGATTCAATTGAGGCTGAAGACGCGGACGGAGGTGGGCGCATCCGGGAATACGAGTCGGGTCGTGGTGGTGGGCTTGTCCTCGAGCTGCCAAGTATGGAGGTAGGTATTTGTAGAGGGAACCAGCCAGGACGGGGGAGGGATGGAGGGAGGGGGGGGGGGGGGGGCGATGCGGCACGGGGGACGGGACGGACGGGAGTGAGAGGAGACAAGAGAGAGAGGTGGGTGTAAGTGTGTAAGTCCAAGTAGGCCAGGAATAGGAACGGTGTAATTAAATTATGGCGATCGATGGAGGGGCACGTTGAAGAAGCCGAGGAAGCCCTGGTCTCTTCTTATTTTTAACTCTTCTTTTTTCTTCCTACCGCCAACTCTCTTGCCTCTCGTGCTTTTCCTGTGCGTCTCCCCTCCTTCACTAGATTTTAAAGGGTTGAATCGGTATTCAGGTTTTCCCCCATCGGAGAGAAAAATTGGAGAAGGTAAAGAGGATGGAGGGAATTGCTTTTTATTTTATTTTTTATTTTTTTCTTAAAGTCAGGGTTTGCAATTGGCAGGGGCACGAGGGGGGCAGGATAAAGAATCCATTAGAACGGTGTAGGCGAATAATGGATGTTATGTATGTGTGCAAGTGTCCCAGTATGGATGGATGGGATGGGTAGAAGGTTAGGGGGGAAGGGAGGGAGGGAGGATGACGATGGATGGAGGCAAGTATCGAATTGTGTTTTTTACAGATGTGGACAAGATAGGGAGGTAGAGAGATGTGTGTGAGTGAGAGAGAGACAGAGACAGAGACAGAGAAGGGAACCAAGTAGGTAAGTAATCAATCATACAGGCATAATAATATTAAAAATAATAACACGCACGCACGCACACAACACACAGACATATCCCTATCGAGATAATCCCCTCCCCCCTTCGTTGCCGATACCTGGTATCCTTCCCTACCAGCCGGCGTCTGAGTCTACGGAGTTGGTTAGCTCGCTGTATGGATATAATATCTACGTGTGTACGGAAATCGGCGGTATTAAATAAACAACGATATATTTATATATGATTACCCATCTGTGTGTGATTCGTCTGGGCAACCCCTGGATCGACTCGTGGTCTTGTTGCTCACATACCGCCCACCTACCTAGGTATCCGGCAACCCACCCGTCCAACCTGTCTCTACCGTACCGACCTACCACATGCATCGAGAGCAGAATACGCACAGATTACATGGTAGACACGCAGGGCGCATCTCGATACTGCCTCCAGGGCAAGGAAAGGAGAGAAAGGCCAAGGAAGAGCCATGCGGGTCAGGCAGCATGGGTAGCCGGGTAGGGCAATGGACAAGCACCTAACTGACTAAAGGCAGTCAACTAACTCGCCAATACTACTGACTCAACTCGACTCTCCCTCGCTCAACCACTCGCTCGCTCCCCTTTTTTTTTTCCCGCAGACTCTTCAGCATCACGTCACCGCCGGTGAGAAAAAAGAATAATGACAGGGATAATCGCCGCCCCAACTAAAGCGTAATTTGGGATCGCTCTGCCGTGAATACACACAGGCTTAAGTGGGGGGTGCCTAGACGAGCTGGCCGTCTCCATCGTGAGTCTAGTCCACGAGCTACCCACATCATGTAGGTAATGACAGACAGGAATGCACATCCAGGTGGAAGCGGTGTCGGCGTATCAGGCTAGGTATGTAATAAGAAGAAGCACATAAACGCGCTACAAATGTGCGAATGTGTGAAGCGGAGAACACGACCCGGCACCATCCTGGACAGGATCCAGCAGTGATCGGATGGAGCCCACCCACCCCTCTCTCTTCAACACGCCCCCCCCCCCCCCTTTCCACCACCCCTCCCTCACCACACACCCCGCAAGCCGTCCAACTAAGCTCTTTAAATGCCGTGGCGCAACAGGGGTCCGGTGCGCGGAGTAGGAATGCTCGATGGAAAGGCGTCGGGCACCGGCATGAACCTGCAGGCACGTTGTGATTGGGAATGCCGAGCACACGCGACGAGGCGATGACCGAGTGAAAACCGGAGTGACTGGCTGGGTGGGGAGGGGGCGGAAAGGGAGAGGAGGGGGATAGCCGGGCGCGGGCTTTGGGCGATTTCTACGCAGGTGTAGGGTACGAGGCGAGCAGAAGAGGAAAATTGCACAACGTGCCCGGCTAGGCACCCCCTAGACGACGGCGGTGGCGACAACGACGGCACGTTCGTTCTACGATTCCTGGCATATCCCGGGCCGGACGGAAGACGGCACGTCACGATCCCAACCTAGATGATATTTTCATCCCTGCTGCTGAGAACCCTCGTCGTCGCGGATGCTCGATGCTGGTTCGCCCATTCCTTCTCCGCATCGTGCCTCTCCTGCCACTCAGTCTCGGCTTACTTCTCGACGTCCAACCCATCCTAGGCATCCGCATCCGCCCCCCCCCCAGAGTCTGATGACCCAATCCTGGGGTTTTCGATCGACGTCGTCTTCGCTAACCCGGTCTAGACCGAGGGTTACGTCAATGCACTCGTGGCGTCGCAGCGTGCGGGTTGGAGTTGGTTGGGTCGTATATGCTTATGCCATGGATTTCATCCAGAGCAATTACTAAGACTTCTAGAAACAGGACGCCCCCTCCCTCCACCTCGGCCGACGGCCCTGCCAATCCTGCATGGGGAGCGGCAGTGTCGTGGCATGTCATCCGCGAACAACTTCGCATCCTCACCTTCGCCTACCGCCTTTGCGAGCCGTAACGGAGTAGCGACCACCACCGTCTCGGCATGTAGAACCTCTACGCATGTACGCCGCTTTGCCTGCGTATACGTAGGTACGTATGTAAGACCCCATAAGAGTACTCTCGTGGGCATTGCTGCACACAGAGCTCTAGTCTTGACTCGTTTTTCTGCCCTTTCTTTAAAATAAAAACTACGCCCTCGTCATGTTTGGTTTGTACGGGGTCTGTTGCCGGCCGTGTCAAATCCCGCCGCATTATCGTCTGATCGCGGAAGGGCGCTCTATAGCTTCTTCAGGTAATCAGTTCCAAGAGCCAAGGAACGTCGTCCCGGCGATCTGGTACTATGAAGGCGGCATCGCTGCATGTCATGCCAGCGGTAAACCACCGGCTCGTCGTATTGAGGGGAGTGTGAGGGGAACTAATGGAGGCCGGCCTGACCCCGAGTCAGATTCCGCATCATCTTGGTGGTGACTAAGGGGATCGACGAGGACGAAAGGGCAGGGTCGGACTCCTTACTCAGCGTTCTAAAAACAAAACACCATGACTATGGACCACATAACCCCGTCCGGCGGGGTGGGTGCTTATCCGTGGTCCCGAATAACCTCAAGTATAGTCCGGATCGATCGCGTTGTGTTGCCTCGGATGTCACTCCGAGGGCGGAATACCTCCAAATCGTTATTAATATAGGGCGGAGTCAATATTTACAGATTAGTGAACAGTGGTCATGCCAAGGTCAGGCACCATAGGTAATTGATCCTGCGTAAGACGACCGTTACTGTCACGTCCCACATCCTAACTAATACTACGATCCAGGCATGCCTCGACCGAGTTTTGCATCTTCTCTCCCTCTCCCCCTCTCTCCGACGGCAACGGCATCCAGTCGACCGTCTACTCAGTCACCGGCGCACCTTTTGGGGACCAAATGCGGTCCTGCCGGTCACCAGCCGTGCTGGAACCCATCTCGATGTAACCGCGCCATGAACCAATCGCAGCGTAGCTACAGCTCAAACACCGCTGTCAGCCGTCCCATACACTCTTAACAGATTCGACCAGGTATCCGTCGGGGTCTTCCGCCACCCACCCATGTATTGGAATATATCGGCATCTGGGCCGCGGAGATGGGAGAGGCACGCCCATTTGGAGGCCTTTGTCACCAGAGATATCTGCGTACTAAACCAAACAGGCAGTTCGTCGTATGTCGCCTTCCTTCATTCCGATAACTGTTCCCATTTCTCACAACCCAGGGTCATGCCTTGAAGGCCTGAAAGAGGTGAAATCGGCGGGCTCCACGGATTACGGTCTTCGCCAGGGGGGGAGCGCGTATGAGAAGAATCCAGAACCCGAGGCCACGAGTTCAGCTAGGCCGCGTCGGGGACAGCAAGGGACAGCTATGAGATGATGGTCGCATTCTCTCAAACTCTCCGAGAACTTTGTTGGCAATCCAACCTTTCGATTCCACGGAGAAACGTCTACGCAGTCGCATAATACCTGATTATACGACTAGCGGTGCAGGAATCATGGCCCTCGTGCGTATTACATTCCCGTTCAAGAGAGAAGGATGACTGTGGCTTGAAGCGGGACTATCCACGGCTGTCCGGAGTGACGAGTGATGCCCATTGCGTCTTTTTACCCATTGGCTACCACCCGGTATGAGATGGCGCCTCTGCATAGATATACTAAGAATTATCGCATTCTCTTAATGTTGGCAGTTATGACATGGATAGAACCTACCAGGTGCTGGCCCAGGCCGGTTCCCGCACTTAACGCCGACATGCGGCCGCGTATTAATATATGAATCCCGTGTCGACGAGCAACAAAATCATATGTTTTGACAAGGCTTATAAGTATGACCTGCAGCAAGAGAATGAAAAGAAAAGGTAGAGAGGCAGAGCGCTAAGTAGCGGTCGAGATACGGTTGTTCAACGGCATCATCCCCATTCAACGCCTCCCCGGGTCGGTCCCGAATGCCCTCGGCAGCATCTGAAGGAAGGCCGCACTGCCCATTCTCGATCGATTCGCGAGCCTCGAACAAAAATAAACATCGTGCATACGCAGTACCCCTACCTAGAGACTTAACACGCGTTGTTACCTACCAGTTCTTCAATAAGCAGTGTTTATATGACTCCAGGAGTGCGGTCTTGCGGGCTTGCCACCGAAGCCACGAGACGCATGAAGATCGCGGCGCATCAACGACCTAGGTTAGAAAAGACGATGCCGAGTTTATTCCGGTATAATAGAATGTCTATCTATAGACCCCCAGGACCCTGTCGGGTTTTGCCCAGACGTATAGGTGTTGTTAGCTAACAGACATGGATATGGAGACTGTCGGTGAAGTGAAAGCCACCTTGGGTGTCTCCTAGATGGAGTTGAACATATTATTGCCACATCCCTTAGCGACCAGCCACATGCATGTGAGCAAAGTCATACTCACGGTGGAACTAATATTCTTACATTTATCGACAGTTGCATGCCCTGATCCGTCATCATATGATCTAACACCTCCTCGTGCTTATTATTAGTTCAGGCCGAGCTCATCAGCCGCCGCAGGCTTGAGATTTGTATGAACCTCAAGCCCCTAGGCAAAACAATGGGTACTGCGGATCGATCCCGAATACGGGATATCTATGTGAGGCGAGCAGCTAAGAGGGCTAGAAGAGAGCATAGATGATAAGCGTAATAGAGGTTACTATACATATTCTTAGTAACCAACCCTATTCATAGCCACGTCTTACACCTAGCAACGTACGCCTTTCGGCCCCTACGTACCGTCGCGAGAATTCACATTATTGAGCTAATATCGTGTAGGCGATCCTACCTATATAAGCCTATAATATCTATAATAGGTAGAGGGACCGTGGATTTCAGACCCAGGTCTCCGACAACCCACCCGAGTGCAATGGAAGTCACTGGTTCGTTACGAGCTCTACGTCAAGTCGTAGAATATAGGCGTCTACGCTTTGCGCAACAGCTAACTTGATACTATTGTAGTATTGTTGTATCTCAAATGCGAACTACTTGGCGATCCAAATCACCAACTCTAATACACTTCATTCACAACTCGAATTTGCTTTTGACAACTCTGTGTGATCCTATTCCGTGCCTGGCGACGTTGAATCGAACTCATTAGGGGCTAGAACGAGTTAAAAGTCATCCCTAGAGACATTCATGAACAATGAGAACATTGTGGGCCACAACACTTGTATTATCCAGAATGTATCGGCTCTATTGTCCTTCGAACGACACGGTAATTCACAAAGACGTTTTGGCCAAAGAAGGTGGTGATTTTTGAAATGCATTGTGAAGTTGAGTCGGCGTAAATAGAACTAATCCTACAATGTCTCAATAGCATTGTTCAGGGTATGCGTGTTTCCGCAGCGTCTCAGAGAGGTACAAATATGGGTTAAGAATATCTTCTTACTCCTTTTCCTAGGCATCTACTCAGCAGACACGAACCGCGAATTAGCTAAACCAACGGAATATCCAGGAGTATTAGCATCCAACCAAAAAAGACACCACCCCGAGTCTCCTAATCTACTCTACCAAAGAATATGTCGACGAACAACGGTAACAACAGCAGTGCCCAGGGTGGCGGCAACTATAGCGCCCAAGGTGGCCAGGGCAACCAGGGAGGCACCGCGTCCGGCGGAGATAACAAACCACTTCCCGATGGAGGCTACGGCGGAAGCACTTCGGTTAAGAGAAGTGCCCCCATCGATATCCCTCAGAAGGACGACAACAAGGACTGGTGCGGATCGGACGTCCCGTCCTGCATACGCTCGCCGAAGCACCCCTAAGGTAAGGCCCAGTTCGCCTCACTACCCTCTCGACGGCAGCGGCTCGCTGAGGGCGGGCGTACCTATAAGACGCCCCAGACAGACCGGCTCGGAATAGGGGAAGTTGAGGATGGACACTTACACGTACACACAACACACGACAATGTCATAGGCGAATTACACATTTCCTACCACGTCCTCTCCTCCAAGACTAGTTAGTGTTTGCAATGTGATTAGTAGCGACTTGAACGGCCTTAGGAGCGTAGAGTTGGCATTCTCCTGTGTCACAAAATCAGTAATACCCCGAACCAAAAGTAGCCAAGTGAAAACGTTCTCGCGGAACAGCCGTGCTTGTCCGGAACAACGGTGCCGTTCACGCTCACCTCCGCTCAACCGGTCCGGTTCCGCAACACTAAGTCGGCTTCGGAACACAGGGAAACGACCCGGCGGGTTCTGGAACAGCCCCACCCGTGCGATCTGAATGCCGCCGATTAAAAGGAAACGGGGGGGGACCGGGGTGGGGAATGGCTATCGGCTGGAGGTGTGGTTCGATACTCGCTGTCGTGAGCTTGAGAGTAACCCCTTTACCACCCTTAGTCTGTCTCCTTAAGAGTAAATTGAAGAAAGCTTAACTGAGTAGCGAGGAAAAGAAACCTGATATGGCATTCAACAGTTCGGGCTCGTCCTCCTCCTCCCCCCGGGGTCCGGGCTCGGGCCGCGCCTCGGGCTCGTCCCAGCCCTCGAGGCGCCCCTTCTGGCGATCTTCCGGCTCCACCACCACCCAAAGCCGCGCCACACCCTCGTCGGATCTGCAGGCGCCTTCCCGCACCCCCGGCTTCACGAGCACGGTCAGCGCCTTCGACGAGCTCTCGCACAACTTCCGCCAGGCCCTCTCCCTCAGCCGGCTGCGCATGCGCCTGCGGCGGCGGCGGCGGCGGCGGCGAGGCCAGCGGTCTTCGTCGTCGTCGTCGTCGTCGCGCGGGTCTCGCGGCTCCGGCACCAGCAGCGGCAGCGGCAGCGGCACCAGCGGCACGAGCCTCTCGACGAAGCGCGAGATGGCGTCCACGCCGGCGCAGCACGCCCTCATGCTGGCGCTGCGCGCGCGCGCGCGCCAGCTCCACGAGCAGCGTCGCGACGTGCCGCTGGGCGAGCTGCGGCAGCTCGCCGCGCTCGAGGGCGTGCGGTTAAGCCCGTGGGCCGTCGGCGAGAAGCCCGAGCCCGGGCCGGGGGACTTGGTGAGGCCGCTGATCGCGCGGCTGGGGCGGGTCGAGGGGGACGAGCTCGACGAGGAGGAGGGCGGCGCCGGCGGCGCCGGCGGCAGCAATGACGCGGAAGCCGGAGCCGGAATAAGCGGCGGCGCCAGCGGCGGCAAGGATAAGTCCGGCAGCGGCGGCGGCGCAGAAAAACGAGGAGACAGGATAGGGAGGAGGGAGGATAGGAAAGAGGCGATCAGGCGAGCGAGGGAGAAGCGGAGCGGGAGCAGAAAAGCCGAAGGCGAGGCAGACGAGCCCCCCCGCTACTACTACTACTTCCTCGGGTTCGACGGCTACTTCTACCGCGGCGGGGACCGGCTCGGGCGCGGGACGGACCTCGAGTTCGTCGTCGACACGCGGGTCCCGTTCGGCCTCCGGGTCCTGTCCCACTCGTACCGGCAGCTGTGCCGCCACGGGTCGCCCGTAGCCCACATGGGCGCTGTCGCCAACTTTTCCCCGGCGACAAAGGTAAATGCGTAAGTGCGCTAGTGCGCGATAGTACCAAGGCCGCCAGAACACGGTATAAAGTTAGCGAGAGGGCGCGCGGGAGCAAGGGGGCAAAACAAAGGAAAGGTAGGTCAGCGTAAACGTGGGCGTCCCGTCTCTTTGTGCTCCGGACAGGCACAGGGGCTTGAGCTCGAACTCGCGAGTCGACACGCTTAGTTGTAACTGGGTTCGCACACGGGACCTAAATACCTAGTAGTCAGGTTGGCAAGAGGGGTTTGGGTAGGCACTGTTTTGGTAAGCATTATTATTACATCTTACGTACGCCCTTGGTCTCTGTACACACATCATATATTCTATCTCTGGTCAGCCATCTATGACGTTGGGTAGATCTTACCTATCATGTGCCTAGCTTAGTCCGAATTACAAGCATTCGACACCGAATGCACGCAAATCTCAAGGCGTCTCTTCTCTCCTTTCTTGTCGGTCCAAATCGCTGTGGGCCCCAGTTAAACTAGGCGGCGCCTGTCTTTTCACACTTGGCTACCTCGGGGTAGGAAACTTGACCTTTAGGGTGGCGTCAGGAACTCTAGGATCGTCAAACGTCGTGCCCGGGTCGGCCGGGTTTGTCTTTGAACGGCTAATATTTGGCATTAGCGACTCGATAGCAGAATGATTAACTTACTTCAGGTAACAGGTGTCGGGCCCTGATCGGGGAATGGGAGCTCAGATTAAAGTGAATAAGTAACCTAACGTGCTGAGATGTGGCTGGTGAGGTGTGTCGTTGCGGAGTGTCCTTCTGCCTCGTATTTATGATCAGACAATCCCGTTGACGGCAAGCATAAGAAAGGGGTTCTTAACAATGAATAAAGAAACCCGAGCTCGCCGGCTTTGTCCATCGGTTCGGCCAGAACAAGACCGCTGCTTTGTCGCGACGAGTGTTCTCTTCTCTCATTGACTAACTAGCTTGCTTATTAGGGTATTCAGCATTACCTTCTTACATACCGGTTTTCTCAGCACTTGCCTCTCATCGTATCGATGTAAGCAGGCTCAAGAAATGATCTCGGTTTGTTTGTTCCTCGCTGCTTTCAGGGGGATACCGTCTTGATCGAAAGGGATCCGGTCAAGCCAGAATGAAGCAGAGAAATAGGGTTTCTGACCAACACACCCCTGGCTTAAAAAGCCGTAAGGTGCACAATCCAGCATAAAATTACAGGAGATCTATCTATTTAGCCCAGAATCCCAGACTGAGGTTCCCCTCTGAGAGCCTTGTGATAGTCCTATAGCCTCCCCTCTCTCCTAGCCCCCTGAAGAGGGTTTTGCGTTCACCGCGAAGCTTCTTCCATATCGTTGCCTGTCCATACAGGCCCAAACAACAGAAAAAAAATGCCTTGCGAATTCTTTCACACGATGCCATGTTTGGACACGATCACCCGAGGGGTAGACGCAGCCAGCCACCAATCCGGATCCGTTCAGCATCCATTCCCCTTTTCCCGGATAAAAAGAGTGTAATTACGTGGCTCGTAAAATGGTAGCGCGCCGGTGTCTAGTCCGCCCTCGCGTTCTACGCAGCACTCACTGATTTCGAGGGACGTCGCCCCACCACAAGATCCAGATGAGGACCCAGATGGGCGGGACCGACCGTATCGGCGTCATGATCAAGTGCGCCTGTCCCCTCCACCAAATTGACCCATAAACCAACGTAACGGACCGGCAGATGAGCCTCTGTTATTACGGGTCCTATCGCCGTGACCTGAACGATGGCGGTTGGGTGGGCTTTGTGGTCTCGGCGGCTGCGCTGGAGCTCCATAGTATCCCGGAGGAGAAGGGGGACGTTGCTGATATTCGGGATGTCGACTGGAGAAGCCGGTTTGGTCGGCTCCCCTTCGCTCCGCTCGGGGTCGGACTCGGGCCTGGGCACGGGAGGAGGATGGAGCGCTGGCCGACTCGGGTTGCATGGCCTCAGCTGCGCCTCCGGGGTGACCGGCAGCCTCGCCGTCAATCGGCGCGCGGCAGATAGGACACGTATTGTGTTGCTTTAGCCACAAGACAACGCATTCTTCGTGAAACCAATGCCTGCACGGCAAAACAACAACCTCATCCCCCACCGCCATGTCATCAATACAGATAGTGCACTCGCCCTTCAGCTCGGATCCGAGCATCTGCTCATTCAATTTCTTTTTGGGGAGCGTTGCGATCGCTTCCTCCGAAGCAGGCGCTGGCGCGTTCGATTGAGGATTGGCTTCCATTAAATTCGTGATAATTCGGTCGAGCGCTTCTTGAGAGTAGACTGCGTCGCCATGCATCGTGTGGGGATCGAACATGGTCATCATCAGGTGGCCCAACATTCTCGAGAAATCAGGGGGTTGGCGGGTGTCAGGATCCGCAGGAGTCGGATTTACACCTCCAAGAAAGTCTCTCAGCGTACTATAGCATTGATTAGCATCGATCGGTGGACTTAGTTAGAAGTTACTAGTAAGAATCCGAAACGAAATACATTGAATCGTTATACCGTACCTTTGAAAAGGATCCTCGCCCTCCGTCCCAGCGCCTAGTCCGGAGGGACTCCTTCCCGAGCCGGTGGTAAATGTGAAGCTTCTGACGCCAGTGCCGCCGTTGCTTCCGATATTGGAAAGCGTGTGGAATTGAACTCGGTGAGGGCCGCCAAATAACGTTTCCGGGCCTGATCGACCGAACGTAGTACGACCACCGATGCCGTCCATCATCTCGGTAAATCTGCGTATTATCTGCTCGGGATTATCGGGAATCGCTCTCGTCTCGTGCCCGGCATCCTGCGGATAGGGAGGCCGGAAAGCGGGCCGGCTGTTTAAGAATGGTCCGGGGTCATTCATAAAATGCTCCTCGACATCTTCCTCCTCGGGATCGGAATCGGTATCATGAAAAAGATAACGGGGGCGGCGTGGGGGGCCAAACATTGGTTCATATTCGATTCGGGGGTCATTCTCAGGGGATACCTAGCTATTCATTAGCATATGTGCGAGACAAGTTGTGTCTACTAACGTACAATCTCGGTAATATCACCCTGACATAGAGGACAGATCAAGGTACCGCGAGGGCCGTCCCTGTACCACTCATGCTGACATGCGTGGCAGTAGACGACCTCGAGACCATGAACCGCATCTAGGTGGAGATTTCTAGACGCCATCTGGCCTTGCCTGGATCGTTGATAGGTGGCTAAGGCAGTGAGACCAAGGCCAACTGCTAGGCCGGCTGCTCGGATCGCGCGAGACGCCAGAGTGATATATCAACGTACGAAACCAGAATGTTGGCGGTTTGGCGAGAGGGGGGCCTCTACCCACCACGGGAAGACGGTCGGATTGAATAGCTTGGGGGGTGAATAACGAGCAAAGTGATGAAGGTGGTCAGGCTAGGTAAGGCTGGCAGGGTGATGGTGGTAATTATTGTTAGGGCAACCGCAAACCTTTGGCCCGTTGGATGCGACAGTGCGGGCTGATGGGGGGTTGTAGGGTTGCATGCGGGACTGCTCGAGGTAATACCAAGGAGGCAATAATGCGGATTTCGGGCTTTGTTATTCAGGTTGCGGAGTGGACTGAATGACTACCCTACTGAAGAGCTGAATACCTATAGGCAAGTCATAATAGGTTAGCAGGCCATAAGGGAGGTGGCCGTGGCCGGGGTGACGAGGCGTAGGGACCGTAGAGAGCGCGCGTTGCAGGGCGATGGCGAGGCAAGTAAATGTGTCAAAGATGTGTTGGGCTACGGACCGTGGGCAAACGCACAGCTGAGAGAGTCTAGAGGGATCGGGTTGTGGGCCAGGGCCCGTCCATGAGGCAGGCAGGACGAAGCTGATGCTTGAACTCCGGGGGTTCGCCTCAATCTTGTGCGTTTGGAGGCCTTGGCCAGGCACGTAGGTATGTGGGATGTGGTGCTGCGAAGGTGGGCGCTCCGTAGAGGATGATGCGAGGATTTGAGGACAAAAAGGAGTAGATGTTCAACCTATTCATCACAGGTCATGAGCTGTCTAAGTAACTTGCTGTCGTCATTTCCACCCAGGTGCCTCGCCGCCGGCGGATTCGCAAGGAACCTTCCATCTACGTATCTGTACATTCCCACCCAAGCGAGGCCAGGTACCGTATTGAGTGAATGGTTGTCAATCAGACTCCAGATTAAGGGGTTGGGCCACTGCCCAGGTACATAAGCCCCGCACGTCATTCAATACTAAGATACATCTTTGTATGACATTTCTACGTAGAGAGTACATGCTCCGCTGGCCCCCGTCCCCCCAGGGACCTACAGGCTACCTGGTCCACGGAACCAGCGGGTACCTACCTAATGTATCTATGGGTGCAGAACCATAACAGCCAGCACCTGCCAGTGGGGACATCCGCAACAATCCGAGTCTACTTAAAGCCAGGCGCAGATATCCAGGTTTACCATATAACATACCTACAGTGTGGTAGAGGTATCGGCATCTTCGGTCTGCAGCCTTCTCTGCTCTCTTCAATTAGGTAAGCTTTAGGTACCTTCCATCTTGTGGGGCGGTGGGAAACAGCTGCATTAGGTGCGCGCGTTGTGGGCAGCGCCCTGGAACTACCTAACAGCTAACAGTGGGCGCGGACCTCGCCATCCCATTGCCTGTCTGTCTCGTGACTTATTGCCGTTGTCATTGCCTCCCGTCCGGATCGCCTCACTTCCTGGACATGCCTTAGGTGCATACTTCACAGCTGTCTCGCCACAACGGTTTAACTGGGTATTTTCATCAGCATCTGCGCGTAAAGGAGTCCGGTCTTGAGGTTTATAACATTACTTAATCCCAACCTGTATCGACCTGCGGAAGAGGACGGAGCTCTCATTACCTAGCTCATCCGTTTGAGAATGTATCTACCCCGTGTAAACAAACAAACAATGAATGGGGACATGTTCCTCCCACGCCAGCCGGTGCGAACGCCTTCATAACGAACTCTCCCCCAATATAACGTTGAGGTCCCCCTTCTCAACTGTCTTGACCCGTCTCTATCGTCTTCTACCCCGGAACAGAATTCCTCCCACCACGCCGGCGGCGATGGCAACACCGCTGATGATCGCGACACCCACCAAGCCCTCCTTGGTGACTTTGTCGTCGATGAGCTTGCGCAAGTCTGTCGCTTGGTGATTCCCCGGTTCCTTATCCATGAGCAAATCGTTATAGCGTCTTGCTTCGCCATAGTTGCCGAGCTTGTAGTTCCCTAGGGCAAGGTAGTAGAGACATTCGCGACGGCGCTCCGGCGCCACTCGGAATATCTCCGAAAGTAAGCGAACACCCGTCTGTTGGTCGGACCGGGAGTTGGATTTTAGCAGGCCCTGCGAGGGAGAGTAAGCGGATGAATATCCAAGGGAGCCCCAAGTCTCTCTTGCCCCCCTCCCCCCCATCGTGTCTCCTGCTCCTAGAAAAAAAATTCTGAGTTGACCCACCCATGCATAGTTGAATTTCGTCTGGACACCAGCCATATCACCCTCTTTTTCATATTGCGCTCGCAAGATGTCGAATTCGGGTCCCCTCAAGGGGCTGTTCAGACACATAAGCTTCCAGGACAGTATTCAAGGGCATATATACCATACGTTTCCACGTCGACGGCACCTAGTAGGGAAGGCAAGCAGCCGGATTAGCACGGGTCCACTGTTCGCAGGAGGGGCAACCGGGTGAAGGGTCCCAGAGAGTGGTGAACTCACTTGGTAGCGCTGTCATCTCGGCTCGGTCGGGTTGATTTTTGTAGCAAAGGATCCGAGGTAGAGAGCGTCGAGAGAGCGAGCAGGCGATTTGCAGGCGATAGGGGGCGCGTAGGGTGTGATTTCAACACGATCTTTGGGGGGGAGGAAGAAGGAAGGTTCGGCGTTGTGTGCCTGCAGGTATTTACAGTGGCAGAAAGAAAGAATCGAATTGTGGCGGAAGCTTCTGAGCGGCCTGAGAGACAGTACCAGGTGTGGCGCTAATGACGCAGAGATAGGGCGCACATCAGGAGGAAAAGCATGTACCGCCGTCTAAGATTGCCTCTTATTAAGGAGGGGCTTGCATCACAGGTTACCTCCTATAAAGGTCCGCACCTTAGTAAGACAGGTAACCACATGGTACCTCCCGGTGCCTCGGCAGGAGGGGGTTAGGTACCTAAGCCACCAGGAGTAGGTATACCTAGGTACCTACTGAGGCACCCTTCGATACAAGCAGCCAGTCATTTCCCCCAACGACTTCACGGACGTGATGCCCCTCGCCTGCCCCCCCATCTACATCGTATGCGGGGTTCTGCCAGCACTTGCACATTTGGAGCGAAGCATCTGACCTCAAGTTATAGTAGTCTCTGCCTCTGCCCGCAATCTGTGTCACCTGCGACTCGTCATTTCGTGTTCCGCTCCATAACTCGACCTGCCCACCCAGTTTCGAACCAGTCCTTGCTAAACCCGCAGCATTCAAGCGCCTACCTACCGATGCTGCTATCACGAGAATAAGCGCCTACATCTAGTAACCGCCTAGCGGCCGAAGTGATGAAATCGCCTAGTTACAGGATCCTCAACGGCAGGTATAGCATTGTCCCACATAACCCGTACAAATGCCCCTGAGATGGCGTGGAAGCTAAGACAGCGCCCGAGAACTTAGGCCGTCGACGTAATTTAACGCCCCGGCTCTATAACAAGCCTTCGTTCGGGTCACGACCAACGACGCGTTTCTATCCATGCGGACCCTCCTATCATCCAACTACCTGCGTATCTGCGTCAGAGGGTCCAAGACAGGTCAGGGGTTCTCAGGGATACAGCGTGTCCATTCTGGGGAACGGATACTGTCATTTCTCCTCCAGTCGGGCCAACGTCGACATGCGGCCACTTAAGGCACATGAGACATTTCCAGTTCAGGACGAAAACCCTAAGTTATATCAAGCTTGCAAACTGCATACTTGCCTAAGCGCCCATCGTGCTAAGAGATATCAATTACTCTTTAACGACATTGCCGATATCGGACGCCACCCCACATCCTAGCAACCCAACCCAGGCGTAGGTAACGCACGGATTTGTAGGATACGCCCATAATGGCTTCTCGCAAGCAAGGCATAACTCGCTGTACGTCAAGGACGCGCCTATCATGCTCGTCTTGGTGTACTCCGGTAAGATATCGATGCTTAGGACCGGTTCCTTCATGGGAAGAACCTCGATGCTTATCCCGAGTTAGCAGCTAACCTCTATAGCCCAGCTCATCTTTGTTAAACTACCTAAAGTAACCTACCTAGGTAGATACTTCGGCGTATGTTGGTATATAACCCTAAAGGCTTTCTTAGCAACAAGTAGGTAGGTAGGTAGGTAGGTATGCGCACGTAATACAAGAGAAAGAGACTTAGGATACACAAATCTATAAAACCCGGCAGCGAGAATAATGATTTCCCATTGGTAATCCTGTGCGACGCGGGGCCTATCAGCCCGCTGGCTGCGATGCCGCTGACTCATCACCGCCAGCGACTTGCTTACCTAACATTGATTGTCGTCGCGGTGACGCCACCATTTGTTTTGTCTACTGCCCCATTTAGCCCAATTGGCAGTAGGTAATCCGTATCATTCGGCCTGCGACAGCGCTCACGAGTCCAAGACAACTCTATCTCGGCAGCTCCGAGCACAGCATCGCGCTCTAGAAGAACCAGACCTGAGCATTGAGCCGCATTCTGTTCCCATATTGACAACGATATCTATACCTATACCGCCAACCCTATCCCTACGCAACTAGGTTTGATCAACCACCATGCTTCTCGACGAGGATCCGGCTACTGTATATCTACCTATCCCCCCCCCCAATATTCGATATCCTTCCAGGCATCATAGCGCGTAACATACTAACGCAGCGCAGCTGATCAGCCACACGATCAACAACTTCAACATAGCGCCCGACAAAGCCGCCGTCTCGCGCGTCACCGACTCTATATCTACCCTGCGACAAGCGCGAGAGCTGCGAATCAAAGATGCGGAAGCGACGCTGAAGAGTACGCCGACCCTCCCCCTCCCTCCTCAGATCCGAACCCCGTTCTCCTTGTACACGCACACTCTTGCTCCCTTCTCCCGCCGACGACTCGAGAATACTGGTAAGCAGACAGGCTAACGCGAGGGCCAGAGCTCGTGCGGACGGTGGGCACGCTGCAGGCGCAGCACGAGGAGCTGGCGGCGGCGCACTCGTCGGCGGCGCACGCGTCGGAGATCTCGCGGCTGGACACGCAGAAGTTCCGGATCGCGAAGGCGGTGTCGGACCTGGAGATGGAGGCGGAGCGGCTGGCGGCGACGCGGGCCGACCTGGCGGCGCGCCTGCAGGAGCTCGAGATCCAGGGCGTCGAGGGCGGCGTCGAGGAGGAGGCGGCCCGCCGCCGCCGCGCCGCCGCCGCCCCCGACCTCCTCGACGACGAGGTCCTCCTCCGCCTCAAGGTCTACCGCAGCCTCGGCATCGACCTCGAGCGCGGCGACGGCCCCGACGGCGAGTTTTCCCGCGCCGTCGTCCGCAACGACCGCAAGGGCGATGTCCACGTCGTCAACCTCGACAAGAAGTTCTCCCGCTTCTTCTACGCCAACTACTTCTGGCAGACTCTCTGAAAAGAGAAGGGGAACCAGAGAAGGGGACCGCAACCCCCCCCCCCCCCTCTCTCTCTTTCGCGTAGATAAGACGGGCAAGCTGACTTGGGTCACTGCAATGAGAATATCCGGGGGAAAAGCTACACTGGGTTAGATGGCGTCAATGGCGTTAGCAGCTGGGATACTATCGTATAAAATTTCCGGAGGGAGCGGGGTTTGGTTCCCGTATAAATGCAAGATATTGTTCAAAAGCATGAGCTATGGGAAATGTCATTGAATTCCCGACTGTTCAGAATGGCGATGGATAATTGACCAACCGAACCTAACCTATACATTGTTGACCTCCATGGACTCTTTTTTTCCCCTCGTCCTAAACCCGGTCGGGTCCCTCCCCGGAAAACGCCTTATAGAAAAAACCGGATAGGAGTTCCTGTTATAATTGCCACACAGAACACCAAACTACTACAATAGCCAACCAGGTAGTAATTGCGCCCATCGTTTTCTTTTTGGGTCTTTAGTCTATTTTCCCTTTGATAATTCCGGGTTCCATTCGGGTTCCATTTTGTCCATTATCTCTTCATCTTCCAGGACCGGCATGTTGTTCGACTGCATGTCGTCCTGGAGGGGAAAGTATTCATCCTGGTCGAGCTTCGAAAAGCTATAAGGCCTAGTTTTTGTGGGCGTCCGGGACCTCGAACTGTTGGCTGACGTGTACGTCCGTCGGCCCTCTTCGGGACTAGGGATCGCTGTCGTGAAGAGGGCCTCCGCGGTGTGCGGGGAGAGCCCGGGTTTCCTGGACAGCAGGACGCCGCCGCTCCGGGATCTGAAGTGGTGGCGACGGTCGAGGATCCGCAGCCGGGAGTTGAGGTTGTACCACTGCTGGTCGGCGGCAGCATCGGCTTCGACCTCCACGTTGTCTAGGCGCCACCCGCCCACGCCCTCAAAGTCTCTTTCGAGCTCGATGCCGGGCGTCAGGCTGAACCCGTTCAGGCCGCCCATCGACGTTGTAGAGCCGCTACTAAGGCTGCCGCTGGTCCGTCTCTTGTGCCGGCGCGTGCTCGGGGAAGAGGGCGGCGAGAAGGGCTCGGGCGACGCCGGCGCTATTACCAATGGAGTGCGCTGCGATGACGACGTCCTCATAGAGCGGGCCTGCGCCGCGTTGCCGAGAACCACATACCGCAGCGTCTCCAGCCCAACGTCGAGGTACACGAGGAACAGGCGCAGGAACAAGACCATGAAAGCCATCATAGTCGTCACGCCGGCGCAGAGGGCGAGGGGGAGGGCGACGAGAAAGACGAAGGGGAATATGAGGAATTGAAGGGGATTGAAGATCGCCATTGGGGAAATGTAACGACAAAAGGCGTTAATGTAGGCCTAATACAGCTTGGTCGACCGAGACACGGTTTACATGATTTAGGATAGGTATAACCGATAGATCCGGGTACCTATCAGTTCACATCATGATCGATGCGGAAACGAGACCTGTACGTTGCAGTCGATCACTCCAACTCAACGGATATTGATGGGCTTAGGGGAGCTAGAGGCGAGAGAGAGAGAGAGCTAGATAAAGCGCTCCAGATGGTTAAGCAGTAGGCGACGATAGCGAGAGGGGGAGATGAGAGAGGGGAAGGGGAAGAAGAAGAGAGGTAGATATCAACAGGGAAATATGCACAGCTGTAATCAGAGAAACACCAGATTATTACACAACCGTCGTCAGTCGTTCGACTGTCTGCATGATAAGCCTGCGTAGCGTAGTAATAACAATGGCCGTGGTTGCAGCTGTACATATAGTTGCAGAGTAGTGGTCGCAGGAGTTGTTGCAGTATCGCATGCCCTCTTCTAATGCCGGCGTGCAGCTGCTAGGAGAGGCTTGGATACGACCTTGAATCCAGTCTAGCATTGTTGCGCCTTACAGTACCTACAGCGTGGGGGGAGCTTATGCGCATTCTATAGGTACTCTCACGTGCGGAGAGAGGTCGAGTCAGGCTCCTGGTTTTAAACGGATTCTCGGTTAATCACATCAGATGGTAAGCGGTACCGAGTAGGAAGTACCTATGGTGCCTAAATATCGCTGAAGTAAGGGCGGTAATGCATCTAGGGTACAAGGCATCGTCTAGCATGTCGAATAAATGCCTACATAAAACGTACAAAACTTTCATGGCCCGCCTAATCCGACTAACACTGGAACCTCCGGTTGAGAGAACTGAGGCTATCCCAGAGCCCACTATTTCAAGATTCGAAAACTGAATGACCCCGTTTTGACTACCTAAAATCTACGTTTACTTACGCTAGCGACAGCAAGCAAAGAGTCTCATTTCACATTTCACTGCATCATATAAGCATATATGCAGTCATCTTCGACATCTTTCTACCTACTTTCATCTGCTTATGTTTACCAACTCAACGTCAGTATCTCTGGGTGCAGATCGCATGAATGGCTGGTTGATCGAAGGTGGATGAGACGACCGAGCTCCATGGTGTTCTGTTCCACCCGCGAACCCTCCCCGCAAGCCGCCCAGCGACCCCATGTGCTGATCTAAATTCAGATTGGGAAAGTCGGGGTCATACCTATCGAGATCCGAGTTCCCCAAACCCTACCTCGGACTTGCGCCTAGGCTTCTGCTGGATGCGTGACGATCTTCAACGGTCTTCAACGGTGAGAGCTTTGCGCCTTGAACGCGCCATACCCCTAGAGGCGTCTACCCGTGGATGCAGGCCATTCGTCGTCTCGCCTTTACTGCAGAGGAGGACGCCTAGACGCCGGCCTGTGTTGGCGTTGACGTCCTGAACCGATGTGTCAACATCATTCGGGAGAATCTCAACCCTCCCGTCCTGCAGGGGCGTCAGCGGCGCACGATGACTCGGATACTCCCCTAGAGCCCTTTCCCTGGGACGCAGGGGTGTTCGACGCCCACTGTCACCCAACTGATACCATGGCGTCGATGGCTACTATACCAAGCATGCGGACCCGTATTCTGACGGTCATGTCCACCAGGTCTCAAGATCAAGACCTAGTGTCTAACGTGGCGCTCGAACATGGCCTTCAAGACAGAAACGAGTCTATTCCTTCGTCCTCTAGCGCCGCCCGGGTTGTACCATGTTTCGGCTGGCACCCGTGGTTCTCTTACCAGTTCTATGACGATGCCTCTCCCGAGTTCTCATATGACGGGACGCCGGAAAGTAAAATAGCACACTATAATAGGATATTGGCGCCCGCTCCTTCGACTAAAGATGTGGCATTTAGTGAACATCTTCCGGACCCGCGACCCCTATCCGAGTTTTTGAATGAAACGAGGTCACGGTTGGAGAAGCATCCTCTGGCTCTCATCGGCGAAGTTGGACTAGATAAAGCATTTCGCCTTCCGCAGAACTGGACTTCAGCCCACCAACCCCAACGCGATGAGGGACTCACACCTGGTGGCCGCGAGGGTAGAATGCTGAGCCCCCACCGAGTGCAGCTGACCCACCAGGTTGCGGTTCTCCGGGCCCAGCTCTCTCTCGCGGGCGAGATGGGTCGCGCCGTCAGCGTCCACGGAGTGCAAGCCCACGGCGTGTTGTACGACACCATGGCCAAATTATGGAAGGGGCACGAGAGAGCGGTACTGTCGAGGAAAGAGCAGAAACAGGTTGCTATGGGGGTGGAGGACTTCTCGAGTTCCTCTGAAGACGAAGGCGAGGAGGAACACTATACTAGACCTAACCTCAAAGGGGAATCCTGGACAACCCCGGACTCTAGCAAACCTAAGCCGAAGCCATACCCTCCGCGGATCTGCCTGCATTCTTTCAGCGGCCCCGTCGAGGTCCTTAGACAGTATACCCATCCCTCGGTGCCGGCAAAGGTCTTCTTCTCGTTCTCGGTTGCTGTCAACTGGAGTTCGGGAGGAGGCGACAAGACCGAAGAGGCTATCCGCGCCACGCCTGACGACCGTATCCTGGCCGAGAGCGACCTACACACGGCCGGGGAACAGATGGACCTGTATCTCGAGGAAGTGTACAGGAGAATTTGCCAGATCAAGGGGTGGGACTTGCGCGAGGGCGTCGAGCGGTTAGGAAGGAATTGGAGAGAATTTGTATTCGGCTAAGGTTCCCTCGCCGGATGGCATCCCCCCTTTCATCGTCCGCCGCAGGGAAGAAGGTTCCCGCCGGCAGGCCTAGCACGATACCACCTGGCCCAGACATCGACAAGTCGAGGCCCGGTTCGAAGCCACATTGCCAGGAGGAGAGTGCCAAGTGCTTTAATAGGCGGACACCCGTGGTGGAACGAACACCTATGTACCCAAGTAGTGTCGGTTCTACGTAGAGGTGAGGAATAGACCCGGGATGTGCGTGGACGTTGCATCCGTCCCCTCGATACGTGGGATGCCCAGGAGCCTACGCGCCAAGATGCTCACCATGCCACCTAATCGAGTCTACTCGAGTCTATTTGTGCCTGCGGCGCATAGAACCCAGTTACCCTCGGTGGGCCCGTGTCTTGTTAGTAAGGATCTATTGAATCGCCACCACCCACGCGGAGGGCACGAGCGTCCCATCTATACCGCACCGGCGTGGCCTCGGGGAAGAGGCAGTATGCGGGTTGTCGTCAACCTGTCGCGATCGGGAGGAGAGGTGTCTAGTGGGAGGCGTTTGTGCATATAGCAAAGATGGATTACGTGTAATTACTTTAGGTACCTAGGTAGTTACCTTAGGTGGGCACCTACCTAAGTAGAGGTAGATAGGGATGTACTTCCTCAGGGATCTCAGGGACCTTGGGTAGGTGTACTTACTGTTAGGTGCATCGGAGGTAGGTGGGAAGTTACCCAGCCTATGGGCTATAGGCTATAGCTCAGGGACCTACCTGTGAGTTATGCCATATCAGTCTTGCGTGGTATGCGCTCCCAAAATGTCTACTCATACATCCGACCTCCCATAGACTGAGCGCAAGTATGAGGTACCTCGCCCACTTGCCTACGTAGAGTCGGACTCGTGGTACTCGGCACCTAACAATACACGCGGACGTATGTACCTACCTAACACTTGATACCTGCACATAGCCCCGGCACACATGGACAATCATCAATTACCTGTATGTGCGTGGGCACGTAGAGATAACCAACAACTTTCGCAGCGCCCCCGTCCGCGCTCTCTCTCCACTTCCATTGTGCTCCCTCTCTTCGCGGTAAGGTCCGCCATCGTCAGCAGAACGGCGGCAGCGCCAGAAGCGGACAGCGGCGCCACTTTCTACTTGGCCTTTTCTTTTTTTTCTTTTCTTTTTTTCTTTTTTTTTCTTCCCCATTCCCTCGCGCATTTTCATTTGCCCTCCGTCCTTCGACCGGCCTGATTTTCCCGCATATCCTACCAGTCGTAATCTCGTCAACCCGACAAGACGACACACACACACACACAAGCTCGCAACGCTCACGCGCTCGCTCACCCACTACCCTCCCTCTCCCTATACCTTACTACCGGGTGTTGATTGCTGCTAACTCGCTCCCCGTTCTGCCATCTGCCGCGCCAGCGATCCCCGATCGCGCAGTTCGAACTTTGGCCCACAGGCCGACCCCTTCTCTTGTCTGACCCGGCCCCCTTTTCGTGTTTTCTGACGGGAACACAAGCATTCCATCATCCTGACGCATCCTCCTCCCTCCGCCGTGCCATTCGTCCCACAGGCGCATCCTTGCTACTACTGCATTAAGGCCGTCCTGTCACAGCCTTCTCTCCCCCTTACCAACCCCCATTTGCAGTAGTAGTTCGCTTTCCTAGTCGTGGCTCGTCGGCATCTACCTGACTCCCCCCCCCCCCCCCCCTTTCCCCCAGCACCGTTCCGGTCGATGCTGTGCCTGTACATGACCTGCCTACCGTGCCTACACATGCAAACCACCCGGCCCACACCGCGACTAGAGCTCTCTTGAGATACTGCCCGCACCAAGATAGGCGAGCTAGCACCGCACTTGCATACCTGTATAGTGCCCACACGCGGTCCCGCTCTTACTAGACAGGTTGACTTGCTCGGCGGCGAACCTTGCGCCCTACGCCTCGAAGCCGCTTCCTCGCACGTGTACGTACGCGAGCAGGAGAGACACGGCGCGCTGGAGGACCAGCCTCGGAGGAAGAGGAGAGACCCTGACCAGCAGCCCGGCATTAGCCTCCCCTTCCACCCCTGATCCCGCAGCTGCGCAGTTTGCTTCGCTATACTACCGCAGGTAGTCGCTCGAGCGAGAGGTACACACGCACGCACGCACGCACACACACACACACACACACACACACACACACACACCACGCAGGGTCTATACGTCGGGGGCCTACCGGGCGCGCCCATCCTCGACCCTTTTCGATCAGGTACATACTCATATACCGGGTAGCGAGAGCTACGCAGTACCTCCCGGTACGACAGACGTCTCTGCTCTCTGCTCGGCAGGACTGGAGCGACCGGGTCGAATTACACCTACCTGTGCCAATCGGTTAGCCAAGACGCAACGGACGTTGGAGGCCTGGGAGGAGAGGCTTCGGGGGTCGACGAGGTTAATAAAGTCACGCCAGACGCCCTCGGGCGGTCGTTTGGCTGGGAAGACGGCGCTGAGGGGGTCCGCGTAGCTGGCATCTGATCGCCACACCCCCCTGCTCTTCTTGGACGCACCCCACACAAACGCGTGATACAACCACTTTCGACTGTGGTGAGCAAATCTGAGTCCCAACGAGTCCCGTCCCAGATCTGCCCTCGCCCACGTCGCGCCCACGCTGCCCAGCCCTGCCAGCTGTGCCAGCGCGGTGCTAGCCTATCGTGAGCCATGTACGCGGGCAACTACGGCTTCCCCAATGCTGTTCCTCCTCCCGGATCGCAATACAATGGCGGCGCCCCACACTCAGCTGCCTCCCCGAGCATCCATTTGCAGCCCGGTCAAGGTCCTCCCAACCAGCAGCATCCGATGTACAATACTCAGCAGTTTCCCATGGGCGCGCAACCTGGCGCCGGCTTTCCTGGCGCCCCGAATATGATGTCAGGTCCAGGTGGTGCAGGAATGATGCAGAATGCCGGCATGCCGCACATGGCCGCCGCCAATGGCCCGAGTAAGCATCTTCCCTTCCCGTCCACCTTCTTTGTCCCTTGGTCGCATTTGTTCTCGTAATCTTGCCTCACCTCTCGCTCTCGCTGCCTTGCGCTGCCCTCCCCTCTCCCTGCGCCCGGTGGTTAGTGGCAGCTTCGCTCAGCGTTCACACGGCATTCCTTCTCCCGAAGTCGTGCCCGTCCCTGACTACACCAGCTTCTCCTCACGCACGCAGCTCGCGCGCTTGCCGGGTCGCAGATATGCCATCGCTGGCCGGCCGATTATAACTCGCATGCCGTGTACTAATATGCCAATTCCTTCACCCAGTGCCCAACTATCAACCTGCGTACACCAACTCGCCCTATGGCGCTGCCGTCCCTACCTCGGTTCCGCCGCAGATGAACATGCCTCCTAATTATGCGATGGGTGGCATGTCTATGTCCGGCTACCAGATACACCCTGGTATGAACCCTCAGCAGCAGCAAGTGATGCAACGCATGCAGCCGCCTCAGAACAACGCGCCGGGCATGTCGACGCCTACCCAGCGATCCTTTCCGGGACACCCTCACCAAGGCTCCTCGACCCCGAATAATGCGTCGAATCCCCATCAATACCCCTTATCAACGCCACAAAATACACACGCGATGCCTTCCAACCACACGCCGAACAATGGCCAACATCAACATCAACATCAACCTCATCAACCTCAGCACCAACCTCAACATCAACCTCAACATCAACCCCAACACCCACCTCAACACCAACCTCAACACCAACCTCCTTCCAATAATATCCAGACACCGCAGACGCCAGTGTTCCCGTCCTCTGTCCAGGGTAACGGCCCCGGCAACAGCTCATCCAACTCGACGCCGTTAAGCCCTGGTCCTGATTCTAGAGACAAAGAAAGGGTCGGCGTTATCTTGGAGATCAACAACGAGTTGCTACTGGAGGCCATACAGGTCCAACACACTCAGCAGATTCTCAAGAAGGAACGAACGTTGAGTAATGGTACCAGCGCTGCTCTGGGCGAGCCGGAAAAGAAATCCACGGAAGAGGAAGAGATATTAACGCAAGACTATTACCAGTAAGTACGGCAGGCAGGGGCGGAACGCGAACAAGGACTAGCCGCTGACTTTGTTTTAGATGTATGCGCAGGCTTCAAGCGAACCTGACCTATCTTGCCGCCTTGGCCGATAAGAAGGGAACAGCGGCTCCGTCTCCACCCTACCTCAGTGCGCCGCCCTTGAACAAGAGTGTCAGGTTGAAGATGATGGTACCCCCCGACGGATCGGACAGCCAAGAGGCTCCAGATCGGGAGGAGACGATCAAGTATATCCAAGAATTGTACAGAAAACTCCAAGGCCTCTATCCAGGAGTTGATCCCAACACAGAACCACCGCCTCCCCCTCCTGCTCGTCAAGGCGCGCTGCCCACGAACACGGCCAGGTCTGGGGTTCAGACACCGAGCCAGGCTAGCCCTATTTCCGGCAAGCAGAACACCCCTAAATTAGCAACGTCAGCGCCACCACCATCGATAACGACTCCTATCACAGGTCCTTAGGGATTACGCACGATGCAAGCTTCAAGAAAAGATTTGGATAGCTCGGAGTCAGGTATAGATCAGCTTGGGCGGGTATATAATACACGAAACGTTTCCCCAATTGGCCGTCGCATTTTATTTTTATATCATTCTTTTCCTTTTGCCTTACCTGTACGGCTTGATACCTGGAAAGAGTATATGACACGCGATGCTTTATTGAACTTTGGTGGTTTCGGCTTTCAAAAAGAGCCCGCGTTGACTTCGACTCAGTCTGATCGGCTCCGGGGCGGGACTGGTCCCTGGCCAGAAGTTGTGTGAATACGTCATGATGGAAGTTACGGGTATGTAGTATGCCGCACCAAAATGGTCACGGTGGGATCGAATTCTAAGGGCCTCAAAAGGGATGATCATGGTCGGCCTAGGACCGATTGAATACGGTGCTTTTATGATGTCAAAAGGTTGCTAGGTAGTGAATAACGGCTGTTGGCTTTTGTCGATGACTAGCCATGCATTACATATCTAGGCAAGACTGCCACCGCCACCTACCCGCGCTCTCTCTAGACTACCCACGTAGAGTTCTTCAGTGATGTAGGAGAACGGCAGGAGAGGATTTCTAGGTTGATAATATCCATCTAGCTAAATGGGGTAACTAGAAGCCAACTATCCCTAAATTGTTGGCAGGAATTCATTCCCTAGATACGGAGCTGGGGAGGGGATGGCAGGGGAGAGCAGACGGGGCAGCGATCTACATAGGTATAGATTGCGACATGCCAACCATCTCACGAGCGTATCACGACTTATACCCGGAATGGGATCTACAGGCAAAAGCGAGCGGGCGCGCGCGGGGGGGCAGGTCAAAGAGACTGAGTTAGACGAGTAGAATATACCAATCGGTGTGTTCGTCTAACGGATGGTCGGAAGCTGCCCAAGCCCGTCGTATATGTGGAATTATTCATTTAAACCTCGGAGAGTAGCACGAGGCGCAACTTAGAGGCTTAGCCGCGGGCGAATAGGTCACGAGATAACTGTTTGGGGGTCGCTCATCTCCCCTTCCCCTACGACGAACAGGAGTTCGCATCACCCCCCCCCCCCCCCCCCCCCCAACTTTCCCTCCCTTTACTCTCTTAAGACATCTATATCTGGTCAAGATCCTCAAGACCTCCGCCTTGGGAGATCGAAGTTCCCGTGCGTGACACGTATTCGTCACGCCCTTACCAACTTCTCAATACCCCCCGGCCCCGATCGCTAATACAGCTGCGCTGCCTCGTCGCGGTGTGGCCGTTGTACTCGGCGGCACAAGGGGTGCCGGCAAGTGCGGAAGGCTCCCCGCACCAGCGCTCCGTTATCGTTGTCGTCGGCTTCCGCCGAGGGTATGGTGGCTCCGGCCTCTATAGACGCACAATGGTCTGTCCATCGTCGGTACCTGGCCAAGACGGCGCCTGGGAGTGTGCGGTCGTGACGGAGCGGAAAGGGGTGACTGGCTGCGGCCAGCTTCCGTATTTCCTGCAGCTGGAGAGGGGGAGGGGACGGCAGGGGGAGGGGGAACGAGCGGTCGGGGTTGGCGGTCGGCGTCGGCGCGAGAGAGGGACTCGAGGGGCGGGTCTGTAGCCGCGAGTCCCGTCTCAGCTGCGTCGGGGAGAGAGACTACCAACGCTGGTTGTGCTCGTGTTGCCTTGTAAGCTCGCTGCCTGGGCGAGCGGTGTCTCTTAGCGAGACTCCTAGGAAGGATTCATGTATCCGCCATGGGGATAAGTAAGGTAGATAACACCTAATGTATACCTCCTACCTATTAGGAACCTTTGGTGTGCAATCGTGCATTTTCGCGCGTTCCTTTTCTAGACCTTAGGGTGACCTCGTTGATAACATCCCTAGGTACCTAGGTACCTAAGGTGGACATACCACATCGAGGTACATCGTGATCATGTTCAACCGAGGCCGATAAGGCGCCTGGTGGAATGCGGCCACCTCCTATGATGTAATGAACAATACCTCGCAGGCAAGATAATACCTACCTACCTATGAACAGCTAGCTACCTGAGCTACCTGTCTAGGGACACCTATCACGAGTAATAGCGCCGACTAAAACATCCGAGGGCTCGAGAACAAGGGAGGGATGGGTTCGTGTACATAATACAGAGGAGGTCCTCTCACCCCGTCCGGTGCCGCCAATGTTGTACTTAGGCACTGTCCAGACGACTGACAACTCGTGGTGAGCCGGTAACTGGCACGGGATCTACCCTACAGAAGGATGGAACATCCCATCCGGTAGTCTTCGGTATGATGCGATTCCCACGGCGTGGTGGTATCCATATCCCAACCTCTTTATTATTTTCTTTTCTCTGTTTTCTTTTCCTCGCAGCGACTCAACGTTCTTCGCTTCTTTCCGCGATACGGATGGGGACTAACTCGTAGAGAGACATACATACGTGCTTAGACTGGATTCTGCTAAGAGAGGGGTTGGGTGCACATCTGGTGGGGAAATTCATGCGCCAATGTCGTGAGACACAGCGTGTATGCATGCAAGAAGAGCTTCCCAGCAGCCCAATGATGCGGTGAGGTCGAAGTCGCGCGGAGTTGCGACGAAGTCGCTTGGAAACACTGCTCAAATCGGGAAATAAAGCGACGAGGGGGACAGGCAATGGATACGTGAACACATGCGTACATGTGCCTACATGGTACGTACATCTTGTGTAGGGTGCAATAGGTCAAGTATTTATGCAGGCACCGTCGGGACATACGGGGGCGGCCATAAAAATACGAGTACATACTTGTGTGTATATATATATCGACGTTCGGTGCCAGTTAAATTGGTAATATCGCCAGTCTCCGGCGCGAGCTCGTTGTAGACAGGCGCGCTATATGGAGCAGACCAGACAGACGACTCGGACGGGGACTCTTCAGAAGGCAAAACAGGAGGAATGCTGATTGCTCACGTATTCGCAGGTCGGAGGCTCAGTCAGATCTATATATGTGTGCAGCTGCTCCGTATGAGTATGCGTGCTGTGCGACTTATGCTTCTTTTCTTTGCGGCCTCACCTCAGATGTTCAGGATGTCCAGGGGGTCCAGGGGGGGGTCCAGGGGGGGGTCAAGAGGGGGGGAGATGTTTAGAGCATGAAGATGTCAAATAGCCGCTAATGCAGGGACTGGGTGCTGGTGGCCATCCGCCGTCCCAAATGAGAGGCGCGTCCCATAACGTCCCATCTTCGCGGCCAATCAGGCCGCTGCGGTAGCTCGCGGTGCTCGATGATAAAATAGGGGAGTCCGGCAGGTACCTGTAAGTACCGCGAGTACCCGCTACTTGCCTTGCCCTCTTGTGCTCCCGAGGTTCCATTGCACAATTCAAGCCCGGTCCAGGTACCTGCTACCTCTGTCGACCTGTCCCGTTTCGCTACCCGGCTAGGTCGCCCACGTCCTCCCCTCGCCCTCGTCCTGTGAATACCTTCCTGCTCCTCTCCTCAGGTCTGGGCCCTTGCCTGAGCCGAGTACTAGCAATTCCAGTCGTTATGCCTGACGAGTCAGCTTCCTATGTTCCAGTCCCTCGTTATCATCTATTCCTAACCAGGTCGTTGACCGAGCATTCACACCCGTACGAAGCTATCCGTTGATCATTCCGTACATGACACACTCACTCACTCCTTTGACCTCTGCTGTTCCGCTAGTCGTATCTGCGAGGGAGGAGTATCGATCCGGGCAACTAGCAACTCTTTAGTAGCTAGACCAGCGACTATACAATCAATCCATTTTCGAAGAAGCAAGCCTGCCCCCCTCGACGAAACTAGTAGAGAAGACGGCCATTGAACAGACCAACCGGCCCTCGCTCTCTCTGTTTAGCCCTCCCCTCGAGGCTCCCGAATCCCTGAACCGAGTCCACTATCCAAGTCCCCCTACCCTACCCTTGGCGGGCATATCCAAGGTCGCGTTGGCCACTGTTCAGGCAACATTGGAAGTCCACCCTAGATCCTGCTTGCCTGCATACCACATACCGACAGTTTGTGTATGTGTGTGCGGACTGTACGGGTTATAGTGCCTATCTGATATCACGACCGTTCGATATTAGGCGCGACCATCAGTTTTTATTTTATTTTAGTGGTGTCCTTTCTACCACACCGCCATCCATGTACTCACACGCGGGACTCGAGAATAGGTGACTGAGGCTAAATCGACACAACTTGAGCTTCGAACAAGCCGGAAGCGAGACACTGTGGCGGGTTGCAGATCGGCCATTCCAGTCATTGCCGACCACTCTTCGTTCGACGTCCGCGCAATGGAGCGGGACCTCGACAACCAGAAAAATGATCCCTCCCCGGTCCCAACGGCGCCGACTCGGGCAGACGAGCCCAGCACGCCCAAATCGCCTTCTAAGAAGGACACAAAAAACGGACGTAGAATCCTCGAACACGACTCGATGGTGACCGTCCGGCTATCCGAGCCACCCACCCTGGTGGTGAATACAGACTTGCCCCCCAACATATTGCCCTCCAGAAAGAGCATCTGGGGGCACGAATGCACACCAACGAGCGCAGCCGCGACCCCTCTAAAGGGGACAACCAAGACAGAGGAGGGGAGGGCGGATGAAGAACGAGAGGAGACAATAGCGAAGAAGGAAATAGAAGCGGAAGACGAGACGTCGACGGAAGACGGTGTTGAACTGAACGCGCCGGCCGATACTCGCAGGACGTTAGTACCAGAGCTCCAAGATGCTTCCACTACCGCCACTACCACGTCCACCACCGATACTAGTACCAATACAACCACGATCGCCACTGCCATCACTACTACCATCCACGAGGAGCGAGTGGGGGTAGCCAACGACGACGACGACCTTACGGATGAGTCCGACGCCGAAGAGGTCGACTGGGACCAATTGCAGAAAAAAGAGGACGAGCAAGTCAAAGATCAGGACGACAATGTACGTTACATACCCCGTTCCTGCCCTAACCGCCGTGCCAGGTCACCACCCGTTGGCTGGGCGGGGCAAGATTCGATGTTGGTAACCATGATAACGATGCTGACACGTCCTCTCCCCACAACCAACAGTCCACCGCACTGCTCCTGGCGCGGCTCGAGCAGGAAAATAACAAGCTGGCGACGAACCCGAAAAGCATCAAGGTCAAAGTCGTCGAGCAGCCGCAAACTCGTAGACCGAGACCACCGTCGATGGCCCAGATGCGACACATGGTCAACGGGCCTACGCCCACGGCGTTGCGGTACTCGGTCCTCCCCCCGCCGCCTATGACCGACCTGGAATTTTATATGGCTCTAGTCAAAGACTACCAGCAGACCGCGGCTCGCCTCCCCACCTTGCTATCGAAGAAGATTCGAAAGGGCGTGCCGCCCCCGTTGCGAGGCGTCGTCTGGCAGAGCATGGCCGGCGCCCGCGACAGCGTGCTCCTGGAACAGTTCGACAGACTCAGCGGCGAGGCTAGCCCCTACGAGGGGCTCATCGGCAAGGATCTCGGGAGAAGCTTCCCGGGTGTCGATATGTTCCGGGACCCAGACGGAGACGGGCAGCGGATGCTCGGGAGGGTCCTGAAATGCTTCAGTCTCTATGATCAGAAGATAGGATACTGCCAAGGACTGGCTTTCCTGGTCGGCCCTCTGCTGATGCATATGCCAGACAACCAAGCTTTTTGCGTGCTGGTCCGGTAAGTACCTTTTTTTTTTTTTGACGTCGAGAAAGAGAAGGAATCCGGATGTGTCTCGAAAGGATGTGAGACTAATAAGGCTAACCACGCTGTGTCCTGGCGACAGGCTGATGGAATATTACGGCCTGCGATCTTGCTTCTTACCGGATCTGTCGGGCTTGCACGTTCGCATCTATCAATTCCGGGAACTGCTGCGCCAACATCTGCCCACGTTATCGAACCACCTGGACGATCTCCAGGTTGACCCAGCCTATGTTTCACAATGGTTCCTCTCGTTCTTCGCCGTGACATGCCCCCTGCCCATGTTGTTTCGCATCTACGATGTCATTTTTGCCGAAGGCGCGTCGGAAACTATCATGCGGGTGGCTCTGTCGCTCATGCGCAAAAACGAGAGCCGCATCTTGGCGTGCACCGAGCTCGAGGATGTCATGCAACTCCTTTTGTCGCGCGGCCTCTGGGATTGTTATCACTACAACGCCGACGAATTCGTCGACGATTTTGTTAGCCTATCTAGCGTCGTTTCCAGAGAGAAATTGGCCCAGCTCGAGCAGGGGTATCGCGAGGAAAAGATCGCCAGCGCCAATGCCGCCCGAACGGCCGATGTTACCACAGCCGCCTCCCGTTTTCTGGGCCGTCTCTGGACCACAAGCACCTCGTTCCCGAGACCAGGAAATCTTTCTCCTGGCCTCACCGCCCCCTTGAGACCGCTGAGCATGCTTCGTCGAAGTACATCGAAGCAGAGCTTAGCATCGACGTTGAATTCCATGGAAGCAAGCTCGGTGAGCGTCCTCAGTTCCGCATCTACTGACGCGACGACCGTATCTCGCGAGTCCTCCCATGCCGACGATTCATCGGTGCGCGAATCGGCAACGCTTGCCCCCCCGAAACAGCAATCCGCTCGCGTCGCTCCCGACAAGAACCTTCATACCCAGATCGAAGACCTCCTCACCGCCCTCAACGAACTGCAGCGAAACCACGCACTATTGGCCACTCAGCTCCAACAGGAAAGGGAAGAGCGAGAAGAGGACCGCAAGGCTGTCCAATCGTTACTCGATGGATTGAAGAAGAAGGCTAGCAACGGATCTGTCAAGGCCGCGGGAGATGATGCAAGTCCTGGAGACAGAGCAGAAGAAGAGAAAGAGAAAGAAGAAAGCGAAGAGGTCTCCGAGCAGCGGCTATCCTCGCTGCTAGAAGCAGTAGAAGGCCGCTTCTGCACCGAAGAGGAGCGCCAACGCCGGTCCTCCTCGGTGCAAACCAAGTCGCAACTCCAAGACGAATTGGCCAGGACGAAGGAGCACCTCAGAATCGAGAAATCTAAGGCCCTAGACTTCAACCGCCGCATCGAAGACCTCGACCAAGAGGCCAACACGTTGCGAGAACAACTCCGCGAGAGCCACGTTCACGTTCGAAACATCCACCAGGAGAAGCAGCGTCTGGAGAGGCAAATACACGCTTTGCGTGTGAGAGCCTCCTCAGCCGGCCCACCCGGGTCGGAGGGCGGTGGCTGGTTCTCTTCTGGGGGCAACCTTGCTGCCGGCAGCGGCGGCGGCGGGTCTCATGCCGGCCTTCGGGAATTGAAGCTCGTGCGTAGCAAGTCGACGCCCAATACCCAATCGGCCTTTGGCCAGCGCGGCTCCTCGCTGGTCCGGACACAGACGGAGCCCGTCACCTCGAGCGAGCACGAGGCCCTCGTCATGGAACTCGTGCAAGCTAAGACGGCTGAGGCGGTAGCTCGGCAGGAGGCGGACGAGTACAAGCAGAAACTAGAAAACTTACGGAAGACGTACGGACTTGGTCCGCTGGAGACGCCTACGCCTACACCTACGGTGGCGTCAGCTGCGATGGGAATGATTGGACGACTCACGACATCGATATCCGACGCGAACGGTGGTACCAAGAATGTAGCTTCCACCGGGGCGTCGATATCTACTTCTAGCTCTAATAATAATTCTGGAGGAGCCGGCGGCTTCTGGGGATGGAGGCGATAGCGGCCTCTGGCCGAGAAACGTAACAAGAACAGGGACGCGCACGGCGTGCAGGGAAAGGCTCTTTTTCGCTTGGGGAACTGCCATCCTTGTGGACGCCGCCCTATCTCGACGAGCAATTATAACCGCGACTCTGCATACACGCGTAAGCCAGTGTTGGCGAGAGGTGGCGTCTTTTCTTTTGCCTGGGTATTCAAGACGCGTCTAGCCAGCGGGCTCGCATGCTCGAAATTCCGGCCAACTCGCTAGAGGACGAGAGCAGGCAAGGAAGCAGGGGGGCCAAAGAAGCAGTAGTACTAGCGGAGAAGGTGTAGGTGGACTGCTTTCGCTTCGCGGCTCCGCCGCCGCCGCAAGAAAGAGAGGGGAAGTTTGATGACGTTTAAATACAACTTGTTACGATTTTCCCCATATAGCGTTGCTATCGCGTTGCCACTAGACATTGGAGCGTTCGAACTTGTTAGCTTTTTTTGCGTTCTTTTTTTTTTCACGGTAGCCATTTACGGATGGGGGTGAGGGGATCACACATACATACACATACAACATAGAAAGAAAGAGAGGGAGGGAGAGAAGAGGAGAGAGACGGCCCCACAGGGTATAGGTCGGCTGGTGCTAGATTCCCGCCTGTGGTGCATCTGCCAGCTAGGACGGGTATGGCGAGATGTAGGAGGGGGGGAGGTGACCAAGTGGAGAGGGAATATAGGGTGGCCCACGGGGACGATGTGTGAGCCGGGACCCCGAGAGGACACGTCTCGACAGAGAGGTGTGCTCGGATGATTTTCTGTCTTCCAGAACACAGACATACTACTACGGTATACATACATATATACATACATACATATATACATATATGTACGCCTACGCGTACTAGATGCAGGCCGAGATGCCGACTGGAGGAGGGCCGATACGTTTTGCCTGGTTTCCTTTGCCTTCTCTGGAGGCGGGCTTGAATCTTCAGGAAGGAATTGTTGGGAATAGGGACGGGACGGGACGGGATAGGACGGAGGGAGGGGAGGGGAGGGGAAGGTGTCGTGTGCCTTATAGCAGATAATCACATGCTAATCAGGGGGTGACGGGGTGGCGCACGGTATATTAGGGAAGAAAGGATTCCCGATCACGCACTACATACGTAGGATCTTTTCTGTCTATATAGAGGGGAAGGATACTAGGGGTAGTTGTAGGCGGCGATTCATATGAGACTTGGTGTTCTATATAGGTATATGTGCGTAGTTGGGTATAAGCGAAAAAAGAAATATAAAAGAAGAGAGTGAGAGAATAGGTTCGTGGCTTTTGCTGGCGGGCGGTGTAGAGGTCGACAGTGCCTACACGTAGGCAGGCATATTGTCACGTACCTGCGTAGGTACCTGGGGTAGGCAGAGGACTACGCAGCGATAAGACCGGGAACTGGGGCGGGTAGGAGTGCGTTGTTTTGTTGTCCGATACCCAGGAATCGCGGCCGGGCCACCTTGCTGATACCGAACTTTGGACAGTCGAACGGCTGGTAGGAGAGGGGGTTTAGTTGGTATTTCGACCGACGTGATTGGGCCAATACGGGGTTGGCAGGCTGCTGGCAGCCAGGCAGCTATGTAGGTAGGTATATGTATAGTATATAGTATACACACGGACCGCACATGGTAGCAGGGCATGTTAGGTACTTCCCTATACACGTAGCAGAGGAACACTATGTAAAGTGGTCCCTTCGTGTGGCGTCATAGCACAACACATGCAACCCTCCCCCGCCACACAACACCGCATCACGACGGACCAAAACTGTGAGCACAGTAAAATATACCACGCTACCTCGCTGCCACCCGTACCTCCACTGCAGACAGCGGCAGCACGGCAGGTTCGCTAGCCACTAGGGGCACACGCAAGCCACACCCGGAATGAGGAGAGAGAGAGAGAGAGAAAGAAGGCGGGACCCTATGCCAATCTTGAACCATCTCCCGACCGTTCGTTTTCTTGCCCAGGCCTTGCTCTGTGCCGGGTTGGCCTGGCGCCAGCTTTGGACAACCCACTAACTACCTATTTCCCCCTTCACCTTACAACCACCATTCCACCTGGATTTCCTTCCCGCACACACGCACACACACCACACGCACACTCACCACACGCACACATACCACACGCACACACCACACGCACACGCACACACTCCCTCTCCCTCTCCCTCGCCTCGCATATACACATACACATACGTACACACATACGCCAGCAGCAGACCAGCAGACCAAAGTACGGGAGAAGAAGAAGAAGAAGCAGACGAAGAAGAGAGAGAGAGAGAGAGAAAAAAAAAGAGAAGACCTAAACAAGAGATACAATCAATAAACCCGGATCTGCTCGGCTCTGCTCTCTTCGTTCTCGGGTTGCTATTCCTATCGTGTCCGCCTCGCACGGGAAGCAGGTTCGCAGCCAAAATAAATTAGCTACCCTCCCGGTAAGTGAGGTCAGCTTGCCCGCTCGCTGTATCTGTCCCTCCGTCTCTCGCCCTTCCCCCCCCCTCTATCCGGTTGGCCCTTCTCCCTTCGTACCATTACTAAGGAGGACGACGTGGGCTCACCTGCAGACTTATCAGGAGCCAGACGCATTCGCTGCTCTCCGACCAGACTCATCCCGATAACCTCTCTCTGTCCTTTCCCTCTTTTTTTCCACACCTCTCTTGGTCGTCCGTACGACGAGACATATCGTCCGCATCGCCAACGACCACCCACGCAATGGCCGACTCCGATCACGCCAATGGCACCTCTGGTATGGTGAGTTGATTCGACGACTGCCCATCCCGTCCCGCCTCCTCCATCTCTACCTGTCCCTTCGCAACTCGGAGTATTGTTAAGCTAACCTATCGCGAGTAGTACCTCCCCCTACTAGCTGTGCTATAGCCACTCCTCCCTCTCTCCAAGTCATCCCACTCAAACCTCGCGGTGACGGATATCCGACATCCACTGGCACGTCGTTACTGACCCTCTCCCCTTCGCTGCAGGCTCCGTTGCCAAGGACCAGAATGCGAAAAAGGCCGGACAATCGCCATCGTCCCTCAGCCAACCTCTGACCCATTACCATAGCTTGTTCTCGGAGCTGCTGTCGTGGAAGAATCCCCGTAAGCCCCCCTTCCCCGCGGCGGCCGCCGCCGCCTGATCCCCCGCATTCTTTCGCCTCCTGCTTCGTACTGACGGCTTCGCCTGAAGGAGCCTCCGCCATTGCCTATACGTCTATTGTCTCGTTGATCTTCGTGGCTAGATACCTCGACGTCATCCGACATACCCTCAAGCTTACATATATGGCCTTGGGCGTTACCGTCCTTGCCGAAGTCGCCGGAAAGGCGGTCCTCGGAAACGGTCTGGCTACCCAGTTCCGTCCTCGCAAGTATCACACCATCCCCCGAGAGACCTTTGATGCCTTGATGGGCGATATCCACGAGCTCCTCAACTTCTTCGCCATCGAGTCTCAGCGCATCTTGTTTGTCGAGAACGTCTCCGCGTCCGCCATCGTGAGTGCACATACATTCTAGACGCGCTAGCTATCTGTCGTATTGCTCGAACGGGATTGCTGACGCGCTGCAATAGGCTGCCGCGGGAGCATTCGTGTCCTACTACTTGGTCAAGATCTTGCCTTACTGGGGCCTTGCTCTGATCACCACCACGCTGCTGTTCTTTGCTCCCTTGGTTTACAGCACCAACCAGGAGCTCATCGACCACTACCTCAAGCAGGCATCCGACCTCATCAACAGCCAGACGGAGCAGCTGCGCGAGATTGCCAACAAGCAAACCGCGCAGGTCACTGATCTCACGAAGCAGTACATCGGTGACTACGCCGCCAAGGCCCAGCAGATCCTCCGTGGTCAAGCAGGCACCGAGACGAAGTCGGCCCCCGCTACTAAGTCTAACCTGAAGGAGTCCGACTTCCCCAAGGCTCCCAAGGAAGGACTCAAGGGAAAGCAGGAGTCGGAAGATGAGGAAGACGAGAGCGAGGAAGAGAAACCCCTGACCGCTGCCTAAACGAACGGCGATGGGACGCGACCGAAACCAGCTCTTCCGATACATAAGCAGTTAATGCGCTCGGTCTTCCGAAACCCAACTGGTACGGCACGACAAATTGGTACGGCTCCTAGCATAGAGAGAGATGTGAGACGCTTGTGAGATACGGATGCTTCCTCTATATGGAGCTAGGCTGGGGGTTCTTTTCGTATGGATTTTCCCTCCTTGGCAATGACGACGGGTCGCTAGCTGAATTAGGCCCTATGTGTGGGATTAATGGGGAACCGCTGGTACCTCGTGATGTCTTTTTTTTCTTCAAACTTTGGCAACGAACTTGCGAATTCGGTGTAGCATGCCTCGCCGAGCAGAAGGAGTATGTCTTACTGGCGGCGATGGCATGGACGGCGAGGGGTGGAGCACGGCCAAGAACGATAAAAGACACCATGAGACGAATGAAGCAAGGCAGGGGGAGCAGGTAGGGAGAGTGTGGTAGGTGAGAGTGTTTAGTGAATGAGAATGAACGGCTTTGCGATATGCAACGCGGCAGCAAGAAGCAAGCAGCAGCATGGCTTTTAGGCTACGAGTGAAGGGAGAGACGGAGGGAGAGACGGAGGGGGAGAAGGGGGAGTTGAGGAAGAGGTCGACTCACAGCTCGGATGTTGGTAATTCAACTATTCTTATTTCTAATTCTCTTATCCCAGCCAGAGTGATGATTAGACCCCCACATATTGCCCGAATCTTTATTCTCTGCTTTCCTGCCTCACCGTCTGGTATTATCTGTCTATCTGCGTGCCTGCCTTCCTGTCTGCCTCATCTGTTGTGCTATCTATCCATCGTCTTTGGGTGGGATCCGGGTAATGAGATGTCAGGGAAGGTAGACGTACACCGGGAAAGGTGAGCCAAACTAGCCACCACGTGGTCCGGGACACGTTTCGCGGTGAGACAACAATAGCGTTGTGTGTCCGTGACCCGTCTTGTCTTATTATCTATACCCCCACCCACCCGTCCACCTACTCACTCAACCCGCCCACCTCCCTACCTACCTACCTGCCTTACCTAGCCTACGTTTCCATCGTCGCGCGTGGTCAGACGTCCTCACGCGCGCCTGCCTGGCAGGGCCGCGTGACCAGCTTCGTCGGAGGACTCGGTCGACGGGCGCACAGACGGACGGACGTAGCAGGGTAGCTCTGCCGCGCTGCAAGCATCGCGGATCCGCTGGCGCCCTGGGGAGGGGGGGGGCGAGGAAGGGGATGGCGATTGGGCTTAGCTGCTGGGTAGGATACGAGGTTTTTTTTTTTTCGAGGAGGGGGGGGGCGCACCTCCCTCGCTCCCTTCCTACCGGGACGCAACGGGCGCGGCTACGCGAGCGGGCAGGGCGAAACCACACCCCTCCCCTCCCCCCCCCTCGGGGAGCTGGGACACGTACGCGCGAGACGCGACGGCTACGATGGGATAAACCCGTGTTCGGCCCGGGCGCGCGGCGGGCCTGAGGCAGGCGCGGAATACTTGGATACCGACGGGTAGTCGGGCGGAACGCTATGGGATGCGCACACGGCGCTGCTTCACGCACGCACGCACGATATATATACTCATATATAATAATAAAAAAGGAGATGTGTCATTTCTACGTTATCTGCGCCTACCCAGCCAGCCACCACCTACTACCCACTACCCGCCTCGTCCCCCCCGCGTCCACTCGACGGGACTCTGTCTGTCCTCCTTGCCTCCTCGCCCCTCCCCTTACCGATCGAGGATACAGGAACAGACGGAGATGGAGGAGGGGAGAGGGGAGGGAGAGTGCATAGTATACCGCCTACGCGTAAGAGATAGCAAGATGTGTCCCCGCGAAAGCACAAGGGGGGAGAGCGAGGAATAAAGTTAGACGAGGACAAAAGAAAAAAAGAACAAGAAGGAAGCACCAAGCAAGAGAGGAAACACAAACGCCTCGTGATTTTCGTTCGCAGCACCCAGACCTCTCGGCGCGGCCCGTTCCCCCCCATCCTCCCCTCCAATGTCATCCGATGCGATGCGATCCGATCTGATGCGGGACCGTATTCAGATGGAGGCACGGACACGCCACTGCCCGAACAGGAGGGATGGAGGCTCGTCCCCAAGCGGCGGTCAGTGGCGCCGGTATTAGTAGTAGTCATAAGCAGCTCCCCGGTCCCAAGCCAGGACGAGACGAGAACAGAACTTCGTTGATCGTTTTCTTAAGGAAAAAAAAAAGCCACTAAAAAAATAAATACCCCGAGCCATCGGGCCTAGGCATTCATCGTAGCTTTCCCCCGCAACACATCTGGAAGACTGGGAGCGGCATTCATCTCCACATCCGCCTTCTCTCCTCCCCGTGGCGTCTTCCTCCTTCCCGGCAGAGGCTTCACTCGCTGTCGTCCATGTCGAAGTCGCTCAGGTCCGCCTTCTTATCGTTGACCACGAAGCTGTCCTCTTCATCCTCGTCGTCGTCATCGTCGATAACGTACACGGGCCGCGACTTCGTCGCCGCCGCCCGTCCGGGTCTGCTGCTGCGGGCCGCCGGTCGCGGCGGCGGCGAGTCTAGCTCATCCTCATCCTCGTCCTCATCGTCGACTCTAGTGCTGCCCTTCTTCCCCTTACTACCGCCGCCGCCGTACTCTTCTTCTTCTTCCGAGTCGTCCATGTCGAAGTCGTCCCGCTTCGCCTTCGTCTTCTCCTTCCCCTTCTTCGCCGCGTACGCCTTCGCCGCCGGCGACAGGTGCGTTGCCGTCGTCGTCGTCGTTGACGCCTTGGACGGTTTCGCCTTCGCCGGTGCTGCCTTCTTCGCTGGCGCCTCCTCGTCCTTGCTCTTGGACCCGGCGGGCCGGCCACGGGCCTTCTTGATGACCGGGCCGGCCGAGGCCGCCGACTTGGCGGGCTTGGGGTCCGCCGACGCCGACGGCTTGGGTCGGCTCACCACTTTAGACACCGGTGGCAGGTCGTCGTCGTCGGCCGACAGGAAGCTGTCGAGCTCGTCGCCGCGCGTCTTCTTCTGCGGCGACTTGGCCAGCAATTCGTAGTTGGTGTCGTCGTCGCTGCCGAAGTCGAATGTCTTCGCCGGCTTGCTCGTCTTCACCTTGAGAGCCGCCGCGGCCGAGTTGGCGCCGCCGCCGCTGCCGCCGCTGCTCATCGAGAATAGGCTGAGCCGGCCTGTCCCGGCCCCGGACGTGCCGCCGCCGTCGCCGCCGCCACTCTTAATCCCCTTGACCATGTCGCCCACGTCGCCGAGCATCATGTCGTCGTCGTCGTCGTCATCTTCCTCCTCAGATGAGTCGTCCACGATCCACGTCTTCGCCTTCGTGGCTGCTGCCCGCTTTGCTCGGGCGCCTGGCGGAGGTGGAGCCTCCGCGGCTGGGTCTTTGGCCGCTGGCTTAGACTCCTTCTTGCCTGGGTTCTTAAGCTTGGCAAAGTCGTCGTCCGAGAAGGGATCCGAGTCTGAATCCACTTTGATCTCAGAAACCTTCTCCGGAGCCGGAGCCGCCAGCGTCGCTGTCGTCGTCGTCGTTGTCGTCGTCGCCTTCTTCTTGGCGTCTCCGTTGAACATTGCGGTGAAGCGCTGAGCGCTCTTCTCCTTCGGTGCTGCTTTGGGCTTTGGGGCTGCCTTCGCACCAGGCCTCGACTTGGCACCGGGCTCCCAGTCGTCGTCGCCCTTGTTCTTGCGAGGACGTCCGGCGCCGATCTTCTTCGACGTGCGGCGGCCCATCCTATGGATACCGGTGGCGATCTCGGCCTCTAGTCGCTGCTGGTTCTCCCACTCCGCTTCGAACTCGTCGAGGTCCCTGCACCAGAGATCCTTCTCGCTGAGTGCCTGCAGCTCGTCGCGCTCGGACTTCTTCTTGGCGATTTGATCATGGAGACGATCAAGCCTCTCCTGGGTGAACGACCAGATAGCCATCTACCGAGAGTTAGTGACAGGATTCAACCCTGTGTATGTGGGGGCAAACGTACGGAAAGGAGGTAGTCGTAGCCTCGTGCGTCCGAATCTGTGTCTGCCTCTTCCGCTCCCTCACCAACACCACCCTCCTCCTCCTCCTCCGACTTGGTCTTCTTCTCTGGCCCTTTCGAGAATGCTTCGTATTTCTTCTCACGAAGTTCATCGATGATTACCTGCTTCTTCTTGCGTGACACCACCAATTTCCCATCCATAATCTCTCGGACGAATCGAGCTTGGTTGCTCAACTTGCGGAATTCTGTGTCGTAGACTGAGATCCAGTGAGACTACAACGAGTTAATGTGACGATTCGGCGCGAAGGTGTGGGCAGAAACATACCCTACGTTGAGTGTACATTTTCATCCTGTACACGTAAAACTCCTCCATAATGTCCTCAACCCTGTCGTATTTGCGAACCATACCGCGGCTGTCAAACGCCACCATGTTGGACGTGGCAACTTGTTTGACCAATTTGAACTTCTCGAGGAGACCCTCATCTAGAGCCGCCTTCATGTTCTTCTCGTCCAGCTGGATCTCGAAGTGGACATTGTTATGGTCGTTAAATTCCTTGTAGTCCTTGATGAAGGAGGTGACCTTTTCACCCCGGATGATCTCCTCTAGCTTCGCCTTGAAATCGTCGGTCCACACGCGGATGGGCAATTCCGTGACAATCACCTCATTAGGGTTTTTGTCGTTTTGGTAGGCGATACCGTTGAATTGGTAGCGGTTGTTATCCGCAACCTGCGGAGTACCCTTCCAGCCTCTGAACCAAGGGATCATCGTTTCGAACGGCTTCTCGTCATCGCCATCCAAACGCCCCATACGCCGCCTCAGATTCCTGATGATATCCATCGGGTGATAATTCGGGATGGATGTGCTCCAACCGGTGCCGATGCCGTCCGCACCGTTCACCAGAATCATTGGAATAACGGGCGCGTAGACCTTTGGCTCGATCTTCTTTCCATCCTCAACATAGTGCTCCAAATTGGGTTCGTCCAAGGCGCAGAACACGCGCCGGGCAAATGGAGAGAGACGGGTGTGGATATATCGGGCGCTGGCAGCATCAGAACCGCCGGAAAGTCGGGAACCGAAGTTTCCGCTCGGCTCGAGACAGTTGACGTTGTTGGAGCCGACGAAATTCTGTGCTAGACCGATGATGGTTTGCTGCAAAGAGATGTCGCCATGATGGTAGGCCGTCTGCTCCGACACGTACCCGGCCAGTTCGATGACCTTCTTGTCCTTGACCAGGTTCCGCTTTAGACAGGCGTAGATGACCTTTCGCTGGCCTGGCTTCAGACCGTCGATAACCGAAGGAATGGACCGCATATTGTCTGCTATACTATACAGTATCAACTCCTTGTTGACAAAGTCGTCGTATGAGACTAGCTTTATCGAGGGGTCGAGATAGGTTCCAGGTACGAAGCCGCCGATCCACTCTTTGCGGGCGTCGGCCTTCTTCTTCGAGAAGGCTAGTTCGAAGAGTTCTGCCTCGTCCGGCTTCATCACGTCGAACTGTTTCAGATGGTTGTCGAGATCGTTGAAGTAGACTTGAGCATCCTCGTTCGAACTGGTACCCAGACCCTTGAAATATTTTGATTCCCATCGTTTGAGTTCTGACTTGTGCACCTCTTTCCATTGCTCGTACTGGAATTGGGTGAAGAACGATTTGAGCCTCAGGGGCTTCTTGGGGTTCGACCCTTGCCAAACCTTCACGATGGGGGTAGTGAATTCCTGGAAGAAGTCCGGGATCTTGAGGAGTGAAGGATATTGGACTTGGAGGAAGTTGATAAGAAGACCTTTGATATGGCTACCATCGTGATCCTGATCGGCCATGATCATCAGATGTCCGTACCGGAGAGACTTCGTATCGGTATAAACCTGCTTGTGTTTTAGCCCTAGGAATTGTTTAATATTCTGAATTTCTTGGTTCTTCGTGATTTGGTCGATCGAGGCGTCGCGGACGTTGAGCATCTTGCCTCGAAGCGGGAAGACGCCAATACGATCAGGATCGAGGATGGCACGACCAGCGACAGCCAGACTCTTGGCGGAGTCACCTTCGGTCAGGATCAAGGTACACTCGTGGCCGTGCTTGGTACCCGCCAAGTTGGCGTCGACGAGCTTGCTGTTGCTAATCCTCGAGCGCTTGCTGCCATCGCTTTTCGCCATCATCTTATCGGCCTTGGCCTCGGCGAACTGTATGATGTTGCTTATGGCGTCGGTCTGGCCAATCTTCTTGAGGAACAATTCGGTCAAGGCACATTTGCTGCCGAACTGGCTGACCTTGGTTGTCATCTGCTCTTTGGTCTGAGATGTGAACGCGGGGTTGGTGATCAAGCAGTTGATGAAGATGAAGATGTGGTTGCGGATATGGTTGCTCTTCAGCGAATGTCCCTTCTTCTTCTTGTTTAACGCCTTCAGAAGAGACTCGCAGATTTGATCGGAGATATAGTTAACATGCGTGCCACCTGTAGTGGTTGCTATGGAGTTCACGAAGGAGACCTGCTGGAAGGACCCGTCCGAGACCGCGAAGCCGATATCCCATTCCGGATGGGCCTTAGACTCGTCGATGATGACTGTCGCGCTAGGTTCGGCGCCCTCCTCAGCGCCTCGCTCTCGCGCAATCGCCTTGGCATACATTTCGCAGTACGTCTTGAAATTGAGCTTAATGTGAGTGTCGTTAAGGTAGACTTTGATGTTGCGAACGGTGCCGGCCATGTCGTAGACCCGGCGATAGAGCAGAGACTCGAGGTCGTCGTCGATGCCATTTTCCATGCCGAACTTCTTAAAATCTGGCCGGAAACTGACGCGGACGAAGTCGCTCGACTTGCTATTCGTGATTTTGGCCTTGCCCATTTTACCCATGTTGTCCGTCCATGTCTGCTTGTATCGCTTTCCGTTCTTGGAATCCTGGCATTCGAGGGTGAACTCGGTGCTGAAGACGTTGCAAAGCTTCGCACCGTAACCGTTTCGGCCACCGACAGTTTTCTTCTCGTTGTCGTCAAAGTTGGAGCCGGCAAGGAGATGACCAAAAACCATTTCCGGAATGTAGACGCCCTCGGTGCCGTGGATCTCGACCGGGATGCCTCTGCCATTGTTCTCGACAGTGATCTTACCCTCTTCACGGTCAATCGTGACCTTCATGTAGGTCATACTGGAATCTCGCTGTTTATTGTCGGCGGCGTTGACCAAGATCTCGTCGAATATCTTGTACAGACCAGGCACAAAGCCAACCTTAGGTCGCAGCTCCATCTGCGTCGTCTCTTTGTTGAACACCCACATCTGCTGCTCGGTGCGCTCGACTGAGCCGATATAGGTGTCGGGTCGCTTAAGGATGTGTTCCAGTTGAGTAAGCTTCTGGTACGTCTCCGTGGCCGTCTTCTTGCCTGGCTTGGGCGCGTCGACCATCATGCTATCGTTTTCGATCTCGCCTAGGGGCTCACCGCCGGACTTCTTAGAAGTGGACGCCTTCTTTTGTTTCTTCGCGCTTGGCGGGGTGTTGGAGAATCCCGAGGCATCGTCGTCTTCATCATCACTCTCGGTCTTGGAACGCTTCTTGGAGGCGGTCTTGGGCATTTTCAAAGTTGTTTGAACCGTCTTTTTTGGCACGGCCTTGACTGCAGGCTTCGCTGCAGGCTTCTTGGCGGCTGCCTTGGCCTTGGGTTTCTAGCGGTGCGCACCGTTAGCTCTCGATACCCATACGATGCGTGTGTGTGTGTATATGTGTGTGTGTGTGTGTGTGCGCGCGCGCGTACGTGTTGTTAAGTAGATGATGGGAGGGGGGAATTTGTCTCATACCGGCTCGGGTTCGTAGCCACCAGAATCGTTCTCGAAGTCTTCGAAGACCGAGTCCTCCATGTCGGAATCCATGACGGCGACGGGTGCGGGTGACGTGTCGCGGGTGCGAACGCGACCCCGAGGGACGATGTGGTGGGCGTAGTAGGCGTCGCTGCGCTACGCAACAATCAATTCACGCTGGACCAATTCACAAGGTGAGAAATGGTAAGAGTTGCAGAGCGCCGACGCGATGGGGAAGGTGAAGGGTGAAGTAGGCGACTCGATATCGCAAGTCGGAGTGGCCAGAAGACGCTGATCTTTTTTGTCCCCTTCTTTTTTCCAGGGGAGGGGCCTCCGGAGGAAACGGTTGTGGGGGGGAGATTGTCAGCAATTGGTCTGCTGGCAGACGGGCCAGCCCTGTTTTGGCTATGCTGCTGTAGCGTGTGCAGTGCGCGTGGTGCGCGTGTACATGGTATGTGTGTATGAGGCGTGCTGTGGTATCGTACGTGTTGTTTTTTTGTGTTGTGTTGACGGTATAATATCATGTTGTTCCTATAATAATACCATGTTCGCTGTTGCGTCGAGGTAAACAATCGTGCCCGGTCGCGTCTGGCTTCCTTGCTTGGCGCTGGTACATGTTATCGATAAGACTCAGCGTTCCGATTAGGTACCTGAAGGTACCTGAGATAGGTAGGTAGGACGTATGTAATTTCTGTGCTCGCTCGCTGCCGCGAGGTACCTACCTCATGTACTTACGGTAATAGTGCCCCTCGGGTCCGATCAACGGCTCGCGATAGGCCGCCACAACTCCCGTAGGTCTCAGCCACAATCTACATGACCCGGACTCTACGTTCCTTGACAGGCAGGCAGCAGCCACATACATGGCTACCTAGGTACATACCTAGTATCCGCCCAATATCTTGAAATTATTCGTCACGTGACCCTCGCGAGAAGCGGTTCCTTCAGTTCAACCTCCCCTCACCCTCATGATCTGCTTTGCGCCTACAGCCTGCCGCCCTTCCATCGGCCGACCATTACTCCTCGTGACCACATACCTACCTACCTTTTCTACCTACCTACCTACCTCTTCTAGACCCAGGCGGTTGTTCCTCTCTTCCTCCTCGTTAGATATACCTAGCTGGGTCGCCCGTCTACTACCCCCCCCTCTTATATCCCCTCCCCCTACCCAGAAGCACCCTAGTCCGCGGCCAACTGTGAAGTGGGCATGCGATGCGTAGTTATCGTTACTCCAGACCTCGGCTGGATGTCTCCCCTATCGTCCCCATCAGACTATTAGTCCAGGACCCAGTCACGAGGAAATGCTAGGGGTGGTGCTAACCGCTTCGTTTGTCTGCCTACCGTTCCTTCAGAATGGTGCGGACACGGCTGCTCCCCTCCAGCTCGGTGTTGTTCTAGAGAGAGCCTCGTGCCGGTCTGCTTGTCTACGTGCCTCGCTATCTTTCCGATCGCAGTGACCTCTCGCCTCCTCGTCTCACCGGAACACATGGCCGTCCTTTCTAGAGACCTTCCACGGGCAAGGAGCAGTAATTCTCCGCCGCGCATGTGCTGTGTGACGCCCTTTACCAGTGTCGACAGGCAGAGACACGCAAATTTCCCGAACTCGACCGTACCCCCCCCGTAGCTTTGCTGCGGAGTTGCACCATGCATGGGAATCACCAGTACTGTCTCCTGCCATCCTACGCTGTACGACCGCAGGCGCCGTGACAATCATCGCCTGGAACTTCTATTCTTACCGGGAATAGCCCTACGGAACCTCAAGCTTGCCCTCTTTGGGAACTACAAGAGGCGAGAGACCCGACGAGGCCGGATCGTTTAGCCCATGCCATCTGCCTTCCTTGCCGTCGGTGCCATCTCCCGCCTCTGTTAACACTACTTGTAATGACAGCTAGGATATCCTTTCCGCCCGCCCGTCTGCCGGAACCGGTGGGGCGACCTGAGCCTGGCGTGGCTTTTGCCGCCAACAGCAGGGAAATACGATATAATACTGTGGAAATGAGACTCTCTGTCGAGCAACAGGTATCTCAGCTCTCCTCCGTGCTTGCCGGACAGCTTGTATTCTGCCCACGCTTCACAAATGCTATGCGTTCTCTACTTGTTGGTTTTGTTTGTCAACACTCATTTGCGATAGCGCAATCTGCTTGGAGCTGTAGAGTCTGGTTGCATGGCGGGAGGCCGCAGGCCCTAGTGTGGTCAGAACCGCAACTCGCTGGGAGACAAGCACAAGGGACTCATTGACTCGAGGCTTGGGCGTCCCGCGGAGGCAGCGTGCCGACTACCCAGTTTATACTGAAAGCTTCGGGGCGCCAGAGGAAGGGGGAGGGGATATACCTAATATGACTAGACAATGGCCGCTCGCCCTAAGTCGCGGTGAGAGGCAGAGGTGGGAAAGGAGCAGTAAAAACCCATCGAGTTACCTAGGCGTCTCCATTCCCCCCTTTTTTCGAACTCTTTCCTCTATTTATCACTTCCCAGCTCCGATCTCTAGAAGCATTTTCTGTAAATATCTGGGGGGGGGGGGTTGTTTTCTTTTTTTCGTCCAAAATCTAGCCGCGAGGAAGGTCGTGCGGAAATGAGCTGATAACTACGTCGACCTCTTAACATCTATGCAACCTACCACGCCTCTTCGACGGGAATTCTCAGGTAGTTGATGGAACTACATCTCTGTTCCACTCTCGCATGATTTATTCGTGCGTACTGAATTCTTGAAGGAAGCGTTGGTTCAATGTAGCGGTAGCTACAACTCCTATCCCCCCTCCCTGTACTCATTATGTTCGCTGCCGATGCCAGGTCTTCAAAGATGTCCCCACTGCTTCTCGAAATTCTCATGGGATCCTTTCGGAAACAGGTGAAAGAGTCCTTGCGTAGCTCCCGGATAGGCACAGAGCTCTCCACCAAGCGAAACGCCTTCGCGGCGGTCAAGCCCAAGACTGAGCTCGCGTTCCTGTCTTAGATGGGAGAACAGCGAAGAATTCCTCGCCTAAGCGGAAGGCTACGAAGTGCTCTCTCATAGACCGACATCTTTACGAGATGGGAAGCACTAGGTACACGTATGTCGAGTCTAGCAATCGCTGTCTAGGATCCAATATGCTTATTACGGGCGTTTTTCTTTGTTCTACCCTCTTGAGAAACCCGGCTAACCTGGTAGCTTGACGGCAATATCTGCAGCTGTCCGTGAGGTTGCTTTCTGTCAAAACTCCCCTATCCATTTTCAAACAATCCCGGTCCCTGTTTGGGCTTTCCGCCGGGAGTATTTGCTGTGTCAAACTCATTTGTTGTCTCTAGCGACAGATCCGCTGCGTCATGTGGTCACCTGTGGTCGCCCCTTTTGGGTCAGCGCCTGGACTGGTGAGATGTATTGAAACCGGCCTTACCTCGATGCTGCCCTGGAATCCATGGACCGATGTGATACATCTAGTATTGCCTGGGACCATCTAGTCGACAGGGCTCCGGAATCGACCTCACCATCCCGCCATGCTACAGAGACGAGAACCCTCTGCTGCCGAAGCGCTCCGTTAAGGCGCCGTTCTGCCGCCAGCAGTGTCCCCTTTAACTTCTAACCTGAACCTCCCGAGCCCGTCGCCACTGAAATAGAATAGCACAGTCCGGGGATGCTTCAGTCCTCTCCTACTACCGCACTCTCCCTCCTTGCCTCGCTCGACAGCCTCTCTCGTCACCTATCACATTAGCAACTTTGAACTCGATCCTGTAAAGAGCGGTGGGCACACACAAACGGGCTTCTCTTCTCTCACAGGCCGATTCCAAGACAACTTGAACAAAGAAAGCTGCACCGAATATCACGACCGACAAGGCATCACCGGACACCGCCCAAGTGCTCTGCATATAGCTGCATGACTGGGTGCAGTCAAGAAAGAGGCAATCTCGGTCCCCTTGTACCAGCATGGGCTCGCCGTCTGGCGAGGGCGTACTTCAGCAGTTCGTCTGTTTGCCAAGTTGAAAAGGACTTGGCTTCCTCTCCCTGCCCCTTTCTGGTCTGTCGACGCAAGTCCTGCCTGTCTTGAGTCCCTCTCTGCCCAACTCATCCTCCCCCCTCCCCGGAACCCCCCTTCGTAGACGCCCATCCGTAACGCTGCTTGCATCAGCCCTCCGTCCGTATTCGAGACATTCCAACCTTCCACCGCTACTCACCGCCATGCTATCCTTGGCCTCTCTTCTTAATCCAGCCCCTCCAGGGCCACCAATCAATCGGTTATCTCCAAGCCCAGCCTCGTCATCATCCCCGACGGCTTCTCTGCTGGAGGAGTCGACTCTCGTAGGCGAATCTATAATGGCGAGACCGAAGATACCAAAGGACCTGGCACGTCTTCCTAAGAGCAGACCTAAGGGTGACGTCAACTTTCATCCCTTCGAGAGACTGGACGAAGCTTCGCTCCGCCAGGTTCGAAAGTTCCGCATACACCCCTTCGGGAATATACAGGACTATTCCCGACACATCCCCTACAACAGCGGGAAGAAGGATTTCTACGAGAAGACGGGTCGAGAAAGCTTTGAAGGTAAAGAACATTGAGACACCAATCCCCCCACCCGGAAAAGAAGAAAATCGTTATCCTCATGGGACGCGATGATCGTCGTATTAACCCGAGCGCAGTTTTTCACTATGAGTTTAAGGTACCGGGAGACGATACCGAGTATACTGTTATGTGGGATTATAACGTCGGTCTCGTCCGTATGACTCCTTTCTTCAAGTGCTGCAAATACCCAAAGGTTAGTCCGCTTCTTCGCGATCCGCGGGAGACAACCGGGCCTTACGATCTGAGAGTTGGCTAAGCGTCGCAGACAACTCCGGCCAAGATGCTGAACTTGAATCCCGGACTCAAGGATATCACACATAGCATCACCGGGGGTGCTATCATGGCTCAGGGTGCGTATCGTGTTAGGAACCACGGTCTCCTTTCTTTATTCTCTTCGGAGACGAACTGACAGATTCTTGGAGCCGATTTGGAAAGGATACTGGATGCCATACCAGTGTGCCAAAGCCGTGTGCGCGACCTTCTGTCACAATATCGCAGGGGCCCTGATACCTATATTCGGTCCTGACTTCCCCTCGCTCTGCACCCACTCGGACGCTCCCGAATATAGCCGCATGATCATTGATCGTGCAATCGTAGTCCAGGCTACGAGGGAGGCCGAGAACTTCCGCAGATTCTACAGCAACCCTGTGACCTCCTCCCCCTTTGCTGGGGGGAGTTCTAGCCCGACGACGATAGATAGACGCGCCGTGCGCCGTAGCCCCTACGACGGCCACCCCAAATCGCTCCCTCCTCATCCTCAATCTCACACACACCACCACCACCACCACAGCCATACTCGCCATACTCACCGCCATCCTAGTACCCGGAAGACCTTCTTCCAGGGAACCAACCGTGATAGCCCATATAAAACAATGGGTGACGTGGATGGAGGCGACCTGTCGCCCGTAGTACCGCCCCAACGCAGCAATATGGGGACACGGACCGAGCGCTTCAATCCCTACTCGCCGATTCCTCCTCCTCCTCCTCCCTCCTCCGCTTCGTCTTTACGACCCGCCATAACTGGCGGCGGCTGGACACCGGCGAATGTTGTGCTACCACCCCCTCCACGCCATCATTACCATCAGCAGCACCACCACCACCACAGCTCGTATGACCCGCCCGCGCCGAGCCCCTGGCTGAGTGCCGTCCCGCGCTTCACCACCACCGCCCACCTGCCGCTCTATCAGCCGTCTCAACCGCAGCCGACAACGCCGCACCATCAGCAGCCACAGTCGCAGCCACAGCTGTGTATAGGCGGCAAGCGATCAGCCGACCACGTCGAAGCCGACAACGAGCGCGGCGAGGACTGCGACGGCACCGGGGCGCGTAGACGACCCGCGGAAAGAGAGGGGCCGGAGGCCAACCGGAGGGCTTGGACAGCCATGGCGACGAGGAAAAGCAATACGGAAGCGGAGGAGACTACGGCAGCGTCGGACGCCTCTCGTCAGCGGAGAGGCGGCGGCGGCGAAAGCAGGAGCGACAGCAGCAAGCAACCGCCGCCGCGGCCGATTCTCGGGGGCGCGGACAAGAATGCGGCGCTGCTGCTGATGAACCTCAGCGTCGGCGACGCGCCGGCGCCGGCGCCAGCGACCAGGGGCGAAGCAAGGACGGCGCACGGAGGGGGACCCGGGGCCGGCGGCGGTGTCGCGGCCGCGTCCGAGACGAACCCTGCGTGCCACGACGGCGCGTGCCCGCGTATCAAGAGGATCCGGTCGAACTCGATGTAGCCCCCGCGGTATACTTCGGCAGGCATGTCGTCTGTACCGCGCATCCGTGCGGCGTGGCGAGTTGTCGGCCGAGCCATGAAAAATGTGGGTGAGGTGGCGGACTGGGGGAAAGGGGGTGGGAGGAGGAGAAAGGACACAAGGAGAATAAGGGATCGCCACTTAGCTGCCTGCCTACTGGCGTGCCTAGTTATCATCCTACCAAATCCTTGCTATGAGCAGTACTACTTGGCTAGCGGGTTACGTCCTCTTCGCTGCGGGTTAGGCCGGATTGCATAATGCCTAGATACAGGTCCGGTCTGGATGCGGGGAGGAGAGGCAAGAGAAAGTGGAATAGGAATGGGGAGGGGGAAAAGATACGGTTCGGTGGCTGCGGTCGGGACTAGGACCCCGGATGCTGGGGGCCGGGGGATAGCCAGTCCTCGACGTCTTGGATACTTTGGAGGTAGAGCGGATGGGACTTGACGATGTCCTTGCTTGCCACATACACGCACATCGACGGGCAGGCAATAGAGCTTACCCTGAGGACCACCGCGCGTCGTATGTGAATGCCGAGGTTGAGAGAATCGAGGAATGCGTTCATTTAATCGCTACCCCTCTTCAGTATTGCGAGACATTCAAGCCTGGGTGGGTAGTATCAGCGGCGGTCGTTGACCTCCACTTTCTTTTATCCCTTCTCAAGCGCCTCTACCCTTCCTTTGTCTCCCCGCCCGTCTGCCCGAATCTTCCCAGCTGGCGGACATGTACCGGTAGGCAAGTAACCTTTACCAGCCCCTCGCGAGGATACCTGCCCCCCCCCCCCCCCCCCCCTTAACACACACTCACCCACTCGCGTCAGCCTACGCACCCGCGCTGGCGCCACTCTTCGCCGCCTTACGGTCCTTGAACTCGCGGACCCAGGCGGCGGCGCGGGTTTTGGGCAGGACGTAGATGCGGAGGAGCTGGTCGACGACCTCGACGTCGGCCGAGGTCAGGGTCTTGAGCAGGGACGCCTTGCGGCCGACGCGAACGAGCCCGCCGGCGGCCGTCTCCATGTAGCACTCGACGGCGGCGGCCGACGCGTACTCGCCGCCCTCGTCCCATGGCGGCGGCAGCACGTACGCCAGGTGGTCGGCCAGCGTGTCCGCCTCGCCGAACGCCTTCACCAGGTCCGACAGCATGTGCGCCGGGTAGACCAGCACGGCCGGGAACGCGAGCGCGCTCCTCGCGTCGTCCGGGTCCGGCACCAGCCGGATCGCCGCGTCCTCCAGCTCCGGCGGCCGCGCCGTCGCGCGCGTGCGGATGCCCCGCGCCCGCAGCGCCGCCCGCACGAGCGCCGCCCGCCGCGTCTCGCGCGCCGCGCGCTCCGCCTCCGCCCGCTGCCGCGCCGCCTGCTCCGCGGCCCGGGACGCGATGTCGTGCGCGAGGCTGCGCAGCGCCTCGCTGGCTGGGTCGAGCGCGAGGCCGGCCGCGCAGGCCGCGCTGGCCTCTTCGACGCGGCCGACGGCCAGCAGCGCCCGCGCGGACCGGTAGTGCGCCTTGAGGTTGCGCGGGTCGAGGCGCAGAGCCGCGGCGCCGTCGAGCCAGGCGCTGCGGTAGTTGCGCAGCTCGAGGTGGCAGGCCGCGCGGTTGGCGTACAGGGACTCGAGCACGCGGCGCTGCTGCGCGACCTCGCCCGCGTCCTCAGCCGGCTCCGGCGCGCCCGCCGCCCGCTTGCGCTCCTCCGCCGCGAGGACCAGCACGCCCTTGGTGTAGAACTCCTTGGCGTCGGCCCAGCGCCGCGTGCGGAAGCACTCGTTGCCGCGCTCCTTGAAGTCGCTGCCGACCTCGAGCGGCGTGCCCTCATACGCGAGCGCCCGCAGCGCTTCCGTGTCGTCGTTCTCCTCCAGCTCCGTCATGAAGAAGGGCATCTTCTTGAGCTCGGCGACTACCTCGTCCACCGTCTTCCGTTCCGTCATCGCCCGGCCAGGTGACAGCGCCGGAAACGGCGCCGCCGACGGCAGGGCGTCATCTTGTGATGGCGATGGCTGTGTTGGTTGTGGCAGTGATGGTGATGGTGACGATGGCTTTTGTGTGGGTTCTCCCTCCCGTTGCGACTCCGATTTACGGTCAGTCTCGACTTGCGAGAGCTTAAGACGCTCCGCTATTTCGTCCGTGATCTCTTCGGCGTGCATCCCGAGTCACTGGCCTCTCAAATTCCTTGTCCTTCGAGTTTTCTCTTTGCCGAATTGGTGCCTAGAATAGGTCCTTCAACCTCCTAGTTTGGATATTCCTGGGCACTATTTCACTGGGTATATCCCCCGAGGTCTCTCGCGTAAAGATGCGGAAGCAGTTGTTATAGCGTATACTGCTCTCCCCACTCTCAATCGTGAAAGCTACTCCAAGACTGCGATTTTCGCGACGTAGCAAAGACTGGATGACTTAGGTATTTATTGAATGGTGGCCGAATTACATCGAGGTATGCACCAACTGGAGTGTGTAGTCATAAAGGTGGGGTTTGGAGTTGCTCTTTACGATATGCAGTTATGCATATATTCGTATTAACGAGTATACCCCTATATCCTCCCACAGACGTTGAAGCCTTCCACTCTATGTGTCATCGTCTATGCTACAACGCCATTCGCTTTTGTTTCTTTCAGAGGATCATATGCCGACGCCGGCAATCCCTCCCCGTTGACCTCGGCCAGTGTTTGTTTGAGGGCAGCCAAGAACCTCGTAACCTCGTCTTCGGTGCCGACTGTGATCCGCAGGCAGCCAAGGCAGCCGTGCTCCTTGCCCCGGAACCGGACCACGACGCCCTTGTTCTCGGCGAGCGTCTCGTATACGGCGAGCGCCGTCGCGTTGTCCGGGTCGCCATGGGCGTTCAGCATCTCGAACAGGAGGAAGTTGCTATCGATGCCACCACGCAGCCGCCCGACGCCCCGGATCTTCGGCAGCGCCTCGAGCAGCCTGTTGCGCTGGCGTACCAGCCTCTCCTTGTTCACAGAGACGGCGGCGAGGCCCTCGGGCGACACGACGTACGACGCGAGCGCGCTCGTCGGGCTCGAAATGTTGTACGGCGCCTTGAGGCTGTTGAGTAAGAGCGCGACGGGCGGCGAGGCGAATGCGACGCCGAGCCGGATGCCTGCCATGCCGAATGCCTTAGACAGCGTCTGCATGACGACGAGGTTCGGCCACTCGGCGACCCACTCGGCCAGGGATGTACCCGCTGGCGCGAAGTCGACGTACGCCTCGTCGAGGACCACTACGCCGTTCCACGTCGGGTGCTCCAGGATAGCTCTTACGTCCTCCTTGCCGAGAAGCGACCCCGTCGGGTTCCCGGGTGAGCACAGATATACTAGCTTGATGTGTTCCTCCGACGATAGCGCCTCTTTCACTTTAGCGACGTCAAGGCCGAACCCGGGCGCCGGGAATAGCGGCACCTTAACTAGGGCAACGTCGTTTACCTGCGCCGACACCGAGTACATGCCGTATGTCGGGGGGCAGACCAGGATGCTGTCCCGACCGGGCACACAGAAGCATCGCAGCAGCGCATCAATGGCTTCGTCGCTGCCGACGCCGACGAACAGGTTGTCCGGCGTGATGGTCTTGTCCGTGTGGACGTGAGTGTTGCGCAGGTCGCATAGCAACTGTTTCAGATCCCGCTGGTGCGGATCCGGATACCGGTGCAGACCTAGGAAGTCGATCTCGGCGCCAGCACCCATTGACGCGGTGGACACAGCGGTTGCCGTCAAGGGCGGCCCGCAGGCGTTCTCGTTGGCATCCAGGAGGATGTTTGTGCCGTCGTCCTTGTAGTCACTATACGGCACGTTTGCTGTGAGCGCCCACGCTCGGATACGATGAAAGAAGATTAGGTCTTACTCTCGCGCGCATCGGTACGGCTCGAGGGCGAGGATATTAGGCCTCGCGCAGGTTTGAAGATTGAAGGGCGACATGACCACTACTGATCGGCCAACTCGGACGACAGTACCTATGCCTTTGGCCCGTTTTGCTTCTGAAAAATCGATGCTGACAGGTCCTGGATGTGTGTCTGGCCTCTCATGTAAATCATTCATAAATAAGGTGCCTTATCAGTAGTCCGTAGCTCGGTTTACAAGGGATTTCTTAGTGAGTCAGCTCTCGCCGCGGTGTAGGTAGGTATATCCGATCGGAGGGGCTTGAGAAAACTTCAATTGGCTAATAAGGTGGGGTTCGTTACTACTTAATTGCATGAATGCAAGTATACAACTTACGCCCCAGCCAAGTGTCACCATCTGAGTCCATCTTCAAAGCGGCGACGATTTCAGACTCTAACCGCCCTCAAAGGGCATAATATTGGTATCTTTATCACAGTTCCTCGTAGACTACGTCTATATGTATACCCTATATTCGATGCTGGCGTAAGAAATTCATGTATTAGGCGCGGTAAACCGCAGCAAAAAGAGCTCTCTTAACCAATCTCCTCAGGAGACCAACGTAAAAGATACATTAACTTTTAAGAATAGGAACAAGTCTCGCTATGGGGCTTGAATACGGTAATCAAAGCAATCAGCCTGCTCAAAATATCTTCGTCTCGAAAAGTAAAACAGCACGGTGCCCTCCCCAACGCCAATTCTTATGCTTTATGTCTGGCATGACATATCGAACATCTTCCTTCCATGCGAGAACCCAAAGCTAGGCCCTAGTCCGAGGGTACGGTCCAAGGTTCGGCGCTTCCTAGCAGTTAATATAAGCGACGACGACGGAGCTATTTCTAAGTATTGATATCGAGCCACCTTAGCCCTTGACGTGCTTAATCTCGCCAGCCTTGAATGGGGGTGGTGCCCTCTGGGAAAGAAGACCCTGGACCGTCTCCAGTGCAGTCATCTGTTGGCCGAGCCCAACCACGCCATCGAAGCCTCCAACGTACCATTTCTGGCCGCATTCCGTACCCTTGGCACCTCCGGAGCAGGCCCTGGCGGCGGCGGCGGCGCTAGGCTTCAGGAGCTCCTCGACGCGACCGAGCGTCGAGGGCATCATCCGCGTCGTGGCCCACATGAATCGCGAGAGGTAGCCCTTGAAGGACTTCATGTCGTTGTTGCACGTTCCGTACGGCTCGCAGGCTTGCTCAAACATGACGTTCGTAGAGTTGTCAAAGGGACTGAAGTAAAGATCGGCTCCCTTCAAGAGGTTGTTGGTGCGGTCGGCCCACACCTTGTCGCCCTCTGTGTAGTTGTAGAGAACCGCGGCACCGTACAAGTAAATCCCATGCGAGTACGAAAACGACAGTCTATTCAACTCGGCGCAGTTGTCCCGGCGGTCGGCACCATCGTAGACGATGAAGGTTTTGGGGTCGATGAAACCGACCTTCTCGGACCAGTCCCATACTTTTTTCGCCCACTCGTAATAAGTGGCATTACCGGTCGCTCGAGCTAGGCGCGCTGACAGTTGAAAGAACCCGCCATTGGAGACACTGTTCTTGTAGTTCATGCCATTGGGGTTCGACTCGAATATCTGCCAGGCAAGCCCACCTCCACAGGCAGTCTCGTCCCACCTCGGGGCCATGGTGTTGAAGGTGTTGATCGCGATGTCGAGCCACGGTGGGATGTTGTCGTCGGGCTGCGGGAAATTCCTCTCGGCAGCCTCGAGGATAGAAAAGCCCCAGAAGGCTTGGTCATCGTTTCCTTCGGATCCAAAGTGAAGCGGGTTCATCAAATCAAAGTTGGGGCCGACTTGCGACACAAGAGCTTGCTTGATGACTTCATCGTAGCTGGAATCACCAGTGTAATGCGAGTAATCCAACATAGCTCCCCAGGCTGCGCCTGCTTGCCACCAGACTATGTAGTTCGAAGTCAGCGACAGACGAAGATAATACCGAGGACAGTAGATGCTAGGGGCAGTCTTACAATGTGGTTGAGGGAAAACAGCAATAGTCTAAGGGACATTATATTAGCTTTCGCAACTTGAAATTAAGAGCAGTGTTACATACCTCTGGAGTGTTGGTCACATTTCCAGAGTAATAGGACATAAGCCCATGGGCAATCGTGCTAGCGACACTGCGTATCGATGCTGCGCGTCGATTAGCTGCTGTTTTCCGGAAACCCAACTAGGACAGTGCAAAGGTGCCTACATGGACTGTTGACATCGAGGTCTTTGGGCGGGATGAATATCGCTGCCAGCGCGGCAGCGTTGACAGATTTGACAAACATTTTCGAGTTCGCGGATGACAGGGATAATTTTCCTTGTAGTGGTTCTAACGGGATATCGAAACCTGGAAACAGGTCTTGCGTAATACACTCTACAAATCTGAACTGGGACCGATTGGGAAAGCTAAGGAGCACACCCGGTGCAGGATAACGAAAGGAACCGGTCGGTTATGATAGCGAGCAAAGAGACAATGAAATATAGAAAAATCTATAAGAAACAGCAGCCGTCTAGATTCCCGGAAAGACGCCTGTTAACGACTCACGCAGGCCTTGAGTATGCTAGAAAGGAATAAGGAAAAGGAGGGGAAAGGAAAGCACACCAAATCAACGCTGATTGAACGTGAAGAGAGAGTAAAGACAGAATGACATATAACTCGAAAGGAAAACACGCACTGATGAGAGAATCCACTCGCGAGGGAGGAGTTGGGAGGGACGAAGGGGGGCTTTATTCGTGTCATCCTAGAGAACAAGGAGTTAAAGGATTACTGCGGTGGTGTATCGGGTTTATTGGTGAGGTATCCGCAACACGAAATCCCCATCATACCAAGATACCTACCCAGCCTACCCCGATCCCGCTAGCATCGATCTTGAGTCGGCTGGATCGCATATCGGCGTGGTTGCATCGCCTTGGTTGGCTAGCAGGTCTGGGGCCGGAGAATACGAGGCAGTCCGTCTTCTGCTCGCAGGCGACGCCATGCTGAGGCATACTCAAGGAGACGCTGAAGGAGGGCGAAGAAAATAATAGCGGCTAAGGGGGAGACCAAGCCTTACCCGGGCGTGCAGATGTCCAGGCCTAGCCAGCCACCAATCCGTCGGGCGACTATGAGGAACTCTAGATCCATCAGGTGGGAGAAGGGGTAACGTCGAAGATGGCGGGCGGTAACGTCGAAGAATTAGGAGACCTAAGCGCGGTGCCTTTCGGGAAGGACGTTTTGTACCTATGGTTGAGAGGAGCAAGGAGTGCCAAGGCGACGGGGGTCTGATCAGGACCCCCCGTCGGCCGGCCATTTGCTGCTTTGCCGTACGTAATCAGGAGACAGCGCAGCTTGATTGGCTGTTAATCCACCGCGATTTCTAGCGGGGCTGAGGCAACCGCACCGACCGCACCTTACCGCACCTGAAACTGCGAAACCGCGACTTTTCCGAACCTTCCTGATTCTTACTGGCTGGATGTACTTTCCGCCTTCTGCTATTTCCAATGCTTGACCCTCTTGCCTTCCTCCTTTTCTCAGGTCGCGCCTTTAGGACCAGGCAGGCACGAGAATACCCAGATGCGGCACACCTTGACGGCCTGCTTATGTAAGATTCCGCCTTGCTCGTTTGTCGCGCGACTGTCTTGCGGGTCGCTTAGGTACCTGCCTACCTACCGTAGGTACCTAGGTACTTTAGCCGATGGCACCTACCCACCTACACCTATTTTCATTTACCCACAATGGAATACAAGCAATTCTATTTTCATCACCTTGGTCGCTTTCCTATGTACATGCCTTCTTGCGCAACTGAAATCGTAGCCATATGCTCAGAAAGCCATGTCAAGTGTGAAAAGGCCTTTACATTTTTGACCTACCTGCCTACACATCCCAACAAGCTGGCATACACAACAGGGCAGGTCTATCCCCGCGAGATCTGATATCACGACGTTTGCCATGTTCAATATTGAGCCGGGGATCAACCCAGCGTAGAGTCGCATTGGCGCCGCTCTCGGCCTCATCATGTAGCCCGATAAATGCTACTAGGAACGCTCCTCGGAAGCCCGACTGATACGTTGTTTCACATTTACGGCTATCTTTATCTTTGGCTTGCCCCCCATGGGATCACGTTCATTAGAGTGACCTGATTACCGATTCGATGCAAACCCTCAAATCTTGAATCTAAATATTGACATTTCGTATCCGTCCACACCTGTAACCCACAGCTTCACTCATCGAGTTGAAAGCGTGGCAAGTTGGAAAATAGCCAAACGATAGACACACTGAGAGTTCCAGCCCACGTCGAACTCCCAGGTACGGTTGTGAGAGGTTACGTGCCGGAGTAATTCAGGACTCACAGAAACTGCCGTTGCTCTAATGCCTAGATGTACCTAGGTGGAAATTATCCCCGGGTCAGTCCATATAATAATCGATGGGGCAGGATCTCCTCAGGTGGGCGGTGGTTAGAGAGTTGTGAAACCCTAAATTATATGCAATGATTGTACGAATAGATCAAGTCGGCAGGTGAACCGACGACATTTGCAGATTATGTGGGAGCGTTGGTCTACCGATAGATAGGTAGGTAGTTATTTGCCTATGAGACTGGAGCACTGTGGTTGCATAACGATAACTTGGAGTAGACGGGAGCCTCGGCTTGGTTATGGTGGCCTTCCACTGACATGACTCATTCCGGAATCCAACTTGAGCAGAATCCGGCTCGGTGGAGTTCCCGCTGTCGGCGAGTTGGTGTTATGGCCTAATCGGCCGTCCCGCAATTCGGCTTCAAACAGGCCAGTAATTATACATGCAGCCGATCGCCCGACAACTCGGTGAGAAAAGACTATGCAAGAGATTAGCCTTCGTTACCTAGCTGCTTTCTAGTGCGAAATGCCTGCGTCAGCGAGAAGATGATGAGACTTGATTCGGCCCTCCTATGCCCGCTTGTCGTGCCATTCGCCTTGAATCTCGTCCGTGTGTTCACGTAGCTCGTTTGCTACTGTGTGCACTTTCTATTATGTAGACCCAGTGGATATGGATGGACCTGTGATCATGTGTGCCAGCTTGCGGTTACCCATTAGAACGAACTGATTGTATTGCCCTGTCTGCCACCTTCGTCGTGACTAGGGCTACGAGCTGTTATCGTCTAGGCCATAGCACGGCGCACGATAATACATTATGCCGACCATGTGACGGTATTTCCGAGTCCGGTCGTCGCTATCTTAGGGCTAGTCGGCAAATATGAGTCCCGCAAGTCCAGAATCGTCCCGGCTCAGTTGAGAGCGCTAGAGTAGAAATGACCTTTAATAACTGCGGGAGCTCGATTCGTTGGAATTAATAACGTGTGTCGTTTGAGTTGCGCATTTACGAATGGCAGTTGTCCCAAGTACCACGGGGCTCATATCAGGCGGTGTAAACCTAGAGGATGGAGAATTTAAAAGGAGATAATTTTAATAATAACGAGAAGCTTCGGGTTTCGAAGCCACCCACGCAGATAGGCAAGAATGAAAAGAAAAAAAGCGCCAAAAGAGAGACTGGTATAGGAGGAATTTAACCTCCACTGCTGGACTCGCGGGGAATCGAACCCCGGACCACTCCCATGCTAAGGGAGTATTATACCACTAAACCACAAGCCCCGATGACACCACGTCGTGTTATATATTTCTATATACTTTCTATCCCCGATATATAGGTAACACGCTTAAAGGCCTGGATCCTTTCAAGAGACCCGGCCAACACAGGAAACACGCATCGCGATTTGTACCGCACCTTAAACTCATTAACACATCTCTTTGACTTCATATCCCTTAATTTTTTTTCTTACCCGTTATTACCGCCACCTAATACCAATGCCGGTTTTAGACTGTGCAGGCATAGTTAGGCAACGCGTACGTCCCTGCCGTCGGACAAAGATGCGCCCCTTTCATGAGTGATCGGGCTTCGACGAAAATTTGCGCAAACTTATCTCCACAACCACTTAGCCAGGAGGCACCTGAGCGAAGGGATCGAAGGCCTATGAGTAGAGAGTTTAAATTACGTAGATGTGTAAGCCAGAGCCTAAATGCTCGTTATCGTCAAGGATACGAGGGTTTAAGGCGTTTCAAATTCCCGAAGGTGGGTAACTGAAGACATCCATACTACTTGCATGTACATATATGTGGACTTTTGAGTATGATAGAGCGAGAGAGGCTTTTGTGAATGCTGAGAAATGGCTATAAATGATATGAGCGGTATAAGTGGTGCTTAGGGATTCGGAATATATAGAAAGGGATTCCGGTTTCCTCTCACCCGTGAAGCAATTGCCATGGTGCTCTCGTCTTTCAATTACTCACTATATATATATATATATATATAATTAATCGTGACCCCTAGCCTCTGGGGTCTCCCTTTCATTTATGGATTCTCTGCCAGCCTTCGCCTTTATGCTCACCCACCACCTTCCCCCTTTCGTATTCACACCCGCATCTACACCAACCCACACGTGCCGTTGTGACGACGACGACGACGACGACGGATTATGAGGACGGCTGCCCACGTCCTTTAACTCGGATACCGAGTATCTTGCTCACAGGCAACCAACTCCCGTCCAGCCGAAGTAGTATATTCATGAAGATATAAAATATTTGTAAATTCTTCTGTGTCTTCCTTCTCCTTTGATCTATTTCGGCCTTGGGCGTATATCGACACGCCAAACAGCTGACCCTCATAGCCAAACCAGTCAACATTTAGTCTGACGTCATCGGCTAGCTTTAGCTAACATACCTCTTCCACAATAGCGTTGATATGTTGTTACGTATATACACCTACACACTTTATTTTATTGAATTCACGAGACCCTCTAATATTTTGGGATTACCAGTCCTATCCTGCCCCTTCGGCAGATTCGTTCCTTCGATCATCATTGCCGGACTTTCCCCAAGCCACCACATATAATTTTCAGGAAAGGGGGCGCGAAGAAAATTTTGAGGGAGGAGGAGGTGAAGACCGTCAACTGCCCATACGATAGGGGAAGTCCAGGTGAGGTCATCCAAAGTTTTGGCAAGCCCCGAGGAGGAGGGGGAGAGGGTTAGGACCGTTCAGGATGCCGCTGAGAACTGGGGAGGTCTGGTGTCGGAAGGATATAGGACATTTCAACTGCCTTCCAGCGTGGCGAAACTTAGCAAAACTTTCTCTAGACGATTACTCGACCTAGAAGCGGGCGAGGAAGGTTTCATGAGAGGAGGGACCACGTAATCTACCGTTAGGATCACAAGGACATATAGTCTTCAAGATTTCTTCAACCCTAAATGGGAGGAATATTCCGGCGAGCAATTGAGATCGGTCAGCAGTAGATAGTACCGCATATTAACGGAAAGTTCGAAGAGAGAGGGCAGAAGAAATCTCTCCCGACCTTTTTGCTCCGCTCCCCGCCTCTCTTACACCGGGAGAAAGGAAACATTGAGGACTAATCCAGGTAAGCTCTAGACCGCTTGCGACGTTTGGGTCTTCTAGTAACGGGAAAGGCTAAACAACGGTGGGGCGTGTCGAGATCCACCCACCAAGAGAAAACGGGTTATAAGAGAGAATTAGGTGTTCTGCTCTGTCCGAGGCGTCCGTCTGTGGACGGCTTTTCGTATATAAGGGGGAAGGGAGGAACGGATCTCATACCTCATGTTCCGGCAGCACATCAACCTGATATCTAACTACTCCTCGACTCTCCCCTCGAGATGCAGTTCTACGCGATCTTAGCACTCTTTGCCGTGGCCATGGCCGCCCCGTACGGACCTAAACCCGTCCCGTACGGACCTGAACACGGGCCCAACCCGGAATGCAAGCCACCTGCATACCGCTGCAAGCCTGATCTCACGGGTTGGCTGGTCTACGGCGTGAACGGCCGCTACTTGGTACGTCACTACCTCCCTGAGTCTCCCTTCTTATATTATTGTTATCGAAGGTGACCGTCTGCTGACGCATTGCGACCGATTGTTATCGTAGGACGGCGGAAGTTGCCCGCTGAATACGACTTGCCAGCATATCAACAACTTGCCCTACTGTATCGATGAGGACGGAGGGCACAGCGGAGGGTACGGCGGAGGGGACGTGGGGATTCTCACCCCACCCATGACAAACAGGACGAAGGGGGTCTCCGAAAAGAAGGGATTGGGGAGAAGGCATTAGACATACTTTCTCTGTTTGCTGTTTCGCTGTCCATCGTTAGGTTCGGTTTACGGACGTTCATTTTAAGAATGACCTAGGTCAACACGTAGCAGCAAAATTTCATACCGTGCGGGCTGTCTCGCGATGATTAAAGTTATCCCGGCCGGTTCTTAATTCTGTACTTACCTACCTCGGATACGATAACGAGTTACAAACTTAACCAGCGAACTACGATACTATCACGATAGGCCATGCCATCATTTTGCGCAGTGAGACTAACTACCTTGCCCTATCAGCATAACGCACGCGCATAGACACAGGGACGCAGTAACGTCTGCGGAATAGCATGTTGATTAACCTCTCAAACCGGAACCGGGAACAATTCGTTGTCGAAAGAAAAATGCATCGTCCATCCACTTGGGGAGGGAGATCCGTCGAGGAGCCTGCTCCGTCCCTGGCTCCTATCGCACTTCCTTATCCTCCTGCTCGAATACGCGAACTCTGGCAGGCTCAAGCAACAAGACATAGAGATATATAGTTCTAACGCGATTCTTTCACGACCCCGCCTCTCGCAGTGTCACTCCCAGGGACGATATGTAAGAGTCCCGTTCGAAGGTACGAAACCTCGTAGCGCAAGCGTAACTTCAACCATGTAAGAAGCGAGAGTGGTGGTCTGGGTATATATCAACGCCTACGACGCGCTCTCGCGGCTCTTGCGGTAGTTAGCCTGTAGACACAATGCGTTAGCCATCACCGAAGCAGCTGGGGAACAGATACAGGTCCCCTATATGTCTGATGACGTCAACTAACCTCCTGCTCAATCTGGAGACCCTCGATGATGGGGGCGAGCTCGCTAAGGATCTCGTAGGCCTTCTTGTGATATTCGACCTGGGCAGCGACGAGTTCGGCGAGGTTGCGGAGGGGCTCGGGAGTATCGAGAACCTAAAAAAGAAGGCCCTGGGGTTAGCGAAAATCTCTTGCTTCTTCGTTATTGAAATGGCGGCGGACGGCGGCGAATGTTTTCGCGCGTAGTACGTACGTTCTTCATGACGCCGACCGCCTCCTCGGTATGAGTGACGAACTCATCCTCAGCCTTCTCAATCTCCTCTTGGGCCTCGGGGCTCAGCTCGTCAATAGCAGCATGATGGTCGTCGCGAGGCGACGAGGCCGCGGCGGCGCCACCGCCACCGATCTTCCAGGTCGTGCCTTTAGCGCGGGACTTGACCGAGTCGAGGGTGAGGCGGGCCTTCTCGACGTTCTTGCGCGCGCGCGTCGCGAACATCAGGTTCGTGTTGAGCGTCGTGTTCCAGCCGGCGAGGTATCGGCTTTGAATCTGGGCGTCCTGAGCGAGCCGGGCTTCGCCCACCCGCTCGCTCGCCAGCGCATATTTCTCGAGTGCCGTCGCCAGCGGGTCTTCGCCCGCACCCGTGTGCTGCTGGTGCAGCACCCGCGAGCTCGCGAGACTCGCCCGCGCGATCGCGTGCGAGAACGTCTTGGGCTGCGGCTTGGCCGAAGGCGGCGCGGTGAAGGCCGCCTGGGCCTCCGCCGGCGTCGTGGCTGCCGTCAGGAGCTGCACCCTCTCGCTCACTGTCCGGCCGAGGTCCGAAAAGGTCTCCTTGATGTTGGGAGGATAGTCGTAGGCTTCGTGCGAATATTGCGAGCTGCATTATTGGTGGTATTGCATACGTCAGTCTGAAGCGCTGGCCGCTAGTAGCAAATGCTGAGATAGCTACGCTTGGTAGCTAGGTATAGCGGGGTACTCACGTCACCGCCAGCATCTTCTGATGGACCTGCTTAAGGGCATCGACACGCTTCTCAAGATCGATGTAATCGGGAGGGAGCTCGGTCTACAAGCATCTATCGTCAACGACATATTCGGCATCTCCCCTCTCTCGTGTGGAGGGGGCGGGGTGGGGGGAATACTTTGTCCTCAGCCTGACCCAGTTGCTCCTTGGTGTATTGAAAGGTACGAGAGGCGAAAGGGGTGATTTGGGAGCCGATAGAGCTGGCATAGTGTTAGCATGCGCACACTGGCTATGACGGTGCGCTCCCCGCCCACCGCAGTTTCAGGGTGGGCGGGAAATATACCTCAAGCTATTGCCAAGGGCTTTGAAATTGTCCATTGCGGCAGTTGAGGGGGAACGGGGTGGCTGAGTCGGAATGTTCGGTGCTGATTTGGTCAGGTTCCGAGGTTCGTGTGCTCGGTGATCGACGACAGTGTTGAAGATTCGATGTTTTGTCGTATCTTGTAGAGAAGACGAGATCAGATGCGCTGCTGGCGTTGTCAGGGGTGCACACGCAGTGCTGCTGCCAGTTGAGCTGACCACCGTTATCTACCCTACCAAGGCTGCAAAATTGTGCGTGTACTAGGTATACTACCCCTCTATTGGAAAAAACGGTGCGGGCGTCTCCCGTATATTAGCATCTGTAGGTACCTAAGGTACTACCCAAAGTTCCATGTACCTACTTCACGTGGAAAGTAGCGAGAAGGTACGCAACCCTAACCGTAACAACTGCACCTGGCGATATTACGGGATTCATAACGTAAAGCAGAACGTTTATAGGTACTTGTAACGTTTTAAGTACCTAATTTCCAGTCAACTTAGCTTACCCCTCCACACGAAATACGAGGCAGGTACCTGCATGTGTATTTACACGTGACTACGGCACGTGAAGCCGCTGGTAGCGATTATCCAAATTTTCATCATTTAGCTTGGTTCCTGTCAGTTGAAATAGAGATCTATCTGGTCCTCTCTCTTGAAGTCCCTCGTTGGTTGACTCTGGACGGGCCACGAGCTTCAGTCTCCGCTTATGTCTGAAGACCACGCGGCTCAAGCATGGAAACACCGGGATGCAATGCCAAAAGGCAACTCGAACTAGCACGGCCTAAATTACGGCTATTATCACCCACGTAACTGAGTGTCTTCTACCTGAGCGATCCGGGCACGATTCCGAAGTCACAGTCCTGACATGACGGCGGACGCGTCTAGACCTTTCATACGGTATCTATATAGGTATATTCCGGATTCTATCAAACCAAGAAGCACGATATTCCGTGTTCGTATCTTGGTGTATATTCAGCCGTTTTTTCTGTTAAGGAATGTGCATTCGCGGTGGTATGTGTATGCATCAGTCAACTTGTAAGAGAAAATGGCGTGCTGTGACGCCCTAGTGTGTCTGGTGTCGTGTCCGGAGTTTCGCTGATATCACGGATATCACCGACCTCCTGCGTGCCCCTGCCGTCGACCTGCGCCTCCGTCTCCCTTGGCTGCAGGTTCATGCAGACAGCGTCGAACAGCGCTTCCTACAGGCTGTAGGGACGCGTCGATAAGCCTCCTACGGTACCTGCGTTGTCGTGCGAGTTGTCTTGTCCGCGTTTTCTAGATACACATACCGCGATCACTATGAAGATTGGGGATTACACACCCTCGCCCACAACTATTCTCTTTTCGTGTCTCAGCATGCATACCGATGGCGCTTCGCCCAGCCTTTAGATCCATACTCTTCTTCATGGCGCTGCAAAAATGCACCGCTCACAATGAAAAGATGGGATTTGAAAAGCAAAAATTGCGCCCGCTATGATCCACGAAGGATAATAGAAAAGGGCCGGCTCCGCGCTGTGCAATGCAGGCCTGCCCCCATGAGAACCCGTCTTCTTGAGCAGGGATCCTCCGAACAAGGTAAGTATGAAGAAGAAAGAGAAAGGAGAAGAGGTGAGAGTCGAGGGCAGGAGACGCGATTTAAATACTTCTCTGCTAGGCGGTGTAACGGTAGCACAATCAGCAAGAGCGGCAGAATTCTGCGTGGCAGCCACAAGGTACAAGAGTACATACCTGGGTACATTTACCGCAAGAAGGATGTACCTAGGTATATATGTATCACCAGTCAGCACCGTCCGATTACAAAACAGTCTCCATTAAAAAGAAGACTTCACGTGACGGGAAGCTGTTTCGTCAAACCGCCACCATGCAGCTTCATGTCCATTCTCCCCTCCATAGGCAAATCGCAGATAAGGGTGCCCGCGAGGGAATTTGGACGATTGGGACCGACAACGAACCACCCAGCCGACCACCCTTCCACCATTCAGACGCCAGACCTACCGACCCGTCTGGATAGCCAGCCATACCTACATCGGATCGAAGCTATACCTACGAAATTACGACTCCCGAACCTATCCGCGCCTGACCTAAGGGCAACTTACATATCCATACGCACACAACCCCTCCCCCTCCGTTTCCGACCACGATATGCGGCCGACGCTCCGACTCTTAGCGGCAGTCAAGCCAGGCGCTGCTGCCGCTGCCGCGAGCGGGGCGCGGTACCTAGAGGCGGGGACACCGACGGGGCTGACGGGGCTGTTGACGCACCCGTCGCCGCGGTCGTCGCTGATCTACCTGTACACGCGGACGCTAGAGAAGCTGTCGACGGGGCCATCGGCGCCGCCAGCGTCGTCGCTGTACCGGCGGTCGGTGGAGGCGGTGACGCGGCACCGGCTGGCGGTGGTGGAGGCGGCGACGCCGCCGGGGCACGCGGCGTGGGCGGAGCGCGCGCGGAAGCTCGCAGCCGAATACCCGGCCCAGTTCCGCATCGCCGCCGAGGCGGCGGCCTTCGACGACCCTTACACGCGCGGCCACGGCACCACCGTGCTGCAGACCAGCGCCGGGGGCAAGGCCGACGGGCGCCTGTTCCTGCGTTACGAAGCCGAGCGCCCCCCGCCTGCCGAGGACACGCGGACCGAGGAGTGGGACGGCGAGGAAGACGCTGGACCCGGCGCCGAGGGCTTGCGGGGCGCCGAGGAGCGCGCGGACCTTGGGCGCGCGTTCGCGACGAAGCCGGAGCAGCCGGAGGACTTCGAGTGGGTACCGGAGCCGCAGTTGACGGCCGAACAGTTGAGTTGCCTCTCTCTTTCTCTCTCTCTCTCTCTGAGTCCTGCCAAGTCGGGTTGACAGGAGGTTTCTGACCATGACGACGGGGGAATAGGATCGAAGAGATCGAGAACAGGATCGGCGGCGGTCTGATCGAGGAGGTTGTGGACCGGGCTCAGGCCGAGCTCGACCTCGTGGATTTTATGTGCCAGTCTAAGGTGTAAGTACTACAAGCCACGTAGAGGCTCTGAGGGGAAGGATGAAAGAAAGAAAAAAATAAACGAGTATGAGCGTAACTGACGACGTTTTGCAGGTGGGAAGACCTCGAAGAGAAGCCGGCCGAGGGTCAGTGGACCTACTTTGAGCGGACACCGACGCATTAGATGAGGCCTATGGAGCTACATACACGTTGGTTCCCCCCTACGGTCGATAGTCGCCAACCCAGCGGAAAATACCGAGGGATCGTGGATACGCGAAGGGATAGAACGTGCGTACAATAGAGAAGGAGAAAGGAAAGAGTAATAAAAAAAGTTGGTTGTACATACAGATCTACGAGCTAGGTTTCTGATTACGGATATTGCTGCTGCGTAGTTTCGCTGGCAGCCTCGATAGAGTGCTCAAGTCCAGTTATCGCCGGATGATTTCACTAAGGGTGAACAGGAAGTTAGTGTTGACGAGGAGTCAACGATGCGTAGCGCAGGACCATTCTTACCCAGGCAGGATAAATTCCGGCACGCAGATATATACGAGTGCATATGTCGTTCGTCCACTTCTTAGGCAGGGAGGATATAACAAATATATGTGTAGCCTGGGCCAGCGTTCATCTTACAACATATAGCGCCGAAGAGAACGCCGATAACGACTCAGGAGGTAAACAAAGGAGAGAAAATAGGAAAATGGGAGTTGTACCTATAGAGCGATGAGAGATGAACATTGCTATTGCTAGGGGAGTTAGGGCGCGTAGATCATGGTAGAGATTGTTCTGCTTCCATCTCCCCCTTTCCTGGTATCGTGATAATATTGTATAAACTCATATCAGTTATCGGGGGGCGGCTAATGCAAGAGCGGCTCGGCCCGCAACTACTGGAATCACTAGGCAGGTACTTCCGGAGAATATCTCGATATTTCCAACCGCTTTTTCTGTTGCTCCTCTCCTCACTCTCTCCAGACAAAACCACCTCACCTACGCAGCGCAAATGGTCGTGTCATATACAACTACTCCCGCAGTCCAGACGGGCATATTTACCACTGCTCTTACGTAGCCACACCCTAGCCTGCTAACCACAGACACACGCATCTTCGTACCATGGAGCCCTTCGCGCTCCCCGTGCCGAACCACCGCCTTGGCATCTACCGCCAAGAGAGACAAGAAGGGACAAGCGAGCAGGAAGAAGGCATTGACTCGCAGTCTGAGCCGGATCTTTTGCCGTCTCCCGCCCCCGCCTCACGCCTACCACCCGACTCGATCAACCCGCTGAGCCACTCGCCCGACACGCTGCGGCAGTTCGCCGTCGCCGGGCTGGCGCCAGAGGAGGAGCTGCCGTCGCAGCGACACCCGCTGTTCCCGCATAAGCCTCTTCCCCGTTCGCCCTCTTCTCACGCCGCCGCCGCCGGCGGTCGGGAGCGAGAGCTCGGCGCGGGGACGGGGAGAGAGCAGAGACGCAAACGAGATCCGAAGGCCGCGCCCAAGGAGCACGCCGAGCGCCTGAGGCACCTCGGCACGCTGACGACCGTCCTGCACCGCTGCCTGGCCGACGGGGACATTGCGCGAGCGAAGCGCGCGCTCAGCCTGCTGCTGCGCACCGCCGACGTCGACATCCGGCTCGGCGGGCTCTGGGCTCTCGGCAGCGAGATCCTAATGCGAGACGGCGAAGACGAGGGCCGGCTCGGCGGGCCGGGAGGAAGTCAGGGGCGAGAGGCGGCTCCGCCGCGCTGCTACCGCTGGGGCTCGCCCGCTAACGTCGAGCGCGTCCGCGCGTACCTCGACGGCCTAATCCAGCAGCACCCGTACGACGTGCACCGGCCGCGGCTCGCGAGCGCGTTCGACTTCTGGCCAGCGCTCTTCGGCATCGAGATCTACAGCCTCGGGGCCGAGTTCGAGCACGCGCTGCGGCTGTCGCTTTCGCACGATGACGATGGGGGATGGGAGGAGGAGGAGAAGGAGGAGGAAGACGAACTGATGGCGTACTCGTACGAGGCACTAGCGTTCGAGAAGAGGGGGCGGAGCAGGAGAAGGAGGAGGGGGGCGGCGGCGCGAGACGATCTGCGCCACGAGACCCGGGCCGCCGCCGAGGTCATCGCGGCCCGCATGGACCGCGTGATGGAGACGCCGCCGTACGCAGCGCACCGCGAGATGCTGCGGCTGCGGGGCCACCTCGCGCTGTTCGTGGCGGACCTGCACCTGCCCTCGCGGATCGTCGACGGCGGCAACGACGACTTGTCCGCCGCGGCTGACTCGTCCCTCGCCTCTTCCTTGTCCTCGTCCGACGCCGACGCCGACGCCGGTACTAAGGATTGGCGTGCGGTCGAGAGCGACCTGAAGGACCTGTCGCTGGACAGCAGCAGCGGCGGCGGCGGAACCAAAGAAGCGCAGGAGGAGCGGGTGCTGCGGAGACGGGCCCGCGGCGCAGAGGAGCACGGCGCGCTGGATCGCCGGGCGGAGGAGCGGGAGCGGGCCCGCGCGTTCTTCCGCAGGCTGAGGGAAGTCGGCGGGGAACGGGAGGTGGACGGGTGGGTGGCGGAGTTTCTGGATGCCGGCGAAGAGAGGGAGGAAGAAGAGGAGTAAGGGGAGAAGAGTCTAGGGGCCCAGGCGCAGTAGAGACACGATGTGAAGCTATAGAGGTCGAACGGACTTAAGCGGAAATAGGGGGGGGGGAAGGGGTAGGTAGAGAGGTACCCAGACGCGCCAAGAACCGAATTTGCGGCCTATACGGATGTGGCCTGTTCTCCTGCGCCCTGTTTCGCGCCTTTTGACCTACTAGTAGCGCCGACTCTACGATGTAGGTATGCCAGCGGCTTACAGTTAGGTTCTGAGTAGACTAGATGACACAGCGCGACTCCACCAAGTATCCGCCTAGTAGCGCCCCCTATCCTCGCGCGAGAAGGAAGCTCGTCCCCCATCGGAGGAAGAGGGCCCAGAATGGAGGAAGTACCTATGGAGAGAGAGGTCTGACAGCTGCTTCTCCAACAGCCGCCCCTTTCTCTTTCCCTCTCCTTTCCTCCCCCCGGCTCCCGTCGCGAGCGAGAACTTGGGTGGATGGAGGGATAGACGGACGGAGCCAAGCCGGGGAACGAGGAAGAAGGGGCACAGGCAGACGAGCATCCCGCGCGCGACCCAGCGGTCCTCGAACATGGGCACGTAGATAGGCTATTAGGGAAGACGGGGGGGGGGGGGGGTCACTGCCCGACCACTGGTAGCATGGCACATCACATGTGCGTAGACCTGGAAGCCATCTCTCGGGGCGGACGGCCTGGGCGCGCAGGCACAGCCTCCAACGACGACGACGGCGGCGGCGGCGGCGGCGGCGCCGCTACGCTCGATAGGATGTGCCAGCTGCCCCGCCAGGCAGACGCCGATAGGTAGGTGGGTACGTTCTTTCTTTCTTCGTCGCCCTGCCTTCGCTGTCGCCCTGGAATCGGACCGCCCCTGGTAAGTTCTTACCGCCAAGCGGGACGCGCAGCCCCGCGGGACGCCCTCCGCGGCGACCCTATTTGCCCATGCAACCTACCCCCGTCTGCGCGCGCGCTGCCCCCTTGGGTCGAGAGAGCATACGCCCGGGTGGTAGCGGGGGTGGGTAGGTAGAGAGACGAGGAGGGTAGGGGGTGGGGGGTAGGGGGGCGGAGTGCTCGCGCATTGCGTAGGTACCAACCTACCTACACACATGCCTACCTGCAAGGCACTTCTGTTACCAATGCATGTGCGCGCCTAGGTATGCACGTAGGTACGTATAGATGGAGATGGGACAGGGCAGGGGAGGGGGAGGGGAGGGGAGTAGGCGGGCAGTTGAGGCGGGTAGCGCAAGCGATGGCACGCCAGGCGTCGACAGCAGCACGCGAACGCGAGGCGGCGGCGGAGGAGGGGGGAGAGGGGGGAATCGGCCGTACTCAGCTGCTTCGGGGTATAACAGCCGGGCGTATAAGTCGGGGTGGTATAAATATCGGTAGCGGGACAGGGCGCAGACGCGTGCGCGGAGAAGTTCGCCGTGGAACGATCCGGGTGGATGCGCCCGCGCTTCCCGCATGCCACCCTGCCTTCTGCATCCCAACCTACTTGTCCGAAGGAGGGGAGGGCTACAGGCCGTCGATCTATGGCGCGTAATACGCCACCCCCGACCCTGGTCCCTCGTGCAGATGCCGCCGCTCCAGGCCTCGTCCGGGGTGGTGGCGAATGGAGCACCCAAGACCTTTCTCTCTCTCTCTCTCTCTCTCTCTCTACCTCATCCTGGGTACTTATCCATCTCCTTTGCCTGGGCAAATCTATCTCCCCTACCTTCACGCGCATACGCTAATTTCTGTGCCGACACCCATGCGCACCCTACGCTGGTATATGCCAGACTGCCTGTCCACCCCTGCCTGTCTAATCTACGTAGGTACCTAAGGAGGTAGGTATTATCGAGATACCTCCGTTCGTACTCTTCACCACACTTCACGCCAGTCACTCTTCCCAGTCAGCGCCCCCCCCCCCCCGTCTTCAGCCCTTCCTTTCCTCATCTTCTGCTCTCGTCATCTCTCTCACCCCTGCCCGGGCAAGACCGGCCTCAACCGGTCCTAACCGGGAGGTGAGGGGGTCCGGGACACGGGGAGGTGGGGTCTGCTCCGCTAACCCCCTTGGCCTTAACCGAGCAGTTAAGGAATACCGCCGGCGGCGGTGGAAATTACCTACCCACCTGCGTGCGAATGTATACTCCCTTTCCCCTTCCTTTCCACCCCCGGGCCGTCTCCCTATTCCCACCGGAGTCGACCCACCCACCTTAGCTAGGTTCTCCGCCAACTCCCATACCCCTTTCTGCCCGCTTTCATATGGCAACAGCCGTGCTGCTTATACGAGGCGCTCGCATATGCATACTTACACCCGATCGGGGCTTAGGGAGCTCTGGAAGCGCTATATATCATAGTCCCAACGGGCCCGGGTCCGGGGCTAGGGGTCGGGGTAAGGCGGGGCGGGGAGGGGCGGATGCGGACCTAGTGGGGAGGGGAGCGGAGCGGCGGAGAGGAGAGGACAGGAAGAAGCGGGATGTGCAGGGGAGCGAGGGAGTTAGCGAAGCCACGCATATGTTATGCACATACATATGTGGGATGGACGGGACCAGGGACAAGGGGTTTGAGAGGGAGGTGGGGAAGCGCTTAACTTGTCACCAGCCTACATATCTGTTCATCACGCAACGAGCGTACCAGCCGACAGAGTAACAAAAACTGTCGGGAGAACGGGCCGACCGCTTTAAATAGACAAGCCCGAGATTCATTGCTGGTTAATCACGAAACCTACGCGCCCCCAGTGATTGAAAGAATAGCTGGATCGATGGATGAAGCGTCGTAACAAAATCTTCCGGTTCATGCCTCCCTAAGTCTCTCACTCACTCCTACTGTCGCGATAGCCATCATCCATACGCCGTAGTAACGCCCGCCTTTCCCGCTATCTTTCTCCATGTCTCCCTCCTCATTTTCCTCTCTAGTTTTTTGGGAACCTGGGGGGGTGATAGTTATTTAATCGTACAACGACGTACATATAAGTCTTCACGGTTACAGGCAGACAGGCGGCCAGCGTGGGATCATCGAATCCTAGGGAAAAAAAAAACGCAGCACCACCACCAGGAGAAATTTGATACACAGACACACAGGTGCCGAGTCTGTAAGTTTCCATGCAAACAACGAACCCGCCAACTTCCGTCGCGGCCCCTCTCTACCTCCTGTGGGGCTACCTGGCTATCACTACCTATCTATCTCGACGGCAACCCCTAGAAAAATGGGGGTGGTGGGAATCACGCAGAGATACCGTCGCCGTCGCCGTCGCCACGGATTAGCTGATGAAGCAGAGGCAGCCGAGGCCGAGATAGAAGATGAAAAGGGGGTAGACGGCTATGCCGACGCGATTCTTGACGACGCCACTGCCGCCGAGGATACTGACGCCGGCCGCTAGAGACCATGCCACGAGCACAAGGTAGACAGGGATCCGTGGGATCGTCGGCAGACCGAGAGCGGACATTAGTGACGCGAGGACCAGCGGGAATAGAGTGTAGCCGATGATGCACACGCTCTGGGCGAAGGAGCTGCGTTCTTCTCGTTAGCGCGCGGTTCACGTGCATGCCGCAGATGAGATGCGCCTGCAACGTAAGCCCTCTCACCCTCTGCCGTTGCCCTTGAAGATTCTACTACAGGGGCTGAGGAGAGGAAGAAGAAGAAAAAGCAGAGAGCGACTCACATATTACCGCCTAGCAGCTTAATCTGCAGCGTAACGATGGCCTCGCCGATCCAGACGATGGCGAAGACGCCGCTGAAGACGATATCGCGCTGGTCGTCCTTGGCGCGGAAGCTGAGCAGGAGGGAGAGCAGGAGACAGAACACGAGGGGCCCCCAGAGGTCCCAGTCGCGAAGGCCGGGGCTCATAGCGCTCTGGCCGCCGGCGGTGCCGAGGAGGCTTTCGGGGTCGAGGACGCGGCCGGCGAGACCAGCGATCTCGTCGCGAGCCCCGGCGAACCCAGCGCCGCGCAAGTTCGCGTAGGCGCCGCGGAGACCGTCGGCGCTCTCGAAGACGGTGCCGCTGAAGAGGTAGCGTGGCCACAGGACCTCGCGCATTTTGGACCAGACGGCGAGCAGGTCACGCCGCAGCGTCTCCCACACCGACTCGTCGATCGTGCTCTGAGGCGCCCGCCGGTCCTCCCCCGGGATGCGTGACGTCAAGTAGCCGCCATCGAGGCCGCCGCGCGACGAGGACGGGCCCGAAGAGGCGGCGGCGGCGGAGGACGAACCAATGTTTCCGGTCAAAGGCTCCCGCTGCGATAGCGGGTCGTCGAAGTCGTTGAGATCGGCTGCAAACAGGGAGAGGGGGGGGACAGAGAGGCGTATGTTAGCCACAGCGCGCGCCACATGAAGCGAGGGGTGGTGGACATAGATAACCCCCTCCAACCCTTCCCCCAAGGGTGTGTATGTATGTGTGTGCGGGGAGAGGTAGGCAGGTAGACAAGCAAGTAGATGGATACCTAGGCGCGGTAAAACTCACCATCGTCAGGGTCGATCAGCTCGTCGTCGTCTATTTGCGGACTGCTGTAGCGGTTATGGGAAGGCGAAGCCATCTGGGGCTGGTGTTTCTTTTGCTTCTCTGGGCTGGGCAGCAGCGGCGGCGACGGTGGCGGCGGCCGGGACGGTTCTTGGTAAGGCGTCGGACTAGGCGGCGGCAGACATGTAGAGAGCGGTCTGTCCTGTCGGAGGCGGGGAGGGAGATCGATACCTGGATGGTGGTAGCGGTGGCAGGCTTGCGGGTTGTGCGCATGTGGTCGGTTCGGGTGTCTGTAGGCAAAAGGTTGGTTAGTAGATGGATCGACGGATCGGATTCCCCCAGCCCAAGCTTTCTCGAGTTCCACCGTGTCAACTCGCAGCAACAAGCTCGACGTGGTCCAAGCTCTTCCCATCATTACTCTCCAGCTTGCTGATTCGCTGTCCTTGCCGAGTCACCCCCACATTCGTGCCCGCAACGCGCCCACAGCCACGTACCAAGTACTTTTTCTGCATCGGGTCAAGTACCGCCTCCTTATCTTGGGTATACCACCTAAGGTACCTACTTGCCTGTAGGTACCTACTTCGGGTACCTGTCGGAACGTATACCTGCCAAAGTTCCAAACCTACCTGTGGGTACCTAAAGTAACCCCCCCCCCCATTCTCTCGTTCCCTGTGAAAGGCCCCGTAATCCATGTCACCACCTGCCTGCACCTGCACGCTTTAGGCTTCGGCTTCGGTTATCTGTAACATCCCATCCCGCCACTTGGCAGGACGAGGTCCCTTATCGTATAGCTCGTGTCTCTCCACATCCATCGCGGGAGGGGGTAACGGGATGCAATGCTTGCCTGGTAGGCATAGCCCAGTAAGTGTCGCGTGACGATCGCAGATAGATTAACCTAATAGCAACCTACATCTTCTCTTCCGGTAGGCGGAGCGTGGAAGGCAGCAAGGCGGTGGCAGTCGGTATATACCTACCTATCGGCAGCAGTAATACTAGCAGTAACACCGGCAGTAATACTACCTAACCTAGCAGTATAGTAGTAGTACGGGTATCTCTTCATTCTTCTCGGATGTATCGCCTATCTCGCCACTTCTTAGGGCATAGCCAGTACACGCGCGCCGCTTTCCCTCAGGGCAAAATCCCCCTCTCCTCCTCCCAGAGTCGTCTTCGCGCACATCAAGAGGGCCGATGCCTCCTCGCCTGCCATGGAATACCATCCTGAAAATAACATCATAGCCGCCCCCCCCCCTCCGTTTTAACTGCCGCCCTATGCAAGATGTGGCCGATCGAGTCCCTTGGTTAGGTATATATGTGAATGGCGGCCGCGAGAGCGCGCGCGCGCGCAATACGGGTGACAAGCCCCCTTGGCAAGAAACTGTGAGCCGTGATATAGTACGTCGGGCCAGTTGGGTCAGTCATGCTTCGAAATCACTTAATGGGAATTCTCCAAAACGCCAAGCCCACCCCAATAGGTCCCAGAGCCCACCACGTCCATTATGACAACATATCCCCCCCTTACTGCGAGTAAAAATAAAAATCTTAACCAAAGGTCCACGAAGGAGTCGTAGAGCCCGCCCGTCCACGGCCACCCAACTAGAACCATCACGCATGGAACCCACTACTGCCACATGTCCCTGTAGCCCCGCGAGTCGTCTCTAAATGTACGCGGTTGCGTTGCCGGTATGGCGTAGTGATTTACGCTTTGCCGCGTGTGCGACGCCGACGCCGACGCCCATGGTTCCGCCAGCGGCTGGTGAAACCCGGAAGAGGGGGGTTGAGTCGGCTGGTGTGGAGGGAGCCGCGGATGCCAGGGCTCAGTCGCAGGTACGTACGACGTTGGCCGCGGCCATGTAGGCGATGCTGAATAGCTGGCACCCCTGACGTCAAATTCGGCCGGTACAGGGCCGTGACCCTGTGGCTCCCCTGCGTCGTATCCCGGTACGTAATGCGGGCTGGGAGGCCCGCGTGAGAGAGCTGCCCGGTTATCCGACGACGAACCCCTCCAATGCTGGGTGGGAGATGGGGGCTCGAAGCTATGGTGCAGAGAGCCCGTCGTTGACGGATCCCCAAATGGTAGGCCATCGTGTGGTTGCGAGCTCTCACTCGGCACGCCGCGGCCATATGCGGCAATATTCCCATTGATTCCGACTAACGCCCATGCAAACACTGCTACATCTCGTATCGACCTCATAAGCTGATCGATCGGCGGCCCTCCGGCCGTCTTGACGTGTTCGCGCAAAGGCATGTACTGCGGTAGGAGCGGGGGCCGAAAGGTGTAGAAGTGTTCGGGAGGGTAATACGGCCTGATCGGATGCTCGCTCCAAGGAGCGGCGAAGAGTCCATTCTCAAAATCGACGGGAAGTAGGGGCGGGTGTAGAGAGGGTATCGGTGGTCGGGCCTTTCTCAACACCACGACTAGTCCGTCAGAGGTGCACGAGACTACGGCCTCGAGTTCAAACGTGGGAATCGGATTACGACTTCTCCTCCGCCGTTCCGAAGCCCGCGGGCAAGCATCTGCAGATGCCTGGTAAGCTTCCGCGCCTCCAGCCAACGACGGGAAATCATTCCCCGTGAAAGGGGGTACTGGGGAATCTCTATCACCGAGGATAGCAGGCTTGGCGAGCTCGGGGCTGAACCTAGCCTCCGTCTTGATCTCGGACTCGGGCACCCCATCGACGTCGACATCCATAACGTGTTCCATATGCACGTGGCTAACCGAGTTGCCATGGCCGTCAGTCGTCATGTCCTTATCCTGCTCTTGTTCGGACTCTTCGTCGTCTTCGCTCTCGTCCTCGTCTTCGTCGTCCTCGTCCTCGTCTTGGTCCTCGTCTTCGAAGTCCTCTTCCCTACGAGGATCGCGGTACCAGAAGCGCAGGTACGCGATAGAGTCATTCGCCTTCGCGCTCTCTAAACATTTGATAGCATCTGCTAGACAGTTCTCGGCGATACATTCGTAGAAGCTCTTGTCCTGAATTTGATCCGGCCGCACGCCGAGTATCGAAGAGACGGCATTAGTGGCGAACATGACGGTCAAGGTCCGGGTGAATCTGTTGAGTATGAGGGCGGCACGGGGCTCTCGCTCCATTGGCTGCATCCTGAATTTAGGCGAGAGATGCTCTAGCATGTGGTACCGGGGGTCTCTCGGCGACGAGGAAAAAATTCGCCGAATCTGAGGTGCCTCTATCGCCCGTCCTATCCCTACCGTTAGCAGCTGTAGGAAAGGCATAATTTTTGGTTTCTTTTTTTTCTTCTCCGGCACCGCGGAATGGGGAACTAGATGAACGCACTCTTGCTCTTTTCCCCGCGCCGGTAGATGCTCGTGCAGGCTACTAGGACGTCGTGGACCACTGTGAAGCAACATTCGCAACTGATCCATTGGCCACTTCTCGACATGATCCGAACGTAGTGTAGAACTGCCGCCTTGTCGAGCAGGACGCCCCTGCTATGCACGGAGCGTGCGAAAGGTACCTCCTGCGGGTGGAAGTAATCGAAGCACGACTTGCCCTGCACATCTTGCGGCTGGTACCCCAAGATATCAACAATGGACTCTGATGCGAAGAGGACGTTGGCGTCGGGCGACAGGTCTGTCAAGAACAACTATTAGCCGCAGCCTCGCCAGCTGAGAGCATAGACAGTAGAAAAGCGCCGGCGTGAACGGGCGGGGCGGCGCGCGCACGCGCATGCGTACGCCGTCATGGGACGCCACGCCTCCACCACGGCTCAGAGCATCCAAATCATGTACTAACTGTGTATGGTCATAAAAGTCTGCTCCATTTGATTCGATATCCAGGCTCCTGGAAGACGCTCTACTGCTGTTCAAAGAGGAGCGAAAGTCGAACCCATAAGCCTAGGTCCTTTTTAAAAAGGAAAAAGAAAAAAAGAGTCGAATAGCAGCAGCCAGAATGACTGTTACGGAGGACGCCAACAGAAGCCTGAGTGCGAACGGGACGTGATGCCCCCAAAGATGGCACTAGAAGCGAGTATGATGGAGTGGTAAGCTCCGAAACTCGTGTTCCGTGGGACGGAATCGAGAGGGGAGGGAAAGAGAGTCGGCTGTTAAGGACAGTTCTGGAAAGGCCCAGGTGGACGAACCAACGAGGTGTCTCTGGATAGCCGAGTATTGTATGACACAGATCCCGCCGTCACCGTCGGGTAAGTGGGATGGTCATACAAGCTGGGCCCAGGAGAAGTCTCGCGCGCTGTCGAGGGAGGGGGGGGGGGGGGGGGGGCGGCGAGGGAGAGGGCGAAATTGGGGCGGCGCGCTCTCGTACGGGAAGTGCCGGTGGGAATCCGTCCAGAGGTCTCCCTTCTCACGCACGTCGTGACGGGCAGAAAGAAAGGGCCGTGTGTCGTGGTGTCACAGCGGCGCTCTCCTCAGTCGGGTCGGTGCAGTGGTAAACGGGACCGGCATACGCGGTGCACGGGGATTCCAATATCTAGGCGACAGCTCACTGGACAGACCGGGTAATGGGGAACAGGGCGGGCGAGGCGAAGGCAAGCGGATGGGGATGGGACATTCCAGGACGGGGCGGCCTATCAAGGGCAGTAGGGCTGGACTCGGGGTAGAGAGGAGACAGAGGGAGGGGGGGGGAGACTGGAACCAGCGGACAGAAGAGGAGGTTCTCGAGGTCAGTGTATATGTGTAGGTTGCTGTTACGTGCGTGCCCAGCGGAGCTAGAGCGGCGGATGGCGGGGATGGGAGGGACGGGAGCTTGACGAGAGCGACCAGTCGGACCCGGTTTTCGTAAAGCCGAGATGGGTTGGCGGACAAGCGTGGTCGAAGAGAGGTCGACCGTCGACGATCCAGGGATGATGCTTGATCGGTTCCGGCAGCGCAGCTGTGCGAGAGAACATGAAGGCAGAGATTGGACGCTCGTAACGGGATCGCATTGGACGATAGGATTAGAGAGTTTGAGATAAGGAGGAGCGAGGAAGAGAGAGAGGGAGAGAGAGGCGAGGTAGGATAGGTAGGATAGGGTAGGGTACTAATAGCGATATAAGGTAGGCAGGTCAGGGCGGCGGTATATAGATAGGTAGGCAGACAATAAGTATGTAGGATATATATACACCATATATACCATATATATACACATACAAGTGTATACAAGGTATATATATACGGAGGCTATATATGGAGGGAGATATAGGTCGGTAGGTATATACAAAACAGGTAGGCAAGGTAGAAGGAGGTAGGAAGAATAGTACCTAACCTAATGTAAGGTAGGTAGGGAAAGCAGGGTAAGGTGGCCACGGTAGGTTAGTAGCTTCATTGGCAACACGTGCTGGTTCAGTCCCGCCTAGAGGTTTTATCGTCGTTGATGTTGTTATTATAATAGGTAATTGTTCGGTAGTGGTAATATTGCAGCTCTCTCTGTCTCTGCCTCTGTTTTTTTTTTCTTCCCCTCCTTCTCTTCTCTTTCTTTTTTAAGGCAGACACTTCAAGGTCTAGATTTCCGCCAGGTAGGCAGGTATATACTGGATGTATTAGCTACCTGGTATATAGACGTATATACATCGATACCTATGTATGAGTACACCGAGTGCTTGCAGGAAGTATGCGACGTACATATGTATCTAAGCACTCCCTCCTAACCCTTAACGTTCTAATGCCAACCCTTAGCGGGCACCGGGAGGAACATGGGATAACGAACTCTCTATTCTCCAACGCTGCTGCCGCCGACGTAGCAAATGTAGCGTACCTCCAGATACCTAGGTAGGTACGGTACGTATGTACATATATACATATATATAACAGGTAGCTGCCCTTAGATCGGCCCCGTCACCTTCCGGGCAATGGAAGGAAGTTCTCTAATGTGAGCTATGTGGGTACCTGAGGGAGGTGTGTGCCCTGGTCCGGGGATGTACGTACGCCGCATATTTGCACCTCTACGTGATGTACCTGCTTGATGTATAGAATACCTCCTATAGAACAGCAGCAACAACATGCTCGGCTGGGCGTCTGCTGGCTACATACAGAGTTGTAGAATCTGTCTGAGATGTGTAGGTAGGCTGGGTGCCCAAGCCAAGGGACGTAGAATACATCCATGCGTACTGAAATATATGTATGTGTGTGTTGTGTGTGTGGTGTTTTTGATTGCTCCAGGGTAAAGGAGGTTCCAGCGTGCCTCCTAACCTCGAGAGGCGGGTTACCTACCTAACTAAGAGGTAGTATCCAACATGCCTCACCTCCGGTAGCTGACATGCATCGCTTTTGGAACCTGCCTTAGTACTTGGGTACCTGCCTGGGTACCTGGGTACTTACCTAGACCAGGTGCCTACCTCGCACGCGCAGGCATGCACCACTGCTACGAGCTATACCCAACACACATACGTAGACTGTACACCATCTCCTATGTTCCCGGTTTACCGTTGCTCGCGCACGAGATTGGAGACAGCGAGGCATGGCGGGATGGTTAAGGATGGGAACACCTAAAACTTGGTACACAGTACCACGAACTGCGATGGACACCATGGATGCCACTATCTCCTAACCTGGTATAGAAACCGTGTACTTTTACACACCCCAATCTATCCACATCCATGGATACCTAGGTACAAATCTGCCTCCTAGAGGAGGTACCTAAGGTACCTATCTACCTGGGTATATCACACCCGTAGACAGGTGCATACCTGGGTGCCGGTAGGATGTCCTACGACTGTGCGTCCCGCCCAATCCCCTCGGCACCCAAGACCGCTAGGTTCCTACGGCAGGGGGGTCTAGGCTGGGGGTGAACCCCTGGGGAACAACCCTAGTCGACCTTGGTGGTAGCTGGGAGGTACCTACCTACCTCACAGGCACCTGCCTACAGGTAAGGCGTTATTATCTTCGTACTCCGGGGCACCCGCCATCTAGCTAAACCCACTACGCAATAGCGTCCAACCCTTCCGTAGCTTGGATGGAGGACCATGTCCAGTAGGGAAGTCGGCGGGGCCCTCACAGTGTTGAATTGTTTCCTTTCCTTTCCTCTCCTCTCCTTTCCTCTGCTCTGCTCTTCCACCGGTACCTGCTTCTCTCTCTGGGGTACCCGGGATAATCAACATGTACCTGTGTACCTCTATAGTAGGTAGGAAAGTGCACCAGTAGCATGTATATGTACACGCCATGCCTCATACCTTTAGGTAACCTAAGGTAGGCATATAGGACGCAGTACATACCCCAAGCCTGAGAGCAACTTGGGTGGCAGCTAGACAACACATACGCACGTATGGGATGGATGGGTGGACGATGGATGCCCGCGTTCAGGTGACCTACCCAGAGGGTAGGTACCTACCTCTCTACCTTAGGTACGTAGGTAATACATCGATTCACAAGTCTCCCCCCTTAGGTGCATCATGGCATGTGCACATGCACTTACACGCGCATACAGACGCCGATGCATCCGCCATTTTGTATAGTATCCATACCATACCATAACCTACCTACCTACCTCCTCCTATGTAGGTGGTGGCTCGCCACCCCCATCGACTTGCGAGCGCCGCGTATCCAAGTCGCGGCTTAATATCCCGTCGACCACTCAACGACTTGCCCAGCGTTTCCCCCAAGGTATCAGTGGGTATCATCAGCATCGTGGTATGGGACCCTCTTCGCTTGAAGAAGGGTTAGGTAGCATACTACCTCACCTGCATGCCGTATGTACGTCTACTCATAGGTCGGTAGGCAGGTAGGCAGGCAGGTATTCTAGTTCTACACACGCATACATCCCTATACCAACATACATCTTGCGTCCCTACCTCCTCTCGTGCGTCCCCCTGTCACTAGGAGGTACAGCCAAGCGGGTAGTCGTCAGTCAACAGGTTGTTGTGGACTTCACATAGGTGTATGGGAAGATGAAGTACCTAACTACCTACCTACCTAGGAGGTAGGCAGGCAGGCGATCTCTGTCCGTCAGGTTATCTGAGTACCTCTTTGCCTATAGCCTCTTAATAGGATGCTACGTAGTGCCGTATACTACATCTAGGAGGTAGGTAGATAACCCACCACCCACTTGGTGTAGCAGGTGTGTGTAGGTTAGTCTGCAAAGGGGGACGTCATATCTCTTGGTATCGGTATTATCGGTATGCGTTCCGCATAGACAAGCTAATAGGCAAGCTAACCTGCATGGATGCGATATGCCGGCTGTGTCGAGCACCTCCCCCAATCCGAAGTCGTGCCAGTAGCTCTATACCCAACGCCTGTGTCTTCTCTCACACTCTCATTCTCTCTCCCAAGCGGCCCAATGGGCTCTCTTCCCAGGTTAGCAATGCAAGCCTCCGGAAATAACGCCTCCCTCCATTCCCCAACTAACCTAGGTGCCTACCTACCTACCTACCTACCTACCTACAGGTAGGTATGCACCGGCTTGGATTACCTCAGGGACGTACATACATACCTAGATGCATAGGTGACAAGAGAATGGATCCGTGAAGGGATGAATCGACGAACGCTGCTGGCGAATTTCGCACGAGGCGCGACATGATATCAGAATCGGCAGGGGGGCATCTCACGGGTTCGGATGTGTTTGCGAGGCCGTACTGACCTGGAATTAGCCGCAAGGATAGACCGGAGTTGATAACCCTTTTCGAACACGTCCCAGGTGACAAGGGCTGAACCAGCATTGCGGGTGTGGTTGTGGACGGGGGGGCGTCCCAGCACCCAGAATCCAACATCAAGGATGCTTCTTTTTTTGCGTGCTCGTAGCCAAGGCCAGACGGCAGCTACTACGTACTGAGTAGTGCGTTGCGAAGCAGGCTCGAGACTACAACAGCCAAGCTCCATTCGGACGCGCTACAAATGTAACCAGGTCCTTGGGATCTGCTGCTGGGATTTTTACCTTAAGCAGCGCTGGGTGAGCCACGCTTCCAGGGGCTGGCAGCCCTTCGCCTACGTAGTACGGGCCGGTTGGCATTGGCATCAGGCACCCCAAGCCGCCAAGTGGATGGTAGGAGGTGGGTAAATCCATGCTCTCTGGCTAGGCTCGGTTCGGCTGACCGTTCAAACCACTCTCACATCACGACGATCAACGAGCAACTAAACTGCCTGCCTACCTCCTAGGCAAGCCGGTTCCCTCGTCGTCCATGCGCTCCGGACTTACCTCCTAAGCATCTACACTGCCTATATACCTACCTACGTCTTTCTTCGCCGTCTCCGCGGGATGTACACACACGTATATATAGGTATGCAAAGCCCGGATGGACGCCTACATTCACCTCCCCAATACGCGATTGGCACGATAGGCTCGCTTCACTCTAGTCGTCCCGCAACTCGCGGGAGCTACGTCAATACATATAATATAGGAGTTATACCAGCCGGCTGTATCGAGAATGCATTAGGTTGCCTACCAACAGGTAGAGGTAGGTATGTAGACAGCCTCATCTGTAAATGAGCATGCATACCTCCTCCATATGCCTATTACCTTCCGCTACGCACCTAGGTAGGTATGTACGTACACGCATACACATGTACACGTACATCCACACACCCAACAGCAACAACAACGGCAGCCACTTGCTAATCGTATTTGGTTGTCGGAACCAGGGGATTCGCAGGATTGCTTACTACATACAGTGGCTGGCAGGTTTCTTGTACGTTACCGGTGAAGCTTCGACAACGTCCGCTCCAGAGGCGACGGAGACAATGCATAGGCGCTTCCTGCCAAACAAAGAAAACACTGTTAGTCGAGGTCGTTTGGACATCTCACCTATCGGAACAATACTCGCCGCACGCGAGTCCTGGCAATATGCGAGTGCCGTTGCCCGTCTCTCGAAGCAGAAGCAGAATGAGAGGGGGCTAGTCTGGTTCGTCGAATGGTAACACCTTGTTCGATGTCCTCTGCATCGAGACGAGATAGATGCGTGTGGACACCCGAAGACATGCTATGGGTGAGAGAGCATCTATCCCGCGCCCGACTTTCTCTTCTCACACAAACCTGCATGCATACATACGTACGTACGTACGTGCACGCGAGAGATGTAGCATACGTGTATGTATATGATGAAAATCGTTATCGAACGCCGCCAGTCGCGAGTCCCGGTTCCGACTTGGACAGGCCGCACAGTCGGGGAGAGGCTTGTTGAAATCTAATCCAGGCTCACCCCCGTCAATCATATCCCCGTGATACCCAGCTACCCTGTAGAGCTGCGCTCATCGGCGCTCGTTGATTGGAGCTGAGAGGGGGAATAGAGGGTCCCGATGCTTGCTTTCACCCCTCGAGAGCGAGGAGAGCAGGGCACGGTGAATGGTGAGTGGTTGAGCAACTTCGTCCGGTCCACTACGCACCTCCTGCTTCACAATAGCTCGACAGCCTCGACGTCAATCGCACTTTTACTGTATGTATGTGTACAGATAGGTGTGTTGAAGACACGCACATACACTAATACTATTGCATTATATGATTCATGTGGCGAGAGAGAGAGAGAGAGAGAGCCAGCAATGCCAGCAAGAATAGACCACTCCGAAGACGACCTTGCCAAGATAAAGGGGCTAATACGTAGCAACACCAGAAGGAAATCAACCACAACGGCGCCAAGACGGAGGAAGCCAGGGAGATTGGAATTCTCATCAGCGCTAACCGTGCCCGTCTGTTCGTCAATGACCCAGGCCCGAAAGAGTGTGGCGAAGGCGAGAGTGCGAGACGTAGCTAAAATGGCAAGACGACCTTACAAGATGCCTGGCTACTTGCGTCTCTACCTATCCGCCTATCTACGTCAGGCCTGGCGCTCTACGGCTTCCAGTCTAAAATATCTACATACGAGTTGGTTTGAGTGTCACTTGTGCGCGGCTTCACTCCTGGAGCCCATGCATCAATGTACATGGGTATGCGCATACATTAGGTACATATATGTATACGTACATACATACCTAGGTACTCATACAAGTACCTTACCTATCGGGGAGGGAATGTAGCGCATGCGCCCACGCGTGGCATTGGTATTCCCAGGTGCGTCTAGCGTGTTTACATGCGATGCGCATGCAGTTGCTTGCCGTTCTATCAGCAAAAGACACGCTGAAGGGTTGTCAAGAGGAGATAGAGAGAAGAGAAGAGAAGAGAGGAAAAAAACCCTCCCTCCCGAAAATTTTAACCATCGGTTTCACCGCTTAACCCAATTTCCACGGATTCGTTTAGGCAAACCGGGTCTTCATACATACATATGTATGTGCATACGTACATGCATACATGCATACGCCCACACGTACATGCGTACATTTATCCTAAGCCCTATGGGTTGCGCAGATGGTTGGCGGAGGCGGCTTGCATGTTGAACGGTTTTCCGTTGTGTGTCAATGAAAGCCTCGCTCTTACTAGGGTCTGGTCTGCCCAATAGCCCCCCAATAGCCCCAATGCAAGTAGCGATCATTGCAGAGGCAAGGTGCACACTAGCTGAACCGATCATCACCATCCCCTCTCCCACCTATGTACCTTCACATGATTTGGAGGCACTGTCCCATGTCCATCTTTTTTTTTTCCCATACTTTTTTGTTGTAGAGGTGGGAGGCGTTGGTTCTATTCTGTGCTGCACATGTGGGAAATTCGGCTTACGTCTGGACCGCCACCGCCTGCCCACCCACCTGCAATGAGTACATATACGTACAGGTAATCTACCTACATAGGTATATGTAGACATGTTATCCACGTACACGCTGTGCACTTACACGCACCTAGCCCCCCTGCATATATACATCCCCATGGACGAAGAGGGGGGAAACTGCCTTATATTATGGATTCGTTCCTGGTATGTGCCCAATGTAGGCGGGTATTCGCCTCTGCAACGTGTATGAGTATGCGATTCGTCTGCTGGAGTTGTTACATGCCTCTCTCACCCACCACGGCCAGGATTAGATAAGCTAGGTAAATCAGGTAGGTAGCTAATAGGTACCCCCTAATATACCCCTCCCCCTTTCCCCTCTTCCCCCCCCCTTCGCTCCCCCAATGTGTACATATGTACATACGTGGGCGAGTGCCAGGATGATCGGTCCCAAGTTTCTGGGGTGGTTTATTTTGAAGCTAGCGGCTGAGAAGCCCCCGAAGGAAGGGGTACCGTCGCACAGACGAACGTCGATGTATCTCATACCTGCCACACCATCTAACCTACAGGCATACGCCTGTGTACATGTATACCTTACACCGGCGAGAAGTTCAACGGCCGTAATGCCCACGGTTTCGTTTGACAATTTCTCGAGGCTTACAGATACTCTGGGAGGGCCCTGACGAATTCCAACCGGGAAGAAGAACCTGGGCTGTCTTGGGACGCGGTCCGTTTCTACGGTATGCACGGCCTATGAGTACGTCCTACTTGCCCAGGACTTAGGTAGCATACGTGCCTTCCAGATGCCCACCTGTCCGTACTTTTATGTATGCTTGTCGATGTGCGTCAGAAGCTGGAAGGGAGGCGGGGAAAAGGAGACGTGCATCGGTTTCGAGGGCGGCAGTCCGGTAGGCAGAGGTTGACAAATACTGACTGTCCGGGACATTGCTAGAGGAAGATGGCTCTCTCTCTCTCTCTCTCTCTCTCTCTCTCTCTCTCTCTCTCTCTCTCTTTCTCTCTAAGCTACTTACATATGCCGACTCTCGTAGATTGGGCATCAAGCAGACCCGCGATTGGATGAGGCTCAGGTCCGTCGAGAAGCGAGAAGGCAACGGGAACCGGACCCAATGAGAGACCCCAATCCGTCGAAGAGCGCTCCAATGGGGCAATCGGAACACTTGCAGAATCAGGCACAGATGCGCGTAGAATGCACGTATGTATGAGTACGTGACCAGCCACACCTCACCAGCCCCATTGAGATTCCCGGATATACGTGTAGAGTATACCTCCTAGGCTGCCTCTACCTAAGATAGGTATATTAGGTACCTCTCCTCATAAAGGTGCCCGCGTGCAAAGCAAAAGGTAGGTATTATATAGGTTATCCACTCCTTTCCAGTTTGCGGCTTTGGCTGTCTGCCCACTCATTGACGCAAAGGCCGCCTGGCATTTCCCCCATTCTCCCCGTCCACAGGGCGGGACCCCTGGCGGACTATTTTGATTACTGAACGGGGCCAAGCTGGGGTTGACCCTCGAGACATCTTTTCTTGTCGGGGTGTGGACCTATGTGCGTACCGCAAGTGGTTTAGCGGGGTGAGAGTACCTGGGTACCTGCCTCCTGCCTAATGGGTACTTACTCATAGGTACCCACGCATCCTGGATGTACCCAGGTATCAGTTGACCAATCCTGTCCTCATCCTGGTTCTGACCACGAGACGGATTCAGATTCGTTACCTCTCTCTCTCCCTTCGCGGCGTGCGCTGGCGACGTGCGCATACTCATACGCACACACCACACACACCTACGCCCACCGACCTCCACGCGTACGAGACATCCCTACCTCTCCCTCTATAGCACAATCATAGCACGACCACACACGGACACACAAACACACAGACACACAGACTCCATCCCAGACGGACCGATCACCAAGCGGCCAAGGGCGCGGGATATCAGTGCAGGCTCGATATAGATGCGCGTGGGCAGTGTACATACATGCAGACACCACACACAATACGCACACACGCGCCGCCGCCGCCGCCGCCGCCACCTTCACCACGCCCACTAACACGCCTGCACCCTCACCACTTGCACATACCATATACACACCTACCTACCTCACACACGCTACCGTCGTCGAGGGGGGGGGACCGGGGCAACCCCTGAGTCCAGGAAAATAGGCAATTCGACCGGCAGCTTCACTTCCGTCCTTCGTCGGCAAAGCCCCCTCCCCTGCATCCGATCCCTCGCCGCTCCCTCCTTACTTCCGCCCCGCTGGTAGGTAGAATTCCGTCGACCGGAGAGGAAAATTATGCAAGGCATCCCCTCGGAATGCCATCAGCGATCGGCGGTGACGAGTGGGATCTCCCCCGCCTGAAAGCCTCCATCGGCTTCGAGGTGAGCCTTGCGCCGACCGATCCGGGTCTCTCTCTCGAGTGGCTTGGCCCAAGTGCTCACTCTCTCCGGTTACCTCGCAGGACGATTTCCAGTATCTCTCATCGGATGATCAGCAAGATACGGGTGAGCTATCTCTCTCTCTTAGGCAACATTACACCACCGGAACCAAACGAGGTCATCCCGTCGTCTAACTAACCTCCGCCGTCGTAGAGTTCTTCGATGTGAAGTTCTACCCTTACGGAGACGTCACACACGATCCTGTCTTTGCTGCTATCAGCAAGAAACATGTAAGTAGTACAGCACCACCGTTCCTCCCCCCTTCCCCTCCCAAGTTCGGCCTATCTTCGACATCCGATGTCCAACTAACACCCGGAAGATCGTCATCTACCGGCTCTCCACCAAGGCTAATCCCCCTTATGAGCTCATCCAGCTGTTCAGGGATGACGATGTGAGTCTTCCGACCCCCCGGCGCGACGGTCCTCTTATCTCACGGAAATCACAGAAGGAGGCCTTGAACTGCAGCTGCACGTGGAGCAAAGACCCCGAGACTGAAGCTCCCTACCTGTGCGTAGCTGGCCGGGATGCCAAGATCAAGGTCTACGACGTGGTTCATGGAAAACTAGTAAAGGTTAGAGGGACTGCTTGTCTACAGTCTCTATGTATACGCCTCGGAGAGGGGCGACACGGGTAGAGCTAATTAGCTGACGGACTTTCGCTGTTTACCAGGTGCTCATCGGTCACGGAGGAGTGAGTGTGGAGAGTTGAGAGCGCTATAATCTGCGGACCGAACTAACACCCCCGTGAGGAAATAAACGACCTCGCTACGTGCCCAACCGATTTCCTCCTCATCGCGTCCGCGTCGGAGGACACTACGGTGCGCATATGGAGTCTTGACCCTGCGCACTCCAAGCAGCCATGTGTCTGCCTGCTCGCCGGCGAAGGTCACTCGTCGGGGCTCCTGACCGTTGTATGTGTTCCCTCCCGGTCGTTGGCGCGCCCCGTACCTGCTACGTTTCTAACATGCGTGCGCGTCTTCGAGGCATTCCATAATGGCGGCCGGTACGTCCTGTCCGCCGGGCACGACAATGTCATCAGCTTGGTACGGAGACAAGCCTTTCAATCTACGGAACACCATTCAGTCCATCTCGTATTGCTCACGCTCACATATAATGACAGTGGACGCTCCCGGATCTTCCGCCCAAGACGAACGACAAGAACCCACCCCAGCCAATCGTCATCCATTACCCGCATTTCTTTACCTCGGAGGTGCACAGCGGAATCGTGGATTGGTGAGCCAACATATACATGCCTACCCCATCCCCTTTTTACGAACAAGACGCTCAAAAGTTTCCGCCTTTATTTCTAACCTCTTGCACGCCCACGCGCATATGCAGTGTCGCCTTCTTCGGAGACCTCGTCCTCTCGCGGGCGTGCCACGAGGATATCATCGTGCTGTGGCGGATCGAGGGATTCTCGTCACGGGACCCGGTGCCAGCGGCGTCGGAAGCACCTACGACGAGCGATACGGAGCGGCTGACGCGGTCGGCGTTCGCACCCGCGACGGCGGCGTCGGCATGCCCGCCGCAGTACACGCGGCTGCTCGAGTTCTGGACGCCACACTGCGGCCACCAGTTCTACCTACGGTTCCGGCTCTTCCACGACCGTGACCGTCACCCGGTGCTCGCGTTCGGCAACGCCAAGGCGACGGTCTTCTTCTGGGACCTCGCCCGCCTCGGCGGGTACCGCGACTTCGTCGAGGAGCTGCGCGAGCAGCGCCGCGACCCGACGCTGCCGCCCGTCCGCCGCCCCGCCTGGCTCCAGCCCATCCAGCACCGCCAGCAGCAGAACCACGCCCACGCCCACCACCACCACGGGGGTAGCACTCGGGGCGATACCGTGGGCAGGCTGAGGGACGCGGTGAACAGCGATAAGGACTCGGTGGCGTCGGGGCGCACGGGCAGCGTCGACATCGCGTCGGTGGCGGAGAACACGACGGCCACGGCCGCCGCGGCCGCGGACTCGAGCTACTCGAGCTACACGAGCTACGGCTACCCGACGCAGCGGTACTCGCAGGAGACGCTGGACGCGTGGGAGCTCAAGTACGACATGACGCGGGTGGAGGAGCCGGTGCGGGCGCACGCGCAGAGCAGCATCACGGTCAAGGACTTTGTCGGGCGCCAGGTGGCGTGGAGCCCGCGCGGCGAGTGGTGCGTCGTCGTCGGCAGCAAGAACCTGGCCATCGTGCTGCAGCGGTGGCAGCACGCGACCGCCGGCGGCAGCCACGCGGGCGCGAGCGCGAGCGAGAGCGCCGGGGCCGGAGCCGGAGCGGGGGGCGGCGGCGGCGGCGATGATGCGAGCGTGAAGAAGGAGAATGAGGCCGATGATGTCGCGGACAGGAAGGGGAACGAGTAAGTAGGGAGAGTAGGATGAGAGGATTATTAGGTGAGAAGGGGGGATGCGAGTTTAGGATTAAGTTAGGTCGGGCAGTTTGGTAGATTTGTGACCGGAATATAGGTCACCGGAGAGACTTCCGGAGGCAGAAGGATGGGGGAAAGCAGGCTGGAGGGAGGGAGAGGAAGAGATAAACTCATCCTCTTCTTTCGTCGTCCTCTCTTCTCCTTATCCATACATCTAGATAGCATACAGGCACACGACACATACACGAGTGCGAATACTCTTCTACTCCATTCACGTCTACTTATAGACACGTGCGCGACGGCGCGGTTCGGGTAACTGGGGATTTACGCGCCTTTCTCCTCGGGCTGTCCGTCTATATCACGCACACGACCCCCGTCCAGGGACTCCGCCGTTTCCCCCGAAGTACAAACGCGGCCGCCCTCCCAGCTGATCCGTAGTCGTCGCCTGTCGTCTGGCCGCAGCCGCGGTCACTCTTCCCTCTCCCAGCACCTTTTCGACCTGGGGCCCCCTTTTTGTTTTCCAGAGGCCGAGCCGACTCGGCGGCTCCCTCCCCTGCCTACTAGTAGTCTTCGTAGAATAAAAAAACAGACCCGACCTACCTACCTATTCTGCTGTAGTACATACACACTCCTACCCATCTCTATATGTACCGCCCATCCGCTTGCCCAAACCCCTCACCCCCCTCCCCCCCCCTACCGGCTGGCCTAAAACCCAAACCGTCTACCGGGGGGGGCTATTCGGTCCGCGCGCTGCCGCGGGCCTCCGCCCGCTCGCGTCTGCCTCGTCTGTCTCCGTCGGCGGTGATGAGGGCCGCGACAGGCTGACCTGCCTCAGGGGGCTGCTCCCGGTCCTGTCGTGGTGTTGGTCGTTGTGGCGGCGATGGTTGCGGTGCTGGTAGTATTGGCTGTCTGACGCGCCCAAGGGGGGTCGTCGCGGCGAGGGTTCCCTGGCGTCCGCTGGCAGCAGCGCTGACCGGGGTCCCGGCGACGGTGCGCGGGGCAGCAAGCCTGGGCTAACCTCCCCGTCGTTGTCGTTGTTACCGTAGTTCTCGGCCTGGTGCGGTCGCTGCCGCTGTGGCGGCAGCGGTTGCCGATCTTCGTGTTGGCGCTCGGCCAGGCCCCCGTCCGACGACGCCGTCGTCGACTCGCTCGCCTCCCAGCCGCCCTTGGCAAGCTCCAGCTCCGAGAACTCGTAGACATGGCCCCGCGGCGGGATCGCGAATTTCCGCGAGCTCTCGAGGAACTGGTTGTACTGGCTCGCCTGGGCCATCTCGTACTTCCGCCGATCCTCCTCCCCCATGATGCTCTCTACTCGCCGCGGGAGGTACACCGAATTATTTCCCGTTGTCAAGAAGCTATCCACCGACTCGCGATTCTTGAGATCGTAGCGCGACGCGGGCAGAGCTTTGGAAAGGTGGTCATCAGTCGCATAGGGGAAGCTATAGGTCGATTCCTCAGGATAGATGTAGAAGCCGTCGGCTTTCTTTTCGGGGGCGGCAAACTTCCCTTCGGCCTTGACTGGAGGAAGGACCTTGCTCCTCGTCCTCTTGACCCCACTGGTCTCCTTTCCTTTGCTTCGCTGGCGCTGCACCTCGGCAGCGGGGATGAATGTCTCCGGTACAACGTTGAGGTCGTCGCCCGCGTTCTCGGCCTGCTCGACGGCCTGTTGGGGTGTCGTATTCGCGTCGGCGGTGGCGGCATCCGCACGAGGTCCACCCCAGGTTCTTTGACCGGCGGTGAAAATTCCGTACACCATATAGTACCAGTTGAAGAATGGGTTGAGGATAAACATCATGGGATAGAGCCAGATCTTGTACCGCTTCAGCTTGAATCCGAAGTATATCATCATCAGCCAGTTCAACCCGAGGGAGATGGCGATGAAGCCGACAGGGAGCTGGTCAACCCTCATGGTCGTGGTCATAATCGAGAGCATCATGATGAAGAACAGCAACGCTGTCGTTCGAATTGTGTTCTGCATAAATCGCACCACCAGCAGAATGGGGTATCGTTTCCAAAGACGCCAGTCGGTTAACATGCACACCTCGTTGGTGATGAACCCGAGAAACCACCTACGCCGTTGCTTTATAAGTGACTGCACGGTTTGGACGGCCTCTGTTTTGCAAAAGGCCGAAGTGCACATCTGAATCTGGTACCGTTTCTTCGCTCCAATCATGAAGAGATGGGTCAACCAGCGATCCTCTCCTAGATGACTCTTGGCGAAGTCGAACAGATCCTCGCACTGCTCGGCTTTGTCGGCGAAGTAGTATTTGGCCATCCGGCGAAACGCCGAAAACCGGAGCATGGTCAAGGCACCCGGCAAACAGGTGACGGCGCCGCACCCAGACTCCACGGTCCTCTCAAATAGCTGGCCATGGATGTACTCCATGTCCTGAAGCAGGGTAATGACACTATGTTTCCTAGTCGTCGAGGTGATGACACCTGTCATCGCTAACATATCCCTGCTGTTCCCGGGACTCAGCTCCATATCATAGACGAAATTTTGCAGGCACACGCGATCCAGAATGCAGTCCGAGTCGATGAAAAGAATGAAGAGGTTGTCGTTCCGCTTCAGGTACTCTTTGTAAACTTTGTCGATCAACCTGAAGGTCGCCTTCTGGCAGTGACGCTTCCCACCGTGAGGGAACCGAGAGACGGTGATGCGAGCGGACCTATAAGTGACGTCGATGCTCTTAGGATACGACTCCAGTGTCAGAGGCACCCCAAGCTTCTCGATTGTGTTGAGGTACAGCTCATCTTCTTGGTCTCCATCGAACGACAGAAAGACATGGATGCACGAAGGGGGGTAATCGCAGTCCACGACCGAGTTGATGGCGGTAACAAGCACCTCAGGCTCCTCCTTGTAACAAGGCATCACGATGACGACCTTCGGAGCGGAAACTTCGTCCAGCACTTCTTTGACCCGTTTCGTCCTCCCAAGCTGATGAGTGACGAGCTGGTAGACGCAGAAGAGCCACGGTATGGTCAGCAGACCCGCGAAACTCCAGAAAGCGAACCACTGCAGCACGTTGACCATATCTTCTGGCCAGTATTGCGTAATTTGACCGGGGAGAGGTAGAGTGACGATCATGATCGGCAGGAAGATGAACCTGGCCCCGCGTTAGCAACAGCAGAGCAAGGGAATAAACCGTCGGGGCTAACCGAAAGCCGGTAAAGAGAATAGCGATGACTACTGCCAGGACCCTAATCGTCCAGTGCTCTGCTTTCTGGAACACCTTGACTAGACAGTACAAGAACGCAGCGAGCCACAAAAACCATTCAAGAAGGGCAGCCAACATCATGACCCCCACGATGGCGGTGTATATGATCTAGCACGACATGTTAGCGCCGCTGCATGAAGAGGCTCATTCATGCTTTCGCCTCGTCGGATTCTGGGGGGTATCTTACTTCGTGAACCGGCCATTCTGCCGTGATAGCGCGCGCCATTTTCGGAAGGGTTATGTCGAGCAATGGGGTTTGGCCGAATAAAGGCGACGGCAAGGAGGGGGGATATGCCGACAAGATAAAGTATTTGAGTTACGATCAGGCCTCAGGTTCGGGTCCAGGCTTCGGCGTGGCTTCCGTCTCACACCACCATCGTTATGGTCTTGGGGGTTGCTGGGCGGTGAGGGGCTGCGCTCGTCACACAGCGATATATATTTACGGCGGCCTGCAGAAAGACGCAAGGGAGTCTCGTGTCGAGCGGTCGCCTGTGGAAAAGGACTACAGCTGGCTTGCGTCCTTGTCTTAGCTCTCCTGCAACGCGTGAGACTGTTGTCGTAGTGGCTGACGCCGGTGGCGGTTGTTTTGTTCCAGATCTCGAGATGGGGTAAACGGCCCCGGATACCGCCGTTAAGGTAATGAGCGAGCTGAATACTGGTCGCAAAGGAACGAGACTAGCGGGTATAGATCCTCGTACAGAAATCGACGCCGGGATGAGCGATAGTCGGCCACACTGACGCCTTTTATACGGAATCTCGTCGATTTTTAGAGACACTCCTCTCACTCGAATTATCCACAAGCCGGGAGCGATGGGGCGACTACTGTGCTGGAGATACTCTCATCATGGATACGAAATGGGGGCTAAGACGATGCCGGTAGGCACTCTTCGTGCCGCAGAGAGGAGGGAGGGGGGTATCCGTCGATATAATCAAGTGAATGAAGGGCAGGTGGTAGGTCTACGCAGTCGAAAGAGTGAATAGAGCCGCGATTCTCGGCGATGAGACCAAACAAAAATAGCCAACGGCGTTTGCGAGAGCCCAGGACGGTTAAATAGATGACGGGTAGGTATATGTCCAGGTAAGCAGCTCGCTAGCTAGGGTAGAACCAAGCCAGCGAGTCCCTCGCGTAGCACTCGGAACGATTTCTGAGATCTAGATGTCTTCCTCGGGGGTGACGGGTACGAGGCCTGCAAGTCAGTGGGACCTGCAGATAGACTGCATGTATACCTGCCCTCACCCCGGCACCGCCGTCCTGCGGTATGTTCGGATACAATGACGGGTACGGGGATGCGGATGGCAGGTGTTGATGACCTGAAGAGGGTGTTGTTGGTCGGAGGTATATTACGGATAGCTAACAAGCACAGTGGGAGGGGGGGCCGAACGTGGATGTGCATGTATGTGGGTGTATGGAACGACAATACGGGTGATGAAAACCCAAGCTGAGGTCCTTAGTTAACGTAACTGTCAGGCAAAGTGGCCAAGTGTCCGAGACCTGAGCTCTGACATTAACCAAATCAGAGGCTGCCATCGTAGGCCCTGTCGACGGCCGACGGGTGCCAGGGAAGCAAGAAGGCCGTCAGAGATGGCGTCAAGCGAGCGAGGTGGGGAGCAGGGGTATGGGTGGCTTTCTGCGGACCGCCTAGGCGGTAGATGAGTCGATAGACGAGCGAATATTCGGGTATTACTTTTGCCAGGACGATACTAATAAGACAGTGGCAAAACAGGGTAGGCAAATAGACAGCGAACTCAGTGGGGGGGCCGAGAAAAAGAGAGCTAGCTGAGTTGGAAGGTTGTAGGTAGTTTTCCCTATTCCTGTAAGTCCATGTGGATATTGGAAGTGTTTAGGTAGGTGCCGTGTTAGTTCAACTTGTTTGGATCCAATCTCTGGGCTGCTTGTTCTCCCGTGGATAGGTAGATACTCACCTGCCAACCTGGATAGATGCTAGATGGCACTTACTCGGACGAGGCCGTTATGAGAGTGGAGGAAAGATTCCTCGGCCTCTGGATGTTCTTAGGGGATATGATGGTGGCTCCAGGCCCGCCTACCTCTCGACTCTTCAGAAGCTCGACCTCGTGAGAACTGACTACTTTACTTGAGGTACCTACCTACCCTGGCAACTCGATGGCTTCGAGTTACATCCCTACCTACTGTTTACTCGGTACCACTACTTAGCCAGTCTTCGCTAGGAAAGAAACCAAACGGATACAGGTGCGCAACTAAGCGACAACCGGACTTTTCTGTCCCACCATCCAGTGAGGTGGAGAACCGGTGACGAGAAAGGAAAAGGAAAGAGAAAAAAATACAGACAGGTGCAGGCGATCGAGGAGTAAGACGAAGGGGGAAGGGTAGGTAAGGCGAGAATGAGTCGGTCTCGCATACCCAATCAATCTCGCAAGCTGGGCGGCGTGTTGCCGTTTGCTAACGAGCAAGCGGGCTGAGCATGCGCTCCTTCGCTTCAGCCAGTATGTGGAAAGGGAGCTGGAGCTGTGCGCCGACCTCGTCCCATCGAATGTAGTAATAATGTACTCTTGCCCTTACCGGGCCGTTTGACTGGAAGGGGGTCAATGGTTCGAAAGAGAAGACTTCGGATGCCAACGAGAGATCTAGCAACCAAATCCGACTGGGCGAATACGAGCACTGAACGTGTGTCAAGCCACGACGCTCAATAATAGGCGATGGGCGCCAAGGCAAACACATTGTATCCATATATGGACGGGTAGGGAGGAGAATGACCGAACAGCTGCCCCCAAGACAGTCCCCATCGCCGACGGCGACTGGCAGCGAAGCGGGTTTGGATGCGGTCCGGGGCCCCATCAGGTCTGGTCAGATCCATTGGACGAGGGAGGGTTGTGTGAGTGAATGTCAGGCGAACGCGCAGAAGAGAGAGAGAGAGACAGAGGAATAGAGGGGAGAAACCGGTCGATGTCGATGCCGGCGCTAAGATCAGGTAGTTTACTGGGCTTTGTGGGGGGGGAACAGAACAAGCTCACCTCGCCAGCAGCAACGACCCACCGAGACGGAGGTGACCTCATAAGCGTCGCGGGCGGGTTCCTACCCTGCAGAGCCCGCGTTACCTAATAACTACCACTACTAACTACCACCTACCTGTACTACTACCTAGGTAGGTACTACCTACTCCTAACCCTGCAGAGCCTGACCACCTACCTAGGTCTAGGTACCTACATAGGTACCTGCCTAGAGGTACCAGGACATTCCGCCCCAGGACGCCTAACCTCCCCCATCTCTTCCGCACACACACCCCCGCCCCGGAATGTACCTACTTGAGTTGCTCGCTCTCCACAGAGGGGCGCTCCAGCGGGTAATGTTGGGGGGAGGCGCGCTATAAAAATCAAAATAACAAGAGAGAGAGTGAGAGAAATAATGCCGGCGAGAAGGATTTGCCTACGCCGCGGCTGTAAAATGCCACCAAATGCCACCATGAGCTTAGGTGGTATTAACCTCCTTATTAACCATCGTTGGAGGTTACCAATGGTACCCAAGGTGTAATAAGTTAGGTACCTAGGTACTTACTCATATCTATACTATTACTCTAGGATGCCTAATCCAGTGTAAGTAGGTACTAACTTGCCCTGCTAGCCACCACCACTGCCGTAACCACACGCTTGGGTGAGCTCCCTTCCTCTTCCGGTCGCCTCTGCTACGTCAGGTAGCAATAGGTGCCGCGCGAAGCCGACGACGTGCCATGCCGTGTTTATTGTCTGCGCACTTTGCCGCGTCTCGGCTTCGTCAAACGTCAATTTGGCCGCGTAGATAGATATAGACAGCAGGGCAGATTAGTCTGTCTGGCTTTCCCATTTCCATCTTCGCCGTGTTTTCTCTTCTCCCTTTGCCCTGTGTCTCTGTTTTCCTCTCCGCAACCTTGCTTTCTACAAGTGGCAATTCTTGGCCTATTTCCCGCCGTGTGCAGCAGCAGGCGACTTCGGTGCCCAGGCGTCGATCCAAGGTTGATCCCGGCAGATGCCAGCACAAGCATTCAGAGCCTGCCCGCGCACGCACGATCTGTGCTCTATTAAGTGCTCTCTCGGCCCAGGCCAGCGTGACGAAATCGAGCGCATCGAACCATCTAGAGTGTCATGAGTGCGCTCCAGGCCACACCCAGATCTTCGGTCCGTATGCGCGTGGGCATGAGAACGTCCAACATGGCGAGCAAGGTGCCATCGAAATCCGTGCGCACACGTAAGCTGCAATATCCGTGCATGTACCTGTAGACGGATCGCATGCGCGCCGGCGTGATCCCACGAGCGCACGGTAAATTGCATCCGCGAAAAGGGGTGGTGGCAGGAGATTGGGGTGTCACTGGCCAAGAGAAATAATAGCTGGGGGACGGGGAAGAGATAGATTAAAGACACAATCCTCACCGCGATCACCACGTCTCAGGGGAACCGTGTCGTGGAATTCGCATGGAAACTTGCGCCGACCCCTTCCCCCCCTGAGCGGTTCCCCGAGCAGCCTCGCGCGACCGACCGACATCAGCCGGTTTACCCGGAATTTCTACTGGATCGGGCTGTCAATCCAGTGACTAACCGAAACTACCTACTATCCTAGCGCAATATCGAGCGGCCGCGTCTATTTGCGCGAAGGGTGGCCCGTCCAATACACCTATCTAGACGCATGCAGAGCTTAACTCCCTCAATCCTTTGGAAGCAGGTAGGTAGGCAGTATGTGGCCTACAAAGTCAAAGCCGGCGGTCGTAGAGGGCAGAGAAGCAAACAAGAAGGTAGGCATGTTGGTGATCGCGTTATCCCGCACACGTGGGCCCCGTCCGGCCGGGCGAGAGCACGAGAGGGTGGGCCCGTCTCATTCTTCTTTTGTCGCCATGTCTGCCTGCATAGTTGAGGCCCTGCCGTGCACCGCGGCACCCTCTCCGCCTGGGACCGAGAAGCTCAATGGTAAAAATGGCCGTAAATGGCCCAATGGGTGGGATGGTCGACCCCGAGTAGCGAACGGCCTGAAGCTGAATCACTGTGTGCCTAGGATCACGGGAAAGGAGGAAAAGGGGGGAAATAATTGAGGAAGGAGAAAGGGGAAATCCCCCAAGTCTCGAGCTGCGGCGAATGATGCGCCTCTAGACGGATCACCGATGAGAGGGCGACACTATTGAATCGAATAAGCAAAGCGCCCCTCTTCAAGTTTCCCGAGTCTGGTCGGGTAAAAGGCGAGCCGGGTGGAAATAGGCAGTGTCCTGGAATGGCGTGCTATGGCGCATGCTTTGCTGTCGTTATTTGACGATGTTCCTCCCAGAGCTTCCCACCGTATTGGACATCGTCACTCCCCTGCTGACCTCGGATGCGCCATGTTGCGTCGCCAAGTCTCGAATACGAACCGCCGCCGCATCGAATCCGGAGAGGCTTTAGTCGCGGGGCTGGATGGTACTGTGGCTGACGAAGCTCGGTGTATGTGTTCAGGGATAAGTCACCACGAGGTATCACCGTACGAGAGGACAGCGGTCCGGTCTCGTCTCGTCCACATCTAGTGGGGACGACTTGAGGCGTCTCCACTATCGAGCGAGCGCGGTGCGTATTATACAACTTCGACACCGCTCGGAATCAAGAGGGCAGCAGTGGTCGTATAACCTCGACAGAACCACGGAGGTAAGAATAGAGGATCAGGCCTTCTGCGGCCAGTGCTGCTATAGAATACGTACATATTTCACGCCGCCGTACTCGTAACGATCGTAATATTGTCGGCCATCATATCCTCCGTGCTGGGAACCACTAAGAATATCGTTTCACACCATGCCGCACAATGCATATACACACTGAAATATGTAAAACGAGTGACATAAGCTATAACGAGCTGTGTACGAAGAATGAGTGTAGAGTGTAATGCGGTGGCTTGAAAGCCATGAAATCAATCTGCAAGTAATGATATGTCAGTTTGTCCACCTCTCTGCAGACCACCTCGTGGTGGCCGGGTTGTGGACGCGTCAAGGCTGCAGAACCGTGTCGATTCTGAGCCACAGACGGTTCTAGCGGATAGGCGACCAACGAGGCAACCTCTTCCTCTCAACCTCACCCTAACCCGAGCGCCTCGGTCCCCGTTACCCCGACCCACCCCGTTTCCTCCTCCTCTTGAACGGCCTTCCATCGTCACCGAGTCGGATTTTGTCAACGTGGTTGATATCGACTGCTTCGTTGTGGCAAGCGCGGAGACTATGGCGTTAACTCGGCCTGAGATTATGGGATTCGCACCTCGAGTAGTCCTTTGCGTCAAGGAACACCCTTCCACCGAACATCGTGGCTTCTGGGCGGGGCATGATGCATACTCGGGGGATGTCAAGGCTCTCCGTTGCGATGCTCGAATGAGTAGTGTATGATACAATCCGATCGACGATGGGATAAGTCTCAGGTCCTATACTCGTAAAAATAGCCGTTTCGGTTAGTCTTTCTTCTCAACTATCTCGGATTCCCTTAGCGCTCTCCGCGGTCTCGCCCGTTCTGTCGACGAGACCGAGCCTTCACGGATGGCATATGACGCTTGTGCATATCGCGCTTATCTGTTGGACTACGCAGAGGTATGTTTTCATCAGACGCGCAGCCGGCAGATGATCCATTAGGATTGGGGCTGCTCTGCTCGACGTTGCTCTGGTTGTGTTGGGTGCTTCCGTACCAGTCAACGTCACTTAATTGCAGTCTACGGACACGTTGTCCGCCACGTTCCCTGCCAGATTTCTCGGAACGATTCGCATGATACGACGACGGTTTCTCGTGACCTAGTTGCCGTAAATTATTATTCTTGTCTACTGAAAAAATCGGGGTGCTGCTGTTACCACCATCAAAATCTTCGATCTCGCGAAGGTCGTAGTTGAGCACTAGGTTCTTGATGCGTTGCTGTTCCTCTCGCTCTGCCTGCTGCTGTGTCTTCATGGCGATAGCGAGGGTAGAGTCAGACGGGAGTTCGACGGTTCGAGTCTGTGAAAATTAGCCGTCTATCCAGGTCGCTGGGTAGTTCTTCTGTACAACGGACCTGTTGACGGTTGCCCTTCTTTGTCAAGAGCGAGAAGGCCATCGTGCTGGGAGCAGCACTCTCGCCATTCACGTTATCGGCCTCGGTCGTTGAAGACAGGTCGCGAGTCTTGGGTCGGACGGGCAACGGCACATCGAGTAGCGCCCTGCGATCGAACTTGCGCGATTCTATACCTTCTGACATCAATTTCGACAACTCACGGTCAAAGTCTGCTGCATCCTCCGGATCAACTTGTTCGGATTGCCTGGTGACTACAATCGCCTCGTCTTCCGACTCAAAATCTTGAGGCGATTGCGGCTGGTTCTCGACGTCCTGTCCGGCCCGAGGATGGTTGGTAAACGGCCACCTAAAATAAAAAGCCACATAGGAAGGGTCGCCTACCTCGGCATCCTCCTCTTCGCCCAGTTCCGAATCGTCGTCCCCGTCCGCCTCGGGGAGAGCGATATCTCCATCGCCTTCGATGCCCTCATCGTCAGAGGATTCGCTGCTAGAGCCGTCATCCTGATCAGGCCCTTTGTCTAGGCCAGCGTTCTTCTGGTCCTGAGCGACCGCGAGCTGGAATGCTCTCGTAGCTTCCTCCAACGTTGTGGCGAGTTTCCACTGCGGTCTCGTTAGAGAGAACGTGTCTTGGACGATGAATTCAATGTCCATGGGGAGAGGTTGTTTCGTATGAATATAATACTGCACGGTGTGTCAGCATGGGGCCCCCGAAAATTATCGCTAGGCAATCAAACCTGAAGGAAGGAGAGGAAATAGTCCAGTTTCTTCCCGGCTGCCCCTCGGTTGAAGAACATGCCACATGTCTCGAGCATCGTAGCTACGAGGCGAATTCGGAAGTAGTCATCGGGCAGGTCGAAAGGGTTGAGTCGGCCGGGGATAGGCGCACCGCCTGAACACCGTCAGTGGTCTCCTGGACGGTTCAAGATTGCACACGCAACTCACCATGGCCAAATGTCATGATCTTGTACATCGTATCAAAGATCACAGGATGCTCCAACATCCTGTAATTGTAGAGTTCGCCGAGATACTTGACTTCTGCGATACGTCGCTGGTTGAACCTAAAATCGTTCTGTTCAAGTGCGAAAATCACAGACTCGACTACGTTATCAATCACGGTCACGGCGAAGTCGGGGTGGTAACGGTAGATAGCGCTGAGTAGGATGGCGAGAATGTGAATGCTACCGTACTTGACCTTGGCAGGTCGCGAAAACACCTTCGTGAGAATCTCCACAACCTGTAGCACGGGTTAGCTTAGGAACACTGGTTGAGGTAAAATCTTGCTCGAATCACCTCGGGCTCTTCCCAGTGAAGCCGGCGAATCTGCTTCAGAATCTTGGTGTAGTTGCGCTTTGTCAGATCAATATAGATTAGCTTGTGGATGAATAATTCAGTTGGCGTCCGTTCTTTCTGCTGAATCGAGGCCCTCTCCGGTGGATCGACATAATACACGGCATTCTCGATGAGCATCCGCTCCGGCTGGCCAATGTGCTGCACGGATTTCTTGCGCTGGAGCGTTTCCAGGAAGGTAGCCATGCGAGGAGATGTATCGGCGTTGCGGAGTAGATATCTACCGCAGTTCTCTAGTAGGTTGCAGGTGATCTCGATATTCATCCGAGAGAAATCGTCGAGGCTAACTTTTAGGCAATGGAAGACGACATGCTCAGGGACGATGCCAAACTTTGTGAGTTCCGCAAGATATCGAATGTTGCTCAACCGGACTTGCCCAAGGAAGTCTTTCTCCTTACGGCGTTGGAGGCTGCGGAACTCTGCGTCGAGATATTCCACTACGCCTTTGGGAACGTCCGGCATATACCGTCCGAGGGTGGCTACAAGACGGGACCAGAACGGCAAGAGATCTGTGCGGCCCTTTGGCACTTCGGTCAACCCCTTGATGAGTCTGTTTCGCGATGCCTTGGAATTAAGAAAGCAAAAGTCGATGGCTGCTTGGTCCACGGCATCCTTGTGTGTTAGCTCGGGAAGTCGAGCTAAGAGCACGTCCACCTGCGCCCCGATCGTCTTGTTGGCGATGGAGGTGGATTGATCGTCGTTCACATCCGCGGGCTTGGGCGCTTCCGTGGCCTCAAGCGAATCTGCCCTTCGTCCGACCTGCTCGTCTGAGTCGCCTTTCTTCTTCTTGCCATCCTCTAGGAGTATACCGGGAACCTTTCCCTTGAGATCCACCAGGTTTTCGTAAAAACGACGCTCCTCCTCATCTTCCCAGATACCGGCGCCTTCGCTTTGGCCGCGTAGGTACTCTCCGGTCTTAACCAGGCCGATAGATCCGTTGGTTGTCGAAAGGCTATCTCCGGCTTCCTTGAGATCTGGCATTTCGGAACCGATTATATCGGCTATGACCTGAGCGTTGCTGACCAAACGTTCCTGGGCCTTGAGCTGTCGTTCGAAATTGGCCTGGCGGTCCTCAAACACTTCACCCGATTTGACGTACGCCTCCGAATTTTTGCCACGCTGAGCAATGATATTCTTCTGGTCGCGCACAAGGTGGGCCTTCACATCCTCAAAGTACCGTTTGAATATATTCCTGAACCGCTCCTGCAGGTCGGGGCTCGTGAACGGGGCGTCGTCGAGAGTGATGGCATCGTCCGTGCCGTCTTCTACCCCGTCAGGCTGTTCGGAGCCCTCGAATGTAGACTTCGTAGCGCCGTCTTCCTCCACAGTCTTCCGGCCCTCCGATCCAGCAGACTTAACCCCTAAAATGTCCCAGCTAAACGATTTGACGAAAACGACTAGGAGTGGTAGGTTGACATGCTCTCGGTCGTGGCCTAGGAGATCCTTGAGCACTTCGAGAGGGAAGGGCTCCGCCCCGCCCCCCTTTGCGGAACTGGCCGACTTGATCTTGAGTTCAGCGTTCTTGCCGTTGGTGCCACGCGTCGCATCGTCCGGCTTGACGTCGTCTAGAGTCCGTAGGACGCCCACAAGCCAGAGCTCAGTAATCACCCTTAAGAGGGATCGTTGTCGGACAAGGCGCTCCTTCTCTTCTTTCTCGCGGATTTCGGGAGCGAGGGTCTTCAGCAGACTCTTGTCCGGGGTAGCCATTCCTTTGCCGAGGAGCCATCCTAGGTATTCGGTGAAATCGGCAGGGCCAAACCGCTGGTGTAATGCGCTTACAATCTCGATCGCTGCGTCGGTGTCGCCAGCAGTCTTGAGCTTGCTCAACCCGTCATAGCAGGCAGCAATGATCTCAGATAGATACTTTAGGAGGCTCAGGGCTCGAATCTCCTGGAGGAAGGTATTCAGGGTTGCAGGCGTGATGGCGGTACGCAATCGCTTGATGAAGGCGGTGTTCTTCTTTAGGGAAGAGTCGAGGGATGGGGCGACGGGAAAGATGTCTACCTGATTGTCAGTATTCTCGCAGATCGGAATTGGACAAGAGGAGGCCCATACCGGGCTCCCCACTCCACGCGCGCTGATTGAGCAATAGTAGCTCATCTGATAGAGAAGCAATTAGCGAAGCTCGCAAGCCTGGCGCGACGGATCCGGGCTCACGTTTCCGTGTGCGGTCCATCTCGGACAGCGTCTCGTGTGATGCAAAGGGTCGGCCGAGTCAATCGCTACATCCGCAACACCAATAACCCTGCTAAGGGATATATCGCCCCAGGAAGCGGGAGCGACAGAACGAATCAGGTTCGGCCGGCATCGGTAGACAGGTCAGCAACTCTGCCTTGCGCAGAGGTAGCAAGGCAGCTTATCGAGGAGACTGCGAATGGCGGACGGATTGGTTCTCGGCGATGAGGGGATTTGGGAGAGGGGGGGGGTACGAGAAAGAGGAGTAGGAGGAGAAAGAGTCGAGGTTAGGGGAACAAGCGTGTAGTCGCGCGTGCGAGGCCGAGGTTCTGGTCGCGAGATGACGATGACAATGCTTCAATAGGTAAAAATCAGGTGTTGCATGGAGCGCCGAGTGTGTTGTGCGTGTGAACGTGTGAAGGTATGAAGGAGTGGGCGTATGCGAATAAATGATGTCGTTGGGAGTCATCCAATGAAACAGAGGAAACTCCGTCCCAGTGGGGGAACCCAGTTACTGTAAACTGCACCTGCACTTTGTGAATCTTTCTTCGGGTTGGCTGTCGCGAAAATCTCGGCGAATCATCGATCGCGCTGCCGTTTCCGAAGCGCAGGAATCAACGGTCTGGAAGGGGCAGGCACGTACCCTTTTTGGAGGGGCAGCGGGGTTGGTCAGGTGTGAGGACGCAGGCTCAGCCTTGCCTACAGCTGCAACCTCTACCTATACCTAGGTACCCGGGTACCTAATCGAGGATGAGACTTGCAGGCTACAGGAGGTACCTGACCTAAAGTCCAGACGCAGGTATAGGTAGGTACATGCAACACCCGCCGCCTACATGTCGGAGGTAGGTACCTACCTTAGGTACGTAGAACGTAAGTTGGTGCCTGCCTCCGTAGGTAGGTAGGTAGGCAGGTACCTACCTAGCAGGTCCCTATCGGCCTGTACCTACCCCTATTTCGGTCCTACCAGCTGTCCGGGCGCGTCCAGCATCCTCCAAGAGGCCCGCCCGTAGCTACTGTTCGCATAGTACATAGGGATGGTGCTTATGGGTTACCGACGGCCACACGCAAACGTCGCTGAGAAACTTGAACCTCCCTCCATCCCACCCCTCTAGGAGGTACCTACCTACCTCTTACGTCCGACCTGCATGTTGGCAGCACAGCCGCGGCCGGGAAAGCAGAATCGCATCCGGAATTCGCGTACAGATGTCATATTGGCGGGGTACATTAATTCTGACATAGGTATGGCGTGCGTCTGTAGGTCTCAGCAAATGCCTCGGATAGGTTCTCCGAGAGCTTTGCACACCATCCCCGTCGTCCTCGTCACCATCACCTACATCTCGTGACTCGGAAACGAACACAACATCCCTCCATTCTCCAATGATCTCATCCCTGCTCTACGATGTTACTGCGATAGGTATGCATCTATATCTGTTTCTCGGGACAACACATTCTGCTTTGCATAGGTACCTTCAAGGGTATGAGCTCTCTGCCATGCTACATCCCATCTCGTCCTGGCCGCCGCCGCCGCCGCCGCCGTAGTCCTCGTCTATAAGTCGACACCTTCAACTTCCCGATCTGCGCACCATCTACCTCAAGACTGAACCGCCTGAATCCCGATTTCTTTCTTTCTTCGCGAAAGAATCTCCCCTCCCCTCCTCCTCCCCCGGTAGTCTTGAACCGCGAATTCCAGGCTACAGCGCCGTAGTCACATCGACAATAGACGTTGAGAGATAGGACAGGGCACCCTACCGACGACGACGGCCCTCGAATGTATTTGGCTCTAAGTGCCATGGCGGGGAGGAGGCGTCATACAGCATCTTCCCCGGTATCCTTTGACCCTTGGACCCTTGGCGATCATGAGACAGACGAGCAGCACTCAATCATGTTCTGCCTTGGAGATGTTGGTGCCGGTGCCATCAGTGACATCCCCCGTAGCCAATACTACCTGTCGTACCGGTCTCCTCGGGGCGTGGCCGAATAAAAACCCCTGGAGTACGTAATGTGGTGCAGGACAGGAAGCAATGGCATCAGTATCGAGATCGCCTAGGTGCGCCAGATGCAACCAATCCAGGCGAGACAGATTACGACGAGATGCTTCGTTTACGAACAACCACTCTCAGCCCCATTCTCGACTAGTGAGCGAATGGTGCGCGAGACTTGGTTCCGCCCTCGCTCTCGGGCTTTGTTACGTTTGCCTCGATGCCATAGATCCAGCCTGCGGGCACCCGCTGTCATGGGAGAGCTGGCACAGGCTACTAAGGACTCGTTCGAATGGTTTCGCGAGTTGAGATTTCCCAGGATTCCCATTTGGCACGGGTCCATTTGACGGTTTAATTGGGGCTCGAAGCAACCCTCGGCCTAGTCTATTCCGGCCTAGGTCGCATCTCGTAAGTAAGGGCGATTTTTATATCTCCGCTGCCTTCAAAGAAACCTGCTTATCCGTGACGATGATTCGCCGTGGTCATCCATCTCGCGACGGAAACCCAATTACTTTTGATAAGGCCGCGGCCTGCGATGGCGATATCCTGCGGGACGAATCCGCTCTGCCTCCGCGGGAATTCCCTTGACTGACCCTCGCATCCCGTTCCCTCCCTCTGCTGAAACCAAGGTATGACTTATAATTGGTTTATTCTAGGTCTCCCCAGTTCTTAATCTTCCACAGTAGGCGAGCCTCTCCCGAAGCTTTAACGTGTAATATATTATTTCGTTGTCACGTTTTCCCGCCAGTTTGTGTTTGAAGGAGTTTGGCAGTATACTTGCCTATCCGCATCACAACGTCCTACAAGGATCCTGTTTGAGTGGTCTATCAACCCGTGGCACGAATTGCATCACTCGGTAGACAATCTAGTGCATCTCGTGAGCTACCCCCATCCCTTCTTACGAATCTCATATATATACATCGGGGTTAGGCGTGCTTCGTCTGTATTTTTCGCTCTATTACTCTCCCGCATCATCTCTAAGATCTCTCTCCGTCTTACTCAACTCTTTCTATTACCCCTTCTTAAGCCTTTATGTGCGCACAGCGTGCACACTATCCTACGTGGTGGACTGCCTGTACGCAGGTTTATACGAGCCCACAACTGGTATCAACTTCGTTACCCTCCCGCCCTTCGAACCTTACCACTCTCTCCAACTTCGTATTATGGAGGTCATAGCTCGAGCTTCAAGCCTCGAGGGCGGATCAGGACATACAGTCCGTTACCCTCCTAGCCCACCCGGGACTGAGAGCAATTCGAGAAGAGAGTCGAATACAGGTATTAGTCAGGAGACCGATGAGTTACCTAGTAACGTCAAGGGACTGAGGCCTGGGGTTACAGCCGTATATCCCCTTCCTCCGAAGAGCAGAACCGACAATGAGGTACTACCAGAGGATGTCAAAACGCCAGACAGCCACGTCGTACGAGATCCTCGGTTAATTCGTTTGACGGGAGTCCATCCCTTCAACGTTGAACCACCGTTAAGCGAGCTCTTCGATGAGGGCTTCCTCACAACGAAAGATCTCCACTACGTCCGCAACCACGGAGCCGTACCCCGCGTAAAAGATGAAGAGGTCATGAGGTGGGAGTTTACGATAGAAGGAATGGTTGATAACCCAATCAAAATGACCTTGGCACAACTGCTAAATGACTATGTTCAAGTGACATATCCAGTCACCCTTGTTTGCGCGGGAAACCGGAGGAAAGAGCAGAACATAGTAAGGAAAACGAAAGGGTTCTCTTGGGGGGCCGCGGGTCTGTCGACAGCGCTATGGACCGGCGTTGTGATCGGCGACCTCCTAAAGACTGCCGGGCCAAAGCGGGGGGCCAAGTACGTGTGCTTCGAAGGCGCTGACAAACTGCCTAATGGGTACTATGGGACATGTGTCAAGAAAAATTGGGCAATTGATCCTAACCGGGGGATCCTCGTCGCCCACAGGATGAACGGCGAGCCGCTCACTCCTGACCATGGGATGCCCCTTCGAATTATCGTGCCAGGGCAAATCGGCGGCAGGAGTGTGAAGTGGCTGAAGAGGATAATTGTCACAGCAGAACCCAGCGACAATTGGTACCACATCTACGACAATAGGGTATTGCCAACGATGATAAATCCCGAGATGAGTGCCAACATGCCGGATGCTTGGAAGGACGAACGCTACGCTATCTACGACCTCAATACGAACAGCGCCACCTGTTATCCAGCCCACGGCGAAAGATTGCCGCTGGCCGATAGCCTTAAAAGCTATCTAGTTCGCGGTTATGCGTACGCCGGCGGAGGGAAGAGAGTTACAAGAGTGGAGGTTACGCTTGATAAAGGGAAATCGTGGGTGCTTGCCGATATCTCATACCCTGAGGACGACTATCGGCTCGCGCCGGACGAGCAAGAACTATATGGCGGGCGGTTGGATATGTATTGGAGGGAAACTTGCTTCTGCTGGTGCTTTTGGACCCTGGATATTCCGGTTTCTCAATTGGAAGCAGCAGATGATATACTGGTGCGAGCAATGGACGAGTCCATGATGGTTCAGCCTCGAGACATGTACTGGAGTGTTTTGGGCATGATGAACAACCCTTGGTTCAGGGTCGTCATTCACAAAGAAATACACACACTACGTTTCGAGCACCCAACACAGCCGGCGTTGATTCCTGGAGGGTGGATGGAGCGAGTGAAGAAGGCCGGAGGTAATCTATCGAATGGTTATTGGGGCGAGAGATTATCAGGAGAAGACGACGATGCTGCCGAAGAGGAACAAGCAAGAGAAATTCCCATGGTTAAGAAAGAGGTTGACCGGGTAATAAAAATCGACGAACTGAAGGAGCATGGAGGCGAGGTTGAGCCATGGTTTGTGGTCAATGGCCAAGTCTATGACGGAACCGCGTTCTTAGAAGAGCATCCTGGAGGAGCGACATCGATTTTCGGCAGTGCCGGACAGGATGCCAGCGAGGATTTCCTCGCCATTCGTAGGTCTGAAGGCTACCAGCATAGGCGCAAATGGATACTAACATAGCAAACAGATAGCGAGAATGCTAAGGCGATGCTTGCCGATTACCACATAGGTACCCTCGATGAAGCATCGCGGGTCGCCCTGGCCAACGGGAAAGCGGAAATTGCCGATACGCCATTGACACCGCAACAGACATTCCTACAGCCTAAATTATGGAAAAAGGCGATTCTATCGTGCAGGAAGAAAGTTTCGAGCGATACCAAACTCTTCACCTTCGACCTCGAGCATGCCGAGCAGACTTCCGGGCTACCTATCGGCCAGCACTTGATGGTGCGGCTACGCGACCCTGCGACGCGGGAGGCCATCATACGATCTTACACGCCCGTCTCCGAGAGTAGGACAAAGGGGAAAATAGACGTGCTTGTCAAGATATATTACGACACACCTGAGAGACAAGGTGGCAAGATGACGCAGGCGCTCGACTCAATCCCGCTCGGCCATTTTGTCGAGTTCAGGGGCCCCGTAGGCAAGTTCCAGTACCTTGGACGGAGCCTCTGCTTGGTGCAAGGCCGACAGCGACGTGTCAGGCGCTTCATCATGATTTGTGGCGGGTCCGGGGTCACACCTATATTCCAGGTCCTCCGCGCGGTGATGACCGACCCCGATGACCCCACCGCCTGTCTCGTCCTCGACGGCAACCGCGCCGAGGAGGACATCCTGTGCAAGGAGGACCTCGACCGGATGGCTACCGACAACTCTCACAGGTGCCGTCTGCTATACACGCTTAGCAATCCCTCGCCGTCGTGGAGCGGTCTCATGGGCAGGATAGATAGGGCCCTTCTCGAGAGAGAAGTCGGTCCTTGCGAGAATGCTGCTGGCGGTGGCGACATGGTACTCGTATGTGGCCCTGAACCACTCGAGAAGAGCGTCCACCATGTGATGGGCGGCATGGGCTGGATGGATGAGGACCTCCTATTTTTTTAGGCACCCTCGGGAGGAGTGTAGACAGAAGTACCGGGAATTCTGATGTGCATAATTTTGAGCCTACCACACGAGGTTCGTAAGGATATACCGTAGATAAGGCACGTACGTAAGGGGGCACAAGAGACAATTATCCTTACCCGCGAAAGACCACATGGGTAGTCATCGTCGCTCGGATGACAATGTCTTTAGAGCAACATTACGGCTCGGTGGTTCATAGATACGCGCACAAACTAAGCTTTGGTATTCTCGCCTACTCTGGGATGTGACACTGGCATGACTTAACTTCCACGTCATGGTGGCGTTCTCTGGACAGAGAATATCGTCTCTCATTGGGGGATCGACTTCACCATATTTATACCACAGCGCTGAGCAGAATAACGTTGAGCGGCATGGATCGTATCTTTTCTCCAACGCAAGTAGAAGGACAGGATCCCGGAACTCCGCGTGATACTCCATGTAGTTATAATAGAAGGCGGGATTGGGTTTGTTATCTCTGTAGCCGACGTAGTATTTGTCCACGCCGCCCACACGAGGAGCCACGACGAAGTGGTGATCTCCGAGCTCGACAACTTGGAGTAGGACACCCCCCACCGCCGCGTTCTCCGTCGACCATCGTCAAATAGACAAGCAATTCTTGCTCCTTGGTTCACAAATATGCGATATTGTCGGGTCGTGAATGGAACTTGATTGAGCGAGCCGGTGACGTAGGTATTTATCTCCATGCTATAGGATTCGACTAGAGAAATGTGAGCGAGATTACGACAGTCCTGCTGAAGCTTATGCCGTGCGCGTAGATGATATCTGCGAGATGTGATTGTCGGCCGCGGGACGTGATGAGAGAGAGAAGGGGAGCAACACCACACACGCCTCGGGCAGGAGGTGTACGCACGCAAGATCTATGTCTACTACTGGGGCTATGTTGGCCTGCCGCCATTCGCTGCGGGCAGATTCCGCCTTACACTATGGTAATTTCCGGGTGCTTCACCATTGAGGGAAAAAATATACGGGCTTGGTCAGCGAGCCACAAACAGCAGCTCCGTATGACGATGTCGGGCTCGTGACATGGTTGGGTTGACTTTATGGCGGCCCAAGCCTGCGAATGGGCACTTCGTTGGACCTCGCATTTCGACGACTTGAGGGTTTGTTGGCCTGTTCAGCGCCAAACGTGGAAGCCGACCCTTCACATAGTACCGAGGTAGGTCTACGTAGGTAGGTTTAGGTAGTTGGGCACATTACCTGTGGACGTGGGCGTTAGCAAGGGGTAACACCCATACCGATGTACCTACTACATCGCATGCAGACGACAAGGTACATGGGACAGGTAGAGGTAGGTTAGGGAGCTACTTCTATCTGTAGGCAGATACCTAAGGCACCTTGGGTACCTACGGGTAGGATACTAATATGGAAGGTTCTGATGTAGGTATTTGCCCGCTAATGAGCTGGATACGGAGGTACGGGGCTTGTCCGGCTGTCATCTCGTCGGGTAAAACAATATCCGCCCCGACATTAGATGGTCCCGGTACGTTGGGATGGAGATGGAACTCACCCGCCGTTTGGCCGGATGGACGTTAGACCAAGAGAGGAGGAGTACAGCGGTACCCGGTCAAACCGGCAGAATCCCCACCGCCCTCGTCACCGCGCGCCGCAGCCCATCTTTCGCCGAACACTTCGAAATTGTCACTCCCTTTCTCTTCTTCTCAAATACGTCAATCTAGCTTGTTCAATCGACGATCTGTCAAACCGGGAGGATTCCTCGACAATAGGTCCATCCATCACCCCTAACAAAGACCACGAAAACGCTCCTGAGTCAAAATTTGCGCAATCTCGCCTCTGTCTGTTCCGGAACGCTGTACCTCATCCACGGCTCTCTCCCTACTTCCCGTTTCCTGTTGAACTCGTAGCCGATGGCACCCATTCGACGAACCCCTACGCCGGAGCAAACTTCGATCGAGGATCCTGACACGGCTGCCGCGCGCAAAGAATTGAGACAGACGGTCATATCTGATAAGCCAGACTTATCTGTGATGTCTACCGCGGCCATTGACCCCGCGCCTAAGGCTGCCACCAGCGATGATAAGGCATCAAGCACGGGTTCTACGCCCGACCGGGAGACCCTTCAAGCCCGGTCGGATGGATGGAAGGAAAAGATTCAATCCCCCAAGAAGAAGCGCGCACATGACGAAGTGGACGAGCCCAAAGACGTACCTGCGACTACGAACGGTGGCATTTCTCCAATTGGCACGGAGTCTGGTGCGTCGCTGGGGCGGACCGACCGATCTGAACCGGAGAAGAAGCGACCGCGTGATGTCTCGAGCGAGATCAAGGCGAAATTAGAAAAGTTTCCTGTGCGACCACCTAGCTCGCCTCCACCCCCTTTCCCGTCAGAATTTACAACTGATCGTACTCAGGTTTCCTCCGAACCCGTCGAGTCCACCGAGTCGGCCCAGGCTAGCGATAAGGTGGATAAACCGGCTGGCGAGGAACCAACAAAGGCAACGAGCCCCGACGACCCCGCAAACGAGAAGAAAACCACATCTGCCTCCGCATTTAACAACTCGATATTAGCGGGATTCGCTACCCAGACGTCGCCGTTTCTCCAGGCCGGCGCAAAGCTCTTGTCATCCTTTGCCAGCCCGTCCGGTTCTAAATCGCCATTCGGCACCGCCGGCACAACACCTACACTGTCTGCTTTTGGTAGTGCCAGCCTATCTAACGCGCCCTCGCCGTTTGGCCAGGTAGGGGCATCGAAACCCTTTGGGAGCAGTGCTTTTGGTGGGACCTTTGGGGGTGGCGCCGGCGCCCCTACGCTCACTAGTTTCGGAAACCCTGGTGAAATACTCAAGAGCAGCAAGCCAGCTAAACCATTCGGAGCGCCCGCGAGCGAGGACGAAGACGACACCGGTGGCGACGACAATAATTATGAAGAAGTTGATGGCGATGAAGACAACGAGACTCGGGATGAGAAGTCGGCTGTAGTAGACGACAAGAAGAAACCCAAGCTCCATCGGGGTAAGTTTTTGAGTATAGTGATGGGGTCTCGTTTAGACGCTGACCCTCTTCGCAGTAGTTGTTGACGACGGAGAGGCTGGTGAGGCCACTATCCTCCAAGTCCATGCTAAAATATACCACCTGGACAAGGCTAGCAGCTCCTGGAAAGAGCGGGGAGCCGGTAACCTAAAGATCAACGTACCCCAGGCCTGTGTTGACGTTGACGAAGAGAGTGGTGCGCCAATCCCTGGTAGTTTCGATGCATCTGCTTTGGAGGACGCCGAGTCTAAGGTTGTCCGTTTGGTGATGCGACAAGATTCGACACACCGAGTCATTCTTAACACTGCTGTGATCCCTGCTATGCGTTTTCAGGAGAAATCCACTGTCAAGGCAACTTGTGTGCTTTTCACTGCTATAGAAGATGACGGTGCTGTCAGTATTCAAATAAAGGTGAACGAGTTCCATTCTCCTTTGTCCTATGCCAAAAGATGGCCTGCTGACTGACGATCTACAGATGAACGCGGCTAATGCTAAGAGCTTCCTGAACGAAGTGGGCAAAATCCAGCGCGAGCTTCAGTCAGCTTAGGAAGCTGCTGCTAACATTGCTAACTGTGATAAAATCATCTTGCAACCTGCATAATTCGGTGTCTTTCTGCGACCTATCCTGCCATTAAGAGAGTGTTCCGTACAAGCTATATCGACGAGGCAACTGATGGCTGGCTAGCACGGTACACCCAATGTGGAGGATATACTCACAGCAGAGTCTTGGCCCAAGCAGCGTCCGTATGATGTGATCCTGGGTACTACCTGATTACGGCCCGCTCTAACAGTAGCAAGCAGATGCTAAGCAGATGCTAAACAGAGATGGATCGCTGTCTTTCACGAGGAGACTGGAGAAAAAGACATTGGACGAGAATTGAAAAGAACAGACGGCGGCACACATCTTGTCTAAAAAGTACGGACTAGATGGCATGTGGAGAGAGACGACTCTTAATTAATAAGAGGCGGTTTGGGGCTTGAGGTATGGAGCATTTCTGGAGACAGTGGAGGCATACTACTACAACAGGAGGTGTGCTCGAGTATAGAGCATAGATGATAGGCGTTCGTGTGGGTGTCTCAGATGGTGGGCTGGCCTCGGAATTACAGACGGGAGGGTTTATTGCAGCCTGAACGGTTGCCGTTTCTTACTAGGTGAAGGGTCACCATGAGCTGGCTAGTGATGGCTTGAAAGCGCAAGAATCACTTGCGGGCCTTCACAGCGCTGGCATTGTATTTCGATACCCCCGTTGCCATTACACGAGGTAGATGACACCAAATAAACCAGGCGCTATTTTCTCGAACCTCTCTCAAGTAGCAGAGATGATCGTGATCTTACACCTACGCCTACCTAAGCCATAGGAAGCCTGAAGGCGTACCTATACCCGATTCATAACGAGGCGGCTATAAATATACTAGGCACTGTATACTCATACCTAAGGTAGCTAGGAGGTACCTAGGGTAGGAAAGCAATTCAGATATATGCAGTTATCCGATAGTCTCAATGGCGCGAAGTTGAGGCCTAAGGGGGAAGATCGATTATGGATGATCACGTGAGTACGTCCGAGTTTCGTGCTCCCCGCAGAAGCAACCGCGGCTGGCACGTCAAATCCAAAGCACATTCCTCAATCTAGCATAGCATTCCCATTCAGTGGCCGATTCCTTGATGGCTAGCCATCACACCCCCATGCATCTCGATTATAAGTGAAATGTCCCCTTTCGATGCTGATATGGCCTCTGGCAACTCAGTTAAGCAACAAAAGAGGAAGAGGCAAAATGCTACCGACAACACGAGAGACAATCACTTGGAACGTCCACCCGTCCCCCCTAGGGAATCAGGGCCTTCCCCGCAGAACTCGAGAAGCACTCCTCAACCCCGAGGCCACAAGAAGCTGAAGCCGGCTGTCGAGTGTCGGATAGAGTGGCCGCAGGCGTTTGTGGACTTGAACAAGATCCACCAGGCTCTTAACTTGGTCTTCACGTTCTGTTCTACGCGAAAGCATCTCGCCACCACCTTCGATACGATCCGGTCCGCAGTCGAATCGAATACAAAGCGCGAGCTGACGGTCGAGGATGTGGCTACCGTCGTGGCACTACGACCTGATGGCATTTACTTCGGTTACGTAGATGAAGATATGCTCCAGATACATATCAAGGGAGCTGAAAGAGACACGACGTTCAAGTCCGGAAAATCGAGAGATATCACTGCCCAGGGCCCTGCTCCCGATGCTTCCGTCGGTGGTTTCACTGGCCTAGACGAACTTGGCGCCCGTCATCCCAATGACATATCGCCTAGCGGCAAACAAGTCTTATATTTCGAGTTCGTTGACGATGACCTCAAAAGGCAGGTCCCGCACAGGAAGACGGGGGAGCCAACCAAGCCTAGTAGGAAACTACGAGATGAGGATTTGAAAATGCCTATCTACAGTCAGAAGCAACTGACAACACTGATTGAGAAGCGTAACCAGAAGTTCACCAATGCGGTGAACGCTTTCATAAACCGCTGCGTAGACGCAAATATAGACCCTGAGATCATGATCCGCCAAGAGGCCGAGTCTTATATTCCGACCCCCCCTGAGCGAGAAGGGTCCGTCTTCCAGCCTACGTTGAGTACCGTCCCAGAAGAGATCCCGAAAGAGAGAAAGAGTATTTCGGAAATCATCCAGGAACTCAAAGACAGCGCCTGGTATACCGGCCAAATCGTCCCGGACGGACATCGCGTGTTCCCAGCGCAAGAGCCAGTCTTTGGCGAACTTGACTTCCTCCTTAGCCAGGATATGGTGAATGCACTGTACAATGCCAAGGGAATCACACAATTCTACGCTCATCAGGCCGAAGCGATCAACCACCTTCATTCGGGCCGCAATGTAGTGGTCTCAACCTCCACAAGCTCGGGGAAGTCCCTCATTTACCAATTGCCCGTCCTGTATGCTTTAGAACAGGACCAGAATGCCCGGGCTATATACATCTTCCCTACGAAGGCTTTAGCTCAGGACCAGAGGAAAAGCCTTAAAGACATGCTGGCATATTTCTCGAGATTGCAGAGTATTCTCGTCGAGACATTCGACGGAGACACACCGATGCACGACAGGAATCAGATCCGGGAAGAGGCTCGAATCATCTTCACGAACCCGGATATGCTCCACCTCACCATCCTCCCGCAAGAGGACAGATGGCGGAGCTTTCTGAAAAACCTGCGCTATGTTGTCGGTATGTAGACCTGTGCCCAAATAGTAGTAATGGCCCGATTCCTGATTTTCTTCATAGTTGATGAGCTGCACTACTATAACGGCTTGATGGGATCGCATGTGGCATTCATCATGCGGCGACTTCGGCGAATATGCGCCGCCGTCGGAAATAGAAAGGTTAGGTTTATATCGTGCTCTGCTACTGTCGCAAACCCGCGGGAGCATTTCAAGGCCATTTTTGGTATCGACGATGTGCATCTGGTTGACTCTGACGGCTCGCCCTCCGGTAGGAAGGAGTTCCTCTGTTGGAACACACCCTACAAAGATCCAGGAGACCCATCCAGCGGCCGTGGAAATGCGATTGCCGAATGCGCTCGTTTGTTCTGTCAACTTGTCCTACGGGGGGTTCGTGTGATAGCGTTCTGTCGCGTGAGGAAACAGTGCGAAGAACTCGTTTCGGCTGCCAAAAGTGAGCTGGAATCGCTGCGAAGGCCCGAATGCATGGCTCGCGTCATGGGTTACCGTGGAGGATATACAGCCCAAGATCGTCGAAGAATCGAGAGTGAGATGTTTGAGGGCAAGCTTATCGGCATCATCGCAACTACTGCCCTTGAACTGGGTGTTGATATCGGCACCTTGGATTGCGTTATCACCTTGGGGTTCCCATACACGATCTCGAATCTGAGGCAGCAGAGCGGCAGAGCGGGCAGGAGAAACAAAGATTCGCTGTCCGTGCTCGTTGGGGATTGCTTCTCAACTGATCAGCACTATATGCAGAACCCCGACGAGCTCTTTACCAAGCCAAACTGCGAGCTTCAAGTTGATTTGGACAACATATTGGTCCTGGAGGGTCATATTCAGTGTGCGGCGTATGAGATGCCCATCAAACCCGTCGAGGACGCTGCCTATTTCACAAAAGACCTTGCAAAGATTGCAGAAGAACGCCTAGTCAAGGACGAGCTTGGATACTATCATTGCCACGACAGGTTCCGACCGGTTCCTTCTAGGTTCGTGGCAATCCGAGATACCGAGGATGAGCACTTCGCCATCGTTGACATCACGCACGGGAGGAATATTGTCCTTGAAGAACTCGAAGCTTCGAGGGCATTCTTCACTATTTACGACGGCGCCATATTCATGCACCAGGGAAATTCATATCTCGTGCGCGACTTTCAGCCGGAGAGGAAGATGGCCCAGGTAGAGAAGGTTAAAGTCGAGTGGACGACGCAGCAGCGGGACTTTACTGACGTCGACCCCGTAGAGACAGAAGCTACACGTAAAATTCCTGGTTCGCTGTCGCGTGCGTTTCACGGTTCGATACGGGTGACGCAGAATGTGTTTGGATACTTTAAAGTCGACAGGAAGCGCCGGATCCTCGACGCCGTCCAAGTCGATAATCCGCCCATCGTCCGGCACAGCAAAGGTATGTGGCTCGACGTCCCGAAGCGGGCGCTCGACATACTCATGGAGCGCCGCCTTCACGTGGCCGGCGCGATACACGCTGCCGAGCATGCCGTCATGAGCCTAATGCCCAACTTCGTCATAAGCCTGCCCGGCGACGTCCGGACGGAGTGCAAGTCTGGGCTAAAGGAGTTTGCACGGAAGGAGACCTCGAGGAAGCGGCCCGCCCGCTTGACGTTCTACGACGCGAAGGGCGGCGCGAGCGGGTCCGGCATCAGCACCAAGGCGTTCGAGTTCGTCGAACTACTCCTCGTCCAGGCCCTCGAACGAGTCGAGCACTGCCGCTGCGAGACGGGGTGTCCGGAGTGTGTCTGCTCGGAGTTCTGCGGGGAGGCGAACGAGGTAATGAGCAAGGCCGGGTGCTCGGTCATCCTGCAAGCGCTGCTGAATATGGAAATTGACGTCGACGCCCTCCCCATGGGGCCGGAAGAGTCGAGCCCGGCGGGTATCGAAACAATCGTGCTGGCTACGCCAGTCCCCTCGCGGGGTCGAAGGTTCGTCGACGAAGTAGAGGTCAAGGTGGAGGGCGGCCAAGAGGACGGCGAGGCGGGGCGGGATACGCCGACGGTAGATCTAGCGGTCGGTTTGGAGGGTGGCTGACCGTTGTGGGCGAGGACGGATACGGTTCGGGTACTGAAGACGGCCTCCATACGCAAACCTGGGGCAGATCTATCGACCGATGAGCCTATACAGACTGTAATGGTTACGTCGGCGGAAGACTGGTCGCCCGGCCTATGGACCGACAAGTGCTGATGGAGAAGCTACAAGCCGAGCCTTGTCTGTGCCTCTCTCCCTTAGCAACCGCCTGTAGTCAGGCCTCCCTGCCTCCTTTTCCTCCTCTTCCTATCTTCCCGTCTCCTCTTCTCATATCCTCCCGGCCTTCTTGTTTTCCTCAGTATCACTCACCCACATCCCCATCTATCAATATCCTGGTGCGCCGCCATCTTGCTCCCAAGGTTTCGGATACACACCCCATTCTCCTAGCAGTGCGCTTAAATGGGTATATGGGGTGATCTAAGTCCCTTCCGAGCATCCTTGATCGCCCATTGATCCTACTATTTAAGCTCTACGGGAACTCGCAACACTAAATCACTTGACTGTCGCTCTTCTACCCCTCGGTGTCTTTTTCGGTTCTGGGCTGTCAACCAAAATCAACCATCGATTAGGATGGGATTGTCTACCGTGCTGCTCCTGTCCTAGCGGTCCTTTACTAAAAGTAGGAGGGTCATCACATCTAGATTTACGCCGCTCCCATCATGAATAGCATCACAGAGCAATTCGACGCCCTCCTCGTCTTATCCGGAGCGACACTTGGCCTCGCTCTCGATATTGTTACCAACAATGACAATCGCGGGTCCGCACTTGAAAAACGTGATATGACCGACGACTGGAACCGTGCCAACCCACATAACTGGATCGCAAGTTTGTATTTGTGCCCGCAGGGAGTTGACGGCATTTCGAATTACAACGCTGAGTCCGTTTGGAATGCGTTCCGGCGTGGCTTCGGGCTATTGTACAGGACAAGGGAAGCGGACCGCCCGCGTTGGGGCGACACCGTGTTCCCGCACAGGTTCCAGCCGCACGACTTCCACGCACCGACCGAGAACCTGGGCTTCGCCAACAGCAACCGCCTATACATGTTTCCGCTAAACCCCCGGCCTGTCCCCAGCGTGGCCCGGACCCATCCAAACCCCTGTGACGGCATCTCCAGGTAACCACCGCGTCGTCTTTGGGTAGGTATGGCATATTTGCGGGCGTCGCGACGCTGAGACTAGACCCTGCCGCCGAGCAATTTACCGAAATCGACGAGATGTGGGAGGGCAACTATGACGACGAACATTTACTCCCTTGGCCTGATACCCTCGGCGGTTCCTAGTCACCTCCTCACGAGGAGCGGGATAACCCTCTGAGTACCAGTGACAGCAATTATCATGCTTCGAGAAGCTGATTGATTCGAGCACATACGTTATGCTCATAATAAGGGGGGAATGTGAAGGGGGTTTGGAGGTGTAACTCTTTCGAGCATTATCAGTAAGCCACGACTCTTGCTTACCTACATCTCGAGTTGACGGTTAAGGAGTCTGTTTCTAGCCATAAGAAAGACCTCTTCAGCGAGTGGTAACTGATACCATGTTGCCGAGGTAATAATCGGAAACAGAGACTGGTGATGTATTTATTTTAGTATCATGGGCTTGAAATGACAGCACGAAATCGATGCTCCCTCCCTCCCCCTCTATTGCCCCAACTCCCCAAACATGCCGTGGTATAGACCAAAAAAGATATAAGGAAAATGAACGTTGCGACAATCATGTTTAGAACATCGATGTCATAGTAGACATTACGCTCCAGCCAACACATCCCCGGTGATACATCCCAAACGCCCCACGATTTCAACACGTCATGTATCTAAATAACCCACTGCTGGGCGACCCAGACCATCTCGGGTCCTGCCACTGCCTTATCCGCGACATCGCCGATGGGTATGTCCTTGGCCGTCGTTAGCACGAGCCAGACATGACCGGAGAGGCCGGCGGGTACGGCAGCCGTGCCGTCGGCCGCTACGGGTGTATAGGCAACGCCATCCGCTCCGCCCCACTGTCCGATCCAGGCCGCCCACAGGTTATCATCTTTGTTATCAGCTGGGCGCTCGACGACGACGCCGAGCAGGCGTCCGCCGGTGCCGGGAGCGACCTTGCGCTCTTTGATGACGATGGCGGGGAGGCTCTTGGTGTCGTCGCCGGCGGCGGACTCGCAGCTGCCGGGCACGACGTACTTGTCGACGACGTAGGCGAGGGCGAGCTCGTGGGGGATGAGGACCTCGCGGGGGGCGGCGGCGGCGACGTGGCCCTGCATGAGGTTGAGGACGGCGGCGACGCGGGTCTGGGCGCCGAGCTCGGAGGCCAGCGCGGGCACGAGCCAGGCGGCCGTGGCCGACTCGTTGGCGCTGCCGTGCACGGCGGCGAGCGTGCCGACGGCGTCGAGCTTCGCGCCGACCGACAGCGCGAGGAGCCGCAGCACGTCGTCGAGCCAGGAGTCGACCCCATCGTCGTCGCGCTCGCTGATGCGGTACTTGCACGCGCCGACGGCCGGCCGCTCGTAGTGCCGCAGCGCGTCCGCGTACGTGCGCCGGTGGATCAGGCTCTGCGCCGCGAGCGAGCCGAGCGTGCGCGTGAGCGAGGACGGGTACGCGCCGGCCCAGCGGCCCTGGCCGGTGCTGAGGCGCACGTAGCCCTCGAGCAGGTGCAGGACGAGAGCGTCGCTGAGGCGGTGGAGGTCGCGCAGGATGGCGGCGGCGTCGTCGGACAGGGTGGGGCCCCAGCCGTAGCGCGCGGGCTGGTTGCCGCCGGCCATGCCGCCGATGTAGGGGGGGTAGTCGGTGCCGGGGGGCGGGGGGGCGGCGCCGCCAAGGGAGGGGTCGAGGGCGGCGTCACCGGCGTCGAGGACGGCGCCGCCGGCGTCGGCGACCACGGTGCCGTTGACCTTGAGGGTGCCGGCGAGCGGGGTGTGCGGGGGGATGGCGCTCGGCGGCGCCTGCGCGGCGAGCCGCCGGTACGCGTCGAAGGTGCGGTCGCCCTCGGCGGGCGCGTTGACCGCGCCCACCATGCCGGCCTGGCAGTGCGTCCGCGCCGTCTGCGCGCAGTAGAACCAGATCGGCTTGTCGTCGGCCACGGCCACCTCGAAGGTCACGCCCGACGGCGCCTGCTGCGTCGCGAAGAAGGGCGCCGCGAAGCCCCGGCCGCCGTCGGCGGACTCGAGCGGCTGGCACGGCTTGTCGAAGGAGGATTGCACGATCGAGTGGTTCTATAGCAGAGCCCCGCGAGGTTAGAACGTGTAGGCGGGCAGGTTGGTGGGGAGACGAGGGCAAGGCAGGGGAGTATTAGGAGCGGGCTCTCAGACATACCGCTGGGTTGTAGTTAAACTCGAGAACGGTGCCGACGAGCTCGGTGATGTTGTTCGGGTTGAAGACTAGGTCCCCGTTGAACCCGACATCGATGCGGAGCTTCCGCAGACCACCCACGGGCAGGGTCCCGACGGGCGGCGTGCTGGGGGTCGCGGCCTGTTGGGCTTTCGCCTTGTAGGCGTCGAATGTGTTTCCCGAGTACGGCCTGGCACGGGGTTAGAATGCTATTCTCCTACGGTGGGAGGCAGGGAGGGCTATGACTAACGCGTTGATGGAGTGCACCATCCCGCTCTGGCAATGGTTCCCATTTACTTGCGGGCTGGGAGATCGGGTCAGCAGTGCTCGCACCCCTGGAACAGCGGTCTGCAGAGAACCTACCAGTAGAACCACAAGGGCTTCGTGTCGTTGACGGTGATGGTGAAAGTCGTCGGCGCCGCTACGTCGGGCGAGTCGGTGGGAGTGAAGCCCGAGAAGATTCCGTGCTCTTGCAACTGGCACGGGTTGTCGAACGTGGACTGGGCGACGGCGTGGTTCTGGAGAGAAAGGGGCACGGGTTAGCTCTACGTCTCGGGATGGTTATAGCCAGCTAATCCTCGAAGATAGACAGAGGTAGGGTCGCCAACGTACCCTGGCAAAGAAGCGGTACGTGACCGTGTCGCCCGGGTGCGCCGTTAGCGCCTCGGGCTCGAATTTGAGCTGGCCGCCTTTGCCAACCGTGACGTCGTAGTGCGCGGCGCTGGCGATGCTTGAGAGGGCTGCCAGCCCAAAGAGGGCGGCGTTGAAGGATTTTATCCACGACATCTTTCCCTTCTTTCTTCCCTAGAATGCGTCGGAGAATAGGCTGGTAGGAGAGAGAAGGGGAGAGGAAAGGAGACGCTGTGATGATGGGGGTCATAACAATAAAGCAAGCCCGATGAGAGCGCGAGATGGTTTATTAAATCCTAGGACGACGACAACGGGGAGAGATCTCCCGGGATGCACAGGTCGTTTCCATATCCAATCAGCCCTACCACGAGATAGTCGAAATGGCTGCGATACCTACCTGGGTGCACTTTGGAGGGCACCATTACTAGGACTCGAGCCGAATGGTGTAAGACGATTGGAGGGAGCTGGCAGCAAGCAATGATTCTATTTCCGTCCTGCCCAAGTCTTCGAGAGCGAGCGGTCTATCCTGGGCCTTCAGCTATCGTCGAGTTGGTGCCAGCACACGCTCGGATGCGACTTGGCCCGTCCAACAGCCACCCGGCGCCCGGAATCTCGACACCCACAGAGCCAAGAAACTGGTGGCAGCCTGCATTGCGCTTTCGGGTGGAGAGGGAGCTGCGCCAATTGGTCCCGGCAGCGTCGTCTTCCGGATGGCTTCGCCACGCAACAGTTCCTCCCCGGCCCCCATGTTGGCGGCATAGGTATTCATATCCCGAGGGCGAAGAGCAAGAGCCAAAGACATCTCCGCATATTGGCGTCAGCAAAACGCCTTCGAGCGCCATCCCTCAGCGTCTTGGAAGGGGCTGTCCTACGGTCAAGGTTATGATGGGCACCGGCCTGGCACATCCGGATCTGGGGGGTCCGCGTCGGTTGTTGGTGTGTCGAGATTGGGCAGGAATGTCGTCGCATGGGGGTCGGCGGCACAGGATCTGGCCGTCTTGGTAAGTCGACAGGAAAATAAGCGAGCGCCTGTACGCTTCGCTTAGCTCGTCTCCAAGAACAATTCTCTAGTTTGCTTATGGGACATAATATAGATAGTCGCGGATTGGGCGCTTGGACTAAGACGCCCTCCCTCGTTATCTCTCTATTATAATAGAGAGTCGGCTTCCGCGTCGTTATTGGTGCGGGCGACGACCAGACGGATGCCTATCCTTGCTGTCGCTTGCTGATGGCAGTTGATGTTCTGCTGCCTCGATACCTAACCATTATTATACCTACTTAACTCGCCTGCCCTGCGACTTGGTTAACGGGCCCTTTTATTATCCCCACGATACCGTGAGGTCGGGAAACACTTGCGACGGTTCGCATGGGGAAAAAGATAATAATTTTATCGTTCGCTTCCCGCCCCTTAAGCTCCTAACGGAACCTGCTACCCAGCTCGACCCTTTTCCTCTTCTCCTAACCATCTGCAGCCCAACAACGGCCGTGGCGATAACGACGACGACGACGACGACAAGAAACGCTCGGCATCATGGCGGCTGCGCGCAAGCCTTCGTTACTTCACTGGGTCCTCGCCCTCTTCTTCTCGCTCCTCTCGCTCCTCTTTGTCCTCGTCATTCTGCTATCCGGCGTGGGTGGCCGCGTCGTGGCCGAGTACATGACCGTAAGTAACCCGAGGCCGATTGCCTTCGTTCGTTCGTTCGTCGGCGCTGCACCTCCATCCTTCCCCCCATCGCTTCCCCCGAGCCGGGCTGAAAATGCTTGCCCACCCACCTTAGATCGACACAAGCGGTCTCAGCATCCCCGCGAAACTCAGCAGCTCCGTGCTGCTCACGGACATATCCACTGTGTCGGGCCAGGACTGGGTCGGCTCGGACGCGAGCGCGGCCTCGCTCGGGCTGGCCGACACCTACACGCTGAGCCTGCTGACGGCGTGCGCGCACGACCGCGACGGCGGCGAGACGACGTGCGGCGCGCCCGAGATCGGGTTCAACTTCGACCCCGGCGCCGACCTGCGGCTCGACAGCACCTCGGTCCGCAGCACCTTCTCGGCCGCATACTCGGACGAGCTGCAGACTTACGCCCGCGTCGCCATGTTCCTGGGCGTCGGCTACGTCCTCGCGGCGCTGCTCACCGCGATCGCGTGCCTCTGCGCCGTCGCCTCGCGCTGCCTGCCGCCGGCCACGATCCGCGCCGCCGCCGGCCTCGAGGGCGTCGCCACGCTCGTCCTGCTCGCGGCGGCGATCGCGTCCGTCGTCGAGTTCATGAGGCTGCGCGGCGCCTTCCATAACGCGTTCGCTGCCGCCGGTGGTCTCGAGGTGCGCTCCGGCCGCAGGATGTTCGGCTTCGGCTTCGCCGCCGCCGCCGCCGCCCTCGCCTCGACGCTGCATCTGGTGTTCCTCTCGCGGGCGGCCGGGCAGCCCACCGGCGGCGGTGGCGGTGGGGATGCCGCGTCGCGCGCCTTCGACGCCAAGATCGGCGTGCCGGGCGCGGCTACGCCCGGGCTCCTCGGCCGCGTCACGACTTGGGGCCGGCACAAGTACGTCCAGGTGGAGAAGCAGCGGCCGGTGCTGCACCAGCGCGGCCTCTCCGGCGAGGACGACAGGCGGGGCCTCATCGCGTCCGAGGGCGACTTCTCCCACGAGTACCCCAACGACTTCGCCCTCGGCCCCATGCAGCAGCACAAGGGCAAGGGACGCCCCGGCGGCCACAGCAGGAACCCGAGTGCTGCGTACGACCCCCATCCGAACGCTCCGTACGGGACACAGGTAGACACCGTGTACGACCCGCTTAAGGTGTGACACATGTGGTCAGTTGACCAGTCAGGTGTTTGGTTGTGTGGATGGTGGCGATGGGGATAGACGCGAGCTGAATTTCTGTTCTCCCAGTCTGTCGAGTTATATTCCCAGCGTTCTTTCTCTGGGGAATTTCCTTCTATTAGGGTAATTAGATTCCCATAAGCGTACGTTGGGTGCTTCACGGGACATGGGGCGGCCTACTATACAAGGAGTTACGGAGGATGAGGTGGCGACGGAGTAGTCAATATTATATCTTTCCCAGTTTATGACCTCTCAAGCCACGAGGGAGGACATACGAACACGTGTAGAAAGAACCGCGGCGCCTATGACACTCCAGACGATAACGAAAGCCCGGAACTCCTGCTTGGAAAGACACGAGGGTCTAGCGTGGGCAGAGCAAGACGGGGCCTACGTCGCCGAACGAGGAATTGCATTACCGAAACTCTGGGACTGCCGTCCACTGCTATGAGGCTCTACTATCACGCCGTAATACCCGCGAGGTTACCCCCATGTCAAGGAACGCCTACAAGCTTACGAGTTGTACTACGGCTAAGGAGGCATCTTCAGAGTATCCCATAGTTTTAACTATGCTAACCTAGAGACAGGCCCTCATAAATGTATGCATGCATACGAACGTAAGAGCAACACTCACGGTCAGAGCTCGATGCCGCCATTCTCTCAAACTCGATCGGCTTCGTGCAATATCGATATCTTCCTAATTAACTGCATGAGTTAGCCTACTCTCCATTCCGCTTTCTCTCTCTCTCCACTCACCCGCCCATATACTCTATACGTACCTCTTTATTCCACCCTAAGACACCTATCCCTACTGTATCTTTCCACTGCTGTGGGCACATACGGCCGCTCGCTCGTTGTTCGTGGCTCGTTGTCTACAGTGCGGGATCGGAACCTAGGCGCTGAAGTAATAATATCGGAGGGCCGTGATGATAAGCCATACCGCAAAGTACAGCATGGCGCACAGCGTGACTAATATCACGACGCCCGCCTGGAAAAACGGGCTGGGTACGCGCTCGGGGACTTCGTATTCCTGGGCCGTGCGGTGGGTGTGCTGTTGCTCCTGCTGCTCACGGTGCCCCACCCCCTGCGTCAGCGGCTGTCCCGAGGATCCGGTTCGTTCTCGCTCCCTCGCCCCCCCTCGCCCGCTGAATCGGGCGAGGAGGGACCGGGAGCCGGGGTTCGGACTTACGGCGGGGGGGACTGCGGTGTTAGCCTGCGCGGCGCGCCACCTGGCGCGGCCTGCGGCCCGGGTCCGGGTCCGTTTCTTGAGACGAGGGCCTAATACCGGCATCGACGCAGGCAAGACCCCGGGGGGCGCGCTGGTCTTTTCGGGCAAACTGGCTCACTGTCAAACGGCATGTCCGCGAGTGGCGGACCGTGGTGACAGGCAGTAGTGTGGTGGGCGGGGAGGTTGTCGGATGGGGGGCGTTGGCGGCGAGAGACCTACTGCTACTGCTCCAGCTGGGGGAGGGTACGATGGCCTGGTTTGGCTGGAAGGTTGGTCGATTTTGGTAGAGGGCCAATGTAGAAGCTTTTGCTGAGATGATGGAGATGGACTGGTAATTGGTAAGAAGGAAGATTGCCAGGTCAATTACTTTTGATATTACAAGGGAGAGGGGAAAGAGAAACGGTGGTTTGTTCGCTTCACTAACTAAGGCAGGGTGGAACTCTGCCAGGCCTCATCTTCCTAGCAAGCATTGTCAAGCATCATAGATTGTTGATAGATGTCTACTTCCACTGTCGATTAAGGCTATTTGAAGTTTTGAGGCTACAGCACTCTAACGGTAGTTTCCAAGGCCGACTAGCGAGAGGAAACCTATAAGTTCCTCAGTCCTTTATTTAGAGGGCTAAACGTGATTGTAGTCTCTGGTATAGATTACAACAGTTTCCTCGTCTGTGTCTGTGAAGGCTCATCTCGAATAGTCAGGTCTATGGGGCCCAGGCACGTATAGTGCAAGTATATGTAAGTGTGAGAAGACGGCAAGGCGTCAGTTCACGCTTGAACCGGGCATTCAAAGTAGATGGATGAAGCTACTTATAAGAGGATAATATACCTATCGTGCATTCTACAGCCGGCTCTCGGTTGGTTCCTGGAGTAGGTGGCGTAGGCAACTCTTAACTGGCTACGCTTTAGGCCATGGGAACAAAGTGTGCAGAACCTTTAATCCCCCCTCACCTTAACTCATTGCGGTTTCTACCTTATAACTGCTTCTATACCTACCTAGTCTTTGAGTATATGTCTGTCACATAAGCTGCCCATGCAGGGAAAAGGGCAAATCGTTCCCTAGACAAGCTTCTAAAGGTACCTAAGATAAGGTTCCCATGCTGAAGGCAGAGATGAACTGAAAATATGCATTTTCCTATTCGGGAATCTCGTCAGAGCCGCATCTCGGCCCCACCTAGAAGGTCCCGATCTAACTTACCTACAGGCAGGCAGGTATCTACCTAGGTACCTACCTACTTGTTATTACTATACCTACTATACACGTAGACTCCGTCAATTTCACCACCCCTAAATACCTGCCATGCAGTATTAGTCAGCACCTACATGGGTCCAAGGCACATTGGGAAATTTCTGCACATCATGGGGCACCTCCACCGACTTCGGATTTTTCACTCGAATCTGAGATACCTCTTAACCTCTACAGTAGGGAGCTATTCCGAACGTAGCACTCGTGGATGCTTCGACGAAGGAATGATATTGTTTCGAATCTAACTAAGGTATTTACTAAGATAGCTTCACAAAAATGGCTGTACTTTTATGAGAAGGCACCGTCATTTGCCGCATCAAGCCCTACACACACCACGATACTTTTTTATCCATCCCTGGCTGGCCGCCATCTAGCGACACGTAAACTCCTCCGCATTAGTCTGAGAAAAGAGGGGGGAATCATCTGCTCATGTAACGGCGGCATCGTATCATTTATCCCTAAGACGGGTGTACGTCCTTAAGCATCTCACCTAACAAAACACTCCTTCCCAGCCTGTGTCAGAATCCTAATGCTAGATCAACTTTGTCCCGGATTTGGTCTATGCGTAAAGTTAGCTCCTCTCGCACTTCGGAATCAGGGGGGGCGGGGGGTTGCCTAGCTACCTCGCATTCCACCCAAGGCTTCGAAAGCGGTAGCGTAATTCTCGAGCGTGACCAATATCGACACTAGGCCTTGCTGGAGGCGGTCACGAAGATTGTCTACGAGGGGACTAGGATCGGTGCTGGTGGGTGGGTACATGGACTCTGTTCTGTCCTTGACCATAAGCAATGCGTAACTACACTGCATCGCGCAGCAAGCAAATGAGGGCATCGTCCTCGGTGTGATCAGCGTAGAGGACGGTCCGATGTAGCATGGAGTATCACAAAGCAGGCCGGTGGGATTCGGATACGGCAGGGAATCAAACGCTTGCGCGATATTCAGAGCGGACCTCAGGCACACCTTCGACGAGTGATGGGTGGTAAACGGGAACGTGAGGGTGGGGCCGGTATGAGCCATGGGAGTGGCCGGCTGATAGTTGAAGCTGCAGCAATCTGTGTTCGGTGTCGATCGACTCGAGAGCGTCGGGGAGACCGATCCACCGGATTGGCTCGAGTTCATCGAGGGCGTGCTGCTCAACGTAGTGGTACAACATGACTGGAGCTGCATAGGCTCTGGGCTATCGACTTCAACTTTCTCTGCTGTGCTCCTGAGGTCGCAGTGCTTAGCCGAAAAGACGGCGAGGTCGAAGAATGCGCAATAGCGGTGGACTTTGATACGGGCGCTGTACACAGGTATTAGCCTGGCCCCGCTCGAGCTCGCAACGACGGCTCTTACCTATTCAGCTTAATGCGCGACATGCACCGCAGCGACTGGGACAGGACAGACTCCCTCTTATCGACCGGCTGCGTCAGCGGGCAATTCAACACCCACGCCTCAGACTTGGCGATGAGAGGTTCCAAAAGCCGTTCGAGCTCCCGCATCCGGTTGAATATTCGGGTCATATCCGACTGCTCCTTTCTGGCCTTGTTGAATTCGATGACGAACTGGGTAGCCGCCAAGATAGCTTGCTGGGCTTGGACAAACAACGGAAATGCCTATAGAACGTCAGACGCAGATTCACATATGCGAGGCGGGGTTTATCGTACATCTGGGTCGGCCTTGATGGTAGGGTACTTGGCCGTGAAGCTAGACGCGAAGACCTCGAATGTCGGTTGCTGGAGGACATTAGCCAAAATCCTCGAACGGCCACATACACGCGGGCGTCTGCAACCATACCGTATTGCTAACGATTGACCCCTGGCAGACGCAGATATATGTCATCCACCAGGTGCGGCGTCGCGCTTCCGCGTACTCATCCTCTACATCACTACGAGTGTGGAGCATCAGGGACATGGCAGCTACCAAGGCCGCCCCGACCCTCGCTCTCATCTTCTTTAGGTTTCCGCGTTGCGCATATTCGTAGACGCTGAGCAGGTCAAGAGCAATGATGCTCTCTAATTCTAGAGGGACCTGCGAGTGGAACTTCTCTCGTAAAACCTCCTCGTCGGAATCATCCAGAGCCTTCGGAGGCTCAACGGACGACTCGGGCCGCTCGGTCTCGCTCTCGATGCTCTCCAAGGCCGACTTGGCGAGGAACTGCGAGTAAGTTCGCCTCCAACGAATCGACTCGGGCTCGAGCGGACTGGGATCCTGAGGACATGGGATGAGGGCGAGAATTGCCGAGATTGCCAGACTGATGGCGGAGACTGGCTCCTCAAACTTGTCTCTCTGGTTCTCGAAAAGAGGCACTGCCTGGTCGAGCACCGGCACCGTCTCCGGCGGCGGCAGGATGGGAAAGTAAGGATGAATCCATATGTAGTAGGCGTTCAATCTAAGCGAGGGGGGGGTTGATTAGTCCGGCAGTTTCGGGAGGTACGGGAACCGCTTACATGGCCCTCTCGTTTCCCCCGTAGGTCCTGACCATCGGGATCTTGACACTAGGAATGGTATTCTCCAAGGTGTCTTGGAACAGATTGTCGTAAATAGCATCGCTATCTCTCCAGATATCAGCCAAGGGCTTGAGACCCGCGCCGGGGTCTATGTAATGCTCGATAAGAAGCGCTATTGCCCTCGGATCAGCACGAATGCCGGCATCCCCGACGGCATCACACGACCTACACTCCTGAGGAACTTCTTCCTGCTGGGTTGGAAGCGAAATGGCTATATCTTGATAGTCCGAAAGGGGACGAGCCTTCTTCCGGATGCGAGGCCCTCCCCGCCTACTCGGCTTGTAGACACAGTCGCGATCCTTAGTCACGCACTAGGACGGTCAGACAAACACTCGTCCCGTTCATCTACACCTCTGGGCCTCCACGTTCGCTACCAAACGGTATACCGCGTGACGGCATCAGGCGAAGAAAAGATGAAAAAGAAAAGAAGCGTACACTTGCGCACGGACGTTCGCCGTTGCATCTCGTCCTCGATGCGCGGCTTCATTCTCCGTTAGCATAGTTCGAAAAGCCCCCCCTCTCCTTCTCGGCGGCGCGACAGCAGACCGGGAAGGGAGAGTTTCAAAGAGGGTAAACGTGGAAGAGGCGAGACGAGGCGAGGCCAAGTCGAGCCAGTTGAGGCGGATAGCACAATGTGGTGCTGCGACGTACCAAGACAAGCATGCGTTCTTGACGGGCGGGATCGCGAATTTCTTACGGGGCGCGGGAGCTTGACTAGCCGCCGGCCTCTGGGCCCCGTTCTGGCCGCCGTCGCCCTCAGACATCGTCATGATGCCAGCTCGGTTGATGTAAGCGCAGTACAAGCACAAGTTGAGCGTAGGTATTGTTATAACAAGATGCGGTGTAGAGTAGTTAGGTAATTGAATCTCTCGGTCACTGCAGGAATAGGGTATAGCGGCCGGCGGCGGGTTGGTCCCCCTTTGCTAATAAGTCTGCCTGCGGTGGAGATTGGCAAGCGAGAGAAAGTCCCCCGATTGCCCGGATCATGCGGACCTGCCTCTCACCCTTTTCTCTCGGCCTCAGCTGAGAGCGGGGTAGCGAGCAGATCGGCCCAAGACGGCCAGGATTGACTGTGATTGTGCTTGTCGTTGCTGTTTCGGATGCCAGGTAGCAGTCTAGGATTGGAATAGGAAAGGAGGGTGAACTGGCTGATGGTGCGAAGTATGACTGGGGGAGAGGGGGGGGGGGGAAGAGATAAGGGATGGTATGGAGCGGGATGGGACGGGGTCGAGGTTTGGATTATGTAGACGGATACATACGCAAGCACATGTATATATCTAGCGACTAATGTAGGGTATGGGGTGGTTTATGAATTGAGCGCGGTGAGAGGTTGGCAGTTATAGGAGGAATCGAGAAGAAGGGGGGGGGGTGTAGAAAGAAGGGTGTGGATGAGTGAGCGAGTAAGTCGGGAGGAGAGAGAGATAAGAGAGGGATTGTGAGAGAGTGGGCGTATTAGGTAGCGCGTTCTGAGTAAGGCAGGGTTCGGCGCACGGGTGGATGAGGCGAGTGGATGGATGATGGGTCAAGAAGGGTGGATGGACGGCTGCGGTGCCAGTTAGTTACCTACTTAGGCTGGGGATGGCGTGAGCGAGCGCGACCGGGAGCGCATTGGTGAGTTTGGGCCGCCTGCCACTCTGGCCAGTGGCAGCCGGCCAGTGACGGCCGCGGTAACCAGTGTACGCCGGTGGTCGGTCGCTGGGGACCTGGGGACGGGTATCCCGGTGGGTAGCAGGCTGTGTTGTGAACAACAAGCCGATGTTTCGAACGGGGCAGGGTGGGCGAGACACCCGCACGTGTATGAGAGGTAGATACTTGGAGTTAAAGTAAGTGCTATAAGTATCGTACATGGCCTGCCTTGGGTACCTAGGTGGGTAGGAGGTAGGAGGTAGGCAGGCAGGCAGATACCTCTTAATCTATCGTACTGGCCTCTCCCGAATACCTAGGAGGTACATACCCGCCGTGGACGTGTAGCATGTACCTATCATCATGTCCCTACACAATATACAAGTCTCGGCATATATCTGCATGAGAGGCCCCGATAAGATTGGTGATCAGGTTGGTGGTCAATATCCTTCTTCATCGCCAGGGGTGGCTCGGTATGCCTTAATGAACCATAGGTACGTGCATGCCTACGCGGTACACACCTCCTCTGCATTAGTCTCTCGCCATCGCTATCATACCTAGGTACGCCACCTCTCTGTGCGTGCCCGTCCGGGATGTTGCTGTGAAATTATGTGCCCTTACCTCCAGCTCAATGCAGATCGAGAAGCTACCTACCTACCTAGGTATCTACCTGTAGAGGCAGTGACTTCATCCCAACGGCCCCTGCTCAAGCGGGACCCAACAACTTCACCCCGCACGCAGCACGCGTTTTTGCCGGGACGAAGGGCAGCCTAGTAATGCCTGCCTTTCGTAGATATACCTAGGTAGATAGGGCTTTGGCCTGTAGTATGCATACTACACCCGGTTCCGTGACCTAGGTGGTAAGAGGAGGCAGGTTTATAGCCTGCCCGTTCACGGGCTAGTATGGAATCTTGGAAATTATACTACGTGCCTCCTACACAATGTACCCACCTACCTCTACTCATACAAGGCCTGGGGAAGAAATGGACGGACGGGCATATATACGACCTCGACTTTTACCACTCTCCGTCAGCACGGTGAGGTACCAGAGCAGCACGCACGCTGCATGCAGAACAAACTTACAGCACATACCTACATGCACGGACGGTATCTACAGCGCGTATCGCAGCGGCGCGGGTCTGCACATGCACACACATACACACACGCGCGCGCGCACACTGCATACAGCCTCGATATTTCTCCCGGCACTTTGTGAGTTAGTACCTTGAGTACTTCCCTACCGAACCTATAAAACCTCGTATAGCGCCGCACGCCCCGTTTTCTCCCTCACTCCCTCCCCCCGGTTTGTATGCACACCACCCAAGGTTCGCTGCGAGTGTGCTGCAGGTGTCACTAAAATCTCCCTCGCTACCAGCCTATCAGCCCGCTAACAGCCGTCACGAATCCACTCGAAATCATCCCCGGCCCGTTCCGCTCAGGCCATACGCATTTTAGCCACGCAATCAATTCTGCGCTCGTGCTGATCACCGCTAACCCGCGCTCTGGCAAGAGAACCTCCTGGCTACCCACATCCTACTACATAGGTAGGTACACGTAGGCAGGTTGTAGGTAGCTTAGGTATTTATACCTTTGGATGCCGTAGGCACTTAATGTCGTGTTATGATGCTCCATAGCCGGGATGCGTACATCCCATCATTCGACTGTGAAGGTTGTTAGGTAAGTAGAGTAGGTATACCTAGTACTTGTCTCCCCTCTCGCCACCCCACCAACTGGGGCAGTTCCCCCATCCCATGCCCGGCTCTTCTTCTCTTACCTTCTCTTACCCATAATCCGCAGCGTGTCCGTCACCATCCCAGCAGCCGGCTCTGCAGGCATCGCTGACCAGAAGAAAATAGAATCCCCCGTCTGACTCGGTCTTATTGGGTAGCCACCACGCCATTTGTCCCCATTCTCGTATGTTGTGCGGATATAAAGGGATTAACGTCGGCGGCGAGGTACGGTTTGGCCTACCCCAGAGCGACTGGACCAAAACGACAGATCTGGCCATCGATCAGCGCCAACTGCTAAAAGAGCCAAATCCAGCAGCCAGCAGCATGTGCTATTCGCTTCAGGCCTATCTCATCCTGTCCTGTCCTGTCCCCTCCGATCCTACCCCATCCGAACCGTCATCGAAGGAGAATCGGCGACGCAGCACCACAGCATTAGCCATCCCCGTGATCCACCCAGAGACCGCGCACACCTACTACATAGGCAGGCCTTGTTGTCGTCGCCAACGTAGCATGTAGGCAATATGTACTTACCTATGTGCGGCAGCCTCGATCCCCCCGGTGTTATAGCGACTCGGTCGCCACGAGGCGTAGACAGCATATGCGTTCCTGTCCAACGCAGACATACCCTACTTACACATTATCCTATGCGCAGGCTGAGATTGTGTTAGATGACGAATGGCATCCTACACGTACATGCTGGCCTCCCCGTACTCATAATCCCCCCTACCCCTTGCATGGCCCCGAAAATAATCAGGGTTACAGGATATGATGAGAATTAATATCAATTGCTCGTTCCCTCATATGAGCAAACTCTACGCTTCGACGACAGACCCGAAGCACCGCTTGTCGGCCCTACCGCCTCTGCGCATACAAGACGCCAAGGAGCAACATCGACGTCACGCTGCCTAAGGGGTAGGCAGGTAGGTAGTACCTATATTTACTTATATGTGGGTGCGTACGTGCATACCTCGCCAGCGTGCCTAGAGCGCCAAGTCCCGATCAGACCGTTCCGCCTATAGGTGGAGTTATCAACCTGTAATATATAGCTCCCGTGGCTTCAAGTACCTATCCCGCAGTCGGCCACAGGCCCCGCGAGTCTCACAACATCTCCCCTATGTCCCCAGAAATGGCTCGCCGCCCCAGGATTCGCAGCTGGCAGATGTCGACTATTGGCTAGATTTCTCTCTTGCCGTCCCCCCGCGGTCTAGGCACCGTAGGGCTGTCCAGTCGCCCCCGCCTTGGCCATCGCCAGACGCGGTCGAACCTGACCTGGGACTGGCGTGCCCGGCCTTAAGACGATGCAGTTCCACTCCGAGGTATGCTCATTGTCTCCAGGAACTCGGCCGGGGTCTAGATGGGGTCGGGAGACGGCGGCTTGCGCTGAACAGGGTCCCCTCGCGGGGCCTTCATCTGGAGCGGCAAAGGTCTCCCTGGAGTGCGTTCGGTGGGCTGCTGGCGCAGCATCGTACGTGTCAGGCATATGGGCATCGGGTGTACCGTTTGTGGAGTTGTGAGGGGTTTCTGTGTCCCTTCATTGGGCAATGAGGGCCCGGAATGGACGGGCGTGAGGCCTGGTGCAGGAGCTATCGCGGACGGACGCTCTCCCCTCTCTCGGCCCGGTGTGGCAGCGGTTGGGCGCCGAGCTGGCTATCATTCACATCAGTTGATATGCACCATCTACTGCGCAAAACATCTTACCATCCCCGGGGCACCCTGCATAAGGGGTCCGTTCCCGGGGTCCCCGCGGCTGCGTGCCCCAAACAGACACGAAATCGTCTGATGGAACACGGGCGTTATGGCCAGCAGGCTGGTCTGTGTCCAGAGGACCATAGCCGCCTCGATGGCCATCATCCCCAACCTGAACGTCAGGGCCTTGGAGTCGTCGGGCGTCGTAGTGGAGCTCACGACGAAGAGCACGACCCATGTCAGCGCGAGCAGGAGCTCCGGTATTACGAGCCAGACCGACCAGACGTGCCGCAGAAAAAGTGCGAGAATGCACCAACCGCCGGATAATACACTCGTGGCACTCGCTAGGACGAGGAGCCAGAGAGTTGGGCCGGACATCGTAAATACGTACAAGACGAGTGCCAAGATGGCGGCCAAGCACTGCGAAGACCGAATAATCGTAACGAGGGAACCGCTATCGTAGCTAGACGGCTTGGGCTTGCTGTTGATGTGCGAGCCTGTAGTCCAGGGCGTGTCTCTGGGGGTCTCAGCCCAACCGTCCTTCGTCCTCGGCTCTCCAACGGATGATAACCACCAGCGTGTCTTCTGCCTCAGCCTGTTACTCTCTATGCGCTCCATCGGCCTTGGGTATGGCCCACTCGGTATCGCCCGCACATCATAGCGGTGTTTTATAGGCGAAGGAAAACGACTCATTGCAAATTCCGTCCTCGCAGGGCGTACAGTCTAGGTGTCGCCAAGTTAAGTGTATGGAAAGGTGACCCTGGCGATGTCAAGGGGCAATGGCATGGTAGTTCTGGTTCTTGTGCGCTCTGGACTCTGCAAGGTTCACAGATCGCGCCTGTTGCCGTAGCTCTGCTATAATAACCGATTCTTAACGATGCTACTGAATTCTCGGGTATCATCAGCAGTCATGAATCGTTTCCCCATAAAGCCACCTACTCCGTGACACGTTGACGTTCCGTCACAGATCATTCAACTTGGTTGTCGAATGTCAGTTATGTGTAATCCTTACGAATAGAGACCAAGCAGGATAAGTTGATCATTACTATGAGTAATCATGGGCTTAGTCTTTTTTCATCTCATAATATGATTGCACGTCCATTTTATTTGCGACTAGAAGAATTTAAATCGCCTCAAGAGACTACGGCTCCCTATGAGCATCCCTAGCAAACACTCCATCATTGCCACCCTTGAGAATGACTCCCAAGTATTCTCTGCCCGTTATCGATATCTGGGGAACGCCGGGGAGGAGGAGGGTAATATCTAGTCTGTGAAGCACACATGGAGGCCCCTGATCTAGGCATGATTAGTCCCTTCCCCCATATTTTTCAGATCATACTTCTGGTAACCACGTTCTTACATATTTATAGTAGATATCTGGCACGGGTTCTATGCCGATGAGTTGATCATGGCGCATTATTCAGTGTAAGAACGGTGCCTAAGAGCAACGTGTCCGACTAGCTCCTACGGCAGCAACCTTAGATGCAATATTCATATGACTGCGAGAACCGTCCCCGTTCCTCGGAGGTTTGGAGCGATATAGGTATATCAAGCAAAGGCTCCCCATAGACTTGAGTGAAGGCGAACTCGTCAAGACCGTAATTTACTAAGAATCGCGTCTATCAACGCCCCCTTTGCTGGAAATGACTGTGTATTTGCAGCTCGAGGCTCCCACTCTGCATCATATGGACCGTATTCTACCTTTTTACTCTCAGAAATTCACCCCTACGTCAGAAATAACACAGGAGTAAAAGCGCACGTCTAGACATAGCGATAGGATGGCAAACGGGTTTGATTATACACTAGTTCACCATTACTTTCCAACCCGTGATTCTGAAATTGATGATCGACCCAACCATCGCAAGTTCAATTGTACGTACGGTAAGCTCCTACGATCAACTAATCGGAGAATGTTCTGCTAACGCAGTGGCTGTTATACGACAACGTTATTAGTTAGTTTCCAACACTTGCGCAGGGCACGTCACTTGCGTTGCCCCAATGAAACACTTTCGCCTTTACTGAGACCGTCTGAATAGATATAAAAGCCTAGCCCCCAAAAGGAGAGGGGGGGGGGGGGGGGGGCGCGGGCCGATAATAGAGTATTACATATTACTACGAAGATTAAGTCCTGGCTTACAGAAATGTGATAGGATCTCCTTGAAGTAAACCGATAGCCACGCCCACCATCCTCCACAAGTGCCCCCCGTCATCACTGCTAATTAAACTTAGCCACCGTGACTATTCACAGTGATCGGCATGCACCCAGGGCTTATTTCCTGCTCATTGATACCAATAAACTTGATGGCCACGGAGTCCCCATTCTGCAACCGGCTTTTCCTAAGTCGGACTTGTGTTTCTTCTAGTCCTATTTGGAAAGCCTTGCTGACGCGACCCATCTAATAGTGGCCGCCACAGTAATACAAGCTTACGGGGAAAGATCGGTATCAATGGTTTCTGCCGTTCGGTCTGCCTTTCCGAAAGACAGTAGAAAAAAAAGGCCTACACCGAGCCCGTCCCCTAGCTTACCTACGCGAGCTTATGCCCTATCCCGAAGGCCGCCCGATGCCAACAAGTTTGAAGAGTTCGGTGACGAGCACTGCCTGGTCTCGGCCTTCGAAATTTCCGCGGATTCCGCGGTGATGGTGAGGTTGCAGCCTTAACGCGCAAGAAGCCATGCTACGAGTGTGTAGAGAGCACGCCGGGCACCCAAGGTGACTGATGACGTATCGACAAAAGGGGTAGCCGATTGGGAGGTATCATACCAAGATATCAATGCGTTGCAACTGCTCCTTGGGCTTAGCTCTAGGCACAGCAAAAGGCTTCAGCTATCTCGGTGTTTTCGTAGCAACGACCGACCGGGACCAGAGTAATATAGTCGCCCGGAGCCCACCGAAGTGGCTGCTATGGCGATCGCCACTTGCCAACCGAATTGATGTATCCCTTCGGGGCACTCTCTTATCCGCTCAATCCAGGCGCATAAAAAAAACAAATATCTGGTTCATCTCCTGCTCTCAACACCTCTCAACATCACATGGGTGAAGGGGGATTGGCCGTAAGCTTCTAGTCGTACGTGTGCCAGGCCTGAATACATAGTAACACAGAAAGCGCCACCGTAATGTCGATAGAGACCGAGTAGGCCACGCGCCCTCCCTATGTGGATATGTAATAGGCTTCTACGGCTCCATACACGATGACTTCTAGTCTAAGCGGCCGGCGACACCGCGGGGATAAGCCCGCGTGAGTTCGGCAGCAAGCATGGAGAAACGAAAATACGCATAGACGGGCGTCGGAAAGGCGATGTTGAGAACCAAGACATGCGGCTCCATTACACAGCGTCGAGTCGACACCATGGATATGGTCATGTATCACCAAAAGGTGCATGGCCTTGGGATTCAATATGCATACATCCGTATATTATCTAGACAGTTACCCAATCAGCTAGCGGGGCTATAAAAACCGCCGGGGGAAAGTTGGCCCCCGACCTGTTTTGTCTGCGACGAGGGGCGTCGCTCGCCCGGCCCCCCTCCTTTGAGGCCCTGCACTACCCTGACGGTGCTAGCGACAAGCGACGCCGACGCGCCTGTTGGTCGCTGACCCCGATCGCTTTAATGGCAGAGAGCCGAAGAGCATCGAATCCCCATGCCAAAGCCAACCCGCCAAACGCCAACCCGAACGTCGCTTCGATTAGGCATAGCGCGCCTTTACTATCCGATGACCGAGAAACCGAGGCGAGTTGCCGCCAAACCCCACTGACGCCATTTACCTCCGTCGCCGGCTGGGAGGAATCCAGAATCTACTCGATGAAAAAAAAAGGAAGAAAAGGAGAAAAAAGGAGACTCGTAAACTGCGTAGCGACAACGCCAAAGAAACAACCGTAATCTTCTTTCTCGTCTTCGCGCACCCCGAAAGCACAATTACCTGGCGATTTCTGCTCCTGCAACCCCCATCCACGCCTCCGCCACGTTGCGTTTCCCGTCCATCGTCCGAGATCCCGTACCTGCCTGTCTGCTGCCGACCTATGATGCGTCCAGGCCGCTCGCGGGGAGGCTGCTGTCATTTGTGATAAAACCGTCGCAGATACCACCGTCAGCGAGGATGCGCCTGTGCCTTTCTCGCACCCCTCCCTCATCACACTTCCTTCGTCCCACCCGACCGGCTGCCGGGCTCGAGATAAGGCGGCGCCTGTGCACGAGGTGCCTGCTGACAACAAGGACCGGCGAGAGTGGACGAAGCAGGGCGGCGAGGTCTCCAACCGCGGGGCGCCGCCTCTCGGCCGCTGCCAACCTGCTTACGCAGCCCCCTCTGTCACCTAGCAGGTTCCGCCAGCTCGCGACCGTGGTGACGGCTTCTGCGGAGAAAGGTGAGCAACATCTTCATCCTCCTCCTTTCCATATGCGATAGCGTACATATCATTTCTAAACTTGCTCAAAAATCCGCAGCCAACGCGCCCGACCACCATGGGCCGATTCAAGAATACGACCGGCGCGTCAGCCAGGGGCGTCTCCGCGAGGACCAGCACCAGCGCGGCATCATACAGAGCCTGCAGAACCTGCACGGCGACCTCATCCACTACCGGGCGCGGCCGGTCGTGCGCCCGAGCCTCGACATCCTGAAGCCTCCGAAATCCGTCTTCTCCTGGTTCGGGCCGAAGCTGAGCGCTGCGGGGACGAAGGAGATCCCGAATGATCTCCCGCGAGGCTTGTACCTTTACGGCGACGTCGGGAGCGGCAAGACGATGCTGATGGACCTCTTCTACGACACGCTGCCCAGCGGGGTGCGCACCAAGACGAGGATACACTTTCACAACTTCATGCAGGACGTGCACAAGCGGCTGCACAAGATGAAGATGGTGCACGGCAACGACCTGGACGTGGTCCCGTTCGTGGCCGCGGACATCGCCGAGCAGGCGAACGTGCTCTGCTTCGACGAGTTCCAGTGCACCGACGTCGCCGACGCCATGATCCTGCGGCGGCTCCTCGAGTCGCTCATGTCGCACGGGGTCGTGCTCGTCACGACGTCGAACCGGCACCCGGACGAGCTGTACAAGAACGGGATCCAGCGCGAGTCCTTCGTGCCGGCGATCCACCTGCTCAAGTCGCGGCTGCACGTCATCAACCTCGACTCGCCGACCGACTACCGCAAGATGCCGCGGCCGCCGTCGGGCGTCTACCACACGCCGCTCGACAGCCACGCGGCCTCGCACGTCGAGAAGTGGCTGCGCTTCCTCGGCGACCCGGACGACGCGCAGCCGCACCACCCGGAGACGCAGCGCGTGTGGGGCCGCGAGATCCGCGTGCCGCGCGTCAGCGGGCGCTGCGCCTGGTTCACGTTCGAGGAGCTGATCGGGCGCGCGACGGGCGCGGCCGACTACCTGGAGCTGATGCGGTGCTACGACGCCTTCATCGTGTCGGACGTGCCGGGGATGACGTTCCGCGAGCGCGACCTGGCGCGGCGGTTCATCACCTTCGTCGACGCCGTGTACGAGTCGCGCGCGAAGCTCGTGCTGACGACGGCCGTGCCGCTGACGCAGCTCTTCGTGTCGCCGCAGGAGCTGCGCGAGTCGCTGTCGCGCCAGGGGGGGAATGCGGCCTCGGCTTCCGGCTCCGGCTCCGGCTCCGCCGCCGACGACGAGCCGGACAGCGACACCGCCATGCAGCACATGCTCGAGGACGTCGACACCAACATCGGCCAGCTCAAGAGCTCGAGCCTCTTCTCCGGCGAGGAGGAGCGCTTCGCCTTCTCCCGCGCCCTGTCGCGGCTCAGCGAGATGTCGAGCAAGGAGTGGGTCGAGCGCGGCATGGGCCTCGAGGCGCTCGGCGGCAAGGCCGAGAGGGACGGCTGGGCGAAGGCTCGCAGCCGGCAGATGGAGGACAGCATGTGAGGCAGCAAGCGTGTGATGGGATCGCGTGTGGTAGCTTGGGAAGGCGCGCTCAGCACATATGTACTCATCCCACCCTTACCTTTTCTTTTTCTTTTTCGAATTTTTTCATTCCATCGCGTTTCGCCAGCGTTTTTCCTGGCTGCGCTGATGGCGGGTTGGGTCGATATAATGCATACAGGGTCTCTCCGTAGCGGAGCAGGTTTCAATTAGGTATCACGGCTGGTCAAGAGAGAGCGAGACAGACAGGGTTTGGTGGTGGAGGCAGGTAACCTATGGGTAGAGGTAGCATTGATACATTTGCACGAAGTGTTGAGTATATGACTGCGCACAGGCATTTATAGAAGACCGCGTATAGTCTAGCAACTCGTGTCCGACCCCCTAGTTTTCACGTGGCATGGCGTGGCATCTCCGTTGACAGACTGTTGACAGACTGTTGACAGATTGATGACGGATACGGACGGTAATGAGACGCCGGTCTGGACCGTGGGACGCAGCGCCTATGTAGATATCGTGTTACTCGCCTAGGTGCAATGTTTACGAAGGCAGTTTATGCACGGAGCGGGTATTGGGTAAGGTTTGCTGCTGGCGTCGCGTTTAAGACGGCAGATGACCTCACGGCTGGGCCTAGGGAGGTAATATAAGGTCGGTAGGGGCAGCTTCGGTGGGAGTTTGCAGACTTTCTCCCTCGTCCTGCCACCGTAAGATCGGGACCTTATCGCCTCTTCCGGGGGCAGTGCACGCGCCCTGCTAGTCCAACGGCTTGGCCAAGGAGAAGAACAGACTCGGGCTGAGGTTGCATCTAGCTGCAAATACCGACCCAGCTTTCCGTTAGCGTCAAGTTGGGGGGCTCCAAGGGGGAAGTGCTGCTAAAAAGCGGGAAGAAGAGGGAGAGAACAAAAGAAGAGGAAGAAGAAGAAGAGGCCAAGAGAACATAAGGCTCTTATTTCATACAGAATCATACTAGACCAAGAATAGCCAAATGCCCCCTCTCAAAAGCGCTCTAGGCAAAAGGACAAATCATATGCAGATATTAATAGCAACTTGCCTCTCATTAGGTAGATAGTGTGCCGCTGTATGGGCACTTAACCAACACGCTCTAGATAGTGTTGCCCCTCAATCTGACCGCCGTACCACGAGACAACCTTGGGTTGCGCAGATGATGTGGAAAGGAAAGCTCTGTTGGATCTGGGTTCACGGGTATCGTCCAATTTCGCAATTTCAAATTTCCAGCGTAGCGACAAGGTACAGCCTAACTAAGGTGGCACCTGATTATGCAGAGTACGGTGCAATATCTACGCGCCTAACCTTGGCAGGTAAGGTACATGCGACAGTGCTAGGATTGTGACGGCCGGCGACACTCCTGCCTGGAAGATTGACCAACGAACAGAATCTCGGTCCAATGACTGGGGCGGGCCGACTTTTTTTCTTCTTCTTTCCTTCTTTCTCTTCTCCCCTCTTCATCTTACCGCAAACAGAGGGGAAAAAAACACACCAATAGATTGTCGTTGACTAGCGGTAAATTGGTAAGAGTAGGATTTAGGCTGGCGCCTAGCCTGGCAATGCCTCGAATGAGGGTAGAGTATAGTAGCCCCTGTTCCGATCCTTCTTGCGAGCGAGATGATAGCAGAGATTCGGCAAAGCATAGGTTTCCTACTACTGCTCTTAGTACGACGACGACGACGTATTATCGCATTATTAAATGCATAGTGGAGAGAGGTAGGTAGGTACAATATAGGTAAGCTCGTCGTTGTACGATGTGTGTGTATAGAGTGCATAGAAAGAGGCACAGTTACCGAGAGTCCCTACCCGGCCCAATCTATACCTATCTAGGTAGAGCGAGTTAGTGTTCCAATCTACGAGTACTGACCTGTCATCAGTTTGTCGCACATATGCGGGGTGGCGTCTCTTAGGCGTCTTTAGCTGCGCCTTTTTTGAAGAGCCTCATGGATGGCTACATGCATACATACATGGATTGTTGGATTGCGTGCCCATCGAGGTAGATAACAGCAGCTTGAGGCCCGTAGGATTAGAGCACTTAAAATGACAGTGCTCTCGCTAAGCGCACTCTCTACTTGCACATATACTGTTATACGTAGGTAGGTAGTCCTGCTTAAGTTGAGGAGCCGATAACCCAAAGTCTCGGCGGGGTCGACGTGGGTAAGCATTGTGAGGACTTTACGTGGGTTCATATTTACACACTGTATTGAAAATATTCATCTGAGCTGGATTGTCCTCGGCCCCAAAGGCTCCGAGGAGTATTAACTTTAAACGATCACCTACTGCTTCCCCTAATAGCTAACAACTTAATGCTACGAGCCTTGGAGAAGGGATGTACACGTTGGGAAAACCACCCGGCGCTATAGGTGTTGTGGGGAAGGATTAGTACCTATTGGTGCGCATTGTTAGGATTGATAAACCAACAACAAATATAGGCGAAACACAGTCATTTTAGCCCGTGGCCACAGGGCGGGCAGAGACCGTCATTACCTAATGGCATAGGCCGTGCAGACCCCGGAGCCCTAGCTAGCTGCAGGCAGGATGGGTCGGGCCCGTTAACCCTGCAAATAAATACCTAGGGAGGTATGAAGTACGGGTACAGAGAGTACACCTACCTTCCGGCCGGACCATGCGTCGAGTACTACTCGAGCCCTGGCCACATGCAGTCCCTGGGAGATTACCTATCTAACATATGTAGCAGGTAGGTAGGAATCAGGTAGTTAGAGTGTGCAAGTCGCATACCAATCTACCCATCGAATTCCGGAGGGAGGGTCGCTCCTATAAATCACGCTTATTAAAAAAGGAGACGAGATTGGCAGGTAACTGCGCCTCCGATTGGAGAGGGTGGACATGAGATATCCTATGTACATATATACCACCTCCTCTTCTCTATGCTACCCACACACGCCCACACACACGCCCACACACGTGTCCAATATGCATATATGACATGTATATAAGATGGATGATCAGCGTACAGGTGTGTGCCACAGTGCTACACACCTACCTCCTTAGGTAGCATGCCGTATAAATTTCCTCGGTTTTTATAATACGGGTCCCGTTAGCCGTGGGGCAAATCAGGTTGAGCAGCGTGACTACCCACCTAAAGGCTAGGTAGGTAACTAAGGTGTTCTGCTACGAGAAGTAAAAAGGCTCTGCTTTGCGACTAGGTAACTTGCCCAGGTGCCTTCTAACCTTCACGTAGCAGACAGACGACGCCTCGCACACGAGGGGATTCGAGGAGGGCTACTTCGCGACCGGCGTGCCCGACGTGCCCCAGGCTCTCGCCTTTAGCGCCGCAGAGTCGTGTGCGTGTTTGCCTGCAGCGGTACGAGGCCATCACGGCACCCGCAAAGTACCTATCTGTCGGTGGGTACGGGTGTAGGGGTCGATATGGGGTGTATTGGGTGTATGGATGCATGGGTGTACGGGTGTATGGGTGTATGGGTGTATAGGCGTAGTTAAAGGCGTATAGGCGCACTATATAGGTGTATACCTGCCCTAGGCCTAGGCGCGGGCTAGGCGAGATGGGGTGGTGGAAGGAATTGGCCAAGACACGAGGAGGTACCTTCCAAACTGGCGTGCCCGCGGGTGGGGGCCGCCATTGGTAGCCAGCCGGTCGTTGCTAACTTCGAGGAACTTGGTCCAGCCCACCCAAAGGGGAGATCTCGTCATTCTCTTTACAGTGGAGAGTCCCGGTCCAGGTCCTCACATTTGTCTTGGCCCTCCAGGGCTGTGTCCCTTTATCTCCTATTGCTTCTCCCCTTCCATTTCAGTATATACCTACGTCTTTTTTTTTTTTTCTTTCCCTACCCTTTCCCTCCCTCCCTCCTCTCTGCCCACCACGAATCCCCCTCGCCCGCGTCCTGTATATACCCCTTCCGAACGGTATGTTGATCCGGCGAGACCTGCGAGCTGCCTCTGGAGTCAACCGAGAAGGATAATCCCGGGTTACGCCTTACGCGCCACGCTCCCTTTTTAGCCCTCGTTCCCCTACCTCGAGGATGGGCACGATCAAGAGTGCATTCTCTCACATACCCTCCCTACGGCTGCCAGGTTCCAGCGTCGTCTACCAACAACTGCCTTCGCATGATATGAGCCATGCCAGCTCGCCACTAGACGAGTCGCCTATCATGTCGGACGCTTGGCGTAAGGGGTTTGCCGTCCCCCGTCGTCGCCTCGGGCTCCTGCTCCGAACTTCCCCACGGAGATTGTTCGGGTTTACCCTCGCTGTGTTTTTCACATTCGTTCTGTTCGCTGGCGGAAGTTTGCGGGCGCGTCGTTACTATGCTGAAAAGACCAAAGTCGACGAGCGCATCCCCTATCATTGGGAAGCGTATCCCAGGTGAGAAAGAGAGAGAGACTTTGATATGCGTCCACTGTCTCAGAGGCGACGTAGAAGTGGCGTCGATATTCTAACACACGTCGTAGACTTAATGGGTTTTATAATGGCATTCGCTCCCTCGTGAGGTACTCGGAGTGGATCCCCGAGCAGCAGGCTGCGCCCAAGACCAAGATCGAGATTCACAAGACCCTTCCTTTCGACCCAATTCCCGTTAATCCATACCCCGATTTTAGCTCCAACGAGTATCTCAACGATCATCACCCCGTCCAGAGATGCTACGTTGACGAGAACGAGAAGTACCCAGCACCCGATATATTCGCCTATCCCGGTGTGCCGGCCGGCATGACAGCGCCGTACTGGGGCTCGTATGAGAGCCTTGGGGTCGCCCCGGATAGGTGCTGGGAACGGTTTGGTCGCTTAGGTCCGTACGGCTACAGCTATCCTCCGGCCGAAGGGGGACTCGGGCTCTCCAATCAATCAGCCCATATGGGAGCTGAGGTGGTCAAAGAAATGTTTACCAAGATTGATTACCGCGGCGTAGACTGGGGCAAAGCGCAGAGGATGTGCTTTGAGAAGAATCGCAAACGATTCGAGCCGGAGAAGGCCGCTGGCGATAATTCGACTAAGAAGAAGATGGTGAAGAGGTCGGCGTACATCTTGCGAAGTTGGACCGGTTACAAATACAGCGACATCCAACTCCTGTCGCTCCGGGCCATGATCAATGAGCTTTCTCTGAAATCCGGTGGAGAATACGATGTACACCTGCTTGTCCATGTCAAGGATGATACGATACCGATCTGGGCTTCCGAAGAGGTGTATAACCAGACGCTGAGGGAAAGCGTGCCGGAGGAGTTCTGGGGCATAACGACGCTCTGGTCGGAGCAGCAGATGAGGACCTACTATCCCGGCCCATTCCGCGACGAGGACAACGTCGAAAATCACTCGAAATCCGACATATACGGCGTTTACCGAACAGCACATTTTGCGCTGCAATGGTTCGCCCAACAGCACCAGGAATATGAATTCTTCTGGAATTGGGAGATGGATATTCGCTATACGGGCCATTATTACGAACTCAACAACGGCATTTCGAAATGGGCTGCGGAGCAACCTCGAAAATATATGTGGGAGCGGAGTTCACGATTCTGGATCCCCGACATCCATGGCTCTTGGGCCAAATTTTCCGAGTTGGTGGCGCGCGAAACCATGAAAACAAAGGAGGAGCCGATTTGGGGACCGGTGAAGTTCCAGACCGCGCCTGGGACTGGGGAATTCGGTATGCTCCTGTCCCCTAACGAGACCACACCGCCGAGGAAGTTCGAGGAGGACGATTACCAGTGGGGTGTGGGCGAAGACGCGGACCTGATTACCTTTGATCCAATTTTCGACCCGGCGAAGACCAATTGGGTCTTCCGCAATGATGTGACCGGATACAACACGTCGCTTCCGACGCCTCCTCGTCGCGCGGCTATCATCACGGTGGCACGCCTGTCCCGAAGACTCCTCAACACCATGCACGAGGAGACGTTCCGCATGCATCACACCATGTTTCCGGAGATGTGGCCACCAACCGCCGCTCTCCATCACGGGTACAAGGCCGTCTACGCGCCACATCCGGTGTATTTCGATCGAAAGTGGCCCTTGGATATCATGGACAAGACTTTCAACTACCCTCCGGCCGCCCACGATAGCCCTTTCGGGTGGGGCGAACATAACATGCAGGGTGGCAGCTTCTACTATAATGCCGGGTTCAGCGGCGCTCTCTGGCGGCGGTGGCTAGGGGCCTTGGAGAACGGCGAGGGCGGGAAGAAGGCAGAAGAGGCCGGCTCGGACCGCTTGTGTCTCCGTGGGATTCTGCACCACCCCATCAAGTCAGAGAGTGTCGAGTAATCACTGTCCATAACCCGATGATTCTGATGGTGGCGTATGTGGCGTTAAAGGGGATGCCCAAGAATAGGGGCTCTGGTTTTTACTGAAGCATTTTAAGGGGGATACCAGTAGGAGGGGTTAAGAGGGGGAGTGTATTCCCCCCGCTCCCCCCCTCGCCCCCCAATGCATGCATGACACGACAGTATTCGAGATCTAGATACTCTCTTCGCATATGTCACTTTGGGGGTTTGATACCCGTTGATCTGTGGATGAAATTTTTTTCCCCATCTTTCCTCGTTGATGCGGATGGTTGGGGAACGAGGCTTACACGAACGAACCCGCGTGGCCGCTGGGCCGATGAGAGAGGTTGTACGTTGTCCTGTACATAGCGAATGCATCCGAGAGCCTAATAAGAGCCAATTGCTAATGCCAATGGAATCGGTCGTGATCTTTCTTGGCTCGGCCATATGCGTACCGTTCGTGTCGCGGTGGCCAATCTCTCATCGGGTGTTCGTGTGAGTGAACATGTCCTCTCCATCCATTTGGAAAGGGGTTGAGCCCCGTTAATTACATAATAACATCTCATGTACTCCATGGTTTGTGCATTAGGTTATGTAATGCAAATACATATGCGCAGCGAAGCCGCGGTTTACGTCATGTCGGTAGTATCGATGGTTATCAGTGACCATCGCATGTGCCCCGAGCTGCGACGTACCCCTGAGTCAGCTGTGATTCAGATAGCTCCGGGTGATCCATTCCAACCTCTCCAACACCTTCACCTTCATAAGTCCATCCATCCGTACATCTACTTCTTGAAAGTCGTCACAGTCTTGCGTTTCTTTCCATTTCTCCCTTCTGCCTGCGTCAGCCACCTGTTCCATCAGCAGTACGCCGTCGATCTAAGCTGTACATCTACTTGTTTCTACGCGAGCGTAGATCTGTCCACCATCATGAAGTCGTCTCTCGTCGCGCTTCTCCTACCCGCCGCTGCCACTGCTCGGTTCATCGAAACCACCGAACTCAACCACATCCTCCCACCCACAGATGTGTTGCTGGCAGAACGCCCCGCGGCCCCCTCGGCGGAGCGGCCGCTTTCGAAAGAATTGCTACAGCGTTTAGGCGAGACCACTCAACTAGACGAGAACGTCGATCTAGAAGACCTGCTGCTTCAATATGAGGCGGATCGTCGCGTGCGGGCTGAGTCTGGAGATGAGGCCAAATATCTCATCGAGCTGTCTCCTGGCGAGACGCTGCTAGTGACCGAGGATGAAAAATGGGAGCTTCGTCGTGTACGCTTTAACCCCTCTCCCTTTCTAGCCATATTCACGCACACGTGGGCGACAGAGGCGCTAACAGCACAAATACAGAGTGGGAAACAATTTATGGACATCACCGACCACGGCGACCTCGGTACACACAGGAGTATCGCTGCTAGGACGACCCCCGTCTTTCCTGGCAAGGTGCAGCTTCAATCCGAAATCCATCCCCTGCTAAAGAACTTGTCGAAGGATTTGATGCGGGAGCACCTTGAGAAATTCACGAGCTTCCATACGCGATATTATAAGTCTGATTACGGCCGCCAGTCTTCCGAGTGGCTGCTTAAAACCGTCCAAGAGACTATCGTTGAGGCTGGTGCTGATAAGTTCGGAGTGAAGGCCGAGCACTTTGAGCATTCATGGGGCCAGAACTCAGTCATCGCAACGATTCCAGGTAAATCGAACGCGACGATTGTCATCGGTGCGCACCAAGACTCGATCAACCTCTGGCTCCCGTCGGTCCTTCCGGCGCCCGGTGCCGACGACGACGGAAGCGGCACCGTCACAATCCTCGAGGCTTTCCGCGTTCTGCTGTCATCGGAATCCGTTGTCAACGGCAATGTCCCGAATACTATCGAGTTCCATTGGTACAGCGCTGAGGAAGGTGGCCTGCTTGGAAGCCAAGCCATATTCTCGGACTACGAGAAGAAGGGCCGCGATGTCAAGGCCATGCTACAGCAGGACATGACAGGATACGTGCAAGGCACGCTCGACGCCGGAAACCCGGAGAGCGTCGGCGTGATCACCGACTTCGTCGACCCCGCCCTGACGGCTTTCATCAAGAAGGTCATCGAAGAATACTGCGAGATTCCCTGGGTCGAGACCAAGTGTGGCTATGCCTGCTCAGATCACGCGTCGGCTTCCAAGGCCGGCTACCCCTCCGCCTTCGTGATCGAGTCGACCTTTGACGAGTCGGACCAGCTCATCCACAGCACCTCAGACCTGATCAAGTACCTGTCCTTCGACCACATGCTTCAGCACGCTCGCATGACTCTGTCGCTGGTCTACGAGCTCGGCTTCGCCGACTTCAAGGAGCTGGAGAGCGAGAACGCAGTCGGAGAGCTGTAGAGAGAAACCACGCTACCTAGCTGATTCGTTTGCTATTGGAACCCAGGTCGTGGCTCCGGTACAAGTATCCATCATCATCATCATCACCATCATCGATATTACAAGAGCGGCTGTAGTTATTCATATAAGGAAATTGTCGCGTATTTTAATAGAGTCACCGGGCGTATATATGGGGTCAGGGGGATAAGCGTGTACCCAGATTGGCCAGGGGTTTAGGGATGTGCGGATTATGTGTTGAAGAGAGGGCGATCTGCGCGACTATGTTGAGATACAAGTTCGAATCCATCACAGGGCGAAGCCGGTATTCCGAACTAGACCACTCGGCGCTCTTGCGTCATGATTCCCACAGCCCAGCCAGCCAGCCAAACGAACCAACCACGTTCGCGCCCATCGACGGCGGTTCAAGGCTTCCTGCCAGCCACGCGCATTCGAGCCTATGTCGAGCACGGGATAGTCAAGTCATAGCATCATAGCTTACGAAACATGCCGTATTTGCAATACTGGGACGCGTGTTCTCGTCTGCAACTTACACATCGACGGATATGTGTTTTTATATGCATTTTCCTATCTGCTAATATTTTCTATACACCTACGAACCAACCCAGGGCGCCACTTGCCCCCACCCCCTCCCCTCCTCCTCACATGCCATGGCAATGACTATTTGTCACGAGAAACACGCCAACCTCACGTTTACGTCTATTCATATGGACCGTTGTGTATTTTTATCTACATATAACTCACCCCAACAGTTGTTTCCCATTCTGTCTTTTTACCCGCCAGCCCCACCGGGAACCTGCACTCGCATGTCAGGATCATGCCCGCGAGCCAGGATCGCGATGAGTCTCCCATACGGATTAGTGACCGCCTATACGAATTGTGTCGGTCGTCCGAGAGCGTCTCATCCCTCGTAGCCAATGACCCGTCTCTAGCCCCCGGTGACGCGTGGAAAAGGCTATACGGCGACTACGACGGCATCCGTGGCCGAGACATCAGCAATATCGGGAGGAGGCCCATCAGCGACAAAGAGCTGCGGAGGGCCCGGGAGTGCGGGCGGTGGGGTCCGCAGGAGCCCAGCGATCTATTTCTCAGGGTCGGTCACCGCGAGCCCCTAGACCCCAAGACAGTTTCGTCGGGACGCGAGGAGCTAACGTCGTGGGCGAGAATCAGATTTACCATGACGCGCTGTGCATGCTAGACGATGATCTTGCCGGCGGCACGGTGAGCCCCCCGTTGATGGGCACCTGCGGAACCGTACCATTAACTATCTTCTCCGTGTAAGTGCGACAATGACTACTATACACATATCCTGCACTTGTCCGCGCCCGCGCCATCCTCTCTATGTACCGCGCCCATGCACAAGTCCTGTCTAACTGCCCACCGGCTCTCTAGCATCCCCGACATTGTGAGGCACATGTCGAACCTGATCGTACGGGCGGAGAAGGAGGTGTTTCTCGTGACGAATTACTGGGCGAATGGGGTTGCGGCTCGATATATCGCGAACGCGCTGCGGGAGCTGTCGCGGCGGGTGGGGCACCGGGAGGGCCCACGGGTCGTGGTCAAGATCCTCTACGACCGTGGGAGCGTGCGGCAGCTCCTCGAGCCGCACCTCGTCGTTTCCGAGGACGAGTTCGCGGGGGAAGCGGTGGGGCTACCGACACGGCGCGAAATCGAGCACATCGACCTCGCCGTCGCCAACTACCACCAGCCGCTGCTCGGCACCGCCCATGCCAAGTACATGGTCGTCGACCGCCGCGTCGCCGTTATTCAAAGTAACAACATCCAGGACTCTGACAACATCGAGATGATGGTTCAGGTCGAGGGTCCCGCTGTCGACACACTCTACGACATGGCCCTGCTCACCTGGCACCGCATCCTCGACCCGCCACTGCCGATGCGCAATTCCTCTGCCACTGCTGCGTACGAAAGTGGGGATAGGGGGAGTTTCGGTAAGAGCCACGCGGACATATTCGGTCCCGGAGGCACAATTAAGGGGTACCCGGTGGTTGTTGACCCGGCTTATATGCCAACTGAGAACTACGACCTGGCCGCGATCCATCCGCGGAACGAGACGAGCGGAGAAGAAGAGGCGGTCCGTTCCAGGAGACCCGCGACGGGAGCCACAGTCCCTTCGAGCTACGGTGACGTTGATGGGCACGTAGCCGCAAAATCTCAGGAAGACGTAGCAGATCTCACCCACATCGAAACGGAAGACGCCGCGGCCACCGCCGACGCGCTTCCAGAACACACTGCTGACGACCCGCACTACGACGCGACGCTTGCGGGCGAGATCCAGCGCGTGCAAGCGTCGCTGCTGCCGCGGCGGGGCGAAACGCAGCAGGAGGTGCTGACGCGGCACCTCAACCACACAGTGAACGTGGGGTTCTCGCCGCCGGCGCCGGCCCCTCGAGCCACCCCCCTCTCGGCCAAGGACGCGATGACGCCGTACATACCACACGCCCCGCACGCGCCATTCCCGATGGCACTCGTATGTCGGCCGCCAAACGGGGCCCCGGGGGGCCGGGGTCCGGCGAGCGCCGCGGTGAAGAACCCCCAGGATGCGGCGTGGCTGGCGGCGGTACGGCGCGCACGCGAGAGCGTGCTCGTGCAGACGCCGACGCTTAACGCGGGTCCGCTGATCGAGGCCCTAGCCGAGGCGTGCGAGAGGGGCGTCGATGTTTACTGCTACGTGTGTCTCGGGTACAATGACGCGGTAAGTTCGTGTCTCGGAGATACTGCCGTGCTCGGCGCCCGGTCCTTCTCCCCCGTCCCGTCCTCCTTCCTCTCCCTCGTCATCGTCCCGGGGGGCCTCCGCTCGGCGGCGCGTGCGTAGGGGGACGCCAAGGCCAGCCAGCAAAGACCGCTAGGTAGCTAGCTAACCACCCCCCCCCCCCTTCGCGCAGGGCGAACTGCTCCCCTTCCAGGGCGGCCACAACGAGGGCGTCGCGCACCGGCTGCACACGTCTCCCGAGCTCCTCTCGTCGCCGGCCGCGAAGGCGCGCCTGCACTGGCACTGGTACGTCGCGGCGGACCAGACGGCGCCGCTGCCGGCCACCTCGATCTTCCCGGCGCCCGGGTCGCCGTCGCACCCCGCGCCGTACCGCCGCCGCAGCTGCCACGTCAAGCTGCTCGTCGTCGACTCGCAGGTCGCCGTCGTCGGCAGCGGCAACCAGGACGCCCAGAGCTGGTACCACAGCCAGGAGGCGAACCTGCTGCTCGACTTCGCGCCTCGCCCTCGCGCGCCGCTCTCCCGTCCTCCTTCTCCTTCTTCCCCTTCTTCTTCTTCTGCCGCCTCCGGGCCCCCGCCGTCGGGTGACGGCGGCCAGCAGCCGGCGGAGGCGCGAGGAGGCGCGCACGAAGACGACCCGGGAGCGCTCTCGCCCGCCGCGACCGTGTGCAGGGCCTGGATCGACGCGGCGGTCCGCCGCGCCCAGAACACGGCGCGGTGCGGCGCCGTCGACCCGCAGGACGGGGTGTGGAGGGCGCCGGCCCGAAGTGGCGGTAGCGGCGGTAGCGACGGCGGGCAAGAAGGAGGCGGGGCGGAGGAGGAACGGAGGGAGGCTTCCGGCGCCACCGGCGTCGACCCAGGGAGGTTCAGCTGGGCCAGGGGGATCATGGGCGCGGTGAGGAGGGTTAGGGGGGAAGGGGGGTTTTGATCCCAGGTTCTAGGAGGAGCGGGCGAGCTTGCTTGGGGTGTCGGTGCTGCTGTATATAAGCCCCCATACCTCTAATTACTATGAGTAGGTCTGGGTTTGGGGTTTAATGTTCTTACTTGATTTGTGATTCAGTCTATGTACCTATGCGACTCCTACACTCACCATAGAGCAGGTGTCTAATCTGCATGGATAGAATTACCCTCTTTTAGTTAGTAATAGTACTTTCTACCAACGTTTAACTTCAGGAGGAAATTTTTTTTTTCGGAAAAAAAATCTCAATGTCCACGAAAATCTCACAACAGAAAGTGTATAGGTAGGTGTACCTTAGGGGGGGGGAAGGGGGACAGGTTAAGAAACAGCTGCTTGGCCGTTCTGAGGACCTTGTGGATGGATGCATCCTGCCACTGCTACTTTACACTCTCTATGAAAGCCCGCCCTCGATTGGCCGGGTTAGCCTCTACAAGATTCAGTTGGGAGAGCGTCAGACCGAGGCCAACACTCCAGGAACCTTGACATCTGAAGGTCGCGCGACTCACAGCAGCATTCTTATTTTGGTCGCCTTCTCCTCCTTCTCCTCCTTCTCCTGTGGTACCTAGGGCTCCATCTTACAGTGCCACACCCCTCTCCCTCCCCTCACACTCTTCACACTTATCGTAGGCCCAGTACAAGCCACGGCGCACTTCCCTTCTTCTCATCTCTCCTTTTTTTTCCCAGATACCATCGGACACTTTTAAGCAAGTATCCACGTTACGCATTGCACGGAGACAAAACCTGACGATGGGTTGGCTAGGCACTATGAGGAAACAAGCAGACAATCCTTCCCGAAGGGACAGAGGCAGAGAGAGAGAGAGAGAGAGAGAATAAAAATGTTACCCAACTGCGTGAGTAGAGGCAAGACAATGCGATCGGCAAGGGCCTGACCGGCCAATACCTACCAACACCATGCATGTCATGCCCCATGACGACGGCAGCATCGTTCATCATCATCACTTGCATGAATTTTATATTGCCTCACCCGCCGGCGGCTACCTCACCCCGGAGACCTAGACAGCCGCTGCTGCAACGTAAAGTGCAGCGGGTCCAGGCAGTTAGCCCCAACCAGGCCGGGTTGCCGATAGTTGCCAGACCGGTGGGAGGTACCTAGGCGGCAGATAGGTACCTACGGTGGGCACCTCAGATCCAGAAAGTATTCCACTGCCCGTTTTGTATTCCTCGGGTTGTAAGTCCAGGTATGTAAGTACAAGAATATGTGCACATGCCTTATACACACCATCCCTCCCCGGTTGCTGAGGTAGGTAGGTACCTACTCCACCGTAGACAGTTGCTGAATGACAGATTCAGAAGTAAGCAGCATGGCAGATATATAGAGACCCACCTATATATATAGGTAGGTATGTATAGATATATATAGATACCTAGATATGGCCATCAATACAACTTCAAGGGAAAGGGTACATATATGTATATACCTGCGTCACAAAGAAAATCTGTAGGTACACGACTGTGTGCACTTCTTAGAGGTATAGGCTTCATATATGGTTACCTCCCTTTGCAAAGATATATATAATATATATATGTATGTATGTATGTATGTGTGTATGTATGTATGTATATACGATACCTACAATTTCCTCATACCGCGGTAATCCTACTACATGCATTGGCTACCCACCCCTGCCTACCTGCCTGTGTGCCGTGTGTACAGAAAAAAAAAAAAGATGCATCCGTAACTCCCAAACCCATACTTTTATAGAATCAACGATGCCAGTGAACCATGCCGCAGTGACAGTCAGGGGGGAAGGGGGCGCGACTAGAGCTGCGATTCAACCCCATTCTGCTATCACATAGGCCGAGAATATCTCTCCGGCAGAGACTGGAACAGCGAGATGCGCGCTTCCTCAACCGCGAAGAGAATGGCTGCTCTCCAGAGGGAGGAGGGAGGAGGTGCAGCAAACCGTCCCTCCGTCCGTCACATCGCGTCCGCACCTCTCCCGGCCCCGGCCCCGGCCCCAGTATACCCGTTGACCCATCGGAAGACCTGCCGGTGCCACTCGAGCTCGTTCTCGGGCTCGCGCAGCTGTTGTCCCTCGTCGGGGAAGGCGAGGAACCGCGACGGCGTGCCGAGCGCCTGCAGCGCGTGGAACGTCGCGAGCCCGTCCGTCGCCGGCCGCCGGAACCCGCGCCCGCCGTGCACCACCAGCGCCGGCGTCCGCCACTGGCGCACCAGCTCTGCCCGCCCGGGGTTGAACCGCTCGAGCCCGGCTTCGTTGCGCCACAGCAGCGGCGGCGGCGGCGACGCCCTTCCCCTTTCCTCGCCGCCGAAGTCGCCCCTTCCACTGCCCGCTCCGCGCAGGTCGCCCTGCAGCAGCGACGTCGGCAGGTCGAAGATGCCGTCCTGGCAGACTATCGCCTTGAACTGCGCTCAAGTTAGCGCTGATGCCGAGGAGGCGAGGTGAGTGGACGGATATGTAAGAAGAGGAAACGCGAAGTCGAGGACGTGGGGGGCAGAGAACTTTTCAGTTAGAAACTTACGCGGCGGCCCAGCGAGTGACCCTGGATCCAGTTCATCATGTAGCCGCCGTAACCGCCGCCGGCGATGACCGCGTTTTCGACGTCGACCGTAGGCACGTGCTTGAGGTAGTCCATGCACTTAACCAGGTCCTCGTATGGTCGACCGCCCCAGTTGTCTCGTACCGCTACCGACACGATGTGAGCTAGCTGACCGTAAACGGGTAAAAGCACCTGTCCGGTTTACCCGCTCTCCCACGTACCTGCTGTGAATTGCTGGCCGTAGCCCGTGCTGCCGGTGATGTTGGGAGCCACGACGACGTAGCCCTGCTCAGCCCAGAGCACCGGATTCCACTATGGGTGAGAGATTCCTTGTGAGCTAGGCCCAAAGTTGCGGCCGGTAGCCGGATGTGCTGGTAGAGGAACCTACCCTTGTGCTCCATTGGTCATCCCAGGCGCCGTTGGGGCCCCCGTGCACGAGGACGGCCAGGGGATACTTCTTTTCCGCGTCAAATTGGCGGGGCCGTATCATCCACGCGTGGACGCAGTAATCGCCGGCCCCGTCGAAGTAAATTTCGGAGACCTGCTTGGGCGAAAGGCCAAGCTTGGCGCCATTCCTGGTGGCCGCTGATACGACCACGCGGTCGTGAGTTCCGCCGACCTCGAGGATGTGGTAGAGAGAGCTTTCCACTAGACTGGAGCTGGTGACGAGAAGCCACTTGTTGTTGCCCTGGCTGAGGGGGTAGTAGGCGGTCACCGAACCGTTGCACAACAGTGTTTCGGGGTAGGCATTCGGCTGCAAGTCGACCTTGTACAGTCCGACCCTCCCGCACTCTTCGGCGGTGATGTATAGAAAATGGCCGTTCGGGGAGAACTCGAACCCGCTGGGAGTTAGCGGCCATATCTTTCCAGTAATCATGTCAAACACGCTGATGGCTTTCGGGGAGCTGAGGAGGTGGACGTATATCTTGGTCTCCTCGATGACCATCTTTGGACTCCGCAAAAACGCGATCATCGAACCATCGGGGCTGAACCGAGGGTGGAAACTCGACCCGAGGAGGTATTCGCTCTGGACGCTAACTCTTTGGGGGCCCTGGACGCTGGCTGTAGAAAACGAAGCTAGAGGAAGGTGATATATATCGCTAACACCGGATAGTAACGGGTCCGCAACATCGGGGTCACCGGCTGCAAAGACAATTCCGCCTTGAGATATATCGTAGTCGTCTCTCGGGTCTCCAGGTTCGTACACGTTCACGGGCGCTTCGAGGGTCGTGTTGGCGAGGGCATTGTGTAGAGATCCAGCGATCCTCCATCCGTCTTCCCCTTTCACCAGGGTGGAGTAGAAGATCGCGTACTTCTGGGGGTTGGTGTAAGTGTCCCACTGAGTATGGCGCCGTGTCAGTCACCGTCGCCTCTACTCGGGTATCACGAACCCACAATATCGAGAGACTAAGAGGGGAGGGGGGGGGAGGGGGGAGGAAAGAGAAATCCACCAATGCGATGTCAATTCTCTACCTACCTCCTGCACACGATAGCTATCGTATACCTTCGCAGTATGAGCCGGCTTGTTGGACTCGCTATTGAACAGATGGCCGTCGGCAGCCGCGAGGCCGACCACGGCGAAGGCGACAGAGCCGTCCCGGAGGTACTTTACCTTGAGGCTCTGAACGGGGGCGGGAATGTGGCCGACGAGGTGGGGTACGGCGGGGAACTGGCCGGCGTCGATGGTGATGATCCATGTGAACCCAGCTCCGCCCTTTTTCAGGAGGACGACGGTGTTGGAGCCGTCACCGAGCCAGGCGGCGTCGCGTGCCGTGCTGTCGTCGAAGAGCCGGCGCGACCGTCCGGTAGCGATGTCGATGACTCGGATCTCGTCGAGGGTCTCTCCGCCGATCGTGTGCGTCGAGGACGTGTACAGGGCGAGCGTGCCGTCATGGTTAGGGACGGCGGGACTCCGCCGAGGCGCCGAGACGAGAGCCTCGGGTGTGAACTTCTCAACGATCATGGTGGGAACGGGCAGGATCGACGTCGGAGTCTTTCTCAATTCTGCTTGTCTTTTGTTTTTCTTTTCTCCTTTGGGTATGGTAAATACAGTACAAGATAGACAGGTATAGCTAGGTATGTGCTCTGATAGGTATATATAGATGCGTAGGTATACGGGATGTTTCCAGTTATCGCAGCTGGTGTAGACGCGAATGCGTTGTCATTAGGACTTTGTGCCGCCACGCATAGGGCGAATAGGATGACGCGGCAACTCTCGTAGAGCCAGGGGGGAGGGACAGTTATAGTCGTGCCATTGGGTCTCGGCTCCCCAGAAAACGGCAGCCTGATGGAGAGGAGAGAATCTGGACTGTGCCGAATTTTTTTCTCTTCGTTCTCGAACGGCGTGCCCACTTGCTCGATTGACCGGGCGGTGAATCAGATGGGTCAGATACCTGCATCAGGCACGCATGCGCCTAGAGAACATATTTGTCTATCGAACTAGCTCTCCACCTGAATGAACGAATGCCTACCAAGGCCTTCCCTATAACCGAAGACAGTTATGCAAGTACCGAGGTTGCGTATGGCAAGGTCTCCTTAAATTGACAGCTTCGTAGCCATCGGGATGGGACAATATTGCGTTGGGCATATCGGTTTAGGCCATCGTATCCTCCTGGATGCCCAGATAGGATAGTGAGATTATCTGCTACGTGTTGTGGTGCCCGGAGATCCAGTCAGGCGGGAAGCGGAAGATCGACGGGGACGACAGCGTGCATCTCCGAGTCCACAGTGGAGGGGAAAGGTTTGGGCTTGGAGTAGGTACAACACGATGCTGTTGGGCCTCCGGTTTTGCACCTCCACACTACTAGCATAAGTTGATAATATACACTGGATGTATAGCTATATATAGGTACTTATGTGCTATGATGCAAGAGGTAGATAACCCCCATTTACACGGGGTCAGCCCTAAAATCGGGGCAATCCTAAGCTTGCGCACCTACCTACCTAGGTACCTAACCACACCCAATCCCCTGGAACCAGGGTTTACAACTAGCCCTCGAATATAGATAGAGGTACCCTACTTAAGTACCTACCAGGTAGGTAGCTCCCTACCGGTACACCCAATGAACTCTCAGGTACCTACTGATATTATACTCCCGAGGAAGAAAGAACCCAGCTACGCTATAGGTCCGTCCACCAAAGCTTACAAAAGTCAAGATCGCTCTACATGCTATAAGACAAAAAAGAGACCAAAAAGACCAAAAAGAAAAGTAGTTGGCGCGGCGAGGACACGATTGCCATACGCTCATAATATCTTGTGCTACGCCCATATCTCTGTATCTACGCTTTCTTTCTTTCTTTCTTTCTTTCTTTCTTTCTTTCTTTCAGTGGCTCATTCACAGGCTGTACAACATGGGAGAACGCCATCCCAACAGCCCCCAGGGCGCTATTCTCTCACTCCTCTATATCGCGCTCTCTCTCCTGCTCTCCTTCTTCCTGCCTCCAAATCTCCCGATTGGCAGGCTTCCAGAGTCCCGGTGACGTATTACCCGCAACTTGTCGCTTCTTCTCTTCCCCGGTCCGTCGTTCGAGGTAGTGGCATAGTGTCGCTACTAGAGGTTACCGTCAGTCGGTCGGCCGGTCTAAGTCGAGGGAGAGAAGCCTGGGTTCGCGGTACATGATAGCAAAAGTCGCTAGGGCTTCGTCCTTAGACTGATGTGGTTCCTCTTGGTACTACTACCCTCACAGTCAGCCTCGTAAATCCCGCCCGGTCCCGAGCGAGGTCGCTAGTGGTAGGGATGCTTCCATCGGAGCAACCCCACCAGCGCCGGCGATGGAATGCGAAGAACCTACGTCTGCGGCTCGGCGCCGATTTGGGGAGCGCTGCCTGCGCCGCGTCTGCGGTTGCGCCGCTTATATCCGTCATTGACAGGTTGGTCCGCCGAGGTGTGATGTTCGGCTTGTCCAATGTTTTCTCTCCCGTGACTTTGGCTAAACCTGTTGCCGATAAATGGCAAAAAAGGTCGATAATGGAAAATGCCTCTGGCCGCAGCACCCTGGGCTCAAGCCTCCGGTCCTCGCTGCGCACTCTGCTCTCTCGGCCGCACACACTGCTCTTCTCGAAGCCTGTCGGCCTCATCTTCGCGCTGTATGGGGGCACGTACCTGACGGCGAACGCTCTGGACACCGCCACGTCCACCCTGCACGACCGGCCCGCGACACACGTCACCTCCGGCACCGCTAAGTTCGTCGCCTCATCTGTCGCAAATGTTGGGCTCTGCATCTACAAGGATCAAGTCTACGTGCGGATGTTCGGGCCCAGCGGCCCCCCGCGTCCCGTACCCCTTCCCAGCTACTTACTCTTCGCTCTACGCGACTGCCTCACCATATTCTCCTCCTTTAACGTGCCCCCGATGCTCGGTCCGGCTCTAACCAGACACATGAGCGTCGAGTTTCGGAGCCGCATCAACGGCACTACTGTCGCACAGTTCGTCGCGCCCGCTGCCATACAGCTACTATCGACCCCGGTGCATTTGCTAGGGCTCGACTTGTACAACCGGCCGAGCAAGGTCGCCAACATCACCTGGATCGATCGGTGGACCCAGGTCCGCAAGAATTGGGCGATCAGTGCCGCTGCTAGGATATGCAGGATGATTCCGGCGTTTGGGTTAGGTGGTACGATCAATGGAAAAGTGCGAAAGAATATTATGGAGACGCTCGCTTGAGGCAAATCGATTCGTGGTGTTTGGCTGTAGTTCATATGCTGTTTTATGTGATGCGGTTATGGAAACGGGGTTATACCTACGATTTGCGCGGGTCGTCACCGCGACGGCCCTTCTCTCGGCGAGACGCCCGAAATTTACGGTTACGCAAGGTGCCCGATTCAGAGCAACAGTCTCAGACGAATTCGAAGGCTGGAGTTGGCGAATTCTGCTTTAATAGATCAGCCAAATTTTAGTAGTAAGCAGGGTATGCGTCACGAAACAGGAAATATCACTTTCTATTATGCTCTAAAGAAGGCCAACCGCGTTCAAAGCCTCGACAATTTTGTCTGCGTCAGTGGGCGGCCGTCGTCGATTTCGGTATTCCCCTGTATCGATGTAGTTTTCCCAAAACTTGAGTCCTTCTATGCCTTCCTCGCGGCAGAGAGCGCCCCTCTCTTCTGCCATTTCGAGTTCTTCTTCCGCGACGCCGATGCTCCATCCAAATCGCTCGGCAGCATCCTGTGCCGTCACGCCACGTCCAAATTCTTGCCAGTCCCACGACACTTCTCTATCCGGAGGGATGTCATGTAAATCGCGAAGCCAGGCCAGCAAGGCTTTGATTGTAGTCCCATCTGTTCGATCACGACTCTGGACCACCATCACGCCACTCTTGAATGTGCGTAGTCGTACTGGTAGTTTCAGTTTGCCCCATAGGCGAGCGGCCTTCTCGAAATCGTTAGGACTAACGAGTTCAACACCCCCGCGAGCGCGGTTAAACATAGCCCACAGATCGACTAAGCTGATGATACCGCCAGCTTTCCTGAGCACGCCTCTCGCGTCGTCGGTCAGGAACTCCGCCAGGTTTCTAGATAGTTCGGATAAATAAAGGCTCTCTGATCCCGAGCTGCTTCCGCCGCCGACGATGTCCTTCGTGGTCACAAGTCCCAGCTGGCTCGCAGACTCGGCAAGCAAGGCATTGGCTTCGGAAGTCGCCTTCTCAGAGCCGCCGTTCACTTGTCGTGAGAAGGACTCTGCAAGCGCTACGATTTCTTTAGCCGATGCCATCAGAGCCTCTAGATCCTCGAAAGCGCTCCCGATCACCAGTTCGTTATTTTTACGTCGATCGAGGCCCATCTGCTCTAGCCCTGCGATTCCGGCTGTCTTTTTTCTCACCGAACCTGATCCCGGCTTCAATAGCGAGTCTCTTCGAGGGTCGTCGGCGCCTGCCTTAATTTTGGGTACCGGGGGCGCTTCTTGTAACAGCCATTTACGTTGGGTCATGGAGCTCTTGAGTCGCTCGTAGAATATCTTCTCGCCTCCGTTCCTGAACGAAACCTTGACACTTTCAGGGTTCTCTAAGCCTGCAACATTGGCGAGATTGAGCATGGGTCCCGGGGAGTCCGTCCGTGGCTCGCTCTGCGCCACTTGGATGGGGACATCATGGGATATAAGGGGCGCACCGCAAATCTCGCAGGAGAGGAGAGAGGGGTGATTGAGAAAGGTGCAGCGCGGGCATTGGAATCCGTCAGTGCTTGTTGAGCCAGTGCCTAGTCCCGCGGTTGCAGAGCCCGTTTCTAGACCGTCAGACCCTAGACCTAGACTCTGCACCTGAGAAGGAACTAGAAACGGTGACTGAGGTGTAGACCCGGAGGCGGCTACCTGTCTACTCGCGACGTTCGATATAGCAGCCTTTAGCACATGAGTCAATTCCGGCCTGATGCCGCACGCCAGGCATGAAGGCAACGGCGTGTGCGCATTGGCGGTCGTGGGGTCAAAATTGGATGGAACGGGGTTCGGGAAACTACATATTGTACAGATCCATGTCGCTAAACCGGCCTGTGCCGAGCTGGCGGATGAGGACCGGAATGCCGAATCGGGCTTCGACAAGGGAGACGCGCCGTTGGTACGAGAGACGGTTGAAGTCGCGGCGGCCGCTCTAGACTGAAGCGATCCCCGTTTAGCAGGCTTGGGGATGAGGGTTACTTTCGCCGACGACTTCAGAAACCCTGCCTATGGAGGTCTTAGCAGACAAGGTTATAGCTTTTATCAGGGCCTGGGCCATACGTAGAATTCATATCTCTCTACATCTTTCAGGTCTAGGGCGACGGAATGCTTTCGAGGCTCCTGCTTGTCAACGTAGCATATTCGATGCGAGGTCAGGTAGACCTGTCCATTCTGCTGGTTTGGTAATTTGTATTTCCTGGCAACGCGATCACGGTCAGCAATTCGTAACAACTTGCTGAGCCTCCGACGAGCAGAATCAGGCAATACGTCGGGAGAGATCGCATCCCAGTAGGCGCGCACTCACCCCTCATAGAGGCCCACGTTGTCCTGGACAAAGAGAAGCACTTCGTCGGGAAGATAGGATGGCCTGAGGGCGGTTGTAAGGTCGATTTGTTTTAAAAACATTCGTCATATCGGTCGGTTTGGAGGATGGGCATAAACCTGCAAGTCAAGCTGACCTGGAACCTATCGCTGTCGGACGTGATAAAGAGATATTTTATGATGGGTCGTCAAGATGTTGTTGGATGAATGCAGGCTGAGATCATGGGAGGATTTAGTAGCCAGGGCTGATGGGTTGGAAGCCTCGTGACCACTCTCACTACACATAACCTTCGGGGGTACCTAGGCGGGTAAATTATATGGTGCAGTACCTAAGGTATCCACACGGAATGTGTCCAGGAGAGGTACCTACCTGATACTTCACCTAAGAGTATAATGCATCTGTCTCAAGTACTCATAATTGTTCATAAATGTCACTCGTGAACATTCAATTTATGTAAGAGGTACTACTAGTGTAAATGAAGTCAAGTTCCATGGGAATACACTGCTCTGATTGGCTCGTGGTAGGTACCTCGCACATCGGTGTACCCAAGTACCGAAACCGATCTCTGTAAAGGGTTTAGCGTAGCCACATCATAGCCACTCAAATACTCACATAACCCCCCGGAACTGCAGCTGACCGCTGATTGTCCCCCGTCTTCTTCTATCGCTGCTTCTACCTAACCATTTTTCTCCCTCTTCCCCATCTCCATCCCACAACTCACACAAAACAACCTGAATATTGCGCCGACAACGTCGTCATATTCTCCCCCTTCTCTCGAACCAACCCCATCCTTTCTTGTCTTCGTTCATCTCGAACCCTCAAATCTTCCTTCTCCCTTCCAACGCCACCTTTGGTACTGCTAACCTTCGAGCCCATTACGTTTTGATCCGCCCTGCACTCGACTGTGTGTGCCTCCCATGATCCCCGTCCACAGCATGTCGTGGGCAGAATCGGCTTCACCCAGCCTGCAGGCCCCATCCTACACGTATCCTTCAACTATGAGTGAGCATTTCCCTCTCTATCACCTCTGACCTACACTCCTGTCATACCCAACGTAGCATGATGCTAACCTCGCCTCTCTCCCTGATTTAGGTCCCGCATACACCCCAGTCTCAGTTCGTCAGGGCTTCGGCCAGGCGTACACACCTCAGTCTGATTATTACGCCTCGTCTACTAATTCTTTCAATTCACCAACGATGGCGCCGTCTTCATCAGACCAACAGCCCCAACAGCAGAAGTTTGATTGGCCGGATTCCGTACGCAGTTATGTGCAGCGTTCATTCCAGAGCTCCAACGTCGACCCGAGTGTGTCCGATACCGAGATAAAGGCCAAACTGAAGGAGACTATTAGATATACCCAGGACTGCGGGACCATGTACACCACCGATTGGGACAACATGCCACTCCCCCAGGTGATGATTAAGACCCAACGCCGGCAAGAGTTGATGCAATCAGCAGCAGCACCACCCACCGTAGCAGAATCTGACAGGCCCACCACCGTCTCGGCAAGTAGCAATCCTAAGAAGCGCAAATCGTCGGATCTCAGCGGTCCGGAACCGCTTGGTACTACCACGGTACCGTGGCGCAGCGGCAAGACTCTGGAAGACCGTATCACGAAGCCCTCGAACACCATGGATAGTCCTCTAGCGGCCAAAAGTAAGTTTCAGAAGAATGCCGAGAAGCGCCTGCGTCGTGGTGATGGCGGTTACCAGTCCACATACCGATCCCCCAGTCCGCCGCTCCCTACGGGTCCCATTGTCGGGCTTAATGAAAACTTGGAGAAGCGATACTTGCGCTTGACAGCGGCTCCTAAGCCCAGTGATGTTCGACCTGAGCATGTCCTGCACAAGACATTGGATCTCCTGAAGAAGAAATGGCGAAAGGACGGCAATTACAACTACATTTGCGACCAGTTCAAGTCGTTGCGCCAGGACCTAACCGTGCAGCGCATCAAGAATGAGTTTACCGTTTCCGTCTATGAAATCCACGCTAGAATCGCCCTAGAGAAAGGCGATCTCGGTGAGTATAATCAGTGCCAGACGCAGCTACGTGCCCTCTACAGGGCAGGAGTGAAGGGCAATGCTATTGAATTTAAGGCGTATCGTATACTGTACTTCATCCACACCGCAAACCGGACGGCGTTGAACGACGCCATCGCAGATCTAACGGCAGCAGAGAAAGAAGAGATACCCATCAAGCACGCCTTGAGTGTGCGTTCGGCACTGGCTCTAGGCAACTACCACAAGTTCTTCCAGCTCTACCTCGATGTCCCCAACATGGGCGCATATCTGATAGACATGTTTGTCAAGCGTGAACGACTCGCTGCCCTCGCGAACATGTGCAAGGCGTAAGTACAACATCTAACCCCTATTGAGCAACAGACGGCTGACACAAATGTGACAACAGATTTAAGCCAGATCTGAAGCTGCGTTATATCAGTGAGGAGCTTGGGTTCGAGTCCGATACTGAGGCCGCGCAGTTCATCATCGACCACGCCGGTCATGACATGCTTCAGGAGCGACCGGACCATGTTATCTTCCTGACCGGAAAAGCCGGCCAGCTGTTCGAGGAAGCTAGAGCTGAGGCGTTCCGGAGGGTCGACCTCAAAGGCCAGATTTGACCTATCTCTCGTTACCTTTTACCTCCTACCTTACCCCTCGTTACTTTTGTCTCTCCCGAGCCGACATCCTTGCTCTTTCGCCTCTCCGTAACTGCCCTAGCCGCCGCCAGTCATCGCATCTGTATAGTTCTCTGTAGACCCTCCCCCTCTCAATATCGCGGCGAGACATCACTCGTTGAACTTGACATGTCGGATGACGTGGATGGCTCCGGGCACCAAAGCTCTGTCCTGCCCAGGTTTTAACCTGTGGCACGACCGTCGCGCCTCTCTCCCTCCTCCGACAACCATATGGCCTATGGTACCAGTTTGACGGATATCCTACATTGACCTCAAACTACAGGAACTAGTTACGACTTGGATAGGCGGGGTCTGGGGCTACCGAGTGCCGGGACACGTTGCGTCTTTTTTGTTTCTTTTTGATGGCGTTCAGCTTGGGGACAGGGTAGAGAACGTCAGGCTTCACGGGACCTTGGCCATGATCAGCAACGATCGTGAGGTTCCATGAAAATGGAAGGAGTTTTGCGTTTCTGGACCGAGTGGCCTGGTTATTTTGCCGATACCCCGATATGATGGATGCTAATGATTTGCCTTTTCTACCACGTGGTCTCTTGGGGGGAGGCGGTCGTATGGGAAGTGGTGCAAAACAAAAACACGAGGAGGAAAACTTGTAGTTATGAGTTAGTTGAGCTATAGACAGGAGAGATACTCTAGCCGAGGCAACAATACTAGCTAGCTTGGCCGGGGTCTAATCCATACTTGATTCAAACAGAAATTCCCGTTCCTACTATAATTACCTATATAGCTAGGTGACTTTAAGAAAAGCCTGTCTTCTTCTATCTTATGTGGAACATCGTTCTACCATCCATGATTCCTTTGGCGTATTCGCACCCAACACATCCAGATATTATGTAGGTATGTGGCACGCCTAGGGTATAGGTATATAAGATATCTCACGCACGATCTATTAGATCTGCACAATTTTCTCGCACTCTAGCCAGGAAGCACGGGCTCGCTACCTAAGGTCGCTGGAATGGCTTCGCTCCCCGTCACCCCTCTCCCAACCATCCACACCCCGCCTCCCCCATTCGCAGTTCCACATACAGGTCGCGCTCGCTACCGGGCACCGCTATCGAGTCATCGTGATCGTGATGTCTGTTTGTCCGTCGACGTCTGTCCATCTGCTCTAGACTACGACGAGGATGAGCAGCAACCCTAGAAGGAGACGCCAAAAGAGAATAAGGAATTTCCGAGAGAGAGAGGGAAAACTGACGGAGACTTGACGAAGCTGAGACATGCAGCAGCGGCGGCGACGATAGCGCCCGACATGGGTTTTGCGGTCTTCGCTCTCGGGCGGTTAGGTTAGGTTAGGGTCCGCACGCGGGTCCGGCGGCTCGCGCGCACGAGCTACCGATGAGCTACCTAGTTGGCTGGATTCGCTGGCTGGCTGGCCCAGTTGTCTACGTGGGTGCCGGCTCATCTCAGCAAGTCGTCGTGCCGTCCACTCGACCGGCAAACAGCGGGTAGACGAAGCCGGTCGAGCCGAACAAATACACAAGAAAGGCAACCCCCCCCCCAAAAAGTTAGGCCAGACGTCCGCCCGGCTAGAATTGCCAACAATGGGGCGCGAATATTGCAGCCGGTGAAGGACGCGGACCGCAAATGGCTCGCCTATGGGTATGTACGCATACCCCACCTACACCTACCGGCCTGTCTGCCTGTCCGACTTTTGCACGTACCTACCGAGACATTCGACACCACTTTCCACCTATCGTTAACCTGGTATGCCTCACCTAACCGACCTTTAGGTGCTTATATCACACACACACACACACACACACACATATAGAGAGAGAGGTATATATATACGCATACCTTCCCACACCTACATCTATATAAGTACGTACGTATCTGCACACACACACAACACGCACAGATACGCATATACGTGCCTATCTGCCCGCACCCTCCTCGCTTCGGCCGGCAGATAGGAGGGTCAGTATGCAGGGCGAAAGAATATTATGCGTCCAAGTCTAGACCGCACTCCGCCGGCGGCCGGGTCCCCGGGACCTAAGATAGCACCAAGACACGGGACCACCTTGGGATGGATGGATGGGATGGGTGAATATCGTCGTAAGCTCGGCTACGGTTCCTTCCCGCGTGCATGCGGCAGGTCAGGCGTGCTGAGCTTGGGTAGATCTAGCACTATACGTATGTGCGTGTGCGTATTCTGCGTCTATCGAGTGGTGTGCGTGCGTGGTGCTGTCCTTTTGTCTGTGTATGTGCGGAATCACCCACATACTTACTACCTAAGGTAGTCTACTTGGATCCGCGGCTGTGGGAAGCTATATAGGCAGCCCAGTGTATGGATATACATATATATATATGTGTGTGTGTGTGTGGATAAATCGGTGTACGTGTGTATATACGTCTACTATGTAGGTAGTATACCCACGTTGCCTACAGCATACCTAGGAGGTAGGTAGGTAGGTAGGTAGGTAGGTAGGTAATAGCACGACCGTGGCGGCCGCTGTCTAAATGAGCAGGCGTTGTACCTAGGCAAGAAGGGTACCTATACCTGCATAGCCCAGAGCCGAAACAGAGAGAAAAAAAAGAAAAGATGAACGAAAAAACAAGGCTGAGAAATTTGACCTTTGTCTCGGGGTTTCCTATGGCGTTCGCTCTCCAACTCGACATGTCGGCGAAAGCTTCGAGTTGCTTTCCCGCTGTCCATTCTACCCGGCCACCACTGGCTCTCATTGGCTTGCCAGCTCCGCCGGCCTGACCTCGTCCTCGGTCCCGCGAAGTCACACACGCAAGGTACGACGGTGCGCACGTCGGCGAGCGTCGGCGTTTTTCCCTCTCTCCTCACGCACCTACCATTTCCTTCCATCGTGTTCTTCCTTCGCCTTGTGCCACTTAGCTTCCCTGCCGGATCGATAGGGGTCCCTCCCTTTCCCTCCCTGCGTACGCCAGAACAGCCACCAAGGCCCAGAATCGGAGACAATGGCGCGTAGGACAAGAGCGTACGTAGGGGCAAAGGCTCCGGATCTCGCTTCTCGCGTGGCCTCTCTCTCTCCTGCGCCGGGCGGTGCGACGGATTTAGACTGGATCTCCCCTCCCTGCAGATCGCGAGGGCGGCGACGCAGAGAATGGGTGGGTAGATAGGTGGGTACATCGTAGAGTGTGTAAGGAATAATTAGCCTATACTGCCCGATGAGGAACCGAATTCTGTTGTAACAGAGGTTGGACGGACTATCAGATATACCACACACACACACACACACACACACACACACACACACACGCAAGCAGAGAAGGGTAGATATGCAATCTCGCTGTTGGTGCATACCTGTGTGTGTGCGCGATTTTGATCTACGATCTCTAGCGATCTAGGCGTTACCCGTCTAGACCGAGTGGTCTGATTACTGATTATCTGCGTCACACGCGAGATGGACCGAAGGCACCTTACTACGGTACTGTAAATAGCACCCACGCCTAGAGTTACCTGCAGCGATCTTTGCGGGGTGGCGTGTATATGTGAATACTACCTACGTAGTAAGTATGCGCATGTGTGGATGGATGGATGGATATACCTAGTTATGTGATGGTGTTGTACCCTCCCCCGAGGCCTCTTTTTCGTCGCCGGGTTCTCACGGATCAAGCCGGTTCTTCTTCGACGTCGTCACTCCGTTTCAGCGCGTCGACTGGTTTCATGATGCTTGGCAATCGACATCGGGAAGGGGAGGGCCCGAGGCCTTTCCGCATAAACCATCGAGCATGGCAACGCGTTTTTGGAATACGTGTGTGTGCTCTCCCCGTGTTTTGAGCTAATCTCTCCCGCGTCCGCCAAGAAGTATGTTGTATGTAATCTGAAGTTAGAGCCGAGTGGCCGGGCCAGGGACGTCATCGTGGAATATGCAGCCCAGGAGCTAGAAATCCTGGAATGTTTCGAGCAGACTACTACAATATACGTGAAACTATTTCGAACATAGAACCCACATGTGTACACTTACCTATATTACATATACGCGTTCAGTATTGTTCAACGATATCTACGAGGAGAGGCTCTAGACAACTTCCTTTTCAAATCATGCGTGTGTGTAGCGATTGAGATAATCGTGGGGCCCGTTGGATCAAGAACAGTGGCCGTCGTTATTAGCATGGTTCTACATATCGATATCGACCGGCGATCTAATAAGCTAGTTTTATACCTACGTGGAGCGACAACCTATAAAGCCGCAAGTCTAGCCTACGTAGGCATGCATAACGAGGGACGGGAACGCCGCATAAAGGAGGCTGTTGTAACTATCTAGCTAGCCATCGACGTTAAGAACCCGTGGTGTTTCAGCGTTGCCACTCTCCAGTCGCATTTCCCTCAGTGCCGTCTTAGATAGGCAGGGTAGTAGGTTGCAAGGTTGCATAAAAGTAAACGCTTTCCGTCACAGACCCAACAGTTGTCATCGAAGCACTAGCATAACGGCAATTGGTTACCGTAGACAGCATCTTAGTTTACCCGAGAGGGTGCATATATAGGTAGCAAGCAGGCTCTTCCTCGAGTAACACAGCGGAATAGAATCGAACAGATCCTGGTTTTCTTCTCTTTCGGTGTTGGGTTGGTAGTTATTTTCGCTATTATTGCTTATCCCGCGCCTCCCCGTACACACACCTGCTACGCTGGCATTATTATAAGAGGGCGGATAACTTGGTCCTTAACCGTTCAGCATGTATACAAGTATACCCTTAATTGTCGGTGAAGTCTCTAAGCCAGACCAGGGTAGGTAGCCTTTTTGAGATCCCTGATCTATAGACTTTTTGTACCTATGACAACTCGCCGGGGCGCCTCAAGGGCTTCATACCTACATGCTATGTAACTTCCTCAAGCCAGCCTAACTAGATACCTAGGCTTGATCTCCCTCCTGCTCGCTTATTCAGAATGGCGCTGATCGCTAAGAGTGAGCCAAGCGTGTAGAGAACTGTCGGAATAAGCGATCTGTGTGTGTGAAGACAGAGAGGTACGTACTGTGTCCGTCGCCTTCTCCCTCCCTCTCTCTGGTCTGACGAATTCAGATCCTGGGACTGCGTACGCATTCGCAGCCATGCATGCTGCAAGGCACAATACCTACGGTTTTAAGGTACCCTGGCTCGTGAGAGATCTCTGCGAGCCGTGAGCCACTACGTATGCACGTGTGTGTGTATGTGTGTGTGTGTGTGTGCATGTAGGCGTGTATAGTATGCATGCGCGTAGAGATGTGAATGGGTGTGTGTTTGGAGGTATGTATGTATGTATGCCTACCTACATGCCCGTACGAGCCAGGAGAGGTCCCCGAGGCTTGAGTGCTGAAAGCGAAGCATGGATCCAGTTTTGTTCAACATGAAAACACCACTAGACACACTGGAGCCGGCTGGTGTTCATGCCCACGCCTAGATACCCGCTCTGTGATCTACGGGCAGATGGGGATTGTTCTCTGCTCCTCCACGTCCACGACGATCGAGTCGGGGAGAGACTAGGAGAGGAAGACTACCGTGTATGGCTCTATAACTACCTAGGTAGGTAGTATGTGCGGATGTATTTGTAATATCTGGCACGTGTAGGAAATTATCGATACTTACCTGCGTTCGGCATGCACGCCGACCCGGGGATCGCGATGGCGGCATGGCCAAGGCACGGCTACTTGTAACCGGTCCCAAGCCCGTCGAACACTGGACGAAAGCTGCGATCTAGATTTTTCTTGGTCTCAGATTCTTGCCGTCTTCTCCATCATCTGTCACTGTCAGTTACGGGGTGAGACCCGGCCCTTGTCTGTGATTTCGAGGGGACCGAGCGTTGCAAGCATTGCATAGTGCGTAAGGTAAGTGATTGGTAGACGCAGCGCGCGATCAACATGAACCGACTCGAGCCGGGTCGAGTCGATCAGCGCGCTCCATCTCGATGGGCCAAGTCTTGTTCGAAGAATGCGCGATGTTCGGACCTGATGCGATGATCATATGTATGGCATCTTCAGTGTGCCAGTCGATCAAGGGAGCTGGATGAATTGGAACCCTGCTGAGATGAGAGGGAGGATCCCCCTGGTGTTGAATTATTTCCGTCTAACCTTGGGTAGTAGGTAGGTATCCACCAAGTGGAGGGGTTGGAGGGGCTGGAGGGGCTAGAGGACGACGGTGGTAGAGGGGCAGGTAGAGAGACATACCTGGCGTGTTAGTAGTAGCAGTAGGTACCTAAGTTATTTTTGACGTCCGCGGGGACTGATACCTAACATGTAGGTACCTAGGTAAAATGATGGAGGTGGCAGTCCAGGTATGGAGGCGTTTGAACTTCCCGGATCCATGTATATGGATGGGTAGATGGATGGGTGTGCTGGGTACCTATTAACTCCTACTGGGCCACGTGAATATCCGTATGTATATCAATATGCACATCTATATGCATATCTGCATATATATATATATATATATATATATGCATGCATGTATTGTGTGTATCTACGGGAGAGTACTAGCCTTCGGTACCCGTTGCCTGTCTTCGTACAAACATGGACGGCTGCCTATTCCCGGTATCTGCCTACCCTGTAAACGTGCAAATTGCATTGCACTATGTAGGTAACACATCCTTAAGTGCATATGTATAAGTGGCATGTTGGGTGCCAGCACGGTGATTAGAACCTTGGAAACCGGCTCTCTCACCCCGGTTGCTGTCGGATCTTTTTTTGCGGGAGGAACCCCACTGAGCATGGATTCGAATACGGAGAAGTTCCGATGTAAATTCTTTGCTCCTAGCCCCTCGTCCTTCCAACCGGCTGCCTTCCTTTCTGATTTGGGTAGAGTGTGTAGGAAGTAAGGCAGGATGCTTTCGGAGGTAGGCTTAGGTACCAGTATATCTTTAAACCACCTTCCATAGGGTCGCTGACGTCCCTAATTTTGCCGCATCTATTTTACGTTTGGCCATCCGGGCTTAGAGCCTGTCTGCCTAGGTGGGTAAGGAGGTACGTGCGTATTACCTACCCGCCTTGGTGGTTGGTGGCGCTTCCGATGAGGTACATAGGGGAGGGGGGAGGGGGGTATTTAATCTTAGGTAGAGGTACCTTAGGAGGCAGGTACGTACAGGAGGTACTTGGGCACGTGAATACCTGCCTAAGTATCTCAGTACCTAGGTACATGCCACTACCTATAAAGAGGCATGCATTAGAACTTGGGCGATCTATCGGTGGGTTGGACATAGGTATCTATCAGGTATGTTCCGAACCTGCCTTAGGGGGATGCCTAAGATCTAGCGGGTAGCACCTCCTAGGTACCTCCTAAGGTAGGTACCTACCTAGGTGGGTATGAGGTATGAGCTAGGCGCATATTGTAGGGACACATTCTAGTGATGTATTCAAGACCTACCTAGCATATTAACACAGACAGTATGTGGGCGATACATGGGTATGAAATACTGCCATACATACCACCGCACCTTTTTTTTTTTCAATAAAGAAAAGAAGAAAAAAGGGCAGCCTGGGAAGGCAGTGCGAGGCAGGAGGTAGGGAAGGTAGGGAAAGTAGGGAAAGCAGGGGGAAGGTAGGTAGGGAACCAACTGATTGAAGGAGGCATATCCGTCGAGAGGGGACCACACCCTGCAGTTCGCTTTGCAGCCCAAAAAAAGACCCACGGACGGACTCAGCCTGCCAAATGGATGATGTGCTACAAACTGCCCGATTCACACACCCGCACCATTTTATCCCACTTTTTCTTTTCTCCTACGGCCTCTCCCTCTTCTTTCAGCCAGTCACTTGCATCTCCTCCGCCATCCCTCTTCTCATCCCCCCAATCAGGGTTAAGTGCAGAGCTGCAAAACCCAGCCAGTCCTGTCCTCTCATTCCCTCTCCCACTCCTCCTTTGTCCTCCTGACCACTTCCCCCATCCCTAAAGCGATTTTCCGGCTTCGAAAAAACCCCGTGTGGATTGGCAGCTATAAGGGCGATAAGGCGACAACTATACAAACGAGGAGGACACGAGGACTCTAGGACGCGCACGCCTTTGGTATATTCGGCCAGTTACTGGTCTGGTTGTCGTGCGTGCCTCTGCTACCGCGCACGTTCATCTCAGGGAAAACAGTTAATACCCGACCCACCGCGGCCGTGAGTGTGTGCGTGTCGGAACCAGATAAAGAAAAGGCAAATTTAGGAAGAAAGGGTTACTGGTAAATAAGGACGACGTATCACACAAGGCCAGCCAGCGGCACTGTCAAATACTCTCAACCCGAGAGAAAGGGAAGCCTTTCCCCCCAGAGAACTGTCACTGCTTCGTCGCCGGGCAAGTGATTGTCATTTATTGGGTCGACTTGGACGAAACGACTGGTTGAAACACTTAAAACCACCCGAACCCGAAAATCCCATTATTATTATATTATATTTTCCCCATTCTCGCAGGCTTGCAGACGATCACATCCCCCCCGCGACACACCTCCTCCACCCACTTGACCTAGCCGAGTCGATTCCCTCTTCTCTCTCCTGACCCCGTTCGCTTCGCGCTCAGCACAAGCCGTTGCACTGATTCAGACCTGCTGTCGAACAGGATCGAGAGATTCCGCTGCCTTGGCGTAACGTGCCTGTGCTTCGGGCATTAGCAAGTCTTGCCATTTGCGGTCCTGCGCCCACTCAGCAGCATCCATTTGCGCCTTTGCCTCCCTCTACCTGCCTGCTCGCGATTCACAAGCCTGCAGGTCTGTACGACGATGAAGGTGCGCCTTTAAACCTAAGACTCCCCTCGTCTCTTCCTCTCCAATAGCTCTCACAGCTACACTCTTCTTCCTTCTCCTCGTCATGCCTCCCCCTCTATCCGGTGACCGGTCGCAATCATGTCGCGCTCCAGTTTCAATCTTGACCTGGTCGCATCTATGGATTCCTTTGCTAACTGGATGCGCACCATGCAGGCCCTTAGGCGATCGATCAAAGGCGAGAAGGACAGGCCGTCCGTCTCCATCGGCCCGAAGTCCGCTGTTGCTATTGTCCCCCCGAAAAAGGTTAGCACATGCTCTTGTCCCTTTGTCCCCGTGTGTTCTTTTCTATCCGGTGGTCCGGTCCACCTGATGCCCTTGACAAGGAGCTAATGGCCGAGATACTCGTAGGTGATCCGGGCCCTCTACGATTACGAAGCTACATCGGCGCAGGAGCTGAGTTTTTCTCGGGGCGACTTCTTCCACGTCATTGGTCGCGAGAACGATTCCGATTGGTATGAAGCGTGCAACCCAGCTCTCCCCGACGCTCGGGGTCTTGTCCCGGTGTCCTTCTTCCAGGCTCTAGGACGTACCGAAAGAGACAGTGGCCAATCCGACCCGGGTCGTATGTCGACCCCCCCTTCGAAGAAGGACGACCATGATTCAGGATATTCCGAGACCAACGCGGCTACTGTACCTCCCACTCCGGCACTCAGTCAGCGCAATTCTAAATCGGTTACAAAGAACGGTGCCATGGTGTACGGAATTGTCATGTACGACTTTCAGGCAGAGAGGGCCGACGAGCTGGAGGCGAAAGCTGGTGAGGCGATCATCGTAATCGCACAGTCCAACCCGGAGTGGTTTGTCGCCAAGCCGATCGGCCGTCTAGGTGGGCCTGGCCTTATACCTGTTTCGTTTGTGGAGATTCGAGATATGTCGACGGATACAGCTGTCGCGAACCCCCAGGAGGCCGTGAAGCGAGCTGGGGTGCCAAAGGTCGAGGAGTGGAAGAAGATGGCGGCCGATTACAAGAATAGCAGCATCACGCTAGGGAAATTTGAAGCTGGCGGGCCTCCGGGTCAGCAAGGTATAGAACAGGGTATGGAGCGGATGAGCTTGCAACCAGGCGCAAACCAGGGCCAACAGCAAAAACCTTCGGTAAGACGCTGTCCGACACATACTTCGATATCGAGAAGTGCTAATCTGAGGTTTGGGTAGCAGCAGCAAGGATACCAACAACTGGCTCAGCAACAGTCGCGAAACACGGTCCAGCAGAGTCAGTATGCCGCCAAGTCTACGTCCGAGTTATACGCGCCAATCTCTGCCCGGATACCGCGGTACTGTTTCGCAGAGGACAAGTATTGGTTTGTCATTGAAGCGGCTTTAGAAGATGGCCGACACTGGGAGCTATCCCGCTACTACGAAGATTTCTATGACTTCCAGATCGCTCTTCTGACGGACTTCCCAGCCGAAGCCGGAAATACTGGCACGCAGCAGCGAACGCTGCCGTATATGCCTGGACCCGTAAATTACGTAACTGACGCAATTACGGAGGGTCGACTACACAACCTCGATGCATATGTGAAGAACCTGCTGGGGCAACCGGCGTACATCTCCAAGTGTAACCTGGTGAAACAATTCTTTGCGCCGAGGGAAGGCGATTACGAGATCGATCCGCCGTCAGCCGGTGACGAATATAGGTTATCCGGAGGCTCGCGCTCGTCGATGGATTCGCCAAGGGATGGCAATTCCCGGCAGTCGTCAAAGAACAACCTGAACGGAAATGGGTATTCTGGGTTATCCGCGGCGCCCAGGCAACCGCAAATGACTCGCCAAACGTCATCGCTCTCACAACCTTCGCAAACGTCCTTATCTCCAGGGATGGGCCAGCCGGCACCGTCGGCGTTCAAGGTCAAGCTGTTCTTTAATGACGATACGTTCCTGATTCGAGTGCCTTCGGACACGGACTTTCAGCAGCTATACGAAAAGATCAGGGAGCGGACAAAAGTTCCCAGCGGAGAGCAGATCCAGCTTTTCTACCGAGATGAGCAGAGCGGCGATAAGCTCAGCCTCTTGAGCAATAACGACCTCGATTATGCTCTAGGGCACAATGAGAAGCTAGTCATATTTGTTGAGCAAGTATAAGGCGAGGGAGGACGGTTGATACCCCCTTAAAGTTTTTCCATCTACGAAATATACCCTCACGCGCCATGTTCTATCTGCTTTTAAGTTTCCAGAGAATATGACCCGGATTCCTCCTCCCCGGGTTTGAAAAAAGAAGAAACCACCCACTTGTGTCGCCTTGGAGTGGTGGTTTTAATGTGCGACGTACGAATACGACAGTTACCTCCTCAACAGCATCCTGGACACCTTTGGCAACTAGGCGCAATTCAATACCCTCTTGTGAGACGTGTAAGCCGTCTCGAGATGGTGCTCGCGGTTAAGGGTGCAACCCAACCTACCTGGTGGTCGTGTGCTACGTATTACTCTACTACAACCGTCTTGTTTTTTTTCTTTGTTTGCACGGACGTTCTATTCTCGAGATTATTCGGACCTTACTCCATCTTTTTTTTTCTTCCTTGTCGACATCCCGGGCCGGACTGAAAATGGCATTCATAGGACAGCCTCTTCTTATTCACTATAGGGTATACCTTAAGGTTCGGCGCGGGTTATGGACTGATTTTTCCGATGTGGAGAGGGCCCCTCTTCGAACTGGTTCGCCATCGTATCGGAGGCCCTGGGACGGGATGGGGTGATGGATCACACGATGAGAGTACGGACAAGCCTCGGGACTCCCGGTGCAAGCCATGGAGGATGGTTGGGGGCGTTACCGGGTCACGGTGAGGTTCCCTGGAGTAGGTATGTAGATGTTCTAACTAGGGGTTAACTCTAGGGCAACAGAAGCCCGCCCCAGGTTGAGCGTGGGCGGATCAGGTGCGCAGGGCTAATGGAGGGTGATGGAGGGACGGGTGAGGGCAACACGAGCACGCGTGTCTCCCGATCCATGATGCATTTACCCTCCGCCGTTGTCATAGGAGAATGAAATCCAATGGAAATTAACTGATAAAAAGGTTGAATCGTTTATTGCCTATAGTTGGTGATACTGATATTGATAATATCTCTAGGCAGGTAGGCACCTAGTGAGAGGTACCTACCTATGTGTGCCCATACAGGGTTAAGTACATAAGTTATGTACCTCTCGGATCAAACCTCTACCTTTAGGTAGGCACTTAGGTACCTAACACACCTTAGATAGGTACCTAGGTAGGAGGTTACCTCTTAACTTTAACCATCCGAAGGAAGCACTGCACGTTCGGTGAGTAAATTTAGGTGAGGTACCTGAAGGTGGCAGGCAAGGTAAGCCGGCAGAAGGTACGGAATGCTATGTTGTCTTACCGTTTAGCTGTAGGTACCCGCAGAGAGGTTGGTACCTGCTTAGGTCACCTATCTCACCTCCCTCAGATACCTTACCTCTTTAGGTATGGAAACACATACGCCGGAATCTAGAATCTAAAGGACGGCACGTATACGCCTCACCGATGTATTGAACCTGCACTGCAACACGCCCTCTCTCATTATATATATATATATATTCAATATATATGTCTATATGTATATATATAGGTGTGCCTCAGAGCAGACTGAGTATGGTTAAGCTGGACGGCCGCTTTGCTCTGGCCTGCTTGTCTAACCCAACCTGTTTAGCTCGAGATATTTATGTATGCACTGGTCAGATTGCACGAGGAAGGAAGGCAATTGAATCGATGGATCAATAGCGGTTTAAGGGGCTATTTAGGTACGTAGACATGCGATATATGCAATAATAAATCCACCTGTCTTATCGCGGAGCCAGCAATTCGATGCTGTGCCTCTCGATGCAATGAGGGGATGCGGACGCATCGAGCGGCAATCCGTCTATACCTGGTGTGTATAGGTGTATACCGCCCAGTACATGATGCAAGGGCCCATGTCGTAGGTGTACGATAAATATGTAAATATATGTGCACGTATGTAGCATACGAGGCAGAAGAGGGGAGGTTGCCGCTGCACCTAATGTAGTCTGTGTGTGCCTGATGTCGGCATGAGGAGATGCATAAAATATGTATGTATTGATATCTATCCAATACGCACATACCTAGGTAGATATCTAATCGTCTTAAATACTTACGGCATGTACCTGCCTGCCTGCCTCTTGCCTGCCTGTATCTGAAGGCCATAAGTAGGTACCTAATATTAGGAGCTAAATAGGTACCTTATGTAGCGAAGGTACCTAAGGTACCTACCTAATAAGTTAGGCGTCTGTAGCAGTAGGTGCATGTATAACATTTGTATGTACGCGCACGTATTGTTGCTGCCGTATTGTTCCATGATTATCTACCTAGGTAGGTAGTAGGTAAGTAGCGATGCATACCTCTCATATGTTCTCATCAACGTCATGTATGACTACATGCATATACAGAAGAAGGTATCTGAGGTAGTACTACCTGGGGTACTATAGGACAGGTACCTACAATGTGGATTAGGGCGGCGGCAGAGCTAGGTAGCTACATAGCCTGCTATGTGCGTAAGGTAGAACCCTATTTACGGAGGTAGCGGTACATAAAACAAGTAGGCACTTACCCCCCTTTAATCTCAGCGGTCCACTAATTCCCGTTTATGGGGGGGTTCTACGGCGGGCAGGGACGGGCTAGGGCGGGTTCGGACTCAGTTAGGCATCGCTCAGCAGGCGGGCTACGTGGGCTGCTACATGGGATGGCGACCCCTGCCTCGCGTCTCCCCCTCCTCACGGCGGCTGGTTTGCACAAAAAACCCTTTCAAAGCCACAAAACCCGCTGACCCCGATTTCTCTTCCTTGCACAACCTCGCCCCCTTTACCACCAAAACCCGGGTCGAGTTCGTTTACAGGATTAGACCGTCCAATTTCATTTGAATCAATTGAGAACGTCGCTTTCGTCGCCCATCGCACAGTCGACTATCGACTATATCGAGTCTATCGAGTCTATCGAGGACCTGTCGAGCACTAACCGGGCCACTGCCGAGGCGGGACGCATGCTCTCGCTATCGCCCTCTTGTCTCTCACTGCCCGTCCTCCCTCTTATCGCCTCGACCGGGCTCGTCTTCGACCATGTCCGACGTGCCCACCGCCCCCGACACTCCCACCGCCGCCACCACGCCCAAGGAGCGTCACTCCCTCACCCTTGACCAGCGTCGCGCTCTTCGTCGCTGGGCCCATTCCCAGACCACCCGACCCTCCCACAAGGCGTGCATCGAGTGGTTCTTCAGCCAGTACGGCCAGAACATCAGCCAGTCCACCATTAGCCACTCCCTGTCGCCCAAGTACGCCCGCCTCGACAACGACAATCAATTCAGCGGCTCCCGTCTGCGCTTCGGCAATTGGCCCGACGTCGAGAAGCTCGTCCTCCTCTGGCACGGCCAGGTCGTCGCCTCTGGTCGCAACCCTTCGAACGAGGAGCTCGCCGAGAAGGCCAAGTCCATTTTCCAGCAGCTTCCTCGTTACAAGGATGAGACCCCCCCGGAGTTCTCGCCCGGATGGATTCACCGATTTAAGAAGCGCTATGGCCTATTGATTAGGCGTCAACGCCGCCACGGCAATGCTTCCAACCCCGCCGACGACATCCCCTACCTCGTCGACGCCGTCCCCCGCTTCATGACCATTAGCGCCGAGACGAGCCCGGCTGCCATCCGTGATGCCGTGAACCGCGTCGTCGGCGTCGAGGCCAGCCTTACCACATGCGCTCGAGTCCGCGACGAGGTTATCCGCCGTCTCGAGAATCCCGCTCCCGCTCCCGCTCCCACCCTGGCTGGCGCGCAGGTCAATTCCTCTGAACCCAGCGCGTACGGTATGAACGAGGATCCCGAAGTCGTCCTGCAGAACGCGCTGCGCGCCATGCAGCAGGAGGAGGAGGATGCCGAGGCCGAGGCGGCCGCCGTTCGCGAGCAGCGCGAGCGCCAGGAGCAGGGCCTACCTCCCATCGCCCCCAATCTCCAGACTCCGACGGCAGGTCAGCGAACTAGCTCGCGCTTCACCCCCGCCGGTCCGGAGGATCACTCGCTCACCCTGACTCCCATCTCGAGCGGCGCCGCCATGTCTGGCGCGGACCGACCTCTGCGCTGCCCCTTCTGCGTGAACCAGCGTATGCTTCGAAGCGTTAAGGAAGCCGTCGAGCATATGAGCACCCACGTTGTCGTCTAGGTATGCACGCCTCTCCTTCCGATGCGCCAATCACGCATCAGGCCTGCCGCTGGCGTGCTTTTCATCTATATGCGCCGCGATCGGTGCTAAGTGAATTTGTATCATACTGAACTGTTTTTCTTTTCTTTTCCCAAAACGGAGTCAAGCAAGGGGATGAGAGGGGCGGGAGGCGTCTTGGGCTGACTTGATTCCTTTCCATATTCTTATTTTCCTATTTTCTCTGGGCTTTCCTTGTCAATCTCTAATTTCAGTCAGAACGCATGCTCTTCCGTCATGATCTCGCGCGTGGTCCTGGGAAGGTTCATAGGGGCACGAGAGCAAGGGGGAAGGAAGGGAGGCGAGGGGGGAGCAAGGGGAGCAGAGGGGATATTTCCCCCAAGGGTCACGCATGCGATGAATACATATAGGCAGGAAACTAGTGGGTGCGTCGTCGGGCGTGTGATATGCGTGGCATGCATGCTGCTTTACCAGCCTCTTTGAATCCTCTTTTCTGTGCTTTCGCAGCAGAGCAAGAGTTAGATGAACACCACCCCTCCGTCTCTCCCTTTCTGCCTCTCGTTACGGGATCTGGATACGTGTTACGTGCGGTCCTGGTTTTTTGATGGGAGAGAGGAGTAGGAGGAGGGGGAGGAGGATGGTTTTTGTTGTTCTTTTAAAAATTTTCTCGTCTCTTCTCGTGTGTATGTGTGTGCCATGTATCTGTTTCCTCGGCCGACATAGGACAGGACGGGAAGGGGAAGGGACAGGACGAAAGTGAAGTAAACCCCTCCCATCCGCCCCCTTCCGGACACCGATACGAGGGAGAGAAGCAGGAAGAGATGAGAAGAGGCGCTAGGTAGGCTTGCCCAAGACGAATGCGGCCCCCGCTACCTCCGCTGTTTGTATCGTCGGGGTAGGGGCATCGGGTGAGCCAGTAGTAGGAACTTTTCCTCTTTTTTTTCCCTTTTCCTCTTCAACTACGCATACCCGTAGATATTGTGTAAACGTCTGCGCAGGTACCTATATGTGTACTTAATCTCGGGAGGAGAGCGAGCGTAGGACGAAAGTAGTCGGGGCGGGTAAGAAGGTATTCATTCCTCGGCGCAGGCTCACGGGTAATCCATGCGACTGACGACGTGCTCGGGTATCTCGGTTTTTCTCTGTCCGCTCCCCGGTCTCTGGTCCTGCTCTGCTGCTGCACTACTGCCGTGTCGCGCGCGATATGCCATGCCGTATCCACGTATGCTGGTCGGCCGGCCGGGCGTAGGGCGGTTGGAGATCCATAAGGGGGTGCGCAAGTGCGACGGAGTTATCCCGCTGGCATCATCGCTGCTAAGTTATCTCTCGAGTATTAGGAGATAAAAAGGCGGGTGGGGAGGTTGGTGGGCCGGCACACTGATCTGCCTCGTTTTCATCGGGCCGGTGGGACGTCCTTTCGGGCCTGCAACTGGGGGGGTATGTATGCTCGAAACGGGGCTATGGCTTGCGCAAAGGGTCTTGGGATGCCTCTACGAGAGTCGCCACCCGTGCACCTCTCTAAGGGTAGGCAGTATCTCTAAACCCGCTGTTCTCTGGGTTATAGACCACGTCGTATGAGCCGGGAGGGGGGGGGGATAGCTACATCGCCCAGCTTACCGTTGGCTCGTTTCTCTGCTGCGGCTGTCAACTTGTTGATTCAAGTCAGGAATGTCGAACGATCTCCTCGTACTGTCCCAGGGCAAGGGGAGCTTTGGCCAGAAGAATAGCAAATCGACAAAGTTCACGCACCAATGCACCCTCACTCTCTGCGACTCTGGCTCGCTAGCACTGCCCGCGATGATCGAGATGCGGTGGCGGATGAATGAGCAGGCAGGGCCTCCGAAGTGCGAAGCGAAGTAGCCCATGGGTTGTTTTCCCTTCTCACCATCTTGTTCTGCTGTCTATCAACTATGGCTCCCGAGACAGGCATAAATCGTTGCCCACTGCCCACTTCTCTTCTTTTTGTACCCTCCCTACGTGAGGGAGTCCCTACGTATGTGCCCAGGTACGTCCATCTCTCCCCGTTTCTCTTTAAGCACCCCCTTCCTCCTCCCTGAAACGCCGCTCACCCCGAGAAAAAACAAACCACGAGGGTCCGAAAACAACAATCCAAGCTGGTCGTCATCATGATAGAGGCGTCCCCTCGACTGTCCCCGCTCTGAGCCTAGACGGCCTGCCCAGCCTCTCCGCTCCGCGGGCCTTGAAAGCTCCCGGGTTCACCCGAGTTTGAACAGTAGTGCAAATATGTGCAATGAGATACAGAAAATAACAATTCGTCGTTGGGAGGTTTTATACAAGGTGTGACATATATTTCGACCCAGCCATACTGATGTGCTCGACGAGATGGCAAAATAAAGGAGAACAAGACATTATCAGAAACGATATTAGGTGTATAGTTGTTGTAAAGGTTGCTAGATAGTTGTGGTGGCAGCAATGATCGTGAAGCGCACAGAATATGAGTATCGGTAGGTGTTCTGGTGGAGGTGGCTGTGATACTGATACCGGCTACGACAACGCTGACGATGGTGGCAACAGCGTTGGCAGCGTTGGCATCGGAAAACATCGACTCCGCCCTTGCCAGGAGCTGCATTTCAAATCCACATTTGGTTGCGGCCCTGCGGCCGGTTCTGCTGCCAGAGAGGCCGATTCCCCGCGAACCCGCTTCCTGCTCGGCTGGGAGAAGCCTCTCCTCTTCCCACCGAACCCCTTCTTGGGGGAGGGCTCTGGCTCCCATCTCCAGCAGCGGCGGCAACGGTGCCGGGTCCTTCGACCGCCACGCTATCGGTCGCCCGCGCCAGCGGCTGCGTGTCCTCGCTATCCCGCGTGTCGGTACCAGCGATTGAGAACGCGCGCGAGAAGTCGTCAAGCTCCGACGCCGCCCCTGATTGCAAATGCGGCAGCGTTTGCGGCAGTTGGGGGGCGGCGTTGTGGTTGTCGTAGTAGTACGGATGCTGCTGCTCATGTTCGTAGTGGTGGTCATGCTCGTGGTGGTCTTGGAGCGGCTGGTACTGGTGGTGAGACTGGAACTGTCCGCGCAGTAGCAGCGCCGCGGTAGCGGCGGCAGCGCTCGACGGCGTCGTAGGCGTAGGCGTCGGCGGCTCCTCGGCTACTGGTGACAGACCCGTGCCTACGAGGCCGCCGACAGGCACCACCGTGTGGTACCGCCCCGGGTGCAAGAACCCGCGGCCCGGCGCGGCCGCTGGCGGTGGGGGCTGCCACGAGTCGGGCGCGTTGCCGTCGTTAATATTACTGTCGGGGTTACTATTTTTATTGTTGCCGTGAGGCGGGAGTAGCCGTGATTCGTCGTCGTCTTGCCACGAAGGGAGAGGTGCGAATGCGGCGCCGTGGGATTTCACCGGGCTGTAGGATGAGGGGGGCCGTCGTGTCAGCGGGGAGGCTCCGTAGAAGTAGTGGGGCGCGTGCGCGATTCCGCCGCCGCACATAAGAGGAGGTATGGGAGAGGGATAGAGGAGAAAGAACACACCTGATATACTCCGTCGTGGGCGGTGCTGCTGGCGATGGCCCGGGCCCTTCTCGCTTATTGCCCCGACGCTTCTTCAAACAGAGGCACCCTGCAATGATTAGAGCGATCAAGACGACCGCCCCAGCGACGGATCCTCCAATGATAGCTGCGTTGTTACTCTCGCTTGGTCTCGAGGACGTAGTAGAGGGAGGCGCTGCTGGCTGCTCCGCGCTTGGAGAAGATGGTTCTATCGAGCTGCTCGATTGCGTGGCAGTTGATGAAGGCGACGCAGTAAAGGAGGAGGTGGCAGAGGAATCTTGGCTGGAGCTGCTCGTTTCGCTTGGAGGTGAGGACCCAATAGTGGTAGGACTAGAAAGGCGACTCGGTGTCGCCGTTAGGGACATCAACGTCTGATCGAGCTCCACGCTCGTCTTGTCGAAAGCCGACGTCTCTACGGTAGCCGCCAGATCGGATGCAGTTCCACAGCCGAACTGGGAGTATCCGCCGGCGAACTGGTTCTTGTAACACACGTCTGACCCTTGGCACGTATAGACGTAAGGGTTGATCTCGGTTTGCGGCTCGCTATTCCGGTCAACACAACCGGTGAATACGCCCGTCGAGCAGTCCCCGCCGTCTGGACAACAGCCCACTATCCCGTTCACCTGTTCCAGCACGCAATGCGATCCTGCCGAGCATGTCGCTGGCAGGTTCGGATCCCCCGCAATAAAGCCGCAAACCGTGTTCTGTCTCGGTCGCCGCAAAGCTCGCGGGAGATAGATGGGCGCTGCTGTGGGCAGCGGGAAAGAGACGATGTTCAGCTCGCGCAAATCAACGGTCCTTGTTTGTGGCGGCAATGCGTGACCGCCGGTCAACTGGAATACCGCGCTGAGCAGAAGGGCAGCGGTAGCGGGCGGCAGGCGTAGAAAGTTGGCATTGAAAGTAGAGCCAGCCATAACTCCTTTCACAGTCGAATGTCTAGGCCAAGCAGGAGGAGCGGGGGTCGAAGATGGCAAAATTCAACCCAAACTAGCATCGGGGGGAGGGGAAAGAAAAGAGGATGAAAGCAGAACAGAAGGGTGATGTATTTTATCTCACTTCGTTTACCGGATAGAAAATAAAAAGGCTGCGAATGCGAGGTCGTAGCCCACAGCATGCATGGCCAGGGTGTCACAGCTCGGTAAGAAAAAGCCGCCTTGGACAACGTACGTCCCCATGTACGTCCCATGTAAACAATGATCTCGAAATAAGCCGTGCTCGCGGCCGCTGAAGACAGACGGATACGGGAGCGAGAGACCATGAGTTACCTCGCCATATACATATAGGTAAGCCGGGAGGGGCTGCACATTCCCTCTGTCACTCTTGTCTCACCGTGGCGGGAAAAGAGAGAGATTTCCTGGCAACGGTCTCTAAGGACAACCGGACCTGTGGGTATAGAATACTGGTGGCAGGGCCACCGCCACCGACCGGCAGAAACAGGTTCCCATTTTGGGTGGCACGCTGCGCATGGAAGTCGGTTCTTGGGTTCTTCGCTCTCTAGGGCTGTCAAGGCCACTGGAGAGACCCTTGGCTATCTAGAGGGACAAGACCACGCCAAACCAGAAAAGCGTATCTTGGCGGACAATCCTTTTTATAGACGACTTTAGCCAATTAAGGCCGATTCGGCCGCCTGCACAGCCATCAGCGGTGGAAAGACGAAGGCTCTGGCTGCTCTCTGGGGAAGCAGGACAGGAGGGGGGGCCATTGCTCCCCCCGCCCTACACTTTAGGAAAGATGTTTTCTTCGGGCTCTCTTCTCGCGGTGAATAGAATATGCACATAATATAACAGGGGGTAAGACTGACGAGAATTGCATAGGTAGCGCTTGCAACCCTACGCGATGCGCTTGGCGATGTTGGGCGGATGGTGGGTTGCCTTCTTGAGTAATATTTAGTATTCATAGTCTTTGCCAACGCTAACGGGGCAACTTTTCGTCACATGCGAATAAGTGGAAAAGGGCGAGAAGTAGAGGGGAGAAGAGGAGATCTTGATAATGCTTGTATTATTAGGGGTGATACCGGCCATGTGGAACGGGACTATTCTTGACAAGTTACCGTTACCTGCTGCCTACTACCCACCTACCGACAAGACGGCCTAGGTATCTCCACGGCGTGCCAGAGCAAGGCTGGCGGAACGGGGGGCGAGCTGGCTTTGCTGACTGAAATAGAACCTTATCAGGAGTTCTTCCCAGCTTAGATAGCCTGGGTGCCTCCGCGGTATGCCGATGCGTCGGTGTCTGTGTGAGGGTAGTGACACGAGGGCGGTGGCGGCTGGGTGTGCCGGGCCACGAGAGGTTTCCAGTTTCACCGAGAGCTTCGGAGGCCACCCGCAATAGCTTGACGCCGAGCCCGTGATTCTCACCTCGTCGAGGAATCCGCACCTACAACACACATATACATACATGTCATACGCTAACTAAGAGGGAGGATAGAGTAGAATAGGTCCACGGTGAACCTTGAGATGTGGGGGAATAATACGATGGCGTGGAGCGGAAGGAACGCTAAGAGGCCCCGACGGATGGCCTTGGAGAAAGAAGCAGTTTGACAGCATTCGTCCACACGGTCCGCCATGTGTGTAACCTGGTCGAAGGATGCGACAGATCTTCATCCATCGAGAAAGGAACGTGAGCTGGGTTGATTAGAGCCCGGGGGGATAAAGCTAGTAGACGAGATTGGCGAGACTGGCGTCAGTGCAGCCGCGATAGGAACGGATCCCTCGCTGGGATACGAGCCGTTCCACGAGTGGACCCGATCTGCATGTGTGGTACACGCGGCGCGCCTGTATTGCTCTATTTGACGATGTGTTCGATTCGATGGACTGCTCTCCCTACGCCTAATGATTCTGGGTAGCTAAGGTCTACCCGAAGGCAAAAGGAGGGGGTTCGTGAACGGAGAGACATGAACTCTCATGTGGCAGTAGATTCGTCCCGTACGTAATTACTAGGCAGTCAGCCTTGAGGGATGATGGGTCGGTGGCGGAGGGCCGGTAGGATGGGTAGGATGGGTGAGTTCAGATGAGGGGCTTGGTGAACGATGTTGATAGGGACTAATTAAGAGCTGTCCCGCTAGAGGTAGTTGGTAGAAGACGGCGGCGTCAGAGACAGCGCGAGAACCCTATGGACCAGCGCTTAGAAGGTACCTAAGTGGCAAGGAGGTACCTGTAGGCAGGCCGTATTGAGCCCAATGTAGCTGCCTATACCCACCTTATACCCACTGAACACGGCACCGTCACGTGCCCCTAAACACCCAGCCCCCGCTGCCTGACGTCGATCGTGGCGCCCTGCCCGGGTACTTTGTGAGGGAGGAGGACCTCTATCCTCTAATGTGCCTACAGGCACCTACCTTAGGTACCTGCCTCGGTAGGTACCTCATCCCCATCTGCTATGCCTCATAGTGAAAAAGGTCCAACAACCTCCAAACCTCCAATGCATCGCCTCAATTTGTATCCCTTCTGACCCCTACCCACATACTCCCTTGGGTAAAGCTGGAATTCTACCCTGCTTTCCCAGACATCGACCCCAGCGTCTTGATCGTCTCCCTGCCCGTCTCTCACTCCTCTCTGCCTCGGCCTCTCTGCAGCGTTATCCAAACTCTGCATTTCGTGGCGCGCCTGCGTATCACCCGAGATCTTATCGCCGTCGCCCTCCCTTCCCCAACCTCCTCCCGTCCTCCCTCCATCGTCCGCCGAGTGAATGCCTGCCTTTTGCATAATGGGATACTAGTGTAACGATATAGGGGCTATTGCATTGTCCGCAGGTCCTCTGTATAGGTACCTCTATATACCTAGGCGTATATAGCTTAGTAGGTAGGTAGTGGAGATGCCGATTCGCGTCAAGTCGCGGCCCGTGGCGGCGCCGGAACGCGTTCCATCGCCCCAGCTCGATCATTCCGATCGCCTCGATGCTCGACTCCCAAACATTGCTCACGAGGACACCTTCCGCGATGTCGTCAAGAAGCTTTCTCTGTAGGTCTGGAGGTCCACCTATCCGCAGAGTTGGGACGATTCCGAGACGGCTGCTGACCGGCCGGCTTCCCCAGATACATAGCCGACGTTATCTGTATGCCGAGCACCTTCGAGCAGTTACGCACCACGTCAGCTGGGGACGATCTGCAGTTACTCGTCGAGCACCTGAGTGCCTGGGTCACCAACCCCCTGATTGTAAACGCTCTGCTGTAAGCCGTCTCCTCGACGGGCGACGGGCGACGGGTGGCTGGCCTATACCCACGGCAGCGATTTCTCCTATCCGACGAATCTGTTTCTCTCTTGGCGGAACATAGTAGTTCGGAGAGCCGAGCTAGATTATGACTTACGAGTATGTCGCTAATTCGGCAATAGCGCTTTGAGGTGGCATTACGGCACAATTACCGACGATCGAGGGGTGAGCGAGGCCCGCGCAAATGCCTGTGAGATCGCTGCCTGGCGATTCTTGACTCGTCTATCGGAACGGGAGGTTGTCGAGTTTTGCCTGCATGAGATTCCGGATGACGGTGAGGAAGATGAGCTCTCCGGCGCCGATGACCCGGCAGATGGCGGCGAGAGCAACGAGAGGACCTCTCTGTTGAGTAACGCATCAACATGCTCCTCTTCGGGCCACTATCTGGATCGACGCCCTAGCGGATCTTCGAGAAGGAACCAGTTGTTCCAATCCGTCTCGAAATTGACCATGAGCAGACGTGCTAGCGATGTCGCGGAATCAGAAAACGACCCCACGGCGCCCTTCACCCACCTCAACGCCTTAGAAATTGCAGCTATCGCCGATGCCAAGCGATTCCTCAGCCAACACGTGGTGCAGAAGATCATCACCGGCATATGGAATGGCGATATAATATTCTGGGATCGGCTTGCCGTCCATTCGGTGAAGAAGCCTCGGTTCTATAACCATAGTACGGCTGATCCTTTCTCGCGCCTTCGCGTGCCCAAGTACCTCAAAGCCTACGAGGTAGCATTCTTCATCGGATTTTTGCTATTATACTATAGCGTCTTGATCCAGCAGAACCGCTATGCCATCACTCCTCTCGAGGTTTTACTTTACGTCTGGTTCGCGGCCTTTTTCTATGACGAAATTAGCGAGTACATCGATGCCGGGTCGATTTTCTACGCCGCCGACGTCTGGAATCTGTTCGATATGATCATGATCGCTATCGGGATTGTCTTCGCTGTTTTGAGTAAGCCTGTACGATGATGACTAAGGATATCAGGGGGCTCCTTGGCTAACCTGTATTCTCAGGGTTTGCTGGACTATACAAGCAGGACTACACCCTCGTTGACATCGCCTTCGACGTCTTGTCGCTCGAGGCCCTCTTTATGGTGCCCAGGGTCTGTTCAATTCTCAGCCTTTCCCCGTACTGGGGCACCTTGATTCCCTGCCTGAAGGAAATGGGAAAAGACTTCCTCAAATTCATGGTTTTGGTAATCGTTGTTTATGTCGGGTTCCTGACCACGTTTTCCCTCATCGGGAGGGAGGCGTATACGTTTCCGCACATGGCCATGATCGTGACCAAAATCTTTTTTGGTTCTAGTTACGTCGGATTTGATGTTATGGAAGACATCGACCCGATCTTCGGTACTTCATCCTCGTCCTACCCACTCCGTCCGTGAGACTCCGTCTAATCACTCGAATAGGCCCCCCGCTTATGCTAATATTCGTCACTCTGAGCTCGATACTGCTTATGGGTTCCCTAACCGGTATGCTCAGCAACAGTTTCTCCCGGGTCATCACCCACGCCCGAGAAGAATATCTGTACGTGTATAGCGTATACGTACTTGAGGCCTCCACTAGCAACAGACTCACGCACTTTTATCGTAAGTGTTGCGGTCCCCTGTGCCTTGACTGGGTAGGCCAAGACTGACTGGGTAAACGAAGCGCCGTTTAACCTCATCGCACTTGGAATCTTCAGACCGCTACGCTTGTTCCTGCCCTCTGATAACAAATTCCGTCAAGGGCGCATTCTCCTTCTTAGGGCAACTCATGCGCCAATCGTGGGGGCGATCCAAGTTTATGAGTGGCTCACCAAGTCGACTTCAGATGGATTCGAAAACTTCCGTGGCCCGCCGCAGGATTCCGTAAAACGACCGTCGGCACCTCCCTTCGAGCGGACAGGCGGTGGGTCGCGAGCGAGATATCGCCCCCACTTTCCGACCATAGAGCCTAGCAGTGCCGATGTGATCGACAAGCCGAAAGCTCGGGAACGGCCGTTCGAGGGTGGTTTGGCGAAAGCACCTAGTGACATGGAGGCACGAATCTCAGAGTTGTCGGCCAAGATTGATAGACTTACTGCCTTGGTCGTTAGCCTGCAATCCGGGGCAGGTATCGATACAGTCAGAACGTAGGGCAAGCAAGTCTATAGAAGAGATCAAGAAAATTAAAGACAGGTTGTGAGAATATGACTTCCTCTCATCATCTACCATGCGGGGTCACGATAACTAGGCATACATACACAATATTGCGACACATTTCCCAGATTCTAGCCACTCCCTGGCATCCTTATTTGATGGCCTCATTCTGATCCTAAGAAGCCACAATAGTATTTTCAGTCGCTCGGGGCCCTAACAGAGCCTAGCTCTTCTTAACCTCGCCTTACGAGTCAAGTGGTGTCTAAATATCACTCAACGGTCAGGTTGTACGGGTAGGTATCCAGGATGAGCTCTTGGTTTGTTATCGATATCCTTTAGGATCACTTCTATTGTTACTGCTGAGGTTATGTATAATTTTGAGCCTAAAGTCCGCTCGAGATCTTATCCCCAACAACAACAATGCTCTAACTCCTTTCCCTCCTTTGGTACCTGTCCCTGGACGCCCTCCTCCCTGAGGTATACATCTCTACTATGCTTCCCTTTTCGTCACTCGCATCTCCAGCTTTGACATGAGGAAAAAGCCGGAATTCACAATCTTGACGGGGTCTTGTGGGTTTACGACAGCAAAGTCAAAGCGCCGGAGAAGCTACCGCGTTTTCCAACCACCACTATCAGCCTAGCATATAGAAGAGAGGGGGGGTGGGTGCGACATACCTCCACGAACACCTTATTGAGCTCGACCTGGACGATGGCGCGGCCGAGGCACTTGTAGCGACCGGCGCCCCAAAGGGTCTCGAGGGCGGTGGCCATGACGTCGGTGGCAGCGGGCGGGGCCTCGAGCCAGCGCTCGGGGCGGAAGGCGTCGGGGTCGGGCCCCCAGTAGCGGGGGTGGCGCATGACGCCGAGGATGTCGACGCCGACCTCAGTGGCCTCGGGGACAAAGTGACCGGCGATGACGTCGCCGCCGGAGGGTACACACTTGTAGAAGGGCGCCGCGACAACAGGGAACACGCGTAGGCCTTCGCGGATCACTGCCTGCAGGTACGGTAGGCGCTGCGCCTCAGCGTGCGTGACCGGAGAGCTAAGGAGCCCTGCGCGTGTCGCCCTGTCGATCTCGGCCCGTAGCCGTAGGTACGCGGCCGGCGTCGAGACGAGCAGGAACAGCGTCATGCGGATCCCGACCGCGGTTGAGTCCGTGCCCGCAACACTGCGGCGTTGAGGGGTGGAGGGCTAGTTAGATAAGGATTTAAGAGGAGGAGGAGGAAAGGGGTAAGGGAGGGAAATACGTACATCTGCAACACCAGCTCGTTGATGATCTCTCTTTTCGTCGCGCCGTGATCGATGAAAGACGCGGTGACGTCTCGCCTGCGATCCACACCGTTGTGGATACTCTTCTCAAACGCTTCTTGAGCGAGCCTATGCCAAGGGAAATGAGCAAAAATAACGGAGTTAGTGTCAAGAATTACAGAAGACTGCCGCCAATGGCACCAAGGGAATCCATACCCTATGAACTTGCCGACGCCGTCAGCGTCGAGGGCGGAAGGGTAAAGCCCGCCGAAGGGGAGACGGGAGAGCAGGGCCGTGAGCCAGGGGAAGTTGGCGACAACGATGGCGACGTTGAAGAAGGCCTCATTCCAGCGGATGAAGCCGTGGACATCGCGGCCGAGGTCGAGGCACCCAAAGGGGCGGCCGTAGGCGAGATCGCCGACGCAATCCATGGCAAAGAATAGCGAGGTTGCGGTGAGGTCGAGCGGGCGGTGCTCGCGCGGCGTCGAGATGAACTGCCGCTCGATCAGGTCGACGAGTGCCGCACACTGCCGGTCAACGCAGGCCTCGACATGCGGGCCGCTGGCATACCCGGGCGCGAGCACTGTCCGCCGCCGCCGATGCTCCCGCTCGTCGAGCAGCGAGAAGGTGTGGTCCTGCGCCGGGCTAAACCGGAAGGTCCGGTAGAAGGGTGACCGCGTGTACCTCGACTTGGGGTGCGCCATGCGCCGGATGGCGCCGACGTCGGTGGTCATGACCTGGTTCGGGCCGATGCGGAAGAGGTCTCCTGTTCCCATTATTAGTCCCCCGGCGAGCGGCGGGTAGGAAAGAGATCGGTGAAAGGGGGGCGGGGAGGCCAAGCGAACTTGGGAGAGAAGAACAATGGCGCAAGAGGTTGACGAGAACACACCGTATCGGTTCCCAACCTTCCTCAGTTCAAGGTACCACTTTCCGCTCATCTGCGCCCTGACCTGCCAGAGCTTGGAGTGAGAGATCCAGATAGACCCCGGGATGTGCCGGAGGCGGTGCCAGGACCATGCCGCATGTATGACCCAGGCTCCGAAGAGGAGGCATATGATATATACAGAAGTTGGCAAGAGCATGCTGGGGTTGTAGTGCTCGTATCGCGGCTTTGAGCGTGAGAGATCCTCTAGACACTGGATTACACTGGGCGGTTAAGGTTGGGATTTGGCGACGGGTCTGATAGCTATGATTTTATGTTTAAATATTAGCGTGTCGGCCGCTCGTTCTCCGCTCTCTCTCGCGTTTATTGACGTCGAGTGGCAGATGGTGCAAGTAAATACTCTCCCAGGCATACGAAACCCATACTGGGGACATGGTTCATGTCTGCCGCGAACTGAGATAGGCATATAGTTCCGGATGGTGACAGTGACAGGCAATGATTTCCAAGCCCTATCCTTCTTCTTGCCACTCTACATCCGCGTCGATTGTGTCTTTGTCACCACCCCCTGCCCCCTCCCCCTATTTATCCCGTGCTACGACTTCTGGGAATAATACAACTAAGTTCATAGCATATGGTAATTTCCTTTTTGCCGAAATACATCGGTGGCGATGAGGGTCCGTTTTGTCTATGTCATTGACGGCGGGGCAAGTTCTGAATACTAAACAGTTCCTAGGAGTCTAGTTGAGTTGGTCATGTAATGGTATCAGCAATACGTAATTATATCTTAGGTAGCCTCCAGACTAGTACCGTATTCTACGAGTTTATATGAATTACTAGAACGTTTCCGGTGTCCTAGTCGGTGTTTTGTAATACATGTTTCAAATTATATAGGGGAGTGAGTAGATCATGCTTCCTGGAGTCCCGCGGCCTGGGAACTAGGTGGATTTCCTATCTCATCTCCCGATGCAGTATGCTTGATGTGCTACTAGACCGGTGGTAGCAACACGATGTGGTGAGTGAGCGGGTCGAGTACCGAGAAATATATCAGCCTTGAATGTCTCATAGGCCTATGAAGAGAAGACGGGTACGCAGTCAGCGGGTATATTCCGTTACACCGCGCAAGGCCTACCCACGACGCTCCCAACACATAGAAGTCTAGTGCTCCGGCCCTTCAGGGCGGGATTTTCTCCAACGGGGGTGGGTAGTGTCGAGGGGAGAACAGGGTTATTCCAAGTTTGTGGGGAGAAAACGATAAGCAGAACCATGTTACCGTTAATCAGCTGCTTACAACAGCACTCGGATTGAAAGAAGATGGAAGGAAAACTTACATCATCGTTGCGTGGCGATTCACGGAAATATTAGAGAGACGATCGGTTTTGCGTAGTAGATGCAGGCATCCGATTCCACTACCACGGAGCCATTCCCGAGGCTTAATAGGGCACACGAACGAGCCGAGGGGTCCGGTTGCCACACCATGGTGACCCGAACCTGTAACTGGGTATGGCCATCATAACAGAAGTCATGCCATCCGTACGAGACAAGCATGTCCTCCTACGTTCGGCTGCAGCGGCTAAGACGATGTTGGAAACCATGGCGAGAAGAAAAAAAGGAGAATAGATTACGGGTTCCGCTTGGGGTCACTGGCGTACCCTACGAGCTGTAATGCCGCGCCGCGCCGCGCGGAGCTCAGATGTATATTAGTCGGTAGTTGAGTATAGAAAGAGGTTTACCCATTCGTACCAAAAGCGGTACGAACCGCAAATAAGCAGAAGTAAATATAGATTTAGGTAGTGGATATTATAAACGTATATGAAGGAGAAAAGGTAATTAAAATACAAAATAGAAATTAAAACCGGAGTTCGAATCTCTAGTTTTCTTATTAAACTTAATGTCCTTATTCGTATATTATTATTATTTTTGGTTAGCGAGACGGTATTTGTGTTATTAACGGCTCGGCGATGTCCTAGGCTGGACCGCTTCGGATTGACCTCGACCTTTTTCGACAGGACTCTCTTCTTACCTCTATATGCATGAGGCCATGGCGGGTTTAATAGCGAAGAGTCGGTTGGTGCTACGTCTGCATGTAGCCGATGCTGGGATCTCGCAAACCACTGCCTCGTCCATCTGGGAGGAGGGGGAAGGGGATCGCGGGCCCCGACCGTCTCCTCCTTTTCTTTTCTTCTGAGATCCTGCAGCTCCAATCCGGGCGCCATGCTCCCCATACGACGAGCAACGCTATCCGAACTGTAGCCACCCGCTCGGCTTCGAGTCTAGCGCCGGTAGCCGGTGCAAGAATCCCCGCCGGAGCTGTTGGCACTACTACCGTCAGGGAGCACGCTATATCGATGGTAAGACAGGGAAGTTTCGAGAACTTGAGCTGCTCCCGCGCGATACAAATGATGCTATAAGGGGATAAGATGTCTTGTGGCACTTACACATTCCCTCGATTTAGCCAACATATGAGTGTCCTTCTCGGCGTTCGCGTGAAGCGTGGAAACGAGGGCGGAGGATCTGCTGCTAGGTGTTATACACGGGTTCACAGCCCTGCGTCGGATATAACTAGGCCGCATATATCGTTAAAACGAGCTAGATATCGGATCACTAGATTAATCTATAACGCATATCCTTTTGGTGAGCAGGGGGGGTTGTGAAAACCAACGAATGGTACACAACCCCATGCAGATAGCTTTGCCTCGCGCGTAATACTGATTAGCGATGAGTGATAAAGAGGATAGGTATAAAAGTCGTGACTAGACACTCATAAATTGGACCCCTCTATATCACGGTAATACCTAGATGGCTAGATACGAGGTATTGATGGTAGGATACCTGAGTGCCTGAGCGTGCTATCGGCCATCTCGACCACAGTTAGAGCTCGAGAGCTGGAATATACAACCACAAAGCTAGACAAAACCTTCGAGCCGCGCGCACTTCATTCACTATCAGAGATCTCAAAGTCGTCGTCGTCCTCGTCGCCCTCGTCGGAAGAGGCCGCCTTCTTCCTCCGAGATCGCCTCCGAACGGTCTGCTTTGGTTTGGCTTTCGGTTTGGGGACCGCCTTTTTAGGTGCCGCAGTAGGTATAGGCTCGGGCTTGGGGGGTTCTTCGGCGAGTTGAGCCTCGGCCTCAGCGTGTTTTCCGTAGTCTACCTCGAAGGGGTCGTTTCCGTCGTCTGAATCATCCTCCTCGGCGGCAGGGAAGAATCCGGAGGTTTCGCGCGGCCTCTCATCTGCGTTGGCTGTATCCTCCTCCCCCTCCTCCTCTTCGTGTCCTTCAGGTAGGAATCCGCCAGCCATCTCTTCGTCTCGTGTGCGCATGACTCTGAAATCGTCGTCTGCTACGTCGTCATGACCGAACGCATCCACCGGCTCCTCCAGGTACCCATGTTCTTGCCTGAATCTGTCCACAACCCGCAGACCCATCAGGAACTTCCGCCAAGTGGTTAGAACCTCTTTGCGCCGTTTCTCGTTTTCCTTTCTTTTCCGTTCTGCCTCATCCTTCTTAAGTTCCTCAAACACACGCTCGTAATACTCTTCAGCGATGACGGCACCCTGGATGACGGGAACAGCCATCCGATGGCCGAATTCGAACCCGACGACGGCCTCGGCGTAATCTATCTGAAGGCGCTTACAAACACGAACGACCCCGCGATAAGGGACGTGGACAGCACCTGCATATTCTTTAGTTGAAACCAGAAAGATATGATGTGGTGCGCCTACCCTCTGGACACATATGCTCCGCGAACATGTCGATATTGCTACGATACAGTTAGGCTTGACTATACTGAGGGATAAGTATCAACATACCCGTATTCGTTCTTTGGAATGATACCGTCCTGAATAGGGGGAGGGATGATCCAGTTTGTCTGGTCGAAACTGTATAGGGGTTGCATGACTTTCTGGCCTGTCGCTGCTTCGGCTTCGGCTATCTCCCTTCGCCTGTTGGTTGTGGCAGCTCGGTAAGGAGCATGTTTAAGTGGCTGGACACCTTCTATGGGGGCACGCCCTTGCTTGTGCCAGGTCTCGGCGCTCTTCACCGTCACCACGTCCTTTCGAAGATATACGTTTTCGCCTTCAGTTTTGGACCCTTTCCCCTTATTTCGAAACAGCTTCACAGCGACGGCGGTAGGAAGAAGGGCCTCTTCGCGCTTAAGATGGCGTTCTAGGACGTACTGTCTAGAGGTTTTGTAGTATTGGAGTGTCTCTTCTCCTTCCTTGACCTCTTTCTTCTCCGGCTTTGAGGGCTTGAGATCGGTGGAATCCTCTTCCTCGTCTACATCCGTGATCGGGTGTTTCCTATCGCCGCGGATATATCCTCGCATGGCTGCCCTAAACCAATCAAACTGGTCATATCGTTTGACCTTGCCATGTTTATTGTACACTGGTATTTTCTGCTCCGGGATTCGAAAGCCTTTTGTCTTGCCCGGGAAAATATTTTTCTTAAGATATCGTACTGTAACATCTTTGGCGGTGCCATCCTGGGAAAATCCGATGCAATACGCCATGACTTGTTTCGCCTTGTCTGCCTTGCCTCCTCGAGGCTCGAGGGATTCGACGAGGTCTCTACTGGTAGCCACGATGGACTTAACGATGGGATCGACGGGTAGAAACCTTTTTGTTACCGGCGACAAAACTTCGGACCAATAATGAGGGAATTCGAGGTCCTTATCATAGAGTTTTGCTTCCGGTCGTCTTGAGCTGAGGGTCTCCGTAATATCGATTACTGACTCATCGTCGCTTTCATTCATCAGAGGCTCCTCGTATTCGTCTGAATCATCCAAGTCCATCTTCAGCGTATCGTTGTCACCCGTTCTGGCCCGGCGGATAGCTGGTCTTACCAGCGGCATCTTTTTCCCATTCGCGGGGTTCGAAGATCCGGTAGATTTTCTAGCATTTTTCTGAGCCTTTCCGTCTTGATTTTCTTCGTCTGCTTCCTCGATCTTGCTCCATCCGAATCCAAGTGGTTGGATGCTTGCCACCAGACGTGTTTGGAGCCCGAGGCCGCGCAATAGCGCGGTGAAAAGCTGCGATCCAACATCACGACTGCCAACACAGTCCTGGGCATGCCGCCGGAACTCTTCGAGGCTCACCACCCTCTCCCCGAAACGGTCGGGGTCATGTTCTTCTTCTTCGAAATTTGACCTCAACTTGCCCAGTCTCCTGACATCCATGTACCCCCATTTGCGCAGTCCGGGAGCGGTAATTCGAAATCTTTGTTTCCACCATGAAACCAGACAATTCATAAGCCTGAATAGGGGGTCGCCGTGACTTAAGTCGGGAACCCCCTTCTCGAGTCGGTCTGCCGCGCTACCCCAGTCTCTTGTTGGCTTTGTGGGAGGCAGCTTTCCCTTCCCCCTTCTATTCCCTCCTCTTGAACTCGTTTTAACTTCCGAAGGGGTTATGACGTCTCCAAGGACATCTAGGCCACTATTTCGTCTCCAGCGGTCCACCTCGTCCCACAGCCTCGGTGGTAAGTGAGAGATCATGATAGCTTGGACTTCCTGATCGCAACACCAGGAGTTCCGCACAGCATTATGCCAGAGTAAAAACTGGACGTGCATACAGTGAGTCGACATACGGATGGCTTTCTCTTTTTTCGAAGGGCCCCTCTTCCCCAGCTCATTAGTCATGGGGACGTGATTGTTTTGGTATAATGTCAACTCAAGATCGCCGTCGACCTCAGGCTCTAGCTGCTGCGGTTCGTGGGAAGGAACATCCTCAAACACCACGTCCTCGTCCTCCGATTCGTCCGAGTCGTGGTTCACTTTCTGGGGCTTGGGATTAGGCATGCTCTCGAAATCAGCGTCCGAGAGCGAACTGAGAGAGCTGTCATCGCTGGCGACATCTTCGTGCATTTGTTGCATGGCGGATTTGGTCTTCTCGGCTGATCCTATTTTAGAACCAGTGTCTAAATCATCAAATAGAGTGGCCTTTCGGGACGGCACAGATGTTCCCGCTTGGGGCTTGTCCTTGCCCCTACGTGACTGTCGGGTAACACGATTGCTGCTATCTGGCGATGGTGTGCGCAATCGCTTGTGCGGTACATGGGGAGGCATCTTAGCGGCGGCACGATGCCAACGTGGAAATATGGGAGGAAGTTGAGGACAGAGACAGCCACCAACTAGCATTCGTGCCTTATGAGAAGACGGTGGATACGACTCACTGGGAGTTCGCTCGAGGGCTGCTCGTGGTAGGTTATCGCGACGTCGTAGGTACCTCACCTACGTAATCCCCAAAACAGGCATGCTACGTAATTACCGTCCGCATCAAAGACGCGAAATCCCGTGACCTTACAGAGCCCCTTGATTATCTAAGCACAAAGATGCCGTAGACACTTGCAAAAGCGGAAGGGTGCAGGTTATCGAGTCTCCTAGGCAGGAAAACACGCTTACTATGTAGGGGGCAATCCGCTAGAACGGGCCACAGACAGCCCTAAATTACGAGCCGTCCACCTAGCTAAGCGCAGTTAATGTCAACTAACAGTAGATGTCAGCGCGGTTATATTAGCCTCCCAGGCGGTCCAGGCATGTATAGGTACATACGCACACGTCCTGTAGGTATGCGTATCTCTGTGCATACGCCCTCCCCCCCCCCAATGTATACCTATAGTTGCCCCCACCGCTGCTTGTCATCTGGTCGGTCTTCTCCAGTTTCGCCCCCTGCCAGCTTCTTCCAGGCTGTTCCCGAACCTCTTAATCATCAGCGTTGTCATTCCTGAGGATTACGACTTCGCTCGTTGCCTACTACTCTCTTACTGGCGTTGTTCTCTTGCCTTTTCTTCCCTGTTTCCTTTATATGGTCCGGTCGACGATACCGACCCGGAAAATATGGCGGCCGAATCTCAAGACACGAGTTACGTCGAAATGGATAAGGGAGGCGATGCCACCCTCATCGGCAAGCACTGCCAGCTCGAATACTGTAACCAACTCGATTTCCTCCCCTTCTTCTGCCAGAGCTGCAAGAAGACTTTCTGCCTCGACCACCGATCCGAGACCGCCCACAAATGCGCCAACGCGGGCGCCTGGGCCGAACGGCGACGACAGGCCCAGCTGGCCAAGTCGTCCGCCGGCGAGGGGAAGCGCATGCGCGAATTCGTATCGCAAAAACCGTGCGCTGCTGACAGCTGCAAGACAACGATCGGTACCTCGCTAGTGCCCGGCGTTCACTGCTCGGGCTGCAATCGCGACTACTGCCTCAAGCATCGGCTGAAGGAGGAGCACGACTGCAAGAACAAGATCCCGATCGGGGCGCGCCCGGCGCAGTTCGATGTCGCCGAGCAGACCAGATCCGCGTTCGCGAGGCTCAAGGCCTGGGGCGCTGCCAAGAAGCAGAGTGCGGGCCGCGTCCTGCCAAAGCCGAAGCCCTCGTCTGCGGCGGCGCGTCTTGTCGCCGTCAACAACCTAAAAAAGGTGGCCAAGGGCGACGCGAAGCTGCCGCCGGAGAAGCGGGTCTACCTATACGTGGAGGCGGAGGTGGAAACCACGACGGCAAAGAGCTACAAGGGCGAATTCTACTACTCCAAGGACTGGGTCGTCGGTAGGGTACTAGACGCCGCGGCTAGGAGTTTGCAGGTCGAGAACGTCAACAACCAATCCCCCGACGAGCGAGACAAGCTTCGGGTGTTTCACGTCGAAGGCGGGCGGGTCCTCGAATTCAACGAGAAGGTCGGCTCGTCGCTGGTGAGCGGCAACACGATCGTCTTGCTTCGAGGCGTAGGACCGCCGCCTGATTTGATCGAGTTGTGAAACAGAGTTCACGAGTCACAATGGGACTGCATCTAAACTGGCGTTTTATAGGCATGGTGTTTAACGGCGGAGATACCTTAGTGGATGAATAGAATCGACGAAGTTTCAAGCATGTTCTCACCACCCGAAATGGGCATATTTTCTGGACGTCACGTACACTCTCCGCACCCGAGGTTGCTTTTTTTGCCCCAGTTCGCAGGTATTTCACAGTAACATCAAGAAAATGCAGCAACGGTGGGGAGTAGGGACGGGTTTCTCGACTGCGGGATGCTGATTCTATCTCGTTTCCTATCTGACCGTCCATGCTTTATAATTCCTTCTCTTTGGTGGTGTTCGTTCTTGGCCTCTGATGCAAGGCCGCTTCACGCCCCGTCGTCGGCGCATCGCCAACATAGCCGTGGCCGCCATACGTCGAGAAGCCCCTGTGGAACGCCCATTCGACGGCATTCTCAACCGGCTTGTCAAACAGCGCCGGCAAGAACGGGACGACACCAAGGCCAAGTCCTATAGGGCCCCAAACTCGGAGGGTCTTATTCTTCATATCTTTCATGGCTCGGCCCGAGTATTTGACGACGCTGTGGATTGTGAATGCGGGAAGTCCCATCGACGCAACAGTCTGAAAGATGGCACGCTGCACCATCACGGTCCTGTAGTCCTCCAAGGGCGAGACGGTGCCGGGCTTCGCGTCCGGGGATGCCGGGGTCGACAACCCGGCGGCTTTTTGCTGTTTGTCCGAGAGCACCAGCTGCGGGTTAAGTATCTTCTGGTTCTGCCAGTATGCCTTGTACCCTTCGTACGAAACGTCGCCCATAATGTAGGCCCACGACACGCCATAGGCGCCTCTCACTATCCAAGGGTGGGCGACGGGCCGAAATGACTCCCCTATGTCTGAGGTATAGGCTACATAACGGTGCGCCGAGAGCATAATAGTCCGAAGTCGGTTGGCGTAGGCAACATACCGCACGTTGGATTCAGTAGAGTCAGGCGCACTGACGAAGGATGCAAATTAGTCCTGTTACGGTGTCCAGGGGAATAAGTCTGATAGCGACGCACTATCCCTCTACGAGCTCGTCGAAGAAATTCTCCTCCTTATCCGACTTATCTACGATGCTCTGCATAGCCTCGGGTAACTCGCGGCGCGGCGGGAGCTTGTTAAGGTCGAAACGAGTGGCATCGCTGCGCGGGTCGACGTTAGTCGGCGGTGCCTCCGGGGTCTTAACGTCAGGCTTCTCCGGACCCTTTCCCCAAAACATCACGGTCAGGTATCAGTTAGGCCAACGGCAGGACCGATGAATTCAAGAAATAAAAAGGTGCGAGTCTTTTTTACAGACGAGAGCCGGAGCGGTGCCGATAGCTGGAATTCCAAGTGTAACTTTGGCTAGGGTGAGACTGGAAGACGCGAGGCGCATAGGGTAGCGAGCAAGTAGTGTCCAAGTAAAGAAAGGAAAGAAGAGATAAGGGAGGGAAGAAGAGCAAACCGAATAATATTGAGGTTTCGATGGAATTTAGGTGACGTCGCTGTTACTTGCCTAACTTCTAGACTATAGGTCAGACTGATCGGACGGACGGTCGGAACCCTGTCCTGAAAGCCGATTGTCCAGGTCCACCCCATACTTGAGTACTCGAGCCCTTCTCTCAGACAATCTCCGGATAAACCTCGGCATTCGACCATGCTCAACTAGACTTCCAGTCAACTTACCTAAGCAGCGAAGAGAAGCTGGAGGGGTCTTCCATTCGGAAGCTTGCGAGCCATTCTTTTTTTCTGGGGGACAACGTCCTGTCCCGTCTTCGCGAACCCTCACTCAGCGCCCATTCGTGTCCAGTATCTAGCCGCGCCCGGTCTTCTAGCAATCAATCCGTGCATACCGCCAAGATGGTTGCTACCTACACTATTTTCGGCCGCCAGGTCGGCTCTCATTATGTAGGTCGCTACGGACCAATATGTCCCGCCCCTTCCCGATAGCCGATGCGATGTTAATCTCTTCTCTTCTCCAGCTCGCGATAGGTGTTCTCGCCAGCTTGTTCGGTGGCAGCTATCTGGCCCTCCGAGGCGGCGGCAAGAAGGCCACCCAGACGCCCCCCATCAACGCATCGACCCCTGACGAGGCGGATTTCATCCAGTGCGCAACTCCCGAGTACCCCGCGATGAACACGCGCTAACGTTGTCGCAGGAAGTTCCTGAAGGAAGCCGACGCGCAAGAGAAGAAGCCGAACCATTAGGCGCGACTATGACAGGGAAACCGAATCGTCGATCGGGGTCATCGATCAGCTGTATCATGATAGAGGCGTTAACAATGAGAAAAAGCGCAACTAGCTCGCGGGGAGGCATTTAAAGCCGGCGACGGTTCTCTCGATTTCTGACAAGTACAACGTACCTAACACTCGTTCGTCTTCGTGATATTAAGACTTAAATCTCGCCAGAACCACCGTATCTCATCTATGAGTTCTCCAGCCTGCTCCGCGGATCGACAATTCACCAAGGCAGCGTCGTTATGGACTAATTCTCTGCCGCCAGTGCCATCGCATTTATAACCAGCTCCTGGCGCAGTTATTGCTTCCCCTGATAGCTTCTCAACTTATTAGTACATGCCTACCTACATGCCTGCACAGAATTGAACTAAAGCCCAAAAATACTGCGATAGACGTAGCCTGTGTATGGCTGCCCTCGGTGCAGGTCAATTCCTCCTTAATACAGGCAGACACTAGACCCGGCTCGGGGTACGGGAATAGTAATATAATAGGAACTCAGATGTGGATGTGAATATTGCGTCGCGCTAGGCAGGATGCGCCCTGAGAGCGGTGTCGGCTTGAAGAATAGGGACGGCTATCTCACCGAGAAGGCAATACGTTAGAGTGTAAGCGCTAGGTACAGTACTCGTATCCTTATCGTACCGTATCTGCCGCTTCGCGGTTTGAGACCCATCCGACCACCCGATGAACCCGCAGACATAAAACGATGGTGCCCTGTCCATTTCCCAACACTCAACCTTATCCATCATCGGAACATCCGTGAACGCAGTGTCATCAATCGTGGAAATCTCCACCCTGAGCCAACTCCTCGGAGGCGGGTTTAAGATGGCACCCTCCGAATTACAAATCGAGGTGAGTAATCTCTGGTCTTCAACCAACCGGCAAAGCTGGCGAGTAGCGTACGCTGATGATATATCGAATAGGTTATAGACCCTTTTAAGTCTGAATCGGGCCTGTTCGTTACTGCTCGCACTGCCTATTGATGAGCACTTCAAAATTGTTCACTGGACTCACCCTCTCTAGCGTACCGTCACTCAGTCCGGATCTCATAAAGCTTGAGCAATACCATCCGGGCTTCGAGAGAGTCGCTAGCAAAGGCACATTGTGCACACTACTGCTCACATCGGCCGACTCATCAAACAACCCCTTCTTCTGCAACGCCTGTGCTTACGTACCGGAGCGGGATGAGCTCTACATCACCTCGGACCTATTGCAACCTACCAGTAGCTCGAACCTACCGGTGATCCTAATATCCAAAGTTACCATCAGCCGCCATCATGATCGTCTGGAGCCGGTCAATGGTATCCGTGAGATATTACAGGTGGGTTGGATGAAGCTGCGGCCGCCCAGCAACATGCCCATGCCAAACGGTGCTGCGCACTACCGCGGTGGTGTGGTGTACTGCTCACAGGGCACGCTGGACCCGGCGTCGGGCGGGCTGTGGCACATGCCCGCGGGGAAACCGCCAGTGCCAGTCGTCACGGGCTATCTCGGCCGGCCCTTCAACTCGGTCCGGCACGTCGCCGTGGATGCGGGCGGCAGCCTGTGGTTCACGGATTCGCGCGCCGGCTTCGAGCACGGCATCCGACCGCGACCGCAGTTACCGAATCATGTCTATCGGTTCGACCCCGAGACCCGGGACCTGCGCGTCGTTGCCGACGGGTTCGGCCGACCAACGGGCATCGCACTAGACCCCGACGGCGGCACGCTGTACGTCGCCGACGCGGAGGCAGCGCTGCCGGACGGCACGATGGATTTTACGAGGTGCGTCCTTCATCTCTTGATTGCCTACATATGGATTTCCTAACCGGGTGTTTGTGACCGTGGGAGCCTCTGAAATACGTGTGTATAATTGACACAGAATCACGCGGTCGCGAATACACTTAGGCCGGCGACCATCTACGCGTTTGACGTCGTGCCGACCCGTGGCGTGCCCGCTCTCATAAACCGACGCGTCTTTGCATACGCGCGGGAGGGCGCCCCTGCGGCCGTGATGTGCGACACCGGAGGCAACGTATACGCCGCGTGCGCAGACGGCGTCGAGGTCTGGAGCCCGGCGGGTATGGCGATGGGGCGGATCAGAGTCCCTGGTAAGTGAGGGGTATCAGAGAGCCCAATTTTCTCTCTTCGTGAACCACACCTTCTACTAGGGGATGTATGACAGATTCGGCTGATTTCTCCTCTAAAAACGCATGCAATCGATCAGGAGGCTGCTCGAACATGTCCTTTGGACAAAACGATAGCGAGCTCTTTATCTGTGCCCAGCAGCGGCTTTGGCGTCTTCTGCTGAATAGGAGGTAACGCCTGTCAATGCGCGTACTGTCCTCTTGAGCAAGGCGAAGCTTTTACTCGATCAGGTATTGCTTAGCTTAGCAGCGGCTATGTACTTAGGGGTAATCGCTCTACGATGTCGATTCAAGAGTCACCCTCTCGGGATATTATGCAAATCATGATACGATATCTAATATGGCCTACAAAGGTGAGTTGCAGGTGTGTATGACTTGGGCAGGTCTAAAGGGATCTATCACGTAGAATGGAAGCTACGTGGGCGAGAGCGCGCGCGAGGAGCTATCTCACGAGCAACGGGCAACGGGAGGAGGAGCAAAGGAAGGGAAAAGGTCTTGTTCCATCTAAGAACTAACTAAAGGAATGGAAGCAACGGGAGCGTATATATAGGAGCTCCTGTTGCTGAGGTAAGCAACGAAGAGGCGCAACCTCTACGTGACAGGATCTTATTAGTATATGGATCTTGAGGAGGTAGGTGTAGGTATAGACGGCCTCTCACGAAGACAGTATTACCTTTGAAAGGCGTGGAGGAAGTATATTTCGGGGTGTCTATCATGATTACCTACCAATTCAATAGCATAGTAATTTCTCTCGAGTAGGCATCGTGACAAATATACCTACCTACCTACCTAGGTAGGTATATGCTCGGGTTTTTTTTTACTTGTGCTTGAATACCTCAACCTACCTCTAGAACGTAGGTGCATAATGCTCCCTAGTATGGCCATCTAAGGAACGGGTGAATAGTTGATTGAATTACAGTTATCTACGTGGCCTTTTGGAGCCGTTTTACGTGCCTTTTATATCCCGATTAGCCCTCGCTAGGGCAGGGCTTACCCTATGGCTATACGTAACCGATTACGTACTTACGCGCCTATACGCCTTCTTAGCCTAGGTAAGGCTATCGTTAAGCTCTTGAATAGCGTAAGGCCTTAATTCCGTAGTATTTTCCTTTATTTCTTTATCTATATGCTTATTTCGTTTAAGGCTATTACGGGTCCTTTAGGTATAGTAACTTAATAAACCTTTAGTATTCCTTCGCTTCTAAGGGCTTCGTAAGCCTATTAGCCGCGTTCTTAACTAATGGTACGTATTTTAGTTTAACGTATTCCTTTTCTACCTCTTGCCTTACGTAGTAGTAGTCCTTTTGGATATACCGCTTTTATTTATTTATCGCGGTTTCTTTTACTTACGTATTCGCCGTCGTATTATCGCATCGTAAGGTAATAAGGCCTACGGGTATTACGTTTAATTCCGTAAGGAAATTACGTATTTACGCGGTATTTATTACCGCCGTCGATAAGGCTATATACTTAACCTTTCCCGAGCTTCGTACGATTACCGATTAAAGCTTCGATATCTATACGATCGGGGCTCTTATTATAAAGAATACGTAACTATTCGTTAATTTAATTATAGAAATATCTCCCGCGTAATTCGAGTTTACGTAGCCGTAAAGACTTATATCGTTATATTCTTTATAAGGGTAATTTTCGTTTAATTACCGATACCGGATCCCTCGGCTTACCGTTTCCTTAAGATATCGTATTACGCGTTTAATTCCCGTTTAATGCTCTTATAAAGGGTTATTTATAAAACGCGCCTAGGTCGAAGCTACGTAACTAATATTAAGCCTTATAATATATACCGGAAAGTTCGCTTTTCTTACTAACGAGGCATACTTTTAAACCTCTCGCGGGTCGGCTTTATCGTTAGCTTCTTTCGGTACGACCGCGTTCCGATTCTTCGGGTTATATAGTAACGGATATAGCTTCGTATCGCCGTAATTAAGTTCGTTTAAAGCCTTTTCCGTATATTATTATTAATCGAATCAAACGTCCTCCGTAAGAAACGATCGTCTTATCCGGACCCCGAGAAACTAATTAGCGTTTCCTAGGTTAATTACCTTAACCTTTTCTTTAATTATATTCGTAAGTTTATAAAGTCGTTTTTCTTCGGGTCCGAATAATAAGAAATCGTTTATATACGAGGCAATTACGTCTTCTATTCCGGGTCTTATGTAAATAACGTCGTCTAAGGTTAATAAAACGTAGCCGTATTTCTTTAAAATGCCTCTTATACGTTATTATTACGCGGCTTTAGCTTATTTTAAGCCATATAACGGATTAATTAATTCGATAATCTTCGACTCGTCGTAATTATAGGTTTATTTCTCTTTTTTATAGGCCTCGAAATATTCCTTTAATATAAGGAATTACTTTATAAAGATCCTTTCGTTTAGTTTCTCGTTAAGGTAGGCGGTAATAAAGTCGATCTAAAGAATATATTACTAATAAATAACGACTAACGCTATTAGTATTCTTTACGATATTACCTTTGCCGTTATCGCCTTAGTTTCGTTATAATCGATGCCTTTTTTCTATATAAATCCTTAGGCGTAAATCCGTACCTTTAATTTATCGAAATCTCCGTTAGATAGGAACTTCTTCTTTAAAACTTATTTAACGTCGATAAAATAGCCGTTAACTACCTCGCTCGGCTATATAAACTTAAACGTACTACGTTCTAGGTTCTCTCGGATCTCCTTAAAAACGGCTTAGGTCTAAAGATTACGCTCTAATTCCTTTATTACCTTCTTAAAGAGCGGTTCGTTCTCGTTTATTTTAAATAGGCCCGCCGTTATTAGTACTATTTATTTATAGCTTTATTCCTACGGTACGGTAGTAAGCGTATTAATATAATATAACTCCTCTCGGAACGCGTTTTTAAATGCGATTTTAGGCGTATCTTATTCGCCTTTAAATACTTCTTCTAACTCGCTTTCTTACGAGCCGCTTAACGCTAAGGCGGAGCGTACCTTATTTAACTTAAGTAATACCTCTAGTATATAAATCTAAGGTAGTTTCTTCTTCGGGCGCCTTCTCCGGAAGCGTATTATAGTGGTACGGTAAGACATGCCCTCTTGATACATTACGTAACACGCTACGATAGGCCTTATGCCTATATAAAGTAACCATAGCTCCCGTAAGTACGGGATATGCCATGCTTATCATCTAATTTACGACCTAGCTAGATTACTATTTTTATTATTTTTACCTTAATTAAAGATTCGTTTTTATTATTAGATTCGTTATTCTCCGATTAATATATTTATTTTAATTATAGGCGCTTAAGTTACTTCGTCGTACCGCTATAACCGAATAAGTAACTTTTACGTTTTATTCCTTTTCTTTCCTTACTTCTTATGCCTTCGGGCTAGCGACTACTATATCTCTACGATTAAGGGGTATAGCTAAGATACGATAACTATATTAGATTCCTTACCTTTCGATTAATATAGCGATATTAGTTTTATTTATCCTAGACTATCGTACGTATTATAGTCTTCGATAGAATATACTTTCGAGTAAACTTATCCGGGTTTTTAGTATCGCATACGCTCTACTCTTCCTTAGTAGCGATTACTTTATAACCTTTTCGACCCTTTAACCTTTAGTTTTAAGAGTTTTTATTACGCTACTAGGATTTAAAGGATACCGATCGCCGTCGGCGCTATTATTTAACCCGCGAAGTAGCCTACGTTTTACGTTAAATAAAGTATTCCGCTTTATAGTTATTTATTTACTATAAAAAGGTACATATAAGCCCGGGAACCTTTACTACGATACTATAGCCGCTAGGATACTACCTAGCCCTTAATACTTATAACGCTAATAAGCTATCGATACTACGATATAATACGACGATTAAACTACGTTTATACCGATTAAGATATCCCTCGTATCGTTATTTACCTACCTATAGGAAGGTATCCGTAAGCCTAGGAAACTATCGTCGTAATATTACCGCTATTAAGAATAGTACTTAGCCTTCGATACTAACCGCTCCCTCGAACCGCTAATAATATAGTATATCTTATGCGAGTAAATAAAGCTTATAGCGATTAAGGCAGCCCCTTTATAGTTATCTACTTATTATATAGAGGACGTACGAGCGCCTTAATATAAATTACGATAACTTATACGACCCGCTACTCCTTTATTAATACTAAGGGCGAATAAAGGCTAATAATAATTATACCTTAGCCGACCTTACGATAGCTTCTTTTTCCCTTTAAACCTATTAATCGATATAAATTAAATATATAAATACTAATAACTTATTATACTAAAGGCATTTTAGGATACCTAGGCGTAACGATTCGACGATATAATATACGATATAATATAGATATTTATATTAATAGTATAGATAAGAATTAATAAACTAATAGCTATTAGTAATCGATAGTTTTAAAGAGAATTAGAAATTAATATTAATAAGACTACGTAGATATAAAGGATTAGGGAAACGGAATTAAAGTCGAGCTAATAGGTATACCTATATATAAGCTAGCCTTATATTATTAATTAATAACTAATATAGCGAGAAGTATTAATATAGGCGTAAAACGGCGCCTAGCGATAATATCGTTAATATTATTAAATAACTCCCGTTAGATCGAAACCGGCCTATAGCTATAACCGGTATCGTATCTAGCGCGATTCTTTACTCGGGATTTATTCTTTATACGTATTACCTTAACGAAGGTTATACGTTAGAAGTTCTAGATCTTAATGGGAGGAATTATCGTCGACTTATTTATAATAATTAAATTATTAATCCAGGAAATACGTATCGTACTTTAGTTAGGCGTTAGCCGATTAAAAAAGCTCGTATAATACCCGGACCTTATCGATCGGGATAGTATAATAAATAATAATATACCTATACTAAAGGAAAAGTATTAGGATATAAATAATAGTTATTATATCTTTACCCCTATATTAGATAATAAGACCCTTACTACTTTCCTTTTTACTTTATACCTCGTACCGTTAAACTAAACGGAGTTTATAGCTAGGAAACGGAATAAATCGCTATCGGAACCTAAAGTAATAAAAACTAAACTACTAATAAAAACCTTAAGAGTCGATACTAACTTTCCGCCCCTATATCCGCCCGAAGAGGAGGAGGACGACGATAAAACTCCTACTTAGCTACTCCTTAACCGCGGCTTTATACTTATTCCGCTAATCCTTATAATATTATCTTAGAATAATAATAACGGGGCCTTTAGTAGCTAGAATATACCGATAGCTATCCCGACTATAGTAATATTAGTTATTAAATTCCCTAACCCTACCGATTACCTTAGGCTTAAGTTTAATAAATATAACGTAACTTAATAACTAAAAAAGGTAAATCGATTATTTAACCGCTACCGTATAAATAACGACGATAAAATTAAGGAGATTAGTAAATAAATTACGACTAAAATTATTAGGAAGCGTATTAACGACGTTACGAAGGATTAAACGATTTAAAGAGTTATCGTTATAGCCTTAAAGTATCGTTTTAGGATTACCGATAAACTAGGTTAAGTTAACGTTAAACGTAAACTCGTATAGCTAGAACGAAGTAACGTAATTAA